TTCCAACAAATATATTAAGTGAAAAATACATAAATTGACAACAAGTTCGAATTTACCTTTTAGGGGAGGATATAGAATTTTCTAGCCCAAAGACTTTATAAAGCTCATAACAATAGTAGGGAGATCCAGTGTTCAAAATATCTCTTCCTCAAGTTGTGAATTGCTTCCAGTAGGTTGCAGTCATTCAGAATTTCCCACTTTGTCACATCCCATTTTTGGGAGTTGTCACAGTCAATGCCCTGCCTTATCCTGAGTTTTTCTTTATTCATCCCCAGACTTGGTATATACAATCTACAACTCTTTAGCTATGTTTCATGCACCAGAGTTTAGTTCTTAAAATGTCTGGTTCTTGTGTTATAGCACCAACTTTGTCCAAAAAATCATGTGACATTAGTGACCTGATGAAACAGCCTAGAGTGATGCTCCAAATAAGATGACTTGTATATTGATGTCTATAAGCACCTAAGCTGCCTTGTTTCATAGACAGCATATCAAATTACATGTGGCTGTGGTGGGTCGAGCGTGTTGCAAGGCAGATGGACACCCCCTACTGATTGGGGTGCCAGGGTTCATGAACAACTTACTGCCTTACATGTAGCAGCAATGGGTGGAGCACACCATGCTCAACAATGTTGCCTACATTTGGCCCAGCTGGCAAATTCTATGGACAGCATATCAGATTGCATGTGGTAGTGGTGAGTCGAACATGATGCATGGCAGATGGTCACCTCCTACTTGCTGAGGTGCCAGGGTTCATGGCCAACTTATCAGATTACACATCATGGCAATGGGTTGAACAAACCATGCTCAGTATTGTTGTCCACATTTAGCTTAGCTGGAATTTTTTATTCAAGGCTTATCAAATTACATATTTTAGCGATGTCCCACAGTTCATGAACAACTTACCAGCTTACATGCAGTAGCAATGGGTTGAACACACCATGCTCGACATTGTTGCCCACATTTGGCCCAGCTGGCAAAGTTTATGGACAGCATATCAGATTGAATGTGGTAGTGATAAGTCGAACATGATGCATGGCAGATGGTTGACTCCTACTTGCTGAGGTGTCAGGGTTCATGGACAATTTATCAGATTACATATCGTGGCAATGGGTTGAACAAACTGTGCTTGATATTGTTACCCACATTTAGCTTAGCTGGAATTTTTTATCCAAAGTTTATTGAATTACATATTTGAGCAACATCAACTGTGCTCACGGTGTCCAAATCTATTTTGAATCTGTCAACAACATCCCAGTCACATGGACTTAACATGACAAAAATAGGTCATCATCGTGTGGAGAGCAAACGGGATTTGAAAACTCTCCGGAAACTCCATGGAGTTCATAGAGTCAGGTGATTCCTGATCGAGCTATCACATGACTTCTAGACGATGTGTCAAGCAAGGCGTGTCTAGCAGCGCAGTGTTATGATCCCTCAATTCGCGACAACTATAGATTCATAATTCGTACCTAAATGGAGGATCTTACAATGTAGAATATCAATCACCTTCTCTTGGTAGCGAGCGAGGTGAGCAGGTGGCCAGAGACGGAAATTGGTCGACGGCCTCAGTTGTATTTCTTGAAGAAACAAACGACAGAGGCTTTCTCAAAGCACGCCTTGCACATTTGGTCAGTGCACAACCCTGCAGCAACATGAGTGCATGGCACCTTGACACAGCATGCCTTGATTGTCTTCTCTGAAGATGGCGGGAGAGGCCCTCTTAAGGCCCAGTCTGCACAACGGTTCGACAGGCAGTGGGATGAGACAAAGCACAGGGTTGAGCCATGGAGGATCCTTGAGGCCGCCTGTGAAGAGGGACATCTGGCAGAGGAATAGCGACAACAGGAACGGGTGGGGTGAAGGCTCGTGAAGCGCTCGCCACTTGCCAGGAACCTACGTGAGAGGTCACGTTTGGCAATCACGTTCAATGCCGTGTGACTCTATGGACTCTCTGAAATTCTGGACTCCCGGCCTCTGCTGCGCTGTTCAAATCTTGAGATCACGAGGTGATGGTAGCAACAACAAGGGGTCGCCGAAGCAAGGCGAGCCCCAGAATTTTTTAGGCTGGAGAGTGTAAGCTAATGATATGGTGTTGATGTTGATGTGGGGTGGTGGTGGTGAAAGATGATGGAAGCAGGAAGCGTAGAAAAATTGTTAACAGTGCCTCAGACGGAGTCCGATGGCGGCAAGCTGCTGTTCAGCACGAACAGTGGGGTTATCCCTTATGTAGATCTTCCATGCTTGAGAGGACCACCGACCGAGTGCTTGAATTATATCTTCAGATAGACCAAGGCTTGCATAAAATGTGGCACCGCCTGCACGAGGAGAGTGCCCTCTAAATTCACGATTGAGCACGGCGAAAAAGCGAGCATCGAACCAAGACCTGGTAGGATGGGAGCCATCTTCACGTAGAAATAGGGCTAAGCGGGCATTGTGAACAGAGTCGCGTTGATTGACATATTCTTGGAGAAGCGCAACAGGGTCGGCGACTTCCTGTTGTGAGAACAAGATGTCAGTACCATGATAAAATGGATCCCCCTTATGATAAGGGAGGTGATACTGAGCTCGTCCTTGAGAGAACTTGAGGGACGAACGCTTGATGATTTTCCGCCAGTCGAAAAGTTCTTTTGAGTTCTTTTGCACCAATTCACCAGAACGGTGGCACGCATAGAAGAGGCAAGAGAGGATAGTGGCAAAGAGGAGGTCGTCATAAGACCCAGAGCCACGGGCGATAAGTAGAAAGGTTTGTAGATGTGCAGGGTGCAAAGGCAGTTTGCAACGGATTGGGTCAGCGCGGATTTTCTTGGAGCCTCGAATGGTTGTGGTGACGAGAGGGTGTGCGCAATTAGCATCAAAGTTAGGATATAGATCAGATAGAAAGTGTCTGACCCCTGAAAGATATTTTGGACCAGAGGCGATAAATTGAGAGGTGTAGGCAATGTAACGAGCCAAGGTTTCGGGAGTGGGTTCTATAGAGAGGTGATGAGACATGCAAAAAGAGATATAGTCGCGAGCACCGGTAGCGTAGCCTTTTACTGTTGACTTTTCAATGGCGTTAACCTGTAAGTGAAGCACACGATTGTCAAGATCAGATAGCTTCATTGGTGGGCGAGTCCGGCGTAATGGCCTAGACCCGCCCAGGGCGCTCAAAAGCACCCCCTCCATCGCGCCGGCAGGAGCTCCCGTGGTGGGGAGAAAAGGCGGACGCGGTCAAAAGGGAATTTTGCACGATACTCGTCGAGCAAAAGACGTGAGAGGAGGTCGGCTCGAATATTTTCTTTTCCGGGGATGTGCCGTACACAGAGGTCGATGCCTGATTCAATGATGATACCTGCTATAGCCATCAGTGGACCATTATGCAATGCTTCAGAGACGCGTAAGGTGTTGAAGATGGCTACTGAGTCCAGGCTATCAGTATGAATAAGGAGACGGCGAGGAGGTGAAGGAAATGAGGCAACATGGTGGATAGCTGACATGATAGCTACCATTTCCAGGAAGAAGATGTCAATCTTCAAACCGGGGGGACATTCCTTGTTCCCGTACATGAATCCCTGATTTCCATATACGAAGGACATTCCAAGAGTGAGACTAGCGTCAGTCCAGACCTCCAGATCTGCTGCAGCATCGTCCCAGATACCATCATCGAGGAAACAAACGCCAACCGCTCTGGGGATGATGCTGATGAGCCAGGTGAGGTCAGAGATCACTTCGGCGTTCAGGTGTACAGCGCCAAGAGGGCGAGATTTTCCACTGGTTTTGTGGTACAAAGCTGAGAGGGCAGGACGCGCCCATGGTAGGACATTTAGGAGCCAGTTGAGATGACCGGCTAGCCATTGCCATTCACAGAGAAGGGGCTTGCGGTTAGGTGTAGCCAGGAAGACCTTGATTTTGTCAACGATGTCAATGAGGGAGCTTGGCGGCAGAGAGAGAGAGCCTTGGTTAGCGTCAACCCAGAAGCCAATTATCTTCAAGGTACTCCCATGTTCCTGCTTCTTATCTTCGAAAGGGCACTGGATTGCTTCCCAGAATAAGAGCAGCTGAACTTGTTGACGTGGTCGGAGCTTCCCATGATACATGATCAGGTTGTCTTCAAAATCCCAACCGAAGAAGTCGTCCATGTAGACATGGAGACTGAAGATACCCAGCTTTCGAATAGCCAGCCAGCACAAAAGACCAGAAACAGCACACCAGCAGTGTGGTGAAGCACGGTTTCCAAAGACTAGACGTCGGACAATGTAGAGTTTTCCCTCAACCACAACCACCTGACGAAGTTGCCACAGAGGGTGTGCTGGCAGGTTGAGAAAAGCGGATGCAACATCTGACTTGAATGTTACGATTCGACGGCCGGGGTTATCTGTGTGAGCATCACGGAGAGATTGCCCGAAAGGATGCATGTCGTCGTAATGCACTTTGGCTTCAGCTTTGGGGATGCCATCATTTATCCCAGAGCCTGAGTGGTCAGTGACGACGCGAGCTTTGCCATTCTGCCAAACGACAAACATGGGAGACACCTTCATCCCTGGTAGGAGTTCGGAGTCTGAGAGCTCGTCAGACCAGCGGCCAGCTGATCTTTCTTTATCCCGAAAGTTGCGGATAGCGTCAAGATCGCCTTTGTCTGTAGAATAGTTGTCAACAACTTCTTCGAGCTGACTTTCCACTCTCCGTCATCAAGGGGCCAAAATCCCTCTTGAAGGCCTGTCATGACTGACTGGACAAAAGGTTGATTTGGGTGGTCAGCGAGCATGGACTCAAGTTTGTCGACATTGAAAGGCGTCTCAACTTTGATGTGGTCTTTCATAGTGAGGAGTGAAGCTTGAATCTTTTGATCTTGCAAAAGGTGAGAAGGTGCCGAAGGAAGAGGAGGAGCGGATTCAGTGTAAAGGGCAGCAGGGGAGAGGTGTTTATTAGCTGAGTTAGACCATACATAACATCGTCGGAAGCGGGGTACATCTATGAGTGGGGTATCCAGCTTCCGCTTCAACCCTGAATTGATGGACTTAGGCCCTTCCCTTGCCTTTGCCGCTCTCTGAGTAGCCTCCGCTAATTCCTTTTCTTTGTCGAGCCTGGAGGAGAGTGTTGCAGACAGGTTCGTCCTTTGCTCGGTGTTGGCCTTCACACTCGCAGCAAATGCCATGCTTGCGCCCATTCGGGCAAGGGGCATCGCAGATGCCCATGTTCCAATTTTGACAAGGAATCGATGAACGCTTCGAGGGAGGGCTTGACAAAGCCACTGGGTTGCCACGCTTCTTAGAAGATGGGCCAGAACCCTGGAACATACGCGCCAGAAGTGGCACGTTGAGCTGAGTCCGATCATCCATGCGGAAAGGACTCTTTGCATAGCGATCACGAGCTTCAACGTCGAAAGCGATCGCAATTGACGGGTCATGAGGCACTGCACGAAATAAATCAGTGACCATACATTGATACCCTTGAAGCTCCGAAGAGCGGTGGCGATAGACCAGCACAACCGCAGAGCTCCAAGCTCCGAAGACTCGAGCCCATTCGGACTCAGATCGGAGGGGACGCTTGGCCGAAGCTTGCTCCTTCTTAATGAGCGCGTAACCTCCACCGAAGTCATGAGGTTCGTCATTGTGGTCGTACCCCTTGTCCATCGAGGCAAAAAGCTTTTCGAAGTCGACGAAGTGATCTTGTATAACCAAACGCCAGATGGAACGGGGGATGGGATCCGTGAGCGGCTGCACCTGCATAAGGTTGACAAGGGAGTCAATGGTCTTGTCTGTTCCAATTGCCTGACGAAGTTTCCAGGTCTCCTCAATGTGAGGATCGGATATGGAAGACGTGGAAAGCTCGGCCAGATGTGGGGCAAGAGTGAGGACACTGGCAGGTAGGGATTGAGGAGCCGAACGTTTGACTCCAAGCAGTTTTGCAAGATCGTCAGCGGAGAGAAGAGTTGTGGCTTTGTTGGAGGCCTGTGAGCCTGCCAAATGAGAGAGCTTGGCGTTGAGAACAGCCCAAGCGGCGGTATCGACTGCCGTGCGACGATCAGCTGCTTCTCGAACGCGTACCTCCTCCAAGAGTGCTTCGCGTCGAGCATGAAACTCAACTGCTTCTGCTTCCTCAAGGCCTTCGGGAGTGGATTCTCGAACCGCTTGTTCGCTGGACTGAGTTTCCGACTGTCCCTCAGCGTCTTTGTCCTTCCTTTGCTGCTCGATGCGTTGAGCGAGCTGTTGCAAATAGTCCTCGGCTTCGGCTGGGGAAGCACCAGCATCTTGGAGGCGTTTACCGAATTCCGAGAGGGGTGACCGTCTGTCCATGACGTCGGAAATGATAGTCTCGAAAGCTTGAGCACGCTGCCGAGTTGCTTCAGCACTAACATCGGTCATTGAAGGAGAGATGTTGAGTAGGGCAGTCGAAAAGCGAGGTGTCACTCAATAAAGGAGGTTGGATGGTGAGGGGACTGAGCAGAATACCAAAGAAATCTGAAGAGATTCTGTGAGAGGCACGGTAAGTGAGTATTGAGCTGGAGGGAATCTTTACAACACTTCTTACAATCTGGCTGACGAAGTCTGAGCCAGAGAGGATGTAAGAGTATGAATGATGCTCAATAGAATAGATGCCTCACCAAATGAGAAGTGATTGGAGTGCGTTTATAATAAACGATAGGCGAAGCCTTTTGGTAGAGATCACTATTCATTTGGGTGAGTATGCGGCGCATAAGATAGAGAGCGCAGAGCGCTTACCTGTGCTGGGTAGACGTGGTCTGAGAGAAAGAGCCAGCACAGGAGATGGAAACGACACCGATGACTTCTCCTAACCCAGCATCTGCCAAACTTTGGCACTGAGTCAGAGATCGGTGTCGAAGCCATGATTGGTGAGCAGAGCTCAAGGGGCAAGCGGTGCTGCCATGGATGGTGAGCGAGGCTCGAGGGGAAAAGACTCAGCGGAGCTGAGCCTTTTCCTAGCGGAGTTTTGAGTTGGTGCAGAGGCCTACGAAATGCCTCCTTACTCTTGGAACCCGCCATTACGACGAACAGTTTTCAAATCCCATTTATTCTGATCGTGTGAACTTCACGAAGAAAACATGTTTTATCCAAATGGCGGTGTAGTGTGATCTATCCCCTATTGAGGGGATAAATTTCCACGCAGCAAAGCAATAATAAACAAACAGACGACTTAGATAATAAACAAGTACCAAAGCAGCGAGGTGCGCCTTTGCTAAGACAAATTATGTTTCAACATACAACGCATTCATCTTTGGCTTGTTGTCTCGTTGGGCGCGCTATGTTGGCACGCTTAGTTCCCATTCGTTTCATTTCTGTCAGTCTGTTCATTGCCCTCTTGTTGCCTTGGGCTAAAGTGGAGCGATGAGTCAATACTCTATTGATTTAGAATGTAACATACCTGCAGCTCGCATATACCATCGCTTAGCAAATTCTATGTCCTGTTTGATGCCGATACCCACTTCAGCGTAGTATCCGACCGCATACTCCGCTTTGCTCAATCCCTTGTTTGCAGCTCGTCTGGCCCATAGATAAGCTTCCGAGTCACTTTGCTTCAGCACACCTTCACTCCCAGTGAGATACCAACCACTGAGGGCCAACTCCGCCTCCGCGTCCCCCTTCTCCGCTGCTTTGGTGTACCACGCGATCGATCGCCTTGCGTCGACAGGACAGGTTAGAGACCCATACTCATAGCATTGGCCCAGTTTATACTGCGAAGGAGTATACCCAAGCTGGCCCGCCTGTGTGTATAAATTTTTCGCATATCCTGGATCGTAAGTAACCAATGTTCCAGCAGGTTGCTCATGCAACAAGGCAAGCTCATGCAACGCATGGGGATTTTCTTCATCTGCTTGCTCTGCTGCTCGCTTCAACCAATTTATCGCCTCTCGCTGATTCTTAGATTCGCCTAGCAAACCTTGAAGTAAGATCATCCCAAGCTTATACATTGCAGGCGTGTCACCCAACGAGGCAGCCTTACGATAAAAAGCTGCAGCCCTCGGTGGTTCCCTCCTTGTTCCTGCACCGATTTCATTGCACACTGCGACGCGGTAAGATGCCGCGGCGTGATTCTGCTTTGCTGCTTGCAAATATAGATGATAGGCCCTCTCGTGGTCAACTTGAAGACCAAGAGCTCCAGTGCCATAGCAGTTTGCCAAAAAGAACTGAGCCTCATCGTAGGCCTCTCCCTGGGTTGCTAAACGACGAATAACCTTCAAAGACTCTCCTATGAGCAATTCGCTATACTTTTTCGCCGTACGCTGGTCTTTAGCTGAGGCCCGTATTTTTTTCGCTGCATCGATGAGATATTTAGCGTACAGGAAATGAGCCTCGGGGTCAGGATCTGCCTTGATCCGGTGACGGTATTGATCAATATACTCCTTAGTGAACGGTGGGGCGCTTAAATCGATCGCTTTGCTCTTGTAGGTCGTCAAATTCACCGAAGCAGACGTCCCCGCCCTTTCCAAGTGTGGGCGAGGCTCAAAATCATGGGCGTCCGGGAATGTAGCAACAGGAACTGAATAAGAATCAGGTAAAGATAGGTGACCTGAAGCGTTGGAAACCATTGTCGAAGGGGCTTGACCGTTAGCAAATGCGGTGTCAACGAAAGAATTAGATCCAATCGACGCATAAGCAGGAACAAGCGGAATGCGAGGGTTTGGAGGAGGTCCCATTCCAAGAACATCCGAAGCAGCTGCATATAGAGGATTAAAACCACTTGGTTGCACAAATGGCGACTGATGACCGAGGTTGTTAGAATCGTCGTAGGAAAGCATTCCTGTATGATGAACTTGCTGATCTTCAAACCCGTTCGAAGGCGGCCGACCATCGTATCTCGGAGAAGTATAGGCATGGGCGTGGGCGGTGGGAGGAGGAAGAGTGGTCGCATGTCTTGGTTGCAAGATGCGTTGAGAATTTGGCGATGAATGCAGTGACATTGAGGAATGGGTACGAGTAACAGGATCTAACGCATAAGAGACATCGCTGGCGCCTCGAGGTTCTGGGTCAGATATGCGCAGAGAGGAGAAATTATCAAAGGCCGTTGTGGTATCAAATGGTTGGGGACTGGTAACATGCTCGGTGTAACGCGGTGGAAGCTGTTGAGAGGGCAACGATGGAACTGAGTGATTACTGTGGTGAACGGCAACTAGACCAAAAGAAAAAGATCGTAAGTAGCTGACAAGCCAAGATTGGCAAAGGAATGTAAAGTGGAAAATGAAAAGGCTTACAAGATGTCGAATCAGGAGGATAAAGATGGTCGTCGGGTATAGAACTCAGACCAGAGCCCCAAACGGTCTGAGTGTCTGGTTGCACCGCATGGCGACGGTTTACTGAGCGCGTCGACTGCTGCGATGGCGAAGACGGGCGGAAGAGGTGCTCACTGGAACCGACAGCGGACATGGTGTCAATAGACGCGTTGTAGTCGTGTGTGGCAATGAAGGTAAACCTTGTCGAATTTATTTATTTATTCACTACAGTTTCATTGACTACAATCATTCACTTATTCTCCCCGCCTCCTCCTTCCATTCCCAATCTTCCACAACGCGCTCGATACGCTGCCGCTCCAGCCCCTTTCCTGTCCTTCGCACCTTTACCACAACATCCCTTCGACTTTGAACACTTGCTTCTTCCCCATCTTGTCCTTCATCAACGTCCCCAAGCCACCGTTCAGTCCACTCTTCGCCCTCTGTGGGCTTAGGACCCGTTGTTTTGCGTCTTTCTCCCTCCTCGCTAGTCTTACTCAAGGCATCCCAGACTTTTGGCTTGAAGTTTTTGAAGGGTGCCTCTGTTGTAAAGTCTTCGGATTGCCCTCGCTTCCGTTTCGCACCGTTTGAGGGGAAGATATTTGTGACATCTTTCGAGCTCTCATCGTCGCTTGATGATCCTGCAGCTAGCCTCGCCCTCCATCGCAGCTCCCTCGCCATCGCAGGCCCATCCTTTACGCGATCGACTGGTATTTGATCTTTAACCTCCTTCTTCACTTGTTCTGAACCCTGCTCAAGTGCCCGAGCTTCTGACACTAAAAAGTCTGCTAGCGCCTGGATTCCTGCGAGGATTCGTGGAGAAAAAATCCCCATCGAATGCGCTTTTAAATCCCGGAGGTATTTATCACCCACATACCAGCATAGTCTAAGTCATTCAATTAACTCTATGCGTCGGACAACAAAAGAGCATTCGCGCTGACCGAGAAAACATCGGGAATCGAAATTTTTTTGGCACTTGTGTGGCAATCTCAATGTTCCTGACTTTTATTTCTAGATAAAAAAAAAGTTGTTAGTGTTAGTCTTCAACGCCGGTTATCAACGTCCTTACGCGTTGACACATTATATGTGTGCAGAAAGTTCCCACCAAAAACCAATGTGTCAACCGGAGTGTACTGGTAAATGTTTAGTCCTTCCTATTCAATCTTGCATCTCAAAGTACGCACGACAGCATGTATCCACCCAGCTGGAATTATCATAGTATTCCCTTGCGTGAGTACGACCTTGAATACTTCATCTACAAGATCTCCTAGCCAAGACTGGTATTGAAGCTCGCTTCCAGACCAACGTTCATATGCAGCCAAGTTGGCAGTGGTGGGCTTTATGAAGTAAAATACCTACCTTTGAACGTGAGTGGTAGCTACAACGACTATGGAAGCCAGTTCCTACCTTTGACCCCTGAAGTATATGGTAGTAAACTGAAGAACCTGCAAAATCGATGTGCCAATCCTGTCTTATATTAAACAACCATAAGAGTGAGTCGTCAAAAATCACGCACCGTCCAGGCTCTTGCGACGCCCATGAGGCAATAAAGCTGAACCTTTGGATACATATGGCTGCCTTTCCTTGTGCTCGGCCAAAAGTTCTCCACCCAATCCAAATCCCTCACAAATTTTGGTGGTAAGACCAAGTCAGATATTTTAGTGCCCGAAACCTCCAGCGAAATCACGTTGAAAATCTTCTCTCGCTTTGAAGGCTCCATTTCAAAGTAATCCGCCCATTTGCCCAAGGTCCATCCCTGAGCCGTGGTCTGAGACGCAACATCTTTTTTTTTAGCGAATCAATCATCACAGTTATTGAAAGGGAATAGTTCATGTACATACCTATAACTTCTAGCGGTGTACTCTCTCCAATAAGGTCCGCAACATCGTCAACGGTGAAATCCTTGGGTGGCATCTTCATCCCCAAACCTTCTGGCCGTTCTATGATGATAGGCGCAAGCATGGCTTCGTCATCATCCTCCAACCACTCCAAATTGATCTCACTCCCTTCCATACGTTTAAAAGGAGCGTCTCGTATTTCCTTTCCCTCAAGCAGTCGCATCCAACGATTAGGATCAGAACCCAGCCCCGAATTAAGATTCGCGTAATCGCGTTGCGTTTTCTTTCGAGATGACTTTCGAGCAGGAGTCTTGACAGTGATCTGCCTCGTCTGGTCTGCGCCGATACAAGGCTGACAATACCTAGCGGTGAAACAGTGCTTAGTGGGATTGGCAGAGTCACCTCATGAGCATAGTCACCATTTAGCAATATTATTTACATCTTCACCATTTCCTGCACACCTCCAATGATACCAAGTCTTGCAACTGTCGCATTCAATCCAGCTTTCCTTGCGATAATTGTGCTCTCTGGATTCCGGAGTGCAAGCTGGACAATCGAGCGACTCATCGTTTACGCTGGGGTGTCCAGAGGTTACATCCGGAGTATTAGACCTTGTTGACAACGGAGAGTTTTCTGGAGACTTTGGTTTGGAACCAGCGGCAGCAGCAGAAGTGCGAGTTGAGCGTCGCTGCCCTCGTGCCATAACTAGCGTGCAGCAGAGAGTTCACTTTTATTTACATAATCTAGTATTTATTTATTCATAATTTCACAACGAGTCACGCTTCCTTTTCACTCAAGGCAGCAACACCTGGCAAAATCTGAAAAGGATGCAATATCAGCGACCCACTAGCTTTGAAAAAACACTTGATTCATACTTTGCCCTCGAGGAGTTCAAGACTCGCTCCTCCACCAGTGCTCACATGACTGAGCTTGTCTTCGTCTCCGTGCTGAGCTACCACGGTCGCGGTGTCGCCACCCCCAACGATGACAACTGAGCCGTTCTTGACTGCTTGAACTGCGGCTTCAAGGAGCGACGTAGAACCTTCTGCAAATGCCGGGAACTCAAAAACACCTGGAGGCCTTGAAGAGTAGGGTTATTCAAACGTTAAGGAAACGGCAGTATCACAAACCCGTTCCAGAGAATCGTCTTGGCTTTCAAAACCGTCGATCGGAATAGTTCGCGGCTTTTAGGTCCAGCGTCAAGGCCCATCCAATCATCTGGAATGCCTTCCGCATCTGTTGCAATACCGGTCTAATGTTGCTTAGCACCAAGTCTAAAATATATCTGCATGTCCTCTCACCTTTGCATCCTTAGCGAATTTATCCGCCGTAACATAATCCACCGGGAAGACTAACTCGACATTATTCCTTTGAGCCTTTTCGACCAGAACGGACACCTTCTCTGAACCAGGTTCGTCAAACAGAGATTTTCCGATCTATGAGAGCGCGAATCCTTTAATATCTCTTCCTTGTCAGTCAGCTGCGAACTTACTGATACATTCTCCAGTGTCTTCTTGAAAGTAAACGCCATCCCCCCGCAAATAATAAGCGAGTTAACCTAAAGATCTTACTTGAAACGAAACGAAGAGCAAGCCCAACAAAAAAATGACCTTATCCAACATGTTGTCAATCAACTGGATCTTATCGGAAACCTTTGCGCCCCCAAGAATAGCGAGGAATGGGCGTTCCGGATTTTCGAGTGCTTTGGCAAAATATTCCAGTTCCTTCTTCACTAAAAAACCAGCTGCTCTCTGAGTTAACCCGACTCCGACCATGCTAGAGTGTGCACGGTGAGCGGTCCCAAACGCATCGTTGATGTAAACATCGCCAAGTTTCGTGAGATCCTCACGAAAATTGGCTACCGCGTCTGGATTGGCCTTCGTCTTTGACCCATCCTTGTTCTTGACAGAGCCCTCTTCTTCGATGTGGAAACGCAAGTTTTCCAGCAAAACTACCGATCCAGCAGGAGCGTCATCGATCGACTTGTTCACATCTGGACCAACACAATCGGAGAGGAAAATGACGGATTTTTTTAGCAGCTGCTCAAGCTCTGCAGCGACAGGCTTTAAGGAATATTTTTCAATGACCTTGCCATCGGGCCTCCCCAGATGGGACATGAGGATGGTGGCCTTGGCGCCTGGGAGAGGGCACTGAGAACAAAGCTGGTGATTGAGAACGGTATGGACTAACCATGATCCAAAGAATATTGAATGGTTGGCAAGGCAGCAACGATGCGCTAGAGGGGCACCTAATTTATTGTTGACTGATGGTGAGGAGACAGAGCAAGGCATACGGCATTGTTTGTTATCTTGCCATCTTGAAGAGGAACATTGAAATCAACACGGATAAGGACGCGCTTGCCCTTGAGGTCGAGGTCGGTTATAGAGAGCTTGTTTGACAGGGACATGGTGGTAGGAAAGGAACGGAGATGCGAAAGCTGGTCGCGATTTCCGAGTTCTTATAACTTATCTATCTATCTTATCACTCCGTTCCGCTATGGGGGTTAGGGTTTGCCTGGTTTGCCGAATACTGCCATCATGTCCGACAATAATACCCTAGGTCTCGATTTCACTCAGCCAGAGTCACCAGATTCAACCGACAACGACCCAGAGACAAAAACAGAGACAACCCCTTCAAAAGACAAGAAAAAGCCTTATGTTAATCCCGAGCGTGTCAAGACTGGTGGCAGCCAACGAGTATGCTTTCGTGCCGCCACGTTATAACTAGTCTCTCAAATCATCTCAAGGACAAGCTCAGTGAAGAAGCCCTTGCAGAACGCATGGCACGTATACGAGAACAGAATGAAAAAATAAAACAGAGAAGAATGGTGATTTACCTACCTCTCCCATGAGTTCCCTCCCTTATTTCCTACTGCTCAGGATGTGAAAGCCGACGAAGATGCCTTCCGGAAAACTCAGGAATTAGAGAAAGTAAAAACGGCTCACAATCGCAAGGTCCAAGAAGACGTGGATCGCGCTCGTGAACAAAACGCGAAGCGCAAGATGGATAAAGTGCAGAGTCGCGAGTGGGACTCTGGCAAGCCAACGATTGCCCAGAAAGGCAAAAAGGCTCAAACTGAAGGGACTCCGGCAAGTACAGCTCAAGATGCGCTTCCGACTGGAGAAAACGCCAGTGTAGGTGTGAGTGGATGGACCCGAGGTGGTTCTCCTCAGGGTTCTAGAGGAAGGGGCAGAGGTAGAGGTGGGCTAAACGCACCGCGGCGAGATCTTGGAAAAGCTCATGTCCACTCCATCGACAAGCCTTCCACCTCAAACTTTGAGACTGTTACCAGCAGCGCTACGTGATCATTTTTAGGAATGTCTTTTGACTCAAGTATACCACCTTGTATTCTCTATCTACTTAAATGCGGTGCTATTTCATCGTTCAACACTCCCCAGAACTATTCGTGTCTTCTGCCGATTAGCTTGACCGTTCATCTTGTGGAGGTACACTTGGCAGAAAAAAATGGACTTCACGAGCAGGCGACAGGTCCCCAAAGTTCGTTTGGCAGCATGAGCGATGAGTCGTGAATGTCGAAAGGCCAGATATTATTGGAAGGGAATGGATGGGACTGCAATAATGGTCGAATTTTGGTGTCTAGCGTAGTCCATTGAGACGGGATGTTGCTCGCTTTGTGGGCTGAGTCAGATCGCCCGCTTTTGAAAAATTTGGTGGCCTCCGGCCTCCTTTTTTAATAGTGCAGTTGTTGGACCCCTCAAAGCAGGAAAATGAGGGCTTTCCGTGCGGAATGATAATCTCCGAGTACAAGTGATCCCGCGGGTATGTCAAGAGGACGAGATAGAGTGGGATCCACACAGTTAAGCAGCACCTAGACAGCTCTGAGATATTGACGACGTCGGGCAATCAGCATTTGAAGGGCGGTCCGGCGGTCTGGTGTCAGGTTAGACTCGCAAACAGATGGAATGTTGGACGCGGACGGTGTGACAGCCTCCAGGTGTTGGCCGTCCATCTTCGCCAAGTGCTTCCAAAATCTAGCTACTTTCTTGCTCTTACGAAGTTCCTTACGAGTGTCCAGCGTCATTCGAAGAGCAGAAGCGTATTGCCGTGGAGAGTTATAAACCAGGGGGGAAGGAATCACTTTCGTCCAAATGTTGCCTGGGATGACGGCAGCCTCCTGAATGGCATCTATTATCTGCATTTCTAATTTCAGGCCATCTTGAAATGACTCTTCAGTGAGCGTAGTTAGGCCGAGCCGGGTCATAATGGCAAATACGTTGTCGAAAGTGGCTTGTAGCTGCTCGAGATTCTTGTTGTCCGCCGCTGCATGGTTTCTGCGAAAGATTAGGAGGTCTTCGCGAGTGGCCTTGAGGCAGCTTCCAGTTTAGCATATTCCAACGCCCAGCCAGTGTTGGCGTCCCTAAGACGACGATTTTGAATGTCAAGATCGAGAAGACGCAAATTTAGAGCTGTTTTGGTTGAATTCGCCGCTGCCACTGTGGTTGTCAACGATGAACCGGGGTCGTCTGGAGAAATACAAGGGTCCCTCGAGAAGCTATAGGTTTCTCCCTGAGCAAGAAATGTTTCTGACTTTGTCCTACGATGACGGAAAGTCAAAGACTTGAGAAAGCGCATGGTGGTGGGAGATTGGGATTAAGCAAGGATTAAGGTTGACACTTTTTATTATATAATAAATTTCTTCCCTCCATCCAGTATGGGTCGGGGCGTTCTTCTCACCTCAAATCTTCCTCAGCTTCAAAATTTAATCAAAAGAGACCCTATCTCCTACAAGGAAGAGTTCCTTCAGCAATGGAATCATTACGATAGCATCCGCCAGATATTCAAAATTAATCCCGATGAGCAGGCACAACATTTCAAAGAACTCGTCGCTTTTATCTCCCAGGTGCGCTGAAGAGCAACGCTTTGCAGACACACACTCAATTTCTTCAGGTTGCGGCATGTTATCCGAAAGAAACAGCAGATTTTCCCTCACACATCTCTATTCTGCTGTTGGAAAACTACGGCGTCCTCTCCTCTGATACTCGTAAGGCTCTTGTCCAAAACCTGGTCATGCTTCGAAATAAAGATGTAATCACCTCAATTGAGTGAGTCTTCCCTTTCACTAACACACCGGTTTCCTCTCATCGCTCTTCTAGGCTCTTGAAAACTTTGTTTCCTCTTCTCCCACAAACCACCTCCTCAACATTACGATCCTTCATACGCAAAACTATCCTCTCAGATATAAGGGTAGCAAATATTCGCTCCCGAAACCATAATTTGAATCGGGCCGTACAGGCCATGTTATTTAGCATGGTCGAGCGAGGTATGGGAGGGGAGGTTGTTGGAGACAAGGGAAAGCTCCGTGTTTCCAATGAACCCACTTCCGACCGGGGCGCACATAACGGAGAGGAGGCAATGTGGGCCGTAATCCTCACGAAAGAACTTTGGAAAAAAGATGTATGGTTCGTGCCTCCCTCTTTTATATCTTATCTTTTTCACTCTATTTAAATAGGAAAGATGCCAAGTCAGTCTCGATTATTTCACAGGGATGCTTTCATCCCGTCATCAAGGTGCAAAGTGCATCTATATATTTTTTTCTCGGGGATGATGAGGAGAGTGAAGATTCTGATCAAGAAGACGTTAGTTCATCCCAGCTGCATGCCAAATATTTACCAACCATAATACAGGATGTTGATGTTCGCGCCATGCACCATCGTCGAGAAATAAACAAAAAGACCAGGAGCGGCGATAAGAAACTTCGAAAGCAGCTGAAAACTGCTAAAAAGGTTAGAAGGCCTCATTTATCCCTCAACCACAACGCTAATTTTGCCGCCAAAGAAAAAGTATGATAAACCTGCGATGACAGCAAACTTTTCTGCCATCCAACTGCTGCACGATCCTCAAAGCTTTGCCGAGAAATTATACAACATCCTCAATAGATTTGATAAGCGATTTTCACTGGATCACAAAATTCTTATTATGCAACTCCTTTCACGCGTTATGGGAGCCCATAAATTGTGTGTTTTGGGCTTCTATACTTACATTGTCAAATTCCTCGCACACAGGCAACTTCGGGTCCCTTCGATACTTGTTGCCCTCGCCCAATCAGTACATGACCTAACCCCACCAGACGCTATTACACCTATTATCCGTAAACTTGCTCAAGACTTTGTCCATCCAGGTGTGGCGAACGGAGTAATCACCGCTGGGCTTAATGCAATCCGAGAAGTTTGTCGAAGACAACCCTGGTCTATGGAAGAGGACCTGTTAGGGGATTTGATCGAGTACAGAAAAAGCCGAGACAAAGCGGTAGTTGCTGGTGCACGAGGGTTGCTGAAACTATACCGTGAAGTCAATCCTAGCATGTTGAAAAGGCGAGAGAGAGTAGGTTTTTTGAATGCAAACGATGATGTTCTCGCTAACTGACAATCAGGGCAAAGACGCCAGTATGGGCTTGGCATCCGGACACCAACCTCTGCCATATGGACACACGTCTGAAGCAGCGGTCGATATCGAGGGTCTCTCGGTTTGTTAGCTTTCCAATATTGCACTCGCAACGTCACTAACACTCGAGCAGCTCCTGGAGGATCATCTTAAGAAACTGCGAGAAGAGGAGGGCCTTACCACAGAAGACGATCCTGCGGCTTGGCAGAAATGGGAAATCGAATCGGACTCTTCGTCAGATGACGCCTCGGACGGATGGATAAATGTTGATGATGATGATGGCGATGACAATTTCGCCATTAGTGACAGTGACGACGAACTCGAGAAGTCTGATGAACCCCCACCTGCGGTTGTTCCCAGGACGTCTACCTTGGCAACTTCTAAGGGATGACTACAACCATTTTGTGTTCTCTCATCAGGCTAACTCACGACTATTCCTCTAGATCCTAACTCCTGCAGACTTTGCCCTTCTCAACGACTTACGCATACAAGCTGCGAAAACAGCAGTCGGGAGTGGGGGCGGATCCCAAGCGAAACGCAAGCTTGCGGCTTTGGAAGCTGGGCACAGTATTCTGCCCCCAGATCGCCAACTCCAGGATACGTTCGTTTCCGAAAACGATATCCTCGGTCCACGGAAAAAGGCCAAGGCCGATTACGCAGAGAGGATGGCATCCATACAAAAAGGACGGGAGGGACGAGATAAATTTGGATCTCACAAAGGAAAACAAAACAAATCCGTGCCTAGCAGCTCAACCAATCGAGAAAAGGCGAGGAACAAGCCCATTATGATGGTGTTGAGCAGTGGATTCGTTCGTAGTAAGAAAAAGGCATCTTTACGAGAAAAGCAACAGAAACTACGAGCCCATATTGATCGGTCCAAAAAGTCGCGTCATTGAATACACTTCTCATGCTCCTCTCGAAATTTGTCGTGCCATGTTATACCCAGATGCAAAATGGGATAAACGGGCGTCGACCACAAAGCCCTGCGAAGTCTAAGCAACAACCTTTTGACAAGTGAATGACAAACCTTCTTGTCGTAGTCTATACAAAATACCATTCTTGCAGTAATGGCACAACAGTGGGCAAAAATGCATTACCTTTCAATTCTTCGCTCAGTCTCGCAAGCTCAACAACTCGGTTTATTATAAATTCCCCTTTCTCAAGTTTTTGCTCAGGCAATTCCAGGCTGTTCTCCAGAAGTACTTCAAGAGTAACAAGTTTCATGTTAGCATTCGTCATACCTAGTATGAATATCATTCCGTTGAAAACATCACAAATGCATGAACCGAATTAGTTCACCTGGGTCGCTCACAATTACAGGCGAAACCTCCAAGACTTTGTGAGCCTTGTAACCCGTTTCTTCTTCGAGTTCACGGAAAGCAGCTTCCTCGGGCGTTTCTCCTTCATCTATAAGACCTTGTAGTTTGTGAGCGTGATGGATCGACAATGATGATGATCGGGGCCTACCAGCTGGTAGCTCTGATAACAATCCAATGAGAACGCTTCATATGAAAAAACAAAATCTGCTGCACCAATGATGAATTTATCGATCGGAGGCCGATACTGCTCAATTATAACGATGGATAAGGGGAAAGCATTTGCCTTGGACCGCAGGAGGGCGAGTATTGCCACCGCTAGAGTGTCTCGAATTAGAACTGTTCAATGTGATCTGTGGCAAGCTGACCATCGATTCCAGTGGATCTGCGTGTTTTCCTCTCGGCGCATTCCCATAGCCTCTTTTCAAAGTAGATAAGCAAATGGACATTCAACACTGTTTCAAAATGACCTCCTGTCCTTCTACGTCAATATAATTAATCTTCTTGAGGGTTATCCACCTGGAGAACGACGTGGTCGTCTCACAACGAAACGAGACTTGGCAGAAAAACCAACCTCGCTTCTGCAGGAGACATCTCCACGGTGGAAGTCACCCTTGGGATAGACAGCGCCATAATTCTGAATTGATTCTGAGAATAGTTCCCTGGTAGGTATTCGGAGAGATTGATATGTAAATAAGACACGCGCCCTGAATTCAGGTGCCCCTCGGCCATTCTTTATGTAACTCTCACTTACTACTCATTCCAGGCATTATGGGAGACCATTTACCCTCGAGTAGCAGTCCTTCAAACGCCTTTGATTCATGTGTCTAAAATGACTTTTCAGGCTCTTCAAAAAAGCGAATCCTAAGTGATACTGAACTGGGAGGGGGTATTCGCAAGGTTGCCAAAGGTATGCTTTTATTTTGCTTTCGTTCTGTAAAGAGGATCTTATCGATTTGTCGAGTCCATCCATTCTTCACCAAATCGAAAACCACCAGCGGAGTGGGAACGGGAGACTTTCAGTGGTTATCCTCCCTCGGTTCCAATGGCTCTTGTCTTCATGGCGTCAATCTCAACCCGAAGAGCTCGAGCAAAGTCGCCATCTTTGATTTGGATGGCACGCTGATAAAGTCAGAATTCCACAACAAGCTATTGCATGGAAAGCCTGCCTGGGAATGGTGGAAGCTGAACGTTCCATCGAAGCTAGCAGAGCTCCATACATCCGGGTATGGCGATTCTCCATCTACATTTCATCACCTCACCTTCACGTTTGACCGTCTAGTTATGCTTTGGTCATCGTCACGAATCAAGCTATCAAACCTGCTGCTATGAATATCTGGAGGCAAAAGATTCCTCAATTAGCAGCTGTGGTGGGCATTCTTTTTGTTGTCATGTTTATGATGGCTAAGCTTTTCGCTTTTAGCTAAATCTCCCTTTTCGAATATTTGTTGCCGTGGCGAAGGACGAATATCGCAAACCTATGCCTGGGATGTGGAACGAGTTGGACCGTATCTTCAATGAACAGGGCACAAAAATTGGTTATTGACATTCCTCAGGCTCGCACCCACGACGCTAATTAATTTCAAACAACCAGACAAAGGATGTTCTTTCTTTGTGGGTGATGCGGCAGGACGTCATTATAATGGGAAGCGATCAGATTTCTCGAGTTCAGACCGCAAATGGGCGCACAACGTTGGTCTCAATTTTTTTACTCCCGAAGTAGGTCTCATCACAAGGCAATAAATATAAGACTCAACCATTTCTTCCAGGAATATTTTCTGGGGCAACCGACATATACAAACTTTGAGCTGCCAGGCTTTCATGTTTCATCAATTCCTGAGTGTGCGTTTGCCCGATATTTTTAGACCTTCATGTCATGGATGATTACTTACTAGTGCCCCTTATAACGCCAACATCGTCACCTCTCCTCCCAACTCCACTCAAACAAGAGATCGTTTTGTTTGTTGGATACCCTTGTCTTGGAAAGACTTCTTTTTTTCGTAGACATTTTCTATTACAAGGGTATGAACACATCAATCAAGATAACTTGAAAACACGCGACAGATGCATTAAAGCTCTGCAATCTGCTTTAGGGGGGGCAAGAAGCTGTGTTATAGGTTTGACGCTCATCTCTATCTCTGTGGTGGCGCCTGACGCCAAAAGAAAAAAGATAACACAAACCGCGATGTCTCAACTCGCGCGCACTATATCAATGTCGCAAACGCTCACAAGGTCCCCATCAGGTATCCTATTTTCCTGGGCGACAGAAAATAAACTAACCAGAGAGCAAGATGCATCTTGTTTGTGGGATCGTGTGAACTAGCTTGGCATAACAATTTATATCGTGCATACAACTTACCTCCAGCAGTCGCTGCGAGGGAGGTACAGTCTTCTTCCTCACTGTATAATCATGGAGCTGATTCAAGAAGCCTAAAAGGCAGTTATTGCCTTACATGGCATTTACCAGTTTTCGAGACAACTACGAGGAGCCCCAGAGCGACGAAGGGTTCGCCGAAATCAAGAAAGTCAATTGGGTTTTTGAAGGTTCAGAAGAAGAGAAACGTTACTGGTCTATGTGGCTTCAGATAGACGGTAAATGACTTGGTTTCTGGGTCATTTGTTTTAAACGGCATTATGTTACATTGGGTAGACCCTCGGAACACGATCGGAGTCTTACGGCAGCTTCTTCAGGTGTAAGATCACGCTGAGCTTCTGCCATTAGCTCAAAACTAATATTATGAATGAGCCTCATTTTGTGGAGGTTTTCACAAAACGTACCCAACTAAGAACTTCCTCACGGTTGCGCTTCGCAAAAGAGGTGGATCAAAATGAAGGTGGATATGGGCGACATCCTGATCATCGACTATTGTCGAGTTTTGGGCAGGTATAGGTTGTTGGTGGACTCCCATGGAGTAAGGAAAAGAGCAAGAAAAGAGATTATCGAAACACCTAGAAACTCTGGCAATTATGTCTGCAAGTGCAGCCTTTTCAGCAACATCAAGATCACTAAGGCAAGGAATGTGTCTCCGATATGGTAGGACTAAGCAGAACGTCAGGTAGTGGAAGGGAAGAGTGAAGAGAGTCCTACCGATAAGTTCAAATGGCCAAGTAGCCCACCAGGGAACCACCGCAACCCAGCTTTGATTGAGGACAACAACCCGAGTCTGCAATTTGAGCTCGACGTGGGCATACTCGCAGAGTAAACATGGTCGCCCTTGACGAACCACATCGGTGAGTAACCAAAGGGAGGATGGCAAGAGTAACAAACACCTCTCGGTCCTACTGGGGCGACAGACGGGGAGCCTGCATCAGACGGAGCGACTGTATGAGACAGAGAATATTTTATCAAAGACTCCAATTCAACGGCGGCGATTGTTGGTACTACAGATAGCGACCAGATCTGGGCATGGGGATGAGGATTTGAGCAACCCATCATAGCGCCTTTGTTCTATGAAAATGGTTGGCTATCAATCAAAGAGAATGAGTATTCAAACCTCAAATATCTGAACATATTTGATTCCCTGCTCTGCCCCTCTCATTTGGTAAATGCGAGTCCACTCGTCGATGACAGATTCAATGTCGTGTAATGGCAAGTCCGAAAGGGTGAGATCATGACGTGGATGGAAGACGACGACATCACATGCGCCATGGATGGGTTGACAAGTGAGAAAGGGGTGAGGTGGTGGTGGTGGAGACGGAAGAGGAGGAGGTAAAACGGCGGCAAAGTCATTTTCAAAAGTAAAGGTATGATTGTAAGAAGGATTCTGTTCACCATTCGAACGACGATTACCAGGACAAAGATAACAATCTGGGTCATATTTAGGAAGATTGATTGACTGCAAAGGCTCGGTTTGACCCAGCCAAGGTCGTTTTATACGATGAGGAGAAACAAGAATGTATTCATTCGTCAATGGGTTCACTGTTCAACGTTAACGTTCAACAATTAGAAAGCTTCAAAAAGATTGAATAAACGGCGCACACACATCGACGGTGAGGATGATCCATTTTTATTTATTTATTTTACATCCTACTTTCATGCAAAAACGTCGTCGCCTTCGTTCTCCATCTCCTACGTATAATCTCGACAACGATGATGATTCTTACGAGCCATACATTCCAGTCGCACAGCGACGACAAGAAAAGCTTGCAAAGCTTTCAACCTTGGGCGTCAATGCCAACAAGAATCGAGCCAAGGAACACCCAGAAGAGCTCGATGAACAGGAAGATGCTCTTGAAGAAGAGGAAATGCGCAGAGAAATAGTGAGGAAGGAGAGAACTCTGCTAATGGAGGCCCAAGAAGTCCATCTCAAGAAAGCAGCTGAAGGTGAGTCCCCTGTTAAATTTCATCATGACCCTCAATTCATCCATCTTTCAGACTCCAAGAAATCTGCGGGAGAAAAGGCTGAGGAAGCTGACGCTGAAATTTTAGAAGCCATTAAGAGCAGACGGAAGCTAGCCTCAGACATGGAGTTGGCCAGAGGAATAACCTATACCGAGTCGCTCAAGACAAGGCATGACATGTCCATCTCTCCGTCTTGGGCCTAAGCTTACGCCCGTGTACCCCCAACAGCTGGAGGCCCCCAAAGTACATTCGAGAGCGCTCTGAGGCCCAGCATCACGCATTGCGAGGAAAATTTCACATCTTGGTTGAGGGTGACGACATTCCTCCTCCAATCGAACATTTTGTTGTGCGTTTTGGTTTCATCATGTTTCCAACAGATAGATTGACCACAATTAGGACATGAAAATACCAGAAGCCATACTTGAATACTTGAAATCTAAACGCATTGTTACTCCGACTCCCATTCAGCTCCAAGGAATCCCAACAGCGTAAGTTCTCTTGCAGTCGGTCTTCGTCCATTAACAGAATTTTAGTTTTTCAGGCCGCGACATTATTGGCATAGCTTTCACGGGTTCAGGAAAGACGTTGGCATTCTGTCTGCCACTCATCATGCTTGCCCTGGAGGAAGAATCCAAGCTCCCCTTTGTTCGCGGCGAAGGGCCGGTTGGCATTATCTTATGTCCATCCCGCGAACTGGCCAATCAAACGTACGAAAACGTGGTCACCTGGTGTGCAGCTCTAGCCAAGGATGGGAAATATCCTCCTCTCAATTCCCTACTTTGTATGGGTGGGATTTCAATGAGTGATCAAAGCCACGTCATGAGCAAAGGGTTGCACATCGTTGTTGCCACGCCTGGGCGTCTCATCGATATGCTTGAAAAAAAGAAATTTACGCTTGATTCGTGTAAATACCTCTGCATGGATGAGGCAGATCGTATGATTGATTTGGGCTTTGAAGAGGATGTTCGGAACATCATGAGTTTTTTCAAGGTCAGTCCAAGATTACTCAGATTTACTGCTTGTTTTCAAATAATTTTCATGCAGCATCAGAGGCAGACGCTGTTGTTCTCCGCAACGATGCCTAGAAAAATTCAGGAGTTCGCTCGAGAATCTCTTATCAAGCCCGTGCTGGTCAACGTTGGGCGTGCTGGCGCTGCGAATCTGGACGTTTTGCAAGTTGTTGAATACGTCAAGCAGGAAGCAAAGATGGTCTACCTTCTCGAATGTTTACAGAAAACCCCACCTCCTGTGATCATCTTTAGCGAAAACAAGAACGAGGTAGATGGTGAGCTTAATATGTAATGACGTATGTGGTGATCTTAACAATAATCCAATCTCAGACATACAAGAATATCTGCTTCTTAAAGGTGTTGAAGCGGTCGCAATTCATGGTTCAAAGAGTGATTTATCTTTCACATATTTGTTTTTCTCCTACTCACTCTTTGATAGCACAGGAAGAAAGGCAATATGCGATAAAGTCCTTCAAATCTGGTGCCAAAGACGTGATGGTTGCTTCAGGAGTTGCCTCAAAAGGCCTAGACTTCAGCGAGATTCAACACGTCATAATATTTTCTATGCCTAAAGAAATCGAAGATTATGTCCATCAAATCGGTCGTACTGGCCGAAGTGGCAAAACAGGGATCGCAACAACCTTTGTTAATATGAACACGCCTGAACAAACCCTACTCGACTTGAAATATCTATTAATGGAAGCGGGCCAAAAGTCAGTGTGTTCTGCTGATGAGCTTGCTTCGTTAGCTGATATCGAGTTGATAGAGTGCCTCCCTTCCTTTCAAGTATCGACGATCCTCGTGCGGCGCAGGGCGTTTCTTCAAAAGGCTGCCCTGTTTGCGGAGGTAGGCATCATCGTGGACTCTGTATATGCCTTTATTGACACTCTTTTCTAGGTCTTGGACATGGAATATCTAATTGCCCCAAGCTCGAGGATGCTCAGCGGAGACAAATGGCTTCGCACCGAGCAACCGATGATGGTGGGGGTTACTGATATTAAGTGAAGAGAATGTGATGAGATTGACTAAATGACATGGGGCCGACCTGGTCAGCAACCAGAGAAGTTTATCTGATTATTTTACGGTTTCGAAGAGGTCCTTCTGAGTCTCATAGCTGCACCAGGTGACAAATGTCACGAAAGACTTGATGGCAAGACGGGCAGGTCGTTTCTTCTTTTCAACTGTCAACCGAGCATACACAACGAGCCTGTTTATTAAAGATTTAATCATAAACATTTAACGATCCAACTTGCTGCGATACTGACGAAGAACGTGAAGATCCATTCTAATGTCATAAGCGAGCAGGAGGTTTACCGTTGCTACTAGGCACAGCAGGGGAAACGTTCTTTGTGATGCTACCGGTGAGCCGAGGAAGACGAATCTTTAGCGATGGGGTGGCTGGAAGGGAAATGGAAGGTATAAGGCGACTCGAATTTGACGCGGTCGGTGTTGTATTCGGTGGCTGCATAGGACCTTGCTGAGAAGAAGTCCGGATGGTGGTCTTTTTCCCGGGCTTGACCTTCTTATCCTTTCTTTTCTCGGAAGCTTTCCGGTCGTCTGCTTCAACACCGTTTGTCTTTCCAACCTCAGGCAGTTCGTCTTCCCTGACCTTCCTTTTCCTCCCTCGTTTTTCTTTGACATCTATGGGATGATCATCGGTTTCCTTCTGTGTAAGTCGACGAGGGGCGCAAGGGCGCCTTGGAGTCATCTACTAGACGTTATTGAAGGGACATGCACACAATAGCAGTTAATACCTACCTTGGGCAAAGCAGAAGATGACGCCAAGCTTTCAGACACATTGGCCAAGGCAAAAGCGTTGTCAATCTCTTCGAGCTATACATGTGACGGGTGAACCAAACTAATTCATAAGTTTTCTGGTACATACTTTGACATTGACAGTTCTGAGTTTCGATGGATTGGGAAGGAGAATAGGTGGGGTGATCAAGGCATTAGGAACTTGACTATCTTTGTTGGGCTCTTCTATTCGCCTCAGTGAACTCTACACGGTCATTAAGAAAAAGTGTGAATCAAAAGATTTCGAGAACCATACCCTAGCCGAAAGGCTATTCGAGTCGTGATTTTTGCTTTGCGATCGTAACTCACGGGTGCTTGCCTCGGGTTGTGCTTGCTGAGTGCTCCGTTTCCGCTTTGCAGTAGATGCTAAGGGGCCGGCTGACACATTCATAATTTCACTTGATGTACTCTGAGGAGAGCGTGTCATTCCATTGACACCACCGTGTTTCGTTGGCGAACGCTAGAACCCGACATTAACAAAGGTAATAGAAGGATTCAGAAGTGAGCGTGCTCACCTTGGCGGCCGGTTTTGAACGACCTGGCTTTGGTATAGGCAAAACTTGCACCTGTGAATCTGTCTGAACACTGCGGTCGACTAACTTCTTAACGCCTTTCGAAGTCACAACATCTGGTAAAGATTGTGCTCCTCCGGACTTGGCGGATGACAATCTGCACAATAACTATACATGGCCGGTCAGGTAGCCTAAAACAGGCGTGAAAAAGGACGCTGCTCACTTGTGCAACCTTCAAATCGTTGATACCATCGACTGCTGGTCCTGTATCAGAGACTTGGTCATCCAATTCATCTAAGGAACTGAGTGATGTGAGGGGTGAGGACATTCCGGATACTAAATCTACATCCCTATCGCGTGACTGGTCAACAGCGCAAACAGAAGGTAAGCTGAGAATCTCACTTATTCGTTTGTTCGCCGAATTTGTTGAGTTTATTCCAAAAGTCGAGAACGATGACCCTTTCAGGGACTCTATATCGACGACCATTTATCAAAACTTCGTCCGCGATGACTCTTGGATTCTGCGTGGGAGGATAGATCTCAGGATGTATCACGTCGATATTGCCATTGTTGTATTGTCGTGGCTTTGTAACCTCGATGGGGGGCGCATTTTGCTTTGGGATGCGACGTTTCGGCGGCTTCAAAAGTAAGTTTCATTGCAAAGTCCTGGAAAAGATGCGCTCACTAGCACTCGTTCCACGTGGTTTGGACACATCCATTTCTTGTTGGTAAGGGGCATCGTTGGTAGTGGCGGATTGAGGCAATCCAAGTGCCAGTGAAGGTGGCAATAGTCACAAGAAACAATACTCTTCCATGTCTCCGGAGAGGCCGCCTTTGAGGTGGATCGGCGAGGACGTTTTGAGGCAGGAGCAGTCGCGGCAAGCCCAGTTGGAAGTGCGGACATTCCGCAATGGAAACATAGAACGGGGGCGCCATTTCGATCACGAAGGCGATGGGGCTCGCGGTCTTCCAACTGCCCATGACGGCTATCTCGCTCTCAGACAAAGGAAAATCAAAACAGGAAATGATATTCGTACTTGAGACGGGGAGGTTTAATCTCCGAACTGTCTTCGTAAGATCCTTTTGGACCCGTTGCCACTGTTGAACTCAATGAGGGATACAGCAAAGATGACAGATAACTCGATGCTGACCATCTTTGAAGAAAGATCTGAACTCATCAGGTAGCTGGAACTCAACAGGAATGGAAGTTTCCAGTTGGTATATGAGAGGGGACAATAACGACGGGGGTGGTTTCCGCGGTGGATGCTACAAAAAGTCAAAACCAGCTGCGCGCATTTAGTGTAGGAGTTGGACATACCTTTTGAATCGTGCAGTTCGGACAAAACCATCTGCTGTCACCCTCATCTACACCCTCCATGGGTGGGTCGAGGCACCATAGATGGAAAGCCCTGGGGCATCCGTCACAATACACCAGCGCACCATGGGAACGACATGACGAGCAGTGGTCCTCATTGTTCAGCTAACCAAAGATGGTCTCAGATAAAGCTTGGAGAAGTCGCCAAAGAGCGGAGACGACGCACCAAATTGGGAACAGGTTCGGGTGTATGTAGCGAGATATTTTTTGGCTCCTCTTTCACTCTTATTGGGGGAGTCTCTGCCTCCTTTCCCTTTCCCTTGTCTTTCCTTCTGGCTCTTCCACTGGAGCTCGCTTGTGGTGGATCTTGAAGATTGAGGGAGGAATTCGAGCGTGAGAGAGACAAATCATCATCGATAACCATGGTACAGGAATCCCAGTCCACCAAAATGGGCTGTAAGGTTGAAGTTGAGCCACTCTCCAGATTCATGGAAGAATCGACGGTTGACGATATGCCTATCTGATTACGGGCTGAAGCGCGTTGAGCGCGACCACTTGCAGCTCTGGAGTGGACGATTGTGACGTGGACAGTATTGCGATAGAGAGTAGGTGCAGATTACGGGGGAAATCGTCAGCAAGGTGAATAAGAAACTGGGAGGACAAGGACGTACCCTTTGTCGGCTCTGGAACGTTTCGACCTGGGGCCTTCGGGCTCATGGCCAATAAGAGTGCCATGCATTACTCCAGAATACGTAGATCCAGGATCCGAGGTTGGCAGATACGAACAGTCCGTAAATCGCTTTCTGGGATCGCGCTTTTGGGCCGATTGTTGCACAGAAAGAAGCGACGGAGGTCCTGGAAGAATTTCAGTTGCAAAACTAGCGTCGCCCTCAAGATGAGGCGGTTGCTGAACTGCGACTCCTGACAGCATGTATGCCGGCAGACTAGCCGTGGTGCTCATGACACCCCAAGACTAACAGCACTTCGAGAACGACAACGGAGACCAGCGAAGAGAGAACAAGCAGACAAATCAAGTCAGCGGCTCAGGTCCAACGTCGGCGACAGGCGTTTTCCCGCACAACGCATCTTTTTCATCATATTTTCTCGCAACTCGTATATGTATTCTATCAAAGTGCTTACTTATCGTTGTCGGGAACGTTGTCTACAGACAGTCTACAATACAGACATCATTGATATACGAGAAACTGCAACCGCTACAACGTTGAGCATAGTTTCGGCTTAGCCACGGCACAACAACGAGAAGCAACGATTCACCGATTTAAATGTGCCAGCGAGGGTTACAAAAGTGCTAGTGACCGCCCACGCCTGCGAAAAAGTCGTCGATCAAGCGAGAAATTGGCGCAAGAAGAAACCAAGCCAAGGTTTCAAGCGCAGCCAGCGAAATAGAACTCCTCGAGTCCCAATAGAGTTCCAATGGAGTTCCGATAAAGTTCCAATGGGTAGTAAAGATTTCCAAAGGATTCCTGTATATCATAGTCAGTTTTCCAACACTGCCAAACAAAATTCATGGCCAACACTACCATCACTGGTGCGCAAGCCATCCACGGCCAGAATCCTCAGGTATAAACAAGCCGAGCGCCGATTCCTTTCGAGGCTTATTTTCATAGTTTCTAGTCGAAACCGTCATTCGTAATCGAATCTACGAATCCACTTACTGGAAGGAGCACTGTTTTGCACTGACAGGTCAGTCTTGGAATATCTGTCACAATCAATAACGGCAATCTGGGTGTGATACCAGCCGAAAGTCTTATCGACAAGGCTCTTCAAGTCCGCTTTATAGGAGGCGTTTACGGCAATCAGAGACCTACCGAATTTCTCTGCCTTTTGCTCAAACTTTTGCAAATCCAGCCAGAGAAAGAGATATTGGTGGAGTATCTTCGAGCGGATGAATTCAAGTGGGCTCCCTTTTTTTTTTTGGCTCTCCGTAAAATGTTTCCATCCATCTTGCAGATACCTCCGAGCACTCGCTGCCCTATACATTCGAATGACCTTTAGGGCTGTCGAAGTATACGATTTGCTCGAACCCCAACTCAAGGATTACAGGAAATTACGACAACGAAATATGGGCGCGTATCTTTCAGGCAGTTATGTGAATGAGTCCAAATCTAAAAGTTCCTTTAGGAGGCTATGCCCTCACTTTCATGGATGAATTTGTGTATGCTCTGCTGGTTGAGGAGAGAGTGTGTGACATTATCCTCCCTCGTCTAATCAAAAGGCAAGTTTTGGAAGAAAACGGTGACATAGGCCCAAGGAAAAGTAGATTGCTCGACGCTATGGAGGGCAAGAGTGATCGAGGCAGTGATAAAAGCCGCAGTCAGAGTAGAAGTCGCAGCCGGAGTCGGAGCAAGAGTCGGAGTGCATCTCCTGCCAGCTCTGGATATCTGTCTGCAGGTCATAGTCGCACTCCCTCTGCAGGCTCTCGATACGTGTCTCGATCTCCTTCCGGGTCACGTTCGCCTTCACGCTCTCCAATTCATTCAGGTCGCCGTAGCGTTTCACTTGACCGAATGGACACAGATAAATAAATAAGCCACGACTACCTTTTCCTATTACTTTTGTACGTCAAAATCCTGCTTTTTCCAAGCACCGAGCTGTGATGCAAGCAGCTTCCACCTATCCTCCACGAATGGTAAATCTCCCAGTGACTTGAGAGTTGCAGGAGAGATAAATCCACGATTTCTATGTTTGCCATACCAGACTGGGTTACGAATTAATTGTGAATATGAATGTTCGGGGGTTCAAGCTTACTGATATCCTCGCGTCTGGTCGGGGCGGCAGAGACTCTGTCGGTTCGACCTTTAACACAGTCACGCAGGGCGAGGGGGTTATAGTATTTGCAGACCACTTTCCCCCCATGCTTCTCGATTGCCTCAATAGCATTTTTGCTGGCTCTTGATGCAACAATGTATATGGGGGACTTGAGATGCTGGCTACCCTGGAAAATGAGAGATAGTTGGAAGGTAACCAGAAAACTGTTGAAAAAAACATACATCACCGAGGATCTTCACTCCGTCGTGAACATCGTGGATGCACCCACTTAGTAGCAATTCCCGAGCAGTAATCGGCTTTTCGGGTGATGATGTCAAACGGCCCTGGTTTATCCAATGCTGGACTCGGTCGAGATTGACGGGTGCCCACGTTTTGTCATTTCTGGCAGAGTGTTAGGACACGACACACATGAAATACTAAGCATTTACTGGTTGACAAAACCTCGTTTAGGAAATAGCTTAGTGATTGGGGTTTGGCCTCCTTCAAATCCGGGCTTTATTCCAGCTCCAGAACGAGATTTCTGACCATTGGCACCCCGTCCTGCCGTGCCGCCATAACCAGATCCCTGTCCTCGGCCAACTCGTTTTTGCTAAGATATGATGAGTCAAGAGGACTTTCATCAAAATAAAACATACGTTTTGCTGGGAGCCTCGGGCTGGCTTGAGATTGGCTAGCGACACGCGAATTCTTGAAGACATACCTAGCTGAAGAATAAAGTTGAAACTTGATATATGTAAGTATTTGTGCCCGAACCTTTTGCCAAACAGAAACCTCTCTCAATGGCGCTGCAACCACTCATCGCAATTTTGGGAACGACTGGTGTTGGAAAGTCAAATTTGGGCGTCGAACTCGCCTTACGGTTGAGCCGCGGAGCCTCAAGTCATTGGAAAGGCGCGAAAATTATAAATGCTGATTCCATGCAGGTTTACACTGGGCTTGATATCATCACTAACAAGATTCCCGAGGCGGAGAAGCAAGGAGTAGAACATCTTCTCATGGACTTCAAGAAGCCTGGCGATCAGTATGTTGTTGGAGACTTTGTGCGTGATGCATTGAAACTGGTCGGTACAGATTGTGCACCAGGAGTGGAGGGTCACAACTTCCCATCAGATACACGAAATTCACGAAAGACACGAAATCCCTATTGTTGTTGGTGGAACTTCATATTGGATCCAGCATTTGATGTTTCCAAATCGTCTGACGGGCCCCAATGCACCACAATCCGCTGCGAACTCCTTGAATAGTTCTGACTGGTCGAAAGAGGTATCTGACTCGATTGCTGATTTGCCACCAAATCTTCTCCAACTCTTCGGAAGCCTACCAGAGGAACCTCCTTCGGCAAAGACCAATCCTGATGAAGCATTTGATCTTCATCGTCTTCTATGTCTCCTTGACCCTCCCGTGGGTAACCGTTGGCACTGGCGAGATACACGGAAAGTTTTACGGTCCCTCAATATCATCCTCGAGTCTCGTCGAAGAGCAAGCGATATTTTCTTCGATCAGTCTAGAGAGACTGGATCTTGCAAGCCAAGGTTCGTGGAAAGACTTGAGCTGGTAAAATGCTCTTAGCATTTACAGATTTCGTACCCTCTGCTTTTGGCTTTATGCGGAGCCCTCACGCCTGAGACCACGTCTTGATAGTCGTGTTGATGAGATGATTAGGGTATGAACCATGTTCTTTCGCTCAGGCGCGAAGCTGAGGTTCTGGATAGAAAGGACTTCTGGATGAAATACGCTCTTTGCGTACCATTGCGGAAGCTGGTCGCAAAAACAAACCTACCGATGAGATCCCATACACCGACTTTACACTGGGCATTTACCAGTCTATTGGTGAGCGATATCGCGTCCCACATTCGAAAGAGCTTTCCGATGCTGCTCAGGATATAAAGAATTTAATGCATACCTTACTTCTCCGACCGATCTTCTCTTCAAAGAAGCCGTCGATCTCATGAAACTCTCAACAAGGCAATATGCTAAAAAACAAATCTCTTGGATGCGCAACAAGTTGCACCCAGCTGTTTTGCAAGCAAATGCCGAAGAGCTTACTACACCTTTATATCTCTTGGATGCCACCGGTCTGTGAATACTCCTGTGTCATGACGTCTCATTGAAGCTTCCCAAGACCTGGGGGAAGATTGGGTTTTCAACGTCAGCGAACCTGCAGTGAAGATAATGGAAGGTAAAATTATCGCTTTATCCCATTATTACCGCTAATTTCAAAGTGTGTCAGATTTTCTCGATTACAGGCAACTTCCTGAACCAAGTTCTCTGTCAGAAAATGCAGCAAAAATGCTAAGAATTGACCAAAAGGACACCGAGTGAGTGCCTCGATGGACGATGACAATCTTGTGTACCAATCATATGTCAGCCCGACGTCTGTACTAAAAGCTCAACGCAAGATCATCTGCCCTGTTTGTACTCTTCAGGTTGACCGCCCAGTTATGATAGAGGAAGGCAATTTATGGATAGCCCATCAAAAGACCCGCATTCACAAAAAGCTGGCAGCCAAAGCAAACATTCCGTAAAACTTTGTAACTTCATATCACTTCAACAATTCCTGTGGACACCTCGTTCCACTTTTCAACAAGAACCTTGCTAAATCCACAGTGGAGACTTCACTGTGCACCCCCCATTGAGGTAACCACTGCTCCCAACTTCCCCACACGTCCTCTCCTTCGTTCTCAGCGACTCCGTGATGTGGATGTTTTCGTGGGTCAAGTATTCGACCAACGACGTGGATGGCACCGTTTAATCCAACAATATCAGGCAAGAGGACCCTCTGTCGGTTGACCAGAAATCGTGTGGTAACCCTGCCAGGCTGCCGCGGACCAGGAATTGGAAAAGTTATGTTAAACTTGTCGATTTGTGCATGAAGGGTGTGGTTGACGAGGAGTGTGTCCAATGCCAGTTTCAGGGAAGAAATCGGCTCGCGACGCGGTATGTTAATCTCAGCCAGCGCAGATTCTACTTGCTGCACCTGTTGAAGCAGAGGGTCACTGGCGCGAGAACTGGTATGGCTAGCTGAACTTTGCATCAAGAAATATGGACGTTCCTTCTCTACTGCTGTCATCGCCTGAGAAGAGCTATTGTAGAGATAGTCTGCATAATAAAAGAGTTCTAAAAAACTGTCGCAAGATTAATTGAGCTCACCCGAATGTAAAACCAAGTCGGGCACGATGTGAAACTGGAGCAACTTTTTGAGCGCGGGTGCACCAAAGGGAGAAAATAGGAATAAACGAAGTTTCTCTGGAAGAACTTCGAAGGCACGATTAGTTGGGGCGAAGACTGTCACGGTGGAGGCACCCTGAAAATGGCCTTTGTGTCCATCTAGGCCCCGAACGTAGTGCAAGTCTATATTATCTGTGAGACCCATTCGTTGAATGGCTGAAGTCTGCAGACAGGTAAAGTTAATCAGACCTGAGAATATGAAAATGGAAAAGAAGTATAATACATACCAGTGTGGAAAAGACTTGTGGAGCGATGAAAAGTTCTTGAAAGATGGACGGAGGAGGTAGTAGGGGATGGTTGATCACATGGATAACACCTTTCAATATTTCAGAAGTCGTCAAAACAGAAGTATTGCGTATTCACCGTTTGTGGCCATGACGTCAGAGCGTGTAATCCTCGCATAGAGGTTTACAGTCGTGCGTGCAGGCAAGAAAGAACGCTGAACTCTCACGCGTAAAGGTTGACTAGCTAATGCACCTGGGATAGTGAGATTAGTAGGAAAGGTCGTATTCAGCCCCAGCGAAGCGATGTCGAGGCTGCCTATCGGTATTATGTGATAACTTAAAATTGAGCGAAGAATGGCCTTGATAAACCTCTTTCGCTTTTCATCATCAGGCTTGTGTAGAGATGTTTTGGCGTCTATCAGATAAGCGAGATTGGCTAGATCATGAGATCCATGGTAGATGTCTTCTTCTGTCAAAAGGTGATGATGCTTGCGCCGCAATGCCTTGTCGGGAGGTGCGAAAAAGGTGATTCTGTGGGAGAGGGTTGGTAACCTTGGGCGAGTTGCTTAAAGGACTGACTTGACAGAGGGGTCATCAAGCAGAGCGGAGAGATCCCCGACATAGTCAATAGCCTTGACCAAGAGAGAGAAACTCGGAGCAGGGTCGGTGAATAAATTGAGATTAGAGGTGGGCAGAGAACTCACTTTGGGTCGTGGCGCAATGTTTGATAGATGGTGGCACTGGTGGTGCTGAAAGGGACCTGGATGTCAGCAGGAGAGCGCCAGGCTGGATAGGCATTGACGAGGGCAACGAGAAAGGGGAACAGACGCATGGTTGGGGAGTGAAATGAGGTGAATGAAGGGCGCTCATATTATAACAGAACTGAAACCTATGTGCAAATTACGTCATCGAGGCATCACTCGGCCATTTGACGGAATTTATCCTGCATTTCTACATACAACCCGTCCAATTTCTGCTTGATGGCCTCTTTGCCCTGGGATGGTGACTGAATGTAATAAATATATCACTTTATGTCAGTCCAACATTCACCAAACTAACGTACCTCAAATTTCATTTGAGAAAGCTTGAACATAATGTCTCCCACCGAGTCCTTGATCTTTGCGAATGTGACCTCATTCTGAGTGACCGCCTTGATGGCCGCATCATGGAATCCTACAAAGTTCCTCAACATTGCGCTGGTCTTGTAGAATGGACAGTAGCGGTCGTATTCGCTCATTCCGTTCTGTTGCAGGAAGTCGTCCTTCAACATCCGCGCCACTTCCAGTGTGATCTTGTCATTTTCTCCCAGTGCACTCTTTCCAACCAGTTGTACGATCTCAGCCAAGTCTTCCTCTTTCTGAAGAATTTCTTTCGTTTTCGTGCGCAGCTCCACGAATCCCGGCTCTGTTGTTTCATAGTACGGCTCTAGAACCTTGGTATATTTGGAGTAAGAGAGGGACCAATTGACGGACGGGAAGTGTTTCCGTTGTGCAAGCTTCTTATCGAGGCCCCAGAAGACCTGTACTATACCAAGCGTTGCAGATGTGACAGGATCCGAGAAATCACCACCGGGAGGTGACACGCTGCCGTTGTTCATGATTGGAATCAGTAGAATCAAACATGTTACCAGTGGACTTACGCTCCAACAATTGAAACCGTGCCTTGCCTCTCAGGGTTTCCAATGCATACAACCTTCCCGGCGCGTTCGTAGAAACTAGCTAATTTAGTACCAAGATAGGCGGGGTAACCGGAGTCCGCTGGCATTTCTGCCAAACGACCTGAAATTTCCCGGAGAGCTTCTGCCCAGCGAGAAGTTGAATCGGCCATCATGGCCACGTTGGAACCCTGGTCGCGGAAATACTCGGAAAGGGTGATCCCAGTATAAATAGAGGCTTCACGTGCAGCGACAGGCATATTGGAGGTGTTGGCAACCAAGGTAGTTCGTTTCATGATGGGTTCTTGACGGTCGCCAATTTCCATCGTAAGTTGAGGAAACTAAAAAAAGTTGTGACGATAAATCAATGAAATGGCAGTCAAGTGCTACCTCCATCAGAACTTCTGCCATCTGTCAAGCGGTTAGTTAGGAGGGGTCAAAAAAACGATACTTATTTGCGTACACACCTCGTTCCCGCGCTCTCCGCACCCAACGTAAACGATGATATCGCTATTAGAAAATTTTGAAAGGGCTTGAGAAATGACTGTCTTTCCACAGCCGAATGCTCCGGGTATCGCAGTTGTACCACCTTGGACACAACTTGACTGCAATGAGACAGGCGACAAACGGCACGCGCTGATATAAATGCTCACGGGAATAGGGCATCAAGAATACGCTGACCAGTAAGGAGTGGATAATCCGCTGTCTGCTTCTCGGCCACAGGGCGAGGTGCCCGTACTGGCCAGAGTTGCATCATCGTATGCTTTGTCGTCTTTCCCTCAAACTCCGTTTCTAGAACAACGTCCTGAATTGAATGAGTACCCCGTCTTTCTTTCAAATGTCGGCAAATTACTCACCTCGACGGAATACTGGCCTTTCTCGGCGATGTGGGTGATTGTGCCGAGCGCTCGAGGTGAGAGCATAATCTTGTGATTGTCGACAAGCGAATTCTCGTAGACGCCACCAAATATATCACCCCCACTAATATGATCCCCAACCTATCGAAGTGAACAACAATGAAAAATGGGGGCGAGAAGAGATAGATCTACCCGGAATGTGGTGGGTTTGAAGTCCCATTGTAGCGATCGTTCAAGGGCCTCGGTGTTGATGCCACGCGGTATGTAAATCGATTTAGAGAGCTCTTGGATTGCCTGCAGAACAGTCACAAAATGATTTGAACAAAGCGAGCCATGATGATGCTCACTCGTAGCGGACGCTGAATTCCGTCAACAATGTTACCCATCAGACCTAGTTGAAGGAAAAATGTGAGTTGATGGATATACAAAGAAAAAAACACAATAAACCTGGACCCAACTCGACGCTGAGGGGCTTTCCAGTGCGTAGAACAGGATCACCGACTGTAACACCTGAGGTCTCTTCATAAACCTGGATAGTGGCTTTGTCGGCCTCGATTCTTATAACCTCTGTTTTTATGAACAAAAGAAATGGGCACTCGGCTGCAACAGAGTGGACGGACCTCCAACGAGTTCATCGTGACCAACACGAACAAGTTCGTACATGGCGGCGCCAACCATGTTTTCAGCAATTACGACGGGGCCAGAGACGCCAAAGACCTGACCAAACCTGCTTTCCCTGGCCTCATCCCTGATCTTTGGAAGATCTCTCTTTGCGTTTTGAAGTGCGCCAGCCATGATGAGGGAGAGTGCCAATCTAAGAGCAAAGCCAAAGCGAAGCTAATCTAATCACGTGAGAAAGTGACGCGTCTCTCTCTTCACGACCATTATACCTCGAATACTATGCCGCCAAAGTCGTGAGTTTCTCTTCGTCGTCGCCGTATATTCGCAGTCTGACGTCTCAACAGCAACTGGGAAAAGTGTACGCAGCCAACGTCTCGTTCGACGCATTGCTGACCATCTATTGCAGATGAAAAGAAGGTCGATGACAAGAAGGAGGAAAAGATCGTGGGTATGTATTCTGCAGGTCGTCGTTTTCTTCAGTCAATCACCACCTTATTCTTTAGCTCTCGACGACAGTGACATTCAAATTCTGAAAACTTATGTATGTCTGTTCGTCTTCGTCTTTCAACCATGCCTACCAGCGCCTTCAGGGTCAAGGCCCATATGCTGCCAAATTGAAGGATGTGGAAAAGGACATCAAAGATATTCAGAAGCGGATAAATGAGAAGCTAGGTCAGCCAAGAACTAATGCGTTATGTTGCAGTTCCAAACATTTTCGCAGGAGTAAAGGAATCGGACACCGGTCTGGCTTCTCCAAATCTTTGGGATTTGGCCGCGGACCGGCAACGAATGGGAGAAGAACATCCCTTGCAAGTCGCACGTTGCACAAAGATCATTCCAGTGGATCCCAAACTCGCCGAGGCTGCTAAAGCTGTGAATGCTCAAGGCGCTTTACAAGGACAGAAAGGTGCTGACGAGCAAGACAAATATGTTATCAACATCAAGCAAATTGCCAAATTCGTCGTCGGACTAGGTGACCGTGTCGCAGCAACTGATATCGAAGAAGGGATGCGTGTTGGGTGAGCACTGATATACGCTCTCCTTGAACCTCAATCAAATTTCAGCTATACAGCGTTGATCGAACAAAGTATCAAATACAAATACCTTTACCACCCAAGATCGACGCGTCCGTGACGATGATGCAAGTTGAGGAGAAGCCTGATGTAACCTATTCGGACATAGGAGGATGTAAAGAACAGATTGAAAAGCTACGAGAAGTTGTCGAAACACCTCTACTCTCTGTATGTGTCACCACTCCGTTTAAAAGCAATGTTGACATTTTGCGCAGCCGGAACGCTTTGTCAACCTTGGTATTGACCCACCCAAGGGGGTGCTTCTATTTGGCCCGCCAGGAACGGGAAAGACTCTTTGCGCTCGTGCTGTCGCCAACCGAACCGACGCCACTTTTATTCGGGTGATTGGCTCTGAACTAGTCCAAAAGTATGTCGGCGAAGGTGCGCGCATGGTACGCGAGTTGTTTGAGATGGCACGTAGCAAAAAGGCATGCATCATTTTCTTTGATGAAGTGGATGCCATTGGTGGTGCTCGGTTTGATGATGGTGCTGGAGGCGATAATGAGGTGCAGCGAACGATGTTGGAGTTGATCAACCAACTGGATGGCTTTGATCCGCGAGGAAACATCAAGGTGTTAATGGCTACGAATCGGTTGGAATCTTTCATTAACTTCATGGTTGCATATGTTCACATTCCACGTAGGCCAGACACCCTTGATCCTGCTCTCCTCCGCCCTGGGCGTTTAGATCGTCGAGTAGAATTCTCATTACCCGATAACGAAGGTCGGGCCCACATTCTGAGAATTCATGCTAGGAGGTTTGCATCAACTTTTTGAGGCGACCCAACCGATTGACTGTCGAGTTAGTATGAGTGTGGAGCGCGATATTCGATTTGATCTCATTGCACGACTCTGCCCCAACACGACTGGAGCGGAGCTGCGATCTGTTGCAACGGAGGCGAGTGATGATTCCTCTCTTCCTGTGAATGCTGACTGAAGACTCGTTGTATAAAGGCTGGGATGTTTGCCATAAGAGCTCGACGGAAGGTAGCGTCGGAACGTGATTTCTTGGACGCAGTGGAAAAGGTGGTGAGACAGGGTACCAAGTTTTCGAGCACGTAAGTGGCGAGTATTCTCTTATAGTTGCAAGAGATGCTGATTTTTCTTATGCAGTCCACTCTACCAAGTATACAATTAGAGGATTACTTTGATATTTCACTTGTACTTTGTATTTCTTCTGTTAATTACCGCTTCCTCTTTCTTATGTTGCCGGCCTCGACGCCGCTACGTTTCCTTTGTGCCCAACGGCGCGTTCAACGTCGTGTTGAGCGACGACTCTACTCTCATCGAGCTCCTCAGGGAATGTCAAAGGCAGCGATAGATCTGCTGTCAAACTACCTTTCAACAAGTCCTCGACCGTTAAACTTGTCCCAGTTGTTATCTTTCCAACGTTCATTGAGCCCCGACTCTGTCTTATCGTCCGTCTCCTACGCCCTATTGGAACTGCCTCGTCGACTTGCCACCCGCGTGCGGTCGTTGGAGTCTCTTCCCTTCATCGTCGGCACTAACCCGTACGTAGCCAAGACACTCGAGGCATACAGGGAGAGCTTCAAATGGCTTGCTACTCACCCACCTGTTACTGACCTTGAGGAAAACAAGAGATTTGTCCAGAAGCTTGAGGATCTTGTTCAGCGACATGCAAACGACATCCCCGTCATGGCCAAAGGGTCCGTCCATTGCACTCATAAGCTGCTCATCCGTTCACTTTACGACACTAAAGTTTTCAAGAATGTTCCCGCTACATGTCTCCGTCAGAAATTAGCAACTTTCTTGATGGAGCCATACGGAATCGCATCTCCATTCGCCTCATTGCTGAGCAGCATATAGCGGTCTCGTATGCCTTGACAAACCTCGCAGACGCCTCACATATGGGAGTGGTCGACATGCAATGTTCTCCAAAAAAGACGGTCGAGATGTGCGGCTCATTTGTGACCGAACTCTGCGAGGCAACGCTTGGTGCAAGCCCATCAATCATAATCGACGGGCACACTGACGCTGTCTTTCCGTACGCTCCCCCTTTGCTCAGTTTTGTTTCTGCCTCTCAAGTGTACTCCTACAGCTACGTCCCAGTCCATCTGGAGTATATTCTCACTGAAATCTTGAAGAATTCCTTTCGAGCGACTGTGGAGCATCACATAGCGCCAGCTGGCTTGGGTTCTCACTCGCTCCCACCTGTTGTTGTTACTCTTTCACCACCCCTCCCTCCTCGGCGAGGATCTAAACCTGGTGTCTCATTTTTCTCAATTCGTGTAAGGGATCAAGGCGGGGGTGTGTCACCAAGTCATATGGCGCGAATATTCTCGTATGCCTTCACAACTGCTGGCAGAGGCGCAGAGAACAGTGTTGACGACGTAGACGGAGCTGGTGGCCCATACGTAGCCCAGCGCGTTGGAGGTGGGTTGGCAACTGACAACGGAAGTAGCACGGGAGATGCAGGACTCTTCGGCGAAATTGCAGGAAAGAGTTTGCAGGCAGGAATTGGAACCATCGCTGGACTTGGCTACGGATTGCCAATGAGTAGGTTGTACGCCAGGTAGGCCATCCGGTCACCGTTCAAGATATTGTTCTAATTCGACGTAGATATTTTGGTGGTTCACTCGAGTTCTTGTCATTAGAGGGGTGGGGTGCGCTATCATTGAGTTAATAATCTTCTGTGTACATGGCTGATGGGTCGTGGCAGGGAGTGACGTCTTCCTGACGCTGCGGTGCTTGGACGAAGCAGATGATTCCAGGATATAATTGCATCAAGCAGAGGAGTCGTTTATATATATACAACGGCTAAGATAACGGAAGATCTCTCCCAGAGATGGATTATATATTGCAGAATGATGCGTGTAGGGTGATTATACCAGTGATAACAGCAGTGATACAGTCATGGTCTAGTTCCGGATTTAGTATGGACAAACATTTTGAACAACAATTTAGTGAGGAAGACGGGAAGCAATGTCTGTCACTTGGTTGAACTTGACTGCGAGGAAAGATGTCAGCCCTCTCTTTCTCTCCTGTCCAGAAGTGTAACCACTCACTGCGAATCCGCTCAGCGTTCGGCTAGAACTAAGAGACCCGAGCCCTAGATGAGCTTGCGACGTTCGGTAGGAACGTGAGGAGCCCATAGTTGATGCATGCGAATTGCTTGGCGTAGTGGGGCCGCCGTTAGTTGCCGTTCGAGAGGAACGCGCAGTGAGGGGCGTTGGGGCACCGATGAGTGACTTTTTGGGTGTCTCGGCCAACTGCTTGCTCCGATTTCCAGTTAAGCTTGAGGATGAAGCCTTGCCTGCTGAAGGCGGGGGTTTCAGTCTCCGTCCAGCAGTTACAAACGGATGCCGCATAGCTGCTTGTGGTTTGATTCGTCGCTCGGGATCCCAAACGAGGCATTTCGAGATAAAATCAACAAACTCCTCATCGTTACACCGCAAAACTTGACTGAGAGATTTTGTGCCTGGCCTGCGTCGCCTGCCTTTGGAATTGATGACGGCACGAGGAGCGCCGTTAGTATCTACGAAAACCATTAAACACGTCGGGATAGATATTAGACGAAATCTCTTACCAAAAAATAATTTCTTGCGAGAGCTACGGTTGACAAATTCCTTGTCAGGAATACCCAGGACTTCCATGATGCAAGATAGTTGCTCTTGTTCATTCTCTCCAGGGAATATTGGAAATCCTGTGTAAAGTTCAGCTAGAATGCATCCCAAGCTCCACATATCAATAGCCATATGGTAATTCATGCCAAGAATTACTTCAGGTGATCGATAAAAACGGCTTTGTATGTAAGTATAAACTGAAGGAAGGATGTCAGAAGAGGCATGCACGTGAAGGGGAGCCGACGAACTTTTCTCGTGCTCGAAGCAACTACTACCAAAATCGATGACCTTGATGGCGCTTTTAGCAGGGTGTCGCAGCAAGACATTCTGCAGGGAATGAGAGCCACGCCTCGGAATGACCCAACGATGCGTACCTCGGGTTTCAAATCACAGTGGACTATTCGGTGGTGACGCATCAAAGTTAATGACATCAACATTTGGCTGGTAAAGCGTCGTATCAGGGCTGTTGTAAAGCCTACAAAACCGTTGGCCTTGATAAGCTCATAAAGGTTGATACTGAGCAGTTCCATAGCGATGCAGAGGTGGTTTCGAAAGTAAAAGTGTTCTGTCATCTTGATCACATGGTGCTTTTCGTCAACATCCTGGTGAACAGCTGTGAGCGATGACTTTGGGGGGAAGCGACGAAATGCAAGAACGAACCCATTTACGAAGGTTATCAAGAATTTTTATTTCCACTAATGCTTGGTGATGGAACCGCTTCTTGTTCCGGATGATCTTGATAGCGACAGATTCTCCAGTACTATAATCGCGACAGTGCAATACCTGACCGAATGACCCCTTTCCTAGTGTGTCGATGACTTCATAGCGATATGCGAGGTGGTCATTGTTAACAACTAGGTAGTCTCCTCTTTCGTCATCATAGCCGTAGTTATTCAATGAATTATCAAGGACCGCAGGTTTCTTTTTGCTTTTCGCACCAAAGCAATAAATTGACGGGTAGTCAAGAATTTCCTTGCGTTCGTAGTCCGATAAGTATTGCGCTTGACTGCCCTTCAAGATGGCTGAGTATTCAAAACTTAGCAAAGCAAGATTAAAAAGAAAAGTAGGCCGGCTCTACCTGAAGGGGATGCCGGAGTACCGGGAGGAATGGGTTCAGGAAACTTGAGTAGATCATCCAATTCTTCCTGAGTCGCGCCAGACGCGAGCTTCTTGGCTTGTTGTCGTCTAATGTACTGCAACATTTCTTCGTCTCCAAGAAGCTCTTCTTCATCGACAGAGCTAGGTACTGGGGAGGGAGTAGAAAGGGACTGCCGACTCGAAGATGGGGAAGCTATCGCCTGGTGGATATTTTGGGTTGATGTTGAATTTGATGAACGCGGAGTAGGCTTTGCTAGCAGTTTCAGACCTTTTGAAGGAGAAAGTGCCGAAAAACGATGATGTGCGGTTTCCGTTGAAGCAGGGGTGGATATCGAGGTAACTGAACTTGTTGAAGATTTTCGTAGTCCGATAAAGGAGACAGAGTCACGGTTGCCTTTGCGATGGAGTAGGCTCGTAGATGAGGTCATTGCTGTGGACGATTGGCGAGGGGGTCGTGACGTCAACGTGGATGGGGATCCACGAATTGACGACTGCCTTGTAGGTCCTGCCATGACTTTGGGTGTAGTCCCATCCTCACCTTCCATGACACCAAATTCGTTGGTAGAGAAAGACGTGGGTGAAGAATTTGCTGATGGCCCAAATCCGGTGGTGTGGGTACTCGCTCGGCGGTTTGTTAAAGCTGATGCAGAGTGCTTCAACGGCGGAGAAGAGGCGGCTGATGTTCGGCTTGAGATCCGAGGAATCTTTGTTGGAGTTTCTTTTGGAAGGCCGATGACGCTGTTCGTCAAGGACGAAGGAGGATCTCTCCCGTCTTTCAAAGTCTGCGAACTATTAGTGCCATTTGTTCCCACAGAAGGAGAGCCCGCGATGGTAGGTAATTGATTACGGCTACGAAGGGAAGAGTCAGACTGCTTTTGCATTGAGCTAACGGTCTGAGATGTCAGTCGTGACGAAGATGAAGATGTTCTGTTGCTTGGGATTGAAGTTGAAGACACAGTCGAAGATTTGAGTTTTGCCACTCGTTGGGCGGTTACAGGCTCAATCGCGGATATTTGCATTGGGGGAAGATTCACAGGAGATTTTGGTTTCCTAGGATCAGTGGAAGAGAGAGTCTGGGTGAAAGTCTAAGTGGGTGTCATGGCGTAAAAAAACGAGAAACACGCACCTTGCCCCGTTTCCTGCTGATGAGTACAGAAATGCGGCTCTCACTTCGATCTTTGTCCTCTTTCTTCTGTTTCTCTTTTTCGAGCTTCGCCCTTTCTTTTTCGGCATCTCGCGCAGCGTCTTTTAGTCTTGATTGTTCTTTGGCTGCATCCTTGGCGTCCGCATGAAGGCTTCTCCTTGAATTTGACTTTAGCAAAGAAGGAAAACCGAGACTTAAGACGGACGATTTCTTCTGAGTCGCACCAGGTGCGCAAGTTGAGAGTGAGTTATCATAAGCAGAAAAATTGCTTGCCTTTGAGCGGGGTTGTGAATTAGGAAATGAAGCAGATTGTGAAGTAGGCGAGGAGGAACTCGCCGCTCCACCAGCGACAGGCGGAGGCAACTGCATCGACTGAGAGGACGATCGACGGAAGAAAGGGATGGAAGAAGGCGTAAGACGCTTTGACTGTCCACGTTGAGCAGAAGAAGTGGGACTCAACGGCCCGGGTTGAGGTGCAGACAACGCTGAAGTCGTATTATTGGTACTGGCACTTGAGCTCGTTCCGGGACGACTAGCACCGCGGTCGGGAGTCCTCGCTTGCGAGGTTGAAACTACTGGACTGTGAATGGATCCAATGGACGAGAGGGACGCCAGAGACCCTGCTGATGTCATTGCTTCTGGTTGTTTCGGAGACCAGGGCAGCTTTGAGATTGATGACGAACTGGTTTGCTCTTTGGACGTGGACTTCCGCAGCTGTTGACCAAACGTGACAGATCGTGGACTGAGGGGAAAGCTAGACTTCTGACTTGACGAAGAAGGAGAGTTTGATAGTCTGAGATTTAGCGCGCTTGAGAAACTCCACTTTTTCGAAGGCGTCTTCAAAACAGGGGAAGGGGGATCGGGCTGAGGGTTGGGCGCAAAAGAATAATGCTGGCTCTGCTGACGTTCTGCAGAAGAAGAAGACGAGGGCCATATTTCCGGAGTGCCATGATAGGACGGAACTTCGAGAGACATGTTGCGATTTGGGACATCATCCTGGCTACTTTGCTGTTCTCGCCCGTCTGCAATTATTGAAGGAAAAGACAAGCTAGCGGATGTTGTTGGAGGGGAACGATACGATGACAGGTCCTTTGGTAAAGGGGGAACGGGAGGAACGAGCACATCTTCGGTTGCTTCACCATTCGCTGCAAGATGCGCTACACGGTCCTTTAATGAAGTTGCGTCTGTCGAATGAATGCTCGAGATATCGCTGCTGGCGCTATTTCGTCGTCCTTTGCTTGATGAATGACGACCTGAGGTGATTGAAACCGAGGTCAGACTTGTGCCAGCTGATATAGAGGCCGAGTCACGAGAGCTCGTGGTGGGGGTACTCCCGTATGTCGTAGACGAGGTGGAACCGCGCTTGGGAGTAAAACTTGACCTTGCACTGGTCAGAGTCGTCTTCTTGGGTGTCTTGTCTTGAGATGACAACTGTTCGTCGCCACTGATCGCTGCTGCCGACACCTCCGCATCGATATGACCTTCGTTTGTAAGAGTTACAGTATGCCGAGGTTGAGAGAGTTCCTTGTCCTTTCCAGTGTGGGTATCTCGTACGTAACTACTTCCCCTCTTATTCTTTCCAGAATCGGAAGAGTTGACTCCTTCCCACTGTGTTCCAGATTTGCCTGCCGGTGTACCAGGACGACTGGAACTGGAGGGTCGACCAAAACTGCCAACACTTGCGCGAGCGCGAGCACCCTTGCCACTCAGCCCGTCGAGCTTCCTTAGAGCCTCTGCCGTAGCTTCATCATCAAGTCCAGACCAGCCTTCCTGAGTACCCCGAAGTAAAGAATGGGCTACGTTGGGAGAGGAGTGGAGATTGTCCTTTGATGATGAATTGGACGGGGCAAGAGTATTGGTGGTGCTGGATGTATGCCGCAGAAATTGCTGAATGGAAGAAGAAGACGGGGAAGGGGGGAGGTGGGAAAAATCCGTGTTGTGAACGCGGCGAGAGTGAGGATTCTCGGCATGATTTGAAGAGGTTGAACTGGCAGAGGTCTGCCTTGCATGCCTGTCAGACTTTCCACTAGACAGCGGAGCATTGACGGAGGAGTTAATCGTAAGACCGCTGCTTTCTCGCCGTCGGTCCCTTCCTTTCGTATCACGAGAAGAAGAGCTGGATGAGATGCTGACGTTGAGACTGCGATGCCTGCGCGAAGCCAATTTTTCATCCTTGGACTTTTCCTTGCCAGCAGGCATTGTTCCGATACGTTTTGAGACCAAAGCACCAGTTTGGTCCATCTCAAATTCATCAGAAGTCCGCTTCTTGGCTCTCCTCGAGGACTGTGAAAATGCGCTTGGGGGTGATGCTAATTCATTGGTATCCAGAAGTTGCGGCAATTCTAAAACCTGGCTGGGCTTTGCAGCTCCATCTTCAAGCACAAAAGCTGATCCTCGATCTGGAAGGGTAAGGTTAACATTTCGCGGATATAATATCTCTTCACCACCGCTCTCGTCTGCTATCGATGGTTTGGTACGAAGTGGTCGAGGTGGTGGATTTAGTGGTTGAGGCTTACAGAATGATGATGTGTCAGATAGACAACGATGAAAACGAGAGAAAGGGTTTACCTCCTCCTCTTTCTCTGACAATTCACCATCGACAGCCTCGATTGTCCAGGGACTATCTGGACCATCATCCTCAACATCTTCAGGAACGACGACATCATATCCGTCGATATCAGTTGCTTCGTGAGCGGGATGAACGCCACTGCTTCTCTCTGATGCGGCCCAACGAGGGGTTGCGAGTTCGCCAACACCAACAAGACCCCTTCGGTCAATCGCGGCTGGGTTTCGAGCTGGGGTGATGGGGTCACTGATAGGCAGGTACTCTGGAGTGGTGCTCAGAAAATTTGTCGAAGGTGGAAGGGGAAGAACTGGTGAATCGGAGGGCGACTGTATGCCAAAATAGTACGGGTCGAGAGACGAGGTCGCAGAGCCTGAACGAGAGACAGGCACATCTTGATCAGCGGTACCATCCTCTGCCTCAGTAAGGGAGATGTTGACGCTTAGCTGTTGGAAGAAAATGGATGAGTTGTTATAAGGGCGATATGAATGTACAAAGCGGTACTTGGTCGTTCAGGTTGTCATTAAGCTTTACGGAATGTTCGCGGTTGTAACGAATCTCTCCATCCGAGACCGCCTTTCTGTCCTCGTCTGGAATATCCAAGGCTGGAGGTCGGTCTCTCTTCTTGTGAGGCGACGGTGGTGCGGACATGAGGGAAGGAAAATACGTGGCGTGGCAAGATGGAGGAAGAGAAGAAAGGAATGAGATGGTATTGATAGAACTGAATGAGTACCAGTAGCTGGCTGCCAAGAGCAGGCAGGCTCTCGTAAAAGATGAAGAGCAGACTACTTAAGTATTACAAGTTATTATACCCACATGTCGTTGGCATTGACCGTGTGAATTTATACATATCGGAATAGGTCATCCGGCACAACACATGTCTGAATATCTAAATACCCCACATTCTCCTCCAAAGACCTACCATTCGTCCTCGCCTTTTCTTCCATTAATCGCCCATGTCGTTCCTTGTCTCTCGCACTTTGTTCAGCCCGACGTCGCATCATCGCTTCGTGCTAGGAAAGAAAATGTTAACCATCATCGTCGAAATAAAGCCATCTCACTTACTTTTCCATCTTCCAACTGAATTGGAACCTGTAAAATTGACTGTCAATTTCTCACTTGGCTTTGTACAAAGTGGAAATAAAACCTGATCTCGCCGTTCATTCAGCTCTCTTCGAGCAGACGGTGCGGGTTGTCCTTCTCGTCGAAGGGCCTGTTTCGCTTTTCGACGCGCCTTTAGCTTAGCTCGCCGGAGCGCAGCCAACTCCTCAGTCGGATCCAAAGTTTCAGCCGTCTGGCCGACGGGCTCAGAAGACTTGCCGTGATCTTGTTGATTTGCATCTACCCTACTCCGCATTTCATCCTCTTTTTGGCCACGGTTTTGTGTCATTTTCTGCCCTCCGTCCCTCTTGAGAGATGTGCCCTTCTCAGTCTGTCGATGAAGGTCGAGAGAAGCCTGCTCTTGACTTTTCCGTCTTGCCTCTTGCTCTGCCTTGAGTTGTGCCTCCCTTTGCGCCTTCAACTCCTTTTCCTTTTCCTTCCTCAACTTTTCCTGCTCTTCAGCTTTCAACCGCAATTCAGCTTGCTTTTGTTGCTCCACCCGCTCCTTTCGACGGGCCTCTTCCTGAAGTCGATGGAATTCTGCGACCTGCGCCTGACGGCGCGCCTCTTCCTGAAGTCGACGTCTTTCTGTCCGCTCCTGTTCTTCTGCAGCATGCTTCTCTGCCCGCTCTTGTTTTTTACGCTGTTTTTCCGCGATACGCATCTGCTCCTCTGCGATTCGAGCCGACTTTTGTTGCTGCTCCTTCAATGCCAGTTCTTGCTTCCGCTTTGTCCTTTTAGACAACGAAGAATTACCATCGCCAGAAATTTCCGATCGTTCTTCAGGTGGCACAAAGCCTTTCTATGCAAGGGAACAAAACGTGTAAATATGAAGACCGCCTGTTTGCCGTCGACTGACTTTGGTTTTCAAGATATTCCTGATTTCATCAGACATTTCTTCGCGCTCCCAACAGCGCTGGACATCATGTGTCGTCGCATCCTTGACAAGCAACTCTACCATGGATGGTATTCCGCTTGCAATTGCAAGCTGCAGCGGAGTACGGCCAGCAGCGGAAACCTTGGACGGATGATAGCCATCTGACGACCTTCCTCGCCGATTGAGGAGGAAGCGAACAACAGGTGTATTTCCGGCCTGGATGGAGGCGTGGAAAGGAGTCAATCGAGACTTGTTGAGAGCAACGGGGTTTGCGCCTGTCCAGTGGATGAGATGAAAATTCATAGAGGCGGAGAGGGGGAGGACCTTGTTCAAGCAAAAATGAGACCAATGATTCGTCACAGTAGCTTGCGGCGACATGAAGCAAAGTTTCGTATGGAGTGTTCTCATCCTGTTTCCTTGATTGCTTGGGCTTTTTTCGGGGACTATTCACATCCAAGCTAAAGTCCAGAACAGAGCGATGGACCGCTGCTGAGTTTCCATCACGAGCAGACTGATAAAGTAAGAGATCAAGCGTAGATGAAAAGTGGGCAATGTAAACACCTGAAACGAGTTTTCCAGAGCTGAGACTCGGCGATCCTCGGCGGCGGACTTTTCACGAGCACATCTCTCAGCTTCGCGTTGTTCCGCTTCAATTTCGAGTTCTGTACGATATCTATAAAAGAAGCAATTTTAAGAGGATAATACTACTGACCAAGTTCGCGCTTTCGCCTTTCATACTCCTCGTTCTCCCTCCTTTGCCGAGCCGAATTGGAGGACTGCCTTTCTTGGGATTCCGCAAAGCCACCAGAGAAAGTCGACAAACCTGCTCCTGCTGCGCCTGATCGCTGATAGCGATAACCTGGCGAAGAAAAAGGTTTTTCTAGGTTGTTACAAAATTACTTAAAAACACTAACGGCGACCCTTTGTACTTGAATAGCGGTTGAAGAGCATCTCTGCAAACATGAATCTGCGGATAACATCGACATGAAAGGGGAAAGGAATCCTTGGTAAAGTAACGAACCTATAAAAGGCCTCTAGCTCCTCTTCATCCAAAGGAATGTCATCCTCTGCAGTAAAGTGATGAGCACCAAAGTGATTATGTGCGCTTGACTGAGCGGCAGGATCTGGAACATGACTGCGAGCTGGGTTGTCGTAATGACGCAGGCAAATATCCCATGCTGCGCCAATCTAATGGAGGATGAATATGTGCTGTAGAGAGGACGAGGTAGAGGCTTGCCTCTTGAAAGCGTTGGGTGGCAGTGCTGTCCTTGTGGTTGCGGTCTGGGTGATGAATAAGAGCAAGACGTTTGTAAGCCTTCGAGGCGGTGGCCTGGTCAACGTCTGGATTGATGTTGAGGGTATTGAAAGCTTGAACCACTTCTGGCCTTAGGACCATGATGGCGACCGTAAGGCAAGGTTTGCAATAAGTCAGAACTTCAAATACATACACATGTGTGACCGACGCGACTGTCACACGAGTAATATTGGAACATCATGTTGTATCTTTCTACGTAAAATTCAGCGTAAACTCTGCATAAATTACAGTTTCCTGTTGGCTTAAGCCGCCTTGCAGCTTGTTCGCCGTCGTTTGTGTCGGTACAGATCGCCAATTTAGCCACCTGTTATGTAAGGATATCTCAGAGGTTTCAGCTCCGCCCAACTGATTTTGTTGCCAGCGAAAGTGTGCAGTGGCACACATACGTTGACATCGTGCACACCTTGACCAGCTCCTGACGGTCGTCGTGGTGTGTGTCTTCCCGCGGTCATGCACGTCGTGTTGTTACTCATGCACTATGTCCCGATGCTGCTGTGCTGCTTCTCTCCGCTTCTCGTTCAGCATTCTACCGTCATCCCTCGTCTAACTTGGGGTCACACTCCGGCACATTCCCATTTTCAAGCGTTTTTGAGTGATTTCTATTTCTTTGTTCAAGTTGATCCTCCCTGAACTGAGCCTCGCGGTTATGTCAGCTATTTTTTCCTCGAAGTACTGTTTGCGTTCCCTGTCACCTCGTCTCTCATGGCTTCTGCCGATGGGAAGAACGTTGATTCCGATGATCCCCTCGAACCATCCTCGCCTCCACCTCATATGCATTCTGTCGCTTTCTCCGGAATGCCTATGCATATGTACCCTTTCCCACCCAGTCTTCTGCCGTCCTCTCAGGGTCTTCGCTCTAAACGCCGCCAAGTCAAGAATGCGTGCACAAACTGCCAGAAGGCATGCAAGAAGTGCGACGACGCTCGGCCTTGCCTTCGCTGCGTAAAATATGGCGTATCTGAAGAATGCGTTGATTCGCAGAGGAAAGAAAGGAAGAAAGGGATTAAGAGGGGTCCCTACAAGAAGCGCGATGGAAAAGGTGTGCCTCGTTTCTCCCAGCTATCATATCATATGATAGCCATGGACTATTCCTAATTTCTTTTGAGATCATGTAGGCAACAGCATTGACCAAGCTGACATCCCCCAACAGGGTATGCCTGTCTCAAACATGGTCCCAACCCCAGGTGGTTCAGCTATCATGGCTCCATATCTGCCTATTGGATATCCACCTGCCTTTTATGGTCAGTATCATCCAACTCAGAAGCATGGGGATGGGCAAGCCATGTATTCCAGCCCTCAATACTTTCTGGCTCCTGTACCCCATGTCCAACATCAGGCACCTGGTCTTCAAGATGGGGATAATCATGGATATCAAACACAGGGGTTCTATCAGGCTACAGTCTTTGCTCCAGTGGCCTACCCCCACTATGTCATGCCCAGATCTGATGGGCAAGTACATGTTCAGAATCAGTATGCTGTCTTTGGTGCTCCAGTATTCTCCAAGACATCTCTAATCAGTGGATCAGGTGAGATGGTGCATGAGAGGGCTGCTGTGGATGAGAATCACAGCCTTGATGGTGCTACTGACAATTCAGGCTGACCACCTGATGATAACTTTGGACTATCTCTTTCTTATGCTTCAGACTTTGACTACTATTGTCACTATCTTTGTATGCCTAATCTTGCTTATACATGCCTTTTGACTCAGAGTACAGCTCTTTAAGGATGAGAAGGAGGTATTTTTTATGCTATCAACATGACTATTTTAGGGATCAATCTAACCAGAAACCCCCTTTCCGCGTGGAACCCTGGGTTTCTTCTGCATTTGGTAGAAATCCCCCTTCCATCAGTTGATGGGTTATTTTGAGGAACCCATGTTGGAGTTGAATTCCTAGATGCCGACGCGTGTCGCACTCAAATTTAAATTGATCTTGGCTCCCCTGGTCATGATGAGAAGAGAGCGTGACGAGTTGAGCTCCATCACGCACATCCCTTGTCGTACACGTATCGTTGCGCGATGCAACATGCCTGCTCAACAAGTGGTTACCACGGTAAATAATATTGGTCCATGGCCATTAGTGCTTGGAAGTTAGGTTAATTAACTGGAAAATAACCGAGACCAGACCAGACCTAACCGCAAAAAAACCGGACCGCGGTTAGTGGTTAGTCAATTCTGGAAATGAAATAACCGGTTATTTTGCGGTTAACTAACCGTTAAAAAACCGGTTATGACTGGTTACAACCGACCCTATTATACCCCTTCAAAACACATCTAAAAGCATGAGAAACGCTAAAAGTCTGACAGAGTTATGGTCAAATCTCTAAATTATTTCGATTTTCTATTTTTTCGGTCCTAACCGGTTAGTAACTGCAACTAACCGGTTTTCATTGGTTATCTTTGGTCCAGTTAGGTTATTTTGGGTCTGGGAACGAACCCTAACCAGTCTCGGTCTCGGTTAGAGCCCCTGGGCACCCAATAGTAACCTAACCTAACCGGACTTTCAAACACTAATGGCCATGTCTACACGAAGCTACAAGATGAGGGTTTGGATGGGTAGCTATACTTACATAGATGTAGGAGAGCGGGAGTGGTTTAGGGATGCCACTGCTCCCTTCCATAGTCCTTTGCTACTTGAAAGGTTGATGACCCCCGCCGCCAACTTGAACTTATCCATGACTCTTGTGTTGCGCATGTGGTGGACTTCAAATATTCTGAGCTCTGCCTTTTCTGGAAACAAGGTTTCTATGCAAGCACTTTGGAAACCCTGGGTTGTTCAGGGGAAACCAGGGTTTCTGGATAGTTTAATCCCTATTTTAGGCTGTATTCATTGTAGACAAACCAGAAGAAACATCCTTCATTGACAGTCAAGAAAGTGCATCTTTATGCCAGCCAGCTTGCATCAATTTCCATAGATTATCATGAACATGTTAGAGGCCTTTTGGGCTTTGATATCAGACACCTTGATGGTCCTCAGAGCTTTCAAACACCCTAATAAAAGTGGGCAAGAATAAAAGTGGGCATGCCAACCTTTTCTTCCCCCAGCCATGTTCCCAACCAAATATCACTGTATGTTCCACCAGCTACAGCAAGTTCCCTCTCCTTTGTGACTTCCCCATTAAGCACTTTCACAGTGGGAGGGATTCCCGTTGCACGGTGAAGATTTATCAGCCTCGTTGGTACTGGAGATAGTGTTGACTATCTTGTTTTTGAGGCAGAGGTAGAGACGATGAGAACCTCTCAGTCGGAATGATCATATTTGCAGGGGGATGAGAACTTTCACGAAGACTACGCAGTTCCCACAGAAAGTGTGTCAGCTCCATCGGGCTGGTGATATGAAGGGACTAACCATTTGACCAGCCTCCATGATCCTCTCAGCCACCGGCTCTCCTGAACTTTGCATGTCAACTGTGTTTTGTGTTTCCATTGCGTTGGTCAACACTTGCAAGAGGAGCTTGCATAATTCGGAATGATTGTTCAACGTTATGTCTCGTGCTTCGCATTGTGATTGAGTAGAGTAGAGTAGATGTATTCCGGAGCGATCCCAATGAGGAACAACGGGCTTCCAACACACAACTGTAGCGCCTAAATACAATTGTGCTACGGAGCATACCACAGCATCGCAATCTGCGTGCTATGACGTCTAAGTCACCGATTGAGACTGAGGTAGATAGCTGTACTTACTTCACCTTGAAATATAAATGCCAAAACGGCGCAAATTGGCTTAACATTGGGAGAAATGACCGACTGAGAGAGATGTCACCTGGAACAGATTTAATGCATTATCCAGTTCGACTTCACATTGGTCAAGGCCATTTCCGATTTCAGCATTTTTCACTAAACGCAATTTACAGTGAGAATTCCGGCGAGCGATAGCATCATCAACACTGACGGAAAGTTTGGACAGAATTTAGGCGTGACCATCTTTGAAGACAGGTTTGTACTGTCAAAGACCCTACTCAAATACATCGCTCGCGAGGGGAGCCATGCCAACATATTATAGAACGTATGCGGTGACTTGATCTGTTGAACTTCGAAATCCTGTAGACCAGCTGCCTGATCGTCAAGGACATTCATTACTTGGACGCATTTATCGCGTATTTGCCTTGACTTCTTCTCATGAGTCATGGTCAAGTTTGGAGTATGAGATTTTGTAAAAGGACTCGCCTTATGTGCCCTAACACCATCGCATGCCGCAACAATATCTTTGAGGATGATAGCGGCTGCTCCAACAAATGGTATCCCACACAGCCCCAGCAATCTCCAACGAGCTAAGGGAAATATCGAGTAATGCTCTCATAATGTTGAGAATGAAGGGTCTGCAATGACAGACCACGTGTAAACTTAATCTTGACCATGTCTCCCCGCAAACGTAAACGTTCTCAAGCATTTGAGGAGTACGATGAAAACGAAGACTTTCTCCCTCAGAACCAGGATAGCCAGGAAATAGACAGCGGGGAACGAGACCAGTTGCAATTGGACAAAGAACGCGACATTTGGGACGCGTTTCGGGAAGAGCACTTTGAAGGTACACAACAAAATGGCTCACAACAATTTATCCGCGACTCATAAACTTCTCTTCATTTTGGCTTTCTAGTCGTTGAGCAGCTACCTTTGACTCTTCACAGACAGTTCTCCCTCATGCGCCAGCTTGATGAGCAAGCTCAAGGCAAGACCAAGAATTCGTTTACTTGCCAAAATGCCTCACCCTCCTCCATGTTAAAGGCTACACGTCGCATCTGATTCCAACCTTGATGCGGTACATCAAGACACGGCGTTCCATTGGAGCCAGGCTCCCATCCGACGAGACTGGCCACACTCATCAAAATGGTACAATCAATGGAGAGTCTTCGTCTATCACCCCAGCTAAAGTCGCCGCACCTCTCAGACAAGACATTTTCGACTCCTGTACCTCATCAGAGCCTCCAGCGCCAATGGGCCTACCTCCAGAGCGACGTAAGATACCTCAAACAACGCGTGAAATGTTGTCGCACATCGCATGGTTGTCGGAAGAATTGCTGCGTGGATCTCAAGAGAAGGTTAATCTAGCTCAGGCTGCTCATGATTCGGTATGTCATCTTGCAATGCAAGTATATTCACTGAAGATCACCATATTGTCCCAGATTGACAGACAGCTTCGCTTGATTGAACAAGCTATCGCGGAACAAGAAGCAAATCTGTCTCAGGAGGATGTCGCTGCGGTCAATATCCATTTACCCGACCTGATTATTCCGAAATGGAGTAGAAACACGACAAGTTCGAAGGGGAACGATCAAGACAATGTTGGAGCAATGGAAGGAAGCACTGTAGGCCGCTCTTTGCTGCCTGGGGAATGGAGTGGTCCACTTAACAATTCACAGGACGGAAGAGGGGCAAAAAGAGAGGGCCATTTTACTGGACCTGTACCACGCAAGGCCCTCCAAGAGAATGCTATGCAAGATGCGCCGCCATTGAAAATAACGCTTCCTGCCCCTCATTCTAGAAACCATCTGCCTTCCAATGGTGGTGACTCCACTGAAGAACTCTATTGTTACTGCAACCGTGTCTCGTTTGGAGAGGTAGGTTTCTATATGGCAGGGGGACATCTCGACTCAACTATGTACCAGATGATTGCTTGTGATAACAAGGCTTGTACGCGAGAATGGGTAGGTTCTCTATCATCGTGCATTTGACATTCTCAGACTTCGTCATAGTTCCACCTTGGATGTGTTGGCTTGACTGAGCCGCCTGAGGGGGAGTGGTTTTGCGAGGATTGCAGTGTCACCGAAATATAGAGAAATACATCTATTCCGCGAGAATTCTCATGTTTAATTTGTTAGCGAGGGTCTCCATGTATACATCTAATAAAATATTGAGATCGATATTACCATTATAACGAGCGAAGTCACCTGTCTCATGCCGTAGTTTCCAGTATTCAGCAAGCAGATCGTTCATTTCCGCTTCACTTTTCTTCAGGTGCTCCGCCATCTGGTCGAACAGGTCATCAAAACTATCACGTTTGTTGCTGCAAAACACACCTTCAACTCTACTGCGTCAGCTTCCCCTCGCAGCTCTTCCACCTGTTTGTCGTTATCTCGTCTTTCAACTACCATCTCATCGTATTCACGTTGCAAGCGCTCGATCGTTCTCTGACTGGCCGACTTTTTGTCTTCCGCGTGCTTCTGTGCTCTTTCCAGTTTGTCGTACGCATTTGAAAGCTGCTTCTCCACACGCTGTAGAAAAAATCATCAAGATAACATTCAACAACGAATCAATGGGATTTTACCTCTTGTCTGAGGGTCAGCTCGTTTCTCTCGATCTTCTTGTCATCTAGATGGTCTTTCAGCTCAACTAGTTCCTTTTGGGAGACCTGTAAGGATCGAACTTCTCGTTCGATCGTTTGAAGTTGCTCAACACAAGAATGAACGTCCTGGACGATACGCTGTGATGTTGATGAAAGATGACATAACTTTGTACTTACCTTTTCGATATTCAGCAACGCTGTAATCTTTACTTGGAGATCTCTAGCTTTTACTTCATGCATATGAACTGTTCTCTTGTCTTCAATGGTGGTCGTCGACATCGAAGTTATGGTTCGCTTGATACGTTCAGGGGACTGGACGATACGAGACTGTGTGCGTGTGATATTATCCGAAAGGCTTGCAAGTTCCCCGCTGAGTGCCTCCTAGAAGCATGCACAGAGATTGAGAAATTATACCATGGGGGATGCACCGCCGTACCTTTCGCTTAATGAGAGAGCTTTTCTCCGCCTTCAATTTCTCAACTTCTTGGACAGCTGCTGTTTGAAATTCTTTGGTGGCGAACATTCGAGCCCTGAGAGCATTGTTATCGATCCGAAGTTGCTCACATCGTGGCTCGTCTTCAGCGATCTTTGCTCTGAATCGGGTTAGAAAAGCAAAAAAATTGTGAGAGAGAACGCACCTCATTTCTTCGATCGATTGTTCAACTTCAATTAGCTGCTGGGAGATCTGATCCCTTTCCACAATGAGCGCACTCGAACGGTCCGTTAAGTCTTTCACAAATGAGTTGCAATATTGTTCTGTAAATTTCACAAAGTTGATAAACGCAGAGAGCAGAATCAGTGTACGTTCTCGTTCAGGGCTTGAGATATCTTTGAGATTGAAGTCTTCGACTCTCGCCGCCTTTGCGAACCGCGTTCTGTAATTGGGTAAGTGGCGTGTATCCCGATATTCGGACAAGGTACCTACAAATGATAAAGTATAACATTGTTCAGTAAAGCAGAAGCATAGAGATCCTGTGAGGAGATGGGTGAGGACGCAAGACAAAAAAAAGAAGCGTTAGTTACCTTATCGTCAGCAGAAGACGAACTTAAAGAATTCTGGACTGGATCTCGCAGAAAATCCTGATTGAGGTCTGTTACTTGTTGGAGACAAGCACAGTAGACGTTTTCCACAAAATCGGAGGAGGGACGAACAAGTTGTTCGTGACTCACAAGAAGGCCCCAGCCAGAGAGAGCGTTTATAATGTCAGGAATAGTCATTTGGGGAAATATCCCTTTCGCCATGCCAGTTGCTCAAAGAGTCAAAGTATTGTTGAAGATAGTCGCGTTCTTGTCACCTGATCATGATGAGCACTTCACGTGACGCCATCCCCCTGAACGGTTACCACCTACCTCTAAGTACTTCAGTAGTACTAGTAGTAGTACAGCATGTCCACCCTTGCAGAGCTCGTGCAGGAATGGATTCGGTTGGATAAAGTGAGCTAAAATTCTTTTTACCGTGCATCTCTTCTCTTACGGTCTTACCAGAATCCAGAGACACGAAAAGAGATACAGACTTTGTGGGCTGCAGGCCAAGTCGAGGAATTGGAAAAGAGAATGAGGTCCGCCTTCATATTCTTCCTGTCTACTTCTCGCAATTACTTCTGTTGAATTTTTAGCCCACGCATCGAGTTTGGCACAGCTGGTCAGTCTTGCCCTTCAAAGATACTTAAAATCAAAGTTCCATTCGGACCTTAGGATTGAGAGGGAAGATGGAAGCTGGATGGTCACGAATGAACGGTCGGTTATTTCATGTACATGCCATACATTTTTGGAGTCCTCAAATCTAGGTCAGATTTAATTATATTACAGGCCTCTCAAGTAAGCTCAGGCTGCTTTACTGGCAAGATTACAGTCTTTATCTCATCAACAATGAGGGTCTTTGTGCGTATGTTATGGCGAATGTACCTGATGCTCGTACCCGTGGGCTCGTCATTGGTCATGATCACCGTCACAACTCGGATCGCTGGGCTAGACTCACTGCCGCAGCATTTATTGAAGCAGGAATGAGGGTGCATATGTTCTATGACCTAGTCCCTACCCCATTGTAGATATTCAAGCCATTTTCACCGTTTATATCTTGATATTTTCTCTTCAGGGTACCTTTCAGTGTCAAGAGGTTACGGGCTGCTTGTGGGGTGATGGTTACAGGTACGCCTTGCGATCACGCTTGGCTGGAACTGACCATGTTTCAGCGAGTCATAACCCAAAGGTTCTTTGCAAATCCTTTTTATGAAAATTGCTAATTACTGTCCGGTTAGCAAGACAATGGGTACAAGGTAACAAGTTCCATCTGACGCTATCGCAGATTGACAACGTAATTGAATAGGTCTACTGGGAAAATGCAGTTCAGGTACTTTTTGTTTCCTTCCTATCTGCTTCTGCCCCATCTTACTTCTTATGAGATCATCGCCCCACACGACCAAGGCATCTCGGAGTCAATAAAAGCCAATCTTGAGCCCAAGGTATGGCCAACGACCGATTTACCCTCGGAGCTTTGCGCAGATGTCGGCAACGCCATGCGAGAAGCATATTTCGAGTCGCTTCAGAAAGCAAATTTGACGAGGCAGGAGTCCTATATATGTCATCATTCACTCGCTGACATTGTTTCCCACAGAGAGTTGAATGCCTCCCTGGGCGTGAGGTTTGTAAACACCTCGATGCACGGGGTAAGCGATCCATTTATCAGGCGGGGGTTTGAGGTCTTTGGATTCCCCCCGTATTTTCCTGTTCGAGAACAGCAGCGGCCAGATCCAGAATTCACAACTGTTCGTTTCCCTAATCCAGAAGAGAAAGGTAGGAGGAAGAGGAGGTAGAAGTGTTTTTGATGCGTCTTTGACACTCCGTTCAGGTGCACTGGACCTTGCACTGGCGACCGCGGACAAGGAGGGCGTGAAATACGTGCTCGCTCAAGACCCCGATTCGGATCGGTTCTCTGCGGCAGAAAAAAGGTGAGAGATGAATTGCTTCAAGAGCTTTCCCAACTTATCGTCGTCGCGCAGTCCAACAGGAGAGTGGATCAATTTTACAGGAGACCAACTCGGCATCCTCTTTGCCAGTCAAGCGCTTGACAGATACCGAGGGTCCGGGAAAGCGATCGACAAGCTGGCAATGGTCGCCTCTACTGTAAGTTCCAAGATGATTGAAGCTATGGCGAAGCGCGAGGATTTCAAGTTTGTTGAGTGTTTGACGGGTACGGCGGGGAGTGAGGTGGTTGCGTTGTTAACTGACTGTATTGCAGGTTTCAAATATATAGGCAACACTGCCCTGGACCTCGTGAAGGAAGGATATGAAGTGCCGTTCGGCTATGAGGAAGCCATCGGATTCATGTTTGGCTCTGAAATCAGGGACAAGGATGGAATAGCAGCGACGGTGAGCGGTATAGATGTACCGCTCGATCTGCCTTTTGAAGTTCTTGAAAGCTAGCGTTTGCAGAACTTGTCACCGCCCTTCAGTTTAAAGGACAGACAGCTTACGGATACCTCCAGGAACTGTACAAGACGTGAGCGAGGATGACACACAATTTGCCCGTCTGACAGCGAACTAGATATGGTTACTTCAAGACAAGCAATAGCTATTTTGTTTGCAACAACCCAATCACGATTGATCGAATTTTTCACCGCCTACGAAATTACTCGGTTCGGCTTGGTCTTTCTTTTCTTCTTATTTTGCTAATATCACACAAGATGAAAGATCGGACGTATCCCACTGAGATTGGAGGATTGGAGATCATCAGCGTCGTTGATTTAACCATTGGGTACGATAGCACGAACCCGCCAAATTACACCCCCTTTCTGCCCATCTCTTCTGGACATATGATTCAATTCAGGGCGAAAAGCAGAAACAATGGGACGAGCATTACGTTGACTATACGGTCAGCGATTTACCAAGTATTTTGGCGCTGCGGACGCTAACGCAACGACAGGACGAGCGGCACCGAGCCAAAGGTGAGTGATGTGCGTGGGGAAGACTGCAGAAGGATGACAGATGAACAGATAAAATACTACGCGGAGGGAAGTGGACGGGATGAAGAGGAAGTGAGTGGGTTACTTGGGAGAGTTGTAGAGGAATTGGGTCAAGTGTGGATGGAGGATGAGAAAAACGGACTTAAATAAGAGACGAATGTGACCAATTTATTCGGACGTGACACTTGACCCTAACACCTCTCACCACGATGACTCTCTTCAGTCGTAAAAAGTCGTCCTCCGACGACGCAGACGTTGTCAAGAAAGAAAAGGGCGGTTGGAGAAAACCCGCCAATACTGCTTTTAAGCAACAGCGCCTCAAGGCATGGCAACCAATATTGACGCCAAAGACTGTCCTACCCACCCTCTTCATCATCGGCATCCTCTTCGCACCCATCGGCGGTCTTCTCATCTGGGGCTCGTCTCTCGTTACAGAGATCACTTTCGACTACACTGAATGCGAGAACCTCACTCCCTCATCCGCAAATGACTCCCTCACCTTTTCCGACATCCCGCAGAACAAGTTTTCATATCGTCTGCGTGCCTCTGACAAGAACACCAATCCAACCACCCCTCGCTATGCTTTTCTCGATAATAGCGCGAATGCGTCGGTGACAGACATTCTAAGCAAGCGCCAATGTGTCGTCGAGTTTGACATACCCGCAGACCTTGATCACACCGTTCTCTTCTACTACAAACTCACAAACTTTTATCAAAACCACAGGCGCTACGTCAAGAGTCTAAACTCAGATCAGCTGAAGGGAAAGTTTGTCAGCGCAAGCACTCTCGACTCTAGCGACTGCAAACCCCTCGGCACCCTCGACGGCAAACCCATTTATCCCTGTGGGCTCATCGCAAACTCCTTCTTCAACGATACATTTTCCACTCCCATCCTACTCAACCCCACTAATTCGTCAGAGTCCTCCCAGCCCTACGTCTTTTCTTCCGACGGCATCGCTTGGCCTGGGGAGGCGAAAAAGTACGCCACCACCCCCATTGGTCCTGGAGGTTATGGCAACCTTTCCGATATCGTTCCTCCTCCCAATTGGCGATCTCGCTTCCCAGACAACTACACCGAAGCCAACCCGCCCCCTGATCTTCGCGCGGACGAGCATTTCCAGAACTGGATGCGCACAGCCGGCTTGCCAACGTTTACTAAGCTGCACGGAAGAAACGATACTGATAAGATGCTTCAGGGCACTTACAGGATCATCATTGGTCTCAGTAAGCTTCCTTTTGCCTCCACTCAAATAACCTCTCATCCTTCAAAGACTATCCCGTCCTCCCGTACAAGGGCACAAAGTCTTTTGTCATCTCCACCGTATCATGGATTGGTGGGAAGAACCCTTTCCTCGGATGGGCTTATGTAGCAGCTGCGAGTGTTTTTGTTCTCCTTGCCATTCTTGGCACCGCACGACATCTCATCAAGCCAAGGTTAGCGGTTTTCACCTTCCCTCCCGTGCTTTTCATGAAATCTTCCTTTCAGACGACTCGGAGACATGTCTCTTTTGTCATGGAATCGATAGATAAACCTCTGTATATAAGTACTAATGACTTTTAATGTAATTCTTCCTGATGATATTGATATCCGATTCCTTGACAACGAATGATGACTGTCCCGGACGATTCCTCCTCTACCTCGAATTTGGCATCTGTAAGTTGCTGTGCGAGCCAAATTGCAGTCTGGGTGTGCAATGTCACAGCCCCTGTTCTTACTTGCGAGGTGCCCTCTGCCAATGCCATGAATATGATCATCTGGTCTTGCAGCCACTTTATAAGACCAATGGGACGTTAGAGTGAAATAGAAAGAGGAGAATAGTTGAAGAATATTATCAACATTCACCTCGTCGACACAACCTCCTCCCTCTAATCCCCTGATCAATTCCTCAGCCGCCTCCTCCCCTACCTTTTCAGGCGCTATGCCTTTCCTACCCACAGCGCTTCCCCCAATCATCCCCCCACCTTCCAGTTCCGCCCACAATACAATCCCACTCCCACCTCCCAGCGACAATGAGTTGGGCTCACGTTGGCAGTCGATGTTGACAGTTTCCAACCCAGCCTGCGCTAGTCGTTTCTTCGCCCCGAGCACCATCTCACTCCCCACGACCAAAGGAAGTTTAGCGTAATGTGATATCCCGCCAATACTTTTCACCCCTCCCCGCTCCAGTAGCGTCACACTTTTCAGCTTGTCTTGGGTTGGGGTAACGCGGACACTCACTTCCCCCCCGCCTTTGGGAAAGTACCCTCGCTTTCTAATGTCTAATAGGATACTCTCCCCACCAAGTCCAAAGTGCCGCTTAAGGAACGGGAGGAAGACATGCTTCGTATAGTCTATCTGGGGTGCTTGTGTTGCATTGGTTCCGCCGAGGAGTGTCAGCGTAGAAGGCCCCACGGGCCTAGACGAGAACACGAGAAGGGGGAGAGTGATTTGCAACAGGAGGGTGATAGACCCAGCGGTTACCGTGTCCGCAATATAATTCCCTGGGAGTTGTACGCGCCCTGGAACAAACTCGATGTCCGTTGACCCATTCTTTGCTCCAGTAAGACGCGCAGATGCCAATTCAGCTGCAAGTTCCAAACCTAGTACGGTATGTTGTCAACCAATAGCCGTAGACGTACACTCTTTGCTCACCAGTCCGATGCTGGTTCTTGAGACCAGGTGGCGTGCGGCCATCTCGAATTTTGTGAATAACTACTGGCTTTGAGAGCAACGCGGAGAGTGAAACCGAGTTGCGGAGAATCTGTCCTCCACCTTCGAGCACACTGCCATCGATGAGGACGCTCGCCATGGCTGCCAGTGTCATGGTGAGGGACCCACTGGGGACCCGCAACGAGTAACAACCAAGTCATAGCGGAGTTTGTGTATGTATTGTATAGTTCTTATGTAGGGGGTATACTATTCCTTTACTGTCTGCTCAAGGTATGACTTCTTTGAATTCGGTTGATCGGGAGGAAACTCGTCTTGTCTATTTGCTGAGGGGCACCTAGATGCTGTCGTGCAGTCTTCATTCCCATACTATGAATCGCGCTAAGCATCAGTTCTTGCTCCCGTCGATACCGTGCCCTCGATTCTTTCGTTAAACCCTACTCAAGCCATTAACTTCATACAACCATAGACAACTGAATGAGCAAACTTTTTGTCGAGCCAATTCCTCCTCCAGCACTTTGATCTGGGAACGGAAGCTCACTTCTGCCTCTTCAAACGTCCCCTGCTGTGAAAATTTGTAAGCCAAGCTATGTGGACGGAATGAAGAACCGACAGGTGCAGAGGCTGTATTTGCTGCATGTTGTTCTTTAAACAATTTGTCCTGAGACTTGATGAACTTTAACCGACATGGGTGATAAGTGACAGGAATCATGGCAAACAGTTTATTGTACCTGCTTCGCCTTGTTCAATTTTTCTTGCAACGTCTTGGTTGATTCCTTCAAAGCTACATTTTCCTCGTGCATCGCGAGTAGCCGTGATTTGACATCCTCAGGTAAATCCTTGCCCGAAATCGACACACGGAGATCACTAGGTGACGTCAGATGCCAGGTTTTTGAAAGTTGGTCAAACACATGCCCAAAATCTCTCTCCCTCTGTAGCATTTTCTCTCGGTGTCCAATGCCTTCGCTCTGCAAACTCATCTTTTCCAATAGCAATGCATTGACCTGTTCCAATTGCATTCGAGTCTTATCATTCAGTTCTTTGTTGAGCCTTTTCAGGCGTTCAACGTCCGCCTCTAGACCCGCCTTATCTTCGTTGACAGACTCACGCAGGGTAGCGAGAATATCTAATTGATCTTTGTTCACAAGTGTCACTGAAAAGAATTGTCTGTATCAACGTCATATTTTGACCAGGTCGGGAAGAAGCACCCACAATCAGATTTGGCAATAGTGAGTTCTCTGTTCACTGTATCGTATTTGACCTCGAGCTCCGTGTGCTCCTTCCGTAACGTTTCAAATTGTTCCACGGTTTCGTTTAGACGTTGACGCAGGGCAATGGCAGCTTCAGCTCTAAACGCGATATAAGTAGTCTTTCTTGAATAGCTGCGTATGGTGTTACATACCCGTCACCCATCGACTTTCCACTTCTAATTTCCTCCAGATCTCTCTGAAGGACTAGCTTTTCGCGGTGAGCAGTAAGATAGTCACTTTCGTATCTTGCTTTCATCCTATTCGCGTCCTCCAACAAATTCTCCAGAACCAAAACGCGACTCGCATCCACTTCGTTTTTGCGGACAGCTTCTAACTCCCGATTTAGCTTCCGGATTTGCAACTTCAGATCTGTCATAGTGGTGCCCGCAATCGCATCATCGAGCTCCCCACCTAGACCTTGTTCGGCATGGTCGTCAGCTACATCCACACTCACATCATCCGTGACCGTCAGAAGTTCCACTTCCGTAAACTCATCAGGTTGCTTAGTTGAATATGTGGCCTTCGACCCGATGGGGCGACTGTTAGCAATCAACTCCAGCTCTCCTACGCGTTCCTGATATAGTTCTAGGGCTTCAGCGTCCTTCGAGCGCTCCTCCAGAGTAATCTTGAGCTTTGTTCGACTTTGCTCAAGCTCAAATTTGAGGCTCTCGATTTCTTGCGTCCGCGAAGAGGTCTTGGTTTCGAGATCAGCAATCTGATTCTTGTAAGATTCCATAAGAGGCTTAAACGCGGCCACTTTGCGATATTCTTCTTCAAGCGACGCATTTTTATCCACGAGATCTGCGTTTTGTCTCTCTAGTGCCTAACAACGACCTTGAGCCAGCATTGACGAAGGAATTTGTCGTCGAGTCTACCTTCACATTGAGACGCAGATCTGCACCCTCCTGAAGCTTTTTCTTGTATTTTTCCATGACGTTCTCCGTCTTCTGTAGTTTGTCTGCAGCATGTCGGTATCTAGAAGTTGTCTAGGGAGGAACTACGAGAGAGAAAAATGGCGCACTCATCCACTCGGTCTTTCAATTTCACGGCCTCATCCGCCTTGATTTGCAACTCATCCATTTTTCGTGTGAGATCGGTCACCAGGCTGGTATTCTTATCCAACTCTGACTCCGCCATTGCAAGGTTATCTTCGCTCTTCTGGCTGACATGCTCCTCATACGTCGGGGAAAGGGGGCAAGATGACGTTATGATACTCACAGTTCTGCCCTCAAGCGATCAATTTCGGCCCGCATTAACGCATCTGACTTTTCGTTCCTCCGTCCATCAATTTCGCGACGGACTTGTCTAAGTTGAGCCTGTGCGTCCTCTTTTTCTGATATCATGTCGTCGAAGTTGGTTTGCAGAGCGCGATGATCCTCCAAAAGGGTCTGATAGACTTTTTCCAGAGTTTCCTTCTCTGAGAAAATCTGACTCCGTTCAGACTGTATTCTGTAGTAGTGATCATCTCTTGCATCGAATAAACATTAAAGTAATACGCAGTGAAAAAGTTCAACACGCACTCCGTCATATTAGCCTCTCCGATATCATTATTGGGAGCAGATGCTATCTTTGCCATAACCTGAGACAGAGACTTCAGAATCAAAACGGCTTTGCACAGTGTATACACACCTGCTCGATAGCCTTCATAAGATGGTGCTGATCTGCCTCACTCAGTCCCTGTATTTTATCAATGAACTCTTTGTTCTTTTCGCATTGTACACCGATAACCAATGTTAGACGGCACAACGTGAGGACTGCGGGGAGGTTATGGTCTTTGGCAATGGCTTGCAGGTCAGGTACATCTAGACTGCTGGTGGGCTTCCGCAGTACATCAGCGAAATACTGTGTCATAAGACGGTAGAGTCGCTTGAGAGAACTGAATCGCAGGACCCAGTTGTCCGATGGCTGAGCAGAGGGCCGTGTGGATTGTCGAAAGTAGGCGCCATCGCTGAGTGTTTCATAATCATTACGAGCTCAAACGCGACGGTAATAGCACTGACACCAAAGAAAGCACCTCAAAAAGAGCTGCACCGTCGCTAAGGTCAGATACAACTGTCACTGGTCGCGCGAGAGTGAATGTCGCGAAGAAGTTGAAGAATGCCTCAATTTCCTTTCTCTGCGGGGAGTCAGTCATGCCTTTTGTGATTCTTTTGTACAATTGGTGGCCTTGGAAGCCTCAGCCAGCCAAAGCTGGACACAGAGGAGATGCGCGTGGAGAGTAGAAATTGGTGTGAGGCATGTCATTATGTAATTATAAACAGCATATTCCGCACTCAGGCTTTGGCGAGCAGTTTCTTCAGTTCAACATTTTTTCTCTCCAGTCTTTCTAGCTTCCCCCCTGCAGCGAGCATTTTCTCCGCTAAATATCGCGCTCTTTCGCGACTCGCACTTTTCATTCCAAAGAAGAAACCCCACCAGTGCCGGGGCTCCACAGAGATGACTTCGGCAAGCACCATCAGTTCTTGTTCATATGTTTTGATGGAACTCTCTGCAGCATTAATCATTTTTTCATTGAATGCAATATCTTGCGTAGTCTGGAAAATACGATCTAATGGTGCTTTTAGTCAATTGCATCCCATTTCAGAATGTCCTCACCATTCACTAGACGTTCGAAGACCCATCGAAATACAGGTTTTCCAGGACGGATAGTTGAGGGTCGACCTATACATAGATAAGGGACAGTATGACAAGCCAGCAGCAATGTTTACCTTCATGTGTGCTAATAGAAATCAACTCTGCATGCTCCATGCCTCTCAAAGCGGTCTCGTCTCCTTTGAAAGGAAAGTCCACCAATACATCGTAGTAAGGCACCTGCACACCGAATCAGTGCTGTAAAATCTCGAGAAAAAACCTAAATCACCTCTGGCTGTTGAGATAGTAGCCGGATGACCTTCCATGCTTGTTCCCTTGTCCACAGTAGACCTTTCGCGTCGTCCACATCATCCCCAAATGCATTTTTCCGCAGCTCACTAACCCCTTGGTTAATAATCTCCTCAACGGCTTCTTCAACTGATTGTCCGTTCCGCATCTTGTGAATCAGCTATAATGCGGTGATCAGGGATTTGATTTGAAGGTGAAAAAGCTAACATACACTTTCAAGATCACTTGCCCGACCACCGAGACGTCTCACGCACTTTGTCTGCTCGGCGGAAAATGCAATATCCATCCCTGTGTATCCAAGCTTTTGCTTTAAGAAAGCTAGAGAACCAGAAGCGTCTGCATCCGACAACGCGATCGTGTATAGGGGTTTAGAAGGTAATGCTATCGGCCGGTTGAACATACAAGAGACCGAAGAAGCTCAGGCGTATCGTACCTTTTGCAAGGCGCTTGGAGTTCTCCCGGTTGTCGCTGGTGACGATGACATGGGCAATCTAATGAAGTCACCTCTGTGGGGCATTACTCATGCATTGAGCCCTTACCTGCTTTTCAGCCAATGACGCAGCCCACTGGGCGAGCACAGTCAGCAATTCCTCTCGATCCGACCCTATCTTGGTGGTATAATTCCTGATCACCACAACAGGCAGTGCATTCACAGTATCAAAATGCTGTTGGTATTGGCCCGTTTTCTCTTCGTTTTCAGAATGCTCCTTTGCTGTGAAAGACACAGCATCTGCTTCATCAAATCTTTCATCACCTACACCGAGTTCACTCATGATTCCATTCCCTGCGACGCAATCCAACCTTCCATCGTGCCAAACGCCCTGGCGAATCTGGTTCCTTCTTCGTTCTGCTTGAATACGAGAGACTTCTCTTTTCTCGTCATTCTTGATCTGGCGTTGGATGGCAGCTCGATGGGATGACGTGACACCTTTTAATGCTGTCTCGGTTGCAGATAACACCTCTTTCAGTTGGTCAGAGAGCGAGTTGCTCAAGCCAGCTGAATGCAAGATCAGATTGTAACCAAGACCAAAGTATCCTGCGCGCACTCTTTTGTCCAATCAATCCGATGCTCGCAAGATCGATCAAGTTGTTCATTGAGTTTAGGAAAGTGAAAACAGGCCAATAACCCGTTTGTGCCGCCAGCGCCCCAATAAGTTGCGAATCGGTCGTGGCGCTTTGTAGGTCTTTGCAATCAATGATGAGTGTTGTTCTACACAGGGCTTAGTGGCAATTCACGCAGTCAGGCAGCAAGAACTAACCTCCCAGTCTCCTCGACAATTGTGCCTAGCATCCTGGATTTTCCGCTGCCTTGAGGACCATGAACAAAGGCAACTGTCGCTGAAGGATCATAAGAACCACTTAGTTCATGTGAAAAATGACGGCATACTGGGTGTATCCGTGAGATACGCCTTCATCCCAGTCTCAGCTTCTTTTCGCTCTTGCCACACAGCCGCAGGTGAAGTTTCTTTCACGGTGGAGGAGTCCAAAGTGCCTACAAAGCGTCCAAAAGTGCTAACTTGAAGCCACCGGTAAAGCTTGAATTCTGTGTGACAGTTAGAATAAATGGCGAGTTTCAATGCTAGACAGGGCGAGCCGACTTCGATAATCGAACCATTCCAGCATCTTCCCTTCTATCATGAACGAGCGAATTGGATCGAATATCTAACGTCATAAGACATGCATACGACCCTCAAAGTAAAATAGAAATACCGTATATGTCAACGTTCCGAACAAAAATACCAGAAGTGGTAACATGATCTTCGGATGGCTAGACATCCAGTCGCGGATGGCGTGTGCTTGAATGGGCTTTTGATAAGCTACACGCAAGCGGGTCGGACTCGTAGAGCCGGAAGGGTAATTTAAACCATGGATGACGTTCCGCGCTATGGCAGCTGATTGAAGGCGTTGGAAGGTAATTGTTGTAAAACGCAGGGCACCAGCGGGAACAGAGCCAGCAGGCGTCAAATCGCGAATACGGCCATACGGCTAAACGCCCAATTTACAGACACGCAGTTGTAGAAAGCTAATAAGACTTACACGGCAAAGTTGGTAAAGGGCTTGTTCAGACACATCTGTTCCTTCAAACGCGATCTTTAGGATGGGAGAGGCAAAGCGATTCATGTCCTAACGATGGGAATGATCAAACCTACTTATGTTGATAGGAATGAATTACAATACCTCCTTCCACGGGGTTCCTTTCACCACCCAAGCTCTCCCTCCCGTAAAACCCAGCAAGGACGGCAAGCCAGAGTGTTTGTCAGCTTCCTCCATAACCGCAGCTTCAATTTGTTCGAGTGCCTTGTCGTTGTCTTCCTCGGGGTTAATGGGAGAATATGAAAACCTGACAAAGACGCCTCCATCTTTCCGCTGTGGCTCGAGTGCGACGACACTGAATTTGTGGGATGTAACATTTCCAAGCCTAGCATGAAGAGTCTCCAGAAGGTTTTCTTCGCGAACGAGACCTAAATAATGCCTAAGGCTATGTGTTGATCGTCAGATTGATGCAGAAATGTTCTTCGACGCCGACGTACTCCCATCTAGCTATTTGGATGGGAAAGACTGAATCAATAAATAACCAGGCTTCACGGGTTCCCTGAGAGAATAAATTTAAAAGGACTTGAGTGAGATACGGGAAACCCTACTTTGGCGGAGATGCAAAACCGTCTGCTCGTCGTTCTGGGCAGCATGGGTGTGATGCGTGACGGTGTGACCATCTGACATGTGTAACACGGTGTTTTCAACTTGACCCTTTGGTCGTCGATGGCGTCGTCGAGCTCGCATTCTACTCAGCGACGAAAACGGTCTCAGAAGAGGCAACCCGTCGCTCGTTCAACTTCTTCGCTTTTTGGGACCATCAAGAATATTGTGACGGCCCCTCTCACTTGGTTTTCAGCCACAGATGATTTTGAAGACAAGGATTCCCAAGGCAAACGCAGGAGGCTCGTTGCAGCCCCTGCGGAGCCCAGCTCAGACGACGATGAGAGGGCAGCACGGAACAAACGCATGAGGATTCAAAGCCCTCCTAAGCACTCGCACCCTACTCCCTACCTCGATCCTCCTACTTCTGTTTTTTACTCGGAAAAAAGAAACGGGTTCCCCAGTATAGCCCATTCAGAGTTGGTGTCAACCATCCCGGATCGACCTCTAGCCGAGTCCCGTTCAACTCTCTCTCCCATGCGACACCTCTCAATTTCACGTACAATGTCCATCGATCCTCCAGTCCGTCCTCTTTCTCGCGAAGCCTCCTTTACCAACCAATCTCTTCGCGACATCTCCATGAACAATGCTTCCTTTACACGTTCGCGTGATCTCTCTTTGCCTCCTATGCCTGTTTCTGCTCGTCCTTCCTTTCGCATGCGCACTTCCATGACCCCGCAACCGCAGCAGCAACATCGCGAGCTGTCAGAGCCACCACCAATTAATACGCTGATCTCCAATCCCATCTTTATTCATGGCCCTCCCCCTCAGCCTTCCGACTTGCAGCAGAGCACATCAGCCCAAACAACCCTTGGCTCACTGGCTGAAACAGTACGAGTCGTGAGTTCTCTCATGACCATATTTCAAAACGTTGTTCATTTTTATCTTCTTAAAGACTCGCTCACCTATTCGACAACACAGTTCCCTACTTTTTGGTGCATCATCGAATGTTGACAACCCAGACAGTGCGTTCGTAAAAATAACTTTTGTCCATCTGTCACTTACTCGCTCTCAGTGGATCGCCAGCAAAGCCCGGCGGAGCGGGTGCTTCATGAACTTGATGTCTACAGAACGCCGCTACTTCCCTCCCGTCTCCGCTCAACTAATACACTCTCATCATCGTCCATCACTGCCTCATCATCGGGTCTTCCTGACATGTTCAAATCTCGACGCGGTCCCCATTTGATTCTCATGCAGGATAACAAACCCGTTGAACGGTTGGGACGAAAGGTTAGACCAAATGGGAAGCCGGCAGTGGTGAACGAAACAAAACCGTACGCTGGTGAGGGGGGCATGAAGAAGTTTCTTGCTCGACGGAAGTTGGAATGTGAAGAAGACCAAGAAGACAATGGAGAAAAAGTCGAGGGCGATCGTGAAATAACGCAATCTATCGAAATGGCTAATATGACCTCTCTTACATCTAAAGAAGTGATCAACCCTATACCTCCTTCACACATACTACCCCAAAAAAATTCCGCCGATTTCGCTTCCTCCTCCTCCTCTTCGGGGTCTTCACTTCGTGTAGGTCGGGCCAAGACGTCTCGAAATCATATCAATCGCCCTGTTGCGAGACCGTCGAAGACCAAGTTCTCTGCTGTCTTTGAGGACGACGGAGATGATGCCATGGGTGGAGATGATGAGGATGCTTTGAAAGAGAAGGAGATATTGAACGAATCTGCTCGAAATGCTCCGGTGTTCAACATACCAGCCGGTTTTAGCTTCGCCAAAGAAGTACGTCCTCGGCTCTTTGCCCTCGCTTCCTCTTTGTTCACTTTTTTGCCAAGACGAAGCCCATCGAGCATGATCTCACTGGTGCAAAGGAGCCTCCAATTACCTCATTACCTTTCTCATTCTCAAAAACGGTGGTTCCGCGAGAATCCAAGGCGTCCGCTTTTGATTTGTCTTCAAAAAGGATCGATCCTTCCACCGTGCTGGAAGGTGGCAATTCTGCTTTTGCACCAGCTTCTGTTTCAATATTTGGACCATCGAGTTCCGAGTCCACAGAGCCAGCGAGGAAGTCACCAACAACATCTGATTCTACGCCTGCAATCCCCAATTTTTTTGCAATGTCGTCCGTGCTGTCTAAGCCAATAGAGATAACGCAAACCACCACCCTCACAAGTGCAAACCCAACGTCAGCCTTCTCAACTGATCCTTTGAAACCCGCTGCTCCAGTTAAAGATGCAGAAAATCCCTTCTGGGACGGAGAGAGTAAGAAAGACGATAGCAGTAGAGATACCACGGGTTTATTTGGCGGTTTCAGCGGACTTATTAAGTCTGCGACGACCAGCGCAACCTTGGATGGATCGAAGCCTGTGGTGGACAGCAATAATGCTACCATATCCGTATTTTCGGGGACTGCTTTGGTGCCACAGGTTCATTCCGCTTTTGACGCAGTGCCTACAGTCACGCCTCCAGCCTTCTCCTTCGACAAACCACCTCAAGCTACCTTTACATTACCTCCCAGCTCCAGTACTGCAACAAACCCGCCGAAACCGGCATTCGGGGAGCTTTCGAAAGATACAAACATCCTGGTCCCATCCGGAGAACAGTGCAAATCTGAAGGGGTTGAGGCACCAAAGCTCAAGGATAATCTCTTTGCCATAGAAACTCATAAGAATGTCAACAGCTTCGAACCTTTTGGCGCACAACCCAAGAGTACACCGTCAGTCTCTTCTTCCTCCGCACCATCCCCATTTTTGCAAGTGGCACCGACAACCAACCTTTTCGAGACTGGGGGCGCAAAATCCTTCGCAAGCACCGAGACGCCGGCTTTGTCTTTCACTACGAAGGCTCCCGCGGATGCACCAAAGCCATTGTTTAGCTCTGGTTTCTCATTCGGTGAAAAATCAGCTGTTACTGAAAAGATCAAGGGGCAGCAAGAAACACCATTTTCATTTGGAGCACCGCCTAGTACACCTCCAACTGCTACGGATTCAAAGAAGACGCTGTTCAGTTTTGGATCTCCTGCCCCTTCTGTCTCCACTTCACCAGCTCCCGTGACGTTTTCGTTTTCTGGAGGTGGCAGCACCGTTGCTGATGTATCGAACGAACTGTTCTCCTTTGGAACACCTTCCGCAGTGACACCCGCAGATCGCCCCGTCACACCGCCGAAAAGTCAAGATCACGAATTCAGGATGGAGGAAAGTCCAACGAGAGAAATGCAGCAAACAAACGGTGGTAATGGAAACGCTGAAGCTCGGCCAACGTTGTCTTTCTCTTTCAATTCGTCCACATCCGCACCACTATTTGGTGGTGTCCAACCAATCGCTTCTCCAGTTTCAAACCCATCATCATTCTCGTTTGGTAGTACTACTTCTGCAGCTGGCAATCCCTTCGCCCCAAAAGAGACCAAACCGCAGTTTGAAGGTTTTGGTCAGATGTCTGCCACTCCTGCCACCACATTCAATTTTAATCAGGTGAAAGCTCCTGACCCTGCTGAGGCACAACGTCCAGCTACCACTGGTTCCTTTTCTTTCAATACAACTCCCACTTCAGCAACAGGATCGGCACCTTTCAGTTTTGCGGCACCTTCAAATCCTTTTGGTCAATCACAAGCTGGATCAGCACCCAGCAGCCCATCGACATTCAATCAGCCCTCACCCTTTGCTTTCGGACCTTCGGCAGCCTCTGCGAGTACAGCCTTCTCATTTGGATCTCAACCTGCATCACCTGCTGGGGGTAATGTTAGTCTATCGCTTCCCCAGGTGTCGACGTCAAGCGGCTTCGGCGGCGGATCAGGCTTTGGAGCAGTGGCACCGCCGTCTCCTTTTAGTGGACCAGTGCCACTTGCACCATCAACTTCATCTGGTGGGACCCTCTTCACGATTGGAGCAGCACCGGTTATTGCACCTCCTGGTCCAGGAGGCCCCAGGCAAATCAGAAAGTTGCCCAACCGAAGAGGGGGTGCCAAGCGGTAACCCGAAGTTCAACAAGCTTTGCAGATGTGGACATGTTACTATATTGCTCTAGCTACCATGATGATTTGTTTCCTCCTTCCATGTAGACACATGCAGTTTAAGCTCAGTATCATGGTTCCAATGTCACACAACCCGATGCAGGCCTGGTGAACTGACGCAGACCTGCTAGTGAATGGCTCAGATGTAGTATGTAGCTCTGATATAACTTGGATGCTCTTATATAGCTTGGATACTCTGATATATATAGCTTCTTAAGCAATGTGATATAGCCCTGCAGTATGTGTGGCTCAATCTAGTTTAGTTGTATGACACATTTCTGAACTTAACCTGGTCTCATTGCTTAGCTCTCCCTCGACTAGATTGCCTACTGACTATGGCAGTGGTGGACGGACCAACTCATCTTCTCTCTCTCAAGGTAATGCGCTTGTCGGTGAGGAACTTCTTTGAGCGTCCCTCTGCCCAAAAATCTTACCTGTACGCACGCCCAGCGACCTGATTTGGCCAGCGCATGGGAGCCCTTTTATTCAAGTTCTCCCTCCTTTTCGGTGGATTTTGCATCAGACTCGAACGTCTCCCTGCGGTTAATACATTTTTAGTAGGCCCATTCATCCGCTGCAATTCTGTCCTTGCAGGGAGCTTCACCTCTTTCCGGCCATCCCAAGACACTTCGGGACCTTACACAGGCCGTGGAGCTCCTCACTTTACCATCATCTTTCGGCTCAATTCAGCTAGGAGAAACCTTCTCTAGTTGCCTGTGTGTGAACAATGACGCTCAAATCGAGATCGAGGTCACTCAAATGAAAGTTGAGATGCAAACCGCGAGCACCAAAATCATACTTTCCGAGACGGCAGACCCGGGACATCACTTGGCTGCTGGAAAGACTCTCCAGAGCGTTGTTCATCATGAAATCAAAGAGCTCGGTCAACATGTTCTTGCTTGCACCGTAACGTACAGGTCACCACCCAACGTTCGCAAAGTTCCTGGTGCAGCGGAAGATGCTGGCGACCCCACTCTCCAAACGTTCAGAAAGTTTTACAAGTTTGCGGTAATACTCATTCAAGATTGTAATGCGCCCGTCTAATACCCGTTTCAGGTTACCAACCCACTATCAGTCAAAACCAAAGTACATGCAGCCAGATGCCCTTCGGCGCTGCTATCCGGTGAAGAAAGAGAGAAGATTTTCCTTGAGGTGCACATTCAAAACCTGACACAGCAGCCGATGTGCTTTGAACGCATGCGGTTTGAATGCGCGGATGGGTGGGAATCCGAGCATGGAAACCTTCTGCGCAGTGAGGGTGTTGATAATCCAAAAGGCATCTTCTCTGGACCGCTGGCTCTAATGCAACCTCAAGATATACGGCAATATGTTTACATTCTTACTACTAAGACTCCCACTGTGGCGCCGACGGTTCACTTGCCGGGAAATGTCATCCCGCTTGGGCGATTAGACATTTCCTGGACTTCGGCGTTCGGAGAGCCAGGGCGCCTGTTAACTTCAATGCTTTCCCGCAGAATTCCATTGCCATCTGTTCAACAGCCAGTTTCTGCGTTGCCGCCTTATCTTAAACGTTCTACGGGACAAGAAACATCTCGCCCACAATCCCCTCAACCATTCCCATCTCGTCCTGGAACTCCACCTATTAATAGACCAGGATCGCCAGCACACAACAGACCATCCTCTACGGCATCAGTACAGCCGCAATCTGTTGCTCAAACTTCAGCATTTGGAGCACTTCCCGAACTCGATGTTCACCTTTCAGTGTGTCATGTACCTCGGGGTTCAATTATCTCTGAGAAACCATTTACTGTTTCATTCGCGGTTTCAATTTTAACGACGGTACCCCTGCATCACCGAAGGAGGGTGCGACTTGCGGTGCAACATATCCAACCTTCACGGACAACACTTCTGCCAAATTTACCCGTGGGTGCGGAAGCCTTTAGCCCCCGTTTACCTTCCTCTGGATTTTCAACACCATCCTCTGCGACTGCGTCGTTCAATTATGCTCTTGCTCACCAGAAAATCCTTGCCGCAGCTGCTCGTACTCTGCTTACTGGTGAGGGTGAACCTGAGCACCCCGATAAAGAGGCGTTCCTTCTCCCGCCTCCCTTTTTTGAGAGTGCAGATGAACTCCAAAATTCTCACCCCCGGAATGTTAGTTTTGTCGGTCCCTCTGTCGTGTTTTTGCCTTTTGTTGAATTATTTCCCAACAATCAATCCGATCATGCGATCGTTGCCAACCAGGATCATGGGACAACAGCGGAGGCTATACAGAAGTTTGAACTCTCTTACGTGCCTTCATACCCGGGTTTTACCACCTTTGGAGGACTACGCTTACTGCTACTGGACGACGACACTTCAGAACAATCAGCGGAAAATCCCACTGACAATAAAAGAACAAAGCTGCGTCGAGCGCAAAGCTTGAAAGAGTACCCGGTGGTTGCTGAGGTTTGGGTATCACCAGCATGATCAAATTCTTAATGTTACTAGTGTGATATGTACTGTACATTCATCGCCAATCGAGCCTGGCAAAGAACTTCCAACAAAAATGACAAGTCGCTGGATCTGATAGGTTAAGCGGTTACCCAAGGCTGACTCACAAGTTGCTGCACAGACAACAGTGCACGATATCGAACGTCAGAGTTAGGATGACTCATCAACTCCATGACTCGGGCCTTTCCACCCAGGTCTGTTATCGGTCTATTAGGGAGAAAAACTGAGTAGCATGAGTGCAATAGATGCGGACTCCTTACATCTTGCCCCTCTCGTAGTGCTTGACGTACTGACCAATATCATGAGCAGCGACAGCAAGGACGGTTACGTCGCTTGATTCCTTTAATAAGTTGACTAAAATTCTTAGGAAAGAAGTGATTTAGTAAGTTTCGGAATGAAGAGGCGGATTACGGACTTCAATTGTTCAAAATTTTTATCATTCAGCCTCGCTGCATTTTCCTTCCAAAAATCTTCCGATTCGTGTACGGGGGTCCATGATAAATGCCCCGAAGAGAGCTCGGAAGTATATTCATCGTATGTCCTGGATGTCATTCCATAATCCGTTGGCCAGAGATGAAGATATATTATTGGAGACTTACGTCAAGCTCTGGAATCTGGTGTTGAGCTCATCTTTGAGGAATCGAACGTCCTCAAGTATATCCTCATCTGACCACTTGCGAGTGGCAAGATTTTTGATGAATGGTAGGAGTTGACAAACAAGCATCGCGGGCAGATTTGCAGCTGGAGCTTTGACTACCAAATTCTGCGTGATGAATGAGTAAGTTCGCGATAGCTCGGGCTGATAAGACGGACCCGAAAAGTAGCGACGATGACGCGGATGACCTTCTCCTTCACTGCGCCCTGCGCGACGTCTATGAGTTTCGGTATTACATCATATTGTCTGAATAGAGCAAGGTTTAGAGCTGGTAGCAGTCGTTGCGTAGATATTCTGACTTGTTGATTTGTTCAGAAATATTCTGCTCGAACGATAGCAGCCACAAACAGAAGGCAACTTGATAACTCATTTGCGGGCCGGGATTCTGCTTCAGGATGTCAACAAAACTAATGATACGTCATAAACCAACAATTGACAAAATAAAGAACATTGTACGAACCCAGATATCACTCCGGGGATCTCCCAGACCGCTTGCCGAAATTCTGGTCGAGAAAGGAGGGATTCTAAGCACTGAACTGCAACATCCCGCTTATTAGATGATTGTCCTTGAACGGAACTCGACAAAGTGGTTAAGAATGATGATATCTGGTGGGATTGCAGAGGCGTAGCCTGCGCACTGATTGAAGGATGTGAACGTTTTGAGCATGGCATTTTAAAACAAATTATCGCAACCTTAATAGTATTGTGAGGATCTGGGCAGCCTTCAGTTGAACGAATTCGTCTTGAGTATCGAGGATTCTGCAGTTGGAGGTCACCGCCTTTTCCGAACAACCAAGAGTGCCCAAACCAACCGAAGTAAAGGTACGAAAGGAAGATCAGGGTCCGACTCTGAAGCCCGAATAAACAACTGAATTCGTTCTTCGTGGTCTAATGCAGAGATTAGGACAGCGTAGATATGGTCGAAGGCGGGAAAGCACCTGCTAGGGCGTCTGCAACAAGAACAAGTAGACATTGCATAGTATCGACTCTCTGAAGCTTCTTCAATAGATTGAGGTAGAGCAACGTGTAGGTGCTGCCTTCGGACAGCAGCACGGACTCTATCTTTGCTTTAGGTTGTCTATCAACCCGCTTTATGAGGGTGAGTTCCTCGGAGGTGATGAGACCTGCGCGTTGATAACCCTGTGTGGGCTTGATTGGGTACAGATGTGTGAGGCGAGCCACACGGACTGACCTCCCATGGTACTGGCTTTGACCTTATCTTGGAGGACGATTCCTCAAGAAATGTATTGGATACCAGCGATAGGGCCATACCAAAGAACTTGAGAAGATGAAAGTATTGGTCAAGCGCAATTTAGTGAAATCTCACGGTGCGCGTGACTGTCATATTTTATCTTTGCTGCTACATACCGTTCTACTCGTTGCTCTGCTCGTCGTCCACCATGCTTTCGCGGACGGCTCTCAAGTCACCCAATGCAAGAGGTAAGTTTGACCTGCTTGCGTTGGCGAATCTAACACTCGGTTGTTCACAACAGTTTCCTTGGGGCGTGCATTCGCAACGGAACTAGCCACGTCCACCTCCAAAGCGGTTTCGGAATTGCCGTCCCAGTCGCGTTTGAAGAAGCCTCGCACCGTCATAGCGACCTCTGTCATCCTGAACCGCTCTCCCATTCTAACGCGGACGCCAACACTGTTCGAACAAGCATTCTACGCCTACCAAGCTCGCATCCGACGCGCGCTTCACAACCCCTTCCCCTATGACTTTTACTTCAAGCAGGGGTCTCTATTAGAAACTCGCTTCAACATGGAAGAAAGAAAACGAGAACGTCAGGCCTTCGGTCCTAATTTCGTGTCTGACGATGTCGTGGACCCAGAGAAAGCAGCTGCAGACAAAGCAGCTGTCGAACAACTTGCCCTTCAAGAGGGTGAAGGTGAAGAATTAATGCCCCGTAAACATGCAGCCGACCTGAGTGATGACTTCAAGAGTTTGGATCGAAGGGGGAAACGCAATCTATACCTATTGTTGCAAGTTGAAGAGGACGGCAACTCCGTGTGGCGTTTCCCCGAAGGAGGAATCGAGCAAGCTGACTTCCTTCACCAGGTGAGTTTGTTACCAAGGCACGCACGCGTTAAAATACGACGTCGCCCCCAGGCTGCGCAGAAAGACTTGCATGCGGAGTGTGGTTCACACATGGATACATGGATAGTTGGCCGTTGTCCAATAGGTGTCTACAAGAGATCACCGAAATCTACAGCGGAGCCCGAGGTCTGGGTGCCCCTTGCTAATTATGTTGCGTCAACTGATAGCCTTGCAGCAAACCGTATTCTTTTTCAAAGGTCAAATAATGGCAGGTCAGGCACAAACTCACGGGGAGTCGGTGAAAGACTTTGCCTGGCTGACAAAAGAGGAGATTGAGAAGCATGTCGAGAAGGACTATTGGGACGGAGTCAAAGATATTCTTTCAGATTATTAGCTGCGAACACATGTCTAGATTTCATATCCATCCAAATACTAATCTAATGCGGATAAAAATGGGCAGATGTCATGAAACTATTTGGGTACCGCGATGGCTTTTTGTGTTCCCTTTTTGCGCGCATCGTCGAACCTCCGAATGATAACTTCGCATTTTGTAGTCTTGCATAGGTGCTTAGAGTTTGCTTTGAGGTCGTCTGAGAACAAGGTTAGTCCAGCGGCTCGTTCGACTGCCTCCACTGTTGTAACCAAAAATCTCAGTAAAAGTAGGGGGATCATCGAGGAAGACGGACCTGGCATGACAAAGCCTTCAAGAGGTGCTTCATCTTTGATGACAGTGTTTGGGAGAACAAAAGCACCCAAAGAGAGTTCTAAGATATCTGGGGTTGCTGGCGAGGTTGGCTTGGACGCGAGAACCACTTTGGCAAAGTGCGTCGGCACAGAAACGTTTGGTGGAGAGCCAATTACTTCATGTGTCTGAGCTGACAGCACTCAGAACAAAAGACAGCGACTGGAAGGACAGACTTACCACACGCCATTTTCCATCGGCTTCCAGTCGCGGGAGGTACAGCGGAACTGTGAAAACGAAAACATCTTGGAAACTTCCCGTGAGACGTCTACACCAATCTTCTAGATAGGCCCAGTCTAGGAAAATTCGGCGTTTGAGGGTTTGATGCTACAAAGACACAAACGACGCACAATGACGATTAAAACCATCACCAACTTGGGGTGCGATATTAGAAAGAAGGAAAGTTTCATTCATAGCTTCCTGGAATCTCAAATAAACAGGGAAGATAAAGCTGGAGGACAAGCTTACCTGTGATAATTTAGCATCAGCCGCTGGCACCCTGTGTAGATGTTATACTGTCAGCTGGCAAATGACCAAAGAGACTGTCAGCGGATGTCACTGATTTACATATGTCCACGGTCGTATCCGCTTCTAAAATAATCCTGCAAACGCGCTCGAAATGGTGCAGGTACCGAATCGTCCTCCACAAAGGTCGATTTTGAGCGGTCGCCGGAATCATTCCCATTCGAGACCAGGGACCTGCGGGTCAGGTGTTCGGCAGTCTTTGACTTGGTGAGGGGACTGTAAGGGTATTTATGAGAGAAGAAACGCACCCATGCCGGATGGCGTAGTCGTCTGTCATATGCAGCCACATATGCCTTGCGCACCAACGAATCAACAATGGGTCCTTGTCGTCTCTAAGTAAATTGCACTGTGCTCTCTAGTAAAAAGCACGGACCAGGGTTTCCGTGTTTAAGAGCAACAGGGAGCGACGGTACGACTGCTAGGTCGGTTACGATTTTTGCTCTTCCAGCGGTGTCAATGCCAACGATGGCGGGTTGCGTACGGGAAGTTGCAGCGTTCTTGCTAGATATCGCTGCTGCGATGCCTCCACCCAGTAGGGCACCAGCAGCAAAGACTGTTGCGTGTATAATGACAGTAGATGGCATGGCTGAAAAAGTTGCGCGTGAGATAAAATAATATCGGCGTTATGTACTTAGGGGCATATGTATCAAGCGAGTACAATATAAGATATATGTAAAAAGACACAAATGGTTTCCGCTAAAAGAGAGAAGTGGTTTTTTTCTTCAATGTATCGTAAGTAAAGAGAGTTAAAGTGAAGTGATCGTTTGGCAAGTATACAGATTATACCAAAAGCAAGGGGAGAACAATCAATGGGAATGAGATCAATTTAGTTTACAAAAGAGAAGGTTGGTCAAATTTGCATCTTCAGTTGCCTCGTCCGTCGTCACCTGTGAGACTATCTGTGCGACCTGGTATAATTTTTCAGATTTCCAGCGGTTCGTAAGTCCGAGCATTGAGCCCACCTCTAACTGGAACCTGATCGCTAGTCCCGACCCTGCTGTCGCGCCTCCCAAAGCCGCCAATTCCAGGGCCACGTGGTTGACGAACGACACCAACAGAACTTTCATGCCCGCCATTCAATGTTGCCAAGGTAGATGGCAAGCTGGGAACGGGAGGCACACCAGAGCTACCTCCAAAGGGATTGCCATTAGAGAAGAGAGAAGAAAATCCTGCAGAGATGCGGCGAGAAGGGGAGGCGATGGTGGCATAGCCTTCACGAATATTGCCGTTAGACGATCTGGAATTGAGGCGTGGGGACTGGGAATGCAGGGTCTTCATGTCAGGCATGGACTTTTTAACCCGAAGAGAGTTTGCGACGGGGGGTTGCTGGCTAGTTGGGCTTAGGTAGGCAGACGGAGCACGAGAAAGAGTGTGTGGTGGTTGTCGCTGAGCTTGTTGTTGCTGGTGCTAGCGAGCATTGATTATATGGTTATTCAAGATTCAAGGCCACTTACCCTCTGAGGATCAATGCGAGTTACAACTGCATATCTCTCTTCGCCTTCTCCAACAGAATAGTGGTAAACGCCCAATTTTTGGGCAATGAGATGAACAACTCTGCGTTGTTTGGGAGAAAGAGTCCTAGAAAATGCGAGCTCATCTCGCATACGATCATCTTTAAACAGCAAAATCCTGGAGTATATTTCCAATGTAGAAGGATCGTTGAGATCCAACTCGTTGGCGGATGCCTTCTCAGAAGAGCTGGGTGTCGCCGGTGGCAGAGGCTGAGAAGAAACAACGGGGGCAGAGTTCAATGGGAGGGCATACTGAGGGTTCGGCATGGCAGATATGGTCGGGGGGGAATACTGCTGCTGCTGCTGTTGTGGGTAGGGAGAACCAGATGAGAATGACCTCTGAGGGCTGAATGCCGATGAAATGGCCGAGCCGTAGTCTTCGTAAAGCTGATTTACGTTGGTCTGCTCCTTCTCTAGTTGCATGGAACGCATTCTTCGAATTGCCTTTTCTCGTTCAATTCTCTCCTTTTCTCCCGCCTGCAGGACCTTCTTGTATTCAACACGCAATTTACGACCCTGAACGTCGAAGCCATTGAGGGCAACCACGACAGCGTCAGCATCAGCAGACTGGCGAAAGTTTGCAAATGCCAATCCACGGAAAGAACCCTGCTGATCAAGATGGTAATTGAAGGCGTACGGGGTTGGTATGGATAAAGAGGCCTAATGCAAAGGTGAGAAAGAGAAATCGAGAGTCAAAAGAATCTTACGATGATATCAAGGAGAGTTTCACGTTTGACGTTAAATGGTATATTTTTAATGACAATGGCTGTTGGGATGATTTCTTCGTCTGAGATCTGACCTGAGGTTGCTGGGGCAACAGAAGGAGGAGGAAGGTGAGCCATAGGAGGAGAACCGCCAGCGGATGAGAAATCCGAATTATTGTGAGGAGACAAGGATCGACTGTCTGAAGAATTATTATCGAGCCATTGCTACATGGGAGATGAGATATAATTCTTGAAAAAGAACAAGGGCATACTGTGGGCAAGGCGCTTCTCAACGGCTTTGAGATTGAGTTGAGAGGACTGTAAGAGGGGATGGCTGGGGACGTTGCAAAATGGTAAGGAGGCCTTGTCGCCGCTGAAGCATCGTAATCGTAAGGATCATGAAGACGTTGCTGAGAAGGACGATGAGAAAGAGACAGCGAAGGAGGAGAGGTCGTCATTATAAATTTCAATCCAAACGTCGTGGTTAAGAGAAAACAATTCTTTTGTCACATGTCACAGAAAGTACAAACAATCTACTACGACCGGTAATGCTTCAGCAACTGTACTTTATACGCTACAAATAATATAAGCAACTGTTTATCATCCAAGAAAAAAACATACCGTCAGGTTTATTCCATAGTGCAGCTGCATCTGGGTTCAGAGGAGATGCATTGTTCGGCTCTGTGCAAGACTAAGTAAGCACTCCTAGTATCAGCATCAGTCACACGCACCGCCCAGCAATGATTGCAAGGAAAGCAAAATGGTCTGAACGCTGTATACAGCAGACCATTTGTCCTAATTATCATCAAAATCGTTTCAATAGTTAGCCCACAAATGATACCTACTTGTAAAATGTCCAAGCAGATCACGCCCCCTGTGATGTCCACATTGGGGTGGTAGCACGGTGTATCAAATTTAATACTAGGTGCAACGTATGGGTAGTTTGAGGGGAACAATATGGATATTTTGAAACTCAATCCTGCGTATATCTGACAGGGCAAATGTCAGCTTGAGCCGAGATACTAAAGTCCAAGTGAACGCCACTCACCGTCTCGGCTGGCCCTTCAATTGTCCCAACCCATTCAAAAAGATTGCCGTCGTTTTTTGGAAATGCAGACTAAATGAATTGTCAGCGGGCTTATTAGGCCAGTTGGATCTGAACTGACGATTCCGGGTGACGAGGACATCTGACCAATGGGATGAGAGACGGTGTTTCTATAAAGTAATGATGCCCACCATTAATGTCATGAGTTCATTGCTTAATCTAGGGACGGTAAAAGTGAGATAAATACGAAAAAAAGGCGCAAGAGCTCACCGTTTTGCCACACTGCCAGCTCCCTGCTGGCTTGATGCAGTAACGCTCGACTTTTGTGCAGAACGAGAGGGTGCAAGAGAGGAAGTAAGCTGCTGCTCCATGTAAAATTGATACAAGCGAGTAAAGGGCGAGTTGAATTCGAGTTTAAATGTTCAAAGTTGTGTTCAATGTGTTGAACAATGTTCTGAACAAGGCGCGGCTGTCAAAGTCACGTGTTAGGTGCGTAAGTACTGTCACAGAGTCTGTGATCGAACCGCCTTTGCTGCACTCTATCATTGCGCCTGCGGCTTTTTCTTTACTATGACTTCCAACTTCTCCTCAACACCGGCAGAACTTACTCTCGTTTCACAGATATTCGCCCACGCCGACCCCCAGAAGCTCGGCGTCATCACCGGTGATGTTGCCGTGAGAGTGTTCGGCGGAGCAAATCTCGCACCCACCACCCTCGGAGAAATTTGGAATATCGCAGACGAGGAGAACAAAGGGTGGCTTTCAAAGAGAGGCGTAGCAATTGCTGTGCGCCTCATAGGATGGGCACAGAAGGGGGAAAAGATCACCCCTGCCTCTCTCCATAAACGTGAGCTCTCAAATCAGACACCAACCGCGTATCATAATTTCGTGTCACTAGCCGGTCCTTTGGCCAAGATCGATGGCATTAGCGTCTTAACTCAACAACATACCGGAATGTCATTGCCCAAATCCCCACCCCCAGGATTTCCACCCTTCACACCTCAAGATAAGGTCAAATTCCAGAATCTATTTCTGAAATCCGGGCCTACGAACGGAATTCTTACTGGTGAGGATAACAAATTTGTTGTCTCGACAATGGCATTTAAACCACGGCAACAGGAGAGAAAGCTCGGGACATTTTTGTCAAGTCAAAGCTCTCCAATGATAAACTTTTGCAGATATGGTTCGTACATATTTAACGAGCCACAAAACCCTCCCTGAGCTTCCGAAATGTGATAGGAATTTGGCTGATACGCAGGATCGAGGCGCGCTTGATTCCACGGATTTCGCCGTCGGCATGTATTTCATCCAAGGTTTGATGTCGGGGAAGATGTCTTTTATCCCTTCGGCGCTTCCTCCTGGTCTTTACCAGCAAGCTGGGGGAGTTCCGCCCGTTAGCGCCGTCGTTACAGGCAACAGCGGATCCTTTAGTCCTGTGGGCGCCTCCTTTTCACAAGACCGCAGCCGCATTCATCCCCAACAAACTGGACAAAGTCTACCACTTCAACCCGACAATACTGGATTGTCGGGACAGACAAGGTCGCCAGCTCTTCCTGCCCGTCCGATAGCCGCACAGCCCTTTGGCAGCAGTCCTTTCGCACCCATCAGCAATGGGCAGGTGCTGCCGTGGGATGTTTCCCACTCTGAGAAGACCTCTTCAGATAAATATTTCGATGGTTTGGACCCTCAAAATCGAGGTTTTATTGAAGGCGACGTCGCCGTTCCATTCATGTTGGATTCTAAGCTGCCTGGAGAAGATTTGGCACAAGTATGGTAAGCATCTTGCTCCTAATACCTTTGAACGCCGAATCTATACATAAACATTTTAGGGACCTTGCTGACATCAACAACGATGGGCGTTTAACGCGCGACGGATTTGCAGTGGCTATGCATCTCATCCAGAAGAAGCTTGCTGGTGGTGATATTCCGGCATCCCTTCCGCCAACTCTGATACCTCCCTCCATGCGCAGTACAGCCAATGGTGCATCTCCTTTCTCTCCCGCATCTCCTCAATTCCAACAAGAGGTAACTCATGATCTATTTTCTTTCGATGATACACCTCCGGCGTCCGCAACTATCCATCCAAAGGCAGGGGCCGTTCAACCGCCGTCTGTACTTCGTTCAGTGCCTCGTGATCCTTTTACGTCCTCATCATTTACGAATTGTGCGTCTCATTACCCTCCCGCTTCATGTTGATTTTGACATCAACTCATAGCTCCGCATGGGGATTTGCTTGGTGATGATGACGCCGCTAGTACAACGCCTCCATTGCATGATCAATCAGCGGAAATTGGAAACGCGAAAAATCATCTTAAATCCACAAACCAGTCACTGGAAGCTACAAGGAATGAAAGTACATCTATCCAACAGACCCTTGCCACGCAAGCCTCGCAGCTTTCCGCATTACAAACGCAACTGTCATCTGCAAAGGCTGCTTACGAGACGGAGACTAAATTATTGGCTGCCTTCAAAGAACGCCACTCTGCTCAAAGTGCAGAAATTCAGAAAGCCCGCGAAGACCTCATCCGCGCAGAAAGTGACCTTAGTGCCATTAGGGTCGAAAAGTCTGAAATTGAAGGATCTTTCTTGCGCGATAAAGAAGACATCAGGGAACTTCATCGAAAAATGAATGAGGTCGGTCAACAAATTGATGCTCTAAAAACCGACGTCGAAAAGGCGAAGAAAGATGCTAAGCAACAGAAGGGCTTATTGGCGATAGCGAAAAAACAGCTCAGTTTAAAGGAGGCAGAGAAGGCAAAGGCAGAGAAAGAGCAGGAAGGGGCTCTGGCCGACCTTACTGCTGTGACCAAGGAGAGAGAGGAAGCTGAAGCAGACCTTGCCAAAGAAGACACAGGGATAGAGCCCAAAGCAGTGGAGCGCGCCACAGATCCAGTGGCTTTTGCAGCCCTTCAACAGCCGCTACCTCTTACCCCCGATCTCTCTGCTATCGCTCTCAGCAAGAGTAACAACCCATTCGAGCGTTTAGCAAAGTCATCTGGGAATTCCACGCCCCGCTCTCAGTCACCTTTCTTGCCCTTTCAAAGCCCAAACCTTTCTCTCTCGTCAGCACGATCAGGATCGATACCTGGGGCTTTTGAACTAGAGGGCCATGACGACGATATATTTACTTCAATTGAAACAGCAAACGGCGGCCCAGTTGAGCCAAAAGAAGAAGAACCTCAGCAACCACTCAAACCTGAGTCTGCAGCTGCTGATTCAGTTTTGTCGCCAGCGACTGTCAATGAAAGTGAATTCTTTTCCACACCACCTACTAGCGCCACTCAGGTTGCTTCCCCAACCGTTGCCGCAGCCCACTTCCCCTCATTGGATGATGCAGCTGTAGATTTCCCACCAATAGATACCTTGCCTCCCGCTCAAAACTCTCAGCGTGACCTCGAAACGAACTTTGGTACCCAACTGAAAGAACTTGATGTCGACGAATCCGATTCCGACTCTGATGAAATTCCTTTGGCTGAACTAGCACAATCAAACAAGAAACCCTCCTCCATCGTTCCAAAAGCTGTCGAAGAACTTCCAGTAACTGGCACACCACCAGTCTCTTTCGACGATATCTTCGTATCAAATGCGCCCATCGCGGCAGATATTCCATCCGCCGACAAAGTTCCAACTCTGACCGCCAATGCCCCTATAGCATCAAGTCCTTTCGAAGCTATATCGTCCCCTCTGCAAGCCAGTGCTCCGACGGAACTTTCCACAACTTCTACTACAGCTGGTGTGAGTGCGTTTGATGAAGCAATGGGGAAGATTCCTGCGACTACTTCTGCGGCTGCTCCCCAATTTAGCTTTGATACAGCCTTTGATGACAATTTCGACTTTGCCTCTGCCTCTACCGCTGAAGCGTCTGGTCCATTCCCTCTGCCCTCCACAACAGACTTCAAAATTACCAACGGCGATACGCCTAAATCACAGTTTGGCGACATGTTCTCGACGATTGGGAGCAAAAAATCAATTGAAAATCATTTTGCTCCCTCTCAAGGTGTTGGAGTTCCCAGCCGCGAGCCCGCTCAGCCTTTGGGAACCTCATTTGACGAGACATTTTCCACTTTCGATTTAGGCCCAAAGACATCGCTTGCAATAGCTGAGGAGACCCCTTCAAAATCTATCGAGTCCACGGTCCCAGGCGCGCTCCCCGCATCCCCTGTTTCGACGTCTCCAAAGGCCTCTATCTCATCACCTCAGAGCTTTGATGTAAGGCCAGGCTCACCTCCGCCTGGCGAGAAATCTCCCCCACAGCGCGCGGTTTCTCCCAAACCTAGGCCTTCCTCGTCGTCTTCCAAGGAAGTTCATGAGAAGCAAAAAGAGCCACCAACCCGTCATTCCAAATTGAGTGTAAGTGCTTTTCTACTCGGTTACACAATGCCAATACCCTCCCCCTCAGATCCGTCTACCTTTTGGTAAGAGGAAGAAACATCAAGAACAGTTGCCTCCTCCTCCTGCGCCGTCGAATCTCACGCCTATGCGAGAGGAGTCTTACCGCGCTATCACCCCAGCTGTGGACGATGACGTCGAGCCTGTGAAACAATTGACTGCGATGGGTTTCACTCGAAGTCAAGCTGTCGTCGCTTTGGAGAAATATGGCTATGATGTGCAAAAGGCACTCAACAGCCTCCTTGGGCAATAAATTGATTCCTCGTTTTTCTAACATGATCCTGTTTTGAAACTTCACCGTCCTTTGAAATTTCCTTGCGCTAACCACCAAATATTATTTTGGGTACTTGATTTAATATATATATCTCGTTTAGTCGTCATACAGAGGAGTCAAGAATTATGCCGGAACGACGGGCACATCGATTGCCACACACACCTGTTGAAGCCAATTCCGCCATTCATTATCCTTTTTTTGTATCTGAGCTATTTGTTCCAGTTGTCGTGGGGTAGGATGATGAGCATGAAGAACGAATATAAAGTCACTAAGATCTTGACGTTGGTGGAGCTCCAAAATATTCCTCCCCACAGACAAGAACTGGGACACGTCTACAAGGCCATCGGGGGTAGTCTGAAAGGGAGCGGTGAGATCAGTGGGGCGATACCAACATCGCTGCGCTCACTAGAAATGGAGGTGATAGGGGTAAATCGATCTTATCGTCGTTAACACTGACATGCATGCTAAGGCTGCCATGGGTAGGCCACGAAGAGCGTAAAGAATATATCTGTTCCTCGAATGAAGACACCGCAGCACCCGCAGCCTGCGACAACTCAACCGCCGAATAACACCCTAACGATAGGCATAAACTATTTTGTAGGCCGCTGTGGAGCAAAACTTTGTCAATTTCTGATAAGCCAATAAAGAGTCTACGCACAACGAGGCGTGCTTTCGGTTAACCCACTGCATCAAGATCGCATACTGTCCTTCCGGAATTTCAAATTCGACCGATATCCTACTCTTCGAGGACAGGCCTTTTTGCCTTGCAACGACACGCATTTCATCCCCGAAAACACCTACAGCGGTTCAACGACACGCCTCCTTGAGAAGGATCAGACTCACCAGCTTGAACGTCACTTGCTGACTCGGGGGAATCGATCGGTGGTGCATTTTTTGGTCGGGATTGGAGCAAAGTGACATCAGCAACCACGTTAACGTCACCGATTAAATTGAGGGATGCAGTTGATTGTTCGACAGGAATGTGACGTGCACTTGATGGATGGGGGAGTTGAGTAGGGTCTGAAATGTCTATTGGCGGGGTTCTGGTTAGATCAATCTGGCCGGAGGTGGCATGTAATGTTCCTTGGTGGTCAATATCTTGCATCTCTTCGTCCTTGTCGCTATAGTTAATCGGAAGAACGTGATCAATAGATTCTGTTCGCCGCTGGCCAACCTCGGGCTCAGATGCTGGCGGAAGAGAATCAAGAGCAGGTCTTGATGGATGGGGGAGTTGAGTAGGGTCTGAAATGTCTATTGGCGGGGTTCTGGTTAGATCAATCTGGCCGGAGGCGACATGAAATGTTCCTTGGTTAATATCTTGCATCTCTTCGTCCTTGTCGCTATAGTTAATCGGAAGAACGCGATCGATAGATTCTGTTCGCCGCTGGCCAACCTCGGGCTCAGATGCTGGCGGAAGAGAATCAAGAGCAGGTCTCGCTTCAGCCTGTAGGTGTTCGTCTCGCACTTCGTTATCGTTAGTTGGATTTACGAATGACATAGCCGTCATTTCAGACGAGCCATCCACGGACATTGGGTCACCTGCGGGGCTGCTATCCACTTGCAGAGATTGATCCTGATCCTCGTTCGTGTAGTCCTTTGATACATGGCCATCAACTGCTGCTGTAACATCCAGAGACTTGACGTCTCTATCTGATTCGGCCAAAACAAACTTAGATTTTAGGCCAGTACCATTCTGAAAATCTTCCTTACTTGTGCTATCCCCCTCACGGCTATGTCCTCGAAAGCTCGTGTCCGAAAGGTTCGAAAGTGTACTAGGTGCTGAGACGACGGCAGCTGGGAGGTTTGGGTCTACGGCTCGCTGGTCAATTTGTGATGCAGTTGATAATTGCGGTAAACCGTTTATCGGTCGTGGGTTGTCTTGCCTTTGACGAAGGGCTTTTATATCGTGAGCAACCAAAGAATCGATATCAATTAGTTTCTTTTTTTTGGCCTTAATTTTTGTGGGAGGTCGTGAGCTCGTGTCGGCGACGGGTTCTGTTACCTTGACAGGAATGTCGGTGGGTGCGGGAGGCTGTTGTACAAGATGAGAGGGTGGTTGCTGTAAAAGATGAGAAGGTGGCGGTTGCTGTACAAGATAAGAGGGTGGTTGCTGTAAAAGATGAGAAGGTGGCGGTTTCTGTACAAGATGAGGGGGTTTCAATTCCTGATATCAAATTGGATGAATTCATAGCTACAGAAGGGGATCGAGGACGTTCATTTACTCACCTGAGTTACGACGCCAGAGGCAACTCTTCAAGAGGTGAAACGATTTTCGCACCAACAAAAAGGAAAGGCGTACCCGGGAGAATAGGAGGAAGATAGAGGGCCAAGAGCGATTGAATTCAAGAGTTGCATAATATGAACTGTTAAAAAAAATGTCAAGATGAAGTCGAAGATGGCGAACTAACGGACCCTGGTGCGAGGGCTCAACAAACTGGTTGCGGAAGGGTTTCATCGCCCCGACGAGTCTGACGTAGGGCGCGACTAGAGGATGGCTGAGGTAGGCGGAAACATTGAAGGGTAAACTTAAATCCTCAGAGCCGGTGACAGCTTTACGCAGCGTCCGCTGAGAAATCTGCACCAAAGATGTTGAATAATAAGCTTGGTGAAAAGGAATGTAACCCTGCCAGAAGAAGCCTCAATATCTTGAGTAAAAATTAGTTGAGTGCGCATCCAATGAAATGAGATTTGGACGACAAACCTCTTTCCTCGCAGCGGGGTAATAAGCTTTTTCATCGCAAAGCCAACGCGCCAATTTGTCGGCATGAGAGGTGTAGATCTCGACGTCGTCGCGGGCCAACATCTTGGCATAGCGATGAAATACCTTGAGATTGTTGTCGGTAGAGGCAGCCATACGGGTGCCGGTGATGATGGCGGTTGTTTGACCTTATTCTTGTTCCGTTAGCCATTTGACAGGGCAATTGACTTGTTCCTCTGGGCCTACGACATTGAAGACGCAACTTGGACGAAATCTATACGATTCATACCCGTGGTCCACCATTGCTACCACACATTTATTCGTTTTGCTCATGATAACTTTTGACATGGTCGTCGTTGGCTCAGGAGGCGGTCCAGACGAAACGAACCTGTCAGCGTACGTCCAATTTCTCTCCGTCATCGCACGTGGCCATACCATCCTAGTTATCTCCTCAAACCTCGGAGTGCTCGTTGGGAGGATGGTGTACTGGCCTTGGAAGCAGGTCAGTCGAGAGCCCACGATGCCCTGTGTGTGTATCGCTGACCGCCCCAGGTTCCGGTCAAGGTGCCCTCAATCGACTACTCCAAAGAAACCCCCTTCTCTTCGACTCCCCCTCCGGCTTGGACGACCACGAACCTAGAGTCTTCTCTGCCTCGGAAATTTATAACCTTGTGCGGTACGTCGTCTGAGCCTCTCATTTAACCATTGCCTTCATGTCAGAACAGGTGCTACCTTATCACCCATGCCCATCTCGACCACATCAACAGTCTCGTTGTGTCGGCAGGTTCCTTTGGAGCTCCCCGAAAGCGTGTCTACGCGACGAAGCAAACGCTGCAAGACCTCGAAATTTTATTTTCTGACCGTATCTGGCCTAATCTAGCTTCTTGGAACGAGGAAGACGATAGCCACAAACTTTTGTACTCCGCGTGAGTTAGGCTGCCCACCAGCGATCCGTCTGTTGGCTAACTTGGAAAAAGTCTCCGTTCAGATAGCAAGTACAAATCCATTTTTCCAGATGTTTCGGTCAGAACTCTACCCCTAAACCACGGCCGAAATGAGTCGGGCCACTATGAATCCGCGGCGTTCTTTATACGACATGAACCAAGCTCCCGTGAATTTCTATTTTTTGGCGACGTCGAGCCCGATATTCTAGCCGAGAGACCACAGACCATCAACGTTTGGCGCGCTGCTGCACCCAAGATACCTGATACATTATCATCAATATTTATTGAATGCTCTTGGCCATCAGGTCGAGAGGATGAAACACTGTATGGCCACTTGACACCGGAACACCTGGTTGATGAACTCACCACTCTGGCAGGGGAAGTGGTGAAGTTTAGGTCAAGTAGCCAACCCCAACCCCGCTCTCGCCCTGCTCGGAAACGACAGAAGAAAAATCCTCTGTCCACAGAAGACTTACGCAGCGCATTACAAGGCGTTCGTGTGTTTATCATGCACTGTAAAGACGATGTAAACGGTGTCCATGACCGACCTGTGCGCGACATCATTGTTGAGCAAGTCAGAGACCTTGTAGTTGCAAGGGGTCTCGGGGCGGATATTTTGGGTGCTGTGCAAGGAATGCACATTGGTACGTCTTTTATAATTCATCAAGATGTTATAATCGTCTAACTTGCGAGTTTCAAGAAATATGACGTGGATCGGACAGATTGGTATTTACCCTCATGTATACTTAGCGTCTTGTTATATCTTGTAGCTCTAGTCATTTCTCCATCTTGGTATCATTCAAATGTAAACGAAAAGCGATCACGGTATCATCCCAGAAGTGGATATTGCAAAAGCCATAGCGTCATGTTAACAAAAATAAAAGAACAGAAAAAAAAGAGAGAAGGGAAGATAAATCCAGGTATGTAGTAGCACTACTGACGTCATGATGAAGCATACAATTTCACCACACCATCAGCCCCAGCGCTCGCCATAAAAGGCAGTGAAGGATGGAATTCCACGTCCAGAACTCCTTCTCTGGCTTTTTCCCGATGCGTCGTGATCTCCTGTACGCAAGCACGAGACCCCAAGAGATCCCAAAAGCGGATGGAGCAGTCGTGACTCCCAGACACCAGCGAGAAGCCAGCGGCGTCAATAGACAATGACGTGACTCCATCAAGATGAGCCAACATGGAGTGTGTGCATTGCCCTAGGTAATTAATGCGTAAGGTTTCCGTCAAAAGTGTTCAGGGTGCATACCTGTAACAATATCGAAAATTCGAATAAATTTGTCCTCGTGTGCAGTGACGAGGATCGTCATTGTCGGATGCGAGACAATGCAATTAATCTGTGTTGATGGCGTGCCGTCTGGAGGCAAAACGTTCGTTTTCAAAAAATACCCTTTGAAAGAAGAATACGGACCGTAACTGATGTCACTCTGTAGTCGAGATAGCTCTTTCCCGCTTTCAATGTCAAATATCTTCACGATGGCGTTTTGATATGCAACGGCGACTTTCTTCAAGTCGGATTTGAGCGCTTCCACGGCAGTGGCGCCTGGAGCGTCGAGCTCATCGTGCAGCTCATCTTGGCTCTCCAGACCTGCCCAACCCCATGTCAACTTGAGCGAGCCGCCTCCAGAGGGACCGCTGACGTCCCACACTTTCACGGAACCTTCCGCCCCACAACTGATGAGGGTGCCCTCATCTCTGACCAAAGCCAGATCCCAAACCGCATCCGTGTGCCCAATAAGCTCACCGCGTGAACGAGTCTCGTCGTATGGAGCGTAGGTTGTATGTGAAGAAGCAGGTAGCGCCCATACCCTGATTGAAGAATCGAGCGAAGCAGAGTACAAAAGTTGTTTCGAAGGCGCGTGCAATAAGCGGGTGATTGCAGCTGAGTGCCCACGGAGGGTAAGTTGAGGCTCCACCTCCGTTGTTGGTCGTGCTCTTGACACAGAGGAGTCAACGAATATATTTACTAGCAGCAAAAGAAACATACGCGGAGGAGGCTAGACTGGCAACGTCCATCCGCCAGACTTTTACTGTGCAATCATCGCCCCCCGTGACTAGACAAAGTTCTGTTGGGTGGAAAGCAAGTGCTCGGACAGCGTCCAAATGACTTAGGCCATGCCGTTAAATAAAGTGACGTGCAGTGCAAAATTTGGCTCACTTTCTCAGCGTCCTCTTCGCTTTCCAAACCTTCGCACCCTCACCTGCTCCATTTGGTTCTTCGTCATCAACCTCCCCATCGTCGTCTTTGACATCTTCGTCATCATCATCCCTTCGGTGTTCCCAGGGACTCAATTCATCCGTTTTTGTATCACCAGCTTGTCGTGCTTGCGCTGCAGCCTCCCGAGAGAGCCTGAGTTTTTCTTTCCATTCTTCGTCATCATCTGGGCGAAAGATTGCAGTTAGTTGGCGGCTTTCTGTATCCGCGTCCATCTCATTGTCGGGTTGCGAAACAGAATAAGAAGATGCTGGAGGTTGTGGCGAGTGTTGGGCTAGCTGAGCCAGTGGAGGTTGAGGTTGTATCATCCCAGTATTCCGTTCCAACAATGAAACCTGGGGACCGTTAAGGACAGGAGCGGAAGACGGGCCGGACATGGAAGAAATTCCGTTTAGGATTGGAAACTCCTTGCCTGCATCGGGAAGGACTTTGCGTGGTCGACCGTTGTAGGGCATTTGATCGAACGAAGGTACGTTTGGTAGAGAGAGGGGTATAGAGGGGTTATTTAGCAAAGGTCGATTGGGTAGAGGATTCATAGCCTGAGGTGAAGTAAGGTAGGAAATTTCTTGAAGGCATCTAATTTGGAACGAGGTCACCAGACGATAGACAATGATTTGCACAAACGCACTGTTTCAAGTAGTCGCGACTTCGCGCTCTGCTCTTTGGATCTCTACCCGGGGGTGGTTTGCCAAGGCCGGGAGCGGCGGGTCCACTCGACCAATTGGATGCCCCCCAAGAACTTGGCCGGCCTGCGGGGCCATTTAACGGTGCACCGTTAGGAAGGCGACTGTCTGGAAGGGGAGAATCTTAAAAGGCAGACCATTAGGAATAGCAAGGAATCACGATAGTAATAATAAAAAAACATACCTTCACTGTGAGGCGAGCTGCCCCCGCTATCCTCCTTCTGACTATGAGAATCTTCTTTTTGAGTCGATGTAGCAGCATGGGCTTGTATAGAAGCAAGCTTTGTCGGAGGATTGGTATGCGACACTGATTGGGTTAGCTGTTTTGAACTAAATAGATTGTTAGCCGGTCAAAAATAAACTGGTAAGTAGGTGCATACCGTTCCATTCGCAAGGCGTACTCTAGCATCTTGATACGACGCATAAGATCTAGTTTTACATTCTCGAAGGAGCGTCTTTCTCCCTCGAGCAAAGCAATGCGGGCCTGAGAGTGTACTTTGAGACGCGATAGGTTGACAAGGATGCAAAGACAAGACGAACCCGCATTTCCGCACGCTCAATCTCCCATTCATTTCTATCCCGCTCGTACCTTCTCCATTCCGTCTGAAGGAAATGAAGGACGCTGGAGAGGGTAAAGTCTTGGCCGTTTTGAGGTGGAGGTGGAGGAATGCCTGACTGCTGGCCCTGCTGTAGCTGTTGTTGCTGTTGTTGTTGTTGCTGCTGCTGTTGCTGGTGGTGGTGGTGGTTCTGGTGCTGGCCAGGATTTTGAAGACCTTGCAAGGCACCCAACATGAAGGCTTTTGAGAAAGTGACAAGTTGCGGTGAAGAGTGTTATGTAAATAAATTCAAAAGTAAAACGAGGTCGTGCACCGAACAAACATGTATATACAACACAAAAACCATCCAAGCAATTTATCTCGAATTTATCTACTTTTTGCCTGACCTACGAACATGATTTTAAAAAATCAAGTTGAAAAGCTGCTCGTATACGCACTTCTTGATACCACCACCAACCAGCGGTCCACCTACGCTCAAGCAATCAGCACCAGCAGAAACACTCCATAAATAAAAATACTTACTACTCTTCATGGCTGAAAACCCACAGTGAATCCATTAGTAAACTCAGCGTCAACCACTTGAACATACCTTTATCGCGAGCTGCCTTGAGTGCCTCGGCCTCGGCCTTCTTTTTCTCCTTGAAGGCGACATCTTCCTCCATCTCCTCCTTCTTTTCCTTCTTGGGCGCCTTGTCGACAGAAGAGTCAGTCGGTCTGATCATGTATTGATCATCTGACGAACCTTGAGAGGCTTGAGCTTCCCGGCTTGTCTACTGGACATCGTGGTGGTCGTTGTCAATGTTAGAAAGTGGATCTGGCAAATACATGTACACAAACGATCATGATATGTATCGGGGCATAGATTTGCACAAGATTTATAGCATCATGTCAGACGTTCAGGACCACTGGAAAGTCGAGCTGGATCAGACATGGGACGTTAGTGAATTCCTGAATGTAATCGCATGAACTAATCTAATGGTTTAGGTTCTCGGCCCTTTTCCAATTCATGCTAGGGAGCAACACTACCTCTCACCTGCCTTTCCCTTGAATTGTGGGTCCCGATGACCGCGCTTGAGCTATCTAACCTTTACTTATTATCTAGTAGAGGAATCGATAGATTACCTCAAAACATGGCCCTCCGCCTATGCAGACGGCGGCAGAGTAGGTTGGAAGTCAACCCAGCTACGCGAAGATGGGTCGCTCCATGTTAAATTTCCTGAAATTCGGTACTTTCTCTAGGCTACAAAAATTGCCCTTTAAACGCTGACGATATACAGATGGAATTGCCTTCGAGCTACTGAAGGCTGGGCGGCCTTGCAACATCATGCCATCCTGCGAACAACGCTGACTTTACACCCTCCTCAAGTCCCTTCTGTTGAAAGCCTAGATATCCCTCTCGAACTTCAAGTCCATCTAAGACAAGCATCCTACTTTACGCTACGCCCTATGAATTATAAAAATTCTTCCTTTCACCCGGTGTGGTACGCCGGAAATATATATGACCTGGAACGCACTCTTCCTCAGATTGTACCCCTCTCCGTCACGAATTCCACACCCGAGCCTATTCAATTCGATTTATTCGTAAGTGGGGATTATGAAGTAGGTTCTGGGTTTCCGTTTGAACTACCCTATCCTCTGATCCCACGGCGTCTATTAGATCAGACTCTTCGGTGACCCACACGCCCAAAACTCTGAGGTGCCCACTCTGGTTATCAACATGGACGTGGCGGTGAATCCCGCAACAAATCAAGTCATTCACGAACCAAGTCAAGATGTAATCTGCGACTTCGTCGGTGGTTACAGCTTTGGGGAGGCGATCGGGGTGGGAGTTCGAGCCAGCACAGGTTGGTGGACTGTGGTCGATGTTGCTCTCGGAGATAAAATTTCGGCCGTGCGTCTTCCTACCCCATGAAAATTCGACAATCCCTAAAAGTTTCACCATAGGAGAACATCAAGATACGCTTGCTATGCACGACACAGATCGCACCTTCACAATCTCGCATCGTTCCTATTGTTATCCGACAGGAAGGGCCCTTCAAACACGAAAACCTCCCGATAGAGCTAACTTTGTTTTCTGACCTTGATAACGCAATAACAACAGTCTCTGTGTCTCTTCCCGTGACACATTTGAAATTATGGACTTCAATGGAACGTAGAGTCATCAGGGGGTCATATTTTTATGCGCAATCGATGCCAACTACATTTATTGCGGTCTCCCCCGTATTTCTGGGCCTCGACAAGCCTAGACCGCCAATTCTTGCTCTCCGTAAAGTGCCCTACCTCATTTTCTATAAATGGCACTCTAAAAATACTGGTTTTAGACGGTGCAGGTGTCGATATTTTGCAACAAGACTTTTGGATACGATCGTTACCGAAAAACAAATATAGCTGGATGGTTGTTCCCACAGGCCGAACTTCCTGGGTACACCCCACAATACCTGCTCCAGCACTTAATTTGCTGACAATTCGAAAGGGATTGGATTGGCATGGGCCTAGCGCAAAGGATGCGTTCGATTCTGTCAATGCTCTATCCTCGGTCTTGAGCAAACGTCCAGATTGGAGTCTAAATGCGCCACCAGTAAACATGCCTGTGGTTGCTATCGGACACTCAAATGGTGGACAAGGTGTTTGGTATCTCGCCTCTCGCTATCCTGATCGAGTGCTTGCCAGTGTGTATGTCTTTTTCCACATTTTACCCCATCTAAGGTATATTTTTCAGTCGTACCTGCTGCGGGATACATCAAGTCCCAAAGTTATGTACCTCTGACATTTTCTAGGTAATTATATGGTTTCAGGTCAACAGAAGGGATGATAATAGCGTTCAGATCCGCACACTTCATAGACCCAGCGCTTCGAGCAATTCTGGAATCGTCCTTCACGGCAGACGACAACGACCTACATTTATCAAATCTAGTCGGCACACCGATACTGGCTATTCACGGGTGAAACGCGTTTCGAGATGCTGTCCCCCCAAAACTCTGATACCAGTTTCAGAGGAGACGATGACAACGTCCCTGTTTGGCATTCTCGCGAAGCTGTGAGTGTGCTCCAAGAGTGGCTGCCGTCTGCGAACGTCAGGTGCGTATGTTGCAAGGCTCGTCCCGCTCTCTTCATTAGTCTTTTGGTCAGTTTTCGCGAAGACCAGAATCAAGGCCACTGGTATCCTTCCGTTCTCGATAATGCACAAGTTCAAGATTTTTTGGACAGCTACACAAATGTTCCGAAGGGGGACAGTCCGTCTGTAAAGGAGTTTACTCTCACCGTATATGAGCCGCGGGACTGTGGCTCCCTTTATGGTTGGAAGATCGAGTGTGTTTTATTACCCGGAAGGCATGCCAAATTTCATTCTTTATCCCGTTTCCAACGAAATAACAAATATGAAGGCTTGCAAGGCTTCACGTCGACCTTCGCGAGCCTCATCTTTCTCGGATCACTACAACAAATATAAGTGGCTTCTCCCTTGCCTTGAAAGCTCCCAGTAGCGGATCACACGTCTTTCATGTCGACTGCTCCTCCATTGATGTGCCTGCAGATATCGACAGCGTTGTCTATTTCGAACGTACCACGAATGGACATTGGGAGGTGAGGACATCTTCGATATCAATGAGCGGATACCAATGCAAGCACAATATTGATGGTATCTTACATTTAGATAGCCAACGAGCCGTTGCCCGTACCGCCTCCGAGCAGAATACAGTCCATATTATCCTCACCTGCACCAATAACGATCGTTATTCCCTCTACCTCTCGCAGCCCCGAGCTTTCTTCTGCATTACGCATTGCTCACGACCTCAATGCCTATCATCGAATCGATGCCGAAATTGTTGACGAATCAGAAGCGCTTGCGCGCAGCCAGATTGGTTCATGGTCAGATGGTAACATTATTTTCATAGGGACATCTTCATCCCCATTTGTCGAAGCTGTGATCGAAGAAAAAAGGACCGCAATGAAACTTTGCGATGGAAGGCTGGTCATAAATGAAAGACACCTCGAGCAACCTGGCGAAGGTAGGCAGACACGCCAAGTTTTCTGGACACCCGACCTGATTCTCTTCCAAGCGGTTTTATTTTTGCACCCACACCCGGCGAAACAAGATGCGAGCATGTTGTTCATGGTATATACGGACGCTTCATCACTCGAAAGGGCCACAAGACTTCTGCCTATCCGCACAGGAGTTGCGGTCCCCGATTGGTTGGTTACAATACCTTTGATGGACCGGTATGGGGCTGCAGGGATCAAGGCTGCAGGGTACGTCAATTCTACTTTCTCTTCTGCGCCAAGAGATCTTCAATTAGAACCAAGGCTTTGGAGTAACAATTGGGACTTGAATCTTGCGACTGCCTGGTTTTCCTGAGGTAATCTTTACAAGGGGTCAGGTGTGAAGAGCAGGAAACTCAATTTCTCAAGGGTTACAGCTGTTTCTTGGACAGTTGACAATCGGAAAATGTTGGTACAATACAGTGTGCAGTGTAGTAAACCCAGATAGGACATGACAGATATGTGCGGAGATAGCGAGAATTATAACAACAAAATTTCTACTATTGGAAGATGAACCGTGCAACCTGTTTCAATGAAATTGTCAAACAGAGAGGATACGTGAAAAATCTGACACATACACTTTCGAGTAGCAATGTAACTTCGGGGGCAATGCGAATGAAGTCTTTGCTCCAGAAATCATATTTTGGGTTGCGCAGCAATTCGATGAATGTCACGAGTGCTCCCCACGGATGTGGACGATGGACAATGAAGCGCTCCAATAAGACCTTGGTCATAACCTCTCGGAGGCGGTCATCCTTTACTTCTACGAAAAGGTGGAGTAACAAAGAGCTGAACCAATGGGTGTGAGCGTTCGGATAGCGTAAGTGTAGTACGATAGAGCTCATAAGGTGATGTTGCCCTACACCAACCCAAATGAGTGAGATAATGTGATTTAAGCGGGTTAAACATACCTTCGACGTCGAGGTTGGTGGTTAAATACTGGAGTGCTACTGCCCCAGGATCGCTGGCGATGAAGAGGGACGATCCACTACGCGCTTTGGCTTGAGCCACGGACGAAACCCCGATGTACATGACCAAAGAGTTGATCAGAGACAGGTTGTACGACTCGGATCCAGCTTCGTTGCTATTCGATGGAAGCCTCAGTCGGTCTTTGAGCGAATGAAGGAAAGAGGGGGTGCCACGGTTTAGAAGATATTGGTCAAGATAGCCTCGCAAGTCACCGCTTTTTAGCCCCGAGGTGAAATCGGACAAAATTGGTGGTATGGGTCCCATCTCTGGAATCGATTCAAAATTGACGTTGCGAAGATGGGGATCGGGTAAAATTACGGCTGGAGGAAAAGCGCTGAGAATAATGTTACGGAGTTGAATGCAACGGGGAGGAATTGCATCGCAAAGGGTGAAATAATATTCGCTCAAAAATTCGGGGAAATCATGAAGGAGGACTAGCAGCAGTCGCAAGGCACCACGATACAAGTCTCGAGCGGCTGGCTGGAGGTCTGCATCCTTCAGGAAAGGGGACAGGAATTTGAACAGCGACAACAGCAACTTATGGAATGCCGACCATCCCTGAAAGAAAAATGAGTCCAGGTCTATATTGGTGATCGAAAAACAATTCACCTCTCGATTTTCGGATAGAAGGAGCTTTGGCATGAACAAACGATGAGAGATGAGACACATCCAGGAGAAGGCGAATCCTGGGAAGTATGTTGGTTGTAAAGAACTGTAGGTGTCGCTAAATTTACTGTCAGCTAAGAAACAAATAAGTCTCATATACACACATACCTGATCGCGATCAAGAGCTGGAAATATGCGGGACCCAGGTGACTCTCCACAGACTGTAAGTCATTGACGAGGCTTGAGAAAAACCTAAAGAAAGGCTTCTGTTGGAATGATGGGCCTTGTTCCTCGTGTAGATTTGCCAGAACAAGGACAAAGATAGAAAGAATCTTAGTCATGTAATGGACCTTCGCCTGATCGTTATTCACACCGGAAGCGTCTCCGTGATATTTGATGATGTAAACGATCAACCTCGACACCGCGTCCAGGGCTTGAAAGGCGTAGTCATAGTCGCCAACGGATATAGATTTAATGTAGCTGTTGACGCTGGATTCGGCGCAGACGCGGAAGAAGAAAGACGACACGTCTTCGACTTTGAGAATTCCTTGTTTTGTTAGTTGGGTGATAAAAGGCACAAAGTTCTTTTCGGGGGAGTGAGATCTCTGGAATATGTTAACCCATTGCTGGAACCATATGAAAAGTTTATCTCGTAATTGCTCAGTTTCCGGCTTGACGGATGGTTGGCGATGAATTAGTTCAGAAGGAGTGGCAGATCGCTTCACTCCTCGTAAGTCGTCCAACAGCCGTCTTACCCTAATAGGTTATTAGATGCGAAAAGGATATATAACAAGAACATCCCACATACTCTTCACTTCCTTTGCCGTTCTGAGACAATTGGCTAAGAATCTCGATGGAGTACTGGAACTGGTTTTGTGAAGCAACGGGCGGGTCGCTAGACAAGCATTCACGTATCAACGCAGCGGTGTAGGCAAGCAAAGTTGGGCGAGGGTCAGTGAAAAGAACTTTTGCCAGCTGTTGATCTTGCAAGGTGGTATTGATCAAACCGCTCTTTAGAAGAGCCAATGTAACCGGGACGTTATATTTACGCTGACGAAAAAAGGTTGAGGTAAGATATTCAATATTTAAGAGAGGGACGCACTTCGTCTTCTGCATACAATAGCCATGTGATCGCTTCTTTCGCCACATCTTCGAAGGTGCGACAGAGTTGATCGAGGAGAGCAACATACACCTCACGCCCAAGTTGGGAAGGTGTCTTATACAGCAGTTGAACAATTTTTTGAGACATCATCAAGGGCGTCCGCTCTCGGTCAGCAGTCTCGTCGGCAAGAATCACAACTTGCTGGACTAGATGACGAATGTCGTGGTTCGGTGGCAAGGCGGCAAGCGACTGCGTTGGTATTTGAACCATGACGGCTTCCAAGTCTCGTGTCAAGACCTTCAATAAAGTTAGACAGTGAATCAACAGACAAGACAACGACGCACCCCGAAGCGATCCATCGCATCTTGATGATTGTATAATGCTTGGTTAAGCATAACATGATCGATCGAAGGTGTTCGTGCGTATGGTGCAATAACATTGAAAGAATTGGAGGAGTTGGGCCTGCTCTCCGGCCGCCGCTTGACATCTGTGACCTGGTGAGGATATGATCAAGTCAAAAAAATCTCAACGCGTACCAAAATCCTCATATAGTCTGAATTGATGCTGCTGGAGGCCGGTGGATTTGATTCGAAGTGGATCAGGAAGGGTGGACGAGAAATTGGAGCGTGGCGCAGCTGGATCCCAAAACGGTTGTCCGTTTCTTTGCTAAGAATCATGAGTGTGCAAAAGAATTGGCAAGCGCTAATGATAACTACTAACCTCACGATGTCGTCTTCGGGATTCATAAGATGTGGCGAAACCTTCGTCGACATCCGATACCGCTCGGTCCATGGCAGCCTTCTCGATTGCTGTGCAAGCAAAATCCAGATTATCGGACACCAGGAGAAGTACAACTTGCTCAGAGACCAACTGCTGTATGACAGACAGACATATTAGTCATTTTCGAAATTCGATTAAGCTTGCCTTACCTCATTAAATCCGTGTTCATTCAAATATTGGCGGAGGTGCGTTGCAAGGTTGCTTTTCAGCGGCTCTTTACACGTCACAAGTGCCAAGCTGCCTGCAAGCTTCTGGGCCATCAAGTGACCTGCCCTCCTTACCTTGTCCTCGTTGGGGTCTGTCGCAAGGTCTTTGGTGACAAGTTCACGAGTAGATATTCCCGCAATTGTAACTGAGCGTTCGACGACAGGAATAATGATCTTATGGAAAAAGATAAGACTTCATTGAACATCAACACTGATCCACTTACTTCTCGCACAGCGCGGTCAACCGCAAGCTGTACTGCACGTTTGAAAGCGTGATTGACGTTGAGAGGCGATAGTTGGGCATTTATTTGGACTTGATGGGAGAGATTCAGAAGAATAGCTTCGATGTGGGCACCAACTGCGCGTTGGGATTCTGGTGAACTTTGGGGGCCAAGTACAAGAACCTGAGAGTCACCAAGTTGGGTAGACAAGTGATCTCCGCCGATAGGCATGGCGTCTATGTCCGCTGGATATTCAGGCAACGCAAGTCCTGCTAATGACTCCAGCGGCCGATTCCGCAAGATCGTCGTTGCCTCGACCGCGTCAAGGTTGATGTCGAGGCTTTTGCATAAGACCTCTATCTCAAACTTGAGGTTGAGCTTGAGCTCAGCGAAGTGGTAAAGCTCCGCAAGCAAGCTCATGACGGCCATCAACCAAGGGTTCGGCGGTTTGAAAACCTTCGATTTTACGCAAGGTTCAAGTGTTTTGCAAACGAATGGGATCGCGACGATAAGCCGACTACTTTCATAACCCTCGATGAGTAGCTCCTTGAACGATAAATTCTTAAACTTTATTGGCTGGTCACGAGCCAGTGTGATTGTTCCAAGCCAGGCCCCGACGTTCTTCAATGTATTACGATCCGAGCCAGATTGCATGCTTCGTTCAGAGTTCAGCAAGGCGGCAGCTTTGATAAAAGTTTCCTGCAAGACAAATTTGGACAGTTTCTGTCGGTTTAGGGCGTCCAAAAATCGAAGGTAGAGTGAGTGGTTATTGGGCTCCGAGCTGATTCGTTGATCCACGAGGTAGTTGGCAAACCAACGAGAATAGTCATCGATGAATTGTTCGCGCATTTCATCCAACTTCACGTCGAAATTACTAGGTGCCAAGTTGTTCACGATGAACAGAATTCGATCTGAAAGTTCTTCGGGCGGCATTTCAAGATCGTCGTCGATAGAGTCAGGTTGAATGGCAGTGAAGACGGGAGGTGGGTCCGCCGGAGGGTTTGAACTTGGAGCAAACAAATCTTGGTTCATCCCATTGGAATTCGTATTAGATGCCAGCCCTCGTTGAATAATGGCCATCAAATCAGGTCGGACTTCAGCAAGGTGGGGTATTTGAAGTAATGCTTCACATAAGGGTCTCCATTCCGTGAGTCTAAATTCAAATCGGCCCAACGCCTGTATGCCAAACTTGAACAAATTTGTTTCTGGTGGACAGTTGAGCGCATCAAGGATGTACCGAATGGCAATGCCGAGAGGGATGTAATCTATGAGTTGGTGTCGAATGAGTGAACCAAAAAGGTAGCCGGTCATCGCCAGTTCACGAGCGGGGTAATAGGATTGGAAAAATTTGTATTCGTCAAAGAGAAAGTGGATCATGCAAGAGAACACTTCATGATCGCGGGGATTGGCGGACTCTTTGTGTTGTTGTAGCATGGCAATGACGTCATCAATGGAAGTGTTTTCGTCGTACATTTGTTGGTAAATGCCGTCAACTTCAGCTTCGATTTCAGCAGAATATGTGACAACCGTCAATCCAGGTTCGATGTCTGATCCGGGTATAAGACTCATGAGGCGTGGATGTACTTGAAGGCAGGCATTTCGAACTTCACGGCAAGCCTCGATATCACCTTCAAGCATAGCCGCGGAACTAAGAGAAATCAGTTGACTAAAAAAGACGGAAGAGTATCAGATACTAACTTATTTCTGAGAACGCGGAGTATTATGGTGATTGTATTAGGATTGAGTGACATCGTTCGACTTTCAACGGCGGGATCAGACAGACGGCATGTTTTCTCGCTTTCCATTTTCTGTTCCAGGAAGCGGATAATAGAGTGAAGGAACTCTCCGCCATGGTTCGCAACATTGTCAGCGAGCCATTTGTCTAGGTTGAGGTATTCGCGGCGAGAGGCAAGGGCGGCCACATCGAGTGCAAATGTGAAGGGACGCACGTCGAGTAAAGATTCAAGAATCTAGAAATGTTTTGTGAGTGAAGAATATTTCGAATATAAGAGCTGCACATACTTTGAGGTCCTGTGCCACGTCAAGAATTCGGGTGATATTCAAAGGATTCTCGTCATAAAAGTCCCGGAAGGCATCGGTAAGATAAGATGGCTCGATCTGCCATATTCTCATGAATACTAGTTGATGATTGGGATGCCCAGCGAGGAACATGGCAAGGAGTTTTCGCGAGTACTCAAGTCGAATGTCGTTCCATGGTGAATCCTAGTTCAGTGGTAAGAAAGGGAAGATGAAAGAAATTCGAATAACACACAGGCACTTGCAAAAGACCCATGTGCACGAGCTCTGCGCTGATCTTGATCGCTTTGTCCAACATTTCCCGTACGCAATTCCGCACTTCAGAGGAATCAGAGCCAGCGAGGCGAACGAGAACCTGAAATAGCTCCAACGAATTCCATGTGTGACCTTGGACATTCGCAGCAAGGGATTTAATCGTGGGGCTAGCAACCGCTACATCATCTACTGTCACGATCCTGCGCCCAGGTAGTTGGACAAAATTAAACGTATCGGCGGGGAGGGAGAGCAAAGCATCGAGGAGGCGCAGCTGATAGAGGGAATTCGACCATGCTTCCCAAAATCCAGTGACTGCATGAGGCTCAACGTCGCGAGGTGAATTGAGAAGAATGGCAATTAACAACTTGAGCGTAGCAGTATCCACACCGTGACGATCTGGCCAGTCAAACGATTTAATGACACTTGGCCAACTTATTTTGACATGCTGCAAAAATGGTTATTCGCCTGAAACCAGCAATCATGAAAAGAACCAACATAAGTCCCAAGAGCGCGGACAAGTGCCCCAACGTCACATAAAACTGAACCCTCCGCGGCAAGGCGACCTAGAGTCGTCATCATCTCCATAACCTCGGCATCGCGAGGCGGGTTCGCGTCAGAAATGCCGAAACGTTCCAGGAGGGCGCGAATAGCATCCACATCACTTGTGATGTCCGGGCCAAATTGAACCAAAGCTTGCACGGATGTAGTGCCAGGCGTAACGCTGTTGCTTTTTGAGTATTGGCCCAATAAACCAATATCAACACACACCTTAGGTTCGCAAAGATGCGACGGATGATGGGGCCCATGGTTTCCCTTCCATACTTCGTCTGCGCAGCCAGAATGAGGGCTTGGCGTTGGTTGGACTCGAGTATAGGTGCGTCGGGCGAGGAGTCGCAGAGGAGGTTTGATAAAAGTTTTGTGACCTGATTGGCAGACATATCCACATTGTCGAAGCAAGGATTGCGGCAGAGATCAAGAACAGCAGTTTCGAATTCAACTTGAATCATGCTAGCAGCCTGGGTGGCAAGTTCTTTTCTTGTTTGACCTGCAACAATCGACGAGGCAAGGACGAATCTTTCAAGTGAACGCAAACCCACGCGATCCGCAAATCGTGCAAGATCAAAGTGCCTGAAGATATCCCCTTCACCTCCACCTATGCCATCCCGAAAGCGGTCTGTGAGACACGGATCGCGAGCAAGACGTTGTATTTCTTGAACCAACAAACGGAACGTCAAGGATGTTGACGGGTCAAATGAGGAGGTGGGAGCAGTCGAAAGAAGTCGTGATTGTGAATGGACGATAAGGCGACGAATAAAATGCAAGTAAGTGTCAATTCCATGTTGCTCAGACAGCTGCCAAAATGATTCAATTTGAGAGCAACAAAATGTCTGTAAAGAGCATACCGAACGTATTTCAACTTGATTCCTTTCAAAATTTTCCTCCGTGAGCGTCGAAAGCAGGAAGACAATCTGAGCCTTGACGATGGTGTGTATGTTCGTCGTTGGTGGGTTGTCCATGTGGGACGACCTGGATGGGGTCACCGAGCGCCGGGAAACACTCCCGGGTCCGGTCGCCGTTTTGAAGAATTGTATCGGGGGGTAGTTGAGGGGAAGAAGAGAAAGACCGCCTCCAACACGGGTTCGTCGATGTGTAGAGTGGCAGCAAGCTCAATTCCGCCGTCTAACGTCCTTGCTGCAAAAGTCCAATCTCCGACTCAAAATACACACTCAGCGAATTTAAACATGTTATATTACAAAGATCGGCAGTTGTAGAAGTTACAAACGGTCAGCACACTAGCCTCGATACATCCTAGATAGCATGAAGGTCGAGGAAAAGAGGAGGATAACAAACACATAGAAAATCCTGCCTTCCTTCAGCATGTCTCCCCCTGCAAGGAAGTTACGGAGTGGAAGGAAAACCAGTCCTACAATAAAGTTTGCAATCCCTGGGTTCGACGTTAGACCACTGGCTACGTCCAACGACAGAAAACATACAATTGAGTGAAAGAGCAACAGACGAGATAGCCGAGACAGCCTATAAAGTGGGGGTGAATAGGAGAAAGGAACAGCAAACGATGGGAAAAAACGTGCATGGGCGGGTGACACATCTGGAATCATCACAAAGGGAATGGGACCAAGGCCAATCGCAAAAGACCTTGAAAGAATACTCGTCAACAACCTCATCGAGTCTGGGCGGAAACAGCATACATGACAAAAGTTACGATGGCCACGCTTGAAAGGGATACAGAACCTATGTTTAAGCCAAAACCGATGCAAGTGAGGGAGGCCAATGCCCCCAATATGGATATCGTGAGCAGGGGTTTCCTACCCATTCTCTAACAGCCTTCAGTTAGCATAAAGGGGGTCAGACAAAAGAAGAAACCCGACCTCGATGAGGACGATAGGAGGAAAGGTCATGAGCACATTTACGACAGTGATTCCTAGGGAAACATAGGGCCCAAACTCGGGAAGGGATTTTGCAAGGATGTTATTACTATAATATAAGACTTTTGGACGGCGTCAGCAGATACAACAAGGGGAGAATTCCTAACCTGCATTGATTCCTATTGCCGACGTTTAGATTATTTTGAAGTATAGGCGAAATGGCCAGTCGCGTACCGGATATCTGCTGAGACAACATTGCGAGACTGACAATAGCAAGAGGCCTTCGAAGCTCTCTGAGTGCGAAGAGTTGTGGAACGTTGACATTTGGAATATGATTATCATCAGATTGCTGTGCTTCCTCGAGAAGAGACTCCTCTGAGAAAATGGGGTGGATGAACAAAAATACTAGAATTCCAGCGACTTTTAGGAACTTACCTAGCTCAACAGGAGGTTTTCTTCCCCAAAGTTTCGACACAACTTTATGGTAATCATCGAAATGGCGCCTTTTGAGCAACCAGGCTGGCGACTCGACCATCAGTGGGCTCGTCAGGATTTGCAGCAAAGATAATAAACAGGAGAAGAGGAAAACAAGGCGCCATCCGGTCGGTGTCGCGAAGCGAATGCCCACCATCTGTGTGACCATAATTCCAAGGACAATTCCAAGTTGAGTTAAGACACCTGAAAGCCCAAATGAACGCCATCACTGAGTTGAGAAAGCTAGTTCATACCAACACTGCCGCTAATCTGAGCTGGAGCGATTTCGGCTAGAAATATAGGTCCAACACAGAGTCCAATTCCCGATCCAACGCCGACCAAAAACCTCATGATCAAGTAAGTCCTGCAGTAAAAGTGATGTCACTCCAAAACATACCGTCCCAAAAGCAAAGAGACGACTGATCCACTGATACCGAACAAACCCGAACCGCCCGCCATCAGTACAGCACATATCTTGGATGCCCCCTTGCGGCCCCAGCGGTCCATGATGAGATTCGCTACCAAGCTACCGGCCAACCCGCCGACGGTAAAAATGGCAGTGACAAAGGAAAAGGTGAAGTCGGACATTGGAATGCATGTAGTCGGGACATATTTATAAGGCGGGAAGAGACTTGGGTTGGCGATCTTGCAAGTCAAGACAGCCTGTATTTGGTTGAGCGCTGAAATATGGTATCCGTACTGAATAAGGTGTTTAGCAAGCTGCAAAAGGTACAGACTGGTTCATGATACCTGAAATCCAATGACAAGAATCCAAAGACATGAAGACCATCCATACTTTGTGAATGATACATGTGTGTTAGCCATGAAAGATGATGAGTCACGCACCACGACTCACGACGTGTGTGCGCGTGTTACATAATAGTGATCAATTGATCGATGATCCGTTGTTACAACCTCCGAAAGCGGATACCTGCCATGACCTGTCATTACCCCGCATTCCACCGCCGAAACAACAGTCAGTCTTGGCGACAATATATACTTACCAGCAAAACACTGTGGAAAACTCTTGCATTTCCCTGCACTTCCACGTCAGACTTTCAGGCAACCCGATCCTAATCCGGCTAGCGGAAATATCATGGCATCACACAGGCATCACATGTCCATGCGCTAACTTCGAATTCCCTGTTGTCAACATAGAACCAATGATGTGAGCAGGTGAAATAAATACTTGTCCCTTTCATCAGCATTTTGTTCTACTTCATCCATACCCCATCACACTCTTCGGCGTCCCCCCTTCAAGTCCAACTTGCCTTATACCTGCATGTCCTCTTCCTAAGCTCCTTGCGACTTATCCATTCTTTCCCGTCCACACTCTTTCACACATATACACTCGTTTTACCCCCATGCTCTTCCAAATTTCCTTGTTTATTTTTCTTGCCTCCGTTGAAACCGCCCTTGCAGCAACTGCGGAACAGTGGCGAGGCCGTTCGATTTACCAGTGCGTTGCTACTACCGTTGCGACTGTGCCTCCTAAAACTTAATGCTACTGTAGAATTGTTACAGACCGCTTTGCGCTGCCCTCCGGTGCGAGTCCGAATGCCTGCGACCCAGGTCAACAGACGTGGTGCGGCGGAAATTGGAATTCGTAAGTCCACATCACCGCAGTTTTTTCGCAGCTCCCAAACGCAGCCGTCACATATAGGATCCGGCAGAATTTAGACTACGTCCAAAACGCTGGTTTCACTGCGAGTGAGCACTCGTACACGATGTTCTTGCCATATATGCTTATCACTCCACAGTTTGGATCAGTCCCGTCAACCAAAATTATGAGGGACCAAGGTCAGCTTACGGGGACCCCTACCACGGTTACTGGATGGCAGATGTTTCCAAGCTGAACAGCCGCTTTGGCACTGCGGACGACCTCAAAGCATTATCCGCCGAGTTACACCGTCGGAATATGTATGATCATTGTTACTCCAGTGGCGAAATTCAAGTTGACGAGAACGCAGGTATTTGATGGTCGACATCGTCGTCAATAATGTAATGGCAACCTCTAAAACACCGGATTATTCAACCTATCTGTTCAAAGATGCGGTGGGTGCTAAATTTATCAAAAAGTAATGTATTATTCACGCCGTTGCCAGTCCATGTATCACCCCTACTGTCCTATTCAGTGGGGAAATACAACCAGTGAACAAGAGTGCTGGCTGGGCGACGACAAAGTTCCTTTGCCGGATGTTGACACAAGGAACCCTACCGTTGTTGCGCAGTATGGCGACTGGATCCAAGATCTCGTCAAGGAATATAACATCGATGGCCTTCGGATTGATGGTAAATTTTACCAAGCTCACCCTGATCTCGAAGGCTGATTCAAAAACTTTCTCCATAGCTGCCAAGTATGTCATGTCTCTCGTTTGTTAACTGATGCGCTCAATGGCTCCACTAGACATGTGAATATTGATTTTTGGCCAGGCTTTTGTGCAAAAGCCGGCGTGTTTTGCATGGGAGAAGTCTTTGGCGGTGCGGAAGTCGAGTTGAGTTCATTATTTTGTATCCTCGATTTGTTCTCATCTGTTTCTGAAGCCCCATCGCTATGTATCAAGGTCCTCAGGCATTGGATTCTGTACTCAATTTCCCCATGTACTCTGCCTTATTATCTGGTTTTTCGATTCCGGGGCCTCAAAATATTTCTGCTATCGTCGACGTTTTCCAACAGTCTCAGGTTAAATTCAAGGCAGGTCTTCCATTGTGGTAATATCGGTGTTGTTCTTGCCTAACTATTACTAGGACACGGGTTTACTGGGAAACTTTTTGGAAAACCAGGATCTTCCTCGTTGGCGCAATCTATCGGTGGACCCTCAAAGCATGTAGTACGTCATTGCGTGTTCGCCTATCGATCTTCACTCAGAAATACACATATTCTCAGCAACGCCATGGCGTTTAACTTTATGTCCGATGGCATTCCCGTTGTGTACTATGGGCAGGAACAGGGATTCAGCGGAAACGCGGACCCTGTACGAGAATCATTCACTTCGGCTCAGTTCTATTCTGATAAATTCCAATCTGCACCAGTTTAATCGCGAGCCCTTGTGGCCTTCGAATTATACCCTCACACCTGCATACGAACTTATCACAAACCTTAATATGGTACTTCCGACTTGTCCAGGGGACAGCACACGATGGGCTAATCGGAATTCTAGTTACGCAACTTCCTCGTCAACACGACGGATTGGGCAAAACAAGGAACCCAGATCTTGACAACCAGTCCATATGGGATAGCGATCATGAAAGGGCCAGTGATTTCTGTTCTCACAAATATTGGTTCTCCCGTGCGTATTAGCCGTCGTCATTCATGTAAACTATAATTTACCATGGGTTTCTCAAGCCTCAAAATGGAACTCATATCGCGGCCAAGACACCTTACCCATCATCCACTGCTCTGACCAAGTGAGTTCTTCCCCTTTACCCTCAACATACAAGTTGACATGGCTCTTCCACCAGCATTCTCACATGCCAGCAATGGGCAGTTGGTTCTAGTGGGATGATTGATACTCAGTACACACTTGGGGGTGTTCCTATCATCCTCATCCCGAGTAATTTGCTTGTCGGGTCTGGTCTTTGTGGGACTCAACTTGCGGCAACAGCCAAGGCTGGCGGCAAGGCTGCCTCGCTTGCGTCGGTTGCCCGCCCAGCATTTTCGCTTTCTATAATACCTTTAGCTCTGATGTGGTCTGTCCTACTAGTTTTCTGTTTCTTCTCATCTTGAATAGAAACTACCACGCTGTTGTACTTGCTGTTTATTGTGACGCGTGACGCGCTCAAGACGCGCTACTCGACGCGCCTTCTTATCGTCGTAGGCCTCGAGAAATCGTCACCGTGCAGCTTGGACAATGTGGAAATCAAAGTGTGTCCGCTAAAAAACATAATGTCTAATTGAACATATCAAGTGGCTTCCGTCTACTAGCAGCGCCTCTGCGCTGAACACGGTATCAACATCAACAAAGAAGGCATTCTTGAAGACTGGGCAACTGAAGGTGGATATCGCAAAGACGTATTCTTTTACCAAGCGGACGACGAACACTACATACCCCGAGCAATTTTGGTTGACCTGGAACCTAGAGTACTTCCATTCCTCGGAACTTGACTACATTTGACGAAATCTAGGTAATAAACAACATTCTGGCTTCGCCGTACGAATCTATATAACCCGGAGAACATTTTCATCTCAAAAGACGGCGGAGGAGCGGGGAATAATTGAACCCAAGGATATTATATTCTGCTGGAGAACGCATCTATGAAGAGGTTATGGAAATGATAGACCGCGAAGCAGAAGGCAGCGACTCTCTCGAGGTGTGTGGAAATGACCTTCTAATTTGCGATCAGCGTAACAGGCGTTTTACAGAGATTCATGCTCATGCACTCCATAGCTGGCGGGACTGGGACTGGACTTGGCTCTTTCCTGCTTGAACGTCTCAACGATAAATTTCCGAAGAAATTAATCCAGACGTACAGCGTCTTCCCCAACGCGCAGGAAGGGGAGGTTGTGGTGCAGCGCTAAAACTCACTTCTGGCACTCAAACGCCTGGTAAATCACGCCGACTCAGTCGTCGTGCTCGACGACGGTGCTTTAGCCTGAATCTCAGCTGATAGATTACACGTTCAAACGCCATTCTTTGGTCCGCAAAAGCTCATCTCTGAGTCCAAGCCGTGTCATTGATCTTTTTTTTATCCACCGTGATAGCGGGCAGTACACAGACGCTTCGGTATCCTGGATACATGAACAATGACCCCGTCGGCATCATCGCCTTTTGACGACTCCCAGCAAAATGACTTGCTATATCTCAATCCTAAACATTATACAAGGCGACGTGGACCCAACAGATGTGAGTCATAAGTCGATTGCTGATACTTTGTCAACTCACACTCTCCAATTGCAGGTCCATCAGTCGCTAATTTTATTCCTTGAGGGCCTGCGTCGATACAGGTCGCATCAACTCGCAGATCGCCCTACATAGCTACGAACCATCGCTTGAGCGGCTTAATGCTCGCCAATCACACAAGTATCGCATCGGTAAGAACTGCCACTTTTCTTCCATGTACCCAGGCCTTGAAACCCTATGCAGCTCTTCAAACGCATGCACGACCAGTTTGATCGACTCTAACGACGCAATGCGTTCCTTGAACAATGCAAGAAAGAGAAATTGTTTGAAATGGCTTGGAGGAGTTCGATGATGCAAGGTAATTGCGAATTCTTCTCGGGACAATTCATATCATAAATCATGGGGAACCCGCGAAGAACTTTTGAAAGAGTATAAAGCCTGCGAGAGCCCTGACTACATTATGTGAGTTTCTAAAACCTCATCAGGTGCACCTTTGAATGACTCGTCCGGGAATGGGCAGGGAGGGGCCGACGCCGACGCCGCATGAGCAGTCCTTGAAATCAACTATGTCTTCCATGATTCCGGTTCTTGTCATTAACAAGGGACAAGCGAATGATGCTAGATTGGCATCTGTCTAAGTCTACAGTTTAAAATCGCCCCAAAAATGAAGTATAGCAGGAATGAAGGAGCCGAAGGTAGCTATGTCTTCTTTGGCCCCTCCAGTTTCTTCCCAATGTCTGAGCCTATCAAAGCTTTGAGATGGAGAACGCAGGGCAAGGTGAGTTGTAGGAGCTTACCACGGAGTTTCACGCCGAGGACCCGTTCCAGCTTGCCGAGAATTTGAGGATTGGGGATGGCTTTGCTGGATTCGTAGTCTTGCAAGATAGATGGCTTCTCATTGATCTTTGCTGCGACGTCTTTTTGAGACAGTTTAAGATCCATACGAGCAGTTTGGATAGCCTTGAAAAGGACTGAGTTCAAAAATGTGGCTAGAAAGCAGGGTTCAGTCACGTACACGACCGACCGAAGGGAGAATCTTCGCAGGTGGGGCGACTTCATTCTCACGGTCAAGTTTCGCTATACGTTGATGGTCGGTACCTTGTCAAAGCTGTCAGGTTTTTGCAAGGTCGTAAAACGTGTTGAATACATACCCTGATGGGCCTTGTTCCCTCCAGCGGCAACTTTCTTGTCAGTAGCAACGACAGCACCTGATCTTCGTGCCTAAGATGATGGAGGATTTGTAAAGGAGGGGTGGGAGTCGAAAATATAAGAGGCTCACAGCTGTAGGAACGTCGAGTCAGAAATGTGCACAAATGTGGAATAAATTCAACCGACCATTGATATCAGAGTCTTTTTTGGCAACCTTTGCTACCTGCCTCTTGAAGCCGATGACTGTCTTTGGTTCGTCCCAGTCGCTCATTGTGATGGTTAGGTTGAGAGAAGAATGCGAGTGAGCGGGGCAGCGTTGAGGCTGTTCTTATAATTATGTGACGCGTGACTGACATTGACTCGTCACTTACTTTTGTTAGGTAACACTCACGTGGCACCATGACGACACAAGGTGAATTCAATTTCAATTCACGTTAATTTCTGGTTGTCTTCTTGGTGTGTTCTTTTCCACATTTCTTCATCTCTTACCGTCTCATTCATTCCGTTCGTTCGTCTCTTTAGCGCAAGCGCACGACGTTGAACGTCCTTTCTCTTCCTCCAACATTCTTTTTAATCGTCTTGTCTCTTTGAGAGGGATCTACATCGACAATGGTCTCCAGGAAACTGATGCTTGTCTGGGCAGCCCTAGACTTTCTTCTTCTCGTCGCAGGAGTGGTAGCTCTCGTTCTATCTCTCACATGGAAGGCCCCCAATCTTCTCATGAACATGGTCCTTTCCTCCGCCGATTTGACTGGTGTGCTGCGGTTTATTGCCTTTCTGGTTTATTTCTGATTACCCGCCCCTTAGCTGGAACCGTGTTGGGAATAGCGTTGCTAATCACGTTTGCGGTTTCCATATGTGCCATTGTGCAGCGGAACCATGTCACCATCGGTCTTGTCATTCTCAACTATACCCTTCTTATTGATGCCATCGGCATTATTATTATTGGCACTTTTGTTTGGTATTATACCCTTGGAGAACGTGCCAACTTCCATGTACTCTGGGCGGAAGCAAGCCGTGAAACTCGTATTACTCTCCAGGACCAGGTGTGTTCCTAGATATTGGCAAACCCGTTCACGACCTCATCGATTTGTTAGCTCAAATGTTGTGGATATTTCAATGGAACAGATTTGGCTGAAGTCGGGGGTGATTTTTGTCAGACTCAAGACTTTATCACCGGTCTTGCGGCCAACATCTCATCCAATTTTTGTGTCACGCCTATCACCGCCTTTGCTGACATGACGTTGAACAACGCTTTCACGTATGTTGTTCCATCTTGTTCCTAAAATCTATACTCATCTCCCTCTTTCAGCACTGTATGTCCTCTTGAACTTGCTGTGGTAAAATTATTGGCTGAATCGCAATATAGGTATATGGCTTTATGGCCATCGTATTGTGTTTGCTTTTGGCGTCGCTGTGTGTTATCAAGAAGGTGAACATTTTGCATACTTTTAAATCACTTTCTCACCATTAATTTTCAGAGGCAAGAAGATGAACGTTTCAAGAGAATTGATGCCAAGCGGGGTGGAAGAGGTTTCGTTTAATGAAATGCATCATCGCTTTCAAGTAATTTCGATTCATTTCCCATAAAACCTCAGCTATCTATCCCCCATTGTCTCTGCCAAGCAACTTGTTCCATTTTAAGGAGTTTTTGTATACCACTGGATCTGATTATAACTTTGCTCCCTGCCGCCTGAACATGTTTACAGCGCTGATCAACAGACTCAGTTTCGTAAGTCTACAAGAACTGCTTGAGAACCCAGATGGGCAACTGCAGCGTTAACAGCCACCCGCTCAACGCCGCCCTCTGTGATTATATCTGCCCCGTGCGCCTCGTGAATATGTCTTCTCAGAGAATATACTTAAACCCAACCCAGAAGCGAAGGAATGGCCGCTTACCCGAACACATGCAATCGGCAAGTCTCCAGCGTCGCAAGCCTTTCGGCAAGTTGTCGACACCCAGCATTCTTTTCACGTCTCGTCCGGTCAAGAGTCATGTAAGGAGGCGTGTGGGTCAGAAGAATTTCAGTGTCGGTTGGGATCTTCTGGTATATCGCTGATTGTGCAACAATATTGAGTTATGAGTTGGAGAATCTCTTTGAAATGGATGAACCTGAGGCTTCGTCAGACGAGGAATACTGGAAGGCTCCTCGAGCGTATTTCCGAGCGGCCTGAAGAAAGCAGATGCATTGCCGGACTGGAAGATTCCAATTCAACTTGACGTACTGGAGAACCATAGGCCTTCCATGTTCGACCAGCTGGTGTCACGAAAGCGAAAGGTTCATGCTCCAAGTAGTATATGTCGGCCTCGCGCAAGGCATCGCTCTTCATAATCGTCCGTATCTCACGAAGTTGTTCAATTTCCTCCTAGTAAAATCGGCGGGGAAAATAAAAGAGACATCCGAGTGTATTCGAACGTACCTTCTCCAGTGTGGTATCTCCAGAAAAGTTTGGGTCTAAGCACAACTGAAACGTGCAATATTAACCGCCGCCGTGTTGGTTCTTTCGTAGTTTAAATAAAGCATTTACATCATGGTTTCCTGCTATAATTCTGGGAGCAAGTGTCAGCATTAGCGGAAGTCTCTTTAGATCAAATCCAGTGGATAGAAACATTTTTGTGGGGTGTTTTTGTGATTTCAACCACAGGAGCGTGGTATGCAACTGATGTGGATGGCCCCAGCTGCTGAGATCTCCAGCGTGTAACAGAACATCCCCTGCTGGAATGGAGAAGACTCGAGAATGCGTATCAGAAATGCATACGAAGCGAGTCCAATTCGGGCCCGGGTGTGGAGGGATAGATTCCTGGTCATAATCCAGGTAAACTCGCACTGAACTTGTTGCACAGTTTCGTGTTGAAGTCATGAGCTTGTGAAAAAATAAATTATCATTATTATACAAAACTAATTTATTTTTGGATCAGCCAAGCTACAGCAACGTTCAAGTGGTCCAAGATGCTTGAGGCCTACAATGTCAGTAAAAAGAAAGGACAGGAGCACCTAGAGAACGTTATTCGTCAGATTCCAAGGACAACTTAGCCGTTTTAATCATTGGATGCTGGTTTGGAATGTTTGTAACCGGCCAAGTGATGCAAAAAGTCGCGTGTCGTATCAAGCCGCAAAAGAGGCTCAGCGCATCTGGTAACGCCATATTGCATAGCAACCAAGAAGAAGCAGAGTTCACTGAATGCGTAGCCGTTTTGGATCTATAGAAAAGACAGTAAAGCAATGGAGAAGCAATGATTTGCAATCCACAATTACCTGGAGATATCGGGGGTGATACATCTTCAACGTCATCACCAAAGTCTGGATCCACCTCCTCAAAGCCTCGCTTGGATGCTTTGCTTGAAAGTGTGTTTGAACTTCCATTGGAAGCCAAGTCTTGTTCTTGTTCTATATCCCATGCCGTGTCAAGTTCACCTTCGCCATCAAGGCTATCATCCCAATCGTCTGTCCCAACGAGCAAAGCCCCATCGTCAGTACCTTCGCCATCTGCGGGGAATGGTAAGTTTTGAACTGTAAATGAGTCAGTATTGTACCAGTCCAGAGAATGCCAACCCTACGTTCAGATGACTCTTCATAGGCCTCAACGCTTTCACCATTTTCAAGTTGGTTGTCATATGTATCTTCATAACAGGGTTAATTTAGTTAGTCCCTATTGCAGAAGAATGAAGACTTGCCCAGCTCTCCAGAAGTGACATTCTGATCAAGATCCTGATATCCTTGTCCACCCTCAGTCGTAGGTTCATCTAGGGCACACAAGCGCGACATGAGAATAAATTTAAAGGGATGTGGTGCATTGAACTTACGGAGCTCGTCTTCGTCACCATGTTGAAAGGCGTTTTCTTCAGGCAACAAAGATGTAGTGGGATATTCCTCTTCCTCCGCTTCACCAGACTCCTCCGCTTCACCAGACTCTTCCGCTTCACCAGGTTCATCTGCTGCAACAGATTCCTCCGCTTCGCCAGATGGGTCGGCAGCTTTCGCGCCTTCCTCATGATCTTCCTCGTCATCATGCCTTTCAGAGTCGTTGCTGTCGTCCCCCAGGCTCTTCACAACAGTCGGATATTTCTCTACTGCATTACCTTCGGTGTCAGATTCAGAATATCGCCCAGATAAATGCAAAAGGGTGGCACGGTCTGCAAAATCGTTAGAAAAGGCGGAATGCGCGAGGTTGTCTTGTTCATTGAGTGTTGGTATCCTTGTGTTATTTTCATCTTGATGTTCGCCTTCTTCGAGTTGATCGACGTTGTCTTCAGGCGGCTCGTTGTGGTTTCGTGAGGAAGAGGTCTGGGAATCGTCGTTTTCTACTACCCCATCAGTATAGCGTCCGAATAAAAACTGTAATGTTCACCTTCATTGTGCTCTTCTACTACCGAAAAGGTCAATGCGTCGGCAGCCTCTCCTTGAATAGGGTTGGAAACCCGCTCTTGTAGGCGACGATAGTGCACGATAAACCTTGGAGAGGTGGCCGTAAGCCGAAGACGTAGGGGACCATGGATTCCAGCGGCGTCATGGAGAATATTGAGATCGTGCAACGTTACCTCGCGTGCATAAAAATTATCCTAAAAAATACTGGGATCAATACGATACATTTTGAATTGGCCGTAGAAGATACCTCTGAAACAATGAGTTGCAACTCGTAAGCATCCAGCGTCAGCTCAGCATTGGTACTGTCAAATAAAGTATGAAGGTGTTCTTCCTGTCGAAAAGCTTCAAAGACGCTGTGGAGAGGCTCATAATAAAGAGTAGGAAGGTGTTGGAGTATAACTTGAATGGTCGAGCTAGATTCTTCTTGCGGCTCGTTGAATAAACTGAAGTGGTGCTGCACTTCGGTCGAGACGAGAAGAACAACAGCAGGCGGAGGATCAATATAAACACCTTCCGATATTTCGTGAGGATCCCCCGTTGAATGGGCGGATAGGTCGGCCTGTTCAACCTCTGGCTCATGCTCGAGAACATTTGTCTCTTCTTCGAAATTGGGATTTACGTCCCCTGAGTGCGGGTTATGCCCTTCCAACTCCTTAACTGTGACCGAAAAAACCTGAATCGTGTTGTCCGGTTCTTGATCTAATTCGGAAGCTGAAACACCTTTGATCATATCTCCATCCTCGGTCACCTCTGCTTCGTTTATGATAACAGTCTCCGAGGCAGACGTATGGCCATCGGCAAAATGCAATGATTGCTGCTTTTCCGGAGAAAAGGATTCTAAAGATGGCACCTCTGATTGTTCACCAAAGGCGTTTTCTGCGGAAGACTCTTGGACCCCTTCGGGGAGCTCAACAGAAAGGGGTTCATTTTTAGACTCGTCGAAGGGATGAGATGAGTAAACTTCGGGTGGAGCGGAGGAATGAACAAGCGACGCATCATAGACCTCGACGTCGAGTTCCTCGTCATCGTCCAACATCTCGTATTCGGGGAACAGTTCCATGTCAACTTCTATGCTGCCATCGCCCGTATCCATAACAGTGGCTTTCTGCCCCCTAGTTTGAACATGACGCAAATATTCAGCGTTTTCGAGAGCTATAAATGATTCAGATTGCATCCCCGAGTGGGGCAGCTGGTCATCGTCATGCATATGGTGAGCAGTAGTGTGGTAGGTTTGTGATACCGTTTCAACAACGGAAGTACTTTGCGACTGCATTTGAGAATGCAAATGGTGGGGTTCCTCCTCAATGGACTGCATCTCGGGACGGGATATGCCATGCTCAGACACCTGGTGAAATGTAGACTTGTGAGAGAAAAACAAAGGGTGATCTTGCTTGTGTGAATGTGAAGAGTCTTCCTCCATTATTTCTTCCTCTTGAATCCAAGAGTCTGATGAATGGGCGTTCATAGGAACATCGAGGTCGCTCTGGTAATCGAGCATCTGGGTGTCATCAATGAATGCGTCCACCATGGTAGACATGACGAGGGAGAAGGGTGTGATTACATAACCATGTCTAATTCCCCAAGGCCCAAGCTTGGCCAAGCGGTCTTATGTTGGTCTTATGTCTACTATCTCTCTTGACGATGTCCATGCTGCAGACACAAACTATCTCGTTCGCGAAGCAATGACCACTGGCTACCAGTTCTTCTCACTAATTACCCCTCCGGCCTACGTAGCTTTCGTCATTGCAAGGCGTGGCCGAGCGGCCTTTTCCATAAATCGCCTTCTTCGAGCCACTTGGGTAGGGGGGTTGTCTGGTATGTATATATTATCATTATTCGAACACTTACTCACGCGTGGCATGAAGGCACCCTGGGTTTTGGTGGCGGGGCATACCTCAGATACGCGTATTCAAGTGCCGAGTCCACAAGGGTCACAAGAATCGAGACTGCGTACAATGTGCTTGTCGTCTTTGCCTTTGCGGTGATAAGCGCGCTAAGTAGCTTTTTTTTGAAGCCTGCGATTATTCGACGACATGACCACGCCACCATTGGATCTATCCTAATGGCTGTCCTGACTCCAGCTTTGTTGTGGAGACGCGCAAGTATTGTAAACTGTTGAGTCCCATATATGTGCGATTTTCAAGGTAGTCGCTAATCTGCTACAGTGATATTAGGTGGTGCTGGGTTGGGCAGTGGAATCGGTTTGGTAACGCATTATGTTCGAACACTGTCGGGGGACCCAGCACATGCTCCTCGTATCGCACCAGAAAATAATGGAAACAAGAATTCATAACAATTTATCACCACTCTCATACAATGTGCGTACAGTCAAGTTTGTGGTACTCGAGTTTTCAGCGCTCAGTCTCGAGCTTCGTCCTTCAATCGATCGTCAATCGTTGGGGATATCACAAGCAAATCCTCATCTCCTTCCTGTGGCTGGTAGATATTTTCTTGTCCCTTCCGTGCGCTATTGCCATCATAGGCATCCACAGAGCTCATATGCTCAGCGGAACAGACAGCCAGCTGATCACAATAGTGAGATTTAGTGCGATAAATGACCATGTTGATTGCGCGCTCCCATTGTTTTTTCGCTTTGGTCGGCTCCTTAAGTTGTTCTTGAACTTTATTCCGCCTTGACTGCTCTTGAGAAATGGCGGCCTTTGTTCGGGACTGAATGAGGTGTGAATGATCTTTCAAGCGTATCATCTTGTTCACGAAATGGGAACCTAAAACCACCGTTTAGTCTTGTGTTCGTAGCATCGTTATCACACTCACCCAGAAGATATCGACGCATAATACTGCTCATCAAATCGCCGGATTCATGATCAATAAGTTGACGGCTGCCCCGAAGCGCCTCATAGCCATCATGCCCATCCGCCATGTATTCTCGTGTAACAATCTTGTATTTCCTGCCTCCCTTGACACGCAAGACAGGTTCCAGATTGAGGTGGACTCCATTCTCATTATTATGGCCATTTTCTCCTTCTAAAAGTAACCAAATCCCAATAACACGTTCACCAGGTTGTCGACGAGAGTCCCATGAGATTCGCAAGCCTGAAACTACAGGAAATCGCCTATGAAAAATGAGTTAATTTTAGCTAGGCCAGAAAATGGTGTCCTTACCCCTCCTGGGCAGGCCACATCCCAAGGGAACTTTCGATTGCATCCCATAATGTTGCGCCGTCAAGTTCAACAACAAGAATAGGATCCTCGAATGGTAGAATCTCGAGAATATCACCGAGCGTAATGGGACCTATTCGCAAAAAATGAAGCAAAAATTTAGACCACGACGTACAATGCAGGATATACCTGGACCATAAGTAGAATCTCCTCTTAATGTTCCGGCACAAATCAAAACGCCATCAGCACCCCCGCAACCCCCCACGCATAAAGCATCATCGTACGCATGTCGAACTACATCCGCAAACCAATTGGCAGCCGGAGACTAGAGAAATCTTTCGGCTGTTTCAATGGCGAGAGCAACACACAACGAACCTCCGCCGTACGAATGTAGTAAGACCGAAGATCAAGCGTTACTGCCGCCTTACAAACCGGTGCCTTAAGTGTTGATGACACGGACGACAACAATGTCTTGAGCAAATTTGTCATGGCCTTTGATGATCTAGTATCAGCTTCAACGGTGTGTCTCTTGCCTGAAGCTATAGTATCAACCCAGGTGTATTGTCAACGAAGAGACAGTATTACCTGCAATTTCACAAATGACTTGGTTCCGAACGCTTCCCTGCGGAGTGCGTTGAAGGACAAGCTCCAGCTCGCTGAAATCCCGGAAGTCTGACCCACTCTTCACGACCAAAATGTCTCCAAGGTCCAATTCGGCTCCGAGAACCGTCTGTGTGAGATCATAATTATCCCAAGTGGTTACACCCCGACTGACGTAGTAAAGATGGTCATGTCCACCCAAAATGAGGTCTACGCCATGCTGATCATGTAAATGTGTAGTTTGTTGCGCTGCAGGGGATAATGCCAGCAAATCCTTCGCAAGAGCAACATCCTATTGTGATACTTGATAAGCCGTTTTCTCGTCGATGAAGCTTCTCGACAGGACGACGTACATTTGGTACCCTGTAATCGACCATTTATACGAAAAGAAATTATTTTGAGCCAAGTTCTTACCGACAGTGTGTCAAAGCGATGATGATATCGCATTTGTATTCTCCGTTTGGATCCCGAAGCAGTCTGGAGAGCTCGATCCCCGTTTCAGCCATCGATTTGAAGACGAAATTGGACGGCCATGATGCGACAGTGGCAATCCACTCCCTGGAATTAAGTAATGGCTGATAGCTTGTTTTGCATGTCATGAAGGCCTACTTCTCGACCAGCCCAATGATGCCCACACGAACCCCTGCACGATCGAAGACAATGAATTCGTTGAAAGGCTTAGGGGGCCGAGACGTAGCGCGATCGGCGATATTACTTAGAATCCAAGGCTTTCGAGATACGTTAGTCAATGGGGTATAATCAAAATCCAGAGCTCACAAATGCGGTGTCGTCCACCAACTTTGAAAGATGAGGATACCCTGAAACTAATCAGTACCCATGATTTGAAGCGGGAAGTTATCCACTGAACTCACCAAAGTCAAAGTCATGGTTTCCTACAAAGGCGAAAGAGGATCAGAGCGCAATCACCGTCCAATACGGCGACAAACCAGTAAGGGAAACGTCGACGCCGAGCTGGTTCATGACCGGGACCTATGTCATATGGATCATCAAGATATGAGATAGGTAACATCTGCCAAAGGGTATCTGTAGGCACCATATGACTTCCTCGAGTAACTGAACTTTCAAGAGACGGCGAAAAAACATCGCCAGAAAACAAGGTGAGGCCATTCTCTCCCCAGCCAGGTGAGTTGCGGAGATCATCCAAGAGAGCTGAAAATTGTGTTACGTCAAACGTCCCTGCAGATGACGGCGACAACTTTTGCGGTGTAACTCGATAAACATCATTAAAGTGGAGTATGGAAAGCGTTGTCATAGCTAGGATGTAGTGATAGTACTTTGGTGATCTCGAGTGTTTGAGTTTGTGATTGAAGTAGTGTTGATAACTCAATTTGGATTACTTAGTAGTGATATTGATTGGAACGTGAACACTATAAAATATCACGTCACAAAGATGCCTGACCTACTTCCACGCTCGGCGCACCATCTGGTTCCTTGAGAAGAATGGAGAAGTTATTGCGTTGGCCTTGGCGAAGAACGGTTTTCTTGTAAAAAAGATGATGTCCTGATGGCGCAAGGTCCTCTTTACGATACAACCAGTAAACCATCTTCCCACCTTGTCGCCATTTTTCGTAGATTTCCGTGAAATGAAGGTGATTCATAAGACCTCTGAAATGTTCAAATGTCAGGTACCGTGAATTCAGAAGGCAGGGCAAGGGAAGCTGAGGCAGATTAGATACATTTGTCGCATCGCGATCAAAGAACGCACCGCAAGAAACAGGTAGCCGCCGGGAGCGAGCATCCGGTGAGCAAGTTGTAACATGCGACCTAATGGCATTGAGGAGTTTCTCTGTCATAGAACAGTTTTCTCACCTCGATCGTTAGGTTCTGGAACAAAATTCAATACCAAACTCAGGCTTATGACATCCCATGCGCTGCGGTGCTCCTCAGACATGAGAAGAAAATCCTGTTCTCGAATTGACGGGTGGCGTGAACGCAAGTCAATCGGTGTGCACTCAATCCACGCAGAACAAGATTTGTAATTATCTGGCTTGAGCGCTCCAACTTCGAGAAGCCTAGGGGACAAGAAAAAATGATTGATATAACTAGAATGACTTTGTAAACATACCTCACTTTTATCTCTTTCAAGCTCAGGCTGTTGACCTTGAGCTCCTTCAACCAACGGATCAATACTTTTTCACTTCCACCACCACGATCGCCGCTCTGCCCTACAGCAGACATTCTCTGATAGCATTTCAGATCTCCGAGATCGGATATCTGATGCTGGACGCTGGCCAACGCCTCCGCTGTGTTGGCGTCCCCTGTGGGTGTGTTGAGAATTTGAGACCGCTTTTTAAGGAGAACGTGAAAACGGCGAATGACGGTTCTACTTGATTGAGGGGTACTCGAAGATGTTCTGGTCGTCTCTGGGAGGACGATTGGAGTCTTTCTCCGAGTCCTCTTGACTCTGGGCATGGAGCAGGTGAAGGTAAGTAAATTACATAATATAGTTCAAGCCCCGACGCGTTTATGACATTGACGTTCCTCCCTTGACCACAATTTTGACGCGTTCAACATCTGCTCGGCGCTCTCTCTGATCTGCCGCAATTTTAACTAGCTCATCCATGATCGTAGAACTCAACAAGTCTACCTTTACCTCTCGCGTTAAGCGGTTATACAGTGCTTGGAATGTACGCAATTGTACTCTCGTTTCGATCCTGTCTAGGACCTTACCTGTCTGCCACCTAGAACGCGAACAAGAATGACGAGTACAGCTCTATAGCCGACGTTGACGCCCTTTTACTCGTAGCAGACGACCCAGCTGCCGAAGATGAGCCCATACGCAAGGGAACCTGCCTGCAAGTGAGTAGCTCCTCGATATATCCTCTTTGATTGAGACTGACTCCTCTCCAGCAATGGTTGCTTGGTTACGAATTTCCTTCTACTCTATTCTTGTTTCAAAAAGACAAGATATCGATATTATGCTCAGCTTCAAAGGGTAATATGATTATTGCACATTTCTCAATTCTTCTAACACCAAGGTCTTCTCAGCTAAAATTCTGGCCCAAATCGAGAACATCGCGGGAATACCTTCGATCGAGATTTTTGCTCAACCAAAAACGAAAGATTCTGCGAACGATGCTCTTCCCAGGTTTTTCGACATTTACAAATCCACACAACGTGTCGGTACCCTTATGAAAGAATCGCATTCAGGAAAGCTCGCTTCAGAGTGGAAAAAACTTCTCTCTGATTCCTCCGTGACATGTGAGCAGGTGGACATTGCGCCTGCTGTCTCAGCGTTCATGGCGGCGAAAGATGATGAAGAGCTGGTAAGAGGTGAAGGAGCCATAGAGTTACTTAGAGTCTTGATCTTTTCTCTAGAAATCTGTGCAAGCAGCTGCTTCTCTGACGTCGACCCTTTTGAAATATCATGTTGCGCCGAAGTTGGAGTCAATTCTTGACAAGGAGTCGAAGACCACCCATGACATGTTTGCTGCTCAAATTGAAGCCCGCCTTGGTTCAGGTGAAGGAGACTCTGCCAAGGGCCCGGATATGAAAGTATGGAGTCGATTTAAAGGACATCCCGACGTCAGTTTTCCATTATCTGTATTTCAATGAAGCTTAGTGGAGCCGCAGATTGACTTCCCATCTCTCGAGTTCTGCTATCCCCCCATCGTCATATCAAAGTCTTCAAAATCTGGATATGACCTTCGCTATACCGTAGAGTCTAGCGATGATAATATTGCTCACAAGGGTGTCCTACTGGTCTCGTTAGGACTTCGATATAAGTCGTATTGTACAAACATTGCAAGGACATTCATCGTGGATCCTAATACTGTGCGTACGGTTTTTTTCGCCTCAATTTCGAGTTTAATTGCATACAGGCACAAGAAATGCAATATAATCTTCTACTTTCTCTGCAGTCTGAGCTGATCGCGACCATGAAGGATGGTGTGTCAGTTCGTGATGTTTACCAGCATGCTCTTGCGTATATCAGAGAGAGGCAGCCAGACTTAGAGAAGCATTTCGTGAAGAACCTCGGATTTGGAGTGCGTTGTGTTTTATTCCATTAAAATGTCAATGTCAACTGATCTTTTGTTCTTCTCCGTTGTAGATGGGCATTGAATTTCGTGATTCGGCATACGTTCTTTCTTCAAAGAGTGCCCGTACGCTGAAAAAGAACATGATCTTCAACCTTGACCTTGGGTTTTCAGACCTCACTGACAGCAACGGTCAGAAGTGAGAAAAGTATTTTTAAACCTCTTGCATTCGTCTCTAAGGTCGTGCACAGATACTCTCTTCATCTCGCCGATACTGTGAAGATCGATACTTCAGCCTCGGTACTGATGACCGAAGGATCGAAATCACCGAAAGATACTCTTTTTTTCCTCAATCCTGAGAGCGAAGATGAGAAACCGAAGGGGAAGGACAAGAATCGCGCTTTTGTTCCAAAAGCCAATGGATCACCGACCAAGCAAAAAACAATTGCCGGAAAGGTTCTTCGAAACCAAACGCGAAGGGCTGCTCAAGACGAAGTACATCAGACAGCTTTGGCCAAACTTATCGAACATCAGCGTGAACTTCATGAGAGACTACAAGCTGATGGCCTTCAGAAGTTCTCCGAAGATGGTGGAGGTAATGGTGGGAAAGAAGGAAAAGGCTGGAAAAAATTTCAGAGCTACAAGGGTGAAGGCGCCTTGCCAATTGAAGTTGAGAGGTTACGGGTATGTCTTATCGGCTCGTTTGTCGACTTATCATTGACCGGAATTTATCGTAGATTCATGTTGATCGCAAAACCCAGACAGTAATCCTACCCATACACGGGTTTGCGGTTCCATTTCACATTAATACCATCAAGAATGCTAGTAAGAGTGACGAAGGCGACTTCACATATTTACGAATCAATTTCCAAACACCGGGCCAACTCGCTGGAAAGAAGGAGGACACCGTTCGTACCGTTTCCCGACATCTCCATCACACTTATGCAATTTTCTATCTAGCCTTTCGAAGATCCAGACGCGACGTTCATTCGTTCTGTCTCGTACCGATCACCGGATGGCCACCGCTTTGACAACATTTGCAAGCAAATCACGGATCTGAAGAAGGAGGCAAATAAGCGGGAGCAACAGAAGAAAGAAATGGCGGATGTCATTGAGCAAGGATCCCTAGTGGAGATTAAGGGTAGAAGACCTGCGAAAATGACGGAGGCCTTCATTCGACCCGCTCTTGATGGTAAAAGATTGCCTGGAGAAGTTGAGATCCACCAGAACGGCATCAGGTATCAATCACTTGGTTCACAGAAAGTTGGTATGTGTGCGATGCTCTGAATACAGCGAAATTCAAACTAAAAACTCACGATAGATATCCTGTTCAGCAACGTCAAACATCTCTTCTTTCAACCCTGCGACCACGAGCTGCTAGTTGTCGTCCACCTAAATTTGAAGGCGCCTATCATGATTGGAAAGAAGAAAGCATTCGTATGTTCCTCCTTCTAAGCCTCCCCGCGCGTTACAAATCAGGTGTATAGGATATCCAATTTTTTAGAGAAGCCACAGATGTGCAGTTCGACGAGACTGGAAACCGGAAGCGAAAGCATCGGTATGGGGATGAAGACGAAATTGAGATGGAGCAACAAGAAAGAAAGAGGCGAACTCTCCTCAACAAAGAAATCAAGGCATTTGCCGAAAAAATCGCAGAAGCGGCCTCAGCTTCGGTCTGTCCCTCTCACACAATGACTAGCCCTTGACTTGACAATGTCTAGAACGGCGAGACTCTGGAACTTGACATACCCTTCCGAGAATTGTCTTTTGAGGGGGTCCCATTCCGAACTAGTGCTCGTCTCCAGCCAACAACTGAATGTCTAGTCCATTTGACGGACCCTCCCTTCCTCGTTGTGACTTTGGCGGAAATTGAAATCGCATCGTTAGAGCGGGTTCAATATGGCTTAAAGCAATTTGATCTCGTTTTCATCTTCAAGGACTTCACGAAGACACCTCTGCATATCAATTCTATTCAAAGCTCTCAGATGGATGATGTCAAGAATTGGCTTGAGTGAGTTTGACTGCTGTTGTGATAAGGCGGATCCTGACGACGTGTTTCAGCTCTGTCGATATCCCGATGAGCGAGGGCCCCGTAAACTTAAATTGGGGTCCAATCATGAAGCACATCAATGAAAGCCCCTATGAATTCTTCCAACAGGGCGGTTGGACTTTTCTTGGGGGAGCAGGGGGTGTGGAGGTTTGTTGTCGCAGTTGTACCCTTTCAAGCTCCTAACCGAGCACATCTTCCAGAGTGATCATTCTGAGGCGTCAGACTCCGAGTCTGAATTCGAGGCTGATGAAGAAGAACTCGTATCAGTTGCGAGTAGTGACGATGCTAGTGACTTCAATGATTCCAATGCCAGTGGCAGTGATGCAAGTGGCTCTGACTTTGGTGGCGGGGATGATGAAAGCGATGAAGGTAGGTTTAAGCCCATCAACCCCAGACCTTGCTTCATCCTCATTGTGACCATTTTAGGTGATGATTGGGATGAGCTAGAGAGGAAAGCGGCAAAAGGTAAGAAACAATGTAGCGACTGTATGCCTGTACTCATACCATCTTTAACAGCTGATCAAAAACGAGCCGAAGGGGGTCGAAAAGCTGGTTCCGACGATTCTGACAATGACCGTCCAAAGAAAAAGGCGACGTCAAAGCCCAATGGCAAAACTAAAGGCAAACGTTAGACAACGCTTGACATTTATATGCCCTTGATTCTATGTACCATAACACGTCATTTATTTTGATCCCTAAGGGTGTCACTAGCTAATTAGAAATTGCTCTCGCCACAGAGCCACACCCATGATGGCAGCACCAAAGCCGACCAAGGGAATAGCCATCATATACCAAACGACCATCCTGAACAACTGCCCCAAATTTTGAGCAAACCACAAAGTAGCTACGGCGGTAGACACAGATCCAAAGACAAAATCCCACTGTAAAAAGTCAAGGGTTTGCAATGAAACATCTGAGACATTGAGAGCAACTGGTGAAGGGAAAAACATTGATTTGATCGCCGCGAGATCATTCTTTATTGGCCAGATTGTCGAAATGTGGACAGAGGATGCGATGATGAAACAACCCAAATATAAAACACGGATTGTTGGGTATCCCGACTGGGGATGTTGAGATGGTGGACGAAAAAATAAATGGAGTGCATGAGCGAGAGAGACGTAAATCGGGTATGGCTGCCAAATCGCTGTGACGGTTGGATCATTCAGAATGAGCATGGATATGGTAGGAACTATCGCGCCAATGAGAACACCAAAAACGATAGCTTCTGCATGCGCCTGTGTGATTGCACCCCTCGTATCGGACGAGCCAGCACCTTTCGACAGACCACGCCGTCGGGAAAGAAGAAAAGCCAGCCAGTATATAGGCATTGTCGCACCAACACTCATCGTTTGAGAAAGCAAACCCCAGATGGCGGGGTATGCAATGAGAAGACTGCGACCATCACGGCAGGCTTCTACAGCAGGAAGAACGACAAAGGGGAAGCCAACCCCGATGAAATAGGCGAGAAAACTAAGGGGTAGAGGCTTTGCCATAGTGATGTGGAAGAATGCCACTAAAGGACAAAGTTGGGTATCAAGGATAGGAATTGTTGTGTAATTCAGACGATAGGGCGTCTCTGTGAGGGATGAGATGGTGGGCGGACATTGAGCAGCCAATTTATTGGCCAGACCACTTGCAAAGAGATGACCAAAGATGAAGTTGAAAGCCAGAGCGCTAAGGGTAGGGAAAACGAGTAGAGCCAGTAAGGAGCCTAGAGAAGTTATTATTTAACACAGGAGATTGTTCTGATGTTTGTAGAGCACTCGCCTTTCAGCAACGCCATTTTTTGTGGTTGTGTGTAGGCAGCCTGAGGTGATGACGGATTAGGAGCCGACCCTGATTGCCTTCAAGTTGCCTTCAAGTTTATAATTCAACCTCATCCACAGGCGCTCACACAAACAAAAAACATGAAAAGGAAACTAGGGAGACCTGCCTCAGATACAGAGACGATCACGGCTCCTGGCAAGAAAGCACGTGTAACAAATCAATCTAAAAGCAATGGCAACTCGCTCAGGCTGGGGAACGAACTGAGGGACTGGCCAGAATACTTTCACTCAGTAAGTAGCAGACATACCAACGCGTTCCTGCCAATTTTTTGAAACCACGACAGTTGTACAACGTGAGGAGTTAAAACCTTCCAGCCTTCCGTCGCTTTGATTTCATCGTGTTGTTTTAAATCTAGATTTTCAAAGTGAGTGCCAACCCATAGGCCCCACCCTCCGCGCTTCATGCTAAAAGCTCGTTCAAGGCCCTGAACACGGTTCTCGCCTTCGTTTCGTCAAAAAGGCAGCTTACTACTACCTTCTCTGCTGTGCGGTCTTCGATAGAAGGCCTTCTCAAACAGTATGCACACCGTCGTCCTCAACTGTCCTTTTCAAGCTTTAACATATGTTCAGCTCTTTGGAAATGAGGAGCATTACTGAACTGAAGTTTGTAAAGAAAAAATCCTACGAAGTCTCTTACCTCACCCACTCTTTTAGGGCTTTAATGCCTGATCTGATCAGGTTCTCATATATTCCGAAATCCGAGTTTCAGACCAGTCAATCGAATACAACTCAATCCAATGCACACTTCAATTCTGGTCGAGAGAGTGCGACCGAAGACGCACATGTACTTGTTTTGGATTTTACTGATAGTTTCAAGGGAGCCAAGTCAAAGACCGGGTATATTTGTTTTCATATTTTTTTTTTACAATCAGACCGTGTTATAGATCCACTTTCAGTGCTAGGCTATCTTTGACGGCCCCGACTGCAATATCCACCGCGGCTGTGAAGAAAATGATTGAGAGGAGAAATGCCGCGTGCCAAAATGCGCTGAACGAGTATGCCTATTCCTCGAACCCACGTTTTTGATCAGTTGTTGATGGGGCATTTAGCTTACTGCTGGCGACTTCTGTCAAAGATGATCCTGTTTTTCTTCTAAAGGCCGCAGGAAGAGATCACATCCCCGTCAACCCATCTGAAAGTTTGTATCGAGAAGAGATGATCAACGTTAAGGTTCCGACGTCAAACGAACGCCGTTCTATTGCTGAAGTTGTCGCTGAGCTGCAAACACAAACCTGGGTCGATGACCAAATTGTCTATACTAAGGCTTTTGACGCGAAGGAAGCGCTTACTGGCAGGCAGATCACCTATCTTTGCCCCCTGAAACTAATTATTATCTAGATGTATTTGAGCCTGCTCTCTCGCAGATGGTTTCCCGGGGAATCTCAGAATCACACAACATAACTTCTTTCTACAGCCATCAGGTCGCGGCTATCCGAGCTATTCAACGTGGAATGAATGTTGTCGTATCCACAAGCACTGCATCAGGGAAAAGCGTTATTTATCAGGTATTACACTTCTTGGGGTATGGATTCAAAAGCTGATTATTTGCGTTCCGAAAAGGTTCCGCTCTTGACGTTTTTGGAAAAGAATGCTGGTGTCACTGCCGTGTTTGTCTACCCTACTAAGGCCCGCCACCTGTTTTACAAGACCTTGCCCACGATGGTCATGCTGAATAACAACAGGCACTTGCACAAGACCAAAGAGGCTCTTTAGAACGTTTATTTGCTTCCTGTCCAACACTTAGCCATCTCAAGGTCTTACCGTTTTGTGCTAGTTCAGTTCTTATTCTCACCCTCTTTTCTCCGCAGGTATCTACTTACGATGGTGACACACCTCAACAAGATCGTGCAGGTATGTTTGCTTTCTCATCATCGAATTTGGTCTTACGTTTGGTTGGAGTGATTCGGGAGTCAGCCTCTGTGATTTTAACGAACTTTGTTAGTCATACCCGTTCCTTCCTCTGGTGGCCCCCTCCGACGATGTTTTCCAGGACACCATTCATGCATCTATACTGCCTCGAGAGGAATTTTGGCGAAGGTTATCCTCCTCTCTGATATTTGCATCTTTTCTAATAGAGGAACAGCTTTTTGAAAAAGATCAAGGGGAGTAGGTTCACGGTTAACTTGCAACGTCAAACTTTACTAGGAATGGTCAGCTCTTCGCAGTGGATGAACTCCACTATTACTCTGGAGTTTTCGGAAGGTACGTGTAATTTTAGCTAAGATTAGTCCCTGTCACCTAAGGAGCATCGCAGTCACGCAGCTATGATAATCAGACGATTTCGGAGGGTCTGCGCCGCCGTCGGAAGTCCGTATTGTTCCTCTTTCATCCAAAGTTACTGAGCGGTTCTCATTGTTGATATATAGACAGACATATTCAGTTCATTTCCTGTAGTGCGACTTTACCAAATCCTGGCGCCCATATGGAGAAAATGTTTGGGCTAGATAGTACAAGCCTCGAAGTTTTCACCGAAGATGGTTCTCCCTCAGGACGCAAAGATGTTCTCATCTGGAACCCCAAACTTCGCGACCCCAAGCAACCAAGTCTAGGGAGGTGCAGTTCCATTGCTGACGCGGCAAGGGTAATGCGGTTCCTTATGAAACGGGGCATACGGGTTATCCTCTTTTGCAAGGTGAGATCGACCTGGGTAAATTCCCAAGCCCGAATTTAAACATTAGGTCAGATAAGAAAAATTTGCGAGCTGGTAACTGCTTCATCAAATCAGGGTTTTGTTAGAAGGCCCCTAAAAAAACATCCAGGCGATGAAGACCATTAAGGCTGATCTGACTAATGAAGGTCGACTTGACATCTTAGATCGCGTCAGACCTTATCGTGGGGGTAATTTACTGTTCATGCTTGTGACAACCAATGTTTGATCCTTGACTTTTCATACCAGGATATTCACAAGAGGTATTCTTGCTCATGTCTTACTTATGCCGTGCCATAGATCACTGCTCCAGGATCGTCGTCGGATTGAACAGGACGCGTTTTCAGGCGCGCTTTTAGGCATAGTCGCGACAAATGCTTTGGAGCTTGGAATTGATATCGGTGCGCTCGATGCAGTCATTATGCTCGGATTTCCTATGACAATTTCCAACTTTGTGCGTTTTCTTCCTTTCCTGCCGGTTTTTTTTAAAAACGTGTTCGTAGAGACAGCAATCAGGGAGAGCAGGGCGTCGATCTCGTGATTCTCTCTCTGTATTGATCGCAGATTCATTCCCCGTCGATCAGTACTACGTCTCCCATCCCGAAGAACTGTTCGACAGCAAAATCGACGATCTCATCATAGAGACGGAAAATAAAATCATATTGGAGGGTAATTTTGACTAGCTATCGTTTTGGCTCAGCCCAATGAATTACCACTCCAGCTCACCTTCAATGTGCGGGGAATGAGATGCCTCTATCTCCGGCTGACGAGAAATGGTTTGGACCATTCATGCTGCAAGTCTGCGAAACACAATTAAGTAAGGACAAGGACGGATGGTGAGCAATTCTGAGTCTTTGCATTTTATGCTTCGTCACCCAACTTTGTCACGACGGCAAGGTACCATACACACGCGAAATTCCTGCCATACCCATCCACACATGTTTCAATCCGTGAGATGGTTACATCCATTCAGTTCCTCCGTGTACTAAATTCTCCCACTAGGCGGGGTCACCGAGGATAAATACATGGTTGTTGAGGTCCAGCTTGGCCAGCCGGCCAAGTCGAGTCTCATCGAAGAAGTAGAGATTTCGAGAGCGTTATTTGAAATTTATGAAGGGGGCATCGTGAGCACATCCTATTTCTGTTTCTGCGTTGCCTGAGATTGCCGACAGTTCATGCATCAAGGCTCTACATTTATTGTGCGCCTTTTCGACCCTTTTTACCTTCCATCATTTTACCTAATAGTTTGGACAGATCACAGAGGTAAATCATGATGCGAAGTTGGTGAAAACAATTAGAAGGGACGTCAACTATATAACGTCGCCAAGGCAAGATTCCACGGTCTCGTTGAATTTCGTATCTCTAACCGTGCGCCGCGTCATAACCAATAGGGATTTTACGTGAGAAGCCATTCATTCATCCTGACGAACGTATCTTTGAAATTTTACGCAGTAACGTAGACGCACTTCAAACTCGGCGCATTAGGGCTATCAACGCGAATCGTGTATATTATGGAAGTAAGCATTCAACATCCCTCGCAATTCGCAGGTGTAAATCTTTGGAGTTAGAGATCAGCGTATATGTCAAAGTATTTGGTACGTCTATGCGTAGCTTATGCACGCCTCGCCATCTCACGTCAGCCCCGTCGTAATAGGATTTTACAAAATCAGGTATGCACATTATTTCCAACAGTGTGCAGATTGATGATTTTCACAGGAATGGAGTTATCCTGGACTCCGTAGATCTTGAAACTCTTCCGTTGGAACAAGATACCACCGGCTTTTGGATTGATGTGCCAAACACACTCCTTCAACTTATGCAATCGAAAGGAATCAATGCGGCGGAGGCAATACATGCTGCCCAGCATGCTTTCTTGAACCAATTCCCTTTAGCAGAAGATATTCGGACAGAATGCAAAGCAGAAGAGAAAGAGTATAAGGCAGCAGAATCGCAACGAAAGCGACCAGCACGGTGTGTTGACCGCCCCTGCCTTCAAATCAGACCACCAATTTTGTTTAGTCTCATCTTCTACGATGCCATTGGCAAAGGTGGATGTGTAACTGCGAAGGCTTTCGATGAAGGTACATCAGCTTTTATATCTCTCTTTCATATTGTTCAATACTTTGTAGCCAAATCGATACTGGACAAAGCCCACCTAGCCATTCAAAACTGCCAGTGCGAAAATGGCTGTACGAGATGTAAGATTGATGTTCCTGTTCTCCCAAGTGTTGACCATTGATGTGCAATGAAGGTGTGCAAAGCACCTTCTGCAAAGAGGGGAACAAAGTTTGTTCCAAGCTTGGGGCCGAGATAATTTTGAAGCAAATTCTCGGTCTCGATATCAACAAGGAGGGTATTCCCTACCGCACGGATCCCTTACCCCACAATACAATAGTCGAAGCCTTCCCCGTCTCGGTGGCAGACGGCGTTAACGTTGAATATTACTCCAGTATATAACCAAATCCCTAATTAGCGAAAAGACAAGACGTCTTCGTTGTTCAAAGAAGTGGGTCAAAATCGCTCCAGACACCTTCTTAGTTGTGTTTCCCCAGGTTGTTTGATTTAGCTTCGAATATCTCCCATCAATGGAGGGGGGAGGAAGGCAGATTTCTGTGAGCGTTATCCCTATGTCTGAGGGGTTCTCTCACCTTTCAACAGGGGATACCATATCAGAGTGTTCAAAAGTCAGTCCTCTTCGGCATCGTATCCACTGGTCTCTTCAGACCTTACTAGGCCTTACTTCCCAGATGAATGCCTTTTCGCCCACTCGCATTCATCAGGAAACCTGCACGTGTCTTCGTCAGAAGAGAGAAATTGGCTTACGCAAGCGCGACCTCGTCACACGTGGTCACACGGTAAACAGAGGATTCACGCAGAATGGAGCGCGTCTCACCTGAACGCCCATCTATTGTTTCAACAGTATCTTCTACAACCATCGCCTTAGAATGGCTTTTTCCGTCGGTCTCGGGATAATTGGCTGTGAATCTCAAGTCGCCATCACGGAGAAGTCGCTCGCTTTGTGGTGTCTCCTCAACGAACCTGACGGTGGCCCAGCATTCAATGTAAACGTTCCCCTATCGACGACTGTGGATGGGTTTGTCAGCATCGTCAAGACCCGAGTGGCTCCTCTGTTGGACACAATTCCCTACCATACTCTGGTTCTTTCTAAAGTGCGAACTCCAAGCTAACATATAATCGCCTAATACCTTCATAGGTCTCTGAATCAGTCCTGCTGGCTCCCAGTGAAACCCTTGGTCCCCGCATCTCAGAACTTGTCGAACAATCTGGATCTATGGTTCTATGCAAGTTGACCGAGCCTTCAGATCGACTATCATTACACTTCGACCCTGACAAATTAGGTGACAATAAACTCCACGTCCTCGTAAAAAAACCCAATGGTGAGTGTCTTGTCACAGCTGTCATTGGTTTAATGATCTTTTGTTGTGTTGTTTTGCTGACCTTACAAAAGGGTATCGATCTTCAGACGAGCCTCCCCACAAGCGGAGGAAAACGGATGACGGCAAATCCTCAACACCCGAGGGTATGCGCCATCTCTTACTGCCTTCATCAGTGCTTAAAATTATTCTTTTGCAGATTCTCCTCGAATGCCGGAGGAAGGTATGACGGCGGCTTTGGAAAGTGCATATGCACCTTTTTCAATTTACATCCAGTATCTTGCGGATGGAAGGCTCGACGGACACTTCACCTCCAACTGCCGATCCGAGAAAACTTCCGTACCAGGTTTTGAAATGTCCACCGATCCCAACCTCCTCCTTCACAGCCTCGGCGTGTCTGTGGACAAGCAGAAGATGGATGAGCTGTTTGTGAACCGCACAGTGTATGTGAACCAGAGCCCCTACTGTCTGCAGTCGATAAATATTTTTTATCTATGCAGCCACCTGTTCAACACGTCAGGATCAGGCAAAACCCGCCTTCTGCTTGATGGCCTCTGCCATCACTGGGGAATCTATTTTTCCTGCCATCTGGAGTTCGAACCAGGTGGTGGCTCCAGAGACTTTGCCCATGCATCTGGCATCATTCCATCCTTCCAGTCCTGGGGACAAGCAGCCTCAGGTGATGTAAGAGCCAAGGCTGCAGAACGTTCCTTGTCCATGCTAGTTTGCAGCCGCATTTTTGTATTAAAAAAGTTTTTGGAATGTCTTCCAGCAGGCACAACTCCCATAGATGCCAGAAGGCGCTGGGTTTTTCTACAAGTTGCGCCGCCCGAGAATAACTACGATGATATTTTTCTTGCGGTTCTTCGCAGCCTCCGCACTGGTGACAACTACCTCATGCAGAATTATTTCCGCACAACCCTCGTAAAGATCAGAGAGGATCATCCATGCATTTTTGAAGCTAGAACACTTTGGGCAGTGTTGGATGAAGCACAAACAGCTTCCAGGATGCATGTGGGTCTCTTTCCATCCATCTCGGACCCGACGTCTATCAAGCATTCATATTTGCATGAGGCACATGCCTACTTCATGCGATACAATTTTTTTGAGGGTATTATACTCTCAGGGACTGGTTTGTCTGCTGGGGTCAATGAGGCCATCAGGTCTTTCTACTCCAAGGAATTGCCAGGGGTGAGAGTATCCAAGGTGTTCATTGATACTGGAAATTTCTGCGATCCAGACACTCAGAAGAAATACATCCTGAGCTACCTCAATCTGGACTTGGACAAAAATTATTCTGACCGGAGACTCTTGGACCGCATGATCTATTGGTTGAAGGGCCGGTATGTGATGTGTTTTTTGAATTGTTCGAATGTTGAACTAACCATGATATCACAGCCATCGCCCAACTGCTACTGTTATTTCCCTCTTCCTGTTCGAGGATAGTCTCCCACGCCACCGCATCCTCTCTTCGTACATCTTGCAGATGACGAAGTTCAAACCGACTGACGCCATTGAACTGGAGGAACAAGAGGCCCCCATACCCCATGCGGTTCAAAGTAAAATCGAAAAAACTGCGCGAATTAGTTCGCTTGAGTCTATATTAGATGATACAGAAAGTCAGTATCTGGCTGCATTTGATCAATACTGGATAAGCTTATATCATTCTAGACACTTCTTTAGTTCGAACACTCGTTGACGTCGTCAGGTGCTGGATGACTGGCGGCGAGCTATACTACATCACACCTGGTGAGAAGACGCAGAAATTGATTGATCTAGGCGTTGGTCAGCTGCAAACGTCGGAAGTGAACAACGATATATCTCAAAACTTTCCGGTGTTCATTTCCGAACCCCTAGAAATCCTCTACCTGAGGACACTTTTTCAACAGCGGGAATGGACATCATGGCAGGAATCGGTCTCTCGTGACATGCTTAGTGCTTGCAGCAGATCAACTGTTGGCTCTCTCTTTGAGGAGACAATAATGTACCTCTTCATGGATGCCTTTGGCGGCAAGTCCGCTCCCCTAGAAATTTTTTTTCATTTCGCTGAAGGGTCACCTTTGGGTGCAAGGGAGGTTGAATTGGTTGCAGTAAGGGTTGGAGTAGAAGGCATGTCAGTGGTTGAGACATCATGGAACACAGGGAGTTCAGATGGTATCGGGTTCAAGGCAAAATCGGCTCACAATGCTCTTGCCTTCTTGGCAGACCCAAAGGGCAAACCATTCTTGTTCCCGGACAATCACATGGGACCCGATCTTCTTTGCTTTTTAAGGGACAAGCAGACTGGGGAGTTAATTGTCCTGTTAGTCCAGGCCAAGGTGAAAAAGCAACTCGACAGCAAAACCTGGTTAAGCGCTCTCAATTCTATCAATCCAGAGCACTTTTACACTTCTGTGGTTTGTGTCAAGACAAGCACTCTCTGTTTCTGGCACTGATTCCTAAAATTATATTAGTGCAAAGAGAGCGGAGAGCGGGTTCAGCATGGACCTATTGCTTTTGAAGACATCTTGAACAACTTGGATGCTCTTTTCACGAACATTACTGGGACGGCTGAATTTCGACCAGCCATCGAAGGCATGCACAGTCGCCTGCGCAGCGCACAGCAGAGGTTGGGAACACGAAAAACACCAAGATTTTTACGCGTCATTGCATCGCCTGATGACGAACAGGGAAACCGCCTGAAAGCACAATGTCAGGGCAACATAGCTACGTTAAAGTGGGAAGCGGTCGTGAAGTGCTTTGGTGAAAGCGTAGCAAATAAAATTAAGGAGGGAACGCCCTCTATACATTTGTAAATATCAAGGCCTGTAGACTGTAATCCGAATTGCACATGGGGTTAGAAATGCTTTACATACGCATAGTCGAAGCTCGGTGGCAGACGGCGTCAACGTTGAATATTACTCTAATTTATAAGCATATCTCTAATCAGAGAAAAGACAAGACGTCTTTGTTGTTAAAGAAGTGGGTCAAAATCACTCCAGGCATCCTTTGAGACCTTCTGAGTCGTGTTTACCCAGGTTGTTTGATGTAGCTTCGAAGGGACGAGCAAATCTCCCATCAATGGGGGGGGGAAGAAGGCAGGTGTGGTGGAAGTGGGGGCGACGGCTTGTAAGCGAGGAGGATGCAAAACTGGCTGAATGTTTGGTGGTGGGGGTACCGAAGGAGTCGTTGGTGTGCTCCATGAAATTTCATAATTGGGCTTTCTGGGAGGTGTGGGAGCAGCCGCGAATTGAGATGCTGTTGTCTGGCTTCGCGAAGCATGATCTAGTTGAGAAACGGCGGTAGGCGTGGAAGCTGATGGTACGGAAAGACGGTGTGTGAGCACTAAGGGTGGATTGCTAGGAACGGGGGATAGCGGGGCCGACAAACGGGGTATATGTGACGTTTGCAAAGTGAGAGACGACTTTTTAGCCTTGAAAAGGGAATTATGAGGTCTAACACAACGGAGTAACAATGAAAACGACGAACATCTTCACTGAAAATGGTTCCCCAGACATCGTCTTCCCATGGGATATGAGTGTCCACTGCTGTGTCTGCCTTGACAGTGGCGCCGTATGCTCTCCCTACCAAACTCTCGAAGTTGACATTGGTCGTGCTTGAAACGCCATTCCCACCGGGAATAGTCCCTGCTGAGGAACGATCTTCTAACCTTTGAGAATCACGCAGGAACTGATCATGTTCCTTTTCGACTCGTTCCCCTAGTTTTTTGATCACCTCCATAAACCTTTGAAATTGCTGCACATTCAACACTTTTTCAAAACATCAGGTTTTCGTCGAAATGCCTACGTTGATTACTTACACGGACCCATTGACATTGACCACAATTGCGGGAGGACAAGGGTTGCGACTGCTTCTCGATCAACTTTGAATCCCATGGCTTCTTGGACAGCGAGCGTAGCCGTCTGTTGGCGGTTATTATTGTTCATCTATGGTGGAAGAGGAGACGGACCATCACGGCTGGTTCCTTCGTGCGTATTTTGGATAAAAGCGGGACAAGTTTTTGGGTCAAACTTGTCTATCAAGATATTGTCATCTAACGACCACAAAATAAGTGAAACAATAAACCCACTTGATCCAGAGTTTTGACCATTGAGAGGAAAGTGACCAAAGTAGCTACTTTGACGGTCAAAATCCGAGTCTTGGTAAACACAAGCTTCATATCAAGGGTATATCAGCAAAAGGCCACCACTTTCAATGATTGGAATTTACAGCCACGCGAGGAAATAGAACACCTTGGACCTCTGCATAATCGATAGTGTCACACAAATCTGGAACAGCTTTCAAAGCACGCTCTTGAACCTGGGCATCGGCTTCAGTTTGGGGAACATCGATTGAGTGTGGGGCAAATGGTCACCATCGCGTGTTCGGACTCGAGAGCATTGTAGACAAGGGGGAGTACATCTGATGAATCTCATAATTATGAGCTGAATGACCAAATAGTACCCAGACTGACGTTCTCGAAACACAAGTTTGTCTGTCTTGTTTTGCAGCATAGTGAGATTGTCCAAAAGCGTTAACATGTTTTGTGGCGGTTCCTTGATCGTGAACAATGGCTTCAGACTCGGAAGCACCATTGATGCGAACTGAGCCGGGGACAGAGCTGTGGAAATAGAAAAGACATTGGGTAGTATATATGGCAACAAATGGGTATCTTTCATCTGCTAGGCGTCAACGAAATACAAGTGAAACTATCACGCAATTGCTCACCTCCTCTAACAGCGATGGGAGAATTTTCCGAGTCTGCAATCCGCTGGAAAACTTGCCCAAGACGCCAGCCAAACCTTTCATAAAAGAAATTTTCTCTTCCCTTGTCTTGGACGTGAAATTTGAGCGGTCCAGAAAATTGAGAGTCGAGATGGGAAGAGAGGAGAAGAACGGATGGGAAGGTAGGGTAGCAGGGGTCGGCCGCGCGGTAGCATGTCGAGTTATTAGCGAGCGAAGCAGTCCTGTCAAAGGTTCAGATGACCCCATAAATTCACTTTGCTCATAATTACCTTGCAGATCCGAGTCCATCCCACCAATACCAGGAAGTGGCTTTCCGGCATTTTCTCGCAGTCCGCCCAGACTGCCATGGGTATTGAACGGCGGAGCTCCCTTGGAGTGGACAACGTATATGAGACACCCCAGAGAATACATATCAGATGCGGTGAGTAACTGTTCGTCTAAGGCGTACTCCGGCGCTATCTTCCTTGGTTAACAAAGCAGGAAGGGAACAGATTCAAACCTTACCCATGTAGTCGAATGATCTCTGTATGTAAGAAGGCACACGGCCGTCGAAGGTAGGAAACTCCCACCGCGTTGGAGCCCCATTTGAGGCAAGTAAAGGTATCGTCAGGCCCAATCCCGAAATTTTCCAATCGCCCTGTCAACAGCAAAAGTTGAGTTGGTCGGAGAAACTCGATGTATCGATATACACTGACGGCACCATTTATCACAACACTTTCTGGGCAGATGTTGGAGTGTATCAATTGGGCAGATGAGTGAAGGAACGAGAGGCCTTTGCAGATTTGAAGAATCCCTTTCTGGATCTGTGATCAAGAGCGTTAATAGCTTTCCTGATAGTTTCAAAGGAACTGATAACTAACCTCGACTTCATCTAATTCCACCAAAGAAGCCTGCCTTCCAGAACCCGGAATGGACAAATCAAGAGACGAAAGCACTGGTTCTGTTGCGAAAATTAGCTCGTTCCTAGTTTCTTCAAGCGGTTCGACCATTTCTGTAGGCAAATTAAGAGGTGAACTATTGCTTAATTGCTTCCCCGATTGTAGTCACCTAGAATTGATGGATGCCGGAGACGTCCAAGAGCGGATGCCTGCAGTAGACTTCGTGAGTCGGCGACAAGGGATAGATTCTGTTCGAAATGCACCTCTGATTTTAGTACCTCGATTGTTCTTTCCTTGGCTGCGGGTCCCAACCGCTCCATGTCCGCCCCTCTTTTATCGAAAGTCCATATCGAAACCCGCTTGTTCGTCACTTTATGTTGCGCGGATTGGACTTTCCAAAGCCCTACAGGAAAAGACGGCGTGAATGGCGTCGGCGCATTTAGCGAGGCCCCGCTGCCGCTTGCAGTTCCTGGAGTAGAAGGCCTGCTTGATTGAGAAGGCCCACCGATGATATAGGACTGTGAGATAGCAGTCCGAGCGAAAAACGAGGTCGCAACTGCGAGCATAATGAGCCAGCAGTGACTTGTACTTGGTTGTCAAATATAGTCGATAAATCAAAAACCTTTACAAGTTCCTAAGTCAATCCCAAGTCAATCCCAGTCAATCCTGAAAACAATGATGCTTTTCAACGTATACGCCAAGTATAGTGATATCTCAAATTCCTATTCACTCAATGATACCCAGGGTCTACACAAGATCCGGTGAAGACCCGGTACATACTTGACAATATCAATTTGCGACTTGACCCAACTTTCCACCATGAGACCTTCCACTCGATGCCTTCAGTCACTCGCGTCTCGCTCAAAAAGCACAAGTTTCATCGGTCTAGGAAAAATGGGATATGAGATGGCCCACAACCTCTTCTCTAAACAGTTCGCAAAGTCACCCGATTTGCAGTTTGTCGTCTGTGACGTCAATCCAGACAGCTCTCGCTCCTTTCGCGAAAACTTTCTTGAACGGTATCCAAATGCCAGGATTAAGATTGCAGCAGACCCTCACGAGTAAGTTTATCTTGTCTCGTTCAATGTCATGCAATAACTCGATCCCAGAGCAACGGCGGTCTCTAGCACGATTATCACAATGCTTCCATCTTCTCCTCAGGTCAAGAGTGTGTATTCAGACGCTATAGTGCCAGCTCTAAGCCAACTACCTGCCGAACTTGTTCAGAGCACTCTGTGTATCGACTCCACCACCCTGGATGTAGATGTTGCTCGCGACGTAGCATCTGCCGTTACACAGAGAGGGGCTCAGATGGTTGATGCTCCTGTTTCTGGTGGTACGCTTGCAGAGAAGTTCTGCGGAAATATCTGCATCGTGATGACTTGTGTGTGATGTAGGTGTAACTGGGGCCAAGGCCGGCGCTTTATCCTTCCTCGTCGGAGGTCCACAACAGTCCTTTGATCTCTCAAGACCAATTCTATCTCTTATGGGTCAACGAATCATCTATTGTGGATCTTCTGGCTCTGGTTTGGCTGCGAAAATATGCAACAATGTCAGCTTCAAAGCTTTTATCCGCTCACTTGTCTCATTTAATTGTTTCAGCTTGTCCTGGGTGTCGAGCAAATTGTAGTCGCAGAAGCTATGTTATTGGGTCAACGGCTTGGGTTAGATCCTGCTGTTCTCGCGACTGTAATCAACAGCAGCACAGGCGGTTGCTGGTCCTCCTCTGTCAACAACCCCGTACCCTCTGCTTTGCCGGGCAAGTCACCCCCATGCGAACGAGGCTACGAGGGTGGATTTGCCACCGCCCTGATGTTGAAGGTTTGAACTTTAAACCAGTTTGCTGTCTGTCCATATTGATTGACCTTGTTGGACAGGATATGGGACTTGCGACCGATATCGCAGTGAACCAACGGAGCCCGCTGCCCTTGGGAAATGCTGCCAAGGCCATCTACTCTGAAGTGATTGAGAAGAAACCTGAGCTTGGAACAAAGGATTTTTCATCTGTATACCAGTATTTCGAGAAACAGTCGTAGTTTGGATCTGTTTGTTACATAGTAACAATTCAAGTTGAACACTTATACTGCCATGGCAGAGATACCCAAGAAACCGACTGCTCTAATTTTCGGTCAGTTTCTACGAACAAACCACTTTCGTCGACGCTATATTTGCTTATAGGCGGCTTGAACACATGCTCTCGCGCACTGGCTGCATTGCTCGTCCCCATCAATGGTGATCCTTTGGTTTCGGTCGGTTGTCAATCACAACTCTCCTCTAGCTTACAATGAATATCTCCCTAGTTCCTCCGCATCGTCGACAAATACTCGGTTGTCCCACCAACGACGTGCGTGTCTAGTCATCCATCTAATTTGTCGACTAATATCAACTTCCAGTTACATCGGTGTCGAGTTCCCCAAGATACTTGAACTGCCTCAAGTCGAATATCGACAAGCCAACTTGACGGTTGAATGTATGTCATTGCTTCACTATCAGGGCTAAATCCAACATGCCTTTAGCAACCATCCAATCTATCTTCGATCCACCCGAGGGACACACAGGCTTTGATTACGTCTTTGATTTTACCGGAGAAGTGCGACATGACAGGACGGAGATGGTATGTACTGCGCCAGTCATCTGATATCACCATTAAATGACTTCCCAATAGATTCAGATCAATAATACTTGTAAAATTGCACACATGCTCGGTCGTGAAGCGGCCAAACGCAAGGTCAAAGCGTACATCCGGATGCAACATCCATTTTACGAGACTCAAGCAAAGGGTACTCATGATGAGAAAGAAGATGTCAAACCTGTGGGAACCATTGGGATATGGTGGCATGAAACTCTCAGAGTGTTGGCTTCAATCGAAGAGTACGTGTTTCCCCCTACATTCAGAACTGACCTTTGACCTTTTGAACAGTCTCAACCTCGTGATTTTGAGGATCGGTTTTATATACGGTCCATACACACCCTTCGGCGTCGGTGTGTTCGTTTCTCATGATGTGTGAGATTGCGCCTGACGAGATTTCACAGTCGCATCTGGTATAAACGTCGCAGCAGTTTATGGATTTATGAAGAAACCTATGAAGTCGTTGTACATTTTTTTGCAACCTTTTTTCTCGACGAGGCTCTCACGACACTTCTAAAAATCCTAGGTGGTCTCCAGGGAAGAACGCGAATAACACCGTTCACGTTGATGATATTGCTGGAGCAGCATGGGCGTCCGCTGAATGGATGGCCCCCCTTGGACGAGCTGCCGCGAATCAGTTGGCTGGCGAAGAGCTCCTTTTCCATAACGATAAATCCAAGGTAAAAGAGGTGGGTGAAATGCCCCCACACAACACAAAACCGGTTGCACCTCTTTTTAATCTGGTGAGATTCAGCGTGTCTATTGTTGCTCTGGATTTACGGATGCGCTTCAGGTTGACGACTCAGAGAGCACTTTGTTGAGTATTGGACAAACTGTGACGTCTTTCTTTGGAACAACATTCGAGTTTTTCACTCTCGTCGAAAGTACTGTCTTCAAGGTAATGCCGGCTGGCCTCTTTCTTTTGTGGAGCTAACTGGACACAACAGTTTATGGATGACGTGGACGACATCAATGAACAACACGTTGGTGCATGGACGGACATGTTAATGAACTCGAATCCTCCCATCACAAAAACCCCGTTGGCGGCTTATATGGATAAATACGCGCTGGAAAAGCACGTTGTGGCATTCAACAATGCCAAGATCAAAGCGATCATGGGCTACAAATTGAAGCAGCCCCAGTTTAACCACGATACAATCAAGGAGGTTGTTGACAAGTGGAAAGCCGAAGGATCTTGGCCTACTCTCGCGTAAATCATCACACAAAGTATTTCAATTGGGATTTTCACTGGCGACAACATACCTCCATATTTCTGCACAATGATATCCCTCCTGCATAGTCTACAATTCACGCTGTCTAATGTAGCAAAACTCATTGCCATTTGCATAGAGCTCATGCGCAGCTTTTCAAACATTCACTGACAGCCTTTGGAAAAAGCTCTGAATTGGTACTAGAAAACAGTTTTAAACAAGTTTTAAATCCCGTTTGCTTGTACGCTATCCATCCGAAAATGTTCACAACATCAGGATCGCGCGACTGTCAATGCGTGTGCCGCCGATTGGAAATGTCTGGCCAGCCATTTGTGACACAGCCCACAACACGTAACATTTAACAGTGCAGCCCAGTATATGACGGATTTCGTGTTCAATGTGCATCAAACCATTCCGCGACGCGCTCCATCAATTCGGCCTTTTTCCCGGAGACTGCTTGGCCTTTTGCTTTGAGGAATTCCTGATTATGCGTAAAGCGTTAACGTTTATTCCACTTGAAATCATATTTGCATACTTTGAGTTGATCTACGCGTAACTAGAGAAAATTGGCATTGAGGGCGACATACCATCAGAACTCCCCAAATGAACATACCTTTGCAAGGGCGCCGGCGTCATACTTGCTGCGAATCTCGGCCTCATCGACAGTAACGTCCTGTTAAACAGATGGTCATCGGTATCATTTTACGATTTGGGAATGCTTGTAATAGACGGACCGCTTTACGTTTAGATCCAGTGGTCGCAACAGTAACATTAGCTGACTCGTCATTGTTGACTGCAGATTTCCATTCGCCCAGTAGATTTCCCGCACGCTGCGAAAAAATCGTGAATTCGATCCGAAGGGAATCAAATAGTCACACACCTTGTGGATCATCTCGAGTTTCGGCGCTGTCAAATCTTCGAAAGAGTCGGGGTCGTACTGCTCGCGGAATGCGCTTGCTTGAAGTTGTGCGTTATGATACGCAAGGGCTAACCGAGGGAGGATCAGCTCAGCTGGCAGTTCATTGATACAGAAGTGTCTTAGCATTACCGGGATTGGGATATGAATCTGGTGGATATGTTCCATTCTTCACTGAAAGCTTGTCAATCCACGCACGGGCGTAATCTTTGAGGTCCTCCGACGCTGTATGTCCGAAAGTATCAGCCCTGGCACAATAAAGCATCGATGTGGTAGTTACCTCGAAAACCTTCTTCTATTGGAGCTGAGCGGATGTCGTCGGCGAAGGGAAGCGGAATGATATGAAACCCCGCAGGTTCACTCCATCCGCTGTCGTCTACTTTCTCTTCCTTCAATTCCTAGACTTAAATGAATTCCGCTGTAAAAATCAGAACACTGACTTGTGGCAGTAGGTAGCAGAAAATAGGCGATGAATTCCGCCTAGTTAGCGCTAGAGCAAGTCCAATCTTCTCTTTCTTAATCATGCTCTTGAGTAGCGCGCTGAAAGTGCGCTTGCTTCCAGAATATGACTTTGGACGAGTCAAATCCAGCATGCGGACTCTTGGGAAAAGTACAGACCATCTCGTCAGGATAAATAAACTGGGAATGCTTGATATTGTCCTCGAAGGCCAACTCGGTGCGGTCTTTGAACCCAAGGAGTTTGATGCCTGAAAAGGTGAGGGAGATATAAGTCCGAGAAAGTGGATAAGCCGGACTGACCAGGCTCAAGACCCAAGGTTCGAAATGATCTGATTTCCTCCGCAGTGTAGAATGGCTGAAGGATGGGGGATTAAGCTTTCGAAAATGAGCAGATGGCAGAGATGTACGCGATTTCCATATTTCACAGCCCGGGTACCAAACCCGTCGTCTGCGTCTTGATTGTCCTCATCGTCATTGGCTGCTGCTGCACCCAATGCGGGGCCGTAAAATATCTTTGCTTTGTCGACTTCGGCTTCTTGGTCCTGTCAGGGGGGTTATCATGTAACGCACAAAGTAATGCACGCCCTACCTCGTCAATGTATGTTGTTTTGACAGTGGCGACTTCCATTCGGTCTCCAAGGTCGACAAAATATTTATACGCCCCTTTCTTTTGTTCCGTGACAAGTCCGTAGCTTGGTCGATGCAAAGAAGCATGATGATGTGAATAATTAAGTATCGAGAGAGTCGCTCACCCCTTTACGCCAATCGTGAATCCTTCACCTAATTGTAATGGGACACTGTATTGAGCACGCTTGGGGACCTCGTGAAAGCGCATCTGGGCCAATAAATCTTCAATTCGAGAGATAGAAATGGACTCTGGCAAGACGGAGGAATCCTCTTGTAGCTCATCTTCGTCATTAAGATTACTCGGAAGGAGAACAGACTGAATTCATCCAATCGTCATGAATGGTCGAATGGTAAGGTAAAATAACCCACCGAGTAAAATTTGGAGACGTGGAAAGGTTTGTTTTCAGTGCTGATGAAGAAAGGTTCAACCGTGACACCTGCTTGTGTTAAGTCCTGTAACGTTGTTTAGTGTCTCAAAACTTTTTTGCAACAGAAGCGTATCACAATCAAAGTGGTACGGGCAGAAGTAATCAACTGTTTGCTGCCTGGCCCCGCATGAGGATCGTCCTCATCCGTGATTAAGAAAACACGCTTTGACGCGGTCTTTGGAGCTCTATTTGAATCGTTAGTCGTTGGGAGAATGAATGCAACGGAAACCAACCCATCACGCAAGACCCAATTGCAACTAGTGAATACATCCCCCATAGGAACTCGCTTTCCTACCAGGGGCGGAAACGTCTTGGTCAACTCATTAGGATCTTCGCGGGCAGCTTGAAAGGAACCTCAGCAAGCAAGAACATTGATTTATAAAAACCAGACCATCAAGCAATTGTATCAACTCCTGAACCTTGGGCGCACCCAGTGGAGTGATCGGTTGATAAACGAACGTGTTTTTCTTGATTTCTGAAGCATGGCTTTGGGCTTGCTCCGACTTTCTGGTCTTGAATAATCGGACTGCTCAACAACAATAATGCTTGCACATAGCTTAAGCCTCACGATGTTGAAGAGAAGTATGCCAACTGAGTCGTTTGGACCGACAATAATCTTCTTCTTCTGAATTTGCATTGCAGCTTCAAGTGCAGCATAAAGATGACAAGTTTGCACATCCTCATAATTTGGGTCATCATAGAGGGCGAGCATTGACTCTGAGCAGTCGATGCAGAAAAGTATAACATCTTTCTTGCTTTCAAAGAACTATACACCCCAGCAAGTTGACGTTGACGTGTCGATGTGGAACATCTGACTAGGTACCCACCAAAGTATCCTGCAGCTCTTCATCGTCTTCGTCGTCAAACTTGTTCCAATCGTCGTAGGGGGGCATGTTGCTGTTGGAAGGGAGTTCTGCCCCACAGTCGTTTGTACGAGGGGTGAGTCATTTTAACCTAATTCGCGGTTTGTTCGCGGTCATATGATCTATGTCGTAATTCTGGTGACCGTGTAACCTAGTATTATGGGACTTCAACTCCGATCTTCTCGGAAGGGTTTATGCTCTCAATCGCAACACAACAGGACTCTGAAGACTTTGACCTCCCATTAATTTCCCAATCTGCAGAGCACAACCAAGAAACGTCTCCGATGGGCTACGAGAGGCGCCATGAGATGATTGAGGGCCGTCAGGGAGATCCGCTTGCCGAAACTTCTGCCTTGGTGAGTATCATATTCCTTTTTTTCAGTTGTGTGACTTATGTACGTTTAACGTATAGTTCGCTGCAGGCGTGAGTTACACTCCTGAGGCTCTGCAAATGCTTGCTCCTGGACCTAACACGTTGGCTAAAGACGCTTGTGATACTCACATGGGTTATCGTGTTGAGCAACGACCCCACGGCTCAAGGGTGGTTTGCTCTCCATCCTCTGCTCCAAACCCTGGCCATTTCTTTGTTCACTTACGGTCAGAGCATCCACACTTATTCCGTTTCGTACTGACAAGCGTGTCGTATCAGGCATTCTCACTTTGCAGCCCACATCCCAACTGAAAACCAAAGCCGCTGGATTATATAGGCATCAAGCCGCCATTTTGCTTTTCGGCCTGCCGTCAATTTTGCTGGGAACACTTGCCGTGTCGTACAATAAATGGTTAAGGGGTGCTCGTCACTTTTCTACGTGGCATGGTGTTAGTTTCTTTGATTGTCAATCAAAACCAATTACCTATCGATATGACCCAGACACTCGGCATCTTTTGCATAATATGGCTTGTCGCACAGGTTGGCTTGGGCGCAGGGAGTGTGTGGTTTGGCGGCGCTGTCTTTGGTGGTGGGGTCAGAGCCAAAGCAGTTTGGAAATATCATCGGTGATTATACATTAGTGGCAATGGAAATGGGACCAGGCTTATTTTGCAAATATATTACAGGCTTTCTGGGTACATCCTGTTTCCCCTCTTGCTATTGACTGCACACCTTGGTGGAGCGTGGTCTAATTGGGGAGCGAAGTACAGTTCGGGAAGTGTCCGTTTCCTCGCCTATACGTTGGCGCCTATTGTGGTTCTCTGTGGAATTTACATGCGAATTAGGTGAGTTTAACATTTCGTGTCGTGCCTTTCATGTAATAGGAATATTCCTAGGATATCTAAGATGCAATTCATAAAGTAGAAAGTTTCCAGCAATTATGTACCCATCTGCAAAGGATATTATAAAGAGGAAAGAAAAAAGAGATAGTTATACAGCAAGGGCGGGGCTGGGTATTACATCAGTGAGGAAACCTGGTAGGAAACGTTCCATCCGTTCATGCGTTGCAGTCCACAATGTCCGATGAAGCTCATCCTGTGTATCATCCGTTTCTTGGTGTGGAACGAGGATCCCAGCAGCATTCATCACGAGAAGAACGTTTTTCAAGGATTCTGGAATAGCCTCGTACTTCGGGACAGTGTTTTAGTAAACGCAAGTTGTATTTGAGAAACAAGCTTACTAGTTGATCTCCTTTGTCGGCATTCATCAATCGATCGAGAAGATCAAGGATTTGGATCCAAAGAAGCCTGAAGTCTGCCTGAATTACAGTCTCCCGCAGCTCTAAGTGCATGAAGACTTTGCAGAGCAGGGCGGACCCTCGTAAACGAGTTTCAGCCATACCCTGGGGGTCCCTTTGATAGACTTGGGGGCGCAACAGGTCGTCCAGAAGAGGAAATATTACACGGTTGAAGATGTCCTCTACTTGGCTTTGTTCGGCGACATTTGATGATACCAGAGATGGGCCCAGTAGAATACGTTGCAATTGACCGATTGCGGTGTGGCGTATTTCACGAGCAGCGTTGACCGATTGTCGTCCGAGGGAGGTGAGAAGGGGAAGAGTAAGCTGTTTCCAAACTGCGGGTCGACGATATCAGCAACCGAATGGTACTGAATATTATCATAGAATTACTGTAGCTCTGTTGCTCCGATGACTGTTGCAACGCTATCCACTTGTGAAGGGTGGACAGGAGTTCGATAGCTTTCTTGCCACGGTCAACTATAAGGGAACTGAGGGAGAGAAAAGTCTTAGAATCCAATCTTACTTGAGGGTTGTTACGCACTTCGATGATGTTAATGGTTCAACCCGGCGATTTCTATGTTGATGACTCTCAGTCAAGGCACTGGCTGCCGTTGCGAAATTGTCCAAAAGAGAAACAAGACCAGAGAAATTGTCCAATGAGACAAGCATGTCGGGTCCATCAGTAATTAGATTTGAAATGAGATCGAACGACGTTCGAGCGGCTTCCGGATGTGACATTGTTGATCGCAGCATCGCAAAGACCAGGTTCCATTCAGTTTGTGAACTGTGATATCACGTTAGTCTTGACTTTTTTTTTTATACAGGCAGCACACACCTGATGATGTCTCTGTTATTGCGCACAATAAGGATAACGCCAGCTACAACTTGTTCACCAACTGAATTAGCAATCGTCGGAGGAAGGTTCGCCAAAAGGTCAAACGAGACGTAGACTTGGTCCCGTAAGGAAGGCTGAGTAATTTGTAAATAGACAGTTGGTGGCTGGGGAAAGGAGGAAGATTAGATACCTTCTGTGCCAAAATATGACAGAGACGTAAAAGGCAGACGACAGCACGCTCTATGAGAAGCGCACTATACTGCGTTGAATTGGACAGAAGCGCAGATAGGTGCTCGAACATGATTGGCCTAAGGCCGATGAGCAGGGACGACGACCGTCTGCGATCAGCCACTCACCATAGATCTTCAACGTATTGTGGTGCCTGGCACGCTATACTGGCCATAGTCTCTAGAAGGAATACGGAGGCAGGATCATAAGGAAGTTGGTATACATCTTCATCCAGAGCAGGAACTAGATCCTCTGATTGAAGTCTCAGTTTTGCGACGGTTCGTTCATGTGCGAGAGCCTCTAGTGCACGAATGGCTGCGATCATTGCTTCGGAATCTAGCCGTCTGGAAATGCGTTTTAGGTCATGGAGAAATTAGGGCCATCAGTTTAGCTTACACTATCTGGCTGTAGAGTTCATCGAGCCGGCAGGATGTGATGCAATCAATGGTACAAAGTGTGTTTTCCACATCTGCATCAGTTGCGTCAGGGACCTGCATGTCAGGGCTATTGCTGTAGGGTGTCATTAGGTACGAAGACAGGGCAGAGAGAAGGCCTTCATTCCGGAGGTGAGGGCGGGTTGGTTGACTTCCACGGAGGGGTATCATGGTGACGCCTCCAAGGAAATCCTCCATTTGCAACATCCTTGTTGGCAACAAAGAATGCATGAAGAGGTTTTGGAACATTTCGAAAATCTGTAATTTACAATCAGAGGGAAACAACACAGCGAGTTCAGAATACCCACCTGCACCCAACCTTCCCGCAAGGCATTGCCGCTCCCGTTGACGATGTTGAATAACACGACAGCAGCGAGCTGTCCTCTAAAGTTTGTTCCAAATTCTACTGAGAGCTTGGACACTGTGATAGACTGGCCTTCTACGTCTATAACTGGATAATTCGGAATTTGAGCCGGTAATGAATCTGAGAGAAGACTTGTTGCCTGGGAAAGAGAGACAACGACAAAGTCAAAGACATCTGGCAGTTGGAAATGCCCCGCCAACGTAGCACACTGTCTAAACCCGGCGATTGCACGTTGGATGATGTAGTCGTCTTCAAACGTGATAAAAGCATAGGCGATGGCAGATATCGTAGGTTTCCAAATGGCCTTGAACATCTCAACATCGAATGCAGAAGAATTTGAAACCATGAATTCGCCTGCAAGTAAATCAGCGATGTATACTTGGCTTCAACATTAAGGTTGCATACCAGCATTGCGCGAGCGGGCAAGGAGCTCCTTCCATGCATATTCAAATCCAAGTTGGCCTGTATGCTCCTCCGGCATGATGATTTCTCTTTTTCGGATCGAATCATAAATATTTTGCTTAAGAGACAGATGAGCAACTCCCTGGCATGCCGCCAGCTGGACTCTTACCAGGAATTCAGAAGAAAAATCTGCCCCGTTATTGACACCTCTCAAGTTCTTCTGGTAGTCTTCAATCGTCATGCGTTTCTGATAGATTGGCTGAGATATGGACGATTCAAAACCCCACCGTTAACTTACTCGGATTTGAGGGTTATGGAGATCGGTATTCAGCATGATCACGGAATATGCCAAAACGTATACAGCATCCTCGCTCTTGATTTCGGCTAGTGTGGAGTTAGATAACGAACAGGTTTTTCGATCTTAAGCCCACTTACCCGGCTCCGAAGCAAAATAAATTGATGCAAATGTTTCCGTGATTCGGGCAATTTGTTGGGCTTCACCAGGAAGTCGAAATGCCTCAAGAAGCTCTCGCATCGCATCTGCAATGGGTTTCTAGTGGAACCGATTACAAGATAGCCAGAAAGGCGAATATGTGAGACAAACATCTTTAAAGTCAAACAGTCCAATGAAAGCTTTGAGAACTTCAATGTTATCTGGCTTGGAAATGTAATCGCCGAGTAGACGCTTGTCGAGTCTGGTGCACCCTTTCAAGAACGAGGCGAGACTCTGAGGCCGCAATGTCTCTGGTGGCATATCGGCATAAATTAACCTATTCTCTTCAAGGAAAGTCACGCCCGATTTTGGTTTGGTATTGAAACGAGCGGCTCCCGCCAAGATTAACTGCTTTTGAGACTTTGCTTGCAGCAAAAATTCTGGTAACGGGAACTCCTAACAGGGTGTCAATTTTGACAAAAAGCTTTGGAAACCTTAACCTGCCTGCGGCCATTGTTCTGCAGCCTGGGAGTGAAGTCAGAATATGATGTGAAGATCTACGCGGCAAAATACCAACACCATCTGCTCGCATTGCCATGTCGTTAACAAACGTTAACAAAAATTCCAGACAAAGGTATTGTGAATGCCGTTGGGCTTCTACGCTACCGATATTTTGCGCTGGATAAACGCCCTTAAAAATCGTAAGCTTGACCGAGGTACTCTGAGAGACTGCGGTTGTTCTTACCTTCGTCAAGAAGTCCACAAGTCGCTCAAAGAGATTCTCGCAGTTAACATCACAGTCATAGTTGGCATATAGGTCCACCATGAAACTAGGATGGCCAGAGATATCGCTGAGAGTTTCTAGAATCAGATCCCGAGTCTCTCCACGAGCAGGCGGAACTACAGCTCGTGTGGATGAAGCGCTCAGATTTTCCTCCGCCGAAATGGTATCTGCTGAGCCTTGTAAGGGTGTCGACGCGGTGGGCGTTCCAGGTCTTAAAGAAGGGCTTCTCTTCATCAGGGAACCACCGATAGTTGACGGCGCCCTATTGTTCTGGTTTGAACCAGGCAATGCGAGGCGATCAATGGTAAAAGCCAAAAAGAGCTCTTGTTGCAACTTCAGATGTTTACGCATCGCATGGAATATTATCGAAATAGTACGAAGCGCAGAATAGAGAACAGCGGTATTATCCGACCGTGCGAGTTGAAAAAGAAATTTACAGCCTGGATCAACGACAAGGGCTTTGAGAGAGGGGAAGTCAGCGATAGATGGCCCAGATTCCTCAAGAGCAGCGTGCAGGATACCAAGGACCGTAAGACGCGTGGAATCCGTGTGTTGTTGGTCATTCGGGTCAAGAACATTGATTAGGACGCGTAACAGTTCAAGAATTGATGGGAGACCATCTAGTCAGCACTCCATTTTAGCGATATTAAAAGGTAATGAAGGGGTTCAAACGTACATTCGGGACGGCTAGCCACAGATGAAGCCGAATGGGGTGCAACATCGTGCACAAGTTCCACTTCACCGTCGCCAGTAATTTCTGGAGAACCCTCAACAGTGAGGGATTCAGTGGTAGACACCGTCATTTTGAGATCTCCATCAGAAACGTCCTCCTCTGCGGCCAGGAGTTTCTCTTCCTCCGATTGTGCATCCAATGAGTGTAATTTTGAAAATACCGTCCTTACAAGCGCGTGCATTGTATTCTCTGCTGACCGCCTGAGTATCTCTGTCACAAAAATAAAAATTTGAGACTGATGCATTCATAAATGGTAGCTCACCACTGAGACGCATTTGACAACAGGTGGTAAGCACGGTCTCGAGCATTTCGCACACCTCAATATCCCCCAATCCTCTTCCAACGCCCCCGCACAAACAGTCCTGGATGACTGTCATGATTCTAAGAAGAACCACCTCGTCCCCGGACGAGTCGCTTGCCTCGAATTTACAGTGCGAGATCGTGCCACTGAGTTCTGCAAGCGCGGGGTAAAGAGCCCGAGAACGTGACGAAATGAGACCACAGACGAAGAAACTATGAAGTGCAGATAACGCAGCAGATGTTATTGGCCCCGTGGAGAGAGGAGATCGAAGAATGGCAAAGAATGGACCTAGTAAAATGGGCAAATCTATATCCGTGATGTCTGGAAAGTGGGCTCAGCCGCCGTTCATTTAGAGTCGAGGTAACTCACCCTCGCCCTCTTTCACTGTTCTTTTCAGCTCTACGAAATTTGACATCAACTCGGCCTCTTTATTGCCTCTTCCTGAGAGGCGCGTATGATAAGAAGGCGACGATATCCGGAGACCCATGTTAGATCCCAGTGGGCGTGGGTCTTTGGAACCCATTACCAGCGTCGAAGAAGCCCATCGTGAGTTTTTGCGCATGGCTGAGGTGACGGAAAGAATCTCCGAATTGAGGACATGTTTGGAAGAAATACTGTTGGATGTGCCGCGACGCAAGTCCGAGGGGGTTGTCATTAAGGCGAATATCGTCAGTAACACGTCGACCAAAATGTCCATACCCTCGATAACGTAATTGTTGCCTTTAGAATCCGTTGCCAAACAATGGGTGCTTCATGCGCTCAGTGCTGCGCGGTTTTCTTCTGGTTTTATGCAAAATCTGGTTACTAACGTGGCATACGTGTCGCGTAAAAAATGGTACACTAGCGTGGCGACTACGCATTGATACGTGCGCGGCATCGAATACAGATTGATTCGCGAGACTACTCTCAAGAACCTTGTGTTTCGGCAGCGCGTTGAGACATGGCAGCCTGCCCCGCAGCTGTGGCTGCCAGTCGAGAGCGCTTCCTTTCGGCCTCTGCAAGCACTCAGTACCCGTCAAATACACTGTAGCAAGGATGAACCAACCTGCTTCCTTCTCTCGTTCGATCTCTGAAACGATCGCTTCAATTTCACTCAGGGCAAGATTCTAGTCAGAGGTCAGTCAAAAAAAGTCGAGAAGAGGAAAAGAGAGCTATCTACCGTAACTTTCCCGTAGCTTTCCATAACGCTTATTTCGATATTCTTCGCCCCAGTTTGAACTACCTCCAACAAGCTCTTGACGGTCAATTTGATGCTTTCCTCCCTTGACAAATCATCCTTGTGGTTCTTTTCTAGGAATTCACGGACAGTTTTCGACGAGCGGCCAATTGCATTAGCCTGTCATTAGTCGTCAGATCTGTCAAACTGAACCTAGCAAATCACCTTGCCTTCCAGGCGCTGTATATCCCGCTCGGCTCAGTTTGGTAAAGACGTGGTTTCGTATCGTGAGGATCGAATCCAACAATGAGGGTCGAAATCCCAAATGGTCTGACACCTCCAGACTGAGTGTAACGCTAGATGCGAAGTGATCGATGCCCGTGCTCCGAGATGTTGGCAGGGCAGCTTACCTGTTGGATACCAGCAATATGTCTTGTGATGTATTCAACCGTAACGGGATCCTCCACAGTAAGGCGGTGACTTTGACATTCTATGCGGGCTTTATCTATCAAGACGCGACCATCTGCAGTTAAACCTAGATAAATGAGGCCAGTCGTCACCACCCCATCGTCCAAGAAAAATGGAGATGCTAACCAGCAAACGCGAGGCATACGTGATCATCCAGCATTACTACCTTCCTCACAGTACGGGGGTCTTGTAGTTGCAGGACTGACTTCTTCTCCACTCCAAGAACCACTACGTCCTTGCCACGGACGCCCACCTGTGATCATGGTGGAACGAGCATCTCATTTAGAAAGAACAACAAACTTACGGCACATGTACCTTTGCGTACGGCCTCTAAAGCATATTCAACCTGTAGGAGGTCAAAATGAACGATCCAGATTGAAAGAACATGGGGGAACGGACCTGAAAGAGATGACCATCGGGAGAGAAAACGGTGAGTGCTGGTAATTAAATGAGATTCTGTCGAATGTTATAAGATACACGCAGCGCACCGCGATCATACGACCTGGACATGGTATTAAGCAGGAAACAACTTCAAGATGAGAGTCAGTGCAACGCGCGTATGTGTTGCCACGTGACTTTAAGTCCTTCAGAATCAATGACATCCACCGCCGTCGGGAAATGTGCACTTTGCTCCCAGGACCTCGACTTTCTCACTATACCAGATCGCGAACTCCACTACCAACAACACTTTGATCGTGAGGAGGTTTTATCTTTCGAGTTTGGGCGCTCTGGCCACTAACGACGCGGTTCAAAAGAACCCTCTTCATCCAGCAGTGGTCAGACCAAGCCACGCTCTGTCGATACGTCGAAACCCAAGAAGAATTGGAAGCCCAAGTTGTTTCAAGAAAATGATACTTTCTGGAGATCATCCCAACTGGAACCGCCACCCGCCAATTACACTCCCGGATTGATACCATTGCTTCGAAACGCGCTTTTGAAAAGCCACTCGCGGGGTGATACACGCCGTGCCATTCTTTGCTTTGCACAAACAGTGCACATCTGCAGAGAACCATGGGATGCTGGCTGGGGCTGCGGGTTCGTCGTTTGTCCCGTTCCCGCCCACCTACCTTTAACATGTCATCAGATACCGCAACTTTTTAATGCTCTGCGCAGCACTGATGGACCAGCAACAACAGCCTTTATACTACCCCCTTCTCGACGCACCGCTGTCCCCCAGTATCCGAAATTTACAAGCCTTGATAGAAACAGCTTGGAAAGAGGGTGTGAACGAAACTATCCTTCTGTCTGAATACCTTTACTCAAGTATCCGAAATAGGTTTTGATGAGGAAGGGGCAAAGGATTTGAAGAAACTTGTTGGCACACGAAAGTGGATCGGAACTGCAGGTAGGTAGTCATTCCTCCTTGCGCATGATCTAAATTAGCTCTACAGACCTATGGGTGGCATTCTCATATCAAGGCATACCGTCGGTATCTCCGTCCCATTCCGCAGCGGCTCAAATAACACTTTACGCAGAGTTGAACTTGTTGATTTCAATCTGAAAAACAATCCTAGAGGTGCCTTGCTTTTAGACGGAGTCGTTGAGATGACGCTGATGCCCTTGACAGGTCCAGAAATTGTGACGAATTGGGTGGTGGAGTACTTTACTCCAAAGACAACATCAACCGAACGGTCAAATATGTATCAAACGTTGAAAGGCGCTTCTCCTGTGCTCGTCACCGACCGAATGCCAATCATACTGCAACACAACGGCCATTCCCGTACAATTGTCGGTTACGAAGTGGATAAACGAGGCGTGGTCAACCTGATAACATTTGATCCTGGACGGTAAATTCAAAAGTCGTTCGTAGATTCATCTCAATGTTAATAACAATCCCAGAGTTCCTTCTGCCCAGGTCCGGAATGCAGCACTCTCCGCATCTCTGCCAGCAACGACACCTAATGGGTCCGGATCTCTCAAACGGTCAGCAAGTAACTCATCAAGCGTGGGCCAGTCTGGGAACAGTAGTAAACGTGCTCGCTCAAGTGCAGACGAGGATGGCAGTGACATCGAGATAATCCATGACTCGAGAGATACCCATGCAGAGAAACCGACTGAAGACAAATTCAGCGGCAAGAAGAAGGCTCAAGACAATACCAACCTATTTTCTACGAATGGTCTCCTGAAGAAATACCGATTGGATCCCAAGGCATTAGGGTCTGTTTTTCTTGCCCATACATACTGCGTTTCTTTCTAGCATCCTCGTTTTAGGAAAAACAAGCAATACCAAATCCTATACTGTCCAATGACGGCCCCTTTAACAGAGCGTGAGCGGATGGGTCGGAAGTTTGTCACCAGTCAAAAGGTATCGTAGTAAGATGCGATAGAATCGTACTCGTCAAATAGATTGCATTATCACATCTCCATTGACATCTAGTCCCAATGGTAATGCAGACGGATGGTCAAGCCCCACTAGAGGCGGTAAATCCAGGGCCGCCACCGCACATCTCAAAGCCCGCTCCCATGCCTCCTCCACCATGTAACCTCCACCCCTCATAACCCCTTCCCGATCCTTGCGAACAGCTTCACTAAAAATATCGTCATAGCCGCCTGGGCGAATTTCAAACTTGTCCTCGTAGGCATACCAATCGTCCTGCAATGGAACATGTGGGACGTCTTGCACATTGGTCCCAAGAGCCGCTCTCGATCTCAAGAGCTTGGCATTGCTCTGCAATACAGATGTCGACGCTGCACGAGCAGAGGATCGTTTCAGGGCATTTGCACGACTCTTTGCAATGAGTTTTGAAGCACTCTTGTCACTTGTTTCGAGTTTATCAATGATTTCGCGTCTGTCTTTTTCTCGCTCCTCGCGTTCCTCTTCCTCCTCCCTGCGAAGCTCTAGTGCACGCGATTCTCTCTCTCGTCGTTCGCCTTCTTCTTGCTCTTGAAGAGCACGGGCATAGGCTTCTTCCCGCTGGACATTGAGCTCGATGAGAGCGGCATTTTCAGCACGGTATGCTGCTATGCGAGCCTCTGTCTGCGGAATATTGATCTCATTGATGAGATTGAATGCTAAAAGAAGGGAGTTAATTCAAGAACGCGATAATAAAGAGGGACGAGGTACTGATGTCTTCGACTTGTTCAAGGTAGTCGTTGTAAGAACGAAGATCAGGAAAGTCCTCTCTCCGTTTGTTAAATCTGGAAGAGTATTAATAGTGGGAAGAAAGAAAAATAGTGGTATGGCTCACTCTTTTGCTATTCTTCTCCTGACAGCCACCTCTTTCTCGACACCCAAGTCCTCGAAGGTTTGAGGAGTGAAAGCCAGCTTTCGCAATACTTTATTGCATATTGGACAAGGTGCAGGACCAAGGGTGAAAAGGCGATCAATGCAAGATTCGCACCTGAGGTTGGTGGTGGTTAGGCACGAAAGTTGAAGTGAGAAGGAAGACAGACATTTTGTGGTAGCATGAACTAACCAGCAGACGAAGCTTTGGATTTAAATAACGGTCACTCTTGCAGACGGGACACTGGTCGTCCATAGACTTGAGAAAGAGGGTAAGAAGAGTGAAGAAGGTTATGTTATAGTACAAGCTCACAAAGTACTCTGAAGTTCTACCAGATGGATCCTTGACACCACCACCAAAGACGGTAGTTGAAGTGCTCTGAACATGAGGTGTTGATGATCTTGAATGTGAAGCTGAAGATGTTATTAGAGATGAAGATGAAGCTGGAGATGTTATTCCATACCTGAAGATATTAATCCACCCTTTCGAACGGTCTTGCCTTGCAACCAGGATGTCATTAAAGATGAGTTGTTTAAACCACGTGATGCAGGGCGATGATTAATGCTATTATTATCACTGGTCATCACGCTTATGTATGTACCAAGGACCATTTAAAGCAGACTCAGGGTCACCGTGACATAAATACCACATGAGGGTGTCGTATTACTGCTTTATTATCGCTCTATTACTAGCCATCTTCATCCACAAGCTGCCTTCAATCATTAAACATTTATATCCCTTTACCCGCCGATCTCCTCCAATGGCTTCACAACAAGATTGGCGCAAAGCTCTCAACGATCTTCCGTCTACACCTGAAAACATTCCAGCTTTCTTCTTCGCTCATGGTTCTCCCGTTCTCGCCTTTCCAAAATCAGATGCAGGCTCCATGGGAGAGATGGGTTCCTATCAAGGTTCTGCTGGCCCTCTCGCTCAATTCCTTGCCGACTTTGGCTCCACCTTGCTGCAAAAGTACAAGCCAAAGGCTATTGTAGTCTACAGCGCACATTGGGAGACAGCGACCGAGCGTCGAGGTATGTTTGCTTCCATTGATTTGCCTTGTCCACTTTTGATTCGTTGGATCACAGTCACCGATTACAAGGAGGAAAACCCTCTCTTGATGGATTACTATGGCTTCCCTCCAGAGTTATATCAGCTGAAATTCAAGTCGAAAGGTGACTCGGCCCTTTCTCAGCGCATTGTCGATCTGTATAAAAACGTATTCATTCAATCCTCTGCAAAAGGTTGCACTCACCAACTTTCACTGCAGGCAGGTCAAAAGGCGAGAACGACAAGTGTGCTCGAGAGCCGTGGTCAGGATGGCCGCGGGTTCTCCGGCCCGGGACTAGATCATGGCGTCTTCGTCCCATTCCGAATCATGTTTGGAGAGGAATTCACTGAAATTCCTATCGTTCAAGTCTCCATCGATTCCAGCTTGGACCCAGCAAAAAATTGGGAACTGGGTAAAGCTGTTGCTGACCTTCGGTAGAAAACGATATTCCTGCTCTCTTCTGCAAACACTGAACATCCAACAGAAAAGAAGGTGTTCTCATCCTGTCGGGAGGACTGACGGCACACAACCTGCGTGATAGATCATCGTTCTCTCCGACAACTGCCCGACCTATTCACAAGGAATTCGACAGGGCCATCCATGACGCTGTGGGAGTGGAAAATGTTGGTTGATTTTGATGGGTTCGATTTGAGATACCGGCTGACTCGTGTGTCCACGATAGGCAGAACTACGGAAGAAGGCCCTGTTTGACCTAACGAAACACTCGGGATTCCGAGATTCACAACCGCGAGAGGAACATTTCGTTCCACTGTACGTTGCAGCTGGGGCTGGTGAAGGTGGGGAGGTGAGGACGCTGATGAGCATGTATGGTATTCCTACGTTTGCATTTGGGGTGTAGCAGGGCCAGAGCAGGGTTAGCCAGGGTAGCGAGGACGTATTTGATTTATGAATGTCCATAAGTATCGGATGTCAGCACCCGTTCACCCATTCTACCCGTCTTCCCTCCCAGGCTCAGTTGTCACTGAGAGCCCTCTTAAGATTGTCTATTGCAATTCGGTACAACTCTTTTTTTTTCCTTTCTTTTTCTCTTCTCCTTTCTCTAGCTTCTCCCTCCTCGTAATTTTTTCTCAAATATGCCTCCGCCAGCTTCTCTTCTCCCTTCGCGCTCCTCATCTTTGCCCATTCCCCCGGAATCTAGTCGTCGCGTCTCTCTGCCTAGTCGCGCAGACCCTCAAACCGTCTTTGCCGATGTGCCAATGACCCCACCGCTCTCTCCAAAACAAATAGAGGTCGACACCATTCAAGTTGTAGCAGAACCCTTGGATACCGCAGAATCAGATGGCACTGATCCCGAATCCACACCCATTGCTGTCGACGACTCTCAGTCTCTTCCAAACCCCATGGAAGTCGATGATGCAGAGAAAGTCGTGTCCCCGCAGCCTCCTCAGCGACTACTGGAAGATGAAAAAGTTCATCTACAACGGTCTGGCCTCAAGCTATCCGACTTTGAGGTTCGTGGGACGCTAGGTACGGCCACAGATACTCTATCCGCGCCCAAGTGCTCATGAAAACACAGGTACTGGCACCTTTGGCAAGGTTCTGCTCGTACGCCATCGAAGCTCTGCTGCTAATCCAACCAAGCAAAATCACTTTGCCATGAAGGTGCTGCGCAAGACAGAGATTGTCCGCCTTCGTCAAGTTGAACACGTCAACGCAGAGCGTTACATTCTTTCCCGAGTTCATCATCCCTTCGTCGTCGATCTCTTTGCCACCTTTCAAGATAGCCTGAACGTCTACATGCTAATGTCATACGTTCCTGGAGGAGAGCTCTTTACCCATCTACGCCGTGCCCAGCGGTTCACCCCCGATGTCACCCGCTTCTACCTCGCAACCATCATCTTGGCTCTTAAGTATCTCCACTCCTTCAACGTGATTTACCGCGACCTCAAACCTGAGAACCTCCTGTTGGATTCCCGTGGATACCTCCGCCTCACCGATTTTGGGTTCGCCAAAATTGTCGACGACCGTACCTGGACGCTGTGCGGTACTCCAGAATACCTCGCCCCGGAGATAATCCAGTCAGACGGCCACGGAAAAGCAGCAGACTGGTGGGCGTGTGGCGTCCTTTGCTATGAGATGCTCGTTGGGTATCCGCCGTTCTTTGACGAATCCCCCTATGGCATATACGAGAAAATCCTCAATGGACAAATTCACTGGCCAAGAAGCATGGACCGCCTGTCGCGTGATTTGATCAAGGCTTTCCTCAATCCAGACCGCACAAAACGACTTGGGAATATGAACGGAGGGCCGGATGATATCCTTGATCACCCATGGTTCAGAGGTGTGGACTGGGACGCTTTGGAGCGTCGCGAGATCAACGTGAGTCAGACCAAAGACATTGTATATCCCACTATAACTCGCATTTGTTTGTAGGCACCCATAATCCCTCGTACTTCATCCATCGACGACACGCGTCACTTCTTGCACCTCCCGTTACCCCCATCAGAAGAGATTCCCGGTTTTACCAGAGAAGAGCAGCCGCCAGCTCTCCACCAACGTTTCGACCCCATCGCATATCAATTCCTCGAATTTTAATTTTTCTTGACAACCAACAATGCAGCGCTGCGCACTCGCTACCTATTTTGGGTATAACACACTCCTTCGACTTCTGCTAACGTTACCTATCTTGCTCGTCTTCTTGACCAGACTCAGCCAAACTCTCCTTGTATTTACTTTTTATCTTATCTTTTGGCCAATTGGGCCCCCAGATATGTATCTAGTCCATTCTCATAGCTCTACGCTCTCCTAGTTTTGTATTATCTTGTAGCCTCCTTCGTTATCTACCATGTGTATTTACTACTTTCACCCTCTCGAGCCGCTTTGCTTGAAAAATATACCTATTTATTTCTGTCGCTACTTTGCTTTACTGCCAACTCGCCAATTAAGTGTTTGCACATACTTACGCGTACAGAGATGAGCACCGACACGTCCAATTTCCTCATCGCAGAGGCCCAATTAGAGCTGGATCATGTACGCTTCTGCTCATGCCCCTCCCCTCTCATCCGTGATTGAAATGCCTCTTCCAACCTCAAGGCAAGAAAGCAAAAGGCGAAGAGAATCAAGACCCTCGGTGAACCTCTCGAGTTACCTGGGAAAGCCCTGGCAATCAAAGTCAAGGATAACACTGCATGGATCGCAGAAAACACGACAGTTGTCAGAAAGCTCGATCTCGAGGTGACCTTGATCGCTTATTTTCAAACGTCTTCAATCTCATAGCATTCAGTCAGGAAAAACCTTGCAAGTTTACAAAGGCCATACGGGTCCTGTAACTACTCTCGCTTTCTGCGACAAAGAACCTCGTTCGGTTGATAACAAAATCCTTATAACGGGCTCATGGGATCGAGTAATATCTTCTCTCAAACAGCATTTTACATGGTCACTAAATCTATTTTCAGTCAATCAAACTCTGGGATACAGACGTATGTCATATTATTCCAATCCCAGGAAGAGAAAACTGCAAAGCCAAGTTCTATAGACGAAACAGTTGATATCTTCAACATCGGACGCGCATTCTGACTTTATCAAGACGTTCTTCGTATTTCCTTCACTCAATCTCCTGGTGTCGGGAGGTTCGGATAAGATTGTCCGATTTTGGTGCGTTCCCCCCAAAAAAAAAACAATTGGCGCGACTAAGATTGTGCTCAGGGATCTTTCAATACCAACCCGGTCTGAACCATTGGTCGGCGTGGGCTCGATCTCATCGCACACACGTCCCGTCGAGTGTTTGGATGGATATGCCACTTCCGACGCGTCTGCAGTCTTGTATACCGCTGATACAATGGGCGTCATCAAAGTCTGGAACTTGAACAAAGAATCAGGCGCGAATGCTCGATGGCGCGCTACACTCAAAGAAGAGCTCAATCACCACCGAACGAGAATCAACGAAATGCTATGTGGAAACGGACAGCTCTGGACAGGTATAGATATGTTGGCTGGTCGATTCTGCTTATACAAGTCCTGATGAGGCGTTTATCTAGCGTCCGCCGACGACACCGTACAGATTTTACCCGAGGAGCAAAAAGAAGCTGTTCCTCGAAAATCAAATTCGATCGCTCACCCAGTCGCCGTTCGAGCAATACTTCCCCTTTCCCTGACGGACCTTGGGGAGCCATACCTCATCACTGGTGCTGGAGACGTTCTTCGAGTATTTGAGGTTTCCAGCCTTGACGAACCGGAACTGGTTAGCAAGACTGATGCCCATTGGCACGATATTACTGCAATATGCCTATGGCATCGCACATCGCTCAATGCGGATGGCAAAAAGCAAACTGAGCCGTGGATCATCACCACCAGTCTGGATCGTACTGTGCGCAAATGGAGATTACATGGCACGTTTTCCCTGTAGGATGATGAATTTGTACTTATATGACGAACAGATCTCTTGAACCCGCCGGCGCCCTCAAAAGATGAAGTGCAAAACCGGGAGCCGCCCCCTGCATCAACGCCAAACGATGATGGAGGATTTGCGCTAAGTGAAGAAGAGGCCCGTGAACTGGCAGAGCTTTTGGATGATTGACGAGGACTTCTACGTACGCAGAGGGCGTTCATACCAGACATTCTACGAGCAGAGCCAAGGCGAGGTAGATATTGTTGATATAGGGGTAATTATGTGCATAGTACATACAGTACAGTTCACATGGGTGGATCCATACGATGTTAAATAGATAGTTAGTTTTACATTGATTGACTTGTTCATAGTTTCGGCCTTACGACTTGGAGACTCGAAGCAGATTTTAGGCCGCTCGCTGCTGTGTTGACGAGCTCGTCGACACTGGAGGAGAAATGTCAGTCTAGTTCACTCGACAAGAAGGAGAAGCTGACATGTCTTTCGCAGGCTTGATATCATTGATTGATCCAGCAACGCGTCCCATGAGCCCTAGAATGCGTCAATAAGGAACACAGGACATTCGATTACGAAACTTACAAGAAAGGCCTTGCAGGGACTTTTCTGGATGATTCTGTAGCTCAACCTCATGTGGGACTTTTCCTTGAGCAATTAAATGAGAGAGCTCCTTTTGCCTCTTTGTTTCCCTAGCGTTCTGCGGCTCAAGATCATAATCAGCAGAAGAAAGAAGCGGTCGCACCATTCTTCGACATAGGGAGTCTTCCTCACGCTCATCGGTCGCCCAGAGTATACCAACGTGCGGATGACATCGTCATATCCAGCGCTCACAACTAATTCTTTGTGCCGTTTTGGGGCACCGGCTTCTACACTGGCAACAAATCGAGTTCCGACCCAGACACCTGACGCTCCGTATCTGGTGGCGGGTGTTAGACCGATGTCAAAGTAACATGACCGAAAAACTTACAAGAGAGCAGCAGCTAGGCCGCGGCCGTCCGCAATACCGCCAGCTGCTACGACAATGACAGGCTCGCCGGTTAGGGGACTCTTTGCGTTCTTACAAAGGTCGACGGTGGCAGGGATGAGAATAGAAAACGGGGTATCTCCAGTGTGGCCGCCTCCTTCACCACCCTGAGCGCATATGATGTCAACACCTAGAGGCCCATTTTTAGCGTTGGCAGACCATTGAAGGAGTTGAAGACTTATTCACCTTGAGCGAGTGCTTTCGCGACATGCTTTAATGGGCGACACATCAGATATAAGGGTCATTCAACTGGAAGAGAGAATGGTACCTTGGGGTGTCCTATCATACTATTTCAAGGTAAACAATCTACAAGAGATATATATGGAAATGCGAGACTCACTTCATGACGGGAATGCCAGCAGCATGAAGCTTGTCGACGACCCACTTGGGTGGAACACCGACAGCACAAACGAACAAGGATGCCCCTCCTTTGATGATGACATCAATGAGCTCTGGCAATTGACCCGCAGTGTAGTCTTTCTATAAGAAGCGTGGGTGAAGTTGTGGGGGAGTGCGACAACAGGTTTCCTTACGTTGGTCTTGCGAGCATTGCCACCAATTTGAGGGAGCAAAAGATCAACACCAAAGGGAGCGTTCTTGTCTTCCAAATGACTCTTCAACTCGTCAATGGAACCCTGAAGGAATTTTGGGCTCTGGCGAACACCGCCAATGACGCCAATACCACCTTGGATAATTATTTGAGCAGGCGAAATAAATTTTGAGGGATGGACCGTACCTGCGTTTGTAACGGCTGCGGCAAGCTTTGGGCCGGCAGCGACGTTCATGCTATACGCGTTGTATGAGTTTCAGGAAAAGGCTCGTAGGTGAGGTAGCTCACCCTGCAAGCATGACGGGGTGGCTTATTTTAAACAACCTCGTAAGGGGAGTAGCAAAGACGGGCGCGGAAGAGGGCATTGTTGTGTGAAGCAAAGGTAGGGGATGCGCATTTGAGCGTAGAGTACCCGTTTATTTAAGAGATATCAAGTCCGGAAAAGGTAAACCTCTATTGCCGGGTCACGATCGTCGGTCCGGAGTCGTGGGAACATAACATTTCTTCAATGACAACTCCCGCCAACGGCCAATCGTCATGCCCCGTTCACAACCCCAGTACGCACGCCACTACGAACAGCGGCCAAGCGACTACACACGTCGGCAACGAGGATGCATGTCCCGTAGACCACACGTCTCGTTCAACGTGGTCCCAATTTTTTTCGAATGCCCCCGCTGCATCGCCAACACCGCTTTCCACTGAGCGAGAAGTCTCCTCTATTCCAAAAGTTCAGGATGGAAAGTGGGTTTATCCTTCAGAAGCACAATTCTTCTCCGCAATGCAGCGCAAAAACCACAATCCTCAAGCTACCGACATGAAGACTGTCGTTCCGATTCACAACGCTGTGAACGAGCGAGCCTGGGGTGAGATATTGAAATGGGAAGCTGGGAGAGGCGGAGACGCATGTGGTGGCGTCAGTTTAGTCAATTTCAAAGGAAAACCGGGAGAAAGGAGCTTGAAGGCCCGCTGGAGGACGCTCCTTGGGTACGTCAAGTGCAAAGCCTATTTTGTTTCCCAATTCACGTTTCTTTCTAGTTATTCGCCGCCCTTTGATCGCCATGACTGGGTCATCAATCGTTGCGGTACACCCATGCGGTATATCATTGATTTTTACACTGGTCACAACCCGGGGTCTCCAAACAGCAATCTCTCGTTTTTCCTCGACGTCAGGCCTGCGCTTGACAGTTGGGAGGGTGTGAAGATGAGGACAGAACGGTTCTTCAGTCGATGGTTCAAGTAGCACCATGCATACGGCCGTAGTATATTATTTGCCACGAAATTTCACTTTTTTAGTCGGGCGCTCATCTTCCGAGCTCTCATCGTCATTCACGTCGCTCGCATCCCCGTCGCTGATCTCTTCGTCATCATCCCACTCTCCAAGACAGTCATCACCACTATTCTCATCCTCGTCCATCTCATCTCCGGAAGGCGCATCAACCAGAGCGTTTTTGCTGTTTGTTTTTGACGAGGCGGCTTTCCGTTTGACGTTTTGTTCTTGCTCCTCTCGTCTCTCTTTTTTCAGCTTGGCTTTTGCGGCATGTACAGCCGTTTGCGCAGCGGCTTCCTTTTTCGATTTTTTCACTGTTGATCTCGGTAAAAATCTGGTGGAGAAAAGAATGGTGAAGATCGTACCAAATTCATGATATATCACGCCACCCTCTTTTCCAGGTACCCCTTCAGTTATCTTGACCAGTCTCAATTCCATCCTGGGGCCAACCTCATCAAGGCGCACGGCCCTTTTTTGTCCCTTCTTGTTGTTTCTGCCGACGTAATCTTCCGCCAAATCGACAGCGTCTCGGTCGTCGCCCGCCACACTCTCTGTAGATGACGCCGCACTTTCGTATCCCCCGTCGGGGCCAGGGTCTCCTCTTTTTCGTAAAAGAAAGTCCGCGACATCTTTTTCGTTGCCTAGATCCAAAACTCCCGAATTTGGATTAGAATTGGTAGCGCCTTCTAGGATACGCCGTACTCGTTTTGATACACCGTAGGGCTTGACCTTGATGACATAGTGACGAAAGTCAACGGTTCCACGTTCTGAATTGTATGATATCAAGACCACCCTGCGGGCAGAGGACAAACTGAGAGTGTTGGGAGAAAGAGGTGGAAAGATAGATTGAAATGACTTCATAAGAAGGGGAAGATGAGGTGGCGTCGTTGGAGATGGCGGAGGAAACGAGGCAAGGACAAGCTATCAAATATTTTAGCCATAGTCAAAGAATGATAGAAAAAAAAACATACCAAAGGAGGACTGAGGTACTCCATTCCTACACTTCGGGCTCTGCGCGACGTGTTGAGGATATCCTTGATAAGGCTGTACCTTTCAATCCTAAAACTGAGTGTTGGTCCATCTGACAAGCGGACGATACGGAGAGAGGGAGCTATGGGCGTAAGGGTGAATGCAAGCAAATGGGTAACTTGAAGTGTGGGTGCAAGGACAAGATAATCCTTTAGTTTATTTCTAGTTCGTTCCTGTAAGTAATGTGTGAATAACGACAATGTTGATGAGGTATTGAAATGAAAAGACCTTTAATCGACTGGCAGTATTGGGTTCGAGCACTTTTCGCATGTCGCGTACAAGCTGCGATACAGACGATCCAACTTGACCATGCTTGATGATAAAAGACTTTGGTACGCCATTTTTTGTCGGTTCTTGTGCTGCGCCGCCTTTCAGATGCGTTCTGTTCTTTCGTTTTCGTGCCATGTTGTGGTGAAAGGGAGTATCGCAGTGTTTGTTTGCACTGACTCTCATGAGCCGTTTAGCCTCTTTTCGAGGTCCATCTACACCCACAGCGTCCCCGGCACGACAAACGACCCCATCATCACCGTCGCGTCTGACAGAATCCACATTTCACCGAAAAACGAGGTCTATATTACTCGAGCTTCGGTCTATCACAGAAACTTGGGATGATCTCATTCTTATTGATGGCTTGAAAGCCATAAGGAGTCTTGTCGATCTTCGTACAGACCTACAGTATGCCACCTTAATCTCCTCATAATTGGCAACACTCGTTATTACCGCAGGTGATTCGCTCAGGAATGCACTCGCTATCATCCCAGATCGGATGCCTCGCACCCATTTGGTGGTCCCTAAACTAACTCTGATGGAAAAACGAATAGCAGAGTTGGATTCGATCCTCATAAAACTGGTGCGCATTTACCGCCTTTGTTTCCTTCTCGTTCTAACCAAACGAATACCCTAGCAAAAGCAGTTTAGAAAGATGAATTCGACTATAGACAATCTGGAGGCAGTTCTTTACGAAGCTCACAAGGCGAAAGGTTGGGAATGGGTCCAGACTGAGCCGCTATGGGTTACATGGCCTCTGGAAAAATTTGGTGACTTGTTGTCCCATTCGCCAGCTTTCTAGTCACTCATGCCGTGATCGACCAGTGGTCTCCATCCCCAGTATCTTACCAGCCTACCACCGGTCACTGAACCTCAACATCGAATTGGTTAACCTGCTCCGTAGTCACTCTGTGTCTTTCGATGAATCTCGCGCCGCTGTCTCAAGGTGGGTCGAGCAACCATTTTTGGAAGATTCCGGCTGGCAGGCCGAATGGGAGGATATATGCGTTGTGGAAGTGGAACGCTGGGAGAAGGATTGAAAGCAAACGACAAGAAAAATGGTATTATCGAAGCAGTACACTACCACGGCAGATTTATAAATCTTCGTCGTCCGATATATGTATCTCGTCTGCATTGACTGTCGGTGCTGCTGTGAGTCCATCTTGCGCTGTGGTATCAGGGAGTGCAAGTTTCGTAGCAGTGGCAGCGACGAATGCAGGCCCTTTCGTGCCGCCTGCCACCTTTTTCTCAGCAGCAGCCATCGCGTCTTGTGAGTCAACATCATCATCATTTACCTTCGTCGTCCCTTGCCGCGCCGCCGTTGTCTGTGCAGCCAGGTAGCTAGCCTCTGTATTGAATTGTGCCTGTACACTTCTTTTGATTCGCAGCATTTCCCTGAAGGTGTCTTCGGAACCAGTTTCAATTTCGAATGTGTTCCACTCGCTCCAGAATTGCGGGTTAATGCGGGGGTCACAAAATTGCGATGCGTGGGCATAGATGGCCCGAGCTCTGTCAATTTCGCCAAGTTTGCGCTCAAGAGCTGCGAATCGTAGACACATTTCGGCCGTTTGTCGATCAGGCAGAACTGCTAATTTTTCAGTCATCAGCTTGTTACGGATTTTCAAACAGACGTACCCTCCAGAGCTCGTTCGTAGATTGGTCGAGTAGCGGGCAGACCGAAATTGGCGGTCGCCTTGGCGATGTAAATTGTGAACATCTATGAGGCAGATTTGAGCAGTAGTAAAAAAAAACACCCCTTGTGGACAAACCTCAAATTTGTCTGCATCGGCCACTGTCTGAGTAGCACGATCGTAGATTGCCATGGAACGTTTAGCAAGCCCGTGGTCCTCTTCCAGTTGCGCATACATAAGGAAGAGCGGTTTACACGACTTGGGCGGGCATTTTTCCAGTGATTGTTCAAACAGGTCCCGGGCGCGTTCGAGTTTCGTTCCACCCTAAAAAATCTCAGATACAAAAAGACTTTAAAATAATGAAATAACTGACATAACGCTTTACAAACTTTGATAAATAGATGTTCCAGATTTCAAAGGATACAGGAAAGGTGAATAGTTCCACTCCACGCTCGTATACCTAGAGTCATGTAAGTATATGAATGACAAGGGAAGAAAAATAACTTGCTTTGAAACTCTCTTCAAAGTACTTATTTTCTTCAAGGAATGCAGCATAGTTGACGATGATCTGGGCATTGGCAATGCGAAGTTCCAGAATTTTATCGTACACGGCCTTGGCTGATTCGACTGTACCAATAGACTCTTCAAGGTCGACATAAAACGACCAAAGCTTCAGAGATTTGAATAGACGTGCTTGGGATGACAGCGTCTATGGAAAGAAAAAAAGAAGTTATGACATGCTGAAAGCGTTGATTTTCAGAGACAACTGACATGATCGTGGTAATTCACTTTCGTGTTTTTCGGGATCGCGGCTGCGCGTTGCATGACTCGTATGGCCTCATCGTAATTTCTGTCGCATCTATTGAGCTGTGAAGCTTTTTGAAGGCGGTCTGACGTACTCGTGACGAATCTCCATTTCTGCCCATTCGCACCATACCTCCGCAAGATCTTCAACCAACTTGAAGTTTACCTTGGTGGCTTTATCGAATATCTTGCGCGCACTCTCCAGGTCCTTGTCCGCCTGACCATTTGTTCCTCCCTCTTCGTAGAACTTCGCAAAATTGACGTATAGGCGATGGAGATTGTTGGTGGCTTTTCGCGGATTGATAGTTTCCAGAGCTTTGGAATATGTGTTTGCAACCTAAAGGGAGGTCAGACTTCACATCACAGACTATCAGGTGCCCATTGACCTGTTCATCCTGTTTACCCCCCTCATCCTGTTTGCCCCACAGTGCAACCCGTTTTTCCCATTCCAGAACGTCATTCGGGTTTCGACGTATTAACACATCGTTCAATAGGAACGGCCTGCGATCCGTCAACTCCTCAAGCTCTTTCATTCGAAGATCCACTTCTTCCATTATTTCCCCGCTGTCATCATCTTCCTCCTCCAAACTTTGCATCATCGCGTTGAGTAGGGATTCTCCAAACTCAACATATGAATCAAAGATTTGCGAGAAATCGCGTATTGTGAGGACACTCTTGATACCCTGCTCGAAGATCTTCTTTGCACGGTCAAACTCGGCTCTTTTGATCCAGTACGTCGCAAGACCAGTCCATAACCTTCCAGCTTGGTCCTTGTACACAGCCAAACCATCTTTCTGGATGATATTTTCAATGTTGAGCCTTCTCGAGCTCGAAGGATCTTCATCAGGATCGTAAGGCTGAGCAGCCGTTCCATCAGCTTTCACCGGAACGGCGGGACCTGCAAACCTTATGAGTTGTCCATCCTTCGATACAGCTTCGGGTTTAAAGATCGCAGCTTCGGCAGCCTCAGATTCCTCCCTCGCTATAGCATCGTTTGATTCGTCAGTTTCGTCGGCATCTAAACCAACCTCCTCCGAATACGCCTCGACAACGTCGATCCAGTCCCCAAGAAGTTGGTACGGACTCTTGCCTTCCGGACTCGTGTACTCTCCTCTTGCAGCTTTTCTGGCCAGAGACAAAAGAAGTTTAGCAGCTTCTAGTGGACGTGGGGCAGAATTTGTCGAGGAAAGCAGAAGGCCCGTAAATCCTTCCGTAATACTAGGATCGACGGAGAGATATCGTTTATAGACAACGACAGTGGTTTCGCCGCCTTTCCGTCCTGCCCATAGTAGGTAGCGAACCCAGATACGGAAGTGGAGGGACGGAGGGAGAGTTCGCAACGCTCGATCGAATGTTCGGCGCGCATGCGTGTGAGATAGTAATGGGGGGCATTTGGGATGAAAGAAAATGGCAAAGTACATGAGCCAGAGACGAGGGAGCTACATAGATGGAAGATTCAGCGGACGTAACAAGTAAAGAAGAAGTCACACCTTTGGTAGCCACATTAAAGCACGCTCAAACGTTGCGACTAAGCTTCTCCATTCCTCCCAGCCCACGACTGGATCCAAGGATTCCTCCCAGTCCTCCAAATCCTCTGTTTCTTCCTCCAGCGCGTCCTTCATTTCAGGTAACTTCTTTTTCCCCCCCGCTCTCTTCTTGATTACGAGTTTACCAAGAACAAAACCCGAGCGCATGTTGAGATAGGATTTCCATAGCTTGAAAGAGTTGGGAAAGTGAACCAAGGCAGCTTCGTACAGGTAGGTCAAGCGTTGCAGAGTTAGCCGCGAAAGAGGGGAAGCGAGTGGACCAAGGATAGCATGAACTTCGTCCGGGAGGGTAGAACTGGGTTCAATTTTCTGTAAAGCAACAAACTCCTCCCTCGTGGAGTTGATAGCAGACCACCATGCACGGAAAGATGTTGGGTTTCGCAAGAGATCCTCTTCTCGCTGTATTTCCTTGGTTGTAATGAGGTCTGAGTGTGATTTTGGGGTCGGAACTGGAAATGTAAGGGGAAAGTGGGATTTCAAGTCCTCCAAGGACGCCCTTTTCAATGCCACTGAAGGCATGGTTGAGATTTGAGGTGCAAGTTGCGGATTCGACGCGGAGTCAAAATTCACACGGTCTACTATCATCTTTCTCTCCCTTGTAAATGGTAAGTTGACTTCTCAGAGCGCTGTGTTCCCCTTATTCACTCCAACGCAAGCACGGTGTCAAACGAATCCGTCAAACTGTCCAGGATCGCGAAGCCAAACGGCAACGTGAACAATCCAAGATCAAGGACTACCTTTCGCTAACGAATGTCATTCTAAGCAGGGTATGACTTTGGAGCCTCCTTTGCATTGTAATTACTTCATCGAGCATGCTTCTCTCATAGAAGAAAAACAAGGATTGGTCTGAGGACGCGTTTAATCTTACCACGCGTATTCTTCAACTGAACCCCGAATTCTACACCACTTGGAATTACCGCCGAAATATCTTCGTCAATGGCCTCTTCAAACAGAAGTAGGTTTGCCTTCACATGGGTCAGGCATACATTAATTTCACCAGTTCACACCAGGGCATTCTGAAAATTCTGTCGGAAGATCTGTCTATGACAATGACTGCCCTGAAAGCTCATCCCAAGGTTTATTGGATTTGGAATCATCGAAGATGGTGTCTCGAGAATATACCAGACGTACCAGAATCCGACACAGATGATAACGCCTGGAAAAAGGAAGCTTGGGATAGGGAGTTATTTGTCGTCGAGAAAATGCTGGATTCAGACCCAAGAAATTGTATGTTTTTGATCTGCAGCCTTCATCATGTTTATTCTTCCACTCTGACTAGTTCACGCGTGGGATTACCGAAGATACATCCTTGCGAACATGCCGATACCTCGACCACCAGCGACCGAACTAGCCTACACCTCACGAAAAATTGAGTCCAACTTTTCAAACTTCAGTGCATGGCACCAGCGATCTAAGGTGTTGTCCTCGCTTTGGGAGAGTGGGGATCTGGATGAAAGCAAGTCGAAAGAAACAGGTAAGCACTCATGAACATTCTTTTGTATGTTACAGATAGCAACATTTGGTGTGCAGAGTTTGAACTTATCCGTAATGCGATGTATACGGACCCAAACGACCAAAGTGTGTGGATGTACCACCGGTGGCTTGTTGGGTCAAGTAAGAGCTGTCTTTTAGTCATTGCGCATCAGTTGATCATGGACAATATAAAGCATGCGATCGGCTTACCCTTGAAAGTGAAATAACTGCCATTCAAGAGTTGCTCGACGAACAGCCTGATAGCAAGTGTACGTGAATGTCATTGTCGTTTATCTAGCGACAACATCAACGTTTTCAACATAGGGTGCATGGAGTCGATCGTCTGCTACAAGCGAATGCTAATAAAGGACCACGCCACTGACGTTGACCTGGCGATGTTGACAAGAGAATGCAACAACATGCTGCAGCAACTTCAAGAATTGGATCCGCTTAGACGTAGGCGATATGAAGACCTTGTAAGTACTTTGTTGAAATGACTTGCGGCCGATCATTCATATTCTTGCAGGAAGAGAGGTGACAGCTTAGTTCTTTCCAGCATCAATTTCTTAAGATACAATGTACAATTAGGAGTAAAATTCCGATCAGCACTTGCATTCACCAGGCTTGCAGGCACAACTGAGCAAAGTACGGATGAGATGAGAACGACAGGAGGGAAACAGTAAGGTCACCTTTCGCCGCAGTTGCAAGAGCTGCTGCCGCAAGTCTGGGAGACGGGTACGTTGATGGTCTAAAGAAGGGTGAGTTTGTAACGATACCAATGAAAGGAGGTACACACAGAAATCATGGTTTACACAAGAGATTATGTTCACCTTGATCTCGGATTGGACCACATAAATAGATAATCAGTATTTGGTGGTATTTGTTTTCGGGAGTTGCCGATAATCCTCGTGTTCTGTGCGTGTTTGACCTCGCTGCTCGTTGCTGTAAGGACTGAAAATTCGGACGACGGCGGGCTCTGTTTCTTTCCACCATCACCCGCCCATCTCTTCCTTTTGTTTTTCTCTTTTGCTGCTAGCACCTCCGCAATGGATAATCGCAGTATACACGAGCTTTTCTCGAGAAGCTCAACGCCTCCAAACCAACAATCTCAACTTACTCAACAGTCACAGCATCAACAGTCGCAGCACCAGCAGTTCCAGCATCTCTCCAACAATTCTTCTCCAAACCTTATTGATTCTCTATTCAATCATATCAGCTCTCCTCCCGATCACCAGGGTCAGCAGTCCGCAACCTTGGATACTCCATCTTCCGACAACTTATCTGTATCTGCCCCCATTACTCCAGTTATGCCCTTGACGGACGAACCTCTAAATCCCTCTACTTCTACAAATACCACAAACGCTGATAGGCAAAGCGCTTTGCTCTCGCTCCTTAGCGGCCCTGGTCCGCGTTCAGCCCCAGTACAGAATTCCCAACAAAGTCAGCAGCTCCAACCAACTCAGCAAACCCAACAACCCCAGCAGCCTCAACAACCTCAACAAGTCCCTACTCCTCCCGGGTCGTCGCAACGTTCCAATGCTTCCCCACCCCACACCGAGAACCAGAAAATCCTGTTGGAGCAACTTATGAGCGGGTAAGTGTTTAAAAAATGATTTTCTCAGCGGTAGCTTTTTATCGAGCTCACGGTATCCCTTTCTTTGCAGCGGACCTCCAAGGTCAAGCTATCCAGAGGCGCAAAGGGGTCCCCAGACAACGGCTGCTCCTTCCCCGCCATATAACAACCAGCGAGAGCAGGGTCATCGTCCGTATGATCAGCACGATCAACCCACCGATATGTCGCCTCGGTCACAAGTCAATCCTCCACCTCACCCCGCTCAGCAACAGCAAGTTCAACCACCATCTCCGCGCAGATCTATGTTTGAGTTTACGTCTCCGTTTGATCATCTCTCGTCAACTACGAGCTCTGTCAAGAAGAAACCCGTTCCTCCGCAGCCTGCTAGCGTTTCAAGCGGGAATGAAGATTCGAGTTCGTGGACAACGGTCACCGACCCCAAGCGCCAGTCTGTCGAAAACCTCCTTGAGAATTTAACCCGTGGCCAACCATCACATTTCCCTGCTGCTGCTGTGCAACCGCAGGCTCCCGCTTACGAGGCGTATCTAAGCGGTGGTGATTTCTCCATAGGTGAACATGTTCAAAGCCGCCCTCCTCTTCCCCCAATTCCAACAAAGCCAGTACCCAATCGCACTGCATCTCCACGTGCATCCCCTCCGAAAAATCAACCTCAGCGTTCGCAGGTCCGATTGACTGACCCTTCTGTATTGCAACAAGGTCCTCCTCAAGCCGCAGTTCAACTTCCCACCAGTCTCAACCGTCGCGAAAAAGAAAGCTCACCAGGGCCAAGGGGCGGTGCCAAGCCGAAAGCATCCGCAACCCAGACCAAATTTTCTAAACCACAGTCAAGTCCCAGGTATATTATCTCCATATTGCTGGAGGTCCACTATCTTACTCCGGATCCGTAGCCCTCAAGTTCAGACCATACTCTTTGATGTTTCCCAGCAGCTCGACGAAATACAAGCGCCTCGCGACTCGGTTAAATCTACCGCTATCGCGCTTGTTAAACAAGATTCGGTCTTTTTGCCTGGAACTACCATTGGAGCGACGCATTGGGTTGCATATGCAATGACGAGAGGTTGCCCTTTTAACTTTCTCCTTTTGAGTTGAGCCTCATCGTTATCTAGGCCGTGTACGAGTAATCTCGAGATCCAGCGGTGATCGCACACTCCTTCAACTTCCCCAAGTCTTCTCTCCATCATCAAGTATCACCGATATGGCAGTCTATGGCAACAGACTCGCTGGAGTAACATCTGATGGAGGTTTTGTTGTGTGGGAGCTGCCGGAGGTCATCACGGACGATGTACCGTAAGCTACATCATCAGTCTGTTTTGCGTCGCTCATCACCCCCCCAGTGGACTCCTTCTGCTTTGTGTTCCTCCGACGAGTGACGTTGATGCACTTCGTGCGGTGAAGTGGCATCCCAAAGAGCCAGATACATTGGCTGTCGCTTCGGACAACAAGATATACGTTATTGATTTAGCCAACACTCTAGCTCTTCATAATCAACCGCTTCCACATGCGGATCTCCATCATATAGGCCAGCTATTCACGGTTTCTTCGGTATGCCATTTGATCGTCCTCTTTGATCACAAAAAGCTAAGCCTTGATACAGCCCGTGGTAGCGTTTGATTTTGACGTTATGCACTACGCGCTCGCTACCATCTCCGAAGATTCTACACTCACGATCTGGAACATGCACGATAGGCTCCCCTACACAACGCATAAAATTCGTGGCGAAGATATTCCCTCATCGATGACGTTCGTTGACGGTGGTCTCATAATTGGTCGCAAGAATGGAACAATTCTCCAACTATTGTCAATTTCTACCAAAACTGTGCTTTCGACGGTCAAGTTCATCAATGGCCAACAAGAAGATAATGATATGTTTGGTCACGTCATTTACGATTCGAGGATCCAGACCCTCTGGGTGGCTAACAGTCGACGTGATAGCATGATCGCTTTCAAAATCAATTTTGAGCCATCCTTCACCTCTGGTGAAGAAGCTGTCCGCGGCTATTTCGAACAGGTCATCGAGTTTGCTGGACCCAAGCCCACGATACATTTTGTTGTTCTCACGGCTGATGCTGATCCAAACGGTGATGAAGCCCACGCGGCATGCGTGGCAGCGAAAGTTCCTTCTGGTGATTTGGCGTTGGTGGCGTTTTCAGTCCACTCCACCGGTGTAGATCAGATATTAATCCGCAAGGAATGGTTCGACAACGCACTCATGTCCACCAGCGCCAAGTTCCCTCATTTCCAACTGCCGCAGAGTTCTCCCCCTATTCAAGATCCTAAACCTCAACGAGTCATTCCTCAAGTATCATCGAATGCTCCCCCACCACCAGCACCTATTCCCGCATTCGTTCCTCGTTCGCGAACGCCCCCGTCGGAGGACATAGAGAATGATCCCAATCGTGACGATAGCCGCTTCCCTGAGTCCAAAGCGAAGGGCGCCAAAGGCAAGAATGTCAACTGGAAGGAAGGCGGGGAAAATCTCAAAGACAAAGAGAAAGGTGTCAAAATCTCAGATGCTACTTTGATTGGCGAGTCATCGTTGGGGCAAGCTCTCACCCGAGAATTTCGAAAGACCGAAGAAAATCTGCACACTCGCATCGGTCGCCTCATTGGCAAAGAAATGGACAAACAACGTTTGTAGTGTTTCTTTTTCTAAAAGAAACCGAGCTGATATGCGTCTTTGTAGATCAAAGGTTGGAGGATGCTCGTGCACACGAACAAGCCGAAGATTTTGCACGTCAGGAGAAGATTTTGAAACTCATCTCGACGGAGCTCACGAGGAATACAACGCGCGTCGTAGAACTGGCGGTTAAAAGCGAAGTTCAAAACTCCGTTCTTCCATCCCTTGAGAACATCACCAAGAATGAGGTCAAGGCTGCCTTGAATGACCAAATCGGTCGAGGGTTGATCGATTTTGTCGGCCAGGTAATTTGTAGAGACATTGTCTACCGCCGCCTTTGCTGATTATAATGTTCATCAGAGTCTTCCTCATGAAATGGAGAAGCTTCTCATCCGTCCTGATATTTCAAATCACTTTGCTCATGTCCTGTCAACGAATCTCACCCCGATGATCGAGCGGCATGTCAAGGAGGCGGTAACGAAAACGTTTATCCCAGTATACACTCAGCAGTCGTCCACAATGCACCAAGAGATTCTCAGGGAGCTGCGCAACGAAATTCATAGCGTTAAAACAGAGCTCACTGCTTGGCAAAACGAAGCATTCCGCAGTCATGAGGTGATAGATCTCCATGTCAAATAAAACTCCTGCTTATCCCTTTCATGCAGACCTCTATTCGGGAATTGGAACATACTGTCAGGACACTATCTGATCAAGTCAAATTCCTGTCGATGAATCCTCCCGCGCCCCATCATCATTTGCAGCAAACCCAACCGTCCCAGAGCTCCCCCGGCGCTACTGTGCCGCAACTGCAGGGAAGCATCAATCAGTCTCATGTTCGCCAACAGAATTTGCCACCTGTTCCTCCAGCCCCTGCGAGCTACACGCACCCCAGCCACGCCAATTTCCAACATCCAACGCAACCTATGCATGCACCCTGGTATGGGACAAGCATTGCAGCCCCTCAAGCATCTCATCCTGCCACCATTCCTCAACCGCCACCACCGACCCAAACTCAAGCCGAACGCACTCCACCTATCAAACCCGAGCAATGGGATGAAATATACCTCGGGGTGCTGCATACTCAAGACGCATCAAAACTGCGTGACCTCCTTTCGCACACAAACCCCGAAGTCATCATGCCACTCAACGGAGTAAGCCTTGTCTCGCAAGCCGTGATATTGACGCTTGTCCATCGTGTATGTGATTTGCCCAGTTATATGTGCTTATCTTGACTCCCCCGTTAGTTGTCCGCTGTCGTGGGTGAGACACCTCCAAACGACGAGACTTTCAAGACGTCCTTGTGGTGGTTGCAACGCTCAGTTTCTCTGCTTCGCCCTGAGGTTAGCAGTTATTTGATTTTGCAGCAGAGTAGCGCTTACGACATCCATACAGGATAAATTGATCACCGACTTCATCCCCAGGGTGATTCCGAACGTTCAGCATCTTCTCAATACCACAAAACAACGACTGACCATCTTGCCCGGTGGTCCTTCGACGCTTGAGACGGCAAGGACACTGTCCGATATCCAGGAGACTCTTCGTCGCAAGGTTTCGCCAGTTTGATGGGAGATGATCTATGACTGTTCGACGATAATAATTTTTTTTGCAAATGTCCCTTCTTTTTTGGTCATGTATGTCGTCTATGCGTTTAACTTTCTATGATACATGTCTGCGGAAAGGTGTTGGTCAAGACTTTCTCAAAGTTCTTTTACGTAATGAGAGCGCCAAATTGTGATTGGTCAACAACGCTCATTGGACGGTCACCTTCCCCGTTCGGTTAAGCACGTGCATAGCGGCTGCTGGGTCGCCAAGTTTACGACCTTTGAATTCAACTCAAAACACAGCATCCTCGACGCCTCCATGCCTAGCGGTTGGTTTAACCTTGAGACCGCTGGTGGCGCCATACCAGAGACGCAGTTCTTCGAAGGCGACTCTGCGTTCAAGTTTCTCGGCTTATCAAGAACAACAAGGTTGTATGGCTTTATTGGATGGTACGTCAGTTAGCAGCTACCGGCGAGAGACATGTACTAACGTTGCTCATTCACGCCCCTACAGCCTTGCAGTCGGTTTCCTGTTAAGCATACTAGGAAGTATTGTCCTCTTTGTCGGTCAGCTGGGTCTTTTCGCAGGTACGCGCACCTCTAGCGTAACTCTTTTGTTGAATACTGACCTCCGTACAGTACTCTACGTGTTGGGCACCATTGTTTCCCTCATAGGAACCGGATTTCTCATTGGCGTAAGTCTGAAATGTTTTGCCCAAATCGCTTGAAGAAATAACCACAACACGTTTAGTTCTTGAAACAACTAAAACTTGTGAGAGCCGTCTTCCAATTAATTTTGTCTCTGACTTTTGATGTAGATGTTCAAACCTGTTCGCGTCGTCGCGTCTATAGTCTTCCTTGCATCAATAGGTCTCGTCTTTGTCGGAGCTTTTGTGCTGAAAAACGAAGTACATCCGTCCAAGCGAACCAATGAACGCCGTTTGCTGACTTTTTTTTTAACACCTTCAGATTTTATGCTTAAGTGAGGCCTATCTTCCATTTTTTTTGAAGAAAAGTTCTCACATTTTCTTCCAGTTTTTGTCTTTATCGAATACCTGGCTTATATTTGGTATACACTGTCGTACATCCCTTACGCGCGTGCCGCAGTCACGAAGGCCGTCGGGTTGGGCTAAGGGTTAGACTTCGCCAATGTGAGCCCTGCAAGCTTCACGAGAAGGATCTTCAACTAATGCGTCCATAGACAACGCGCTCGCCGTGACGACTAAGGAAACAAATATAATACCGCGGAGCTCTCGCTACAATTCTGAGGGCCTGAAGTTCATCTAGGTTGAGTGTTTATAGAGCTGTCACCAAGCAGGAAACGGAACTAATTACCCTCTGTAATTATTCTTTTGCTTTCTCAACGAGTCCATAATTTCACTCTCGGAAGTATGACCTGATGCAGATGTTGCTTGCCTGTTGACATTGAGGATTGGTTTGCCACAATTTGGGGGACCACTTGCCTCACGGCTTCGCTGTTGAGGCGCATGAACACGTTCCACGTCTTCTCGTCACCGATGGTCGTCAAGCCAGTGGTGATCTCATTCTCTTTCACTAAACCAGCCAATTTGTCCAACCCAACATTGTGAGGGTCGACATGTTTGCCAAACGAAAGATTGCCAGCTGTGTACTCATGCCCATTGTAAACAACGGTTTCATCTGGGAGGCTGGTGAGGTAATTCAACGCTTTGATCATCTCACCACCAGTACCCTCGAAGAAACGCCCACATCCTGCGATGAAAAGTGTATCCCCCGTAAAGACCCCACCAGGATGCGTTTTGTTTAAAGCATCAGTCACATAATAGCATATGGAGTCTTGAGTGTGGCAGGGGGTAGAGAGGCATCTGGGATCTTTGAGTATGGCAAGTTGCAAGGGCTAAATTAAAGATATTCACTTGACGAGGATATTGTCTCCGATTTTGAATTCATCCTTATCTTTCACAAGGTTCGTTAAAGAGGGAATTTCGTCGCTGCCTCCATAGATTACGGCGTTGCGGTAACGTGTCGACTACATTAAGAATGAGAAGGGGTAAGCGGTGAACGGCATAAAACCTACAAAGTCCTAAGCAGCTGGTTTGTGAGTAATTTGCACGGTGCCATGAAAAGAAAGGTACCTTATTCCCTCCACTATGGTCTAAATGGTGGTGTGTGGTTATCGCCGCGACAATCTCAACTCCAAGGGCGTCTGCCGCTGCAGATACCTTACCAACGTCATATGGATCGATAGCAGCTGCCTTGTTTGAAGGTTCGTCTATGAGGAGATACGCATAATTGTCCTGGAGAACGGGAACGGGAACAACTTTCATGACAGTTGAGAGTTGTCTGGAGATTCGTTGAAGGGGAAACCGTGACATGATGACAACTTTACTCCGCTCCCACTCCTTCACAGCTAATTGTCAGCTCAACTCTTTCTAACTTGAGTATTAATTTATTCAGGATGCCTCCATCGGCCACCCCTTTACGCCGGTACATAATATTATCCTTTTTCTATCTTAGTGTATATCGTATATCTTTGCACAAAATGTCTATGTATGTATTCAATCTTTGAGAATCGCTTCAACAACATTTGCGACTCTCAACTGCCTTAAATCGGTATAAGTCTGGCCGCTTGTGTGAGATAATGCATAGGGACCGATTGCTGGAACATACCTGGCCGCAACCCACAAAGATGATGGGTTGTCCCGTAACATAAGTCATTGACAGGGCTGCGCCCACCTGAAGAGAGATATTCAGCCGTCGGTCCGTAAAATAATGCAAGAACGGCTCGCCTTGTCATCAACGGTGTCCCATTTAGTCACTAGCATCCCATCTATACCACGACTTCTGCCGGATACAGATGAAAAGTCACGTAGAGCACGATCAAATTTAGTGAGCTGGTCAACAGCTTCATTGCCAACCAAAGCTTCGCCGACAAATATGATCTTGTCTGGGTTATTCACTGCAACAAGCTGCAACGAAAGTTAACTCCCTGAATCAATGATCCACACCAGTTGACAGAACACACACCTTAGCAAGCGCACGCATGAGAGGCTAATAGGAGTAATTTCAACAACTCCCCGATTGATATGATAAAGAGCATCATACCTCATTATCCTGCATTCTACCGGCGGTATCAATGAGGACAACATCAAAGTCATTTTCTTGGGCTGTTCAAGACCGACTTAGATCTGGGAAAAGATGGAAGCAAGGGTCCGACGAACCGTAACCAATGGCTTCCCTTGCTATGCCAGCAGCATCTTTACCATACCCACGCTCGAAGAGCTCCACTCGACTTTTGCTGTTCGTAGCGCCATCGACACCAAGCATGCTCAAATTCCGGACATGAACACGAAGTTGCTCAACAGCTCCGCTCCTGAAAGGAACCTCCCTTTAAGGAATTGCCGCCAGAGAAAAAAAAGCAGAAGCATACCTAAATGTGTCGCATGCAGCAATTAAAACCCGCAAACCATTCTGAATTAGCCAAAAGCAGACTTTTGACAGGTTTGTACTCTTTCCGACACCGTTAACACCAACAAAAGTGATGCTATAGGGAACGCGGCGTTGCGTAGACGGCAGCGGCGAAGATAACTTGTTTCTGATCGATAACAAAAGGTCTGTCGATGTCTTTGGTGTCAATATTCTCGTCAAAGATGTCGACAACGCCAGATGTACTGCGGCGCTAGTAGCTGGGCGTCCTTGTCAGTCAAATAGCGGGGGGAGGAAAGTGCACGGGATCCTACTTTGAAAGCCCCCAACCTTTCTGCCCACTAAATTTTCCCCCACATTTTCGCACACCTTGTCCGCGATTTCCATTGCCACGTTCTTCTTCATGAGATGTTGCTTCATCCCTTCCAGCACAGGCTTAAGATCAGCCTCCGTGAGGACTTTCGAGCCAGTTAGACGAGCGAACAGGGATCCTAAAGGTCCCAGGGAGCTGGCGGAGCTCGACGCGTTGCGGTCAAGTGGCTTGAGCGCACCCGCAAGCAAATTATCTGTCCGTTTGTCTTTTCCTTGTGAGAACTCCCAATCTTTCACTTCATAAAGACCATCACGAGTTCGCGTTCCCAAGGACGCCTGATCGACTAGGGATTGTAAATCATGCGAGCCAAGATCGCTGGTAGCAGCATCAGGTTTATCGATGCTAAAATCTAGGGAGGCCATATCGGACTCCGTGGGCGCCGTATCGCCCCATTTTCTCTGAGTTTTAGCTTTTTTGCTTTTCGTTGGAGTTTCGGAGCTGTATAAAGGTGTCAAAGAAAGAGAAGGAATATAACGACGTAAGAGACGTACTCAGAATTTGGGTGACTCTCCTTCTCACTGGCCCCAGCACGCCCTCCCCTTCCCCCGCGGCGGCCTCCACGACCACGTAGCCTGTTTTTGAGAGCCTGGACATTTCTCGCTATTTGCTGTTCATCCTGAGATGCGTCCACGGCAATTGTAGGGGCTTGCGAGATAAGCCGAAATTCAACGATAAAAGAAATCAGCAATACATACTGGTGCTCTGATCATCAGATGGGGGAGTGCCTAGCTCCTCAATCGCCGGTCGGGTTGTTGGTCTCAACCGCGACTTTCGGTCCTTTGAGTGTTTTTAAGCAGGTTATGAAAAGCAGACTCGGATGAACACACCAATGCAGCCTTTTCCTCAAATCCTCGCAAAAGCTTGTCGAACGCCCTATCCCAGCCATCAAATGCTTTCCCAAAGTCCCATAAAGTGACTTGTAAGGCGTTATTCTTGACGGCATTCATAGCATGAATGGATGCAACGAAGGCAGCGATAAAAGGTTCGAAACATTTCACGAAGAGCGCTTTCAAAGCAGTTAGTAAGTCGTCCACATAGGTGAGCTGTAAAATTCGCTGGTATGCCACCTGTAGCAGCGGTATGTGTGAATAGAGCATTGACAACTACCACTGTTTTGCGTACCACAAAAATCAATTCCAGGTCATTGACAAATGTCCATTTAACAGCGTATCCATCTTTCTCATATTTTTCGTCTGCGGTTCGACCTTCAATCAGTGCTTCGCGTATGAGGGAGTTAACTGGGGATGCTGTAGAGGTTGCAAGCTGGGCAGCTTCTGGCGTGAACGAACGCGACCATAGAACGATGCCGCCTGAGGACGTCGTCAGCGAGGAGGAAGAAGCTGAATAGACGGCATGCCTTTATGAGAGATTGAGCAGTGGTCGAGCATGAAGCAATGTCCAAGTAATTATGTGGAAGTAAACGTTGTCGGTGCTACTTATGAACTGCCAAGTATTCGATCAGCCGAAATGACATCGCACACTTTCACAAACACCAAAGACACTTTTTTTAACTTAAGTATTGATCAAATTGCTCTGATAATGTACACTGAACCAGCATTCTCTCATGTCACCTCCTCCTGCTGGCTTTCGGGGGCATAGTGTTCCTCCAACCACCGGCGGACCTCTTTTTTGGTCAACATTCGTGCAAGCCTATTGTTTTCCCCAGGAGTTCGTTGTCGGTATAACCGCATGATAAACCCACAAACACTCCATACATCTTCCCAGTCAGCATCAAATAACTCCCACCAGCATGTGGGTGGCGTTGACGGGAGAGAAATATTTAGATGTCGGATGGTGAGGAGGATGGCTGCGCTGACGATTGTTGGTATTTGGTATAGGGCGTACACGGGGGTCTGCAGACTATCACGACCAGGTTAGATAATGAGTTGAGAAAAATCATATCAGGACAAACGCGTCGTTTAAATACCCCCACGCGCGAGTGGAAGCGTCTTGATGACTTGTTAAACCCAAGACTCTGAGATAGTTGATTAAGGTGCCATAGGGCAGCACGACGTGGACGTTAAACCCTAGTCGCTTCAATATCTGCATTTCTGAAACAACTAGCGCATCCTTGAGGTCATAGAACGTTGATCCGAAGTACGACATAGGGTAATAATGGAAGGGTTGGTCGGATTTGGGACCCACAGAGTGAGTGGCGCGTTGAAGAAGTAAATCATAAACGTTGATCAGATCACGCATTCGAAGCGGGCATTCTTCTAATTTTGACGCGAGGTATAGGGCCCCCATACCGATGTCCTGTGAGAGTGTTAGTACAAAAACAGGCGAAGCGGAATATGGGAAGCTGACCCCGACCCCAAATTGCTTCATTGACGTTACAAACCAAAATCTTTGAAATAATATTTGCGCTGCCGCTACAGCCACCTGCTTCCTTTTCTCGAGGCGGGGTGAGATGTGTCATTTGTGCAAGACACCGAGATACTCACTGTTTTAGCAGAATGCCAGCTTGGTGGATGAGCTTGCACGCATAAGCTCTCAAGTCCTCCTCCAGCTCCTGTGGTAGTCCATCCTCTCCCGACGGTGACTTTTCAATTTGAGATAGGGAGGCGAGGGGATAAAATGTCGAACTCATGTTGAACCCAAAATGATCGTGGATATTGAGGTGAGAGTATTTGCGTTTGTTAGAATCCCAGGCCAACACTCTCTGCTCATTAACTTCATGGCAAACCTTCCTCCGAGACCAGAGTCACCTCCGCGAGGTCGTGATGACAGACGATTGGAGAGCGACAGATATTCTGCTCGCAATACAATTTCTCCATCACGACCGCGCGAAACAGTCTCCTCAAGAGACCGCAGCTACGTACCACCACGCGACTTTGACACATATCGACCACCGCCGTTCGATAACAGAAGGGATGATGGATTTCGTAGGAACGAACCAGTACGCATATCAGACTATGATTCGCGATTCGATAGAGAAAGGCAACCTTGGGGTCGGAATGAACGAGATCGTCCTCGGTATTCGAGACCAGGCGCGGATTATGATAGAGACCGCCGACCATACGACATGGACAGAGACTACGATAGGAGAAGAGGTGAGTAGCAACTTTGGGGTTGCCTATCACCATTCTTTTTTTCTAAATTCCGACGACATATTGCTGAGGCTCACCCCGTCGCCGCTCTCGCTCACCACCAAGGCGACGTTCCTCTCCACCACCACACTACAGAGACAGACGCTCGCGTAGTCCTTACCGGTCATCTTCTCCAAGAAAGCCATTAAAACTTGGAAATCACTCGATAGCCGTCAGCCCTCTACCGCATTCGCCATATGATCGTGGCACACAACGCCGCGGCAGATATACCCCTCAGTCTCGCGAGGGCTCCCCTTCACCCTCTCGTGCTGCTGCTGCGCCAGTGAGGCCTGATTCAAATCCCGCACCAATCTCACGGCCTCCTGAGTCCGAATCAATTCGCCCAAAATTTGAACCCAGTGCAGATACACTTGAGACGAAGAGCCAACCTGTCGAACCCATTTCTGAGTCACAGCCTATTTCTCATCCCCCTCCTCCGAGTGAACGTCACGGCCAGGCTGCGAGCAATGCTAAAGTGGAACCAAAGTCTGAACAACTCGATGTACAACCACTAGAGATGAAATGTGAATCCCCTCGGGTAACTGATGAACCAACATCAGGCTCAAAACGCGAACCTTCGCCCTCGCCACTCCGACAAAGGTTCATAAATAACTCGACCATGCGTGGTGGGCAACCACGAAGATGGCCGTCGCGATCCCCTCCCAGAGGTCCTCGAATTCATCCTAAAAATGCCAATTTTCACCCTCCAAGTTCACACCCCTCTAGTACGCATCCACCCCATCCACACCCTACACCTACTTCACACTATCCAACGGGTCCCCGAATGGGTCGACGTATCTATCCACCCAACACGTCGGCACCTCCAACAAAACTTTCCCCCCAGCCCGCCATCAAGGCAGCTTCCCCTTTGGTGCACAATGAAATAAAATTACCCATCATTCCAACCTACGAACCAAAGCCATCGCTTACTGCTGATCTTGAACAGGAGGTGCCTACTTTTTATTCTCCGCCTTCGCCAAGTGTCTGACAACTATCTAGCTTGCACGTCTCCAAGCTCATCGGGCACATATTGGGTCTGACTATCTACAGCATGAGAAAGGCGCTCGCCGAGCTCTTCACGAATTGGATATGGCAACTGTCGACCTTCGTGCAGCCGAAGGTCGCCGAAAGATTGCCGACATGCAATTAGAGAAGGCAAAGACAGGCTCCCTTGGCATCGATGGACAACCTATTGAGACTCCTGTTGTTTAGCAAGGTTCTGGGAGAGTTACATGGAGTGTGTCGTTTTACATCAGTTCTTGGCGATATCAATCTATTCTAGTAGTCGTTTGCATCCTATGTTGTGCGAGAGACGTGTTGAATTCAAGGTCAAATTTAAAGTTCCAGAATGATGTCTTTCGTGCACTTTCCGTACGAAACGGAGGGCATTACTTGCATCGCTTACAACTGAGGCTCATTGAAATGCAGTGACATGAAACCATAGAAAGCTCCAAGTAGCCTACCTTGTAGAAAAGAATGGCACAAACGTATTGTTCGACTCCACATCTGACGATGAGCCTGATGAAGGCGTGCGTACAAGGTGATGTATATCTAATGTATATCGAAGAGAACAAATACAGGTTGCTTTATGTTGAAATAGATTCTCTGTTTATAAACATTGTTGAAAATGCCATCCAAGTGATAGTATCTAGTCCTGATCCCTTGGAGCGATAACTTTTTACCATCCGCGCTTTGCAAGATGGCCGCCTTTAAGATCAGCGTCACTGATGGGCGAGGATTAAGAGTTGATTTACCACCAGTGGTTCGAGCACTTACATCGTTAATCCCACCATCGCCGCTCCGAGGTTTTCAGACACCTATGACTTTATGTAAGGCGAACAAGCGCAAACCAAAAACGAATCTGTTTACCTCGGCCAAAATCTTGGGGTTGTTATAGTGCGTCACCTGAGCAGGTTGAGCTTTTCATTAAAAACTTTGGGAGTAAGCACTTACAGCTTGCACGATAGCGCGTGCACGCTTTGCAGGGTCGCCGGACTAGAGATAATTGTCAAGAGAAGATGAAAGCCAAGAGATTTCGCCACTCACATGGAAGATGCCAGAACCAACGAAGACTGGTGACTTTTGTGAGCAGGGTTCTATCCAAAAGGCGGACATGGAAGCTTACCTCCGTCACATCCCAATTGCATCATTAAGGCTGCATCAGCTAGTATGAAAGTAGATGTCACGCCCTATCAGATGATTTAGCACGATTAGCTTACCGGGCGTCGCGAGGCCTCCGGCGGCGAAGTTAACGACGGGCAGTCTTTTTAGTCTTGCAGTCTCTTTGAGAAGATGGAATGGGGCTTGGATTTCTTTGGCAAAGACATATAACTCCTCCTCATTCATCACACTTGCGCGCCGTATTTGACTCATGACCGCCCGTTGGTGACGGACTGCCTCGACCACATTTCCGGTACCAGCTTCGCCCTTGGTACGAATCATCGCTGCACCTTCGGAAATTCGACGAAGCGCTTCGCCGAGATCGCGAGCACCACATACGAATGGCACCTTGAACCCATGCTTATTGATATGATGTTCGTCGTCCGCGGGAGTCAGAACCTCCGATTCATCAATGTAGTCCACCCCGATGACTTGGAGGATCTGCAATGAAAATTTAATTCGGATCTCATAGATTACTACTCAGGCAAGAGGTAGTTTACCTGTGCTTCAACGAAATGTCCTATACGGACCTTAGCCATGACTGGGATCGTCACGGCATCCACGATTTCCTTGATCATTTGCGGGTCGCTCTGAAGCAGCGGATATATCTTCGGTTTTTCTCAAAATAAATTCACAAACCATTCGGGCAACTCCACCTGTAGATAAAGATATGATAAATGACAGGCTGAATGTCAGTGATGATCCGCACCTTCCGCTCTGATGTCGGCAGGTACTCTTTCGAGAGCCATGACCGCGCACGCGCCAGCCTCTTCCGCAATCCGAGCCTACCAGTAAACAGATTCAAAGAGGTTTGATCCAAGTTAGTAAAGAAGCCAACCTGTTCCGCATTAACGACATCCATGATGACTCCGCCCTTGATCAAAGACGTAAATCAACAGATTAGATATGAGAAAAGCCCAGCGCCCACCTTGAGCATTTGCGCCAAACCAGACTTGACCTATAGACGGCATAAGGAAGCGAAGTGATAGGACGAAAGGATCTTACTCCAAAGGTGCCTAGACTACCACCTCCGTCTCTCTGGCCTGAGCGCGCTGGTGCGGTTGAAGGCACAGCGCCGCCTCCAGCGCCTTGGGGAAGAGGAGGAGTTTGTACAGATGGAGTCACGGCGGGGGTCGTCATTGAGGGCGAAGGCAAGAAGAAAATGAACAGAAAGATATCTGAAAAAATCTTGCTATTGCGGATGCCCGTTTGTAAACCTAACCTTAGGACATGACTTTGGGAACGATTTTATTCACCATCTGTCTAAAATCCCTTCCCCATTAGCCATTCTACAACTTGATTCTTCCACCGACCCCCAGATATAACCAGGTTTCTCGACCGCGTAATCTCGATTTTTAGTTTCGAGGCTTCCCGAGATCCATTCTCGAACAATGAGTCGGCCAGATCTTTTGCCAAGAGCTATGCACAAGTTTTCGAGTGATCAGTAACAACACTGGAACTTCGCCATTGCTTGACTTACGTCGGCTTTGCCATCCACGTTGCGTATCGTGACAAGGAAGCGTGTGCCACCGTTCCGAATATCTGTATAGACGGGAAGGTTACCGTTGGTGTTGCGTGGTATGAAATATGGGTATTGGACAGGTTGAGCCAAAGTCGCTTGGGTTAACGACCTAACGTATCGTGGCAAGGACTGCGACGGTAGAGCGTTGCGCAAGTGGCTGAGCATTGTCAATGCAACGTCAGAGAGAGGTATACGTTCAAGCCAACGCTTAACGACGCCAAACACCGAAAATCAAAACACATACATAACCACTCCCTCAATAATAAAATTGACATCCTTGACAAGGGAAACTAAAGAAACATGTAGATTGAAGGCGGAAAAGTCCACAAAAGTAGCAAGTGGTGTATACGTGGAGGCAATATATGTAAAGACACTTCCGTCGGTCATGCTCTCAAACCGATAATGAAGGATAAAGCTAGAGACACTGACGTGCCGAACCAATTAGCAGCAGCTTCCCGACTGCTGGGATTGAACGGTCTGTCCGGGTGTCACAGTCGAGGATTTAGCAGCTCCCGATGGCGTTGAGCTAGACCCCATTCTGAGAGAAAAAAGGATATTACTCAGTGACTTGGCACTTGCCAAAAAAAAAAACACGTACCGATCTTTAATCTGCTTGGCCATCGTCAGGAAAGCTTGCTCGACATTCGTTGCATTCTTGGCGGACGTCTCGAGGAATGGGATATTTAATTGGTCGGCGAATTCCTAGCAAAGATATTAGTGACCTCGGCGTGATGACTTGAAAGTGGCAAAGAACCTTTGCAACACTGTATTCTACAACTTTCTTGCTCGTGAGATCCGATTTGTTACCAACGAGCAGCTTGTTGACACCCTCTGATGCATATCTGTCAATTTCTTGGAGCCATTGTTTCACGTGTGTGAAACTCTCTACGAAACCACTTCAACTTTAGACCTCCCGAAATGGTGCAAATGAAAGGCGTACCATTGTCAGTAACGTCATAAACGACAATGATGCCATGCGCCCCACGATAGTAAGACGAAGTGATGGTACGGAACCGCTCCTGTCCTACAAGAGGCATAAGTTTTGGCCAACAACAGCAACGACTTTCTTACCTGCTGTATCCCACTACAAGACACAAAAAAGTACAGTTAGTAACCACGGTGGATTCAGAAAAGGATAGGGATGGGGAGCAGCATAGGTGGCCAAAGCGATTACTGACAATTTGAAGCTTCACTGTCTTGCCCTCCAACTCAATTGTACGAATCTTGAAGTCAACGCCAATGGTACTAATATAGCTCTCGGTGTATGTATCGTCTGCGAAACGCAGAAGCAGGCAGGACTGCGAACAAGACAAAACTCGTCACGGTAGAGCTGGTACAACTGGGAACTGGACTGACCTTGCCGACACCAGAGTCACCGATGAGGAGGAGCTTGAAAAGAAAGTCGTATTCGCTTGTATGCATTGTAAGGAGTAGAGAGTCTGAGGATAAAGTTAAATGACTTGTGCAGAAGTGTGTAGGGAACAGCAACTTGGCAGACAGAGAGAGGCTGCGTCAACACTGCTTATGTGCACGTGGCAATTTTATTTTACATATTTATTATTACATAGCCTACTCAAGGTTTGACATTGACATAACTGGGCTGATAGCCCGCTTGATGAGGTGAACTCGTGGACGCCTGAGGACCACCCAAGGGACCACCATTGCCACGACTGCGCATTTTAAATAACTAAGTGGTGCAAGAAATAGGCAAGCTGACCTCGTGTTCGGAGCACTCCACTGGCAGATGGTGCACATCCAGACGTGCTTGCTTGAGAATGGAACCAGAGGTATGAAAAATAGCTCAAACCAAGTAGTGGTTTTCGCAGAAATAACGGAGGCTGCGAAACGTTCGTGTGAGCTGAAGTACAGGCTTGTTATAGCTGCGTACCGTTGTGACAACGAGGGCATTGCCATAACCCTTGTTCACCCTCAGGCTTCACTTTTGTCTGACAGCCGACTGGTAGAAGCCATTAAAACATCATTCAATTCGTAGTCAATGACACCTTACAGAGTATGGGAAGGCAAACTGTTCGCAATCGGGTCAGATTGGATACTACAAAAAAATCACAACTTACTGAACATCTTCAGGCTCCAAAGGTTTGGAAACTCGACGTTCAATAGCTCTGTGTCGCAGTACGAGAGAGCGTTGTGAAAGCGCCAACTACGCAGCACTTGCCACACTTTAAATCATTTGATCGACTTATTGGGGTCGTGACATCTTCACAAATTATGGGAGTGAACTCTGGAGTGAATTCGAAAATTCAGTAACGAAGAGGATCTTCAAAGGGCACATTGGTGGAATTGCCGCGGGAAAACACTCCCCTGTATGTCCAGTAATAAGTATTGAACTTTCTAAGCATGGGGTGCAAAGCACGCCAAAATTGCGCCAAAAACTGGCCAAAAGAATTCGAGAATTGGAACGAGCCACGTTTTGATTAGACTGAAGTAGGAAGTATGCAGGATTATTTAATGCAATACAAGTGGGGTTGTACTTAAATGAGGAGAATCTTGAAGGCAGCATGGTATAAGAGATTTCGGTATAGGCATTTTGTCAGGAGAAAAAATGCAATGTAAGAAGATGTTGTTTAACTCATAAAAACATGGAATCAGTTCCAGGGGGTGAAGACAATTAATGATAGGGTCCACTGCCACAGTCATCGCCAAACTGCGGGCAAGAATTAAAGTCGGGATGGATTGAGGCCGGCGGAAAAACATTCGAGTTGATGAAGCTCGACGGTTCTGTGACCCCGAGATGATGAGAGTCGGGTGTGGGGCCGCGATGATTGAAGTTCGGAAGATTGGTGAAAGGAGCGGGCTCTCCGACCATGGGACCGGTGAGCGGTGCATGGAAGCTAAACTGATCCATATCATTGTAAAATGCGTCATCCGGTTGAAGTTTGTACGTCCCTAAGCTTGGGAACGCTGACGACTCATCCCTGGCGCTGAAGCTTGTGCCAGCGCTAGTAGCGATTGAAGTCCCGGTTCCAGGAGGTGTGTAGTGGGGCCATCCGTTCGCTCCACGGCCATCCACGCTACAAGCCGTGGTCGGAGCTGATTCCACCCGTCGCTGAGCCGCAAAATGATCCAGTGACGGAAGCGTTGGTCGATCAGTGCAGGTGAAAAGTGCGGACATAGTCTGAGGCCGCGAAGGTAAATCAATGTGCTGGGGGTTATGACTGAACGACGAAAGCGTTGGTCGATCAGTGTGGGTAGAAAGTCCAGACATAGTCTGAGGTCGCGGGGGCAAATCAATGTGCTGGGAGTTAGATGCTGCAGAGGGATGGAGGTAGCCACGACGGGAGTCGCAGCCCAAGTTGCGGTGACCCGATGATTGGGCTTGCCTACCATCTTGCTTGTTTTCCCACATCATACGGATAGTTTCCTCTCGCTCCTCGCTCTTGGAAAAAGCCCAGCGCATACGGGACAGAGCCGTAAGACAGATTGAAACGGCCTCTTCCGACGTCATGTCGGAGATGGGTCCGTCAATTTCTTTCCTGTGCTCTCGGTCGTCAACGTCCAAAAATCCTCCTGGGTGGGAGACGGCTAGGTAGGCAGCGAAAAAACAGCCATCTCTAACGAGTCCAGTGTCCCAGGAGAAAAGTCCGCACTCTCCTTGTTCTCGTTCGTGCGATGTGTGATGATGAATAATGCGGACAACAGACGGAAGTAAAGTCATACATTTCCGAGTCGCGGTTGCGTGCAAGTAATGTGGCGATAGGTACGGAGACAGGTTGGAGGAATGAGAGGAAGGGCGGGAATGAGAATCCATCTCTTGAGGAATGGTCGACATGTATTGCTTCAATGATTCCCGAATAACATTGTCTAGTGGATGGAATGATTAATATCCTCCCAATTCTTTCTACGAGCAGAGCAAACTCACGGCATTCAAAAATGAAGATCTAAAATACATTCATGTCAATGAATGAATGACGAGGCGAGAAGTTAGCTCCCTTACCTGCCAACCACTAGCATACTGATCCTTGTGCACAATATCGTAGTCGCTGAATTGACTGCCCCTTCGAATTGCTTCAAACTCGCGCCAACAGTGATCCAGGTCCCTCCAAATCTCGTGCATTCCTTGAGCATCAATTAGACCGTGTTCTTCAGCCCGGCGGGCTGCCTTTATGCCAGTGAGAGCCATATGAATGCGCCTACAGATATCGCTGAGATGAAGGGGCATCGACGAGCCGTTCATGAGCCGTATATATGACCTCGGGGAAGGATGACTGAATTCATGGGATGAGAGGAGGTGGTATGTCGACATGACATCTCCATCCGACGGTGAATTTGGCGTATGCACACTTGAATTCAGGGATGGTAAGGTTCGCTGAAAGCATTCGAGGTCCTCGTTATTTCTAAATGATAGCGTTAGTTATGGAGCGTTCTGAAAGACAAGATACACCTACAGAACGAAGCGTCCGCCTCGCATGCCAGTTAAAAGACCTTCTTGAGTATACGCATACCAGAAAATCCTCGCCCGTACTGCGGCTTCATCGAAGACGCTTGAAGAGGTCTGGTTGGAGGACGATGGTGGTGATAGTGTACAAATTGCTTGAACCTGTGAGAGCGTCGCCTCATAAATTGCGAGTCGCTCGAGAGGCAGTGCATCTGAAATGATTGACTTTGAACATCCAACGTCGATGGGTTAGGATGAGATATATTTACCTTCCATTAAAGGCAGCAATAGCAGAAGAACGCGAACGCCGTCCAGTGTGGGTCTTCTCAAGACTCCATGAAAATCGATAAGCTCTAAAACTTCTCGAAGCATTGCTTCGGTCCTCTCTTTCCACTTCCGTTGGGGAAGTGAGAAAGAAACATTCTTGGCTCTTGCAGTTGATATGTCCTCATGTTGGTTTCCGTTGGAAGGATCTGATGATGTGGAGACCAAGTCGTGTTCTCTGTCATTATTCTCGGGAAGGCCACGCTCGTTCAAACCAAAAGACGCAGCCCACACCACAAGGAGCATAGCAATCAATCCGCCTTCCGTACCAAGAGGCTGAGTTCCTCTGGTATGTGCGAGGAATCTCGCCGAAAACCCAGCGGAATCAAGTATTGGTCCTATCAGTAAATCGAAGTAAGAAATGCGGCCGGTGCACAACGTCTGAATTAAACTAACGCTGCACCATTAACCAACGCCAAAAGGGGGAGACAAAGAAATCAACTTGAAGAGAGGGAATTCTAGTGGAGCGGCCAGAAGGAGGGGAGGGGGAGGACAAAGTATCGCCCTCTTGATCGGCCGATTTGCCATATATCGCTCTGAAAACATGAAAATATGAAATATTCAAGAGAGCTTTACATACTCGACTTGTTGCAACCGCCGGCCACGGCGCAGCAATTTGACGGCCTTGACATCAGCAAATTCGTCACTGAAAGGATTTGATCAATATGCGACAAACGAACGGATTCGATAAAATGCTACGCACACACATTTAATCCCTCGCTCTTTGCAATTTGAACATGTGGGGACTGCGCTTGCAGAGGCGATGGATAGGTCTTTAAGATCACAGCGAACTCTAAGAAATGAATGTTATAACGTCAGTATTTCATAGGGTGAGCTGGAGACACCTTCTCATGCGACAAGCGCCGCAGGCTGAGAACTGCTGACGAGAGGACTTTGGCTGGCTGGAGGGGCGACGAGAGTAAGGAGCGGCGGCATTGCGAGAATTAGTGGCGGAGGAGGAAGAGGAGGGACGGGCAGGCATGACGTGGGGTGAAAGAGTGGAAGTGGGGGAAATGTTTTATATGTTGCATCAAGGTTGAATGGATGAAAAGCACGACAGGAGCGGATCTGGCAGTTGAGGTAGAGATCTGGTGACATACATACAGTGCATACTTAGCTGGTAACCGCAAATAGTTGGCAAATATGACTTTGAACGGATAAGTCGCCGGCGCCGGTGGCAATTCATTTACAATTGGAAGCATAGCCAAGAATAGAAACTATCCTCCGAAAGTAATATCTCTCCACCAGACCAGGTTATCACCACTTTTCCTTCGTCTTCTTTTTTGCTACTGCTGCATACCATACCCATTCCCTTGCGTGCACACTCACCACTCCCTCCTCACCTCATCGCCTCACCCTGATTCCATTCCATCAACCCTTCCTTTTCCTTTTCCCTTTTGGTCTTCCCTACCCAGCAACCTGGCTCACAAACGGACATGTCGACATCTTGAACCTTATCTGTCCTCTCTCACAACTTACCCTACACTTTAAACATATAAATTCAAACATCGTAATTGAATCCAATTTGGAAACATCAACTCCATCCTTCTCTTCCCACACTCCATGGCAGCCTTCAGATCTTGTATCTCAATCCCCATTCTCCTCAGTTTTTCTGTGTCTTCGACTTCAAGACAAAGGGCAACCTGTAGTTCAACTATAGAATGCATCCATACACGTTAATATTCCCTATACTCATTTATTCGTCTAACGTAAACGTGCACGCACCATGTCAACTGCTGATTTGCAACCCAGAGTTTCTTAGAGCCCTTTTCAGCTGCCCTGCGGTTCGCTGATCTGGATTCAGTTTCCGATCTATCGCCATCCTTTCCACGTCGTTTCCGTACTTCTTCACCAGCCGCTGCAGATAAGCAACTTCTCCAGCAGCAGCGTGTCGAGGCCCAGCGCCAGAGAGCGGTACGGACAACGTCGCAGATCCCATATGCTTTATACAGGAGAGTGATTCTAGGGCTTCGAAACATGCAAGTTGTCAGCACTGTTGGACATCGCCAAGGCTTCGAAAGGGAAAATGATGTCGAATATGATGTCAATTTTATAAACCCTTATGCAAGGGAACTCCTCGAGGGTAGAGATTCTCCCTGTCATAATGGAAGTGGAATGATAAGACTCGAAAAGGTGTCATGACTGATGCGTGACACACATGAATATGTTCGCCCACAACATCACGTTATAAGAGCTGATGAAACAGATAAAAAAACGCAATGCCCACGATGGCCATGTGCGAAAAGAAAGCAGTGTTCAAAATTATTGATAGACTCACTCTCCAGCAATTGACCACCTTTTTCACTGACGGCGATGTCCTTTGGATGACCCCCGAGATCTGTTACCCACCGTGTCGTAATGTCATTATCTATTTGAATGTTTTTCATCTCGGTAGAGTTCGCGACGGTCGCGGCGCTTTCTTCTTCCGTGTCGTTGAGCTCTACATGTAAAACGTTTCCGGCTTCGTCACGAATAATTTTTCCAAAGCCAACCGGGATAGTTCGGTCGACTGTCGTTGACGCGGAGGGTATCTCGGCGGGGATTTCAATGATACGGTGCGTTGATGGTTGCTCGTTGCCTCCAGACGCCGAAGGGTTTGTGCTATGGATTAATCCAAGCGCGGTATAACTAATGATAGAATTTAGTATATGTGAGGGCACAACTCGGAAACCAAACAAGTAAAGTCGGAAAGGTGATGGATATTCCATCGCCTGTGTCAACGTCCTGAATGCCACGTGTAAAAAAAGGCTTCCCACTGACGCACTTTTGCTTCACGGTTTTCTTCTTGTCCCAAGCTTCCTGTAGCGCTTTGGGACCACGGATGGCTTAGATAAAATACTCGAGATCAGCACAAGGTACCGATTTAGCCATTGCTTACGAGGCATCTTTTTGAGATTTCGTTTTGCGTGTCGGGAATGTGAAACGGCCTTGTGAGTTGACGAACGGGTCTTACGTCGCTGACGGGGATTGGCCATGTCGAGAAAGTTGTCGATACGGGACAAGTTTGGACCAGTATTAGATACCGTTGTTGGTGGCAGTGTTAGTGAATCGGCATTCGCCGGATGCATTTTCCGCCGTTCCCCGTCTGTGCTCTCCAACCTCCATCTACACTATGGCCCGTCTTGCGTATCAACCACAATCCCCCCTCAACGCCACCTTGACCGTCAGTTTTAACCTAATTCGCCCATTTCACTCACCTCCAGCTGTCTTTTAGGTGTCCAGACGGTGGGCGACGAGCCTTGGAGTATGGGGTGTTGGTGCTGGAACGGCTGCCCTATTGGTATGTTCTCATCGCGATGTTGATCACTCTTTCTCACCGCGTTCACAGCTTCTATCCGTTACTCCTCTTGTTAAGCGTGAAGTCCTCGTGAAGGTGCCCGTGGTGAGTCCCGCTAAGCATCCGGCAACGTCGCATCTCACACCCTGCTTTCAAGCTCGGTTCATATTACGAGGACAAAACGCCTGCCTGTGATAAACCCTTTTAAATTACCCGTTGACATAGAATTGGTCGACACATAGGAATAATCCACAATAAAACATCCATGACATATACATGACCGCTAGGTCAGGTCTTGTTATTTGGAAGTGGTTTTGGTCCTTGCTACTCCACTAAAGCTTTGCGTCTACTGTTTTGCTGGTCAGGTCGATCCCAATTTTTGCCTCGAGCTCCTTAACAATCGAAAATGTTCCTCCAATGGGTACATCCGTGGTCAAGAATGAGTATTTCTCAACGGCTATTCCACATGGCCTACTCACGAATAGTGTCCATTCCTAGCTTTTTAGCTGCCTTTAGGTTTCTAGATGCGGCATTAGCATGCGGCGTTTTAATGAGGAAAGTTTGCTTGCATTCCTATGTCATCCAAAAAAATCGCTTCACTGGGCTTTATTTGATTTCGAGCACAGGCGAGCAAGTAGAACTCGGCCTCTGGTTTCCTACAGTGTTGTCAGACGCCGTGCTGGATATGTCTGGATGTGGCTACTGACCTCGTTCCAAGAGCACTACTATCGCAGAAATCATCAAACAGTTCGCGGAGGTGGGAGGGCGTGGCGCCGTCACTCCAACCGAGAAACTCAAGCTCCGATTGAGGTACGTTGATTCTTGAGAAATTGTTTGTCAAAGCAATTACTTTGTGCTTTCTCGCCGCTACACCGCGTTAATCCTGGGTTAATTTGAATGGCAACAATTACCTCGAATGCGGACGATTGCTTCCCGAATGTGTGGATCGTACTTTCCGGCTTCACGCATCATCGCCCCGAACAACTGACGCAATCGTCACCCATAGGCAATGCCTGACCGAATTGCCACCTACCTCTCTTCCGTTGACATCAAGCGCCTCAGGTAATCTGGGACACTCTGTTCCATCGGTTAGGTACTTGGTATGGAAAATTCGTCAACTCCCACCTAAGCCCTTGCGTTCACAATACGCCTTGTACCTTGAGTAACATTTGTGCTGAGGAGGCAGGAATCAGGCCCCTTCGAATGCATACCATTTATTTCCGTTGACTGTGTCCGACAAGTCGCGCCCAAAGGCTTCATAGAACGGCAACAATTCTATTTCTCCACGCTCGAATTTTTGCCATGATCCTTGTGACCCACGTTCAACACTTCGACCGGGGAGTTAGTTATTCTTTCTTACCCTACTTGTTAAAAAATAGCGAACGTACATAGAGCAATTGATGTAATTCTCTGGTAGGCCCTGCTCTCGCTCATAGGCCGCGATGGCAATGAACGGACTACGCATTACGACGCCGCCGATCTGTTGACGGTAGGACCGGTCTGCGCAATTCGTAAGAGAGCAGGCGCGTACTTACATCAAATATTACAGCTTTATATCTCTGAGCAGCCATTGACGAGAGTTATGAGAGGTTATGAGTAGAAGAACACTCGGCCTGTTGAGATAACCGAAGCCCCTATAAAGTAGCCGAGTTTAAATTTCTCACACCAATTCCTCTCTGGCTGCAGCTTGCTTTGACCGGCCACCATTCAACCACATATTCCTGTCCAAACGATCGCTTCGCGCTATCCAACACAGGCGAAGCTCTAGATGGCCGTCGCATTGTCGGTTTATATCTTCAAAATTTCCATAAAAATAGCAGAGAAAGCTTGAAGTTACAGCTCCTTACGGTGACGAAAGTACATGCATGCCCTACACCCAACATATTTCTAGCGTCGAAATCGAGTTCTTGTGCCTTTCGAATTGTGCCATCTATTACGCCCAACCGTCAAGTAACGTCTGCTGTAATTTGCTTGCTTGCTTTGACCAGTGAGCAGGTCACGGTCCGGTAAGGCACAGCCACCGCTTCATTGAGCCTCTAATAACCACCGTCAATAAACTCCTCGATGTACCCGCGCAGCAGCTTTGCTTTCGTACCCCATCGATAGAAACATGTACGCAGGCCGCCCCTATACCCAGCAACACAACCACCAGTATCAACCTCCACCTCCTGGCTATGGCAGTCGTCCCCCTCATCATTCGCACCATCAAGGGGGATTCGCGTACCAAACACCACAAGGACCCCCTGCAGGTGCAGACCCACAGCTGTGGCAATGGTTTACCGCCGTCGATGCAGATCATTCGGGGTCTATCAGTGTCAATGAGCTTCAAACAGCGCTTGTCAATGGTGTGTGTTGTGTTTTGGTCTACATTTGGATCGCTAATCATCGATGCAGGGAATTGGTCGAGTAAGGCTCAAATTATCTTTCAATGTGTTCAGGGAGCCTAACTGTTTACCTCGCTCAGGATTTGACCTTGACACTGTGAAGATGTTGATGGGCATGTTTGTAATTACGCCTCTGATCCTCTAAACTACCCGATTCCGATGATCTTGTTGGCAGGATGTCGATCGTAGTGGAACGATCAACTATACAGGCAAGTTTAGAATCGATGTGTCGATTTGATTACTGTGGTCACACAAGGTTGCAGAGTTCGCTGGTTTGTGGAAGTACATATCGGACTGGCAGAACGTATTTCGGCACTTTGATCGGGATCGATCAGGATCCATTGAAGGTCATGAGTTGACTGAAGCTTTTCGAAGTTTTGGCTACAATTTGGCTCCATCGCTACTGACACTGGTTGAACACAAATACGGTTCGTCTTATCAATAGTGTTGCTCGGATTGAAGGATTAATTTAGCCCAAGCATCGGAGCCTTCAGTCGGATATGGACCACCCCCAGGCATAACGTTCGACCGGTTTGTGAGGGCTTGTGTTGCGGTTAAGTCATTGACGGAAGCCTTTCAACGGTACGTTCATTATTGATCATGGCTTGATAATTCTGGTAAATTTAAACTGATTTCTGATTCTTAGCATAGACACCGATCGCGATGGGTGGGTTCAAATTAGTTATGAACAGTTTATGAGTGTTAGTAAACAATGTTCTGTTGAGCCCGCGTTACCTTATGCTGAACTTTGTTGTAGATCGTGCTCGCTGCACCTTGAACTGAACATTCAATTTCAACCCTTTTTTTTGTCGGATCGTCAAACCTCTTGAGAGGTTAGTGGAGAGGAGCTATAAACAGGGACAGGATTGAAAGGCGTGCGCACTTCCGTTGATGCTTCATTTGCCGTATTTTCTTGGTATTTTCTTCGCATTTTTTCTACATGTACGGTGGTTGCGTAATTATTTTTCTGGATAACAACTGGGATCAATTGCTGATTTTCACATGTAAGCATACTCGGCAAAGTCATAAAGTCTTGTTCTCTTTCCTCAACATAACCATCCCACCCCCTACATTTCCCCACCCCCAAGTGAACAATGCCCCTCATCGCCGACAAAATTGTGCCATGGCCACAGGTCAAGCCGTACGATAAACAGTCAGTTCCAGTGCCCGGAACAAAGCGACCGGGCCAATCAGGTATGCCAGCCGAAAAGCGTTACCACCTCACTTCTAACGCACGAACACAGCTCATTATCGCAACGGTAAAACCTACTTTGCTTCACCATAGACTGTGCCTCGCTTAACACTGAATGTATCAGCTATCTGGGGCTTAATTGACGAACACACTCCCAACACGCTTGTAACTCTTGACCAGATCTTCAATGACGGTCTGAGAATTGGAAAGGACCGCGACTTTTTGGGATACCGTCCCATCATTTCGACCAATCCCCTCAAGTTCGCTCCCGCCTACACTTGGTTAACGTACGGCGAGGTGGATCTTAGGCGTCGGTACCTCGGAAGCGCAATCCATACTTTGTTCCAGAGGGGTGAATTAGGGGGTGGAGAATACGACACAGTTGGAATATGGTCGCCCAATCGTCCTGGTGCGTCCGAGCGCTGAGTACACCCCACCCCCTCTTGCTCACAGCCCTTATACAGAATGGCAGATAATTGATATAGCCCTGCAAACGTACAACAAGGTTGGAGTCAGTTTATATGATACACTTGGAAAGGATTCCGTTGGTACACAAACAAACTTCTTGTTGAAATCCGCATCTGACACTTCATTCCAGAATACATGTAATTGGCTCGCTCCACATCTGCATTGTAGGCTAATCAACCCCGCAGTATTAACCATGCTCATCTTTCAATCATTTTCGCTACTTCGGAGCACATTTCAACAATATTGAAACTTGCACCCAAGCTATCTACCCTGAAGATGATCGTATGCATTGACAAGTTGCCCTTAGAGGCGGCGAATCTTATCCGTGAATGGAGTCAAACACATGGCTTGAAGTTTAAGGAGTTTTTAGAGCGTAGGTCTTTGCCTCTATACAATATTACATCTAGCTAACTCTCTTCAGTCGAGGCTGAGGGCAAGGCTAACCTCTTGCAACCCATTCCGGCCACTCCTAACACCGTCGCTTCAATCTGTTACACGTCGGTGTGTGATTTCCGTTGAGAAGCAAATGAGCCAAGGCTAATATATTCGCTTTCATGCAGGGTACAACCAACAATCCAAAGGGTCACTTCATTTTCGGTTCCTATTCTCATTCACTAATAAGTTTGTTAGGTGTGGTTTTACTTCACAAGAACCTAGCAGTTGCTACCCAATCCAACTTGTATGGTATGGAATTACCAGATCATGCCATCTTGTTGTCATACCTCCCCCTTGCCCATATATATGAGGTACTGCGAGTCTCTTGCTCTTGAACGAATTCTTATGGACCTAACAGCGTGTTTGTGAATTGTGTACCATCGCTGTCGGAGGAAGGATTGGTTATTTTACTGGAGATCCTCTTCGTCTCTTAGAGGATGCACAAATTTTGAAACCGAACTTTTTCCCTTCGGTACCTCGTGTACTGAACAGGGTCTATCAGGCGGCCATGGTTGGGGGCAGCGCCCCTGGGTTAAAGGGTACTATTTTCAAGAAGGCGCTACAGGCCAAGCTTGAAAGATTGCACACGACTGGAGAGTCGAAACACGCATTTTGGGACAGAGTAGTCTTCCGCAAAGTGGGATCATTTCTCTTCATCCTTGAACTTGCATACTCATTCCACTATCTAGATTCAAGCTGTTCTTGGTGGCCAAGTGCAGCTAGTCACCAGTGGCTCTGCGCCAATTAGCTCGGAAGTCATGGACTTCCTCAAGATCGCCTTTTCGTGCGAGGTAGCTGAAGGTACGTAATCTCTCTGCTTTTAATATTCGGGTAGGTAACGACTTCTAAAAGGGTAAGTTTAATTTCCACATGGCATCTCCACCCTCTTTATGAAATTCCGGGTTAGATATGGTATGACTGAGAACGCTGCTACCTGTTGTAAATCTTGGCCCAACGACCCCACGGCAAGTGGGACCGTCGGACCTCCAGGGCCTGTCAATGAGGTTAAGCTGCTCGATGTCCCAGCTATGGGTTATACCTCGGACGACAAGCCTAATCCACGTGGAGAGCTTTGTGTTCGTGGTGCAAACTGTTTTTCAACATACTACAAAGGTGAGTCGAAGATACAACATGCATGTATACCTTTCAACTGGTCTTAAATCCTCATAGACGAAAAGAATACTAGAGAGACCGTTGATGAGGAAGGTTGGGTTCACACCGGTGATGTTGCCGAAATTGATCAACGCGGCCGTGTCAAAATCATTGACCGGGTCAAAGTCAGTTTTGCCTCCCCCTTTTGGAAACCCGTTTAATGACGACCGGATACTTCTGCAGAACATAATGAAACTTGCTCAAGGAGAATACGTCGCACTCGAGAAAATTGAGAACGTTTATAGCAGCAATCCCATCGTTTCGCAGATCTTTGTTCACGGCGACGGGCTACAGTCGTATCTGGTTGCTGTGCTCATTCCGGATCCCATACTCCTCTCCAACATTGTTTCCACGTTTCAGGACAAGAGAGTGTCACCCGAAGATGCAGCAGCCTTAGCAGCGGCCTGCAAAGATGCACGTATCTGCTCACACATATTGTCGGCATTGACTAAGGAAGCTCAGCGGAATGGCTTGAAAGGGTACACCACTTGTTATTTTCATTCATAAATGTTTCGTCTGATGTGTTTGTTACAAAGATTCGAGGTGGTCAAGAGACTCCATTTGAGCCTCGATCCCTTTACCGTGGAGAACAACACACTGACGCCAACAATGAAGATCCGACGGAAGGATGCGTACAACAAGTTCAAGGTTGAGCTTGACGGGTTATATAGTCTTGGGGAACCGTCTAAGTTGTAGGCAAGTTGTAGGGATCAAACATGACCAATCAATTTAAATAGCACTTACCCCGTACTTATTAGTCAAGAGTTGTAACTCATGTCTACAGTGTTGTCCACAATGTCCTCCAATGATAATCTCGTCGTCGTCGCTCCCCGTCCCGTCCGTCTCGCTGCTACCCACTTTCACCGTCCCCATGCACGATTCCTCTCAGACCGTGTCAAGATCGCCGACTGCGATGACATTTCCGTCGATAAGGATCCGTCGCCACGCGCTTCCCCTCGGTAACTAAATTCCACCCTTTCTTTCGTCTCCCTACTGACCTTTTATAGGTCTGTGCTAACTACAGAAGCATTAGAAGAGTTTTTATCCATCCTCAGACCATCCTTCTTCCCCTCGGCGTCTCCCACTCTTCGCTCTTGTCGCTCAGCCAGCCTTCCCACCTTCCAGTATGATCGTTCATTCACCTTTAGAGCCCGACAGCGTCTCGAGAATGCCTCGCCAAAGACAGGCCATCCTTTTGACGATGTAGACACGCCGTTTTTGCACCACAACCGGAATAGTTCTTCTACCACCCCTGAACTGACGGACCTCGATAACTCCTTTGATCACGATCTTCTCGATCCTCGCCTGGAAACTTCTGCGCATTGGTTTCCATATGGCGTTTTATGTGCGTTTCTCGTTTGTTTACTTCTACTCGAGCTAATGGTTCGTGCAGCGTCTCCCATCTCTCGCACACACACTCGCAACCCGTTTCTTAGGCAGGCATCAGACTACCCCCCTGTGGCTGTCAGTCCTTTGTCCCCGGCCGCCATTCCTCTCCCATCCCCTTCTCCTGGGGAGATGCTCTAAGCTCTGATCGCTGCATTCCATCCATTCCGCCTCTCCCTTCGCGCTCTCATTATTGAGCAACCACTCGCTTGTCCTAATACCTTTCCTCGTTCCCGCCTGGCTTCCGTCTCTATTTCTATATCATCTTATTACCACCAAAGTATGGAATTTTCATAATCGTTGTGTATGTAATCATCTATTTTATGGCCTAGCTAGTCTAGTACTATAACCCTCTCTCCAAACTTTTGTTGTGAACGTCCTTCGGAAATCTTTACTTTTCCATAAACACGTCTCCACATTGTTTGATTCCTGTATAGCTAAACTGTATTATGTGCGTCCAAAGGAATGGCAATGTAATTATTTAAGGCAACCAAGGGGTGGTGCTCTGGCCGCCAACACCCTCTGTCAGATATTTGGCGTTTCCATCAGCATCGATGAAGAAACAGTCTTCCAATCTGACACCAAGCTGCCGATAAATTATCAGATTAAATTAATGATATCGAGGGGAATTTAGACACCTTGTGTTCGATATAAACCCCGGGTTCGTTTGAAAATGTGTGCCCAGTTACGATCACATCGTTGCTCCCCCCGTGAAGATAAGGCTGCTCGTGGACTTCGAGCCCGATGCCTTTTAACAGAATCAAGCTTCATGTCACGGATTCTGCGGATCAGCAAACCCACCATGACCAAGGCGATGGGTGAAAAAACGACCATAGCCAACCGCGCTTAAAAATGTCCGCGCCGCGTCGTCGACTTCGTGGGTCACCACGCCAGCTTTGGCAGCACGCATGGCAACTTTTTGGGCAGTATGTACGTGGTACCAAACTTCCAGATGCTCATCTAGGATATTCGAGCTTGGGAGGGCTACCGTCTAAAGCCAGATTTATTACTTACATGAATTGTGGACATTGATAGCTTACTCGGGTAACATCGCTAAAATAACCATGCAATGATGCAGTACAATCAAACAAGGCAAATTCATTCTCAGAGAGTGAACGGTCCGTGCCACTGCCATGCGGAAGAGCGGCATTCTCTGTTCAAGTGGTCAAAAGAGGTCTCAAAATACAAACGAGCATCGAAGACACGTACCGCCAAACAAAGTTAGGCACCCGCCACTTTTGAGACCAGCCGCAGAGAGCGAAGCGGCCATCATGTCGCGGGCTTGAGACTCTCGAATACCAACATGGAGTGAATTGTGGACTTCCCGAATAGCGAGAAGCGTTGCCTATAGAAACAAAAACGAGAGAGAGTGGTTAAAAAATGCCCTCATTAGGCGTAAGGGTAGTCAAGTACTTCGTTAGCGCATTTCAGGATCTCTATCTCCGCTTTGGACTTGCGTTCACGTAGACGCCTGATCTCCAATGGAGCGGACTGGACCGAATGTGGACCCGTAGAGGCGTTCTTTAAGCCATCAACAATAAAGGTCCGAATGCTGTCGTCTACGTAGATTGTACCCGTTATCGACAAGGCGGATAGCGCAACAGCATATGGGTTGGCTTCTTCCGCCCATTCAACGTATTTCACCTTGAAGGAAGAGGGTCGAGGTACAGGAAGGCCCCGTGCTCGTGTCGATTCGAACTGGCGGAAGGTCAGTCAGTTTATGCCACATGTAAACAGGTCAGCCATCCATACCTTTGGAGTGAGTATGGTCACTTGTGCTTGGATGTCCGTGGTTGAAAGAGAGGTGATGGGCCTAATAATCAACAGCAGAGGACGTTCCGACAATTTCCAATCCGAGGTAGAAAAGTTGGCAAAGTACTGGGTGATTGCCCCAGGTTCGGCGACGTACGCGGACGCGTTTAACGCGTAAAGGGTGTGAGCTAGCGTAGCCTGACGGACCTGATACTCTTCCTGGCTGATTGGAGAGATGCTTTCGCAGTGAGGGTGTACGACGGTGTTTGGATACGGCCTGATCTTGAACCTGAAGAAAGGAGAGTTGGCTACGGCTATGCAGGTGACGATAAAAAGTATGGCAGCTCTGCTGACTATTGACAGCGCGTAGGTTGTCTGATTCAGCTTAAATCCAGCCTTTTCTGGGTCCATTTTGTACGACGTCGTCGAGAGCAGCGGCGCCCAAAGTCAACGCAAGGCTTGCTTCTGTTCTGTCATGATGATGTCGATGGACAACCATAATGATACAGAAACTTTAATCGCTCTTGTCGCAAGCCTGCTCCAAGATTCAGACGCATCCTTTCCACAAGCTGCCATCCTCGATGCGCTCGTTCAGTGCAATGGCGATGCCACTGCTGCAGCCAACAAGCTTCTACCAGCCTCGGGTTCAAAGCGGAAACGATCTAATCTCGATTCCTGGTTCAATGAGCACAGCTCAAAGAGAGTACAACCACCCATTTCGACATCAAATACCCCCTCCAAATCCCTAGTTTCAAAGCCGGTGACTGATCTCATGTCCGTGTTGCGGGCCCCTCCATCGACTGTGAAAAATATCATCCGTCTGCCCCCATTAATGTTGACCACTCCACAACTCGTCGCAGAACACGTACCTTGTACCCTTCATCCGTCGGTACTCCCTTCGGATCTGGCTTGTGAGTTGTTCTACACTATGCTCGACGCCTCTCGAGGGTGGAAGAGAAATAAGTGGTGGCTTTTCGATCGAGTAGTTGAGAGCCCCCATCGAACCTCATTTTATGCCCGAAAGACTGACGGGCTCGACGGTGACGAAACTTGGCAGGAGGCTGCGCGTTATTGGTATCTTGACGGGAACATATCGTCAAAATAATGTTGCTAACGATTTACTTAGGTATAATGGACGGATGTCGGAGCCCCCACCAGTCTTTCCTCCAGTGATGGAGAAAGCATGCAAAATAGTGGAAGACATCGTAAACGAGGAAATGAAGAAACGCAAACCCTTCAATTTGGAGTGGGTTGAAGACGACCAACCCGTTTGGCGAGCCAACGTTGCTGCCTCCAACTGTTACGAAGGCGCCAAAGACAGTGTTGGTTTTCACTCTGATCACCTCACCTATCTAGGCCCATATCCCACCATTGCATCCCTTAGCCTTGGTTAGTCGTAATTTGCACGATTCTGCATTTGAATCAAATTGTCGTGTTTCCTAGGCACACGAAGAAACTTTAGTCTACGTGAAGTGATACCGACGGACGAAAGAGAAAATCGTAAAGCAAGGACCTTCAATATACCCTTGTCACACAACTCGGTTAGTTCGAAAGCATACAATTTATCATTGTAATCCTCTGATTCCATTGCCAGCTTACCATTATGCATGCCTCTTGCCAAGAGAAATTCAAGCACTCCATACCGCCTCAAAACGCCATCGATATCTTCCGACCTGCGTTTCCCAGGAGCCCTGGTGAATCCACTGAACCTTCTCCGTGCCGAATTAACATCACGTTTCGTTTCTACCGTCCGGATTTCCGTCCGCAAAGCATACCGCGATGCAAATGTGGGGTTCCAACTATCCTGCGACCTGATATGAAGAATAGGACCCATGGTGAGGCAGACCGATACTGGTGGACATGTTATGCGGGAGCCCAGAATGATGGAAAGGGTTGTGATTTCTGGAAATTGTTGGATATGTTGGAAGAAAAAAGAGCGCCTTTCACTGGCTTTCAAAAGAAAAACCAACATCATCAGATAATTAATGGGCAAGCGCGGTTTTGACAAAGACGGGGTATAAGCATCGGAAAAGTTCTCTGAATGAAAATTTGGTATGCATTCCGAGCGTTGTTTCGTACAAACCCCAAACTTGGCATCAGCGCCCAGTGAGTAAAACAAGTTGCCGAATTTACGTTATTGACGGATCCTAGTTTTTTCTCGATTTTCTCAATTTATTCCACGTAAAATTATGGCCGGTTCAAGGCAGGGCTCCACCCAACCCTTCTGCGAATGTGCAAGATATTTATTCTTTCCCCCTTTTCTTTTTTTGAAACCTTCATGGCTCAATCCACTCCCGACGAATCACCAGCATCAGATATCTACCATGAACATCCCCGCACAGAAACCCAGCCACTTATTGAACGCGGTCAGCTCTATCCATCGCCACTACCAAAAGTTCAATTGGGGGTTTTGTGCTTCCTTCGAATGTTGGACCCTATGAGTTTCACGCAAATATTTCCCTATGTCAACCAATTTATGTCTGATCTCGGTGTCGCAAAGGATCCCTCACAAATTGGTTTCTACAGCGGTCTAGTGGCAATTATTTATTCCCATCCCTCGTCACTTCAAGGATGATAACATTTTGCATTGAAGGAGAGCTCATTTGCTGTTTTCCAATTACTTTCAATCTATCCTTGGGGTCTTTTGTCTGGTAAGGACCGTTTCCTCTGTTGGCTTTAACCCTGAGGTCAGCGCTGCAGATAATATTGGCCGCCGACCTGTAGTTCTTTGGGGAGTCGCGAGTCTGGCAATCGTTACCATACTGTTTGGCTTGTCGCCTAACTTTACGACTGTGATCATAGCTCGAGCGCTTGGTGCGTCGATTCAATTCCTATTTTGTGTGATTATCACTGAAAGATTCTCTCGACAGCCGGGGCGTTTTCTGGGAATGTTGCGGTCATTCCGTCTATGTTGTGTGAGATCACAGACAGTAGCAATCAATACTTCGCCTTCTCGTTTTTTGGATTTTGGTGGCCATTGGGTGCGATTATGGGGTAAATTAGTGAATGAAATAGGTGGACAGCGCGCTGACGATCTATGCACACAGACCATCAATCGGCGGGTTCCTCTCCAGACCGGCCACAAAACACCCTACATACTTTGATTATACCTTTTTCAAACGTTTCCCTTACTTCCTTCCTTGCTTCACAGTATCGCTTTTTTCTGTTGTGGGTTTTTTCCTGGCCTTTTTTCTTTTGCAGGAGGTCGGTGTCATTCTTTTTTTTCCATCCATCTTTCTCATGTATCGTAGACTCTCGATCAACAACCCAACGAGGCCACTCAGAGTGGCAAAACATATGGTACATCGGGGATGTTACAGCGACCGCCACTGAAACCACGCAAGTCTTCCAGCTTGCGTCAGCTTATGTCTGTGCCGATGATTCGCGCGTTGTGCGCGTCGGGGTGCGCCTTGAGTTTCTTTTCGACTGCCTTTGATGTCGTCTTTGTTCTCTTCTGTTATTCTCCTATTTCAGAAGGTGGACTTGCTTTCTCTGTGGGTATCAGCCTCTCCGTCCAAGTCCGAAGTGGTTATTGACACCGTTACAATTTCCGGCAGATTTCACAGATAGGGTTCGCTTTGGCGATTTCAGGGGCTATCGCCGCATTACTCCAGGTCGTCTTCATGCCCACAATTCTTCGTCGCGTTGATCCTGCAGTCATGTACCATTTTTGTATGAAGTTGTGGCCCTGCGTTTTCCTTGCGCTTCCTTTTCTCAACATTGTCGCTCGGCGGGGGGTAGCGATTGGCGACTCTGAACGATACTCTTTCTGGTTCTTATGGGGCGGAATTGCTTTGACTTTGTCTGTGGCCCGAGTGGCGTTTCTTGCATATTCGCAAGTGGACATATCTTGTTCAATATCTCTTTTGCTAATTTTTCGAGTTTAGTGTAAACATGCTCCTCATCAAAGCATATTCCCCAGACCCTGCATCCCTGGGCTCTACGACTGCGCTGGTGCAGTTCTCTATTTGTTTTTCACGCGCTTTTAGTCCTGCCCTTGCAAGGTATGCTTTTTTCTAGCCCTGCGTGGTAGCGGTGCCACGGAATTAACGCATCCATATATAGCGCTGCCTTCACCTTGACAAGCACTAGTCCTTTTCTTGGAGGTTATACGTGGGCATTGCTCATGGTATTGTTATCTGGGACAAGCTGCCTTTTTTCTAGGAAAATTGTAGAGCATAGATATAGTTCATAGTACAGTCGTTGTCGTGACGAGATATATATTGTCAATGTGTGTACGTAACGAGACTGATGTCACGGCGCAATTGGCACGTGCTGCAAACGCGCTCTCCACACCACCAAGTCGAGGCGGATACTATTTAAGTATTCAAGGCGGCAGTCCAGAGTCGACACGAACACCGTCGATATGACGGACAGAGCGGGAGACGAAGGTAAGGGAGGCTTGCGCTTTCTGCTTCCAACACTGTTGACCACACGCCAATTCAGAGAATACCCCACTGCTCAGAGATCCAGAAGATGTCGTTTCAAATCCAAGGCCCCCGACTTCCTTTGCGGAACGCGTCAACTCAGTTGCGCAAGAACCTCTGACCCCCCTCACGAAGATTCTTCTCATTCTTGCTCTCGTCCTTCTCCTCGCAAGTTCTGTGAGTCTCAGACCACATCTAATAACATACCACCTAATATTTGCAGGTTTTCATTGGATTGTTTGCCGGCGCACAACACAAACTGAATGTTGAGCGTGGTGACGGAGGAAACGGCCACACTCACCCCCCGAAGACAGTCACCGTCACCGCGACTGCTACGACTACTGCGACTACCAGTGCTACAACAACCACAACTTCTACTGCAGTTTCGACTGCGACGACCTCCTTACCCACGACGGTAACTCTTCCAGCGCCAATCCCGGTCCCAACTATTCCTCCTGAGGATGTAAGACCCAATCCCGTCTGCTTCCCACGCGAGACTTAATATGCTCATCTGTACATAGATACCTTGCCTCAAACCACACTGTGTCATTCTCTCTGCTTCGATTATATCCTCACTTGACGTTTCTCAAGATCCCTGCGAGAATTTCTATGATTTTGCCAGTAAGTCGTCATTCTGCATGACATTAATTATTCATCTGACTCGAAGTAGATGGTGGATGGCTTAAGAAACATCCCTTGCCAGCCGACAAGAGCAGTTTAGGAAACTTTGAAGTTTTGTCTCAACAGAACAAGCGGGTTATCCAAGAGATTTTGGAGTCAAAATCTTCCGCGGAACTTGCGCCGTCTCCTGATAGTGAAATTTTAACCAAACTGCGAGATAGCTACTCGGCTTGTTTGAACGAGGAACGATTGGATTCAATTGGATCTGCTCCTTTGTTACATTTCATCAAGACACTCAGGCGTCTATACCGAAAAGAAGATACCGAAATATCTCTCTTGCCCGGCATCGACTCCGGCCTGACCGCTGCAATTGCGTTTCTTCACTCAAAGGGTTGGGTGTTCGTTCATCGTGTTAACAGATTGATCACTAACGCTTACGTCTAGGTATTGAGTCCCTATTTTCCTTTGAGATAGAGGGAGATGTTGGTACAGACCCTAACTTTATGGTACCTTGGTTCAGCCAACCGAAATTTGGTCTCCCGTCAAAGGTCAGTCACTTGCATTTTTCGCTTCCCTTCGTCTTATGAGGCGTTACAGGAATATTACGAAGACAAGGCTATCCGGAAGGTATACAAGGATGTCGTCGAGAGATTACTCTTGGTACTTACTGAAGAGGAAGAAAAAGATATATCGCAGAGCTCACCGGTTCTCGTCGACAACGACGATGATACCGTTTGGCCCCCCTGGCCTTGGCCGCCGTGGGGAGATGACGATGACGATGGCCACAAGGGCGATGATAAAGGAGGCAATAGAAGCCAGGAAATCAGAATACTTGCCAAGAAAGTTGTGGCTTTTGAAAGCAAGCTAGCTCAGGCGAGTCTGGACTTGTGGGTTGATCATTTCCTTGTTTTGCTTTTTGTTCACGCAATATTCCAGGGACATCTTGTACCAGGACCCCATCGCAACCTATAACCCTGTTCCAATTTCAAATCTCACCGACTCTCTTCCCCAATTGGATTTCGCCACATATTTCTCGACGTTCACCCCTCGAACCTTCCCCGACCGAGTCATCTTGACCGATCTGACGTATGCGACGTCTCTCTCGAAAATTCTCGACGACACCGCTTCTGAAGTGATTGAGGCCTATTTGACTGTCCGCGCTGCCCTAGCTCTTTCCCCGTATCTGGGCATGACTACAGAAGCATGGCAGGCACAGAGGTCACTGGTAGAAACTTTGACAGGTATCAAGAAAGGGGCTGTGGGAGATCGAGCTGAATACTGCATCGGAAAGGTTGAAGAGACTTTGGGCTTCGCAGCTGGTCGATATTTTGTGAATGAGACTTTCAGAGGAGATTCACGAGAGAAAGGCACTAAAGTCATCTCAGGTTCGTTGTGCTGTTTTTCACATCTTTTTGTTGATGTTTATCATTCACGCAGATATCGTCGAAGCATTCAAAACCTCTCTTCCGCATATTGATTGGATGGATAAAAAGTCCGCGATGGCTGCGGCTGAGAAGGTTTTTGTTTATCGGCCTCCCACTTTGTATCGGTGCTGAAGCATACACTAGGCTGATGCGATCCGTGTCAAAGTTGGATACCCGCTCTCACCTAACACCCGTAATGCTCGTTCAATCGCGAATTATTACAACACCGTGAAGGTGGATAAGTTAACCTTCTTCGAAAATATGCTAAGTGCCGCGTTGGTTTTATTTTCCACCGTCTCTTTCATGGGTTATTGACGATTTCAAAAGAACCAGCGACCAGTTCAAAAAGTGGCTGCAACTTGGTCGACAGAGAAACCGGGAGACGTGGGAAATGTTCCCCTCGACAGTGAACGCCTATTTCAACCCCCCTTCGAATGAGGTATGTCCGTGTCTTTTGTTTGGTAAGATTCCGTTGTTGAACTGGCTGCAGATCGTCTTTCCAGCCGGTATCATGCAACCACCGTTTTTCTCTCATGATTGGTTAGTCGTTAAATCTAAGTATTCTCTTTGGATTGAAATTCATCCTTGCTGTAGGCCTGGATATATATCATATGGCGCGTTTGGCCATGTTGCAGCGCACGAGTTAACTGTAAGGATGACTTTGGCACTTACAAGCCTGGCTAATGTGTTCCTCTTAGCACGCTTTTGACTCTGCTGGTCGACTGTACAACCAAAAGGGGAAACTGGAAGAGTGGTGGACAAATTCAACGAGCAAGGGCTTCAACGTTAAGCAGCGTTGCATCGTTGATCAATATTCAGGTCCGAGTCAAGTTGAGTTTGATTGGAACCATGTGTTTACATTCCGTTGAACCAGAGTATACCATTGATGATGGACATGGCGGCAAAATTCATGTTAATGTGAGTGAATGACAGAGATGAAGGCAACTTTGCTGATTTGCTGTCCACTCAAGGGCAATCTGTATGGCCATCTCAAGCTTATTTACACACTACATACTAATCCACCAAACACAGCACCTCCGGTGAAAATATTGGCGATACGGGACTTATTCAGGCCTATCGTGCCTGGAAAGCCCAGTATCACACTTCGGTCAAAGAAGGTGGCGAATACGTTTTACCTGGCCTAAATTTCACAAGGTAAAGCCTAACACAGTCTCTGCCGAATTGAATTCAACGCTTCCTCGTTAGAGAACAATTGTTCTTCATCTCTTTCGCTCGCATATGGGCAAGAGCAATGAAACCTGCCGCTGCTGTGCGTATTTCTTGTTTTCCGGACGATGACAGCGGACCCAAGTCCTAATGGCATATTAGGTACAACGCATCCGGACTGATCCTCACTCACCCACTCGATACCGTGTTGATGGAACTGTTTCGAATATTCCGGAGTTCGCCAAGGCGTTCAAATGTTCTAAGACAGCCAAGGTCCGCCAAAGTATTATCATTGACACTGTCAACATTAACCCCAATTCCGTCTAGCTGAATCCACCAACAGAGAAGCAATGCATCTTCTGGTCATAAACAGACATAATGGTTGTATATCTACGAAAGAATGGATTTTGAATAACAATATCATTCCATAATTGATGGGACTAAGCACCAATCTAAAGCACTCCTTTCGTACTAGGAACGTCATCGCCTCCTGTCCGCTCTATGGCTTGTCGAATGGCCAAAGCCAAAGCTTTGAAGGCGGATTCAGACCTGTTTTTTGTTTTTTTTTCAGACACGAACCAGAAAATGGGGAAGGTATCAGCTGCACCGATGATGATCGTTTTCTCCACGCAGAACATCGACGTGCAAAGTGACTCCGGATGCAATTGCAAAGGAGTAGAAGATGTGGGGGATCATTTCTGTTGAGAGATCGCCAATTTTTTCTCGACGGAGTCCCAGGTCTGTAACGCAATAGGGCCGAGAACATATGTCGATGACCGCACGGGACAAAGCCTATGAAGAGGTCAACCGGGAAATTTTTCGGAAGGGAGATGAACAGACTTCATCGAGGGGGGCGAACCCAGTCCCGTACCGCCGAATGCCTCGGATCTGACCCAAAGCCTGTTTGAACGCCATTCCGAGGGCGATGGCAGAATCTTGTGGAAAAATGCAACAGAAATTAGACTTTTCGAAACGGGGGGTGGGTTTGGAAGTACGAATCTGCAGTATGATGGTCATCTATCCAGAGATCACCTTCGCACTTCATGGTCAAAGACATTCCGCTGTGCTTTGCCAGAGCTGTATACATCTTGGTACGCCGTTAGCGCGCGTTTTGTTGATTTTCGTGAAACCAACATGATCGAGGAAACCAATTCCTGTAGATACATTTATTGTTTGTGTTGTGAGTGAATCGAGGTCAATGTCGACTTGAATTGTCGTTTCAGTTGTTTTTCGAGATACAGAGGCTTGTCGTGACATTGGAGGAGGTGGAGGTCAACAGATGTCAACAACGGTTTTCCTCAATTTGGTAATCTATGTTTGCTCGTTCCGATGCTCTTTCCTCTCCGTCTCGTTCGTGCCTCTTCTCGTTCGCTGCCTTCTCTATGCCCTCGCAATCCTTATCATATTCCTAGAAATTCAAGGCCATTGTTTAATTTATTTCGCGGCAGAAGAGCAAATGAAAAGCCAAAGGATCCTGTTCCTATTCTCACCGAGGACAATTTGTTCCACCCATTTTCAAAGTCTCCCTTTCCACAAATCATTGCTCGAGGAGAGGCCATAAAGAGCCTTGCGCCGTGTCCTGTTTGCTCTACACCGCATACCGATCCTCACATACATGCAGATGCTCAACCCAGAGCGGTTAGTTTCGAGTGCCCTGATTGCGGCTGGCCGACGCACTGTACGGAAGAACACTGGAAAGAAGACCCCGAACACATAAAATATTGTGGTCGCTTAAGGGAAGCTAACGAGGATGAACATGATCTGAGGAGCGGCAGACGTTTGCGCGAGTTCGAGTTGCCTGGTCAGTTCCGTTACCTCTACATCATGCCCGCGTTACATTGTAATTTTGTAGGGCCACAGGGCTATGAGGAGGCGATCTCCTTCGCAAACTGGGATGTTTTTTGGTATACTCGCGGTTTTCCATCCATGGACACGGAACGCGCTCGTCGACACGCTAGCAAACTTCTCACTTACCCTATCACAATCGGAGGCGTGATTCATCAGCATAGCGGGCTGACGTTAAGCAATCAGCGTTTAACCCCTGAAGGAAGCCGTTCTCTTGCTGGTATGACATTCTTTATTTGTTTCTGAAATCTTGCAAACTGATTGTTGCAATAGCACTCAGAAGCACACTACATGTTGCACCGGGCGCACCGGAAACGGAGGAAGCCGCTGTTGGGAAGCCTCAAGTGCGAATATTTATTCTTGGTGCGAGAGCTGAATCGTCTTTGCCTCCTCACGTCTGGGAACAGCTCTGCATGCTTTTCCCTTCCACCCACTTCCATCTCTTCTTTATCGGCCCTCAAGTTTCACTGCCCAAACCTCCCAACAGCTCTCCACCAGCGCCAAAAGACGTTGCTCCTGCTTCTAAACCCACTCACGAATCAAAACAAGAGGAGGCAGAACAGAAACCGACATATCTTCCCAACGTGTACCAGCCTCCCTCTCCGGCTCCTATACAGCCCTTAAAACATACCCGCTCATCATTAGAGAGATATGGGGTCCCTTCTTATACCGTTCCCTACACACCACAACTAACGATTACTGGCATGCAAGCGAATTACGCTGATGTACATGCCCAGTTCCAGCACACCCTGGACCCTTACAGCGATTTATTCTTCTTCTTTTCCCCAGGATTCGGTTTCCCTTCCCCAGATTCAGTGTCTGAGGAAGGAGAGCCACTACTTCAGATCGCCTCTCCCACAGAATGGGGCCCAGTTCTTCCTATGCTCCTCGCTAGCAAATGTTCGATCTTCGTAACTGGCTTCTCTCCAGCAGACGTTGAAAGAGATGTCCGCTCGCTATCAAAAGCGCCAGAAGTGGCGGGCGAATTCGAGTGGATTATCACACCAGGACCTAGTACGTTCGGAAGTGAGAAGTGGGAGGTGGCTGACTTTGATCCCCGTGTGATGGTCAAGACGAATTGGGGCGTTTGGGGAATTAGAGGGAAGAGCAGAGACGTGCAGGAAGTAAGCAGCTTCGGCTTCTAGGTGTGTTGAATAACAAGTTATTTAATGATTCTCCGAGTCCAAGGTGATCCTAAGCTCTTTGAATCTTATCATGGTGCGTAATGGCATGTAACTGTTCTCGCCAATTGTTGGTTTGTGGTATTTCTTTTGCTCGAGAAACCATCGGTAAGTACTTGGTAAATGTTGCAAGATGAGGCTTGAGTAAGCCACCAACCATTATGCAGACTACCATGACCGATACTCTACATGACGACGCACCCTTCTGGCTTGAATCTATCCATCACCAAGGAACAGCGGCCTTCAACCCCGATAAATCATACCAAGTATTTAGAAACGTTAAAGTATGTCTCTTCAAGTCGATCTTGGCTACGAAATCAATCGCAGACGCACAGGATTTCGGAGCTATTGGCGATGGCGTTACTGACGATACGTTGGCGATCAAGTGAGTGTTCATAACCCGTACATAATCTTCGAACCCCAATACCTGCCTTGCCAGTCTAGCCATATCAAGTGGTAACAGGTGTGGTGAGGAATCATGCGGTTCTTCGACGTGCGTTGTGGTCATATTTATTCTATGGTGAAGCTGATATCAGCACTGTGTTCAGGATTACGCCAGCCTTGGTTTACTTTCCAAGAGGGTCAGTGACAGCAACTCCTCACTCAGTGAATTGACAGGTACCTACTGGTCCCATATGATGAAGAACCTACCTGATATCTGCCCCCATTATCGCCTACTACTATACTCAACTTATTGGAGATGCAAGGGCGCCCCCCACCTTGCTCGCGGCCCTTACGTTCGAAGGAATAGCTGTTATTGGTGGGTGCCGTAGTATACTTATTACCCCCCTTCATAACCCTGGTCGGCTTACAGACGCAAACCCATACATTCCTGGGGGCTATGGACGTCAATGGTACGTGAATACCAACAATTTGTGAGTGACCTGATTCTCCCTCATGGCCCGCTGGTAACTTTAATTTGTTTAAATTTCAGCTTTCGATCCGTGAGGAACTTCGTAATAGATCTTCGGCGGTGTGTGCGAAAAAGAATGGTCTCGTTTGACAACAATTTACGCAGTACAATGTCAGAGTCCCTCCGGCAAGATCACAAGGGACTGGAATTCATTGGCAAGTGGCGCAGGCTACTTCTCTGATGAACATCGTGGTGGAGATGTCTACGGCTTCCGGAACCGCTCATCAAGGTTGGTTTCGTTTCTTCAATGACCACGTCGCGTACATTATACATTGATGAACTCTAGGAATATGGATGGAGAACGGAAGGTTGATTTTTCCAACAACCCCAACACTCTGTTCTGAGCATGGCTCCACTATTTTCTAGCGGCGGGTTTATGGGGGACCTTGTGTTCAACGGAGGTTGGCACAAACGACTGCTCTCATCGTAACAATGCCTCAAATATCCCGTCATCTAGGAAAATTTGGCATGTGGGTCGGAAACCAACAGTAAGTGTCCAATTATCCTCCGATTGCTCGGCAGACAAATTCAAGTGTTGCCTAGGTTTACCGCTCGTAACATTACTATCAACAATGCGGACACAGCTATTTTCAATGTCTGGAATTGGGGTAGGTTTTCTTTTCGACCGCTCGTTACACTTTAACCTATACATCTCGAAGGTTGGACCTATCAAGGGGTTACCATCAACAACTGCAATGTAACGCTAGTCGCAATTAACGGAATACACCATTGACCGGAGCTAACAGGTTGGGTTTGATGTATTGACGGGAGGGACCTCCCCTGACCAGCAGGTACATATGCACACCTCGCCTTGAACTGAACAGGGCTCAGGCTACCTTTTTAGGGTGTCGGTGCGCTGGCGATCATCGATGCGACAGTTAATGATACCCCCATCTTTGTCCGATTCTCAAAGTCGAGCAACAGAACTCTCACAGGCTCCCTCGTTCTGAACAATGCGAAGCTCTGCCGAGTTGCAACAGCTGTTGGCATTGTTGGCGGTGAAACTGTCTTGGCTGGTGGCACCAAAACCATTGAATCCTGGGTTCAAGGCAACGTCTATCGTGGAGTTGAGTCAGCGGGTCAATACATTAAAGAGTTCATCCCCGCACCAAAGAAATCTTCAATATTGCTCGACAGTTCTGGGAAAATTTTTGGAAAGACGCACCCGCAATATGAAAAACATCCTGTTGGTGATTTTGTCAGTGTAAAACAATGTGGCGCAAAAGGAGACGGGAAAACGGACGATACCCGTGCTCTCCAAACCGTTTTCGACCAAGTGAGTAATATCAAATTTTATATCGTTACTGCTTAGCGACGAGTAGTATGCACGATCTAAAATCGTCTTCTTCGACGCTGGGACGTATGTCGTCACTTCGACCCTCACTTTCCCGGCGGGTTCCAGGATAGTCGGGGAGGCGTGGTCAGTCATCGCAGGATCAGGCAGCAAGTTTCAAGATGTCAACAACCCCCAAGTAGTAGTTCGCGTGGGCGAAGAAAATAGCGTAGGTGTTATTGAAATTACCGACATTATTTTTTCAACCGTTGGTCCTGGTTTGTAGTGTCCCTGTCGTATTTTTTCACATCGCGAAGCTCATCAATAATATCATAGCGGCGGGGGCGATCGTGGTTGAGTGGAACATCAGGGAACCTGCTGGTCAACAAGGCGCCGCTGGTATGTGGGATTCTCATATCAGGTAAGTGCCTATCCTTAACACAATTGAACTTTCTGACAAAAACAGGCTTGGGGGTGGTTAGTTACCCCTCTTGAAGTCTGCGTTGGGCTGACGTCGATGCTATCTCCAGCAGCCGGAAGCAATCTAGAACTCGGTCAATGTCCACCTGGTCGGACTGATACTGCGCCGTGCATGGCTGCCTTTCTTGCGTTACACCTGACCCCGAAATCCAGTGCATACCTCGAAGTAGGTTCATAATTTCAAAGCAAAATATATATATTTACGTCCGCCCAGGGCACTTGGGTTTGGCTCGCTGATCACGATCTTGACGGTGACGGCGTCTCTCAAATATCCATTTACTCGGGTCGAGGCATTTTGTCGCAATCTGAAGGGCCAGTTTGGATGATCGGAACAGGTCAGTGATGGTTACACCATCTCAGGTTTATGACTGACTTTCCTCGTAGCTTGTTAGGCCTCTTTCTCCCTTGTTTGACTGCCTAAATTGATTGTCGATTCTCAGCTGAGCACCACGTTATGTATCAATACCGATTGGTCGGGGCGGATAATCATTACATGGGATTAATCCAGACGGAAACGGTTCGCGCGTTTTGCTTCAACATGACAAGTTTCTGCGCTGACTACCATAAGCCATACTTCCAACCATCGCCTCCAGCTCCTGAACCATTTAAATTTGATTCTAGATTTGGTGACCCTCAATTCCCGCTTAGTCTGAATGTCAAATCTTCATGGGCATTAAGCGTGGAGTCATCAAAGAGAATTTTGATCTTTGGTGAGGGAAATGAAGAAGGAAGTATTGGATTTTTGTTGAAACGTTGGCAGGTGCTGGGCTGTATAGCTTCTTCAACAACTATTCGCAAGCGTGCATCGCTGGTAGAAACTGTCAGGACAAGGTGTTCGATGTGGACTCGGATTCGGAGGTGGATATGTTCAGCCTGTCTACTGTGGCATCCGAATTCCAGGTAAGCGTGGACGGATATGGGGTTGTGAGGGAGAGAGAGAATTTGAATGGGTTCGCGTCGAGCGTAACGGTGTGGAGTACTTAGTGCAGAGTAAATAAACTACATGTATCAACAAGGACAAAGAACGCGTCGCGTGTATGTTGCATTGAACTTACGATGCGCACCTATTCCTCAAACAGAAAACATGCTCTCAATCCTTCTCCAGACGATCTCCCGCCAGCGAAACGCGTAAAGCACCTTAAATCCGTCAAAAAAGTTCATTCGAAACAACAGACACTTACACAGCTGCACTTTTGCATCGACCAGACCATACTCAAAGCCTGTTCGCGGTGCGGTCTTTCGTTTACCAAAGGCGTTCCTGACGATGAGGCTCTTCATCGGACGCACTGTGCCCAAGTGCAAAGGGGGATGGAGTGGGGGAGGGAAGAAGAGAAGGAGACGATCAAAGCCGGCGTCGTACAAGTTGAAACCAGCGTCAAGTTGAAGAACGGGAGGAAAGGTAGAATTATAAGCTTTCCTGCAGACGTTGGAGGCAAGATAGGTTACAAGGTGATTACATTGTCCTTCGTATAAATCTGTTCTAATACCATTGGTAGCTTGGAACGCTTCTTCAAACTATCAACCGCAGCCTTTCATCCCCACCGCTTACGCCCTCCATTCTACAAGCCTCCAGAGCTTACTTGTTTCTTCTCCCCCAAGAAACGGCTTCAAACCGAGAGCAAATAGTTGGTTGTGTCATTGCACAAAGAATTTCAGAAGCAATGGCCATCGCTGGCGCTGAGGAACCAACCGCCTCAACAGCTGCTCCTCCGACAATCGATGTCGGAGAAGGCTTGTTCTGTCATACAACCCCCCTTCCTACACCGTTGGGGATACCTCGGCTCTTCGTCACCTCTACTCATCGCAGACAAGGCATCGCTAGTTATCTCCTGACCGCCGCCGCCAATACCATGATCTATGGCTGCAAATTAGATCCAAGAAAGGGTGAGGTAGCTTTCACGCAGCCGACCAGAGATGGGAGTAGGGTGATGCAGAAATGGGGAGGTGGCAGTGTTCGAATCTATGAAGAGTGAGATTGACAAGGCAGATGTTATTCTCCGGTGTCAGGAATCTGCCCAGGTTTCATGTCAAATGTCGCAGCAGAACACAAGTTGATCACCTTACCCGACATTAAAGCATAATTGTCCCCTCGATTTTGTTGACGTGTAAAGATGGCAACACGAGTTACGCAGATAGCGGCGCAGGCTATTCCGAAACAGAGGATAATGATCAGAAAAAAATCCCGCGCTGTCATTGACATCTCATTAATTCGACAATGTAAAGAGAGCCTTCTTGCTCTTACAGATAGGAATTTGGTGCATTCCACGGTCATTCGTGCGTTCTAATCGTGCTTTGCTTCGTGCTGGTCTCCGTGTCCGTCTCTCGACTTGGAACTGTCGATCCAGGTCGTTGTCTCTGTCGGATTTCACGCCCTGTGGCGCCAGCAATCTAGAAGACGTTCTTTCGCGCTGAAGAAATTCGGAAAGAAAAGGCAAGTCTATGTCTGGGAGTATAGACGGAGGAGGGGTACTACTTGACGTGGAGGCATTGCTTGTGGTTGACATGCAGTGTTGCACCAGCACAACGGGTGTATTTATATAAAACGTACACAATAATACAACAGCCATCATACACGCAAAGTACACACGCAAACCATTTAACCTTCAGTCAGTGCCTCCAGAAAACTCGTCAGCTCGTTCTGTTCGACTTCTATAACGCTAGTGTCAAAAGATGTGTGTTTCACTTCCGCCTTTGAGCGATCCCTTGCATGTAGAAATGTCATTGCGAAATCGCTAACGTAGAAGACTGTCAATATTGGATACGGGTAACCAGAAACGACGCACTTTTTGCAGACCTCCCCAAAGTCAAGTGCAGCCATGACCCCTACAACCGTATAACTTCCCTTCGCCTCGTCAAGGCACGCCACGACAAAGGGTAAACTTCTCCGCTTGGTCCCAATCCGATCGCGCAAAGCGTCTACCAACCAAAGCGCCAGTCGGGCTAGAACGCTGGGATGCGAAAAAAGAGCAAGATCAGGGCCTTGTGTGAGGACAACCACTCTATGGTTTCGCATCGTTCGGATGTCCTGCTTATCTATGATGGAGGTCCCTTGCCGTATGATGGCACGGTGCAATGACATCGAGAGGTTGAGTGCTTCACGCAGAGAAGTGATACTACAAGAATGATGAGCGAAAATCCAGCCACGTAGAATCCCACTCTTACTCTGCGAGGGCATCATGCGCAGCCCAGAAATTCTTCACCCACCATGGTACTTGTATCCCTTTCGCTGTCGTCTCTGTCCCCTCTTCTCCTGCCTCTCTGTCAGCCCGGTTTGCAACATCTGCTTTTCTCCCGCCCTCTTGTTCATATTTACTCGCCTCCCACAGACTCCCAGCTCCAAACCATTCCCCACCGTTACGAGCGCCTTCGATTTCTACTTCCATGCGTACACCTCCTGCGATGTCCAATAGAGCACCGATTCCCTCAACAGCATCCGCAGCTGATAGAGGCTGTGAATGATAGCCATAGCACCGAATAAATGATGGGTATAAAAGTTCTAAGAGTTCATATTCCGGTGCAAAATCATTGAGTTTTTTGATAAGATCCTTTTTCAGATCCAGGTCCATGTGCGAATATGGCTGCTGAGTCTGAGGTATCGAGAATCTGTTCAAGAAACATTTGAGACCTGCGTTATTTTTCCCAAACCAGATACGACATACCCCATTTTTGCTAGCATCCCGGAAAGTTTTTTGCGGCCGCGCTCTTTCCATATTCCGAGTTTGCTTGCCACATAGCTTGAGTGGTACATTGCATCATAGAGTGTCCAATGTCTAAACAACGTGAAGCGCAATTCTTCAGTCGCTCGAATGCTGAGATCGTCAGGGTTAAGAGAGATAACCGATTGTGGGTTGTCAGCGTCGACTGTCGGTGCAGGATTGAGGCGGGATACTTCGTCGTGAAAGATTGAGTGATACTTCTCATAAGAATCGCGGGAAATTCTGGAGGTTATGTACTGGAACGTAAGGCCTAAAATGGCGAGCCTTGACGAGGAATACTTTAACAAAAAGCAACGGAAAATGGGCAGGAAACAAGTCACCAAAGAAAATCGTTATCCACGCGTTCAAGAATGGTCGCTAAGATGTAGATTGTGCTTGCTGCGCTCTGGCCGTGCCACGAACCGGATGAGTAATATTTTCCGAGGCGGCGCAAGCAACGTTCACGCTCTTCATGTGAGACTTGATATGCCTGGCGGTGATGCATAAGGCATGGTTTAATGCCCAATGTGTGCCATATGACGTACGTCGCCGTTGCGCCTTTGTCTTTTCCGTGAAGCGCGATTCTCATCCGTCGCTTTTCGTTTCCCGTGAGTCGCACCTTGATCAAGGTCAAAACTACCTTCATCATCGTTGCTCTCCTCTTCTTCATCCTCCTCCGATTCCTCTTCTTCTTCAGAGTCTGGTTCAGGTTCATACTGGAAACAAAAAATTGGTATTGGCGTTAATTGGAATCTTGACAAAACGCACGCGCAGAACCTCCCATGCTTCCCTTTCTTCGACAAGTGTCTCCGCATCCATGTCGTCCCACACCACTATTCTCTCTCCATTCTCGCCCCGCATGAAGTAGTTGTCTAAACTTCGTGGACGCGACGAGTCGATAACGTGAACGGTAACTTTGGGACTGAAGTCCCCAAACCATACGGGGTCAGGCAGATCGCTGATACTCCCCATATTGATGAGGATCAGGGCGTGAAGCTGTTGCATTGGTGAATTTAGACGGAAAAAAAGAAAGGGACAGAATCATACCTCTGCGCACTCCAGTAGATCATTCTTCAGAGTCTTGAATTCAGCTTCGCAGGAGATGGGTATAATGCGATGTATTACGTCGTCTTGTTTGAACAAAGTCGCGAGAATGCGCGACGCACAAAGCGCGTCAACGTCAGGGGCAACGAGCATGATGACCGAAGACGCTGAGGTCAACGGCGACCGCCTATGTGCGGTAAGAATGTTGTTATACGCTTCTGCATAGGAAGGACGCGTTCCAGCGAGTTGTGGAGGAGGGAGGCAAACCATAACAAAATTAAATATTTTTTACCTAGCCTTCCTGCTCAACATCATGTCCCGTTGTACTCGAAAGGGCTGTGGCAAGGACTTCACGTCGACCAGCACAGACAAATGTATTTTTCATCCCGGTGAACCAGTAAGTTGACCGATCTACACCCGCATTTATCGTTAATCATCTACCAGGTATTCCATGAAGGCCTCAAATCTTGGTCTTGCTGCCAAAATGTGAACAAATCTGTTTTAGATTTCGACGAGTTTATGAATCTACCAGTATCGCCATTCCAATGTTTCCATTCTTCATTCATTGATTTCTCTCTAGGGATGTACTGAAACAGATCTTCACACTTCTGCGACACCACAGGCAGAATCTACACCCAAACCTCCCTCTACAGCCAACTTGACGACTATCGAAAAAACAGTCGACGGGAAGGAAACATACGGAACTACATTGCAACGGAGCACCACTCCAGCTTCCGCCCCGGTCGCGGCGCCCATCGTCGAAGAGGAGGATGATTTAACTATCCAGGTTTCTGTTGGAACGCCCTGCAGGCGTAAAGGTTGCGAAACAAAGTTTGTTAGTGATGAGATCAATCGAATTGGAGATGAGGAGGGAGCCGTCTGCATTTACCACCCCGCTCCGGTATGATTCCTCGTGTAATCTCCTGCTCATCGTCTCACATCGGTGTAGCCAATTTTTCGGGAAGGCAGCAAGGTAACATTTGCCTGCATGACCGCACAAAAAACTCTCATTTACCGAGTTATCAACCAAAGGGATACCTTTGTTGCAAGAGACGCGTCCTGGAGTTTGACGAATTTCTCAAAATCAAGGGGTGTAAAAAGGGCCGTCACCTCTTTTCTCCTCCTCCTGAACTCAAGGTAACATTCAAGAAAGACGTTAAATGATTTCACTCTTAGCGTTATGAACAGACAGAAGAACTGGTAACTTGTCGGGTTGACCATTATCAAACCATAGAACAGGTTCACGTCTCAATCTTCGCGAAGCAAGTCGATAAGGATCGCAGCACCGTCCAATTTTTTGAATCAGAAGTCACGCTTGACTTGTTCCTCCCCGGATCGAAGAGGTTCAAACACACCCTGAATCTCTTCGGGCCTATCGATCCGACGAGATCACACTTCAGTGTTTTCGGGACCAAGGTGAAGTTTCATCTCACAAAATCGTCTCTCCTTAATGTGACATGTGCCTTGTAGGTTGAATTGCACCTTCAAAAAAGTGATACCCGAAGTTGGACCATTCTAGAAAAAACGAATCGTGACCTAGGTAACATCAGTCTTACCTTCGGTGTGGGTGGTAGGACCGGAACAGTGGGTGCAAAAGACATTGTCCTTGATCCGTCGAATGGCGCGAGAGATCTGAATTCCTCTACGTGACCAGAGTATATTAGAAATCTATTCCTGAGAGCTACAATACACCGGGCTTCTCTATTTTGTCGAACATCTGAATTAGATCGCCTTCCCGAATGTCGGTAAAACCGCAGAAGCACAGACCGCATTCAATGCCTTTGCGCACTTCCACGACATCCTTCTTGAGTTGACGTAAAGTGTCCAGGGATCCTGGAATTAGGTTGTCATTACACAAGCCAAACAACTGCCTCAAATTTTGTCCTTACCTTCATGGATCATTTTTCCACCTCGAACAATGCGAGCGAATTTGCTTTTTTCCACAAGACCATTGGTAACACGACATCCAGCTATTTTCTTTATTTGCTTGGCCTTAAGTTGAATGTCGAAAAGCTGAAGAACTGTAGCTTCCCCCGTCACCTTTGTCTCAACAGTAACGGGTAATAAGGCGGTGACGCGAGCCCGGATGTCCTCCACTAGCCGGTATATAATGTTTGAGGAGCAAATTGGGACGCCATTCTGAGCTGCAAGCGTTTCTATGCTGCGGGGAGTTGAGACGGAGAAGCCAACGATGGTTGCTACAACAAAACTCTTTAGCTATCTCATTAGGCAAGGCTGGCATTATCAGCTCACCCTCTGACGCTTTCGCAATCATCACATCGGACTCAGATATATCGCCAACGCCTGATGACAGAATCTTTGTGGCTACAACCTTGTTGCCTATACATTGTAGGGCGCCTTCAACCGCCTCTGCACTGCCGCTGACGTCGGCCTTGATGATGATTCTCAACTGCTTGGGACCAGTAACGGTCTCTTGGACCAATAGTGGCTTCCGATTCGCGTCAACCTCTTCCTTTCGACGCTCTTTATCTTGCCGTCTCGTTTCATTGATGGCGTCAACATCATTGAGAACAGCATCCATCTCTGCCTTGCGAATGCGATTTGCTAAAGCTTTTTTCACGTCTGCCTCGCTGGCCTCTATTACTTCATCGCCCGCTTTTGGAAGGGTCTTCCAACCAGAAACACTGACTGCCATTCCGGGAGTGGCCACCTTGACAGTTGCGCCAGCCGAGTCGGACATCAGTCGAACCTTGCCCTGGCTCAAACCTCCAATGATGTGAGCACCTATTTTCAAGGAACCACGGAGAACCAGAACTGTCGCAACGGGGCTTGTATGAAGCCAAAATAAGTCTCAATATGGTTGAGAAAGATAAAACACACCCAAGCCCTTTCTGAACCTTCGATTCTAAAACATGGCCAAACGAGTTTCCATCAGTCTCTGCAGACAAATCTTGCATTTCCGCGACTGCGGATAGGGTTTCAACAAGATCGGGAAGCCCTTCACCAGTCAAACCTGACACCCGCACAGATGGAATATCGCCACCATAAGCTTCCAGTTGAATACCTTCTGCTAAGAGAGCTCGTTGTACGGATTCCTGAAAAGGTATGAAAAAACAATTTTAGGAGATGAAACTTGACATACGACATCTGCGTCAGGTTTATCGACTTTATTGATCGCAACTACCAAACCGATTTTGCCCTGGTCTTGCTTTATGAGCCCGATAACTTCTTTTGTTTGAGGCATGATACCGTCATCTGCTGCAACGACAAGAACAACGATGTCCGTCACTCCGGCGCCTCGTGCGCGCATGGCCGAAAAAGCAGCATGACCTGGAGTGTCAAGAAAGGTGATGGATTGTGGCCCATCTGTATTACCTCCGTTTACGGATGGAACTGGCACAGAAAAAGCCCCTATGTGTTGAGTGATACCGCCAGCCTCGCCCTTGGCCACGGATGCGGAACGCAGTGTGTCAAGCAGCGTAGTTTTACCATGATCGACGTGGCCCATGATAGTCACGATGGGAGGCCGTGGAGATAATCTTTTTGAATCTGGGGTCGCTGGCCTTGGATAAACTCAGCGTTGACGACAGAATGACACATCAAAGACTAACGGTGGGTGAAGGTCAAACGCTGCTTCATCATCTACAATCGCATTACACCCAAATTCTTCAACCAAAAGTGCGGCATAATCAGACGTAAGTACTGGAAGGATATTAGCAAAGTTACGAACGAAAAGCCGAACAGAGCAAAGTCATACCATGATCGTAAGGGGCTTCGTTAGCCAACCCTAAACGACTTATTTTGCGCTGCAGCCTTGCTAAGGAATCGTAAGAAGCTGCCTCGAAACAACATTGTAACAACATGAGACTGCTTACGGAGTTTCATTTTGAGAAGCCTCGCGAGAGTGCCAACAAATACAGTGGAAGGGATGTAGATGTCACGGGGACCTTGTTCCTCTTCAAATTTTGATTTCGTTTTCTGGACATATGAGCTTTTCCGGGGTAGCGTATCACGCGAACGAGAAGGGGTAAAGTTATTTGATTCCAGATTCGAAACCAATGAGCCACGCTCTTTGAAAGCATTCCGACCGAGCCGCGCATAACGAGACTGGTCTTTGGAAGGTCGTGATTCCTCTGGTGTATGCTTGGTAAAGCCGAGACTCCGTGAGTCTCGTTTCGAACCGGGACCTGACTGGTCTGTGGGCCGAGAAAATCGTTCTTGGCTGAGACGAGGATCTCTCGAGTTGAAAGTCTTCGTTCCCTGAGTGTTGGGACGTCTGCGTGAGTCATTACCCTGGAGGCGTCCAGATTGTAGCGATGCTTGTTCAAAAGAAGCGCGGTGTGGAGGTGACTGGCGTTCCAACCCGGTTGATTGGACGCTTCCTTGACCAAACGAATGGGAAGAAGATGGAGGTTGGGTAGAAGATGCAACGGATTGCGGAGGCGATGGTGGAGATGTGCGAGCCCACTTGCTGAGTGAGTTTGGACTAGGTGAAACTCGCAATCGTTGAGGACCCGAGAATGCTTGAGAAGGGGTAGAAATTGGGGGAGCCCAATTACGGGTGGGTGCTGAGCGAGGTTGTGTTTCGCTCGGGGACTGGAAACGACTAGAAAGAGGACGGAACAGGGAAGGAGGGCGGCTTCCCGACTGGCTCTGCTCGCGCCAGTTTGATGACGACTGAGGGCCTGACGGTTCCGACACAGGGTTTGATTCTCTGGGCTACTTCCTTATTGAGTCTCTGGTACATGGTCTGTATTGAATAAATACGTACCTTCAGCTTTGCTGCAGTCGAGCCTGAACGAGTGGTTGAATGTGAACGAACGGCAGGCAGGATCTTGCCATGGCGGTGCATCAAAAGATCGTCCTATCAAGTCGAGGATAGAGGAGGACACACGAAGAAACGGGACCAGGACTAGTGCTTACCCGCGCTGAGCGACAGTTAATGGTAAGAAATTTATGTTGTCACGTGAAGAACAGAACTACTGCTCGATCATCTACCACTCTCCTCCCTTCGTTCTCCCCCTCCTTAAGCGTCATTACGCTATTTCTCGCTTTCCAAAGAGATTGGTGCGTTTGGGGAGATACCGCAACAGACCAGACTTCAAGCAAGTCGAAGGGCGGCCATCAGTTGAGGAATCCAAACTTTGGCGAACCTCGCAGCACTCGCTTTCCAAGGATGGGCCAACAGATAAACTTTTCAATCTTGTATGTCAAAATGAGGTCTTACTAATCGAAAGGTGAGAGGCTCCTTACTCATGTCCTCACTTCCTCAAACCCTCCTTCAGACAACTGGAGATGTTGAACATTTTTGTTGGGTTTGAACAAGCCAATAAATATTACATTTGTGCGCATAATCTCGCAACTATATAAGCCCAGATCTCGAATAAATATTTCGGTCAGGCAATGAAGCGGGTGAGCCCCTCGGGTTTATAGTTGAAGAAGATGCAGGCATTTTGGGCGTCGTGACGCGTCAAGCTTTCGCTACGCATCGACCCTTCCGTGCTGTCATTATGGATCTTCAAGGATCTCCAATTCTGTGGGTATGTCTTGGATACCTTGATTTTTGAGTGCTGAATCATGAGTGATAAACAGATAAGGAGACCTTTCGCGTGGATAAATCCCAGAATGTTCGTTCAACGACCCAGCGACTCCGAAAGCGGTGACGGAGAACCGGTCCTCGACACATTTGGCGAAGTACAACAAGTTTGGCATCCTTGGCGCCGCCGCTACGATCTGTTTCTTCGGTAAACACACTCGTCAACTCTCAGGCCAAATATTGAACGTAACAACAGTGAGAGTGAAAGCAGAATTCTATCCGTAGCTTCAGATGTTCAACCAGAACCACCAACATCTATATATGCCCAGTGTGCCAAAGTCGACTCTGGGTTTCTAGCTTGGGATTTTCGACTTTACAATGATCAAGGAGAGGAGGTTGTCTTTATCAGTCGTTCGTTCAGAGGGTTTGGTCGCGAAGTAATACTGTACCCATTCATCGCCGTTTTCTTCTGATATGTTTGTTTCCAGATTTTTACGGACACCGGTCTTGCTGCTTCTCATCTTTAATTCATTTCTGGTCCTGATGTTGTTAAGAATCGCAGGAAGATATTCCGTAACATTCGGGCCCTCACAATCCGACATCAATACGCGAACTTCAAACCGTGCCTCGTCGGGGAGCCTGAGTATTGACGAACGCGCTGTATGCCCATCCGTTCCACGTTCATACGATAGACTCACTCTCCCTTCGTTCTCTATCCAGCTTTATCTCGCCTTAGCAGGTATGAACAACATTTGCAATCCCATCACTTACAAGTTCTGACCTTGACTGTAGTCAATATTGACTTTGATTATTTTTCTCGTCATTCAAATTCGGGGAGGTGAGCCTACGCGTTATCCCGCGTTGTAAGAAATTATCTACTGAGGGAGTGTATCACCCGCAGCGGTGTTTTCTTTCCCTTCTCGGATGGGGACTAGTTGATACGCACATCAGGAAATGACATCTAGTACATAGACGTAACAAGTCATTACCGTAAGGAGACTGCTATTTCCGCGGAACGCAATGATTAGATCGCTGATCACTACCTTCAACAGCTTGACCAGATCTTGCTTCATTTTCAATCCAGCGACAGTGACATTCAGATGCAGACAGATCCCTGTCACTGTTGGGTTTGAAATCCCCGATGAGTTCAAGCAATATTCCCATCCTACATTTTTAGAAGTCAGCGGCGAAATTACTGCGGGCCCTGCAACTTCCTCCGAATTCTCACAGATTGTGAAGAGACGATGCATGGACTAAGTGTCAACATGCGACGATCAACCCCTTTTTGCGCATTGTCTGAGCAAGATTTAATATACGCACTCTTGATCAAACACTTTGCTTCAGGACGTGCATAAATCAATTTTGAAGGCACCCTTTCCTTTTTTTTTAATCGATTGAAGTGTTATCGAAGGCGCTGACGCTACAATGTACTTGCAACAAATGCAACCATTGATAAGCGAGGCCTAGGTGCGCGGCAGCTCTGCCCACTATGAAAGAGCCGACGTCGACATCACTGCATGTAAGACGAAGTAACGATAATGTAGCCTTGCCATCACACATCTTCTAAGAGAATTAGTCACCAGTTAAAACTGGGATCTTGAATACTGAAAGTCACTACCTTCTGTTCAACCGGCACTCCCTTTTGTTCCACCAGTCATGATAATCCAGGTCCATACGTCTCCCAAACCAGGAATCCAATGCCCCAGGGTCCAACTCTTCCAAGAGTGCGCAAGATCTTGTAAAATCGAGGTTTGGATGTCGATGGATGAATATCTTCATGCGAAGGTTTATCAATAAATACCCGGATGCCATCTTGCTTCACGCTTTGTCCCAAATGTTTTGCCAGATCCAGCCAGCCACGCTGAGGGTCTTCAATTTTTGCAAGATGGACAATATGTCGTGCCCTGTCCCAAGGCCGGCAAACGCATTCATAGATTAGCCCAGCAAAGACCTACAACCTTGTCAGAGAGTGGTATCACGGCTCATGGCAAGAATAGATTCTTACTCCTCCTGTCACGAGTATAACACCGTTCAATATCCTCTTTGATCGCTTCCTTGTTTGCTCGCTCCTCGCTAGCAATGTTTCTGTGAATGTTGACGCTCTGGCCATGGCGCTTGCTTGTCGAGTGATCTCAAAGATTGAGAAGAACGCCGCAAAACCTTCCCATGCGAGGATTGGCGAGAGTCAATAATCTGCCACGCATATAAAGCTTACCACATATATCTTTGCAGCACCCCCATCGCCATCCATCCCACCCACGACCAGCCATCTCACCCACGTCTCTCATCCAAGACCTTATTTGCCGAATTTCCTCGCGTTGGTGGTTTTGAGGAATAATCTGATTCCTGAAAACCTCTTTCCATGCATGCGACCACGAATGTCCGCCAGAGCCGCCCTCAAGAAAGAGTCGCACATTCTCAGCAGGGGCAGCAACGAGGGCTTGACATCCCCCTGCAACTCCTCCGGATATAGCCGCTGCCAGAGCGGTATGATTCCCACATGATGGTTCCAGATAGGAGTATACGTGGCCATAGCTCGTCCACAGGACTGTGCCAATTAGAGCGTTCACAGCTACTGGAGGCAAGAAATGCTTAAGCACAACGCTCGGCTAAAAAAGCTTTCTTCTCATGTCAACTCAATCATGGAAGAAAATGCATGACCCACCCCTTGCAATTTCATCAGTGAGTAAAGATAGCTTGGAGTCAAAGACGCTCCATGACCTTGTGCGAGGTTTCTCAGCGTGTGCCAGCCAGAAACTGTGTCAACAAGTTCAATGCTTATAGAAGTAGGGCTTTCTAAAAAACGGTACCTTTGGCTGGTCTGAATAGTCTCACTGGCCGTGAAAAGTACAAAGCTAAGCTTCTCGAAAAGGTGCGTGCCGCAGCCGCGTGAAATCCATTGGGGTCGTGTTGAAGGGCTGATCATGATAAGCAAATAATGAAATATTGTTTTCGTTCCACTGTCAGAATAGACCATGGACAACGCACCAATTTCTTTGGGAGGATTCTGGCATGCATGTGGATCAGCCTCGATGACTGGCATGAATTGCGACAACGCACTGAAGCACAGCTACTATGTACGCTTGTGTCATCCTGTTTGTATCGAACGCCCTTGACCTTAGCGGCCAAATTTTAGCTGAGGAGCTGCCGCCGAACTGGACAACCACTGGACTTTGACGGACTCCCAAATGACCTGTCGTCAAGCCTTCAATATGGTCCACACGTTATCTGGTGTCAGCGCAAACGTTCCTGGATTTACGCTATGGTCCAAATTTCTCACACGATCTGAACAATGGACACTGCTTGCTGCATCACTTCATAAGCTCGACTCGATGGGACCGAGAAAAGGTCGTCGCCTCCGACAAGAGCATTTCAAAACAAAGTTCAACGGTTCACCACCTGAAATGGGTGAAGGAAGCCTCCAAAATTTATTCGCTCCTGATGGGCTTTACGAGTTCCAGGAGGTGAGCTTCAAGTGTCTGATCTCGCACTTTACATCCAAGCCTGCAGTTTATCTTCCGTAGGGACACTTTGACGGGGTCATCCGCCACTACCGGGAAATGCATTTAACATCATGGCCAGTAGATACATTCGACGGGCTTGAAGCAATTCTTTCCCGACTTTCTTCCTTGTGTCCTAGTCGAGCTACGCAAACCCATTTGCTACACCTGGCGTCTTATGGAGATATATACCCCCACACTGACAACATCGGTGCCAGTGGCTCGTGGATTTTGGGAGTAAGCTTGGGTGATGAGAGACTTTTGAAAATGGAAAAGGAGGGAGACTTCTTTAGCGTCGAACTGCCCTCCGGGAGTGTGTATCTACAACGGTACGTTTTGAATGCCTGCTTTTGGATCAAGACTATACGTGGTTTTGAAGGGATTCTGTGAGGTACCAGTACAAACATTCCATCCTGAGGAAAAATATTCACCAACGTGATCCCTCGATTTCTGGTCAACGCATGAGCATCATGATAAGGGTGTGTGCTCTAGAATTCTTCTGAACGCGTTTATCTTAGATCGATCGAAGGACCTACCATCCGCGAATCCGGTATCTTGATTACGCTAGGAACGAACCCTTGCAGGCTTGCACAGTCTGGCAGGTCAAGATCCATCATTGATAACTTCAGACCTTGGACACAGATATGGGGCCTTTTTAAAAATTAATAGACTTACTTGATAAATTCTTCGTTCCAGCGCGCTTTACAGATGCATGCGCGATACGCAGATTTTCTGGGGAAAAGAGGTTCGGTTGTGTCCAACGAAGGTACCGACTCCGAGGAAAGTACGGTCGAGGTTTCGACACTGTGATGCGTCGCCCAACATGCTCTACATGAGGCTTCCGTGGCACAATGCCTCAAGGCCTAGAGTGTTGTATACATACGTAACGACCATACAAATGTAGAAAGAAAAATCAACCCTAATGTTCAACGCTACTATCCAACCACAAAAAGTATGCTAAAAAAAAACTCTAAAAAAGATGAAAAAGCGCCTTCAATCAAGACACCAGGGTGACACCAGCAGCGCTGTCATCAACGTTAAAAAGTGAAATCTTGAAAAAAATATAGAACCATACGGAAGTGTAACGGTCTCGCCATTGTCATCTTTGATGACCAAGAGTTGTGTTCCCTGAGATAAGAGGTTGGTTCAGATTGAAGAAAAAAAAGATTAGGGCAACAGGTAAACTTACATCCGGCAAGCGGCTAGAGGATTGCACCGTAGCGTAGATAATCGGGCCAGTAGAACACCAGTAGAAAACTCGGGTGCCGGCCTGTGTGGAGTGAGTACAGGAATGAAAAAGCGCTATAAAAATCGCTAACGGGGAATGCGTTCATAGCCAAAGTAGTAGTAGTGGGGGTAGCGACTTGAAGAGAACTTGACCAAGGCCGTTATTTATATGCGAACGAAAGTCGACGCCGCGATCGTAAGAGAAGCAAAGTCATAGAACATTCGGTGATAGGATTTCGCAAACGCACCCAAATGAGAAAGACGTTTGCGTTCGAAATCGAAAGCAGCGACATGACTGTGAAGTGATGGAAAGAAGGCTAGCAGAAACTGAATTCATTGGCGAAGGCATCGCCGACGGTGGCACTAGTGATTCGCTGAAGCCGAAGGCATTTCGAATCGCTTCGAGATCTCAGAAGTCGATGGGAAATGAAGATCAGGGGAGACATGAGGATATGGCCCAAGAAAGTACCTAATAGCTGCGTGCTCTTGCAAATCGATCTTCGCGGGATGAGAAATCCATGCTGAGGAGTTAAATTGGGGAGATCGATCAATCTTGAAAGATAATATTGGAGCGAGAGGAACGAGTTGATGAGGTGACGGTCCCAGGAGGCAAGTTTACATCCAAGTGTAGGAGATGACTTTTCACCGCCGCGTGCGCCTGAGACACATGCACGATGAGCATGTATTTCATGTCGAGGTTACATTTAATGGATTCGCGATCCAGAAGAGACCCCAATCGAAGAACGCAGTCCGTTGAGCGACAGCTTGGTTCATGTATGAACCCTCGGTGGAAAACATCCGATAAGCGTAAAAGGGTGGTGGGTTTGTGACGCTGCAGGGTGTGTGCAACACGTTTCAAGGTGTTGCCAGAAGGGAAGGTGATTCCAACATAGCGTTTAGATTAGATCTGGGCGTGCGAAACATACAATGCCTGTTGACAGCTCTCCATCAACCTTGTCCATCATATCATTTATCATTCAATACCACAGTCACAATGCCTGCCCCAGCTTTAGCGAAAGCAGCCAACAGGCATGACATGTCTGTCATTTTAGTGACTGGTTCATATGATCACGAAATACGCTTCTGGGAGGCCTGGAGTGGCATCTGTTCGCGAACCATTGCGCGCACAGGCGAAGCAGGCGTGAGGTTTACTTTGCTGTGAAATAATTTGCCGCGTTCTCACATCTCGTATTGCATGCAATAGCAAGTGAATCGTCTTGCAATATCACCAGAGTGAGCTAATTAGCTTACCCGCACGAGAATCAATCAAACATTCAAGTTGCAGTAAGCGGCTACTTGCTGCTGCTATTCACAAGAAGGTCCATGTATATGAGATAGGAAGTCCGTCTTCCGATCCAGTGCGTACTTGTCTCTAGGCTCCAAGGTATATGCTCAAGGCGATCAGCTGGCCATCTTTGACGGTCACAGCCTGAACATCACCTCCGTCGCCTTCCACAGTGAAGGCAAATGGCTGGTTACAGGAAGCGAGGATGGAAACATCAAAATATGGGACCTTCGGTGTGTGATTATTTCTTTGGGGGAATCTATCTCTGTGAACATGTGGTACCCCTCCAACAGCAGTTCAACCCTTCATCGAACATACGACAATTCCGCCCCAGGTTAGCTTCCCTTCTGTATTCTGTATCGTGTATTTGATGACGAGCCTCTTTCACTTAGTCAACGACGTTTGCATCCATCCAAACCAGGGTGAACTCATCTCGTGTGACCAATCTGGCAGCATCAAACAATGGGACTTGTCGGATAACATCTGCTCGCATGAACTGGTGAGACTCACTATTTTTTTCTGAATAATATGGATTCACAGCGAGAGGCAGACCCCGGCGGGCGACGTTCCCATTCGATCTGTAAGCCTGGCGTCCGATGGTTCATGTCTGGTCGCAGGCAATAACAAGGTGCTGTCGCTCGGCATCGGTCGCCGTTTCACGCATTTGAATTCATTTTGTCAGGGTCAATGCTATGTATGGAAGGTCAACGACGAACATTCAGGCCTTCCTCGTTTTCAAGCTGTCACGCGGTTTCTCGCCCATAACAAGTACCTGACTCGTTGTCTTCTCAGTCCAGACGCAAGGTAAGAGTACTTACTTGTGACGACGAAGCTCCCCCTTATGCGGATCAAGGTATCTGGCGACTTGTTCTGCCGACACAACGGTCAAAATATGGTCAATAAGCTCCAATTACGACTTCAAACAGGAAAAAGTTTTGGTTGGCCATCAGCGCTGGGTCTGGGATTGTGCTTTCAGCGCTGATTCAGCGTACCTGGTGACAGGTGGGAATAAATTGGGCTTTTGAACATCCTGCCAGACTTATCGTGTACAGCTTCTTCGGACCACACTGCTCGTCTATGGGAAATGTCTTCGGGAGAGACGGTTAGGCAGTACAACGGCCACCACAAGGGTGATAATTGTCATTGTCGCAACAATTTAGTTGTTAACACCTCTCAACAGCGACGGTATGTTGCGCACTACACGACGGAGCAAGTTAGCGGTTGATTGACTTTATCGATTCGCATTCTGACATATAATTTGAATCGTTGTTATCAAGTGAATATATACGGGTAAGGAGGCATTGAATCCCCGCCTATCTCCCCCTGAGTGACTTGGCTGGTCAGCAGGACGGGCTGCCAACGGATGTGGTAAGAGTGTGGTGTGGCGTTATAACAACACATGGACGGCTAGACTAGTCATCATTGCACGTTTACAACTTGGGACTCGATCCAGTGTAAAAAAAGTTGCATGAGTGTAAGTTAATTGTAGGTTAGAAAAAGCAAGCTGGAATTCAATCGTCAGGGTCAGTCCTAGTCAGTCCTGAAATACACGATGCTATCTGATGCTAAGCTGTCTTTCCCCAGGTTTCACGAGGTTTATCACCGAGAATCTTCTGATGCGACATCGGCCGAATTGCCGGGACATCGGCTCCGCAATGGTATAATATGAGAGTGATCCGTTTTTTTCCCTTCTAAACTTGCAAACACCCCTTGTCGAGTTCTGACGAGGTTTCTCTCAGGTTCTAACTTCAGCTTCAGTTCCCATTATCCACCTTACTTTGTTCTCCCTTACCGTATTGTAGATGGCGACCTCCGCCGTCTCCTATGACCCTTTGTCAGATTCTATCCCTCTCGTATCCGAGTTCGCTTCTACCGAAAATATCACTGGATTTAACGCTGTCCAGCGTGACGAAACCTCCTTTGCTGGCTCGCTTCCTGCTAATCAGGGTTTGTATGCCAACGAGAACGAGAAAGACTCGTGTGGTGTGGGTTTCATTTGCCATGTCAAGGGTGATCCTAGCCATAAAATCGTGTCCGACGCTCGACAACTTCTGTGTGCCATGACCCACAGAGGCGCTACGGGTGCAGACAGCCGTGATGGAGATGGTGCTGGTGTCATGACAGCAATTCCTCACGATTTTTTCAAGAGGGAAGCTGAGAGAGATATTCGTTGCGTTCTTCCCGAACCAGGCGAGTATGCCTCTGGGAATGTCTTTTTCAAAACAGGCGATCCACTCCAGCTACAAAGCTTTCAAGCCGTCTTCACCAAGATTGCTATTGATTTAGGCTTGCGTGTCCTTGGTTGGAGGGAAGTGCCTACTGATGGATCTATTCTCGGTCCGGCCGCACGCAGCAAAGAACCCATTATCCTTCAACCATTCGTCGTACTTCGAGCACATTATGGTGATGGAAATGTCAGTCAGGGGGCCACTTTCGATGCGAAGCATTTTGAACGTCAACTTTACGTTCTTCGCAAGCACGCAACACATAGCATGTTTGTCTTTTCACCTTTTGTAAAGTTTGCCTACAGTTTAACATTATTATCTTTCTCCGAAGTACGCTTGCGAAAGGTTTCTATGTATGTTCTCTGTCTTCCAAGAACATTGTATATAAGGGACAACTCTCCCCTCCGCAAGTGTACAACTATTATCATGATCTTAATCATGTGTTGTACCGTTCCCATTTTACATTGGTCCACTCGAGGTTTTCAACCAACACTTTCCCGAGCTGGGATCGTGCACAACCGTTAAGATGGGCTGCCCACAATGGTATGGCGTCCAGAAATGCAGAAGTTTGTGTCGTAACTCATGAGAAACCTAGGTGAAATTAACACTGTTCGTGGAAATAAAAATTGGATGCGTGCCCGTGAGGGCGTACTTTCCTCGCAACACTTTGGTGATCAACTCGACCTTCTTTATCCCATCATCGAAACCGGAGGATCCGACTCCGCTGCCTTTGACAACGTCCTGGAGCTGTTGGTTGTAAACGGAGTCGTTACCCTACCGGAAGCCGTGATGATGATGATTCCCGAAGCATGGCAGGGAAACGAACACATGGAGCCTGGAAAGAGGGCTTTCTACAACTGGGCGGCTTGTCTTCAAGAGCCCTGGGACGGTCCAGCCCTCTTCACATTCAGTGATGGGCGCTACTGCGGGGCCAACCTTGATCGAAATGGGCTTCGTCCCTGTCGATTCGTTGTCACGAATGAAGACATTATAGTTTGTGCCTCTGAAGTTGGCGCTCTCTACATCTCTCCCGAAAAGGTTGTGCAAAAGGGCCGCTTGAAACCAGGTCGCATGCTCCTCGTTGACACTCTCGAGGGGAGAATTGTAGATGACAAGGAACTCAAGCGGAACACAGCATCAAAGCAGAATTTTGCCTCGTGGGTCGAGGCCCATATCCTTCATGTCCCGAACATCATCAAGCGTGTAAAACGGAGTCATATACCCCTGGAACCTGTTCTCGATGATACATCCCTCAGCACTGACCCAAAGCTTCTTGCTTTCGGTTTCACAGTTGAACAACTGAACCTTCTTATGCTCCCCATGGTCTTGGATGGGAAGGAAGCCTTAGGCTCTATGGGTAACGATGCGCCGCTCGCCGCCATGGCCACACAACCTCGAATTATCTATGATTATTTCCGACAACTTTTTGCACAAGTTACCAACCCTCCAATCGACCCAATCCGAGAAAGCGTTGTGATGTCTTTGGAAGCATATGTTGGTCCGGAAGGGAATTTGCTTGAAATGAAGCCCGAGCAATGTCACAGAATACTTCTGCCTTCTCCGCTCATCTCCATCGAGGAGATAAATGCCATGAAGAACCTCAAAATCGCATACAACACCTGGCCATCACGTACCATCGACATCACCTTCCCCAAAGAAGAGGGTTTACCAGGCTATAGACTTGCATTGGAGCGTGTCTGTAGCGAAGCCGCTCAGGCTATAGATGATGGTATCAAAGTTATTATCTTAAGTGATCGCGCCACAGGTCCGACTCGTGTTCCTTTATCGGCGCTCATCGCTTGCGGCGGCGTCCATCATCATTTGACCTCCCAAAAGAAAAGAGCGAAGGTAGCACTCATGGTAGAAACTGGGGAGGCTCGTGAAGTTCACCATCTTTGCGTTCTTGTTGGTTATGGCGCAGACGCCGTATGTCCTTGGCTAGTGATGGAGACCATCCATAAAGTAGGACGGGAGGGACTGTAAGTTAACTTATCCTAGCTCTCATTCGGTTTCTAACAACATCACTCCAATAGTGTCAAGAATGGCAAATCTGTTGACGAGCTTTTGCACAATTATCGCCATTCCGTTGACAATGGTATTCTCAAGGTTATGTCAAAAATGGGCATATCCACCTTGCAGTCGTACAAAGGCGCACAAATTTTTGAAATCCTAGGCTTGCATAGCGAGGTTGTAGAGCCTTGCTTCATTGGGACTGCAAGTCGCGTGCAAGGAGCAACCTTTGATCTACTGGCTATGGATGCATTCGAATTGCACGAGCGTGGTTGGCCAAGTCGCGAGACATTGCTTCCTCCCGGTATGCCCGAATCGGGCGAGTATCACTGGCGTGATGGTGGAGAAGCCCACATCAATGATCCTGCCGGTATTGCCAGTCTTCAGGACGCAGTAAGGGAGAAAAATCAGACTGCCTATGATGCATACGCCCGCAATGCTAACGAACAAGCTCAAAGTATCCATCTTCGCGGTTTATTGGATTTCCGTTACGACAGTGCTACTGCTATTCCTATCGAGCAGGTTGAACCTTGGAATGAAATTGTCCGTCGTTTTGTCACTGGAGCAATGTCATACGGTTCCATATCCATGGAGTCTCACTCGACCCTAGCAGTGGCGATGAACAGGCTAGGTGGTAAGTCCAACACAGGTGAAGGAGGAGAAGATGCAGAGCGGTCAATGATTCTTAGTAACGGGGACACCATGCGCTCTGCCATCAAACAGGTTGCATCCGGCCGGTTCGGAGTCACGTCGAACTACCTCGCCGACGCGGATGAGCTTCAGATAAAAATGGCTCAAGGCGCGAAGCCCGGCGAAGGTGGCGAGTTGCCTGGCCACAAAGTCTCAGCATCCATCGCGCGGACACGCCACTCAACAGCTGGCGTGGGACTCATATCTCCTCCTCCTCACCACGACATTTACTCTATTGAGGATTTGAAGCAACTCATTTATGATTTAAAATGTTCGAACCCTCGTGCGCGTGTTTCTGTCAAGCTTGTCTCTGAGGTTGGGGTTGGGATTGTTGCGAGTGGTGTTGCAAAGGCAAAGGCAGACCACATCCTTATTGCTGGCCATGATGGGGGTACTGGTGCGTCTCGTTGGACTGGCATCAAGTACGCCGGGCTTCCCTGGGAACTTGGTCTTGCTGAAACCCATCAAACACTGGTACTGAACGATCTACGTGGGCGTGTCACCGTCCAGACTGACGGTCAGATCCGGACTGGGCGCGACATTGCCATTGCTTGCTTGTTGGGTGCTGAGGAATGGGGTTTCGCGACTACACCACTCATTGCGATGGGTTGCATCATGATGCGGAAATGTCATTGTTCGTACTGATTCTTTTCTCATTGGCCCATACTGACACAGCTATGACCCAAAGTAAACACTTGCCCTGTCGGGATCGCAACACAAGATCCTCAACTTCGCGCCAAATTTGCAGGTCAACCTGAGCAAGTTATCAATTTCTTTTACTATCTCGCTGAAGAACTTCGTGGCTACATGGCAAAGCTTGGATTCCGCACAATCAATGAGATGGTCGGCCGCGTGGATGTGCTCAAGGTCAATGAGAAGCTTCGGACACCGAAAACCGCACATCTCGACCTGTCTGCAATCTTGAAACCTGCCTGGCAGATGCGTCCGGGCGCGGCTACTTACCGTGTAAGGCAACAAGACCACAAGCTTTACATTCGCCTTGACAATAAATTCATTGACGAATCCGAACCTGCTCTCACCAAGGGCCTTCCTGTTCATATTGAGTGTGAGGTCACCAATACCGATCGTGCGCTTGGAACGTCCTTGTCTTATCGCGTCTCGAAGTCTTATGGTGAAGAGGGCCTTCCTAAAGACACCATTCATATCCGTATGAGAGGTTCAGCTGGCCAGTCGTGTGGTGCCTTCCTTGCACCAGGGATCACGATTGAGCTTGAAGGTGATGCTAATGATTACGTCGGGAAAGGACTCTCAGGAGGTCGGCTTATTGTGTATCCACCAAAACAATCCACCTTCAAAGCGGAGGAGAACATTATCATTGGCAATGTATGTCTCTATGGAGCTACGTCTGGGGAAGCTTTCATTCGTGGCATAGCTGCGGAGCGTTTCGCAGTGCGAAATTCAGGTGCAAACGCTGTAATTGAAGGGACTGGAGATCATGGCTGCGAGTACATGACAGGTGGTCGCGTCGTCATCCTTGGTGTCACTGGCCGTAACTTCGCCGCAGGCATGAGCGGAGGCATCGCTTATGTGCTCGATACAGCTCATACGTTTGCCTCCAAAGTTAACATGGAGATGGTCGAACTTGGAAAAGTTACTGATCCTCGCGAAATTGCCGCTTTACGTAGTCTCATTGAAGATCATCGCCACTACACCGGTTCTGAAGTTGCTGACCGCGTTCTTCATGATTTCCATCACCTTCTTCCTCTCTTTGTACGAGTCATGCCTCTCGACTATAAGCGTGTGCTTGAGGAGCAGGCTGTCCGCGAAAAAGAGGATAAGATACGGCAGAGCGTTATTGACCTGGTGCCATCACGAACTGCTAGTCAAGTTGATCTCGCGTCGGAAGGGCTGGAGGATATATTGCTTCCCAAAACACCCCCTACTTCCACACTTAAATCAAAACACGAACCTTCAGTGGTCGACTTGGAAGATTCCATGGTTGATGATTCTACCACGAAGCAGCGCCTTAATAAATTGGACAAGACCAGAGGGTTCATGAAGTATAAACGTCTGAATGAAGCCTATCGTCCTCCTCGGAAACGCGTCAAGGACTGGAGAGAAATCTCTACCCGCCTCACTGAGAGTGAACTCAAGTACCAATCGGCTCGCTGCATGGATTGTGGAGTTCCTTTCTGCCAATCCGATACTGGTTGCCCAATTTCTAACATCATTCCGAAATGGAATGATTTGGTTTTCAAGGGACAGTGGCAAGATGCTCTCAATCGGCTTCTGATGACAAACAACTTCCCCGAGTTTACTGGCCGAGTCTGCCCAGCACCTTGTGAAGGAGCATGCGTCTTAGGCATTAACGAACAGCCCGTTGGAATAAAAAGTATTGAGTGCGCCATCATTGATAAGGTCGGTTCTCATCAATCTTTTTGTTTGTTCGATGATGGATAAATATATATTCAGGGTTTTGAAATGGGATGGATGGCTCCCAATCCACCAACGTTCCGTACTGGGAAGAGAGTAGCTATCATTGGGGGTGGTCCAGCAGGTCTGGCTTGTGCCGATCAGTTGAACAAAGCAGGTCACTCCGTTACAGTCTATGACCGCAATGATCGTATGGGTGGTCTTTTGATGTATGGCATTCCTAAGTACGGTCAACTTTTCACCTCTCGAGCGGCAAGTAATACTAATGACTTTCAAGCATGAAACTTGATAAGGCTATCGTTCAGCGACGCCTTGATCTCATGGCTGCAGAAGGCATTGTATGTCCCTGTAATTCTGTATTCTCATTCCGTTTCTCATCACAGTTAGACCTTTGTTCCCAATGCTCATGTTGGAGTTGATGTTGACGTGGACGAACTTCGATCGGAATGCGATGCGGTGGTCGTATGCACGGGAGCAACCTGGCCGCGTGACTTGAAGATCCCTAATCGAGACGCCGATGGTATCCACTTTGCTATGGAATTCTTGCAGGTGCGAATGAACACGTCTCAATTTCATCCATTATTTCTTATTGTTTCCAGCTCAACACGAAATCTCTTTTGGACTCCGAGCTTCAAGATGGAGGCTACATTAATGCAAAGGGCAAAGATGTGATTGTCATTGGTGGCGGCGATACTGGCAACGATTGTATTGGCACTGCGATGAGGCATGGGGCTCGGTCTGTGACAAATTTCGAATTATTGCCAAAGCCCCCTGTCGCAAGAGGTCGCGATAATCCATGGCCGCAATGGCCTAGGTACGCGGATGAAAACAACGTGTCTATGTCTGTGGCTGACAAAATATGACAGAATTTTCCGCACTGACTATGGCCACACCGAAGTGGCAGCTCATTTTGGAAATGGTATGAACGAAGGAAACCAATCTAAATGTTGTGCTGATCCACGTAAATAGATCCAAGGGAGTATTCCATCTCAACCAAAGACTTCGTCCTCGACGAGGGGGGCAAGCTGAAAGGACTAAACACGGGTACAAAATTATCCACATACAACTCTGCGGGATATTGTCTAACATAGAGTTTCTAGTTCGGGTTGAGTGGACCAAGGATAGTGGTGGGCGCTGGAAAATGGAGGAAGTCCCAGGATCCGAGAAATTCTTCCCAGCTCAGCTGGTATTCCTCGCTCTCGGCTTCTTGGGGCCACAGAGTGAAGCTCCCAAGGCGCTCGGTATCAGGCAAGATGCAAGGTCGAACGTGCAAACCCCGCACAAGGTAGCTGAACTTAATTGCTTGCTTACTATGTATACTCACCTCAAGTGACAGAAATATGCAACCAACGTAGAGGGCATTTTTGCTGCGGGTGATTGTCGCCGCGGACAATCCTTGATTGTTTGGGGTATCAAGTAAGATTTCAATTGGCTTTCTAGATCGACACTTTCTGATGATGCTCTCGCCTCCTATTAGCGAGGGCCGTGGAGCTGCAGCTGAGGTCGACAGCTGGCTCAGTGGTGGAGAGTCGAGACTGCCTTCTTCTGGAGGGATTAAAACTCGCGTGCGTGTTTGGATCAAATCACTTTTTGTTGACATTGAGACCTAGATTTTCCCGCAGGCATTCGCTCCCCCCCCTAGCCAGATTTATCAAGAATTGCGGATATGAAGGTTGAACTCGCGCGTACTATCTACCACTTATACAATATATGCCTGCAATGTCATTCTTTTGTCGATATCTTTCGATCTCTGGTAGTAAGTCACGAAATGGACTTGAACACTCAAGCTTCCCAGTGAAAATCGACCCTAAAAAATGGCCAAATGGATCGGTGGAGCCCGATCTGAACAGGGGAGATGGCCGGAAATTGGCAAATATATCGATTTGATCCGGAGAAACCCGATCTGCACAGGGTCAATTTTCACTGGGACTCAAGCCAAAGGAATGCATCACTGTTAGCCCGACGGGCCAAATTCGCTGCACGACATAGGGATTTTATCACGTGTGCGATGTGGGAACTGTCGAATCCGACGGCTCGTTCGACTGGAACAACATGTCTTCAGGAGCAGTACGTTGAATTTGTGCGTATCTGGTTTCATGCTGGATGTTTTGCACTAGGAGAATACCTGGAAGTCCAAATCACTTTCGGAGGAGGCGCGATACGTCCGTGAAAAGGTATTGTTGAATAAGCTGAATACACCGCTAGTCAAGCAACTGATTCTCAAAACTCTCGCAAGGAGCAGGCGCAGTTGGCCGCCCTAAAGGATCAGACTGGGAAGGAGGAGACAAAAGTAAATGAGATCCAGAAGGATCAGGACTTTGAGGGCGGTTTTGGGGGCCAGGAGGATCTCGAGGATCGATACGCAACTACAAGCGGGGAACATTGAGACTCGAGGCCCAATTGGTCAAATATTATCTTTCCGCGTACGTATGTAAAAAACGACGGTTGATACATGCATTAGGTGCATTAATCGACGGGCGTATGCTATGGTGTTAAGTGAAAAGAATGTGAGCCGCATAAACAGTCCAAAAAGTCCATGTCGTCGAATACGGATCGAGGAGCGCTTGATGTACAAATTCGACGGGAGGGTTTCCTATGCCATAGGGGCTCCTGTGATGAGTGGCTGGGGAGACGGCGCTCTGCGTTGAGCGCTACCAGTGCAAAGCGGCGAAGGGGGAGCTGATCCAGGATTTATCCAAGGGTCAAGGTAACTGCACGTGGGAATTGGTACTTGGAACCCTTGAGAGTCGGCGGAGTTGGCCCATCCATTGCCTGGATTGGCGGTAGCGGTAGCCCCGCCACTTGCGGTGAATGTCGGGGCTGTAAGAGTTGGTATAACGCCTGTAGGGGTGTACGATGGAAGGAGGGAGAGTGCTCCACCGTTACTGATGGAAGCAGGAGGCCATGCTAACGCTGCTGTCGCTGTAGCGGGGATGTTTCCAGCGCCTGCACCGCCTGTTTGGTAAGCTTTAAGTGGGGGAGACCATGGGCTTGAATTTCCGCAGGCACCTATCGCCTGGCGTGGGTCTTTAGGCATCCAGCCGTTTTCAAGACCCAGCTGATATGACCAAGCTGGCGTTTCGACTGTTCCCGAGACACTAGAGTTACCGATTTTCCATGTCCAGAAGAAATAATCCTGACAAAACGTGAGATAAAATAGTATCGGTCAGTACAAACATACTTGAAGGGCATCCATACTGGCTAGAGCAAATGTATTGATAGCAGTCTTCATGGTTGAGTCCCAGTTTTGCCAATCCGTCCACGGGGTGCAGCTGCCAACACGAGAAGTACTGCCTTGATAGGTCCCTTCATAACGTGTTCCGAGGTTGACACCATTTAGGTATAATCCACAATCGGTCACAGCATTGCTCCACTCTCCGGCAGTTGTCAAACCGAAGTTACTCATGGAATTATTGACAAGACTTCCCCACGAAGTGCAGGGGGTGGTGGCGTATGAAGACATGGGACTCGACGATTGGTCGTTGAAACAGAGGTATGGATGGGTATCTAAACCGACACGATCGGCGTTTGGGAAGACGCCAACCCATTGGCTTCGGCTAAAGAAACCATCATGCAGCGAAATGAATGGACCGTTGCCTGCGCCGGTACCGCCAGCTGTGCGGATAATGTTGTATGCCTCCATGTAGCTAGCAGGCGGTTACTACCTGATGGGAACAAAATAAGTAGAAAACTCACAATCTCGAAAGCGCATCCTGCCCCATAGTGGGACCTTGAGGTTCATTCATTATACCAAAAATAGTCACGACATCTCTGTACTGTGGTTGTGACATAAATTCGGCAAAGACGCGAATGTAATCCAGGGATCGTTGGGCATTAGCATACCCCATAGGACCATTTAAAAGGCCTATGGTTCCAAGCTTTCCGGAATGATTCCATCCATTCTGACTGCCAGGCAAAGCATGTAGGTCAAGATTGATACGAAGGCCGTATTTTCTAGCCCACTTGATGGCTTTGAGGAAATAGCTGTGGGACAGACAATTATTCAGGAAGCGGTGGGGGTAGTGAATGGAACGCACGTCCAGGAGGTCCCAGCCAAAAAAGGTTCACTTCCTCGGGTCTCAATTGCCCAGTAGGGAATTGGTATGCGAACAAAATTGAGACCAGCACCAGCTATCTCCGCAAAATCCTTCTCGGTCTGCATGAAAACGATCAACACCACAAATGGCCCGTAATGAAAATAGGAAACGGACAATAAATGTCTTGTAATGATTCTCTAATTGGGATATGCCTCCATTAGCGGTATCGGCCCTCATCGCAACGCTGAGTGTCCATTCGTCGACAGCAGGCTGAGAGTTACTGAGGTATGGCTGAAAAAGGGCAGGAGAACTAAATGAAGGAGTGTTAGTAGTTTCGGCATCGTTTCAAGTATCATAGACCTGCATAAACTACGACGACAGACGTAAGCCTGGTAGATCAGGATAAGAACTTGTAAAGTTGCTTACTGGTTCAGTGTTCAACCATCCACCAATATTCACTCTGCAAAGAGTTAATGAGAAACAAAAATGCAGGAAGGAAGAAAGCGAACCCGCGTATTTTGTCAGTGCCATAGCGGAAAGTAGCGTTCAGGGCAGGGTTCCAAGATTGAGCTTGAGCCGCATTGTTATATGGATCATTTTCATCAAAATACCAAGTGCCACCGAAAGAATTGCGGTATATGAATGTTGAGCCATCGTCCATAGTAACGGTGCTACCATCACCACCGGTCACGGCCGCAAGGGTGCTAGGTTTGCCCACTGAGCTAGTACTGGAAGGTTGGGAGCTACTTGTGGTAGAATGCGATTGATCCGTTTGCTGGCTGCTCTTGGGTTTTATTATGGCAAAATAAACGGGGACAACGACAGCCGCGATGAGAAGAATTGCAGCAACAACGACAGCCACGATGACAATCTTACGCCTTGCTTTGGCACGAGGCGGCGCGTAGACAGCTCTTTTTTCTTCAATCAGCCCCCTCCGCTGTCCGACTGGAGACATGGGAAGGGCACCCTGTTCGCCGGCGAAGTAGCTCTCACGTGGATCGTCACGATAACCGCTCTCGAAACGACCCGTACCACCAACGGGATCATTGAGAGCATAGACTGAGGAGGTGTATTCCGAGTTGTTGGCAGGGAAAGTGTGTTGCGAGGAAGCATACGAATCACGAAAACCGGGCGAACCGGGGCCGTCATAGAGAGCAGTTCCGATGAACCGTGGCTGGGCTGCGCCAGCAGGAACGGAGTCGTCAATACCCAGTGCGCTTGTACCCATCTGAGGGGTGTGAAAGGCAGAGATATTAGGATCTGGGGAAGGAGGGGCGTTATACAACGAAGTGGAGATATTTTCGTCATTTGTCAACGGAAGCGGGTCATATACGATATTATTTGACGGAGGAGGGTTTGCCATGACGGAAGGTAGGGAGATAAAGGAGGGAGATGGGGATACAAAGTGCGAATAAAATGGGATAGAAAAGAAAGAGTGAAAATGGCCGACGGAGAACCCAACCGGAAACAGCACTGGACGGTGTTCATTATGTAATCACACTTGGCATCAAGGTCACCAGGCTCACTCCAAGCTCACTCTACTAATATCATGACGAATTCGGGAACCCTTGAGCCTGTTGATGCTGTTGTTGAGCCTGTTGTTGTTGTTGCAAAAGTTGTTGCTGTTGCTGCAGGGTTTACTTCTCTTAGAAAAATTCACATTCAAGTTCTTCGTTCAACTCACGAGCATCTGCAGCCGCAACGCTACCGTTACTTGGTCAGGGATGTAAGCCGCAGTCGCGGGGTAGTATTGATTTCCCAAACTCGACGTTGGACGTGCAATACCACTTCCAGGAACTTGAGGTCCTTGCACATGATTTGTTTGTTCCGGGCGAGGAGAGTTTACACCGCTGGGGGGTACCACAGGTCCATGAGGAGGGGAAGCCTGCGAGGGTGAATTGGTCGCATCACGTTTCGTAAACTGGTGGTTGGTAGGTAGATGTCCACTGAGTATCGCCGATCCTCCTCCTATAGCCTGGAGCTGCATAACTTGCTGGGCGGTTAAACCGAGGCGGTTATTAGTTGCCAAAGACGGCGTCGAAATCCTGGATGAACCCCCTACTCCTGGCCGGGCGTTGGAAAGGGAACCAGCCGAATTGACTCTCTGAGCTTGAGTTGCTTGATGCATTAGCTGAAGTTGTTGCAGATGCTGTATCTGCGACTGCTGTATCTGCGACAATTGTTGCTGTTGCTGCTGCTGCTGCTGAGGCTGAGGCTGAGGCTGCTGCTGCGAGAGTGGCGCTTGGGTAGCCTGAGCAAGCGTCAATTAATAACAAAGGAGACTTCAGTGTCCTCGCACCGGAACTGGTGGCACACCGATGCGTTGAGATTGCTCTCGCAACAGATTCTGCCTGGCAAGTTCTTCTTGTCTTCTCCGAGCGAGAGCGAGGTCTTGCACATCCCTTGCATCCTTTTCCGCTTTCATGCGACTGAGTTCAGCTGGCGTGAGTTTGGGCATTTTGCTGTATTGCCCGTGTGTCTCGTGGATCGCTGGGGTTTTCCGTTGGCCCGCTAAAAGCGTTCAACAAAGAGTTTTCCGACAGGAATCAAGCTCTTGAAAAACTCACCAACCATCTTTTGAGCCAGTTCAACTCGCTTCTTGGCGGCTTTGCGCATCGAGTCTTGTAGAAGCAGGTGCCTCCTGCGCTTCTTGGGCTCGCTCCCAGAGTTGATGATTGGTGCGTTCTGGCTTGACACACTTGAGCTTGCCAGCCGTTTCACGCCTCGAGTGGTCATCTGAGAAGGAGTCGAGGGTACCACGGTTTCCTCCAACGGTGCCTGCACTATTTCTAGTGGCCGTTGCCGCATTTCTGGTCCCCATTTTTCCTTCCAACGTTCGAGGCAATCAGAAGCCGACCGTCTATCTGTCGGTGTCGTCAAACGGGAGCCGTTAAAACACTCCGCAATAAGGGCCCAATTATTTGGGTACTTGTCACTCAGAGATCTCAGTAGAGTGTCATCACTCGCGCTCCAGATATGATCAACCCCACGCTTCCCTTTATCTTTTGCGACTTGGAAAGCCAAAATAGCCGGGCCGTTGCTGGACCTGACGTCGAAGAGATCTAGTAGATATTTGAGAAAGATTACATTCGCCCCGGAAAAGGCGTACCGTTTCCACTATCATCTGGGATTTTCATAGGACCATCTGAATCAGGCACTACAGGCATCTCCTCCATTGGCAACCATGTTGAGTCTTTCCAGCGCTTAGACGGCAAAAGAGGACCAATCAGAGTCGGTTTCGCAAACATAAACTTATCAGTCGGGTATAATTTTGTGTATGTAGTTTCTTCGATTCTTTTATTGGGGTCATCCCTATCCGAGTTCTTGCCAAGTTTTTTCTTCCCTTCGATTCCAACCGTGGCTGGAGTGACATCTAGAAGACAGAGTGGTTGGAGGTCCGGGAATAATGCATCTAAATCCAGAGAGTGAGCTGATTCATAGTTGGGCATCTCATTGCTTGACTGAGTGACATCATTTGAATTGAGGAAAAGTTTCTCATCATCCGCGTATGCTATGTTTTCGCGTAGCAATCCATATTTGATAGGCTTAATTGCTTTCACCGAGGAGCCTACCGGATCACTATCCCCGCTTGATGACTGAGAGCTGGATTTAGATCCAAGAACGGGATTATGCGAGGTTGACTTCAAACCAGTCGCAACGTCGGTAGAGACATTGGATTGGGAAGGCGTAGGCATGCCTTGAATAGATTCGTTGGTCGTCTCGCTTTCATTTTGCAAAGCGGAAAGGTCGTCGAAGTCTTCCATCTTTGGTTGCACCGTATTTTCCCCTACGCCGTCTATGAGATGGCTCGCAGTGTCGAGAGCATCCTCGATCATCGCCGCCGGCTCCAGCGGGTCAACAACACTTTGTGCATCCTTGTCCTGTTCGTCATCGTCATCGTCGTCAGAACCATAATTGACCGAAACAAGTGACTTTTTTTGTGGTTGGGTGTCGTCGATATCCATCGCCTCGCCGTCATCTTCGAAGGCTTCCGTTGAAGAATAAGAAGACTTCCATTTGACACAGACACCACAGAGAATGCGCTCTTCCCAGGAGTCCATAGCATGCCATTCGAGTACAGCTGTGGATAAAGCATACGCGAGAGCCATTTTCCATTTCCGCTCTTCACGAAAATCGATCCGCATCCATTTCTTAAAAGATAACGGATATCAATACCAATTTGAAATGTGACTGCTGAGATACATACCATTTCGTCCATGAGATAATCCCAGTGCGTCTTCGCAAGTCCTCCGACACCCCTCTGTTTCTTTGGTTGGCGGAAACTCCATCTGCCGCCGTCTTTCAAAAATTCGACTCTGTCAAGAGTACGAATCAGCCTCAACTCAGTCATAGCTACCTTGACAAGTCATCGGTCATCATTATGAAAGAAAAAAGAGAATCGCGCACCGCCCAATCACGACTGTTCAAACACTTGGACGCTCGGGAAACTTTTTTCCACACAGGGTTTGCGCTGAGTGTCGCTGCCCACCGGTTTAGACCGAGAGGAAGCAAGTCTTCTTTCTCTTTCTTGCCCTCGGTTTTCTCCCGTTCTTTATCCCGCTTACGTTGCTTGAGAGTCTTTGCTTTACGAACGAACTCCGGAGGTAGCACGTTGATCGGAGGGAGCGTATAGCGAGTGCTGGACTGATAATGAGGGTGTGGAGGTGAAGTTTGGCCCATAGACAATTCGGGAAGCGTTGCCATATCAAGTTGAAACAACTGGTCATTGATGGGCGGTGCTGAAGGAGTGGCGATGATGATTGGGCGTTGGGGAGGACGGGTTAGAACTGGAGCAAGAGAAATCGGTCGCAACGTGGATAGGGAATGGGTAACAGCCGTTGATAACAGTTCGGGATCTTCGTTGCCTTCACTGTAATTTGAATCCGAGAGGGAATTGATGAGGACTTCCTCGCTGGTGGCATCTAACTCCAACGCCTGGGAATGACGGACACCACTAACAACGGTTATCTCATCTTCTCGGATATCTTCCCTATTCCCCTCCGGATTCATGGCTGCATGAAAATCTCTATGGTCTTCATCAACGTCCATCGACTCTACAGGCTCTTGAATAGTTGTCGATAATTGTGTGATTGAAGTAGCGGATGGCAATTGCACTGGCACACCATCCTCTTCCATCGTAACGTCTTGAATGTCTGCAGCTTCTTCCTTAGTGGATTTAAAGGTAACTGGTGAGACAGGGGGAAGCTTCTCCTTGTGTGCATCAATTTCAGCAGGCGAAGTCGACGATGGTGAGACAGATGTTGGGGCTCCCAATGATTCGTCTAAAATGGGAATGCTAGATTTATCGTGGTCTTCTTCAGACTCTTCAGCGAGTTGAGGTTTCGAACTAGAAACCTGTAATGTGCTCTCTAAAGATAACGGCAATTTACTTTCGGGTGAAGCCCCCAGCGGTGGGACAGAGTAAGATGCCAAGTTGGGGGAGAATGTTTGAAATTGGTCGTAAGTCGTTTCACATTGTGGAGTTAGGCTAGTCAAGTCTGGAAGAATAAAGATAGCGGCTTTGCTGTCTTGGTCGACTACCAACGGGATTGGAGACCATTCATCTTCAGTGAGGTTTGCAATTGAAGCATTTCCACTAAACGACGTCTTTCGTCAACGAGTATGACAGTGATAGGGCGGCCAACACACTTTCTCGTGAGATCAAATCTCTGAAGGAACTTATGAAGACCAGGTTCATCTTCCTCTTGAGCTTCAGTGGGTAATAGAGCTCCAACATTATTCCTTTGTTGGATGAGGTGATACATTTGACGAAGAAGTTCATTTCGACGGGCTGAAATAGCACTGAAGGGTAAACAATAAGTCGTAAATCAATACAGGGTGCAAATTACGGACTGTAATTGTGCAACACGCTCTTTGATGAGCACAGCTCGAGAGGACTCAGTCATTGAGGGAGCAGGAAATCACCTAGCAAGATTACGTAATTGTGTACTTGAACTGGTAGCCGAGTTTCCACCATGATACAAAGTCGCTATACTTACATCTTCAGCAGTCTCCACCATGCATAGATTTTCAATATTGTGTAAGTAACGATCAACCAGGAACAACAGCCTGAAGCTTCTCCATTGCTTCGCGAACTTCCGCTTCGGCGAAAGCAGCAGCTTCTGTTGCAACGGCGAGCTTTTTCTCCAGCTCCTGTACCGTCATAGGGCGGACAATGCCAGCATCCTCGACAACCCCAATATTATCGAACCGACGTAGTGCATTGCTACTGCGTGGAAGGAATCCATATTTATCCCATCCGTTGTCATTGAATGACAGTACCGCGCGCACAGCAGCCGTGTTAATGTCTCGATGAAGCTCCTCAAGCTTCGACAACTGAATTTCCATCCACCTCGCGCGACGTTCTAATGCCAATGTCAATGCAGCAACTTCGTCTTCCTTCCCTTGTCCTTCATCGCTTCCATCCTCCAGGAAATCATCTCCTTTGAGCATATCCCGTAAAACTCCATCAAATGATGAGCTATCGTCCCAAGTGGTTCTAGGTAGAAGGCGTAACAGGTCTGAGATGGTTTGAGTAAGAGTCTCCAAGAGTTGTTGAAATGATGACACAGCGTTGTCGATGGATCCTGAAGGCATATTGTTTGCAAAAGACCCGCCACCAACTGATAAAGCAGAGAGTGCGTGCACCAGCGGCCCGTACTCAAGGGGCATCTTTGCGGCAGTGGTCAGCGTATGGAGATCAAAAAAAGGATGATTTAGAAGATCCATTCCCGGATGGAAAAGATCTATATCTTCCAAAAGTTCTTCAAGAGAGGTTGGGGATTGCTGAGTCAGGGAATTAGCCGGAGAAAGGGAGATAATGGGAATAGTGTTGACTGCAAGCCCAAGCTGGTGCAGAGGCCCTGCCGCGTCTTGAGAGACATCTTCATCCTTCTGCAACTTCGACGACTTCGAGACCGGTTTTACCTTCTTGGGCTTCTTGGACAAAAGTGGCAATTGAGAGCTTGGGTCTGATTTTATTGGTAAATGAGATTGTTTTATGGCTGGAGTGGGTTGGATAGGCGTCTTCGTGCGCTTATCGGATTTCGGAGTCTCATTAAGATTGGTTTTTGGCCGCAGACCCTTTGCTCCATCAGAGATATTTTCTCCAGTCGGGATCGCTGCACCTGCAATGACCAGACATTGTCTATCGATATGTTCCCTCACAACGGATTTCTCATCTTTGACCGCGGCCTGAGCAACTTGCTTGCCTTCCTCCTCAGCCTGTGTCTGGGAAGCCACCGCCTCTTTCTCCGTTGATTTTCCGCGAGCCACCTTGGCCTTTTTAGCGGCCCTCGTCTCTTGAGCTTGCCTCTGCCTTTCCAAAGCTCTCTCTGTGGCAGCAGCTCTCTTGGCAGCCTTACGATCCGCCTTCGCCTGGACTGCGTTCGGCAAACCGGGCGCATGGTCTTGCTGTTCCTCTGGGGAACCAGCATCGGGGAGAATCGAGAGGGCGGGAAAGTCATTATCCGACAGTAACGTAGGTGGGACCGGGGAAGATGTTGTAGGGACTAAACCATTGTAGCAAAGAAGATGAAGGACACATCAGCGTCATGTTAGACGTGGAGACCATACCAAGGCAAGGGGAGGGAGAAGTCGTGAGAAGACGGATGCTTTATGTCTTGATGTCTGAGTGTCGCGAGTCCGTATTATCGAAAAGGAGAGAGTTGACCGAATTATCAATGCTGATAGTAGATTTTCCGCACTGACAAAGCACGGCACTTGGTACACTGGCCTCCCTCCCCTGATATGGAAGTTAAGACGACTCACCAGATGATGGATTGTGGCCTTCCAAGGGTACTGTACCATTGGAATGCGGACCGGTTCCGCTCGACGTGGCTTGAGGAAACGAGAGGCCAGGTGGTGGACCGTAATGGTGATAAGCCTGTTCTTGCCCAGACGAAACAAAGCTGGCTGACATAATGGCAGGATCACTGAAAGACTGGCCGGGTTTATAGGGTAGTGGGTGTTGTTCTGAGATCAGCGGCGAGAGAGAGGAAGGTGGTTAACAACTGGGATTCAAAACCACACAAACGATGAAAGAGCATACCATGCGAAATCCTATGTAATTCACGATCACGACTGGATTGAATGAAGTCTCGAAGTTGAGCTTCGCTGAGCTCGGCCTCAAAAGGCTGGAAGCGAGGTTTCTGCTGCGAGAAAGATTGCTGCACAAGAGGAGAGCCTAGTGTCGAATTAGGTTGGGGGTTGTCGTACTCGTGGTGTCCGTGTGCAGCGGATACGAACATTTCCGAAGAATTATAGTGAGAGTGAGTATCGTTATTATTGATGCTCAGGGGAGAGGAAGCATGGAGCGGTGAGGAAGCTGCGGTGGAACTTTGACGCCCACGAGCAAACCCGAAACGCGAAACTTTGCGATCTTCGTCTAGAGGTGAATACTGTGATAAGCGGTTTGAGAACGCCAAGCTGGATGATTCCTCGTTCAATTCAGCAAATGGGTTGAATGAACCTAGATAATTTGGACCTCTCTGTTTTTCAAGGGGTGGAGTTCTACCAACAGCGGCGTCATAAATGGAGCGGTTGGCAGGATGGACGAAAGGTGGACCAGGTGGGTTGGGAAATTGCGAGGCCTGCCGGAGGGCAGGGAAAGCATCCACGTAAGACCCATGAAAAGGAATAGTTGGATCAATGTCAAAATTTGGCAATGAGTCCACATTGTTTGCGACTTCAGCCAATTTCGGGTCAAGATTAAAACTGAACCCCCCGCCATCCTCGCCGCTGAGGGTTTGCAGTGTACGATCAAAATCAGGAAAGGGACTGATACTAGAGGTCGAAGGCAATAATGATTCTCGCCTGGCCTTAACATCATCCAGCAAAGCTCGCGCTGCAGTCGACATCTGATAGGAAGATTGAGACGCAAGGAGGGGCGTTTGAGGAGATGCTGTTGATGTTCGAGGAGGTCGACTAGGTGAGAGTATGCCGGGTGGCGCTGAAAGCCCAGGTGGTACTGATGGCAAGTTTGATGGCGTATGCGCCACGAACTGGGCCCCATCTATAGAAGTATGAGGAGACGAGGGGGCAAGGTCCTGCAGCCCAGAGCCAGTATCAGATTCTGTGGTAGCGGATGGCGCTGGCGAATTTGCGGGTTCAATTTTGGGAATAGTTTCCTTTTTCTGCTGTGTAACCTTGACATCAACAGCTTCAGCGGTCTGAGGAGCTGGGAGGGAGGGAGTAGAAGGACGAGAGGAAGCTTGAGAAGCTGTTGTAGTGAGTTTTCGCTCTTGGTGGGTTCGAGTGCTGTACACGCGGCTCTCATTTGTTGCCGCCGGGGTAGTCGAAACATTTCTCGCTTGGCGTGAGACTCCACCGCGCCTGCCCTGTCGTGATAACATGGATGTGGTAACGGTGGACCCATGTGTGCCACCAATTTGTGAATTCGTGCCTGTACTGGTAGACCCTTTCTGTGCCCATGCAGCTGCTCTAGGAAGCCCGGCTGTTTAATACCAGGAGTCAGAGGAGTTGCTCGTTCATTATATTTAACGACTTGCCATCCTCGTCGCCTTTTCTTGTGGTTGAAGCTCTGGTCCGGCTTTCTGTCGCTTTCATGGTATGTTTTCTATCAAGAAGCGTATCAGCATTAGAACTCTGTGGAAGGAAACTGACTAACAAAGTCGTTAAATCCTCCTTCGTAAAGCAATCTTTTTCATCGCCCCATTCATGCAAATTCATGCAACTGTGATCGCTGCACGATATACCCCGGAGGAAAGCCATACAATATTTCGTCGTCCCATAACTGGCTCTCATTATATCCCTGCCACCGCCAGGAGAAGAAGTTCCATCGACAGCGGCGATGGCGCGTGCTGCATCCTCGCGTCGATGGTAGGTTATGTAAAGACCAACGACAGGGCCAGTACCTCCGGAAGACGTCCGCTTTACCAGTAGAATTTTCGTTATCTTGCCGTATTGTCCAAAGTAATCATTCGAACGAAGGGTCGGAATGAGCTAATTTATCATGTGAGATAAATAAACAAGAAAATTGCAAATAGCAAAACGGACCTCCTCTTTCGCAAATCTAGGACCAATCCCGAGAACGTAGACGACATTTCGTTGAACGACACGTAAATTTGCAAGTTGGCGCCTTCCTAGAGCTTCAAGTTCCTTCCTTTCGCGGTCCCGCTGCTTCTTTTGTTGAGTAAGGCGTTTGTGACTAAAGGGCAAGTGAACGGGACAACAATGGCAAAAGAATGAGGAAGATAATCAATGTCAAGTAGAATAGAGATACAAGATTAAGAGCTAACTCTTGAGTAGCAATTGGCTTGAACTCGACTGCGTCGTCTGTGTAGACTCTACGGCAAGCAGGACAACGTTTGTTCAGGTTTTCCTTGATATGGTGCCAACAAAAGCGACAGATCTGAGAAAGGGTGTTATTGAGAAAGATGGTTCGTCTTCAGCAAACTTGTATCATAAAGGGCCCACTTGGTAACCACATATGCATGGCTTGAAGTTGAGATCAGAGATGTCCATTTCCTCTAGGCAAAGAGGACACTCGGCGTCTTCCTAAAAGTGGTTCAGAAGGATAATCAGAGGGTGAAAAGGCCGATTATAATTGTTCTCTTACGGCTTCGTCATCGCTCCAATACGCGTCTTGAACACCGGCCAGAACATGAGATTTGGACTGTGTAACAGAAAATGTTGCATGGACAACTGGGGCTGGAAGAGAAGGATGATGAAGTCTCAATGTCATTTTGCAGACTGGCTGGTGTAGATCAGGGTGGGATGATTAGAGAACTGCGATAGCACAAGAAAGAGAAAGAGCAAGAGACGCGATCTGTTACAATGAGGTGCCCATCCTTCATAACTCCCACGATTTGTTATTCTCTCTTTGTGCATGCCGCTTATGTATTTGCTATGTATGAAGATCTTATCTGAGATCTAATCAGTTCTCTTCTCTTCGGACTCCAGTATTCAAATATTCATGGCGCAGTCAATCTCACAGGCTTTGGATGGAATTTCTCTGTGCGTGACCCATCGTACCACACATAACTTCGGCGATTAATGTCTTTGCTTAGTTCAGATTCGACGCAGAGTGCAGAAGCGACTACTGTCACTGCAGCTCACGAACAGCTAGTAACCCCTTGGGATGTTCAAGGTTCTGTTACCGAAGACGGAAAGCAAAATGCTATAGACTACAATAAACTTGTCGACCAGTTTGGTACTCGAAGGATTGATCCTGCAATGCTGGAACGCTTTGAACGTTTGACTGGACATAAACCTCACATTTTTCTCCGCCGAGGAATGTTCTTCTCTCATCGGTTCGTTTATCTTGAGCGGTTTTATTCAATCTAGTAATCTACGTGGCAGAGAATTCGACGCGATCCTCAACCGATACGAACAAGGAAAACCCTTTTTTCTTTATACTGGACGGGGACCAAGTAGCGATAGTATGCATCTCGGTCACATGGTTCCATTTGTGTTCACAAAGTACGTTCGGCGAGTTACATGGCTTTTCGATCAGTAATTTGGGCGTAGATGGCTACAAGACGTATTCGAGGTTCCTCTAGTGATCCAGCTCACCGGTTGGTCCATAAGATTCATATAACATTCTCCCTAACACATGTAATTTAGATGACGAAAAGTTCCTTTTCAAACATGAGCTCAAGCCAGAACAGACGCAGGCATTTTCGAGACAGAACGCCCGCGACATCATCGCCTGTGGTTTTAATCTAGAACGGACATTTATTTTCAGCGATTATCAGTACATGGGAGGTGCCTTCTACCAAAATGTCTCCAAAATCTCAAGGCAGATCACATATAACCAAGTGAAAGCAGCATTCGGCTTCACAGAATCGTACGTCAGCCTCCGTCGAAGGTTACTTATCTCATAATAGTATGTGACAGGGATAACATAGGAAAGGTCCACTTCGCAGCGATCCAGGCAGCACCGTCGTTCTCGAATTCATTCCCTCATATATTTGGCACTATCTCCAACATTCCATGCCTCATTCCCTGCGCCATTGACCAAGATCCTTACTTTCGTCTGACCCGTGATATAGCACAGAAGTTAAAATATCCTAAACCGGCGCTCATTCATTCAAAATTTTTCCCCGCGCTGCAAGGTCCACAAACGAAGATGAGTGCCAGTGACCCAAACAGCAGCATATTCATGACAGACAAGCCTGCGCAAATCAAGAATAAAATTAACAAGCATGGCTTTTCGGGGGGAAAAGAGACTGTAGAAGAACATAGACGCCTCGGGGGCGACCCGGATGTTGACGTCAGCTATCAATATCTCTCTTTCTTCCTCGAGGATGACGCGGAGCTTGAGAGGATAGGGCAGGTATTTATCATTTCTTCATCGTTACCCCCAGAAACTAACATGCTGAAAGGATTATCGAGCGGGACAGTTGCTGACGGGGGAGCTGAAAGCCAAATGTATTGAGCAACTACAGGCCTTTGTTACTGGTTTCCAGGAGGCGAGCATCCCCGATCAGCTCTTGAAACTATGTTGCTCATAGCCCTTTTCAGCGACGAGCAAAGGTGACCGACGAGGTCGTTGACGCATTCATGAATTCCAATCGCAAGATTGAGCCTACGATTGGAAAAGTGCAAAGTTGAATAGGTGACGCACTTCGGGGTGATTTGTAAATTGTGACTTCTGAGGCACGCCTGTCGACCACTCAATTCTAACTTGTTGCATATGCAGTACACAGTACTTATCCTCCCTAACGCGGATTGAGGGTTTGGCACAGTGCATTGAATGGCATTCAGTAGTTCTTTTAGACTACGTAGCGGCCAACCTTTCGTCAGCGCTGATTTTGCCACCCGACCAGTCAAAAAGTGGCTCTACTTGGCGACCTTCCCAATCGTCTAGCGCTTGTAAAGCAGCCTTCCCCCAATCATATGTTTCATGTTCACGATGGTCCACAGGTCCGTCGACGAAAGTGATTAACAAACGTCCACGCTCAGGTGAGATATAACCTTCCTCAATCCCATTGCGCACGAGGTGGCGCAGAGGTTCCCAGAAAGACAAAACATTGAGTAAAATGACAGCTGTAACGTAAGGTCAGAACATTGTGGACATCACAAGCAAAACTTACGCTTCGTGTGAATGCCGAGTTGTGTCCAAGTTGTTACCTCGAGAACCTTATTTTATTGAGATGTTAGTCGAAATTCCAGAACAACAATACAGCACTCCAAATGCATCTCACCTCTTCGAAAGTTCCGAATCCTCCAGGTAAACCAATGAATCCTCCTACCCGTTTCGCCATTTCTACTTTCCGTTCATGCATGGATTCGACTATAATCTGGAAGAAAACATTAGTACTACTTACGCCATACAGCATGAATTGACTTGCCGTCTCCGTCTACAGATGTTCAAACCGACCTTCATTAGCAATTTCACAGTTGGATCGGGCACACTTACACCTTCGCGACTTGCTCCATTGACAGCAACAGGTGTTTCGGATTTGTTTCCCTCTCCCTCTCCAGCGAATATTGCGTATGGAATGACACCCGTTACTTTTCCACCCCCTTCAAGGACCGTGCCAGACACAACGCCCATGATCCCCTTCGTTCCGCCTCCATAGACAAGAGGACGATTGCTGTCCGCAAGAGCGCGTCCTAGGGCTAGATATTGGGTTGAGCTGGGAGCCTATTGTGGGATTTGTAGCAATGGGCAAACTCACAAACTGCAGCGTTGTGGTAGGCTGAAGACTTTCCGAGCAACGATGCACAGTATACTGCAACTGCTTTGGATGTGGAATCAGGTTTCATGGGGGAGTTGTGACTACAACTCTGCTAGAACTCAACTACTAATATACTAACTCGTGAGGTCCCAATGCACTTAGGGCGGATTTCGGGCGGATTATTTTTTGCGTCATTTTACCGCCATATGCGTTCACATAGAATAAAAAGTGGCCAAGAATGTCGTTCTGAACTGAAGAAATTTCCGCAGTGTGCCCGGTGTCGAACTTTGCGGAATGGCCGAATTTCCGCCGCGCTGGACAGTTCGCCGGGAGCTCGAACTCTTCCTTCTAAATGAGTCAGTTGAATTACCGCCGAAGCAATGTGCGACGCGACCCCGCAACTCTCTGGGAGGGTTGTGCTGTGAATACTAGGTCGTTCTTGTGGGCCGTCCGTGAATTGGAAAGTACGAGGCAGAAATGTACCAAAATTTTGGCTTTAAGTACATAAAAGCACGTCGGAAATTGCCACAACAGGGCCGCCAGAACCTTAGATGGGTGCAAACCCCACATGGTAGGGACTTTTATGGATCACCAATACCCCAGACCCGTGGATATGTATAGAAATCCACGGATATCCGTGAATCAGTGATCCATAAGCTATATTTGGACGGGGGCAGCTGGTAGTCTCGTTATGGATATGTACACTATTGGGGTGTAATTATATCCATGGTAGTAATTACCCGCTCACACATTCCAAATACAGAACTTCCCCATTTTTTCGAATTCAACACTACGTTCTCTTACTCAAGTCAAACATAGCGAATTACTACCATCGGAGACTGGGTTCGAGTCTAGGCAGCTGGCCGCGCCCACTAGTACTAGTAGTACATACGCTACGGCGAAATCTCAACTTCGCAGAAGTAAACGAATGAAATTTGAGATAAGTGTACAAGATAGCTTAGCTACCTACCTAAGCGACTACCTAGCTAGGATACAAAGGGGTGTCCAATCCGAGTCGGTGCCTTACAGTGTGGATCACAACCTTGGTCAAGCCTCAAGAGATGCACATAGTATTGCCACCAGGAGCCACTATGGCGCAAGTTGAATAATACATCCTGCAAATGAGCCCTTAAGTTCACGCCGTTAACGGAAGAGGTATTGTGTTACAAATGTTACAAATAGACATCCATCTACATCTACGAAAGATTAAGGTTAACTAATAAGTCATCCTCGATGGACCATGTTTTGTTACAAATGCCAAATCAACAGGTTTTCTTGTTTCCGTCATTCAATACCGCCATCCTCCTCTGAAAATCTCCAAAAATCCTTCCCGCTAGACATACATAGGTTGATATGGATTTAAATTACAAAGGTTCCCAGACTGGTACCTGCAGTCACGGTGGCGCTCAAAAGTATTGCACACATCTAAATCTCAACATCCACTGGGGTCAATGGGTGACTTTCCGTAACTCAAATCTATAAAAATGAATAAAAATGACCCTTATCGGAGTTTGAAACGAGAACTTCACAGGAGAGTTTATTGGAGTGAATAAACCTAGTCTCGTGCCCATCCGTTGTGGAGAGTGAGCGGCCCGCCGGACCGTCGGAGTGTGAAACACACTGCAGAACACTCTCCACAACGTCTGGTGCAATTGGTAGGGCGAACCTACGGTCGAGTCACAGCGTGACAAAATGTAACAACTTTTCACGTAGAGTTTGCGTAGAGTAGGGAGCAATATCAACACAGTTTACAAGCATTGGACCTGTTACAAACTATATTTCTATGTGTAATGGTAAGTACATGTGAGCTATGTTATAATCTGGTAGCCAGCTCAGAGGGAAGGGACATGTGGGGTTCAGAGGAAGTTGTGTGAGATAACTGGAGGGACAACGAATGCATGCACACTATCTACTCTTCGCGAATGGCCATCAAGACAATGAAGCTCAGTGTTTGAGGATATGACACCAGAGCATACACAGGCAACCCAGCGGTCACTCACGCGGGGAAATGTGGCTTTTGTGCACGTATTCCTCAGCCTGGGCGCATGTGACACCTTGGACGCGCTGGAATTCTGTAAGGAGGTTTGAGCGTATGCCAGCAAAATCGACGTTGTCCGTAACATGCTTAAGAGACTCGGGAGTCGTGTTGTTTACAGTTGCGACAATATTGGGAGGTAGGGCAGATTGGAGACGTGAAAACAGGGATGCTTGTAGGAAACTTGACAAGGAAGGGTCGTCCTCGTTGATGTAGTTCGACTTTTCGCATGTGTGCGGGGAGTAGGCCGTTTGACACAGAGAACCGGTTGAGAATTTGTTAGTCGACCATTTTCCAAGAGATTACAGGTGTAACGTACCTTCTAACTGACAGTCCATGTAAACAAGTCACGACTATCCAGCACGGTAACGGTTGTGGAGGGCAAGAAGGCAGCTTTCCTCTGTTCAGCCCTTTGTGACCTAAGATGCCGATGACGATCTGTCATAGTTTATAGCTGTAGTCGATTAGCAGGAGAAGAGACAACCTGAGTTTGACCTGAGCGTCGGATTGAGGTCGCCAGCCAAAATGTTACCGTCTGTCACGCTGTGACTCGACTGGTGGTTTTGCCTACCAATTGCACCAGACGTTGTAGGGAGTGTTCTGTCGTGTATTTTGTAACTCCGACGGTCCGGTGGACCGCACTCCCTTACAACGGATGGGAACGAGACTAGAATAAACCGTAACGCCAACTGATTAGATTCTATTTGATGTATTTGCTTGCCTTGTACAAACTTACTTCCCTCCCATCTGAGCTGCTCTGAGGTCGTGTAGGCCTGTGGATGGGTTTATTATACTGATTGTTCATCCACCCCGCTGTAAAATTAGACCACACTCTGGGTGAAGCCCAAAAAATCCCAAGTTGAGCTGAACATGGCTGTGGATCAGTGAGTTAGGTGTCAAGAAGGGTGTTTGTAAAGGGAGCAACAGTTTCCGGGAGGGGATTTTGTAGCCATAAGACATTGACACTTCTAATAGACTCTGTAGTGGCTTTGAACTGCAACGAGAGGGAGCAGAATGCCCCAGCCGTAGGAGAGTAGTAGGGGATAAGGTAGAGCTGACTAAGCCAAATTGTCGGAAAAAACTATTTGGCCTTATAATAGTTTCTTGTTGATTAACTGCCTTACTTGCCTTATAAGGGCCTTGCATAGCCAAATTTTAACCTTATAAGGCAAGTAATGCAGGTAATCAACAAGAAACTACTATAAGGCCAAATAGTTTTTTCCGACATGTGGGAAGGAATCGTACCCAGGAAGGAAAGGTGTCCCCTTGGCAGGGTTGATTCCAGCGTTTGAAATCTGTTCGAGGGGTCTGTACCCTCTGAATAGATTAAGGTTTGTAAAGGTTTGTAACTGGGTTCCAACCAGGGACCTGGGACTCCATCAGAGTCGAACCCTTACAAGACTCAGCATCCCGGCAAAGGACCCTAGATTTCGTCGATTTATTCAAATCTAGAGAATTTGTGTTACGGAAAGTCACCCAATGGATCGTTTACACTAAAATGCCATCTTGCAGGCTCGCTATCTCAGGAACCGCTCAATGAATTTTTGACACCCAAATTGATTCTTGCTCAGAATTATGAAAACTGTCTCCCAAGATATTTTCAAATCTTGAGCTTTCCGAGAGCCCCCGGGCCTTTTAAAAAGTGAAATCTACTTTTTGGGAGATTTTCCCAACAATGCAATTTTACAGTCCTTGAAGAAATTTCTTTTGAATTTGATTAATAAACCCTACACTGCAAGAATGTGTTTAAATTGACCCAATGGTTGTTGAGACTCAGACGTGTTTATAGGTGTGCAACACTTTTGAGCGCCACTGTCTGTTATGGTCCCAGGTTGATTCAGATGTTCCTCAACTGTCACTTGCATACATGGTAAAATTAAAAGGTGTTAATCAGGGTATAGGATGATGTCGGCGAAGTGCACCGTTGTGGAGAAACACAGTTGGGCAAGCAACACCAACCGTATCAAGAAGCTTGCCAAAAGTGCTTCTGTAGCAAAGAACTGCTAAGTTGCGTTCAGCACAGTACCTCCGATTCATCTTCTTCTCGCTGGACCTTTAGGTCTTGCAAAGGGTTTTTTATCTTCTGTCTCCCTAACCATTACCTCTCCGATGTTTTCCAGATTAAGCTCGGCTTTCAGGTAAGATTCGTCAAGCTCAGACGGATCTGACGTCTCCACTGTTCGGGGGGCGATGGTAATATTAGGAGAGGATGATACCAATAAGGCCTTGGCGGCCCGAAAGGTCGACGTCGAGCCAGAAGAATATACCATCCGGTTCTTTACCGGGGAATTCGACGGGCAGGAGTATATGAATACTGAAAAGATGTCATGGGACAATGAAAAGGAAGCAGGAGGACGGACTAACCGGTTTCGCGCCGTGGAACACCTGTGAGCGTATGGGGCCAGGCTAAAATGGCATAACAAGGTTCGGACGGCGGCAATGCAAGACCTAGAGTTTCAATTGTGATCTCGGAAGATTTCTCCAATACAAGTGTTTCAGTCCTAGAGTCAACGGCCTGTGATGAAAATTTAAAAAATTGCGTGGGACAAGGCAACCACAAAAACCGAGCTTACGACGACGACAAGAGCGCACCCTTCACCTCTTGCAAGCTCAGTGACTGCCTCTACTACTTCAATTGACCAATTGAAACCCACACCTGTCCCGATGTGATTTATCCGCGCTTGGCTGCCACGAAGGGAATCCGTCCCGCTCTCAGCCAGGCGAAGATCGGCCATCTCCTGTTCACGAGGTGAGAGAGGTTTCGGTGCTGCTAAGTGTTTCAAGTGAGCAGCATACGCCTCTGCAGTAAGATCCGTCTTGGAGGTAGCGAATATAGAATCGGTGAAAAGTGTTGATCCAAGTCCCTTGAACAAAGATGCACGGGTGGACGCGTACAACATCTACTTAGTGCAAGGAAAATGTTTAAGTTCTGACCGACGATGGCGATTGAGTTAAATCAACCTTGTCTCTGACTTTAGCGGAATCGGGGACGTAGAATATGGCGACCCAATCAGAAGATGGCTGGTCCAGTTTCGCGAGAACATAGGCAGGGGAGTCCTGTTGCAAAATAGATTCGTCCTGGAGGCTTTGTAGATCATCCTGAAACGAAGCAGTGGCAGGAACGGAAAGATCGTGAATCAGAGATTCTGTATTGTGTTAGAGATGGGACAAAGGGTGGGGTTGCTTGACGTACCGTCCTTGATAGAGACTTTAATGAATCGGATAGATTTTGAATCGACTGCGTCTGCGAATGCTGAATAAAGACCAGGCGAAACGGGAATTCCAGAGGTGGCAGACATGGAGGAGGAGTGCAACTTTTACGTATTTTATTATGTAAAACAGACTCAGTAGCGGTATGTCTCCCAGCCCGTCGTCGCAGTGATCAATCTTCCTCCTGACTGTCATGCCCGACGCAGCATACGTGCCATACCAAGCTTACAAGGTCAATTACCGTCTCTATGAATCCAGTCTAATTCTATGCTCATCCAATCTTAGCCCAAGAGACACTCAAAAACATTCTCGAATCCAATTCTGACACCAAATGTATCACCGCCCCCGTTGTCAACAGCAGCTTCCCCTGCTCGTTTCGACGACGACAAACGTTTCGACACAATGATACTTGCTGACAGTCAACCTCCTTCGGGGAATCAATTACGTGCCGTCGTAACTCCACCATTATCCAATGAACTCTCCTCACCTCCATCCCCAATCAGTCTGGCCAACTCAGAACACTCGTCAAGCCCTCAATTTACAGGCACCGATAGTCTACGTCTTTCTCAGGGGAACGACGTCAAGGGCAAGGGGGTAACGTCGAGACCCCCTTCTCTCTTAATGGCCCCGCCTTCCCCATCAGCAGACTCACTCATTGAAGTGCCATCTTATGCTTCAGTACCTCCAATGAAGAAACCCTCCAAGTTTCGTCGCGTTCCCCCTCGCAATGTACGTTCTCCGCAGTCTTCTCCCCTCGGTCCTACACAAGGTCACTCTCGCCACGCGTCATCTTCTTCAACACCCACGCAACGACCTAATGGCGCCGACTTAAGCCCTAAATTTCACCATGCGCATGAGCTGATTCCTCCAGTGAACGATGCGGCATCTCTACCATCATTTCCCGCATCTCGACACTCAATGCCTCCCGTGTTGCCTGCCGAATCCTTGCGCACCAACGTGACGACATTCCCTTCCCACTTGCCAGACGCTCCTCCACATGACCTTACACCTTTAATACTGAATTCTCGCTCCGTTTCAGACTCTTCAGATGCTGCGGCGAAGACGCTGCAACCCACATCTAGTTCGACTATGCCCCGCCATCACCCTACTGCACCTTATCGACCTGGATTTCAACCCAAGGGTGTTTACAGACCACTCACAGACGACTTCATTTCCCTTCGCATTTTAAAGCATGGCGGCGAAGGGGATGCGAAAGGAAGAAAGAAAGTAGAAAGAACAAAGCTCGAGAGGCGGCTTGAGAAACTCATCGTTCTTCATTTCTCTTCCCCTTCAGATGAAGACAAGTCGAAAGACCCCATCTCCGCAAGAAAACGACCACCGCCTGGAAATAGAAGAGCTTCTTCCTTTTTCGATTTTGATAGCCTGAAAAATATTAGCATAAACAATTCAAGTGGGTTGTGGAGAGGTGTTGTTAGTGGCGGGCTCAATGACGGCGGAAAGCAGGACATTCGAGGTTTATTTTATTTTTGTCTCCAGTGATTTAATTAACCTGAGGAGGGAACAGCTGCGGAACAACGCATCACGCCTTGGCAGGATGATGCTGCTGTTAGCAAGTGTCCTATGTGCGAGTAAGTTTCATTTCCCGTACATTGGGCTCCTTTACCATCAAAAGACTTTGAGACTGACGCCATTTCGGGTTTTCAGGGCTTCTTTCCATCCACTAACTAACCGTAAACATCACTGTCGACTTTGCGGTCAAATCATCTGCTCTCTGCCAATCAAGCAGCCGCAACGGCCCCAAGTGTGCTCCGTTCTCTTCGTCGTGGATACACGCACGAGACAGATAGAGGAAGTCGTAGAAGGAGTCGACTATGGGGTGAAAAGACGAAGGAGTAGAACACCTGGTCAAGAGCAAGAAGATGAGGAAAAGTTTTTGAAAGGGGTGAGAGTTTGTCGAGAATGTCGACCAATAATCCTGTTAGTGAATTTTGTTTTGCGTCCACATTTTTTGATATCATTCATACAGGAGACAACAATATGTGCGACAGCATCAGCAAAAATCAGCCTTTGTTAAACTCTACGAAGTGAGTGTCTTTCGGTAAACGACCTTCTTCTCGCTATATATTCCTAACAGGATTTCATCAATCTGGAGAAAGATATTGAAGAATCCCTTCCTCAATTTCAAGAACTCTTACTTAGTCTAAGGTGATTCGCCATTGCCTATATCACATCTTCATTCAATTGAACATCTCAGCCATGATGGCCAACCAACAAAGGAAGCATTAGCGGCTCGAAAACGGCTCCTGGAAGCATTCGCGCAGTACGACAAGTTAGCAAAGCAGATACGAGGTCTACCGTGCCTCAACGGCTCAGGAAGCTCTCAGGACCGTGTGCAGTTGGCGATCATGACCCGCGCCAACTTATTTCTACAAAAGAATATGTTTCCGCTTCAGGTTGGTTTTCTGCTTTACATACATATCGCATCTAAACAATCCAATGAGCCAGTCTCTTTCAACTGCATCAGGGAGCGCCAACAAGACTGTCACCGATCCGAAACAGGTCGAGAACAGAAATGGGTCAATCAAACCCGATATTGACCCCGATTCCAAACAAGCCCATGCACTACAACCCTTGCTGGAACAGGAGGCGCTGCTGGAAGCATTTGTGGAAGAGGCCAAAAGCCAGCGCAAGTTTGAAGACGTTAAAACTTTGAAAACGAACCTGAACGAAATCCGTCACGAAATCGAGAGACTTTTAGCTAGGGGTACTTGATAGAGCTCACTTGTTTAGTGCGGGTGTCTGAGTGGACCCAAGTCGACGTTTTCAATGGAAACGCATGCTGTGAGGTATTTTTCCTCCAAGCCTTTCCATTCCTGTGCGCTTACCACACTATCATTGTGGGGCTGCAGCGTGCAGTGGCCCACATGGCGAACAGAGCCAATGCCTTGGTGATGTTGTAAATGTCATAAGTACTATACCTGCTCTACGTTAATTGTGGCCACGTTCCACCCATTCAGCGAGGCAATTTATATAGTTAATGCGTATCCCAACGTCAGTTCACTTCGTTAGTAAAAGCAGTTCGGGCTCCTCTTCTAGATCTGTGTCTGCTTGAAATGACAGCTTGGTGACAATCGCCTCGAGCACCAACATGGTAGTTCTTTGGTCCCTCCGCTCCAGCGGCCGTACCGCGAACGTTGACTAGCTGGCGTTCTTCGAAAGAAGGCCCCAAATTTAATTCAAACAATAATGATATGTATGCTCATTCTCCAAGAGAACCCAAGAAAGCAGTCAAATCTAAACCTTCGTACTCGTCTTCAGGCAATTCCTCTAAACCAAGCAGCAGATTTTTCTGACTGATGGGGCCGCTCGCTTGTTTTGCCTTGTTAGCAGCCGCAGCTGCATCTTCCTCCTCGCTCGTTCGGCGAAAGAGGTCCAAAACAAGATCTGTATCCATAGATGATAACCCAGAATTTTGTTGCGTGACCACAGAGTGTGCAATGTTGAGTTTGAATCGTTGTAATCTGAATATATCTTCGGTTAGACAATTTCGGGAATGGACTGAAAATAGACAACGTACCCCATGATTTTTTCTTCAAGTGTGCCTTTGGTGATGAGCCGATAGACGTTTACGACTTTTTTCTGTCCAATTCGATGCGCTCTGTCCATGGCCTGCAAATCCTTCATAGGGTTCCAATCATGCTCAACAAAAATGACCGTATCAGCACCAGTCAATGTCAGGCCTAAACCACCAACATGCGTGGTTAGCAGCAGACAGTCAATACTAGGATCCGAGTTGAATGTTTGCACAATTGCGTGTCGCTTGCCAGCATCCGTTGCTCCATCTAATCGCATATACGTCACCGACGGCATGTGAACCTTGAAAAGATCGCTTTCTATGATATCAAGCATTTGCTTCATCTGGCAGAAGATAAGAACGCGATGTTGTGAGAATGAACTACCGGGTTCTTCGACTGTGTCGATGAGTTCACTTTTTTGTGAATCGGCGCTTGCAATTGCAGAACCTCCGATCCCGCAATCTAATAAGAGTTGTCTACATCGGTCACTCTTAGTCACCTTAGCGAAAAGAAAATGAGGTCGACGCACTTGAGAGCCAACAGCTTTGGAGCGTTTCTGATGTCGTTGAGTCCATCACCCTGAACATTCGCATTCTCCAACGCAGCACTGATGACTTCCTTGTTGCTTTTAAGAACAAGAGCTGGATGATTACAGAGCTTTCGGAGATATTGCAAAGATTGGAAAACATGCTGCTGGCCACCTTCCGGTTTAGTTGATAGAGATGCCTGGATTGTGTCTTCAGCGGACGTTCGTGCTTTAGATTTCGAGAAATCGTCGTAAAGGTACTTTTGTAACTCCGAAAGTTCGCAGTAATAGTCTTGTATGATTTTGGGCGGCAGGTCGTGCAGCACGTCCTCTTTCAGCCGCCGCAACAAAAAGGGCAAAACCTGTTTGTGCAATGCTTCCAACGCCAGAGCAGCTACCAAAATGGTCTAAGTATGCTGTTTCGACGGAAGAGTTGAACAAAAACATACCCGCTTCACTGTTCTTGGCCTTCCCATCGCGGTTGGATAAAATCGGCTTCCCAAATCGTTCGTTGAAGGAAGCTTCTGTTCCAAGGAACCCGGGCATCAGAAAATCGAAGAGACTCCAAAGCTCTAGCACATTATTCTGTATTGGCGTCCCCGAGAGGATGAGACGGTGCTGCGCCCGTATACATTTCACGGCCTTTGTCAGTTTTGTCTTGGAGTTTTTGATAACGTGGCCCTCATCCAGGACACAGTAGAGCCAATGAAGATCTTCCAGGTTCGAAATGTCGTTCCGAACAACCTCATATGAGGTGATTACGACATCAAACGAGTGTAATTTCGATAGCAACCGGGTGCGCTCTCGAGAGTTCCCTGTATAGAGAATAGGCAGCAGGTTGTCGGCGTACTTCAGGATCTCGTAGTACCAATGGCCAGTAAGCGTTGGAGGACAGATAATAAGTGAAGGCAGGTGAACAGAATCTTGGGAGTTTGTCGCTCGATGGCGTTCAGCCCTCTCGAAGTGCTTGCTTGATAAAATACAAATAGATTGCAAAGTCTTTCCCAAGCCCATGTCTATGAACGCTCAAAGATTAGAAGTGCACAATGAATTAAGGGAAGGAGTAACCGTCGCAAAGAATGCCATGAAGTTGATATTTGGCAAGAAAAGCCAACCAGTTGACACCCTCTTGCTGATACTTTCGCAATTCTGCCTTGATAGTCACAGGCATAGTATATTGGTTCACTTTCGACCCATCAAGAAGCTGAGCCAAAAATTGGCGTTCTGCGTCTCGCCGTTTCAGCAGATCAGGCGAAAAGCCGGGAGGATCGGGAAGACCAGCCTGCCGAGTACTCAACCAAATGTCCAAAAATAAATGAGAAATGCATTACCTCCAGAGGAACCATCTTAACAAGCGATGCGAAGGTATTCGTTGCGGTTGACCGAATTTCGTCGTCGGAGTCACTCATCCTACCCAGCACCGGTACCACCATGAAAATAACATAAGGGAGGGCTTTAATATCCAACCGTTGCACGATATCTGGACGTAGATGTTAAAGTGAGTAATATTCTGGACGATAGAGGAGTCAAGGTCGCACGAACGATATATTAATTCAATTGCTCCTTGTCTGTTGGACAACACCAGAGGATCGTTGAGAAGGGGAACTAGGTGCTCAATCACATATCGCATAGCATCCGTCGTCATGACATCACAAATGGTGGCAAAACACCTTGCAGCGGATTGGCGAATTATAGCGAATCGGCTCCGAATTGCCAAATCCATCATTGGGAACGTCTGGGCAAGGTTGGACCACAGCTTCTCATGGAATGTTGGTGCAACGGCCTCCAAAACGCTGAGAGAATCGATGACGTCTTGACCATATTGTTTTTCGATCAAAATATCCGCTGTTTGTGCAGATTCTGAACCACAATAATTTGAGCGTGTGAACGACGAAAAGAAAAAATCTAACAAACCAGACTGAAATGCACTGAGGAGACCTCCAGCCATGAATTGCCACATATTTGGGATGACTTCTAGCAAACGTGGACCAAAGGTGGCGGACAATTGAGTAAAGGCTAGGCAAGCACCACGTCTAGAAAGGCGGGCCTTTCGAGCTTCTTCAACTTTTATTGGGTCGGGTTGGGAATCTTTGATGGGCTCTTTGGCACTACGGCCTTGGGCAGGTGGAGGAATATCCGTTAAGGTCGAGAAAGACAAGATTCCGTCAGTCTGCTTGCGCATAAATGCGAATGTCGGAGTTTGCTCAGCATCTTGACAAAGGAAAGTGCAGAGGTTTTTGACGATCTTGTCAGGGGGTTGCGCGATATTGTGAGTTGTACAAAAGTCGACAAAAGACGCCACGGCCGCCGCAGAACGAGTCTGTAAATCCAGATTTTCTTCGCTCTGCGTAAAATTATGTTAAAGCGTCAACGACAAGAAAAACCGAAAACAACCTTGATTCCATTCATGATACCTTTAACGACTGGACTGACTTTATCTGGTGTGCTTTTAAACGCTACAAAGGCCGCAGCAAAAGCGGCAGATACCCGAATATCGTGTTGCGCCTTAACATCAATGTAACGATCAATGCTCGCCACGACGTTGTTTCTCTTGTCACTGATCAAGGCAAGCTCCCGCTTTTTGGTACGGCCAAGGCTATCTTTTAGCCTAGAATACATGCTGCCAACCGCCGCCTGCGCAGTCTCGATCGTAAAACAATCTGGCTTCGAGCCTGATAAATCGATTTCGCTGCCAAGAAAAGGAATCGAGGACATGGGCAGCTTGCAGTCGGTTGCGAAGGATTGAAGAAGTCCAGTACACTCTGTATGGATGCGACTAAGGGCAAAAGCCATTTCGTGATAAGCAGCCGGTGGTTTCTCTTGAAGCCAGGACAATGTTTTGACGCTCAATTCCACAGCGAGAGTCGATGATTCCAAAAGAGGAGGGCGCAAAGGCAGCTTGAGAGTATTTAAAGCATGTTCTTGAGCCCACTCTTCGGCGATGATGGCTGCCAAAAACTTTTGTAGCATACTGGTAGAGTCCATGTAGTGGTTAAGTATGGGCCGAAAACATTGGTCCAGGAGCTGCGTTTTAAGCGCATAAGTACTCTTGATTCTGTTCCGTAGTAAATGAACAACACACCTCAGAGGGCCAAAACATCATTAATGTGGCCAAGGCTGTGGCCGCGGCGACTCTGGCTTTAAGTGTCACCTCAGTGCTCACCAGTGACAAATCTTGAGCTAGCATGTTCTTATCAACGTTATGACGCTCAGGGAGAACATCACCGTCATTCGCTGTCAAGGGATGGTAAAATGTGGAAGAATTTATTGCTACTCCAATGGGAGTCATCATGGCGGCATACCAATCCAAAAGTAGTTGTTGACTGATGGATAACTCCATCACCTCCGCTGAACGTGGTAGAATGCTAAGTGCTCTACGCCAAGCAGATAGGCTTGCATTGCGTATATCTTCACGTTCCTCTGAAATGAGGTTTTGGAACAACAAACGGAGCAACGCAGTGGCAACCCAATCTTTTGGAAGAGATGAGACGTCCATGAAGGAGTGCAACGTTTTTACGACAGCAAGTCGGACATTCGGTATAGTATGCCGGAAGAAAGGGAACAAAGTTTGGGCAAGGGTAGACAGAGGAAGCCTTAATGATAAACCCCTCAGCACATGGCACCAGTTTGGAGAAATGGTGCCACTCACGAAAAACTGTCATCAGCAAGTATGCTGATAACTTCATCATACGCAACGAGCTTCCCTATAAATGACATAAGAACTCGGCTTGAGTGAACACCTAGAACACCTGCCAAGAAGCTCCATGACGGCCCCGACACTCGAGCTCAGATCGTCCTTCATATCGCATAAACAGCGCCACAAAACGACGAGGACTTGTCCAAGGGAGCCAGAAAGGCGAGTTACCATGTGTTTGGCCACTGGGAGTAAACATGAAGCTGCTACAGATCGAACATCATCGTCTTTATCCCCCAAGCTGAAATAAAAAATTAGCGGTCAGCTATGATCTTTTGAGCCTTCAACGCACCCAAGTATGGCAGCATCGACAACATCTTGAAGCACATTCTGGCTTGCGCCCCCACTTTCTTCAGTTTTCAGCTCTGTGTCGAATAGATCATGGCGCACAGCAACTTCATACTTGATCCCAAGGAGTCCTGCATGCCTCACTTCCCAAACATGGTTTCGTTCAATTGGTTCTGTTTTGAGCTTCCCGTTAATGGAAAGATTGAAGTCCTGGCGAATCATTTGTAACAAAACAGCGTGCACATGGAGAAGGGAGCGTTGAGGCATATGAATCAGGAGGGAGGCGAGCGTTTGAGACACGGTTTCGCGGACAGGCGCGACTACCTGGAAGCTTGTCAGAACGAAAGGCGAGAATTGAGGTTGAAGCAGATACCTGATCTGACACAAAATCTCCAAAGCGGTCAAGGACGAAAATACAAAGGAACTTGGCAGATAAGTCATTGCACCACTTTTCATGAGCAATCTCATTTTCAGTCCAAGCCAAACCATCTAAGCGTAGATCAGCCTTGTTCACATACGAAAAAAAAAACTTGAGATATACCTTTCATACCGCCACACTTTCCCTGTACTCGGAGCAATTCACGTAACGCCATGGCAGCTCCGTGTCGAACTTCCCATGCAGCGCTGAATAGGTCCACCTCAAGAACCTTCACGACGCCATCCCAGATCCAACAACCAGGTTCTACTTCAAGTGCTTTCGACTGTTTTGCTGCTTTGGGAGAAACCGCGCCACCTTTTGTAGGATCAATGATGACTTTTTCGGACGGTGGGTCTTTAGTGCAGGGCGCGGGGCTGTTTATCCGTGAAACGGAATTTTTGTCGTCAGAAGAAATCAAACGTGCTCTTTGAAAAACTTGTTAAAACTAATACTCGACAGCTTGCGGGAAAAGTTACTTGTGAGAAGAACCAGTGGGCGCTGCGCTATATTTTGCCCCCGTCGACTGGGGAGGCGGCGCAACCACGAAAGCGGAGTTACCGGGCTTCCGTTTCCGTTTGAGTCGGTTACGTTCTCGAGCAGATAAAGCGCCAACATCCGCTTCTTGAGCAACATGATCATGGGAATCGGTTGGAGAAGGCATAGTAGGTGTCACAGTGCGTGTTTGTGGAGAAGGATCTTGATTTTCCGAGGTTGACAGGTCCATGGCAGCAAGAACTTCAATGCCGTCCGCCGAATCAGGAGGGGGAGGAAGAGGATTTTCGTCCATGTCAACCTCCATATCTGCCGCCAACTCTTTGTCCAAACCAATATCGTCTGCTACGATCTCTAAGAATTCAAGGCCAAGCCGTCCCATAGCCTCTTTTCTCGCTTTCTTAACCTCGGCCGCACTTGATAGGATTCCGGTTGGTTTCGTAAATTCCTTCCCCGAGGAAGCCAACAAAAGATTACCCTGGAGAATCAGTTCGCGGAGTGAAAAGATAGGATATTCTGGTAAAGGGAGGGCATCGGTAGTCATGGCATCATCCTCCACTGGTGCGGGCTTCCAAACTGGAACTAAAGTGAATATTTGCGAAAGTGCAACGGAAGCTGCGATCCGAGATTCAAAGGATTTCGAATGCAAGAATGGAATAATCTGGATTCGGTTAACGCATGCTCAATATTATGCTTAAGGCTGAGTACACACCCTCGCCACCACAGCCATCAACTCAGCCCACGAGGAGCGATCTGCGAGAGCCACTGACTGGCGATTGGATTTGAAGTCATCTTCCACAATGGCGACATCGCTTATGACGCTCTTGACAGCCAATTGAGCCAATTGTTTAGCAGCGGTATTCCTTACTGATGTCGAGGAGCCAGTGTCAAGTAGAAGGAGGAGCCTGTCCAACCTGTAATCTGTTGTGAGCTGGTGGCAACAGCTGGAATATACTCAGGCACACCTTGAAGTCATACCGAAGGGAATAACCGGGCCGGAGGGACGTAAGCGCAGGAAGCGTGTTTGGGTTTGTTTACGGGGGGATTTTGGGGCTCGCTGTTGCGCCTTTAAATCTCCTACTCATCTACGCGTGACTGAAAAGCGTGACCGTTACCCAACCACAAATAGACTAGCAATATGCCTTTGATTGCCCTTGACTTATATATTGCTCCCTTCATATCATTTTCTAGGAATATCACAGCCATCTCTCTATGTCCTGGATGCAGGAATTCGCAGCAGATCTTCTCAATGACTTCAATAACTGCGAACTTCCTTTGACCAGAGGTGCTCTACACCCCGTCTGCTAATCTGTTGTGCTCAATCAAAGTTCATTCAGCATTACTCATGTGCGACCAGTCTTATTTTATCGCCTTGCGAGACGCGGTGCAAGACCTGGCATCTGGATTAACTGGGGAGAAACGCATCACGGAAATTCATACTATCACGGCTGCCTCCTACGAAAAAATGCGAAACTCTTCATCCTCTACTGAACTCGCCATTTGGAGAAGAATGTATACCGACTCATCGATAGTAAAAGCTCTGATAGAAGTCGCTATTTCGGCTTCGGCTCAGGCTATATCGACACTGGATTATGCCATTATCGTGGCGGGTGCCACTGGTGAAGGGCGCCTGGACCTAATTCATCGCCTCGTGAAAAAAATTCAATTTGCCTTTTGGCCTGGTCCATGTCAGGCTGTAGCCCCGTCAGGATCAATTTCGACGTTGTCCTCGGTTCATATTCTGTCAACCGCCAAACATGCCATACCAGAAATCTCAACACCTCCTTCACTTTTATCTTTTCAGTCAGAAAACTCACGACATCCATTTATTTTACGCAACTATGCAGATAAATGGCCCGCAATGACAAACCATCCTTGGCGTTCGTCGCGCTATCTACGTGCCGTGGCTGGTCCTGGTCGCGTTGTCCCTGTAGAGGTGGGAAATAATTATCTTGCAGACGATTGGAAGCAAGTAATAATGAAATGGGACGATTTTTTATCCTCTCTCGAGCTCGAGGATCAGCCACTTCCTTGTCGGAGTGACGAGGTTCTTTATCTGGCCCAGCACGATCTTTTCATGCAATTCCCTACATTACGAGGGGATATCGTTATCCCAGATTACGCCTTTGCTTCTTTGTCATATACAGACCATTCCTGCTATCGGCCTCCAGGCAATGACGACCATATTCTGTTGAATGCATGGCTAGGACCCAAGGCAACCGTTTCGCCAGCCCATACTGTACGCTTCCTTCGTGACATATCCAATACTTGCGCTACTCACGACTATACAGGACCCTTATCACAATCTTTATGGTAAGTGAATTTCGAGTGCCTGTCTCCTAGCATTCTGAAAACTTCGACAGTGCAGCTTGTTGGTCGCAAGACGGTGTGGTTGGCACCACCAAGCGTATCGCAGCATATGTCTCGGCACAGAAACACTGATCAAGTTATGGAAGAAAACGCTGCGAAAACAATGACCAGTAATACTTCTGATGCAGATGTGTTATCTGACGGAAGTTGTAAAAGCAGTTTCCCAACTTTCTGGTCCCAGGTTGTGCCAACGGCAATGTCCGCGACATTGAAACCAGGAGACCTGCTTTTCTTTCCTGCCGGATGGTGGCACGCAATGCGTAGCGAAGATACAAGTTTCTCTATGTCTATATGGTTTTAATCGCGTCGGTTTGGATCAGCGTATTGTATCAGTAAAGTTATTTTACTCGTTAAATAATAGAGTAACCTGGGTGACCAATGAATGCATCACCCAGCTCTCACCTGGCTCTCACGGTCCCTTGCGAAGAATAGACTCGATTTTCAGCAATCAGGTTCTCCGCCTACGCCTATTGTCTCTGCATCGCTAGCCGGTGGTATGCACGGCTGTGATGAATTCTCAGATGTCTTCCTTCGATGTCGAACGAACACCTCTGTCAGCATATCCCGATAAACGGTCACATTTAGTTTCAATGCCGCTCACCCCCTCTTTGATTGCAGACGCTGTCCGCAACTCAGCTGATGCTGGAATCACTCTTGTTCTGTCTAAAAAGAACATCACTGAAGTTGGTGCGGAGGCTGCGGAAGAGCTGGCGAGCATAGGAACGGAGGAGCAAGACGTTCTCGAGAGGTGCGACGATTCATAGAATCTTTGGTCTTCCAAACTTAAGCTACCTCCCTCTGTCAGACTCGCTCTTGGAAACAATCGGCTGACAACTCTTCCAACAGAGTTTGCCTCACTTTCGCGTCTGCGATACTTGAACCTGAAGCACAATGGCTTCTCGACTTTCCCTGACGTTGTGGGTGTATTTGTTCCCTTGGCTAACTGTTTCCTCAAAATGTTGTAGTTGACTTCCATGCCCTCTCTGGACACTCTGGACGTCAGTCACAACAAGATCAAGTATTTTCCTTTGCGACCTGGTCAGCTCCTGCAGTTACGAGTTTGTGAAATTCCATTCTTTTTCAGTTATATTCTCAATGTCACTCTTAGGTTTTCTGTTTTGCAAGAAACAAAATTACAAGGTTGCCCACCTATCTCCCGCACTTCCATAACTTGGATGTATTGCAATGGGAACGCAATCCCATCGAATGGCCGCCAAGCAATGTGATGAGAGCTGTCGTTGCAGATGGGAAAGGCATGAAAGATTGGATAAAAGCCGTTCAGAGTTGGATAGAAAGCGAGAATCGTGCTACAAAAGAACTAGAGGATTCTGGATACAGCGAACAGGCGCCAGTTTGGGATAGCAGCTTGTTCGTCTTCTTCCCCTCTATCATCACAGCACTACTGAAAACACACTACTCCATCCATCAGGGAAAAAGATCACTCTTGGCGGTTCCCAAGTCACGACAGGGCACTCGATGTGGGGGCTCCTCACGTCCGATCGATTTCTGTGGACTCTAATCTCTCTATGTCATCTATCGCGGAGTCCTTGCAAGAAACCGAACCTTCCTTTCAGGATGTCCTAGACCAGCACCCGGTACCCCTTCTCTTTGATAACATCACCTCTGGGAGTGTCGATCTATCACCTACAGGTTCTTTCGGAAGTTACCTTCCCAGCCCAGGAGAAACGGATAGCTTTGAAATCACGTCTGGGGCTGACGAATTGAATCGTTACGATTTACAGTACTCGTCCCAACAGTCGCACTTTCGGACTTCGTCCTACGCCGAACACCGAAGCAGCGGATCTGCTAAAATTGCCCCGAAAAACAGCCTTCCTGATCTTCGTAGCACAAACTGGATTCCAACGATTGAAACCCCTCAACCGCCAGAAAGGGGGCTACCTTCGCTGAGTAATAGGTTGAAATCGGAGAATTCTGATAACTCAACTGTTGCTTCACATCTTCACGACCACGAACCAGACCACATGTCTACTACATTAACCGAGAACTTGGTTTCCTCAAATCATTCGGTCCCATCGATGGCTTTTGAGCGCAACTCTTATTTTCGTCGTCTATCCTCGATGCCTTTTTCTACATCTCTTCCAAACCCTCTTATTTGCCTCGTGGAGACAGCGCGTAGCATTCTTTTTGCTATGAGCCAGGTCTACCAAACCATTGAACATTACGCCAATCATGCCATTGATGATCGATATTCTTCCGTCTTCAAGAAGGTTCTGGATCCTGCGAGTGCAAGTATGATGCAACTGATTCGGTCCCTTGACCGATTCGATGCTGTAAGCCAAAAGACATTACCCCCTCCTGCGGTTTGCCGAGGCTTGGTAGAGAGCTGCAGGAGTACGATCACCGTTTCTGGTAAAGCTATCGGTGTTTTAGCTTTGCAGCTACGCTTAGCTCAATGCGACGACGCAAGATACTCAAGGTGGATAGTACTGGAACTTTACGCGGCTAAGGCAGAGATTTCGGCGGCATGGCAGGATTTGCTTCCGCATATCGAAACACTTAGGCCATTCTTGCAAGGGAAAGCGATATTCGGGCACTCAGCTTCCATTGGTCTGCCGATACCTGAAGTACTGTCGATCTCTCCTTCTTCAGATCCTCTCTACGCGGCACCTCGTTTGCGATCGATGGACAACCTCTATCCTCCTGCATCAACTCCCTCCGTAGGACGAACTCGCACAGCTAGACGGCACGCAGGTTCTTTCAGTTCCAAAGATGTGGAAATTGGAAAGCAACTTCCCTCCTACGACATATTCCCCGCTTTGGTTGGAGGGGTTGCTCTCAATACACCCACACTTCGTACCCCAAAGCGGCAAACCACAGCTCCAGTGTTGGCATCGCCAACGCCCAGAACGTTTCCCCTTACAACGCCCACGGCTTTCCCTAGCATTACCCACGTTCAAGAAGATAGCAATTTAAGGCACTCCCGTCGTGGTTCCTCTAGTTCACTCCTAGCATCGTCCGCATCAGCCTCATCACTTTCCTTAATCACGACTAGTTCACTTTTAGAAATTCCATCGAACTCCAAGACACAGGTTGATAGAGAAGCGTTACAAGCTGTCACAGACGCTGTCCAGATCGCTCCCACTATCTTGGATATGCTGGAGGAGGCACTGGGGGATGTGTTGTCCTCCAACGCTGATATCCGACAAAGCCTCGAAAGGGCGAGAGATGTCACGATTAGGTTGTCCCACCTCGCCCGGGCGGCGTCGAGCTGGGACCGTGCCGCTGATAAAACGATCCTCCGCGAGGATGCACATCTGTTCCTCAAGGTAAGATTGCAAGAATGTGACCAACCACTCTTCTCCTGCTGATTATCCGTTTTCAGGCCGTGGTTCAAATTTCAAACATAATTAAGACTTACGGCAGCTCACGTTCCATGTCGTCTACACTACGGTCCAATATGGTGAAACTAACAAATTCAACTGAAGAGTTTGCCATCTTGCTTCATGTTTCCTCATTTTCTCCATCATCACCGGGCGTACTCGGCATCTCTCCGGCGCAAAATGTTTTCTATATGCCAGAGGACAATCGGCTGGGTTCAAGTCTGTCACGATCTCGAAGCGCGCAACCCGTGCCAACTACGAAGCACCCACCTGCATACGATGTGCCGCATAGTGCATTGCCTTCTGCTTCTTTTAAGATTCCAAATGTTCGGCGACTGAGGGGTGCTCTCGAAGCTCGCAACGACAACTCAGAACCTGGGTGACAGCTTGGTTGATTTGTCGGATATCTAACATGTATTATACCACTATGTATACTCTATATACATAATTACTTTTGCTCGTACTTAGTACTTCAGGGACCAGCGGCGTTCAAATTATATTATTTCTTTGATAAGATTACCTGTAAAGTACATTAACTTGACATTAACATTCAGCATCTTGAACTTCCCTCTCTTGCGAGTACACCAGTTAGGAGTTTTCGAAGAGTTATGACCGCGTATCACAAAATCCCCTCAATACCTAGTGATTTCCCCCAGCCTATAACGGCGCTATCCTTCGATCCTGTATCTGACATTTTATGGGCCGGCTCAGACGCTGGGCGGGTATTGGCTTACTATGGCAGCCAGGGCATGAAAGGCGTAACATTTCACGTTGGAGGCAGCAAAGCCGTGAGTAAAATCTCAGCTGGCGACAACTATGTGAGGGCACTAGGTGCATCGGGTGATAGATTGGGGTCATGGACCAAAGGAGGGATGAACAAATGGTTCTTTCGGTAAGTGCTAGTCTTCTAGAGCTATCTTGGCTAACCTGTCAATCTCTCTCGCTCTTAGCCCATCTGCCCCTTGTGATATTACGACCTTCTCCAATGCGTCCCATTCTCATTTCCTCGCGGCTGCGACGACCAATCTAGAGTTACTGTTCCTTAACTCTATGACTGGAAGCGTTGTACGACAAGTTCCGACTACGTCTGTCATCACCCAGCTCCAGTTTTCACATTCCGTGCTACTCTCCGGCTCATCGGATGGCTTTCTGCGTGTTCATGATCCCCGTACAGGTATGGGGCGGGCGGGTGCTGCAGAAAGCGTCATCAAATCACACACGGGATCAATACAAGGTTTGCAGACAATCGGTAATTTTGCCTTCACTATTGGCATGGGTGAAAGGTAAATTTGAGTATTTTACAGATTTTCTTCATCTTATTCTGCTGTCCACTTTATCTCTCGTCTAGGCAATCACGCCCTTTCCCAGACCCACTGGTCAAAGTTTACGATTTACGAACAATGCGGCCGTTACCTCCAATTGCATTTTCATCAGGCCCGGCGTTTATACAGGTTCTTCCGAAACGAGTTTCGAGTATCGTGGTAGTTTCAAACCAAGGACTAGTCAATGTGGTCGATGTTTCGAATTTTTCCTCTCCGAGTGAATTCCATCAAGTAAGCTCCACCAATTTATATTTACGGCACATATTAAGCTATAAGCATAGCTCGATATTTCCTCCCACTTGACATCATTTTCAGTTTCTCCAACAGGAACATATATGGCATTTGGTGATGCTGAAGGCGTCATCCATCTTATATCGCAAGCAGAAGATAGCGTGACGCCCTTTAGTGGATTTGAAGGACAACCTATCCCATGGGTTGATACGCCTGCCCCACTGCCGAATATCGAATGGGAAGCGTCGACGTTTGTAGCTACTTTTCTTCCGTGTATTTGATGCTCACAAGTAGGTTATTCTAGACCTCTAAATTCCATCGGACTTCCTTATTATGATACACAATTGTTGTCATCTTGGTCGTCCCAGTTTGCCACAACAATTGGCGACTTTCCGTCTCCAACCAAAATACCTCCACAGGTTTTGAACACGATGAAAACAAAGGATAACATAGCATACGCCGCCCTCCCAAAGGAGCTTAGAGGTCGTCGCAACGTGATTTCTGTTGGGCCTTCCAGAGGTAATGGTCGATTCAGAAGTGGTAGATCAAAACCAACGGAGGTAGCATTGGCCCTTATTGATCTAGTGTATTCTTCTAATTTGTTTTGTTTACAGCCAGAACCCGAAAGCGTTGCCTACGACATGACGTATGGTGATGTCCCACGTATTTACCGACGAGTGGAAATTGAATATTCGAAATTCGGAGTTGAGGATTTTGATTTTGGGTATTTACTAGTCTTGGTACCCTGTCATCAAAGTCTGATTCGGGTTACTTCTAGTTTTTATAACAAAACAGATTGCAGCGGCCTTGAGACCCATATCCTGAACTCTTACACAAACGCTATCGTCCAACTGATGCACTACGTCCAGCCAATAAGGCTTCTGGCAAAATCACACATTACCACGAACTGTCCACGGGAGCACTGCCTTCTTTGCGAGCTAGGATTTGTCTCTCGTATGTTGGAGGACGCTCATGGAACAAACTGTCAATCGAGTAATTTTTGCAAGACTGTCGGTGTTCTGGCGCAAGGTAAGAACTCTTTTCTTTCACAGTTTGATTATATTGAAGCATCTCCCTAGCCTCAAATGCGATTGAGATCGTTGACTATGGTCGAGAAACTACTGATGTGGACTACGCACACAAGATACAGACATTCCATCGCTTTTTGATCGACCATCTTAGTTCAGAAGGAAACGCCTTTCCACATAATCCTCAACTCTGGAGACGTACTTCTGACTCGCAGTCTCTAGCAGCTGCGCCTATCACCCAACTTGTCGGCATTGACGCAAAGAACATGATAACTTGCTCCAATTGTAAGGCGTTGAGAGAGAAGGAAAACATGACACACGTTGTCGACTTAACATACCCTCGGAAGGTGTGGCCTCCAGAAGAATGGCATTGATTTCGCGTCTAATACCCACATCAGCCTTCACCTGGAGAATCTACAGTTTCCCCTGACTTTGCTAATGTCCTCAGGCTGTCATTGCTCCGGCACATGACACACAAAGCAACGTGTCAAAGCTGCAAACAGTTCTCTAGTTTCACATCCACGCGATCCATACCATCACGGGATCTCCCGCCTATCCTTGCAATAAATGCCTGCGTGTACAACGAAGATAACCTTGGGTTTTGGTTGGATTCTAAAAACAAAAATTTCTTGCAACCGCAGATCCAACTGCACGGTCAGAACGATGGTGTTGATGATACGTTTGGGGTCACTTACGAAATCAGGGTGACTATAATCTCTCGGCTGATTCTTAATCAAGCGTTTTAACCCCCTACCCAACAGGCAATGGTCGTGAAAATCACAACAAAGGAAAAGCAGTCCCATCTACTTGCAATCATCAAAGGTTTAGCACCATTCAGCCTACTTGAATGGGGCTCATAGATTTCCACCAGTTCCGGAGTCCAAGAATTACGCCAGCCCTTGGTTTGTTTTCAACGATTTCGTGGTCCAAAATATTTCAGAGGAAGAGGCCTTGAGTTTCCCTGGTAGATGGAAGGTAACCCTACACTATTCCGATCTTGATCCACATTCAAAGAGCTCTCTAGACGCCTGCGATTTTATACCTGGATCGAGAAGACGCACGTAAAAGTTTGGATTTTAGTGGCTTGCCATCTAGCATCGACCCAACAATCCTTACCCGAGACACGTCTATATCGTTGTACGTAACATATACTCCTTCTTGTTCTGTCCATTGACGACAAGACAATTTCAGGAACCGCGATGATAGTTTGATTAAGCAGGATGTTCTACGTTCTGAAGAGTTGCCAAAGCCGGGAACTTTAGTAGCTATTGATGCAGAATTTGTTTCCATGCAGCAGGTGGGCCTCATCCTGTGGCGAAATCAGCACACTAATCCGCACACAGGAAGAGAGTGAATTTCGATCAGATGGAACGAATAAGGTTCTTCGACCGGCCAGATTGAGTCTAGCTCGGGTGTCAGTCTTGAGAGGGGACGGTCCTCGACAGGGAGTACCATTTATTGACGACCATATCCATACTAGTGAAGTTATTGTCGACTACCTGACAGAATTTTCGGGAATTAAATGTAAGCTTTTGCCATATCCAAGTAATGAAACTGATTCACCAGGCCATCAAGTTGGGGATTTGGACCCTATTCGATCTCCTTACACTCTGACTCCATTGAAACTGGTTTACAAGAAATTGCGTGTTCTCGTCGACCGCGGATGCATCTTTGTTGGTCATGGTCTTTCGAAAGATTTCCGCATCATCAGTAAACGTTCTCCCTTCTAGCTAACCGTTCAAAGCTGATTCTCCACAAAAGATATCCATGTCCCTCCTGAACAGGTCATCGATACAGTCGATCTTTACTTCCTTAAATCTCGCCAACGTCGGTTATCTCTGCGTTTTCTCTCCTGGTTTGTTCTTGGCCAATACATCCAAACCGAAACGCATGATTCCATTGAAGACGCGCGTTCCGCGCTCGGCCTGTTCAAGGCTTTTCAGGATTTAGAAGATCAGGGCAAGTTTGACGAAAAGCTCGATGAGCTTTATAAGGAGGGCAGGCAATTTGTAAAAATTCCTCGACCTTCCAAGACCATTGATTAATAGCTGCCTTCCAGAACTTCAGACCTCCCCCACTTCCTGGACTTCCTGGTCGCCAGTCTACCCCGACTGCAGCCTCGCCTGCTCCGCCCTTTGCACCGCTTCACCAGAACTTAATTGACTCGGAATCGTCAAGAATGTACTCCGATCCTACGCCTAACGTTCGAAGTTTCGAACCAAGCGCATACTACGGAAATCGCAACTGGCGCCGTTGAGTTCCAAAACAGCATTGTATCATCTCAGCAAACTACTTTGCTGACGAAAGGGTTGCGTGAAATGCTTGATGAAAATCATGGCAGCACTTGTCGAGACGGCGCGACAAACCCGAATATATGCACAGTATAGACATAAATCAGATGTCAAAATCGTCGTCGAGGTCTTTTCGTCGCTGATACTATGATGAAATGTCAGGATGGGCAAAGATAGACGAGGGTGCTGGCACGCACGATGATAGTAGATTTCTTCGCTGTTGTCTTTCCCCTGACCTCTTCCATCTTACACCTGAATTTGAGCAACTCGATAAAGGGAGTGAAGCTTAAAACCCGCACCTGATCTAACAAGTCGATGAGTTGTTCCTCGGTGACTTGCCCTCTTAATTGACCCGATTGTGCCATCTTCAACAAAATCGTCTCGATCTCCTTCGATCTGTCGGGACTAACGAGTGCTATCCGTGACACTGGACGTTCAGAAGGGCAAATGAGCAACGGGGAGACTGTTGGTTTAGAAAGAACGCACATCTTTCCCGTGCAGGAGTAGCGAGTACAGTCCTCAGCAGATCTCGCCGCATCTGCTCCTCTTGGGCGCGTTTAGCATCGTCTTCTCCTCCACTTCCGTCAGGAATCTTTGAAGTCCCTTGTGGCAGCTTTATTCCATCCATTATAGAGGGTCGCGTATGAGTGAAAGTCGCAGATCGGAGTCAGAGGGAGTTAGTCGCTCGTGCAAGAGGGTATTGTGATCAAGTTTCTCAAAATTTGTTCAAACCATTAATTTCCCAGGCATTCAACCAGGCTACCAAACGAAACTATGCTACATTACGTGGAAATATCATCTAGATACTGATATACAAAAGAGCGAAGAATCATCAAGATCGTAAGTAAAACATTCTCTAAATCATAGCGCCAAAGAGGACAAAAACAAGAGCCGCAACGCTCGCGCCACGGAATGTAACTGTCCTTCTGTTCGCGTCGCTCGTATTAGACGTCGTCGAAGAGCTTGTGCCATTCTGCTGCTTCGCAAGTGCTTGGAAAGCAGCAAAATTGTTGGAACCTGACTCAACCGAATTGATAGAGAACACCATTCCCTGACCACAGTGATTGGCTTGACGGCAGTAAGCCCAAATTGGTGATGTCTAGTAAACGTCGTCAGTATAGGTGACGACCTCAAAAAAAGTCACGCTTACGTTGTTCACAGTGATTGTATATGTGGGGAAGGTAGTGGCGCCACTGGCAACGGGATTGCTGGAGATCACAAGTGTCAATATCTTGAAACAAGGCGGAGTAAGGAAGAACTAACAATCCAGAGTCAAAGCCAACAGCCCCAGTTGTGCTTGTTAGAGATAAAGCACGGCAGGGAGTGTTAAAGGAGCTCTGTGTAACCGTATGATTCACTTGATGGAACTCAAAAGTAACCGTATCTCCGACTTGAGCGGTGATATTGGAGGGATTATATGCCAGCACGCCTGTACCCCCAACCACAACTTTGTGATCAACACTTCCAGTCGATGTAGCAGCCGAAGTTGTGTAGGTCGTAGTGCTTGCTTGACCGCCTACTGTAACAGTGGCTGTTACAGTAGCCACAGCGCCTCCTGTAGCGGAGGGAGTGGATGTCGCAGCGGCTCCGCCAGTAGCGGCCGCTTGGAACGCAGCGAAATTGTTGCCGGGATTGACTGCGAACACCATACCCTGTTGACAATGATTGGCTTGGCGACAGTACACCCAAACCGGGCTGATGTCGGTGACAGTGAGTTGAGCGACGGGAAAGCCGCTGGTCACCGAATCTGCCACTGGAACGCTGCGGCGATGTTAAAACGGAGAAGATATAAAGATGCGAATTCGACACTAACAAGCCCGAATCAAAGCCGCCTGATTTGGGTGTGCAAGGCGATTGAAGAGTTGACTGTGTAGCTGTATGGTTCTTTTGCTTAAAAGTAAATGAGACGATATCGCCAACGCTTGCATTCTGCGCAAGTGGGTAAGATAAAGAATCAGGCGGCATTATGAACGTACGACAAATGGAGGCGTGTATTGTAGGATACCAGTTCCGCCAACAACGACGTTAATTGTAGCAGCATGAGCCACACGCAGAGCGACAAGAGCAACGAGGATAGAAAGCTTGAACATATTTTAAGAGAACGTTCAACGTCGGCAAGAAAGAAAAGACAGAATGGGAGAAAAAGGATGGAGAGTGTGGGTATGGGTCGCTTTTATATAGGACAGAACAATGGCCATTGTGAGAACCTGAACAAGAAGATTGACCATAGTCGCTGCGCATAATGGACGCAGATCTTAGATTAGATTAGGCATCTCTTTTGTTCTTGTCACAATCACCATGGTTACATGTCACACATACAATTCCACAAATTTACCCCATCGCTCAATGACAGGCTTCACGGCAAGCTCCCATTCTTTCCCTGCCTTCTTGCCCTGTTTCCATCTTTCAAACTCAAAAATTTCTTTGTGAACGCTCCCACAATCCGGACACGGCTGCGCATCGCCATTCTTCTTTTGGTTGCTCTTCTTTCGCGGTGAAGACGTCACTGTGACTTCATTTGAACTGCTTTCAACTTTTGGCCACTCTGGGTCAAGGTATACGCAAGTAGCAACTAGGTCAGCTAGCTCTAGGTGGATCAAACGCTCTGTAAAGAATGCATCGTCTTTATCTTTGTCGCAGATCGGGGGCATTTGGACTTACCCAGGCGGTGACACCACGCTGCTTTTTCTCCTGCCCTCACTCGACCCTTCATAAGGCTTCCTTCTCCTCCGTCCTCATCCGGTTCCACAACTCCAGGGTAAAATCCTCGCAATATCTGCTCCTTTGAACCGCATTGCTTCCCCCATTGGTCAATCCTCTTGACTAGATTTACTGCTCGTCCCACTTTGAGCTTTATGGTTTTGTCCTGGGACGGTTCTGCCATGTAAAATTAAGCAGATCATAGCAAACCCAAGACAGATCGACATACCGCGAATCTCAAACGTGTAAATGTACCCCTCAACATCGGAAGGGGACCTTGATTTTTCCATTTCAACCCGGAGGGACACCCGCGTTTCCGCTTGGAGGTATTGTGGAATCCAAGCTGTTCAAATGGGATTACCCAACAGCAAATAGTCAGATTTTTGGTATTGCACTCACCATCGAATGTCACGAACTCCCCGTTTTTCTTTGAATAATAACCACTGGGTTCAAGGACTTCTTTCTGATGCTGATGGCAAAACCTTGGCAAAGCTGGAGAATCTTGATCTTGGTTATTGCCAATGACCTGTGCCAGTGCTCCTCCCGTTTTCACAATGCGGACGCAACGCTTGCCCGCCTTGGTCACTCCCGCACATCGAAATTGATCGTTCTGGTCCGTTGGTGTGGGCGGTGTTGACGCTGAGCGCTTCCTTATTGGCCTTGGGGGCTTCGAACTTGACTTCGAAGGGAGTTGGGAAGTGGAAAGCGGAAGCTGCGGGGTAGAATGGGGACGTATAGGAGGTGGTGGGATATCGTCACCCAGGGCCATCTGCATTGTCAATGACTGAGGCGCATAATAACCAGATGGCATATTGGGCGCGCTCGCCGAGTGCTGGAATGTGGGAGGACGGGGAACGTTTAAATTTGGGTGAAATCCGCCAACGAAGCCTCCACCTGCAGAGGAGATACTAGGGGGAGGGACATTGGACAGACTGAGATCGTTGAATGATTGAAGAAAATCCTGGTCTGAAGGCCGGGCAGCATAGTTAACTTGAGGGGGCTTTGGAGGCGGTGGAGGTGGAGAATCTTTCTATGTATTATAGTAAAAAGTATGAGAGATCTGTTAGTTGATTTGGCGATACTAAGTGATGAAACTTACCTTGTCGAGCGAATCAATGATCTTATTGAACAAGTTCTCAGCGAGATGCTTCGCTTTCTCTTTTGCAAAGGGCATCGTAGATGGATAAAGTCAGGATAAGCACTGCCTGAGCAGCAAACTCGACTCACTTCATTGTCCAACTGTCAACAATGATCGGAGTTTGAAGCAAGTACATAACAACCAACCTTGCTAAATTTATCGACGCGGCGCTCCTTTCACCTCGACGTGAGTTCACTACTTTTTTTTTCACTTCAAGATGAAACGCACTGGGCTCTGAGATATCCTTTGAGGTCACGCACTACGCTCAACGAGCGGCGGCCTAGAAACCCGTTAACTGATTATTTTTCTTTTCTTTTCCATGTCATCGCACGATCTCACGTTCAAACCACCTTCCCAGGCATCATGGACTGCGATGATCGTGCACTCCATCTCTGCCAACAATGTCGACTGCTTTGTCTTCCGCACGGGAAGCACTCTCATCGCTAGACAATCAGTGCGTTTCTTCCGTCCCTTTTCGCAAAACTCTTTTTATGTGAATCGATAGGGAGCAGAATCTTGATGTCAAATCTGGCATGTCGCTTCTGTTTTTGATGCGTCGCACTATGCTATCTATCTTATATGCGATCTCTGGCCCTTATCTCGGCTCATCTCATGCTGGGGCACTCGTCAAGTAGTCGTACCATGCCCACTCAAGCATTCAGCACAACGACACGAACACCTGTCTTGTCACAATCACAATTGTCACACATACAGTTCCACAAATTTACCCCATCGCTCGACGACAGGCTTCACGACAAGCTCCCATTCTTTCCCTGTGTTCTTCCCCCGTTTCCACCTTTCAAACTCAAAAATTTCTTTGTGAACGCTCCGACAATCCGGACACGGCCGCGCATTACTATTCTTCTTCTGTTTGCTCTTCTTGCGCGTTGCTGTGTCTTCATTTGAACTGCAGTCAACATTTAGCCACTCTGGGTCAAGGTATACGCAAGTGGCAACTAGGTCAGCAAGCTCTAGGTGGATCAAACGCTCTGTAAAGCATGCATCGTCTTTATCTTTGTCACAGATTCGGGCATTTGGACTTACCCAGGCGGTGACACCACGCTGCTTTTTCTCCTGCCTTCACTTGGCCCTTCATAAGGCTTCCTTCTCCTCCGTCCTCATCAGATTCCACAACTCTAGGATAAAATCCTCTCAATATCTGCTCCTTTGAACTGCATTGTCTCCCCCATTGGTCAATCCTCTTTCCTAGATTTACTGTTTGTCCCACTTTGAGCTTTATGGTTTTGTTCTGGGAAGGTTCTGAAATACAAAATCAACCAGATCATAGGAAACCCAAGACAGATCGACATACCACGAATCTCAAAAGTGTAAATGTACCCCGGAACATCGGACGAAGACCTCGATTTCTGCATTTCATCTCGAAGGGCCGCCCGCGTTTCCGCTTGGAGGTATTGTGGAATCCAATCTGTTCGAATGGGATTACCCAACAGCAAATGGTCAACTTTTTGGTATTGCACTCACCATCAAATTTCACCCACTCCCCGTTTTTCTTTGAGTAATAACCACCGGGCTGAAGGACTTTCTTCTTATGCTGCCAGCAATATCTTGGCAAATCTGGAGAATCTTGATCTTGGTTATCGCCAGTTGCCTGTGCCAGTGCTGCGCCCGTTTTCACAATGCGGATGCAACGCTTCTCCGCCTGGGTCGTTGCCGCGCATTGAAATTGATCGTTCTGAAGGACTTTCTTCTTATGCTGATAGCAATACCTTGGCAAATCTGGAGAATTTTGATCTTGGTTATCGCCCATGGCCTGTGCCTTCACAAAGCGGGTGCAACGCTTCTCCGCCTTGGTCATTGCCGCGCATTGAACTTTATCGTTCTGAAGGACTTCCTTCTTATGCTGATAGCAATACCTTGGCAAATCTGGAGAATCTTGATCTTGGTTATCGCCCATGGCCTGTGTCTTCACAAAGCGGGTGCAACGCTTCTTCGCCTTGGTCATTGCCGCGCATTGAACTTTATCGTTCTGGTCCGTTGGTGTGGGCGATGTTGACGCTGAGTCCTTTCTGATTGGCCTTGGGGGCTTCGAAGGGAGTTGGGAAGTGGAAAGCGGAAGCTCCGGCGTATGATGAGGACGTATAGGAGGTAGTGGGGTATCGTCGTCCAGGGCCATCTGCATTGTCATTGACTGAGGCGCGTTCGGTGGATAATGATAAGCAGATGGCATGTTGGTCGCACTCGCTGAGTGTTGAAATGTGGGAGGACGGGGAACGATTCGTAAATGGGTAAAGTCAGGATAACTGCCAGAGCAGCAAACTCGACTCGCTTCATATTCCAAAACTGACCAGAGGTTACATAAAGCAAGTACAAAGCACCTAACAACCTTGTAACAACTAACCTTGCAGAACTCGCTACTTACCACTGACCAGGTGTGAGAGGTGTTGAATGTTCTGAATATGGTGACTGTTTGTACTTTGTTGTGGTTTTGTTGTGGCAAACGACGCTTGTGCTAAATTTATCGACGCGGCGTTCCTTCCACCTCAACGTAAGTTCACTACTTTCTTTTCACACCGCTTTATTCAAGATGAAACGCACTGGGCTCTGAGATATACTTTGAGGTCACGCACTACGCTCAAACGAGCGGCGGCCTAGAAACCCGTTAACTGATCTTTTTTTGTTCTTTTCCTTTTTCATCACACGATCTCACATTCACACCACCACCTTTCCAGGTATCATGGACTACGATAATCATACACTACATCTCAACCAAGTCCTAGAAACAATGTCGACTGCCTTGTCTTCCGCACGGGAAGCACTCTCATCGCTAGACAAGCAGTGCGTTTTTTTATGTCCCTTTTCGCGGAACTCTTTTTATGTGAATGTATAGGGAGCAGAATCTCAACGTCAAAGATGGCATTTCGCTTCTGTCTTTGAAGCATCACACTATGCTATCTTATATGCGATCCCTGGCCCTTGTCTCGTCCCATCGTGTGCTCGGGCACTCGTTAAATAATCGTACAATGCCCACTCAACCATTCAGCACAACGACACGAACACCTCGCGGAAACGGTGCAGGTGACCTCGTCGACTCGATGATCGAGGGTCGCGTAGTGCTTGAAAAAATTGGCGCTCTTGAGAGCCGAATGCGATACCAGATCGAAAAACTTTTAAAGATTGCCGAGGATTCTGGAAAGAAGGACAACATGTTTGACGGTATGAACACTGACTTTCATTTCATGACAATCATCTGACGCTTCAGCCCCCCCTCAGACCCTCTGGACTTTCGTCCAAATCCACAAAACCTCATGTCCAAGCAAGGAGGGCAGGAAGACGCAGACTCGCACCCTGAATCTTTTTCACGCAACGATTACACACCTGCCGGCGACGGAATATACCGTCCGCCACGGCTGGCACCAGTGCCTTATGTTGCAAAATCAAAAAGCGAGAAACGTCGGGATCGTCCTCCCGTCCCGTCCGCTTTGGCTACCTTGTCTGCCGACCCCTCGCGGCCACACCTCGAAACAACTTCCGGTTTAGGTGGAATTCCAGCCCTCGCTTCAGGTCGAGCCAGCTACCTGAAAAGGTTGAAGGACTTTGAGGAAGAGAACTTTTCGAGGTTGATAATGAAGAAGAGTGACGCCAAACGACGCGCGAGAGACGAAGAAGACCTTGCGTTGGGTGGGAATTTAGCTGGAGGTGGGGGCAGACGCAGAGCGGGAGGACTGGCGGATGAATTTGGAGATGTGTTAAGGAGTGTGGATAGGGTTAGTGGACGCGGGCAAGGTGACGGCTACGAAGAGCTGAGGAGGAAAGGCAAAAAAGAGGATGTTCTTTCTCGGAGTCGTAGGTCTGGAGGGTTGAAGAGACATGAAGAAGCTGATGGGGGAGATGATGAACCTCGACCGAGGAAACGAAGTCGATTTGAGCTGGATGCCAAGATCGCAAAAAAGAAATTAGGCAAACGAAGAGGATAGTAATGTAATCAAAAAATGTTTGCCCTGACAAAAGATAAATGAGAACCATAATAAGCAACGTTGAGTGAGTGCAGCTGTTGCAGCTAGATAAAGAAGGATAAAGGAGAAAAAAAGGGCAGACTACTGGTGTTTGTAGTTGCTATTACATAATAGCTACGCTTATGTGATAGCTACGCTTATGTGATAGCTACGCTTATGTGATAGCTACGCTTATGTGATAGCTACGCTTATGTGATAGCTACGCTTATGTGATAGCTATGCTTATGTTATAGCACGCTTATGTGATAGCAAGTGGCTGTGTAATCTCTCTTGCTCGTATACTTTTGCCCTCTCTGCGGCCTTCCACCACATTTTTACATCATGTAAAATAGAAGATACATTGAGATTATTGCGCAAATATAAGCTATTACAAAATTTCTATGTATTTTACTGTTCAATTTTCAACTACATCACAATATAACTGTTGGGACAAGAAATTCAACAGGGAAAGAATGTGATGGTCAATTTGACATTTGGATAATTGATCAGCTTTGAATATTAGCTGAAAAAATGTGAGATGAAGTGCCACAGTCATTTGAAATCAGAGGATAGGTAAATCATTCAATGTATGCCTAAACAAAAGAGGTTTCTGGGATTCTTCCCATTCCCGAAGAAATTAGATTCAAGTCAGCTATGCAACAACTATTGATGCCTGAGCCTTGGGTAAAAAAAATGGAACTGATACTTGGGATTGTGTCAAGGTACAAAATATGCTGTTATGTCCATCCTACTGTTGCAGAGAAACAGTTGTTTTTAAAGCTTATGTGTGAGTATCTAGCATTAATCAGGAGATCCTGACTGCAAAAAAAAGCTGTAATTGTACAGAATTGTAATCATGCAAAGGGAAATGAAAATGATATCTTCTACAAAATATATTCTGTAGTATGGCCTGTGAACATCAAAATGGAGGTGCTTCACATACAGCCCATCAAGCAAAGGATCAATTGCTCCCACCCAAATTTTTTAAAGTAATCCAGGGCTTTATCATTTGGATGTGGATAGTCATTTTCCTGAACCATCACAGGAGAGGATTAATTCAGCCCACACAATATCACTGCTAGCCCATTACAAAATACAGTTTAATTAGCTAATAAAAGGCCTGCACAAGATGTCGTAGAAATTTCAGCTCCCTAATTACCTTGAAAGAGAATCAGAGCAGGAAATGATGCTCTAGGCCAGAATTTGAGGGCAGTAGGGCAGATAAAATTTACTGGAAAATCCCCAACAGAGTAGACTGTGATGGGGGGGATAGCAGGTATCCAAAGGCCCTGTCAGAATAAGGTTGGTAGGCCAGTTGTAGGTGGAGATGGAAAGATGGGTCAGTAGTTTATAGCTCATGATTGTAAGATAAGATAAGATAAGAAATATTCCTCTTTTTTTCGTCTTTTTATTTTATTTTATTTTATTTTCTTCTGTAGCAACTACAAACACCAGTACCCTGCCAAAAAAAGCGTCACCTGAGCGATTCGAACACTCGCGGTCAAAGACCAACCGCTTAGCTGTATAGCAGGCGATCCCGTTAACCACTCCGGCAAAGTGACTTGTGAAAGCAGAGGGTTTGAATGTACATATCCACATTAAAACTGCTTTCTATGAAGGGCTTTGGAAAAAGGATGCACAACCCATAACAAATTCCTCAAACAAAAATGTATTTTGTCCTAGCTTAACAACCCTACACTCATGAATCAGATTTAACTGTTCCTTCTGCCAAAAAATCGCGAATATAGGCGACCAATTGGTCCGTTTGCTCCTGCGTAATGGCGTTATACAGAGAGACGCGGATACCGCCCACAGAGCTATAACACGGCATAAGAGCTCAATTCGCATTCAAAAGCGGTACAACTCACCGGTGACCTTTCAGGCTTTTCATACCCTTTGCTTCTGCCCCAGCCAAGAAGCGAGCCTCGGCGCCCTCCCCCAAGACTTCAAACACAATGTTCATCCAGCTCCCGCTCCCTTCCTTAACGTGGCCTTTAAGCAGACCGAGCTTTTCGCCATCTCTAAGAACAGCATATACTTTATCTTTCTTCCGTTGGTTTAGTGCCTCGTAGTAGGGAACACCTCCCAACGCCTTGTTCCTCCGCAGCACGAGGCCCGAGACGTACAAGGAAAACACGGGGGGCGTATTCGGCATACTTTGTTGCTCCGCAAAGGACTTGTACGCCAAACCGATAGGAACGGGGGCTGCGCCCAATTTGGCAGCTGCGTCTACATCGACGATGCAGTCCTTGCGAACGATAATGATAGTCAGCCCAGCGGGCCCAACGTTTTTCTGTGCCCCAGCGTAAATGACCGCATGGTCCGCAAAGCGGGGGATCGTGCGTGACATGAACGAGGAGGAGTAGTCGGCTACAAGGGGCAGCAGCTCATCCTTCGGGAGGTGATGGAATGGGAACGACTCGGGGGCTTGCGGGTCATGAGAGAACTGCACCCCGTTGACCGTCTCGTTCTCGCAGTAGTAGATGAGAGCTGGGCTCTGAGAGAATTTGTACGCGTCGTGCGGCGGGATGTTGTCGAATGATTTACCGTTGCTCGACGTGACCCGTGCATCGGCCGCGATGTTCACTTTACCCCCACCTAGACGGCCAGCTTCTTGTGCAGCAAGCTTGCTCCACGTCCCGGTGATAACATAGTCCATGACTCGTTCTTCATCTTTTAAGTCAGGATGCAGCAGTCGGTGACGGGCAAGGAGGTTGAGGACGATCGCGGAGAACTGGGCCGTTCCCCCGCCTTGCGTGAAGAGGATGGAGTGCGTCGAAGGCACGTTGAGCTGCTCGCGAATCAGCGCCTCGACTTCAGCGAGAAAGGCGGCGAATTCTTTAGATCGATGTGAGATTTCGGCAATCCCAATCCCTGTACCCGCAAAATTGAGCAAGCCTCTGGTGGCTTCTACAAGAACCGACTCTGGCAAGGCTGAAGGCCCCGCTCCAAAGTTGATTGCTCGAGTTTCTGGCATGGTATACGGGTGAAATTCGAGTCACACATCCCGTACATACCATTCCAATTGTCGGCCGATAAAATGAAAAAAAAAATCATATCTAATCAGTTCGAGGGGTACGTCATCTGGATTTCAATGTGCTATCGTATCGGGAAATGATTGTCTGCAGGTTGTCCATGAGTAAAGCAGATTGGAAAAGCGAGGACAACGATTGCTTGAAAGATATATGTATGTAGTGCGCAGCAAACGTCGTAGATGGGATGCGAACTATATATGGGTGGGTGTGGTTCGTGCAACGAATAAATCACAAAGGGCAGATCGAACGAAAGTAAAAGCCGTGTGCAGGATACAGTATATATATGAATATTGGTTTGGGATGATGATTAGGGTAGATGTTGTGATGGGAAATGATGTTAATTTGCTTGATGATTGCAGGGAGAATGCGAAAAGAACGTAACGAAATTTGATTGATTGCAAGGCATAAAGAGCATGTGAGTCGAACGATGGTTTGCAGCATAGAGTTGTTGTTGTTATTGCTTGATTTCAAGGGGTTGAGAAAGCATGAGAGTCAGAGGATGGTTTGCAGCGAAAGGAAGGTCGAAAGCAGAAGCAGGGCTCGCCACAGGGTCAAAAGTCGAAGGAAGGGATGCATTGATTCGGTCCCTGCTGATGAGGGTCATAAGATACAGGCATAAGGTTCTGAAAGAGAATCCGAGAGGGGTTGAACCGCGAACGAGGTGTTGTTACAGAAGGCGATAAATAGGGGCTGAGTGAGGTATCGCGTGTGGATGGGGGTAGGGAGTAGTCGGAAGAGGAGGATATTGGATTCGTCCTTAGCGAACTCTTCCGACGACGTACGGGACCCGATAAGGGGATAGACGATGACATGTCTGAAGGAAAGGGATCTGGAATTTGAGACAGGTCTGCGATGTCCCATGGATTAGTGAATTGAGGGGTGCATTCGAGAGCTGATATCCATGGCAGCTGGTCGAAGACGTGTGGGGCGGGATCAACGCGACATTCTACGCGTGATGAGTTGCGTCTGCGGCGTAGGGAATGAGAGACAGTCCTTTGGCGGCGTCTTGGAGACGAAGTTGAGTTCTAAATCGAGAATAAGAACATGCAGCAAAGATATGATAACGAGACGACGCCTCACGATGGATTGCTCAATAATGGCGATGGGAGAGCTTAATGGATGATAATGGGGCATGGGTGGCACAGGCATAGCGATAATCGTACAATGGAATGAAGAGCGATACTTAAGGAGACGAGATGATCATAATATCGGACAATGATTAGGAATGAGTTAACCAAGAGGAAACACACGCCTGACAAGACAATGCAATAAAGTCACCTGACTCGGCACACCCCGACAAAGCAATTCGACAAAGCAATTCATTGTTGTGAGAAAATGTTGTATCAAATGGACAATGCAAGATGAGAATATGAAGCAACTATGACAACCCTTAATCGATCTCCTCCATGGCCGACGTTGACGCGCCCGCATCTGCACCATCAGCCGCAGATGTCTCCTCAACAGCCGCCTCCTCCTCTTCATCCTCATCAACGTCAAGGCCAAGGCTGCAAAGAGAATCATTGTCAGCACCCCTAACCGCGACGGCAGCAAACCATAAGACTTACGCAATCATCCTGTAGATGCGCTTGGCAAACGACGAAGGCTCATCCAGTGTGAAGCCGGACGTAAGAAGGGCCGTCTCGAAGAGCAAGTACGTCAAGTCACGAACAGACTTGTCAGCCTTGTCCTCCTTGACCTTGCGTTTGAGCTCCTTCACGATTGCGTTTGTGGGGTTGAGCTCGAGCGTCTTCTTTGACGCCATGTACGACGACATTGAAGAGTCGCGGAGAGCTTGCGCCTTCATGATACGTTCCTACAAAATCACCACATTATTGAGAATCAGCTGTCACGAGAAAGGAAGACAAACATACCATGTTTGATGACCAGCCGAACTGACCAGTTACGAGGACACATGGCGAATCGGTGATACGGTTAGACACGACAACCTTCTCAACCTTGTCACCAAGGGCATCCTTCACCGTTGAGCAGAGCTCCTGGAATTCGGCAACCTCAGCCTCACGTGCCTTCTTCTCGTCCTCGGTTTCCTCGAGCTCAAGGCCTTCCTTCGACACACAGACAAGTTTCTTGCCATCGAATTCCTTGAGCTGGGTGATGGCGTATTCGTCGATGGGGTCAACGAGGAGGAGGACCTCGAAGCCCTTCTTCTTGAGAACCTCGAGGAAGGGTGAGTCACGAACAGCGGCAAGCGACTCTCCGGTGAGGTAGTAGATGGTCTTCTGGATCTCATGCATGCGAGTGATGTAGTCTAATTAATAAGCAATCAATACCAAACCCGGGGAATACTGGGACCGAAGAATATACCTTTGAGGGAGGTCAATTCATCGGTCGACTTGGTGGAGTAGAAGCGAAGGAATTCAGCGAGCTTGCTGCGGTTCTGAGCATCCTCGTGGATACCGAGCTTGATGTTCTTTCCGAAAGCCTCGTAAAACTTGGCAAAGTTGTCCTTGTCTTCGGCGATCTCACTGATGAGATCCATCGTTTTCTTCACAAGGTTCTTGCGGATGACCTTGAGGATCTTGTTTTGCTGGAGAGTCTCACGGGAGATGTTGAGGGGAAGATCCTCAGAGTCGACGATACCCTTGACGAAGTTCAGGTATTCTGGAATGAGGTCTTCACAGTCGTCCATGATGAAGACTCGGCGGACGTAAAGCTTGATGTTGTTGCGCTTCTTCTTTGATTCGAAGAGATCGAAGGGAGCGCTGCACAACTCGTGAGATGAGGACAAATGGCCACCAATCTAACTGACGCACCGTTTTGGAATGAAAAGGATGGCCTTGAACTCAAGCTGACCTTCGACGGAGAAGTGCTTGACGGCGAGATGGTCTTCCCAGTCATTGGTCAAGCTCTTGTAGAAGGAGGCGTACTCCTCAGTGGTAATGTCGGAAGGATTGCGCGTCCAGATAGGCTTGGTCTTGTTCAATTCCTCGTTGGTGGTCTCCTTTTCTTTGATCTTCTTGGTTTTCTTCTCCTTGGTCTTGTCCTCCTCATCATCGACTTCCTCGATCTTGGGCTTGTCTTCAGCCTCCTCCATCTCCTCATCCTCATCCTCGACCTCCTAAAACAGTCCATCAATAACAACACTTAAGTTAAAAGCATCCACGCGCTTACCTTCTCAACCTCCTTGGTAACGGCAAGCTGGATAGGATATGAAATGAACTCGGAGTGCTTCTTCACGATATCCTTGATCTTCTTCTCCTCGAGGTACTCAAGCTGGTCCTCTTTCATGTAAAGACGGATTTCGGTACCGCGGCCGAGAGGTGGGTTGACGGTATCGGGAGTGATGGTGAAGGTACCCCCGGCAGCCGATTCCCAGATGTATTGCTCGTCGTCGTTGTGTTTTGAAATGACTTGTACGCGCTCAGCGACGAGGTAGGCGGAGTAGAAACCAACACCAAATTGACCGATCATGGAAATATCGGCGCCACCACTGAGGGCCTCCATGAAACCCTAAACGCAGAGAAATCGTAAATACAAAAGGACTCGTCGAGGCAGATCGGGTTACCTTTGTTCCAGACTTGGCGATGGTACCAAGGTTGTTGACCATATCGGCCTTGGTCATGCCAACACCGGTATCACGGATTGAAAGGACCTTGTTCTCCGTGTCGGGGACGATACGGATGTAAAGCTCCTTCTCGGTATCGAGCTGGGTGGGGTCGGTGAGAGAGGCATAGCGAATTTTATCGAGGGCATCGGAGCCGTTGGAAATCAACTCTCGAAGGAAAATTTCCTTGTTCGAGTAGAAGGTGTCTATAGATGGTCAGATGGTAGACGTGGGTACGGCGTTTGAACACATACTAATGATCAAGTCAAGGAGTTGACTGATCTCAGCCTGGAATCCGAAGCTTTCTGTGGCCATTTTATCTGTTGACGCAAGATCAGACACGAGGAATGGCAGATGTAATGTGGACGAACTTTGAGGAGAGGTATGCAGATAGAAAAAGGGATGGATGTGAAAGAGGAGAAATGCGTCTTTTCTTCTTTATGTAGTCCAATTTTTCATTCTCGAAGGATCCGAAACTTGCCTTTTTAGGAAGAAGTCGCGGGCGGCTGATCGAATGTTCTGGAAAAACGCTGGACTAAAAACACAGGACTAATAAATTATTCCCTTTTGCCCGCTGCATTTCCCTTTCAAAAGCTCAACCATCTCTCTGAGCTCCTCAACCTCATCCTTGAGTTTTGAATTCTCATCCTTGGCCTTTTTGTTTGCCGATAGCAGCGCAGCTTTCTCCGAAGCAAAATTGGTGATTTCTAATGCGGGGGAGTGTCGCGGAGTTGATATTCTCCTCTCCTCAACTAATTGAGCTTCCAGTGTCATGATTTTTCGACGATACACGCTAAAATAATAGTTGGTTCAAAAATGAATGGCGAAAAGTTAAAGTACCGACTGACCGTGCATTATCGTCCATTTCGGCTTGCGTCCTTTCCAAACTTTCAAGTCGAATCTCCATTTGCCTGTATTGACTCTTCATGATCTCCGCTTCCTGTCCGCGTTCGTTGAACTTGTGGAAATCTTCATCCCTGCGACACATATCAATTATACCCCGCAGTCACCAAGCAAGCTCACCATAGTCGTTGGATCTTGACATGTTGCTCAATTTGTTGTTCGTAATCTTTCAGTCGGTCTATTTTGTGCTGATTTTCCTTCTTCTGTGTTTGAAGCTGAAAAACTTTATTCGTTGCCTCACCCAACAGTTTTCCCTGTGCGGCAAAACGAGCCTACGAGTGAATTATCACTATGGGTATTGTTTCTTTGAAGGGGATTGGACTACCTGGGTCTCTTTCTCCGCACGACGAAGAGTGGCCTCCTCAGAAACCCAGTTCTTCTTTTCGTCCCGAAGCTCCTTCAGCTTTTTCTGCAACTCCGCGTTCCAGTCAACATATTTGTTTTTTGCAGACGAGGCTAGCCGCTTGTGTTCTTGTAATTCTTTCTCGAGGCTAATGACTTGCGCTCGATATTTTCGCAGCTTGTTATACTGAGGCAATATAGTTGAATGGGATGAAGTTACCAAGAGAATGCAACACTTACCAAACCTTGCCGTTCCGTTTCTGCAGTTTTCATCAGAATTCGATCTTGATAAAGACGCGCAATGTGTTTCGCGTTCTCTCTTGATAGCCATAGTTCAAAATTAAGCTCGTTCAGGAGGAGAAGGCGGTCTCGTTGCAACCTTGAGATTGCTTGTGCAACATGTGTCTGGTTTTGCTCGCTGGTTGGAGATGAGGGCCGCGTCCGGATGAGTTCTGACGTTTCGGCTGTAAAAAAATGTTGAGACCACTGAGATGTTGTTTTGACGACTTCGACGTCTATGTCGGATTTTAATGCCACGGATGCCTGGATCATGTCTTGTAGTGAAAGGACGACTCTTTCGGAAGAGAAGTCAATTAATGGGATGTACCGCGGAGATCCCGCCTTAATTGGACGGTCAATTGGCAGATCCCCTTGAGTTACCCCCTTTTCTGTGGTGCGTGCGTGGCTGTATTTCTCCCGTAGTCCCGAAGCGAGGTTGCGTATGTCCAGCATGGCGGCCTCGCTCACAATTCTTGAAATATCATATCGAACCCAAAACTCTGGCTGCAAGAGTTCGGCCACAGAGTCACGCCAGATAAGCAGTGGATGACAGCAATGCTCCCTTAACAAATTCTGTGTGATTCGTTAGGGTCGACCGCGAGGGGGAGACGACAACCTGATTCCTCACCTCACTTCGCCGTCGTATTTCATCTTCTTCGAGCGCTTCAGCCCAAGCCACAGTATATGGACTCCTCACAGAGGCATCATCGAGATATTGAGCCGGATTCCTAAGGAACTTCAGAACATTGGAAGGGTAGAGGTAATACAATGTCGTGAAATAAGGTCGTGGTGAAGGAGGAAACGAAATCGTTGTGTTAAATGTCATTTCTAGTCGTTCCCATTCGAGGTCTGAACGAATGTGAAGAATAGGGCTTGTTTCCTTTAAGATTTCGCGATCGAAATCCACGCCAGCGGCCTCCTCTTCCGGAAGTTGAGGATCGGATGGGGGGCGTTCCCTCCAGCACATGATCCTGGCCAAGATGGCTAACAGCTTCGGAAGTATCGGTTTCAACGTTGTAGCCGCATGGATAGCAAATACGGGAAGAAGTTTGACCATTAGAGTCATTCCAGCGGTACAAACAGTAGAAGAATAATCCAAATAAAGGGAATATATAAGTTGTTGCATGATTGGGTGTTGTGCAAAGATTGAAGCACAGTCTGGAAAAGACGGGGAAGATGTGTAGGCATTCAGAAACATTAGAAGTTGGAGTCGAGAGGAGGGTGTTGCAAAATGGTGATCCACTTCTGTGAGAAGGTCCTGGTGCAGGTAAGCACAGGAATTTATTCCGCTACACGACAAAATACGCACCTCAGGTTGTTCGCTACCATACTTCACCAGAATATCCTCCAAGTTGACCTTCCAGCGCGTTCGTTTCTCTCTTTCCTCCTCGCCAATCTCAGCCCACTCAACAGCGTCGTCTCCTGAGCTCTCGTTGAACGCATCGAGTAGATATAATTCCAGCAGTCGGCGTCGAAAGTCACCAACCATTTCTGAATAACCTGACTGCGTCTTCTGCAGCGCTCCGATGATGAGCTCCTTCGCGTGAGTTACAGCAATGGTCGGTAATTTCGGTTCCCGTAGTGCAGGTCGAAGAAGCAGATCGAACCAAGATATGACAGAGATAGATGGGAGCACAGGATCTAGATGATATAAAATAGCAAGGAAGATTTCAGTCTGATACAGCGACGAATAATCAGTAACTTCATGGAAGATCTTTTGGAACTCTTCTTCCAAGTGAAATAAGAGAACCTCAGGTTCGGGCGAAGAGGAGCATTCAAGCACAAATTCATCAACATTTCCGAGAAATTCTGATATCGGTAAGGCATCAGGAGCGCCCTCAAGCACAGAGCGCACCTGTCCTGCGAGGAGAGAATCTGGCATTGAGGGGGAAGGAGGCAGGTTCTTGTTAGACTTACACGTTGGTAGTAAGCAGGAATCATCATCGCCAAACAAAGATTCTCTGCTCATCGTCTATCACGTCGAGCTCGCTGTCGAATAGGTTGCCTACTGAAAGAAAATAAAGGTACGGATCATAGCCTTGAACTTCAGTTTAACCCATAAAGGAGGGGAATGTACTCCAGGTCACTCCCCGTCCGATGGATGCACAATTCTTTTAATGGATGTCATATTCTGAGTCCTGACGTGGCTGCTTCTTGCAGATGTCCGCCCATATCGAGGAAGTTACATCCGACCATTCCGACCACGAGGGACACGACCACGGCCATGAAGGCCATGATCACGATCATGAGGAAGACCCTACTTCCGCTGCTGCCCTCGATAAAATTCAGTCGCGCTCCGAGCGCAAGGCCAGGAAGGCTCTCCTGAGCTTGGGTTTGAAGAAAGTACCTGGCATTACGCGTGTCACCCTCCGGAGACCAAAGAATGTGGGCATAATATCTTTATTTTAAGGAGAAAACTGAACTCTGGCTCGCTTAGGTGCTCGTCGTGCTCGCTTCACCAGATGTTTACAAATCGCCAAACAGCGATTGCTACATTGTTTTTGGCGAGGCCAAGGTCAGAATATACATATATATATTGGAAGCTTGGTTGATATCGAATTTAGATCGAGGACATGAACTCGCAAGCACAGCTTTCAGCAGCCCAACAGTTGGCAACCGGTGGCAACGCCGGAGCGGCCGCCCTCGAGGAGTCTGGTGCCGGTGGAGACGACGATGACGACGATGATATTCCCGATCTGGAGGCACCTGAAGATGATGGTCCCGTCGACGAGACCGGCGTTGATCCCAAAGACATCGACCTTGTCATGCAACAGGTGAACTGCTCACGCGCAAAGGCTGTTCGAGTACTAAAAGAAAGTGGAGGTGATTTGATCAACGCTAGTGAGTATCAAAAGCCATCGATTTATTTGTCGCTTTCGCTGACATTGGATTGTAGTCATGGCGGCGAGCGAGTGATTTCTACCATCCATTATCTGTACCCATATTTTTAATAGCATTGACCTCTGTCAGAGTCTCAATTCGCGCAACCCTTTGAAGTTAAGACGCCTCCAAAATTGTCCAACGTCGGAGCTCGACGTAATAGTTGGATCTTTCCCAGCCATCCTGAACAATCTCCACCCCTCTTAGCGGTTGCTCTGTCTTGTCCGGCTTCACGGAGACTTGCAAGCCAAGACTCGTAGCAGCATCAACCACCAATCCAGCAAGTTCTCCTTTTGCAAACATATGGTAATACCGATTGTACACTGGTCGGTTCTCAGACTCTCCAGGGCTCGGAATTGGACCTGGCGTCGCCGGTATCGTCAATACCCATGGCACCATAACGTCTTTGCCTGTCGTCGCTAGAACTTCTTGCTCACCAAGCACTTTTCTTTTCGACAATTCGTCTTGCTCGATCGCCCAAACATAGATGAGAATCCGTCCGTGGTCAGGAGAAACCGCCTGAAGCAGCCGCTGAGGGAGACTAAAATAAACCAAAGTAGCACAAAACCCGTTCTCTCTCACCTGGACAGCAATCATTCGGCGTTGCTGAGTCGCAAGATGATGGATTGTAGCTACCGATATCGCGTAGTCCTGAATAACATTTGTTGAGTTGCGTGCAGGTCTGGAAAAAGCCTACGCACAAATACACCTATTCGCCAACCATTTTCGAGAACATTGCCCCATACTACCTCTCTGATTACTTCGCCTTTCCCTGCAGTTCTCGCAATCGTGAGTAAATTGCGACTTCTATCGAGCCCGATTGTCCAGATGTCGCCTGGCCGATCCAGTGGTAGGGGCAAGTATTTCCCATTCCCTGTTCCCGAGTCAAGACCTATCCAGCCTGTTGGCGGGGCAGACAGGAATGCGGCAATAACTGGCCATGGCTGACTGCTGAGTGAGAAGAAAAAACTTGGTATGAATTTCGACTGACTTTGTATCTTGTAGATGAAAAATGGCTCGCTATCGCATCATATACAGCATGGACAGTTTTATCTTCGTAGATATCTGCGTCTTCGTCTATCGTTGCTGTTTCTAGCGTTCGAGGGGCCATCTCTCTCGTTTATTCGACCCAGCGTTGTCGGAAGTATGTAGGACAAAGTTGAGAATGGTGATGATGATAACCAGCACCTATTGCTACCCTGTTCAAAACCCCATCTCATCATCCAAAATTTTTGCAAACCTGCTTTTATCTTGCAAGGGAAATAACTGAAGAGAAGATGGCTCAATTTCAGCAATAGCTTTGGGCAGTTCGCTGATTCGTCATCGTTGGCGTAGGAATATGCAGACAGGGGAGGGCGTACGAGATGGTGGCGGCTTTCAGATAGCCCTGATCACTCAAAGCCTTCGCCAACTCCTCTTGATGACGGTCCAGCAATGTTGGGTTTGGTACAACTATAACTGCCTTCCCTAGTCGCAGTACGTCCAAGATGGTTCCAGATCCTGATCCTTATTTCAACTGGGAGGATGTTGCGGGTGAAAGGGTGCAATACCTGCATGACTTATGACGAGGTCCGCTTTCTCAAACTCTTCCTGCAGAGATGGCTTGAACTTCCAGTACTCAATGTCTACCTCGTTTTTCGTAACCCTCTCGGTATTGCCTGTCTCAATACACCTCGCTAAGTCAAATTGCGAGTTCCCACATTGCAAGATGAGATTCGTGTACCCTCTACGGTGTAGGCTGAGAAGGACTGGGTCTGAGAGGACTGACTGAATGAGGGAATCAAACTGTGTAGATCCGACGGTGACGAAGGCGAGCATGTAGGCCGAGGACACGTTGGTTTGCTTGGTTTTATGAATTTGTATATTGGGTGGTGGGTATATTTACTCAGAACGTCCCCTAATATTGCTGTCATCGACGAATCGAAAATTGGACATCGCCTTCACCAACAACATCAATTTACACTAGGGTCAATCCTCACTACGACTTTGCCAGTCGCTCTTGACGTCAGAATACGGCCGTATGCTTCAAGGGCGTCCTCGAACTCATGTACGGAATCCACGATTGGTCTGAGTTGACCTGGATGTGAGGCTTACATCAGTTCATGACCCTCGTTGTCAACGTCGGAGCTTTTACCATTTGCGACGAGACTTTGCAAGGCTTTCATATCATCGACGTTGTTTTTGACCAAAATCAACCTGTCAGAAAGTCTGAACTTATAAAACACTCAAGAACGTGGAACAAAGAAATTCACGAATGTTTTGCCTTGACTCCGCCTAGCCACCAAGGTGTGCACATGGCGCCGAGTGTCCTTAATAATTTCCACATTTCCGATATGGTGAAGCCATGAGGCATAGGGCCTGTTGTGATAAATACACCGTTTGGCGCTAGGTAAGCCTTACTGAAGGTGTAGAGAGACGGATCGAGGAGGGCAACTGCATCGTAAATAACATGATACTTCGGATTAGGCGCATTTTCTTTGAGGTATTGGTGAAGGGGAATTTGAGTATAGTCAATAAACTGCATGACAATGTTAGCTAATGATAATATGATCATGAACTTGCACACCTCGTCTGCACCCATCCTTCGCACAAAGTCTTCGTTTTTTCCAGACGCTGTTGCAACAACTTTGGCACCACGAGCTTTCGCAATTTGTATAGCAAATGCGCCAACAGCAGAGCTTCCTCCGTTAATAAGTATGGTCTGCTCAGGCTCAAGCTGAGCAATGGTGTGTAACGCCTGATACGATGTCATCGCAGCAAGTGTTATGCCGGAGGCTTCAATCGGAGTCACAGTTGAGGGTCGAAGGAGAACGTATTCCGCTGGTACCTTGAGATATTGCGCCAAAGTACCCTGCTTTGTTTTTCGCTGCAAAGCTATAAAGGTATTGAGAACGGCGAAGGTGGCTTGATTTAAACAAGGCACATACTTGTGGGAATCCACCCAAACACCTGGTCGCCATTGGCGAAGCTAGTTCCGTTCGCATCAACGACTACACCAGAAAAATCGTGTTCCGCTACGTGTGGTCTATTCGCCAGCAGATTAGGCAAGAGACGCATCAACTTCCAGCCTCTATGCAGAAGTTAAGAGATGAAATGAGTGGCACGGACGGGCTCACACTGGATTGAGAGCCGCTGCTTGAACCTTGATAAGAACTTCACCCACCTCCAGTTTCTTTGGAACCGGCCAGTCTGACAGGAGAGCCAGTGCCTTTGCGGGTACTCCGTTCGTAATCACCGTCCAAGCACGTTGGATATCAGGTATATGGGACATGGAGATGCGAGTACCGAAAACTCGACGAACACTTTGAAATAGGTCTTTTATAATGGTTGAACCATGTGTGCATGATTACGAAGAAGACTAGAAGCTGATGTCACGAGGAAAGTCGCTTTCTCGTCACCAATGACACCATGTGCTTTATAGAAATGAGTAAATGAGTAAATGAGACGGGTTTATGCTTACTCTGACTCAAGTTCGCGTATTGTATATGATTAAAAGAGAGCCGTTGAAAAGTTGCCTTGAGGCTTGAAGCTGTCTTGAAACTCCGATATCGTGATCCCGTGATCAGGGGCTTACAACTTCAAGTCACCCTCTGCCCAACTCAGTGAGCTTGCCATATCTACGCATCGCACCATATTCACCGACATCCACGACGACAGCTGAAGGAGCTCCGACCTCGAATATCTGTGGGCAATCATGGAGGTCCGTTGACTGCCGTCGTTATCTGTAACTTATTCATTTTGCTCAGCAGGGATTACTGGATTTCTCCCGAGAGTTTGATGTAACTCTTATGGATAAGGTCGTCATGGCTTTTTACACTGGTGGAGGTGCAGATGTAGGCGGATCCTCTGTGTCGCGTTTGCCGAACTTATGATTACTCTTGCATCTTCAGCAACAAATGGCTCAGCAGATTCTCACTCAATTCCAAGAACACCCCGACTCATGGACGAGAGTACCCGATATATTGGAACGATCGTCTTTTCCTCAATCGAAGGTGAACACCGGTTATTTTACATTTGTGTCGGTCAAATTCGAACAAGTGGTTTCAGTTCATAGGTCTACAAATCCTTGAGAGACTCATCACTACGCGATGGAAAACGCTACCCGATGGTCAGCGCCAAGGTAAGGATCTCCGTGGTCTATATGTTACAAGTTACTAATCGTTATTGGAAGGCATCCGGAACTTCATTGTTGGCGTAACGGTGAAGGTTGCGTCGGACGAGGTTTCTCTTCGGAAAGAGAAGACTTATGTCAATAAGTTGAATCTGGCACTTGTTCAGGTGTGCCCCCATACAGCCCATGATCTTGTTCCCCAAAACTTATTGTTGATCACAGATTCTCAAACAAGAATGGCCTCATAATTGGCCTACGTTCATTACGGAACTTGTCGAATCCTCTAAGACAAACCTCTCACTTTGCGAGAACAACATGGTTATCCTCAAACTCCTTTCCGAGGAGATCTTTGACTTTTCCGCCGAGCAAATGACTCAAACTAAAATCAAAAATCTTAAAAACCAAATGTGTGGAGAATTCTCAGAGATTTTCAAGCTTTGTTCAGAAGTCCTGGAAGAAGCCCAGAAAACGTCGCTCATTAGAGCTACTTTGGAGACGCTACTCCGGTTCTTGAACTGGATCCCTCTCGGCTATATATTTGAGACAACCATAATTGATCTCCTCCTAAATCGCGTAAGTCTTGGCACTTCTCCCAACGCTGAACTGACAGTATTTTCGTTTCTAGTTTTTGGAAGCACCGGAATTTCGCAATGTGACATTGAAGTGTCTTGCAGAGATTGCCGCATTGAATGTAGGACCAGAATACGACCCAAAATTTGTCATCCTCTTCGCCATGGTCATGACATCTATAAATCGCATGATTCCGCCAAGCACGAACATTGCCCAAGCGTATGCCAACGCAGGAGACGCAGGTCAAGAACTTGTTCTGAACCTCGCACTTTTCCTGGCTAACTTCCTTTCGAATCACCTACGTGCTGTTGAAACCGAACAGAATCGTGACGTTCTCTTGAACGCGCATCTGTACATGGTAAAAGTATCGCAAGTGGATGAGCGCGAAATTTTCAAAATTTGTCTGGAGTACTGGCTCAAGCTTGTCGCCGAGTTGTACGAGGAAATTCAGAGTTTGCCGATTGGTGAATCGGGTTTGTTGATGGGTTTGAGTTTGGGAAACAACGGAGCCCAGAACATGTTGAATGGCATGTCATTGAGGAAGAACATTTACAGCGATGTTCTGTCAAATCTACGACTGGTTGTGATCGAACGAATGGTCAAGCCAGAGGAGGTTAGTCGTTTCAATATTGCGCTGTTGTTTTCGATGCTCACGTCTTTCCCACTTCAGGTCCTGATTGTTGAGAATGACGAGGGGGAGATCGTCCGAGAGTTCATGAAGGAGATCGATACCATTGTACTGTATAAGTCAATGCGTGAACTTCTGGTCTACCTCACCCATCTCGACGTCTCAGACACAGAAACTATCCTCACAGAGAAACTTGCGAAGCAGGTCGATGGGTCTGAATGGTCGTGGAACAACCTCAATACCCTTTGCTGGGCTATCGGCTCTATCTCGGGTGCTATGAGTGAGTAGTTTCTATGCTTTACCGTGCGAATGCTTGCTGAGACGTTGGGAATTTCAGACGAAGAGACGGAAAAACGTTTCTTGGTGACGGTAATCAAAGATCTCCTCGGGCTGTGTGAGATCAAACGCGGAAAAGACAACAAAGCGGTCGTCGCTTCTGATATCATGTACATTGTTGGTCAATACCCTAGGTTCCTCAAGGCACATTGGAAGTTCCTCAAGACCGTGGTCAACAAACTCTTTGAATTCATGCACGAAACTCACGAAGGTACTCTTTTTCTTTGTTACCCTTTTGGCGCCTCTGACCCAAAACGAATTTGAAGGCGTGCAAGACATGGCGTGTGACACGTTCATTAAGATAGCACAAAAGTGCCGTCGTCACTTTGTCATGCAACAATCAGGGGAGCAAGAACCATTCGTCGACGAAATTTTGCGTTTGCTCCATAGAATTACCGTCGATCTGTCACCTCAACAGGTAGGGACTGCCGGTGCTCTGCATAACTATGCTTGTGCTTACTTGCCACTTGTATAGGTTCATACCTTTTACGAAGCGGTTGGATACATGATTTCAGCCCAACCTAATAAGCCTCAGCAAGAAAAACTTATTGCGAAGCTCATGGAGCTGCCAAATAATGCCGTATGCCCTTGCACAAGACTGTTCGCTTGATTTTAATTGATTCATTTTTACAGTGGGATTCGTTGATGGCGCAGGCAGCACAAAACATGGACGTACTATCTAGCAACGACAATATCAAGATCTTATCGAACGTTCTGAAGACAAATGTATCTGCATGTACATCAATAGGCAGTTTTTACCTTCCTCAAATTGGCCGGATCTTCTTGGATATGCTAGGGTTGTATAAAGCGGTCAGCGGTATCATCAGCGAAACGATAGCGAAAGAGGGTAAACCGCATTTCTTTTGGCGAGATATTGCCATCGCTGACTGACACGCCTTCAGGTATTATTGCAACCAAGACTCCAAAAGTTCGACAATTGCGAACGGTGAAAAAGGAAATCTTGAAACTTATGGAAACGTACATCAAGAAAGCAGAGGATCTCGAGGCGGTGAACATCAACTTTATGCCGCCCCTCCTCGATGCTATCCTAGGGGATTATAATCGCAATGTCCCCGCTTCCAGGGACGCGGAGGTTCTGAATGTTATGGCTACAATCATTGGCCGTCTTGGGGTGGGTTCTTTGTGATTGTCGTGATCCAGCTATTCAGACCTTCATAACATCCAACAGCCGCTCTTAACCCCCCAAGTTCCCGCTATATTGGATGCTGTTTTCGAACCTACATTGAACATGATCAACCAAGACTTTGCCGAGTTCCCTGAACATCGTGTTGGATTCTTCAAACTCCTCCGCGCTATCAACCTACACTGCTTCCCTGGTACGTTCCCCCCCCCCGACATCAGAAGCTTTACTAACTATCTTTTAGCATTGTTAGGTATTCCCCCCGCCCAGTTCAAATTGTTTATGGACAGTATTATTTGGGCTATCAAGCACACCATGCGCGACATCGCAGATACTGGCTTAAATTGTAAGTGTCGGCTCATATGAACCCCTTCCTTGTCTAACATTGTGTGAAGTATGCTTGGAGGTCGTCAACAATTTTTCCAGTGCTGCCGACCCAGCTGTTACCAACGCCTTCTTCCAGCAATATTTCCTCAGCATTGTTCAAGACATATTCTTCGTCTTGACTGATGCCGATCATAAGAGCGGATTCAAGCTTCAAAGTGTACTACTTGCGCGGATGTACCAGCTTGTTGAGATGAACGTCATCCAATCACCATTGTTCGACCCCGCACAAATGCCAGATCCCAACATAAGCAACGTAGTATTCTTGCGGGAATACACTGCAAACTTGCTTAAGACGGCTTTCCCCCACGTCAGGAGGTAAAGATTGCTGCCCACCCGCCTATTTGGTTTCTGATCTGCTCCCACAGCTCGCAGGTACAAATCTTCGTCGGGGCGCTCAGCGAGAACCACAACGATATCAACCGATTCAAGTTGGCTCTTCGAGACTTCCTCATCCAGCTCAAAGAGTTCTCCGCGGGGGACAATACCGAACTCTTTTTGGAAGAGAAGGAGCTTGAGAGTCAAGCAAAGGCGGAAGCTGAACGTCAAACAGCGATGCGGATTCCGGGAATGCTCAAGCCTGACCAGATAGAAGACAAGGATGAGGATATATGATCTAACGGATGGCAATAGGATTGACTCTTCATCTTTTTTTACCCTTTTCAACCATGTACAACAATCTGATACGTAAAGCAGCATCAGCATGACCCTCCTTCCCAAACCTACCATTACCATCGCGTTGTACCAGCCCGTCTAGCACCTGCTATCGTCTTTCCAGCTCTCGATTCTTGATAATTTTTAATGTACCACTAGCACAAGATAAAGTAGAGATCCTTTTGCATCACCGGTGGGATAAATTGAAAATGACTTGTCACGCGTTGGCAGGCTTGTATCTAATCTACATGAGCCACATCACTTTTCCGATATACAGATAGTACTTGCAGGCCACCACCATGTTCAAGAAGTAAGTCCGAGGAAAACATGCTCACACCCATTGCTGATTCGTTTGGATATACAGATTTTCGCCTTCCACGGACATCGCGGGATCTACACCAGTCAAAACATCGGTTCAGAGACAGATTCGAGCTACAGTGCTCTCTCAATGGAAAATAGAGCCTGAGACGCTGGAGGCAATCTGGCCAAAGAAGGAAGGGCTTGTACACGTAAAATGGTCTGCCAACCGCACACATCTATGATCGTTTTCATATCTCATTCATTTCTACAATGCTGATAGCAGAGAACATATTTCCGTTTACACGGTACAAGCGCAGCCCATATTCTTCCAACACTTTGATGGACCTTTCTACCCCACTCTTCGGATATTACACAAATGTGACTCGCCTTGACTCTTTCCCTTATCTTTCGCTGATCAGGGTTCGTTTCCTTTTTACCTGCGGGTTACTTGTAGACCCTTACGTCCTTCCTGTGGTGGGCATTGATCGTGGCGCGATTCGGTTTCTTCTAGCTGGTGCACCCATGATGTGTCCGGGCCTGACCTCCGCAGGTGGGTACCTTCCTCCTGCAGATGCGTCTCTTCCAGCGGGAACTGTTGTTGCTATTAATGCGGAGGGGAAGGAACATGCTGTGGGCGTAGGGATTCTCAAGCTTGGGACTGAAGAGATAAAGAAGGTGAATAAAGATGTTGGGGTTGAGACGGCAACATATCTAGGGGACGATCTGTGGGCGCTGCAAAGTTTATGAAGAGAGGTAAGGACTAGAAAAGTGACCAAACTGGCGCCTCATAGCGTGATAGGAGACGTAGAATAGCATTATCGTTTTCTCGGTTTATTCAAAGTTGCTAAAGTTGTTGAAGTGCCTGACTTACAGCAATCTATTTGGTTGTGCTTGATTCGCAAGCTATTGGTGGCAAAAACGTTAGTACCCGGTACCCCGCACCATGAAAGGATCCCCCGATACCAACTCTGCGTCCTTTTCGTACTCTGATTTCATTCCCGTAAAATCACGAAAGAAGAGAAAGGGCAAGAATGTGCATCCTAGCTCGTCACCGTCCGCTTCGTTAGCCAGCCTTAGGGAGCAGCTTCAACAAGATGAATGGTTCTTACAATGTTCACGTCGGTGTTGGCGAGATCCGCTCAAAAGCCACTTTCCCTCCTAACTTTAGAACCATTTTTAGATATATTGAAAGGCGCCTGGAGTGTCATCTCTCCGGAACCTCCTGCTATTCTTTGTTTGGGCTTAGGAAGCCCGACAATGTCCCCGAATTCCAATATACAGCTTGCGTTTCTCGTTGAAATGTGCCGAGATCTAAAAATCGTGGGTAAACCCTACCCATCCCATTTCAACTGCGTCAGACAGATGGTAGGAGCACGATAACGTTTCCCTGTACGATCCCGTTTTCACGGCGGAAGATACCGCACTTTTCGAAGACCTTCATATGCGGGTGCTAACCGAAAACAGAGCAGGTCCCCGCGCTTTCTCAAGAGTATCAGGCGTGTTAACACCTATGAATGTTTTGCTACTTTTTTTTAGAATGCTCAGCATCCTGTGGATGTCCCTACAATGTGCCTGATGCCGCATTGCGACATGGAACTCTATGAGAATTTTCTCAAAGTCAACTGGAGTCAGGAGCGGCTCTCCAAGGCCCTTTTAGTGGGAAACCGGCTGGGCGAATACGTCGATAGGTGGGCTTGGTATTGCCTCTGACTCGACATGACGAGCGATAACTCTGCAGCAACCCGAACCATAAATTGAAAACAAGGGTCCCTTACCTGTTAAAACTTGGTGAGGACGCCTCGTGTTCACTTCTTTTTTTTTTTTTTCTACTCACGAGGACCACCATCTGACTATCAATTAGCCCCGTTACTTGAATGTCGCCCATTGCCTCCGTCAAGCGCCTGGCCTACAGCTTTCAACAACACGTGTGCCCAATTTCTCCCTCCGAATGCCTTTTTGGCCGAGGCAAACTCCGAGGTCGCGCAACATGAACTGAATATGTCGGATGCCGCGGTGACACCTAATGACCCAAAAGGCCGATCTGGTTCGGAAATGAGACAGAATGAAACATTGCGGATTGCTCAAGTAAAGGGTTCACACCAAAATAATTGTGACGGGATGGACGATACATAGGGGGGGGGGGTAAGGGTTGTGATGAATAAAATAGAGATATAAGCAATATAGGGATGTTGTACCGACTAACACTCTTGAAAATGATTATAAGATGGGTGATGCTCGTCGGGAAAGGGAAGTGGGTCAAGCTCAAAGTGGGAAAAGTACGAGTCGTGCGAGTCAACATATACATGAGGGACGTTGTAGCGAAGTCTACTGCGTTCTGTAGGCAGGGGGATCGAGGCTGCGTCTATCGGAGACAGTGACGAACTTGACCTTCCAAGCAAGGGTGTGGGTGGTGTGTCGGACTCGTCGTCTGACGTATCTTCTATAGCGTCAGGCACAGTTAAGTCTTCTATGTCGTCCATATAGCGATAGGGGAGAGAATTTTCAAAAGGTGGAGGAAGGGAGGAAAGAGGGGAATCAAACGTGGAGTCAAAATCATGGTTGTGAACGAGAGGAGGATGGAACGGTGGATATGGCACAGGATATGATACAGGAATGGGTGGGAGATAATAAGTAGGCTGGTTGGGGAGGTCGTCTGACGAGGACATGGGTGATGCCGTGGGACTGAAAAGTTGGTCGTCATCATCTTCAGTCGGCAAGGGTGAGATATTGGTGTCTGAATCAACGCCAAATTCGTCCTCGTCATCATCACCTAGGGTTTCTAGCAAAGAATCGAGCCACTGTGCTTCCGAGGATTTCACGTCCGGTGTTTGGCCAGTAACGAGCTGGCCACCATCCGGAAACATGAAAGAGTCAAAGTCCAAGTCCTCTTCGGCATCGTCATCTTCGTCGTCGTCGTCTTCGATAGGATAGGTGGGTGTCAAATGTGGGTCAGACAGGTTATTCGAGGCCGTGCTTGAAGTCGGAGAAGGCGATTGTATAATGAAGTTTTTGAGTAGGACCCAGCGATGCAAACTGCAGTTGTCCTTGCTACCGACGGACAGATGCAATTTGGAACGCGCCAGTTGAAGTAAGTTTGAAGATTCAGATGACATATGCGTGGTTGGGTGGGCTAGTGCTTGAGCGGAGGGTCAAATAAAGCAAAGATAGGACAATTAAGGGTACCAACAGGGAGACAGAGTGTCAGTGAAGGGGTATACGGTCGACAATTTCTGGTTCGAAGAGTAAGGAGCCGTGCTTGGAGGTGCGTACGAGCTTGTCAACCATTCTCGTTTAACGTGATTGGCCAGGCTACGGAAGAAGAGAACTATGGGTAGGGGAGGACGCGACCTAGGCGGACATTGTGTGCGGCGAGGAGCAAGTACGGACCAAGTACGGACTGAAAAGATTCAGGCTGTTACAGCAGAGGTAACAAGTGGACTATTATACTTGTACAATTGTCACAAAACATTGCCTACTGTCACATCACCCGACTAATCTCCCTGACTCGAGTTATGTCGCCATATAAGGCGATTCAAGGTCAACTATCACCCTCACGCCATTATATCCTCATCATCCTTCATCCATTGGCTCATCTCCTTCATCTTTCACAGTGTCCAACAACTTCTTGATCTTGTTCATGCTCTTCGGTGAAATGTCCCGTGCAAGCGCAAGCGTCTTTGCAGAGTTCACTTCATCTCCGAGCAGCCGGTAGACCTTGGCCAACTGGAAGACGACATTTGACTCTTCTGGCGTACTGTTCCGCAGTGACACCAAGTCTTCAACGGCCCGCTGATCAAATTTAAAACGTTACAAACAGACTCAATAGAAGAAGAGTGCGGAGTTACGAACCTCATATTTCCTCATTGAGACCAGAATTTTGGCTCTCCGATAACGAACTAGGGCGTTATCGGGTGCAAGCCGGACAGCTTCGTCAAAGAGGGCCAGGGCTGCGTCGCGGTCCCCACGTCGGTCAACAGCCTATGACAATTATTCACCGGACCCGTCAATTTAACCTGATCTCCGAAAACATGAATTGTACTTGCCATTCCAACACACCCTAGCAAAACCGCATTGTTCGGGTGGATCTCAACCGCCTTTCTGTAATGATACTCCGCTAGGCGTATTTTACTCATCCTCAGGTAACACGTACCCAATCCGTACCTAGGGAACCCCAATCATTCAAGTTAGACTTTGATTGACGCTAACGAAATAGGTCAACGTACCATGCATTATAGTGACGAGGGTCTGCACGTAACGCAGATTGGAAGAAGTTGATGGCCTTTTCAAGGTCTTCATCTATCGATTCGTGCCCACTTAGCGTAAACGCGTAAGCGCAGGTGGGATCGAGTTGACCAGCTCGGCGGAAGCACGTTAAAGCCTGTAGCCGCTCTTTTTGCAAAGAAAATAAATTTCCAATGGCTATCCAAGCTTGAGGCGACTGAGGATTGATGTTCAGCAGTTCTTGGGCAAGGAATGATAGTTCGACATTGCGCTGCAAGTGCCACAACAAAGTTGAATAGACCTCCATGTCCCATAGACGATGAGGTTCTAATGCCCTTACAGCTTTGAAAGCTCGCTCAGCCTAAGAGCAAGTGAATAAGGACTAATCGAAACATGTCAATAAATGGGAGACGTACAGAAGCGTAATCTTGCTTTTCATAATGCACTCTGCCCACCATCGACAGCACCCAGGCTGAATTTTGATGGACGTGAGGCAGCTGTCCCAACTCTGCTAGGCAAGTTCGGCAATCGTACATTGCTAAAGCCCTTGCCGCGCTGGCAAATCGTCGAATCAAGTTGTACAAATAATACTCGGCAAGTTCGCCTTCATACTCCTCCTGCGCTTGCTGTTCATGTGCCGCAGTCCAGTTGCTCGGTGAAGGGGATACTTCGGAGCGATGTGAAAGTGCAGCAGAAGGGGGCGACCTTGAGTGTGCAACCTCGCCAATGGGGGCCAATTCCTCATCTCTTTCGGACTCTATCGATTTGTTGCGTGGCTGAGCGGCTTGTCGCCGACGATCACGATCTCTCGTGGCAGGATTCTATGTAGGGCAAATACGAATCAGCGGATAAGTTGATAAAAGGGCAAAAAAAAAATCAGAATGCTTGCCTTGGAAGTATGGGGCAACTTGGGTCCCGTACCACTCAACAAACGGGTACTCCGTCGTGTGGGGATATGACTAGTTTGAGCGCTGCTCTTCCCAGGGCCAAGATTTGTCCTAGAGGAAGTCGTTGGCTGAGAACGACCATCGGAAGATGAGAAGATGTTAGCAAATGACAAGGCCGGGCGTGCGCGTGCCTTTTTCAAGGGGTCGTCGAGACTCGATTTGCTCGGTTTCGGTTTGACCGCTTCGGGCTGCCGCGTCGTCGACCGCAACCTCTTCGGCACTGGGCCCGCTTCATCAGCTGAGGAAAGCGGTCGAGGGGCGGGTGCTTGGATTGGATTAGAAACTGTCGGTTGCGATCGACTAGTTCGATGTACTTGTATGGAGTTGTCAGGGAGGAATGTATCGTTAGACAGCCTGATTGTGTAGAATTATAAGCTATTTTATCATCAGTTCAATATGAACAGGCTCACAGCGAGTCTCGAGGCCCCGGTGGAGGCATGCGAAATGGCTGGGGTTGTGATATATCAGGTTTCCACGTCCGAAAAAGATTACCAGCATTGCCAGCGTCTGGTGTGAAGAATCCTGCGCCAGAAGCAATAGGTATCGACTTGGCCTGCGTCTCTTCTGGTGGAAGACGTTTTACGGGTGGTGGCCGTGAGGGAAATATTTCATCAATCTCCGGTATTGACCCTGCAAAGGAGTGAATTGTTTGGGGATTCGGAAAAAGTCCAATCTGCGTACCCAAAGCACATAGACCCTCGAACGCCTCCCAGATATACGGATTCGACGCCAGAGCGCCCCGAAAGCTACGCGACGCCATTTCCGGAAGGTTACCTTTAAGGGCCATCGTGCCAGATCTACATCGCAAGGCTGCGTCTTCAGGAAATGGTCGCGACACTCTGCTGCTCGAAGAGGCTATGGTGGACAATATATATCAGTCACACTGCAGTGCGCAAACTGGGAACTGAAAACAAACCTCCAGACACGTAGTTTGTGTCGAGCATTGTAGCTTCCAGAGCCTCACGCGCCTGCCTGTGGCGACCCAGTGCCGTACACGACTTGGCTTTGATTTCCAAACATCCAGTACATTGGAAATCTTGTGCATTGTTCACGAGGTACAAAGCCGAGTACGTTTGGCCTTCGCGCAGGAGAGCCGTCGCATAAAGATGCCGCGCCTGGTGGTTATTTGGATCCATCGCGTAGTATCTCTCCGCATGAAAGACAGCAGTCTTAGTCAGATCCGAGTCTAGACACGACCATACGAGAGACTGAAAGCGTTGGGAGAGGTTAGGGAAGAATGAGGGGAGTGGTTCCGACTGCATCGAGGCTTCCTAGGACATAGAGCGGCGGATATCGATATATTCACGCGACAAGGTGAACGACGAGTAGGTCAAGACGTCGTTGTGGATGTGGAGGTCAGCAATCAACGACGGCGGAGGAAGCTTGAAGACGGTTTGAACACAAGCAAGTGACTTCAAGCGGTGTCTGGGCCAACAATTGTTGACGCATCATCACGTGCTTAGATCGCGTCGCGTGTACTTTTCATTTCCGACTCCTTATACTCAGTTACTCTTTTTCTACGATACAAAAAAATCTTTTACTCCACCGCAGAACTCATACTTTAGTGTCCGTGGCCATCGGGATCTCCTTTTTGCTCTGTCAGAAAATTTTCAGCCACAAGATCCCCGGAAACGTTCAACTGAGTTGACTCACCAGGGACACATTGTATCGCGTCATCAATTCGCAGGAGAGACACGGCCGCCTCGTACGCCGACTTCAGACTCTTCACCTTGCTCATGGTGGGTTCAAGAATCCCAGCAGTAACATTATCTCGGACTTCGCCATTGAGGAGATCCAAACCATACCGCAGGAGGGCTTTCTTGGGGTCTCCGGCTGGCGCGTTTTGCGCAGCATTGTGATAGGAGCGTAGCTTCGCGACGAGTTCAGTTGAGTCCTTAGCGGCATTGACGGCTAACGTTTTAGGAATTGAAAGAAGCGCGCTTGCAAACTCAGCAATGGCCAGCTGTTCTCTTGACCCCTGTGTAACGAAGGTCAGAAGACAGGGATGGCGCCAACAGATAACAACTCGTACCAATGTGGTTGCAAAATTTTCCAGGTAGATGCTCAACGCCGATTCGACAGCACCGCCACCAGGTACCACAGAACCACTCTCCAATGTTCGCTTGATGATCGACAGTGTGTCATGCAAAGCTCGTTCCATCTCATCCAACATGTAATCATTTGCTCCCCGAAGGACAATCGATGCTGAGTTTACGACCTTCGTCCCCTTAATAAGAATCAGTTCGTCGTCCGAGATGCGCTCCTGCACCACCTCGTCGGCAGTCCCCAGATAGCTGGCTTCGAAGGTTTCTTCTCCCTCCAGATTCGCGAGACTGGATATAAGTTGGCCACCCGTCGCTTTAGCAATCCGGCGCAGATCTTCTTTCCTGCACCGACGTACTGCCATCGCGCCGGCCTCGACAAACTCCTTCAGACAAAGATCATCGATACCCTTCGTCGTAAGAACGACGTTCGCGCCTGCAGCTAGGATTTTTCGGATTCTCTCTAATGTGATCTCAGCTTCTCTGAAAAAATTGTCAAATCAAGAAACACAAACACAATGAGAACGTACCGTTTACGAATCTCCTCTAATTGGTTCGGGTCATCCACCAAGATCTGTACACCTAGTTGCATCCGAGCTTTCTGGAGATTAATATCCAAGCAGGCAATTTTTGCATTCGTTATGCGTTTCTTCATTGCTATAATTCGTGTGAGAAGCATGAAATGAGACATAAATTACGTTGAAACCAACCTTGGCTTGCAACAGTGCAGTTCAAAGCATAACCTTGCACAAACAAGGATTCACGGGCACTACGACCATGAGCTTTCAGAACGTTGACGGCTTTGACGGGGTACTTGATATCTCCACGCAAATTGATGGTTTTAACGGCTTGCATCGCATCTACAGCCATAGGCGCGAAGAGGTCGTCGTCGCTAGTTCGTGAAAAAAACGTAAGATTCGATGATACACAAAGAAAAATTTCGCAGGGATACTCACTTTCCGATGATTTTGCTCGACATCGAAGTTTTAGCCACATTAAGCAAGGCATCTCTCCCAAGCGAATCGACCTTTATGCTCAGCTGATCCTGCATGAACTTGACCGCTTCCCTGCATGCCAGACGATAGCCCGTAATAATGGTTGTGGGATGGATCTTCGCCTTGACGAGCTCATTTGCACGACGAAGGAGCTCTGCAGCAATAATCACCACCGACGTTGTGCCATCACCAACTTCCTTGTCCTGCTTTTGAGCAAGATCAACAAATATACGACCAGCAGGGTGTTCAACAGATAGAAGGGAGAGGATGGTGGCGCCGTCATTGGAGATGGTGACTTCCTGTATTTATGGTTGAGACTGGAACGGGGGGGAAAATGTATGGGAACACGGACTCCAATGTTATCCACAAGCATTTTATCAAGCCCTAACGGCCCCAAAGAGCTCTTAACGATGTTCGCGATTGATTGGGCAGCGATTACTGAGGGAAAAGGTATTTACAAACAAACTGAATGGCCAAAACGATTGCTACACACCATTTTGATCACGAATATCCTGACCAGACACGCGATCGCCACCTAGGAATGCTCCAGCTCTGGGATCGCGTTGATACATGGCGAATCAGGGGAAAGGAACAGATGATGAAGATGGTGAACACGAAAGTACGGTGAGCGTCGCGTATGTATTTGTTTGGTCGGTCAAGAAACTCTCCGATTACTAAGTGCGTCAACTGTTCTTACTCAAACTGTCCAAAAACTTGTACTCATAGTCACTCTCCGTGTAGTACTGTTGGACCGACGACTGGTCGTGATGAATTGTTAAATAAATAGGTATGAAACATTTACTACGAAGAAAAAATGAATCGGATCCATTTAGATCATAAATATCAGTGACCAAGGAAAGAAGAAAACAACGATTCATTGAGATCAAATAAGACAGGAAGACCATTACGGTCAGAAAAGGAACCTGTCCCTAAAGTTCGCAAACCAGGAAGATAACAAGCAAAGTCCGTGCGTCAGAATGAAGATCTGGATGGAGAAGATGGAATGAAGATGAATGATGAGAAGATGACAATGCTAAGAGATGAAAAAAGGCAAGGTGAGTGAGTCTGTAGTCCATGCAGCTGGTGGACCGAAATCAAGTCCGGCATTAACTGCGATTGAGGATGTGACATATTGCTGCGCCAGAAAGGTATGAAGAGGCATGGTTGGGTGTGGGTGGTTAAATGCGTTCTGGAAAACAGCATGTTGCTGTTAGCCAAGGGCTTGTTATGTGGTAGCCCTAATTTGTGTGCAAGAAAAATGGCGAATATCGAACGAATGGCGCGCCAGAGTACAATGGCTTGGAAAGCCTCGATGGGATCATGGCGGAAGTTATGAACTCGTGAGTGGTCGTAGATAGTGGTGTTTCGGGGGGCATGAGTGAGGCGTAACTTTCCGTGATCCTGCTGGACTGGGGTACAGCGTGAAAATCCTGGCGAAAACGGCGATTGAAGCGATTCGTCAATAAAGAGTACGGACAGGGTTGTAAGTTTCTGCGCGCACGAGAGGCCCTCGTCCATTTTTCTTGGTTTTAAATACAGCGGCCTTCGTGGGTGGCGGACAGGGACTGTCACCAATATCGGTATCCGTGTCATCCGCATCGGCGGTGACATTACAATCTTCCACAAGAGTCATCAAAGAAGCACCTCCACCACGGCGGCTGCGAGCTGCTGTAGCTGCAGCAAAAAGAGAAGGAGGTGCACTAGGTGCAGTGTTACGCTTTGGTTGCTGAAGTTGCTGAGAAGCAAGGGACGTTTTGCTGGGTCCATCGCCATATGCATAAGACTTGTGGCGACCAAACCTGGCCTTACGGAATTGATCCAGATCCTCTCGGCGGGATGATGCATAATTTGGATCGTCCATCGTAACATAATTCGCCGGTTCGCAGCGATGAGCCGAAGTTTTGAAATATTGGCAGTAACCCCCCTCAAGGATGTACACCTCAGGATAGCAGATCTTCGGATATACATGATTGTTCATAGAACGATCCTTGGCACGCAAGTGCTTAGCGCTACGATGCAGCAGTAGTAAATAACCTGAACAACATAGCAAACAGCCGAACTCACAAAGTCGGAGCCCGCTTAGCACTGAACTCGCAATGGAAAACAAGAACAGTCTTTCTTGTTTTGTCGCCACTCACGGACGGCCTAGGCTTTGTCAAGCTGGGACCAAGTAAAAGTTCTTCAACAGCAGCAGTGGTGTTGATGTTGACCGCGCCCGGGATATGACCCCCGTTGTACTCGTAGTCGAACCTACAGTCTATCACATGAAAGTCAGTTATTTCAGAGTCGTACTTGTTATCAAGGAGGTCGTTAAGCTGCAAATGGTTTCAGAACGCAAGAAAAGCAACCTGATGCGGAAAACGAACCGTTTGACTGTTGATCCTCATGAGTCCGTCTTCAGTCACGCGATGACAAGGCAGGATCTTTCCATGAGACTCATTGTCTCCGAACCCTGGCAATCCTGCAGCCATGAATTTGGCAGAAGGACTTTCCTTTTGCACCATCGCTGTTGCACCAGTCAGAGGCCTAAAATCTTCCGTCCCATCACACCTTCTGACCGTCTTGACTTGCTGACGCCGAGAGTATGCCTGTGCAGGCGAGGACATGTCAGGACCATCGAATGAAGATTCATCCGACTCATGCTCAGGAAAAATAGAGTTGGGAATCAGAGCAGAGAACGCCCGACGGACAGGCGGAGCACCGACAGGGCTGGCAGCGTCACCAGGAGAGCCGGTGGCGGATGACAAGATGGGATACGCAGACTGTATGGCGTGATCAGACGGCGAAACCATTGCAGACAGAGCAGGCCTGCGGGGTCGCTTCAGAAAATTGGATGAAGGTGCACCAAGTCCCTGGAGAGTGGGCTTGCTATTGAGGCGAAACAGTGATGGTCCCCCGCTCATCCGTTCGAGCTTACCCTGGGAAGGCGAAGATGGTACCATCGGCGAAGAAGAGGGCTCTTGGACTGGAATACGTCCCGGATCAGGTGAGAGGGATCGACGCTTTTTGTGCTGCGGTCCAGCAGGCGATTCAAAAGAACGGCGGGGAGACATCGTGTCGTAGAAAAGCGTGTCGAAAGCGGTTACGGTGGGGGCCGCTGATTGTGGAACGGGTTGGAATGAAACTGGTGCTGGTGCCGTGTCAATAACATAGGAGGTATCGACATCCATGGGGTCACCCATCGGGGAAGAAACCTCCGGTGGTGGCTGGTAGAGGTGCGTCAGTATGGTCACAACAATTTTAAACGGGACTAGAAGCTCACAGCCGATTTCGGTGCTAAAAACCATTCCGTCGGAAGTGCTGAACGTTGCGTCCTCTTTGCAGCCGAGTGGGTAGAACCTGCTGACTTCAATGAGGGAACAGCAGCGAGGTTGGGGCTGGGGAGCAGTGACTGGCTATTGTTGCTGATATCACTGCCAAATAAACGACCTGCACTAGTCGATGCACGTGGACGTGACTGCAGTTTTGAGCTGCCATTGGCAGACAATCGGGAATGGGTGGTCTTTGGAGGAGGGGCAGGAGAGATGTCCATAGGTTCACAGTCGGGCATTAAATCGAGGTCTTTCCGAGGGGGAGAATGGAGCGAGACATTGGATGCGAAGGAAAGCTCGAGGTCCGACGAAAGGAAGTCGTCGATGTCGTCATGGGATTGGGCATAACGTTGGCTTCGTTTGCGTACGGGTGCGGAAGGCGGAACAAGATGCTGGGTGGAAGCTGAGGTGAAGAAAGCCATGTCGGAATCGAAATCGTATGAGTACTTCTGTTTCTTGAAAGTGCGGCGCGTTGATTGATCTATCAGACGGTCCAAAAAGGACGAGTCGGTAGGGTAATAGTGGTCGTCAACGGAAGGCATGATGATAAATACAGTGATGGTTGGTGGTGGTGATGGTACAGTGTTGTTTCGTTGGTGTTCGTTGGTGGTGGCACAATATTGGTTGGTGGCACAGATACAGATTGATACGAGCGTAGGTCAAAGAAGGGGAATTGCGTGAAAAGAAGAAAAGTTCCAGTCAGTGATGGGTTGAAGAAAGTGGCGAAGGGAGGAGAACAGGAACTATGTACAAACCAGCGTCGGTGGCCGTAAAGTGGAAATCTGGCCAAGTAGCGGGGGTTTAAGACTAGCGGCGGGAACAATGTATATCAGTTATTGCCATCGGGGGTTGAGAACATATAGAAAGGTTGGTTCGAGTTCCATTGTCTTCTCAGTTTGGACGAGTGTGCGCACATGATATATTCCCAACCAGCTCAGAAGCGTGGCCACTTTATCTCCTTCGGTTACTTGACAAAGAAAAGGGAGCTTACCTTGAGGCGTAACGAGTGTGTTGACGGAGGAGGCCGCGCCTGTAAAGACGGCGGTGAGCAGCGAATTGGCAGGTCGTACAAGTCCACAAAGAAAAGTCCAACGAGTTCAAGAGAGTAGTTCTCACGAGATATTAAAAAGGGAAAGCAAACCAGGCTTGTTATAGACGGTTGTGGGTCCAGGTTTCTCCCGCGCCTGCCAAAAGGAGTCCTCGGTTCGGGCTTTGGAGGTTCAGAAGGAGAAGTACTTACAGAAAAAAAGAAAAAAAGGTGTCGTTGAGTAGAGGGCGACGGCGGGAATTTGGTAGCGCTGACGCCGAGCGGCTCGTCGTTATGAAAGAGGCAGAAACGAGGTAAGGACAAAAAAAAAAGACGCGCCTTCATATCCTTTTATTTGCGTGCAATTGGTCAATGTTCAACTTTGCACGTGACCGCGTTCCTTGATCAATGTCCATTTGTATTCCTAAAGTACAAGTCCTTATGCCCTATTTATCAATTCCTCCGAGCCCTTTACACTTACTCATACCGCCTTGATATACAGGCTGTTCGAAGGCGCATCCCAATCGATTTGAGCCCAGCTGTTGCACACGTATAAATCACCGGACAAAGCAATCAAAAAACACATACGGTGGAAATATAGGTCCGAGATTGTCGTAATGCACCTCCGGATGCATTTGTGCAATGGTTTTGATCAATTCGTCATACACGACCTATGCTCATATGATCTGTCATCTAGTGAGCGCTCCACAGCGCCTGGAGGAAACGCACCTGATATCCAGCCTCGTTTAGGTGAAGACCATCGATGAGAAATTTGTTCAGCAATTTTTCTTCCTTTCCGACTGCTTCCCACAACGTCCCCCATACATCGACAACTGCGACGTTCTCTTCAGCTGCAACGTCCTTCACTGCTTGTGCATAAGCCTCGGTCGTTGCAAATAACCGGTCCAAAGCTATGGGAGGATTGCGAGACTCAAGATCGGCTCGACGCTGGTATGTATCAACCGGTGGAGGCGTGATAAGAATGATGCGCGTTGTTGGGGAATAATAAGCTGATGTGGGTGATTTCACCATTTGGACGAGATGTTTCATGTTGGATACAAATTTTGATAAAGGAACGTGCTGTGGTGATGGCTTGATACAGGCATCATTCGCACCGAACCAGATGGTAAGCACTTGGACTTTAGGAGCGTGTCCGTCAGTGCGCTTTGCAAAGCACTACACGTTGGGCTTGATCGTCAGCTGCTGCACATCTATAGCGGAATGTGTAGCACCTGCTCGAACACCGGTATCGCCCACTCAGTATTATATCCCGAATACCCTCGATTCAATACATCCAGTTTCCTGGCGTAAACATCTGTCCAAGCTTCTCGCTGCGAGATCGCCAAGAATTATCGTCAGACGCACGAGAAAGTCTTTGACCCATTCCATTGAGACCAGGTCCCCAACCTCCTTGAGTTATCGAATCACCGAAAAGCATAAAAACATCTTGAACACTGGATGCCATCTGAGATGACTGCAAGAAGGAAAGGTATTTAGATAACTCTAGCCGGAGTTAGCCGGAGTTATCTTGAATTTCATAAATTGATTTTATTCTCAACCAGCATGAGCTCGGACAGACAACGGATACCGCTGAGAATAGCGGGTAAGAGGGCATATGTGTGGGATGTAGACGGTAATGTGCATCCTTCTCTTGTCAATAGCTCTTCCCCTAACAACTTATTTCAAGGTAGACATCGCCACAATTCGTGCACAATATCGCCTCTGCGGAGTTCTGACTGGTACTCTGCCGCATCTATCTCAACAAAATGCCTTCCTTGGTGTACCATTAGTTTTAATGCCCGAGGAGGTTGCGCTCCTACTAGAAATCGGCAAGTAACCCCGTTCTTCTCATCCAAATATACTCAATTAGCTTCCTCGCTCTTCACAGACGCTGCCGTTCTCATTGACGACCCTAAATCACACATTCAGCCTACAATGCCAGAATTACAACGCTGGAATGCAGGACAACAAGAATCAATTCGTGCTCAAGTCGCCTTCACGGAAACAAAGTCTGCAAGGGAGAGTGCCAACGCTGGCCGAGCGATGTCTGAAGATGCGCTTCGCAAGCGGAAAGAAAGAGAGGAACGCAAAAAAGCAGAGGCTTCGAGGCTTGCCGAAATTGCTGCTAGGTCTGACGGAGACCTTTTGGCGCTGTCTGAACCAACACCAGCTCAAGCTCCGCCAATACATTCAGATCCTGCTGTTTCTGCAGCAGGTAATCAAACCGAACCTTTGTCTTCCATACCGTATGCGGTCGTTGTGTCTGCGCCATCCTCTTCATTTGAGTGGTATAACCCGAGCGGGCGCTTTTATTCATCGCTCGAGGATGCAAGAGCTGCTGGAGTCTGGGATTATCCTTCCACTTTGGAAGAACGTGCAAGGTGTGGGGTATTTAGTGGGTTATGGAAGCAAGGCTTTTTTATGGGCGGTGGGATCAAATTTGGTGGCGATTACTTGGTGTATCCAGGTCCGTCTTTTCAGCCTCCTCAGAGATCTCAACTTAACTTATCCTATATTTCAGGTGACCCACTGCGCTATCATTCACACTTCGCGGCCTCCGTTTTGGTATCACCTATCTCTGCTTTGAGACCGATGGAAATCGTTGCACATGGGCGGTTGGGAACTGCCACGAAAAAGGCCCATCTTCTCTGTGGATGGGACGATGAGAAGCAAGAAGTCTCCTATTTGTCTATCGAATGGGCTGGATTTGGGTAGCGAGGGGAATATTAGCATGGGTCTGTACCGAAATCCGTGAGTAACTGAAAACGACCATACTAGTCAATTTTCCGTCTACCAATATTTATACGTCCGCCCGCGGGCCTCACCCCCCGTCGCACCCCGCGTCAGGAATCGGGCTAGGCCATTCTGACGTTGTGTCCATACCGTACGCCGGTGCCAGAAAAACATACAGTTTTGATGAGGACCAACTTCAAGTGCGTAATAGAGGTGGGTCAGGTGACCGTGCTGCAATTGATCTAATTGAAATTGAGATCGTTGCCAAATCGTTGCTCGCCTCTATCCACGATCGTCCGTTCATCATGGCTCAGGTTGCACCTCCTCTGACGTACCTATACCACATTCCAAGTGTCCATGAATCCAATGGAGGTGTCCCTGCTATACTTGAAACGCTGGATCTCAACCGAAGCGCCCAGGCTGGTGCCCCCATCGATCCCCAGAACCTCAGTCACGCAAAAACAGTCGCTAAGGCACTGAAAACAGTACACGGTGAGGTTCAAATATGATTCCTTGAATCCTTCTAATATCCATTTTACCAAGACTTGTCGATTGGCGACCGCGTCACAGGTGCTGTTGTGGAGAGTGCAGTGGAAGCTGCTCGTGCGTGTCGCATTTTCACAACTTTCTTTCATGTAACCTATTGATTCTTCTCATAATACGTTGCCGCAACGTATATGCCTGTGGATGCACAGGCTTTACAGAATATCAACAACCGACTCAATCAGATGGATCATCAAATCGCTGAGGCTCTGGCTATTTCCCGCAACACACAGGTCCTCGCGCATAATCGCCTGCATGGCGTCCCTCGTGACTACCGGCCCCTCTACAAGACGGTGTGTTATTGTGGTCCTTAACCTCCTAGTGGTGACCCTTTGCCACATAGATCCAAGGAAACGGCCTCGACCTTGCGAACCACATCTATGGTCATATTGCAGGTCTACAGGACATCCTCATTGCGCCAACTCAGGAACCTGCAGTTGGGACAGTCCCACCTAACTTCAGCACAAATTTTACAGCATATACAAGAGCTGACTTCGTCCGCCTCATCATTTTCTACAACGAAGACTTTGGGATTGTCGTTAGCGATACTATCCAAACCTCTATTGATAAGCTTTGGGGATTTATGAAAACAGACTAACTTTTCCCTGCAAAGTAAGTTGTATCTAATATTCTCGAGTCTATTCAGGAAAACGATACAGAGCTTTTCGACACTATGTATATTAGCCCATTTTCCTCTCTTATGGAATAACAATGAGGACGTCATTCAATCCAGCATTTACATGACTCACGGTATCGTGGTAAGCAAAGGGTTTGCCAAGATGTCGGACAATTGAAGGCGAGTACGTAGCCCCTAGATTTCGCGCATTAGTACATATAGTCCTTTCCTTAATTTCCACCGTGTTCACATCATGAAAATTATTCTATTCATGTTAATCTGTGAGGACGTCGCATATTATACTCTACAAATGATGTTGGGGTAATGTGCAGAAGGTAAGTGTGTGTGAGGAAGGAATAATGCAATCGGGTTCGTCGGCAAATGAACCGCGTGTGTGAACGAAGATGAATAAAAAACGAAGATTATGAACCATGAATGCATCGGGGCGGTTGGGAACTGCCACGAAAAAAGCCCGTCTTCTCTGTAGATGGGACGATGAGAAGCAAGAAGTCTCCTATCTGTCTATTGAATGGGCTGGATTCGGGTAGTGCGGGGAATATTAGCATCTGTATCGAAATCCGTGGGTAACTGAAAACGACAATACTAGTCAACTTTCCTCCGTCCAATATTTATACGTCCGCTCGCGGGCCTCACTGTCCTCAGAGGAATAGCGCTAGTGCTTCCCTCCTCTATACTTTCCGTGGGGTCACTCAAGGCCCTGCTGCCCCTTGGTCCCGAAACCTTGGTGGACCCTCCACCGACGCTCAAAGCTTTAATGATCGAATCATTCAACCACATCACCAGAGCGAAAATAGGCAACCGTATGGGCACCAACGGAGAAGGATGGCGAATAGTCTCGTTGTTTGTCGAATTCGTGATTTGAGGTGACGGGTTGTACGGGTCGAGAGGGACAGGCCGTGCGTGCATGGCCAAAATGATGTACTGAAACAGAAAATTTGAGTTTATGATGGAAAGAGTATAGTATGCATCGTACCACAGGATACACAAGTGCGAACAAAGCGCCGTTTGCCAATGCGGATCCCCACATGCATAGCGCGGCAGAAGGAAGGCCTACAACGCGATCGTCAACACCAGGTAATGTGCCACGCACCCAAACTCACCGAACGCGAAGTAGTAAGCCCATCTTTCTTCCAGATGGCGTATTCGTCTCGACAATGACAGTCCACGAGCAATCCAAACAAACCTATCACCATTGGATCAGCTCCGAGCCTGACACAATTTCGTGTCCACTTACTCAAAGCAATAGTATCTGCAAGAATAATGAGATTAGTTAGCCGCATCAGGACGAACCGAGATCGCTTACGCATCAACCCAACAAATGAAGAAAAACCCTATCGCCGGACCGATGAATGGTATATTTCGAAGTCCAAAGGAAACGATGACCGACGTGAAGACCATCACCCCTCGATACGCAGAGGTCGCAATGGCAGTTAGCATTCCGGTATAGGTGGCCGGCTGTGATTGCGCTGCCGTGCGAGTTCCGTGTTGGAGCGTGTAGGTCCGCTTTGCAATAACTGAGCACCAGGTCATCTGTGAATTATGTTTCAAATGAACCGCATCATCCGTGAGAGGCAACTCACATTGGCATAGAATGAAAGTCCAACGACCGGTAGGAGCCATAGGATCTGATAAAACCATCCAATATTGCGGTGGAGCCACTTCTGCTGATCATGCACGAGGGGTTGCAAGAGGAGGTCAAACGTGTATATGGAGGTTAGTGAGAGTAAATTGAGCAAGAGAGACTTGTAGATATTCGCGCGGATCTCTGGGTCACTAAAGAGCTGTAAGAAGAGCTGCAACCTGAATTGGTAGAGAGCAAACGCACTTTGCCACCACCGAGAAAACCACATTCCAGCGGAATGCATCATGCAAGCCTCTCCAGGCCCATTTCAGCTGAAGCAGGACGGAATTTTGAAAGGAGAGAAACGTAGGGTATGACGACCTAGAAGATGACCTTTCCTGAGGGTACACTTGGTATGAAGACCGCATTAGAAACCAGTAAACCCTAACCTTAGATTGGGTGTCGATACTTGACTTCATATTGTTCTAGCCGGAATATATACTTGGTAGCGAGATGAACATATAAAAGTACACCTTTGCATCAATAAGTTATAGTTACAAAAATGATAAGAAAAGCACAGCGAAGAAAGACGATCGAAGCCCAGATACTAGATGGTAAAGAGGTTACAATAAGGGTGAACGGTCAAGAGGAGGGTGAGGAATCTCAAGAGCGTTTGGTAGGCTAGATACTCATTAGTAAATATCCATGAGATCAGAAGTTGTAGAGACGAACCTGCTTCCTGGGCGCCGGCGCAGCTTTCGCAGGCGCCGCCTTCGTAGAAGCCTTGGTTGCAACCTTCTTGGCGGGGGCCTTCTTTGCGGCTGCCTTCGCCTTTGCAGCGGCGGTTGTTCCAGTCACGGCCTTGACAGAATTAGTTTTGGCGTAGGCATCGATAGATTTATTGAGAAATACCTTTTTCGCTGGGGCTCGCTTGGAAGCAGTGGTTGTCTTCTTAGCAGGGGCAGTAGCTTTGGATTTGCCTGCGAGTACTTTCTTTGCTGGGGCCGCTTTCTTCGCTGGAGCAGCCTTGGTAGCCTTTGAAGCCACTGGTTTCTTTGTTGTCGCAACTGTTTTCGTGGTTCCAGCCTTGGGCTTTGTAGTGGTCGTTGCTTTGGCTTTGGAAGCAGGGGCCTTGACTTTGGAGGCGGGTTTGTTCTAATTGACAATTGTTACGCATCGTGACAAAGACAGCGATGAGTATTACTGACCTCCTTGGCGGCTGAAGCTTCGGCGGGTTTCACTTTATTAAGCTTGACTCGACCAGAAGGACCTACGTAGACGCGGAGTTAGTCACTCGGCACTTTTCTCTCCGACTTTGATCAACATACCTTTGGGGAATGAAAAGATGCCTTTCTCCGCCCCCGAATTCAACGCCTTCGACAGTTGCGTTGTTTGTGCGGCACCGATTTCAAGTTTGTATTGTGTCTCGACGTATCTATGCATCCACGATGAGTAAGGTTCAAGTGACTAGCCACGGCAACATACTTTTTGATTTGTGGGCGTGAAACACCAATCCGCGCATCTTCGGTATTAGCAGCGATGCATTCCTATGGGAGGGGCCGGGAGAGCAGAACGTGAGCGAGCGTCGACGAAATTGAACAGAAGAGGTGAGAGCGTATCGACATCATAGCTTGTGCACATGAACCAGCGAGAACTGGCACGATGCCCTCCGCCCTATCCTAATTCGGATAGGACGACGATGACAATAAGAGACCATTGAAGGGTGAGGAGAAAACCAAGACGATAAGGTAGAGAATTGGCGAAGGTGGAGCGTACCTTAATCATATCAATCCATGTTGGGTGAGAGGGTGCTGGTTTCGCAGATGCTTTCGAAGGAGCCTTCTTCGTGGCAGGCTTGGCGGCGGTGGTAGTGGTGGCTTTAGCTCTTGCCATTATATGTTTGGTGTATGAGGAAGGTGTCGAGGATAATCGAGATTGGGATGAGAGGAGAAAGGATTTCGGGGCGGGAAGTGGAGGTTGTAGTTAAACCTGAGTTAGGAAAGGGGGGTTTGATAACATTGTGTTCGCTTGCCTATTTATACAAACACGATCGCGTTCTTTCACGTGACTACGCGCCTCAATCAACAAAATCAACTCGACGCGTTTCCTCGCTGTATTTGGCTCGTATTTTAGATAATTGCAAATACATTCGAGATGGGTGTGCAGATTGTATGGCTGTTGATATTTCTTATTGTGTTTGGAAATGACCATTGACATATCTACACGCGTCGCTTATCTGTTTATTCAATGTTTATTCCTTGGTGCGAAACATACAGAGACATCACATGACTTTTGATGTGGCCAATCACAACGTCACAGTTTTTGTCCATTTCGTCACAGTAATGTCGGTATCCCTTGCTCTAAAGGCGTCCGCCCGTTCAGCATACCGAGATGTCTGGAGAGCATCTTCAGCTTTATTCGCTGGTGATATCTCACTCGTCTCGTGCATACCTATGATTGATTGATTTCGAGTTTGCAGGCGATCCACCAGTTCTCCAAGGTTCGCGGTCTATTTAACATTGAAATGAAGGCTCACACTCCCAACAACAACTTAGCCTTCCGCTCCAAGTTGCGCAACGACGCTGTCTTTGCCGCTGAGGCAGCAAAAGATCCGGAGACTTATGAAAGACATAATCATCTAGGTCGGGAAGTCGCGGAGTTCTTGAGGAAGAATGTTGTTCAAGCTGTGAAGGTGTCAGAACAGGGTGATGAGACATGGAGTAAGCTTTCGCTCGCCTACATGCCGTTATCCGCCCACATTGTTGTTCAGAAATCCGGCTGACAAAGGACACGGAGTTGGGCGACAACGAATCGATCAAGAATCCTCCGCCAATACAGTCAAATCGAAGCGCCAGGAAGAGAGAAAAAGGTGCCCCCCAAACGTAGATATGAACATTTCTGCCCACGTGTCTCAGAGAGAACCTGATTCAGTCCCGGTATAGATGCTGCTCTGCCGGAGTCCAATAGAATATCCACTTCCCCCCAAACCCCTCTACCGCAACACTATTCTGCTCTCAAAAAGGCTCATCTACAACGTTCTATACCAGAATTACGGGAGGAGGACCTGGAGGAAACTTTCGTTCGAGGTTCGTACTCGTCCCCAGGCTGCGACTTCATTGACAGAGAACCTCATTGCAGGGAGTGGGCCAGTGCGTGCCATCACAGTACTTTTCTTGGACATATCCATGAATGACATGTATCATAGGGTGGTCAATCAATTAATAAGACTGAGAACAACGTGCAATTACTTCACAAGCCAACTGGCCTCCGCGTGTCTTGTCAGGATACTCGATCTCTCTCTCTAAACAGGAAACTTGCACGACGTTGGCTGCTTGAAAAGGCGTGTTCCACGCTCTAGCTCTCATCTCGAGTCTAACGCCGTTGCTTTAGCTGGACAAGTTGAACAACCCTGGGCTCTCAAAAGAAGAAATGAAAGCCGCGAAACAACGAGAGAGAGAACGGAGACGGCGGAAAAAGGCAAAGAAGAAAGCGCTTGAAGCGCAGATGACTGACGACGAGCCAGATGATTTGCTTTGAGTCTTGTACTAATAAATTGTGAAGTTGAGACTGAAGTTGCTGGGGAACAAATTCAGTAGTTTACTTTTACGGCACATTCCGACCAATAACAAGTTACAAGTCATCTCAATCACCTTCAGCCTGTTAGGCCGTTCGCCGTACTTGATATACTCGACATGGCCAGTGCCACCGGTCTCCATTCTCTTGCAACCATTATCAAGCGGTGAATATTGGCGTTTGGTCGACGCCTCATCTGGTGCTTACCTTCTTTCTCGTCAGTCTTGAGGCAGCCACGTCTCGGCTTGAAGACCTTTCCGTATCTCAGGAACACTCCTTACCCCCCGCAGCTTCAAGCAAAGTTGTAAATCCATCAGCGACGGCATACACTCCTGTAACACCTCAAGCCCCAGCGCAGCCGTCAGGAGGACCCCCAGCTACTGTTCCAGCCGCAGCCTCCGAAACACCAAAGTCTGTATCGGCGTTCGATGAACTCATCATAGCAGGAAAGGTCAAACCCTTTTTAGAGCTCAGCAAGAGTTTTGCAGGCGCGAGTGTCATCGAAGTTGTGCGTGATACTTGCAGGGATCAAACATCATACGTTTTCACTGATTCCATTCAGGCGACCCTCGTTGAGAAACAATATCATACTCTACGCGCCTTCTTGCTCGTGGCCGGGTCATGCCAGAAGCCAGACCAGAAAACCGTTGACGGGTTGCTCTCCCCGTTGCAAGCGTCGATTGAAGCCATCTCGCGCGCAAAGGAAGCCAACAGACGGGATCGTGACTGGCTCAATCATCTCACTTTGATTGGTGAAGGTGGTCCAAGCGTAGGATGGGTGGTTAGCGTGAGTCGACCAGTTATTTCATTGTTATATGAAAATATACGATACGAATCTAGCCAAAACCTGGACCATACGTTGGTGACATCAAAGACTCCGTAGATTACTATGGAAATAAGGTCATCAAAGAGTACAAGGAAAAGTCTGTCCTACTTTCTTGGCCGTCATTTCTTGGTGCTGACTTTAATAAGGAACCCTAAGCACGTTGACTGGGTGCGAAGTTTCACAGGTATACTTGACGAGATGCGCAAGTACGTGACAGAATACCACACGACTGGTCTCTCGTGGAATTCCAAGGTATCTAGGTATTGAAGTCGTTTCCAATTCCGTGGTAACGTTCTTCGTTCCAGGGCGTCACTGTAGAACAATTCCAGCAATCTCAAGGCAGCAGTGGTCCGCCACCACCACCACCACCACCACCTCCCCCACCTACTGCAACACTGCCAGGACCCTCACCCGGCGGTGCAGCAGCAGTCTTTGCAGAGCTTAACCGTGGTGATGAAGTCACTAAAGGTCTGCGAAAAGTCGATAAGAGCGAGATGACGCACAAGAACCCTGCAATAAGGGCAGGAGGTGTGGTACCAGCAACACCAGCATCCCCCTCGGGTAAGCACTGGGTACCACTTTCCTTTTTGGAATTTTTTATATCCAACTACCCTCAGCAGTCAGGAAACCGATCAAGCCTTCCAAACCACATGCGCTTGCAGGGAAGAAACCGGCCAAGTTTTTATTGGATGGTAACAAATGGTTGATTGTAAGTTGCCATATGCTCATTTTTCAAAAGCAAAAGCTCACCCTTCTTTTCCTGCCGATAGGAATACCAAGAGAATGAATCAGCTATAACAGTGGAGAATGCGGAGATCAGCCAATCCGTCAATATATTCGGTTGCAAGAACACAACCGTTATTATTAAGGGAAAGGTTAATGCTGTCACCATCGGTAAATGAACTTCATTCCTCCCAAAATTTGTGGCTGATTATAAATTAATAGTTAATAGCACGAAGACCTCTGTGCTAGTGGAATCTGTGGTCTCATCGATCTCCGTCACCTCATCACAATCTTTCCAACTGCAGGTCACTGGCTCGGCGCCTATGATTCAACTTGACTCCACGGATTCTGGACAAATCTATCTATCAAAAGCCAGCCTTGGTGTTGAGCTGACCACCGCCAAATGCAGTGCCATCAATGTGAGTTTGCCGGTGGAAGGTGAGGAAGAGGGGATTTTTGAGGAGCACGCTATGCCCGAGATGTTGAAGACGATCGTCAAGGACGGGAAATTGGTAACGACCATTGTCGAGCATGTTGGCTAGTGAACGTATATTTTGTTGGGCGTGGAATGGGATTTATCCTTTGCATTTACAAAATATACCATGTTGACCGGATGGCTTTCTCAGACGACTAGGTAACACAGAACTTTGATCGGACAACAGGTCGAGTGGCAAACCAACCGTGTAACGGCTTGTAACGGACCAGAGACTGTCCAGAGTATGCTCCCGTTAGGTGGGCTATAAATACCCTTGATTCGAATCTTCCCTGATGATTCATGCAGATCAGGACGGCCACTGTAATGCTCGAAGTCTTGAAGGTGTGTATACTGTATTGTCTACTATATGTTATCATCGATGTAAGTATGTTCATAGGCGACGCAGTGTTCTGTCAAGATTAATTGCTGGGTAACGACAAACAACGGCAAATAATGGAGGCATGTGCCAAGCCCAAGTTGAACCAGGCGACCCTAAGTACCTCGAGCAACTCAACGAGCGCCAACGACTCGTTGCAGCGGACGCGCCTGTGCTCTTTCATGCATATACGATCTTGACGACAACCTTCAACAACTTGCCTGCGTGGCCGTCATGGCAGCCGCCTACCTCAATAATGCTTTCTATGCCCCAGAAGTATCAGAACCTCGAGGAGCATTCCCTCATTCTAGAAATATTTCTACAGTCTCAAGCGCGACGCTTCATACGAGCACCACCTTGCACTCACCCCCTACAGAACCACTACTTCCACCATCAGCACCTGGCACGGAGGGGTACTACGAAGTCCTTTCAAGACAATCTAGGGGTGCAAGTAGATCGTCAGTGCATCTTCGCTGGGACCAAAGCACCGCTGTCGATGGCACCCCTCTTAAGGGAGAGGATCGGGGTCTTTGGAACAGAGTAATGCAAGCAAAGTTAAGTCGGTGGAAATGGTTGAAAGCGGTTTTGGAGGCAGTCATTGGTGAGCCCTCCGTCCTTCGTTAATCTTCTTGGGCAATCGGAATATCTGGGATAATCCGATATTGAGCGCTTCGCTCAATGTCATCCTCCGAATTTTGCGCAGTCGCAGCATCTCCGCTTGTGGTCTGTTGCGGTCGCGTTTTTTGAAGTTTACGTGATCCATGCACTAATTTCGTCCACAGGAATCTGGTCGCTATACAATACCATCCGCTATTTCTATGCGTTCACGATTTACGAATCCCCTACTGGGCAGTCATACTCTCTAGCGTTGGGCACAAGCACCGGGCTTTCGTTTGCGTGTCTAGCGTGTGCCGTCATCCTTGCCTTGTCTGAATCTGCCCTTTCTCTCCATGGGATTACCTTCCAGCGTCTATTATCCGCCCGGCAGTGGCTTCACTATATTTCCTCTTTTCTTTTGATTGCCCCAGCTATCGTTAATTTCGCGGCAGTATTTAGTTGGCGGAATGCTACGGACTCACAACTTATGACCGCACATCGATGTCAAGTCGATATCGATATCATTTGGTCGACATCATACACTCTCTGCAACTTGAAATCCCCCTCCTGGGGAGTCTGGCTCACCCTCTCTGTCCTTCGTCTTCTTTTTACACTCCTCCTCCTTGTACGTCCATCAACATCTTGCATCCGTTAACGCCCGCTCACCCTCTTGTAGGTAGCACACCTCATGATATCTTCGAATTTTTATCGGCTTAAAAATCTGGGGAATCCCCGTCGCAGCCGCAAACATAAATATCATCAGTCAGACTCTTTTCATACCCCCTGCCTGCCACCCCACATGACAGGCCCGCTTTTACTACCGCACTTCGAGCGAGATACCCGCAAGCCCAAGTCGACACTCTCAGCCAGATCCAAAACCTCCTCCTCTCCTCGAAGTCAAGTCCGCCTTGTCCGTTCCAGATCGTCCGGGCTGTCTGGTGATGTCATTTTTGACCCCACATCATTATACTCAACACCCGCAAACCCTTCCTTCAACCTCCCGGATCAGGGCGGTGATACCAATGGTTTTGTCGACCGTTTTAGGTCACTCGTTGCTCAATATACCCGAGAAACAGAAGAAGCACTTGAATTGGCCAGGTCAGAAGATACCTCATCACGACATACCCTCGAATCCCCACCTCCAAATATCAAAGATCCTAATGACGCTGACCTCCAACCTTCAGCAGGGCTACCTGACGACAGAGATGATGATGAAGGGCACGAGGAGGATTATGATAATGACGATATCTACCGAACCCGACCGCCCTCCGCCCTAGGATACAACGAGTTGGGAATGCCGTACCCTCCAGAACAACAAATACGCATGCTGAATGGGTACATTAGGCGCATGCCGACAATAGAATCAATGGGCTCGAGGGAAATGGGCAGCAGCATCGCTGGTTCGAGTATGTATACCAACCGCGATAGGGAGCGAGAGCGATATAGCATGACCACGAATAGTCGACCACCGACGAGGAATAATCGGTCGTCGTGGGACAGCGAAGCACATAGCCGGACAAATAGCTTGTCGGCGCAGGCGGGGATTCTAGCTGGGTTGACTTCTGAGGTGGGTGAGTTGTTGCGTATGGAGAACAGGGCGGAGCTTAGTCGGAGTCCTGCGAGCTCAGGAGTGGGTGAGTACTCTGCTGGGAGTGGTGCGAGCCATGGCGCGGGACACAATGACTATTCTTCGTCGACGTCGACGACATCGGGGAGTAGAAGCACAACGCTGTCCTATCACACGGCGACTATGAGTAGCACGACAAGTGTCACTCCTGTTGCCGTCGATTTTCCGCCTTCTTGGCCTCCGTCGTAGCCTTCACGGTTCGCTTGATTTGCTTTATCCCGTCATTCTCGCACGCACTACACATGACTAGACTGCATTTTGCTTTCCATCAAGATGTATATATATTTATTTATGTCTGCTCCAAGTCTTTCTATAGTGGTGGGCAGACTGTACCCAATAGCATATTCTGCATGGTCTATCTCTGCTGGCAGTAGATAACGATTTGTTGATTGGACACGCATCCTTAAAACGGTAGAGCCTGGAGGATGTGTTGGGGGTGGCGTCTTTGACAGATTCGAAGGCTTGGGTGTGACGAGGTTGACAAAGCAAGACCTTCACGGTATTCGTCACAATGCGAAGCCGCAATGGGGCGTTTCGCGTACTAGCCCCCTGGGAGTGAGCAGACTTTTCACTATCCACACGGAGGTTTCATGTCTGCGATGGTTTGAGAGAATTGAGCTGCTGAGCTATACCGACTATCCTTCTACATTTCTAGAACATGGTGTGGAAGGTGTTTCAAAGCGATTCGGATTCGCATAGCAAAGCCGGCAGGAAGGGCGACTCTTTGAAAAGTGACAAACGCGGCGTTTCTGTTGCTGAAACAACGGAAGCTAGCAGCTTCGTAGTATCCCTTGTGTCCGTTCAGATAGTACTAACTAACATCTCGGGGGAGAAAAAACATGAAAACTCACTCCTCCTTGACCCGAACGACCATCGAAGTTCCTTGTTCCGAAACCCATAAGATGTCGAGATAGATTGACGCGCAGGTCGCGCCGAAAGTCTGCGATAGTGCGTCTGACAAGGCCTTTCTCAAAATGAGGACATCTTGTGTCGACGGCGTTATGGAGAATCGGATGTAATGATTTTCTGTGGGGAGTGGATGGCCTTGTTGCATGATCATGTGGTAGCCAGGTGGTGCGGACAAAAAGCAGGATGGGAATCGTAATCTCTAAAGAATGGAGATGCCAAGTCAGGTGCTGCACCGAGGCGAGAGCACCCCTGAGAGGAACTCAATAGAGCAGGGTGGCGTTTCCCCAACGTCAAGTCAAGCGGTTCTTTGTTACGAAAGATTAGGATCCGGATGTACGTAAGTAATTTAAGATTAAGAGCGAGGTACTTTTGTCTGCAACGTATCCGAAGTATATCAGAGATATATATCCAACAAGGATCCAAGGTGAGCCAACAAAGATAAGGAAACAGTGAATAATAGATACAACAGGGGTAAGTAAGGAATGTGTAAGGTATACGATGAAAGATATAACAAGTTCCGTTGAAAGAGAGTGAACGTGGTAGATAGATTAGGTCTACAAGATGCGATGGTGAACCAGAAATGCATGGAGAGATGTCGTATCACCGCGATGTGGAGCAAGGCCGGAGATTATTAGAAGTCGCTACTGCGTTTCCGTCTCGGGGACCTATGTTTCCCTGTAAGCCCCGAAAAGAGCCGAGCCAGCAGAGGCTGTTTTGTAGGTGATTGTGTCTGATATGCCGAATATGGGAGCTGTGGCGCGTTCTAGGGCAAAAGATATATTAATTCCATGAGCATGGCGCAGTAAGGAATGGAAATGGGCATACTGAGATATCAATGGGTCTGTTGTATGTGTTGCCCCGACTGTTAGGGTGGAGAGGAATGACGACTGGTTGATCTGGGTAGGTTTGATGATGTTTATCCGCCGCATACGGATAGTGCTGTTGTTGGGCGGGGTTGGTGTAAGAGCGGCGTGGTTTGGGTAGTGCAGCAGGAGCGGATGAGTATTTATTCCATGGAAGTTGATTTTGTGGAAAGTTGGCAGACGTAGATGAAGAGCGTGGACGAGTAGTTTCAGAAGAGCGGGAAGAATGGCGTGAATGCCTGGGGGGCGACCTGACACGATTACCAGACGGATATACAGCAGCAGGAGGTGGTAAAGTTTGAGAGCGAGTGTGTGTGGCGCGAGAATTACCCGAATGAGGGGGTGAACGATGACGGGTACGAGAAGAGGGATGCCTGTATTCTCGATCTTGTTCCCAAGCCTGTTCTCGATCACGATCACCTCGACGGTGCTCGCGATGTTCACGGTGCTCTCTGTGGTGCCTAGGCGGAGAACGGTGTCGAGAGCGACGTTCGTCGTCGTCGTACTCTTCAAGTTCTCTCTGAATAACGAGTGGCTGGCCTGCAGGTGTGGCTGGAGTGAAAGGATTCCGAGGGTTGACGCTGAGAGTACCGTCTACCCAGCGAGCAATACGGTTTTGAGTAGCAAGGTACCTTTCGTAGGCCTCAGGGGAGTAGTCGTACTCGGTCATCGTGGTGGAGGGTAAGTAGGAAGAAGTCACGCTGGTAATACTAACACTTGTCACGGTCATGCTGTAAACTGAGATGATGCACTTGGTTAATTATAGCAGTCACGGCGGTATATCATTGAACATATTCTTCTACTTGACCCACGATGGATAATCCAGGATGGCATGCTCAGCGACGTGCACAGAGGGTTCTCTCTTTACCCTTCAAATCGCTTACCCACGCTGACCATTTCCAATAGGAAAGCCGAGCGTACTATAATGGGCAACGTAGCCCGGATGGTCGCTTTGCACCAACGGAACCTGTCCAGCCAATGAACGAGAATTTCATTGGAGGTTTTGCATATCCACCGCATACTCCACCGCCTCCGGCTGTACCACCGAAAGACTATGGGTTCCCCCAACCTCACATGACCCAGTCCACCATTACCATCCCACAACTCACAAAGATGTCGGCTATCGAGAGGTCTAAAACTTTACGCGTCGCGAGGATGGAGCCGCATCTTCAGGTACTTTTCAACCACTTCCTTCTTTGTATCGTGCATTGTTCACGTTATTCCGAAGTTCATGTGTGGGCCGTTGTTAAGGTTAATTTTCTTTTCCTTATCTTGCAGCGTAGCTTCATCTTCGTCATAGGTATGACAGCGTCGACGAACATGGGATATGGCATGGCGCTGCTTTGATCGTCAGTGCGTTATTTTTTACGACTGTCTTCTACCCCGTTACTAACTCAGTGTAGCGGCGGATTCTGGTTCAATATATGAGCCTCACCCAACCCTCTCATACGAGTGGGACCCTGATTTCCGAACTACATCCCTTAGAACTCCTCCTCCTCCTCGTCAACGAGGTCCTTCTGTCAGCTCTGGGAAATCATCGACTAACGGAAGCGGCTTCAGTAACCAACCAACCCCGCCTTCTTTCAATCTTGGACCCCACCCAGCAGACCCACATTCCACCGTTCTCCCGACATCCCCGATGGCTTCCCAATTTTCCACTTCATCCGCTTTTGGAAATGTGCCTGGCATGCCAAACAGTCGTAATATGGGCCCTAATGCAAGCAGAGAGGTTGTGACTGGGCAAGAGCTTTGGGTTTATGGTGGACAAGGAGGGTGAGTTATCAATTATATTTTATCCCTTTTCCTCGTTCTTCTGCAGAACCTGCAGGACTTTTACGTTCTGGCGCTTTCTTATTAAGATTCCGCTGGGGGAACATGAAATGGCAGTATCCTACTCAGTAAATAAGGGACAGCAATTGGAATTTTTTGTTCCAGGCAGAAATCAGAATATGCGTTGGGCTGCTCACTCCGTGCGTCATTTCCCCCAACTTTCACCTGTCATGTACAATATTTACTTGCCAATGTCAAACTAGTGCAACGGTTTCTCTGCGGGCGTGAACCCAGACGACTTCCGCGGACCGGGTTTCTTGTCGGGATACGATCCCGTGTGGGTGGATCTCCTCACAAAGCATGCAGAGCAGCCATTCCATGTATTGGTTGGTGGCGGGGATCAGCTGTACTGCGATGTGTAAGTGGCCTCGATCTCCTGCTCTCACAATGAGCCTTACAAACCTTCAAGTATGATGCGTGAACCTGAAATGCAAGAATGGGTTTCAGGGATGAAGCCAGAGGAGAAAAAGCGTTGTAAACTGACGGATGAAATGTCAACTGCGCTTGATCGTTTCTTCTTCAATCACTATTGCCATGCTTTTAGAAGTGGAGCATTTGCTAGAGCTAATTGTTCAATGTATGTGCCGCTTGATTTTATAAGCATTGCCTGCCAACTTCTCAAACAGACCAATGGTGAATATGTGTGGTAAGGCAGTCTTCCTTGGCCCTTGCAGTGTGTTAATGAAGTTGTGGGGGTATAGATGATCATGGTGCGTTAGTTCGATCAAAGAAGTAACTTTGCTGATGGCTCATACAGATATTGTGCGTACTAACCTTTCCCGTTCTCTGTCACCTTTGATTTAAGTGGGTTTTACACACTTGGTGTAGATTGACGGCTTCGGAAGTTGTGCGTGGATTTACGTTTCTCTCTCTCTCTCTCTCTTCTGAATTTATACATCTGTCTTCCTTTAGATCCGGATGATTTACAGCTCTCTCCTGTCTTTCGCACGTTAGTGTTGAATGCCGTCCTATCAGCCTCCATCAAATCTAAACGCCAATTTATTGTCGCAGCATAGGCACAAAAGGATATTTCTTCTTCCTTTTGTTCCAGTGCTTCATAAACGGTAAATTCTTTTCTTCCTCCGGTCTTTGAGGCTCACTCCATCCTCAGTCGACGTTGACGGCATCCAGGACAAACCTGACCAACATGTTTATAAATCCTTGATCATCGGTAATCCGGGGCCCTTTATTTCATTCCGCTCGCATTCGTTCTTGACATACATGGGACCACAACAAGCTCTTCTGTTGTTGGATTGTCGGTATGTGTTATACCTACGTTTCTCGTTGTCTATTTGAATGGGTTTTTCCCTTTCATCATTTCCTTGGTCAGCAGTTACTTCAACTGATCACTGATACTTGACGAGCATACCTTTCTACCCCCCTATATTCTTACTGATTCGACTCGTCTCACCAGAGCTGAGCGGAAAAAGGACCAGGTTTGTAGCCCAGCGCAGTATGAAAAGGTTTTCCAGAAGATACGGGCGCTTCCGCCGAGTGTGGAACACCTAGTCGTGCAACTAGGTGTGCTTATTCGAAGACGTTTCAATTCCCAAGATTCATTATCCCGATCTACACAGGTATCCCCATCGCCTACCCACGCATGGTATTTTTGGAGACGGCGCTCGAATCCAAATTTAACCCTCTCGTTGCTCTTGGTCGGACTGGGTCCTTGGGTCTCTCGGGATTTGTCAATAAGTTCAATGATGAAGCTGAGTTGCTGGATGACCTTGTGTGTCAATTATCCTGCCTTCGTCCCCGCACGCTCCGCTGACACTGTGTTACCCTTCGACAGAACGACCATTGGACGGCACGGCATCATAAAGTTTGCAATCTCTTCACACTTGGCGCGTGCTCATCTGATCGCCCGGCGTCATAGAAAGAACGCAATTGGTTCATTGAGCAACTGCAAATATTCGCTCGTACGAGACGGATACGAGTCACATTTATCTCTGGGGACGTGCATTGTGCTGCTGTGGGTGTCTTAAAGTCGCTCAAACAAAAAAATAAGGCGGAGATACCGCCTCTGAACGACCATCGATATATGCTGAACGTTGTTAGCAGTCCGTCTTGTTTCCCGTCCTTTCTATTGATTTTCAAGTCACTCACTGCCAAATTCAACAGGCGCGATTGTAAACACTCCCCCGTAAGTTCGTATTTTTTTCGAGGGGAAAATAATACTGAACAACGCTGGCTGGATCAGACCCAACGGCGTTATAACCATGGTCTCGTCCCTGGCCACCAAGGTACACAAGACCTTGCACAGCATTGAAACTGACGAGACAATGGTCATTTCCGCTTTTTATTTCCCCTCTCCGACCACTTATCGATCTTCTATAGCTCCCACTGTTTGACAGAGAAACCAACGGGCAACCGCGAAAGCAGAAATTCGTCATGGGGAGAAGGAACTGGTGTGCGGTGGATCGCGATGAGAGGACGGGAGAGCTCGTCTTTGACATTCGCGTAGAAACAGAGAAGGGATATGGGGTGACTGTCGGGTGGGTTTTGGTTCTTTTGCCTCGATTTTGGCTTACTTATTTATACCATTCTAGGTACCCTGTACGGGCGCCTCCACCAGGTTGGAACCGAGGATGAATGACTTATCTCGTTATGAAATAAATTTTATTCTCCTTGATCTTTCCATATACCACTATGCTGCTTTGATCCCCAACCAGCTAATCATCTGTGGCCTCCGTTGTATTTAATCTGTTGTATATTTCAACCATGCCTAGCGGGCTGTATCCGCCGTAAATTCTTCGCGTACATCTCAGAGTTTTACATTTGATACGTTTATGAACATATCATTGGCACGGCCTGCTAGCACGAAGACACAGGGGAAAGTAATGGTCGTGAAGACCAAAGAAACAAAACACTCAAGAAATAGCTGGATGGGTAGTTCCTGGTTCCTCGAGGTTGTCTTGATCCATGTCTACGTCGTGCGCTTCCGAATTGTATCCACTCTGATTACCCTGGAAATCACCATAAGACGCAAACGTTGGCGCAGGGGAGTGCTCATTTTCTACTGAGCCCTCTGCATCATAAGCCGAGGTTGCATGGCGCAAAGGGCTTGGACTCGGCTGATTCGGATTAAAGCCTGCCAGGAAGCGTTCGTCGTCCAAGAATGGGCCATTGAACCCTGCAGCTGCCTGCTCCACGGCAGCCTTTTTCCCTCGTTTCCTTGCCTCTGCTTGTTGACGTTTTTTGTTTCTTTGGATGCGTTTTTCTTCTTCGGCTTTATCGATGGCAGCTTGCTTGACTGCCTCGACTTTGGCTTCTTCTTCTTCTTGAGCATCGAGAGTCCATTGTTCGGCCATAAATTCGGCGTAGCGGTCGCACGTTGGTCGCCATGTGCTGGGTTTGGTATCAACCCCGGCTTCTGAATTGCCGTCTAGGAGCGCCTCGATATCGGGAGGAGGGGGGAAGTCGAAGGTAGGTCCTGGGTTTAGGCGGACACTTGCATCATTGAATAGCGAGATAAAAGGATAGTAACCGAGTGTTCCATCATCAAAGGGATTTTCCCTGTGTTCCTTTACACCCTCTCGAGTTCTTTTTTTCTCTTTAGCTTTGCGCTGTGTGTTGGATTGTCTTAGTTGGCGATAGTCATACAAATCTTGGAAGGCACTGCCTTGACATTCGCCGTTTACAAAGAAGGCGATCCGGGAGTTTGGGAGGGTGGGAAGTGGGCGGAGAGGTATTGTGTTTGCTTTGCCGGCAGTGACAGGGCCACTGCGTTCGGGCAGTTTGCCATTCGCAGACTTTTTGGATGATGATGGCACAGACGCTGAACTTGTAACTTTCCCCGAATAATCCATAAGCGTTGTCATCTCCTTCGATTGTGGATATTCCAGGATTTCAAATACTTCTTGACCTTTGAGGTCAATTGGTATACGTTCCCTCTTGATGTGTGCGGGGTCATGGAGATCCTTTTTGTTTGCTTCCCGTCGGGGGGGAAGCGAGATGTACATGCCAATGACATCTCCAGAACCAAATTGCCGGCCATATGGACGGGGACGGGACAGTGTGACTTTGTCTCCAGTTTTATCGCGATAGCCATAGCTGTATCCGTCTAGCCCAACAGGTCCATTTAGCGGAGCTTCTCTCCTCCCCCAGCCTAGCCTGACATGACTTCCTTCACGTCTAGCTTCGTCCGCTACGTGTTCACCACCGCCGTGTAGAACCTTGACTTCCATATACCATCGGCCTTCTCTTATGGGCGCGTTGCATCGTGCACTCCGAAAGCCCTTACTACCTGCAATACCTAGGCCATCTTTAGTAACTTTGAGATAGGGACTCCGGTCCTCCCAGCTGACTCTGAACGTGGTAGGGTTGCTTTCGATGGTACGACACGGAGTTGCAAACCCTTGCGGGTTAATCCCAGCTGGCATATAACGGAATCCAATCCGATTAACCCCTATCGCGTCTGTTTTGTACCATTCTGAGCCTTCAGCAGTTGGAATGAAAACGGGCCCTCGAGAGATAGTTAAGATAGCTCTGGAGGAAAGATCTGCACGCGACGCAAGAAGACTATTGAAATGGTGTAAATTAGCTTTTACTGGTTTACAACATGAGAAGGGTTTGACGAACTCTGTCGACGTGCCACCTGCATTACTCCCTGGATCTGAAGGTGCGGGCGAGGATGGGGTTGCAGGTGCTCGTTTCCTCTTCCGTCCTTGAGGTTGACTCCCGTTGGAAATGACTGGCGCTTTAATTAGTAAGATAGGGAGAGCATCAGTGTCTTGGGGTGGAGGTGAAGACCCTTCAGCAAACATAGTATTGGGTGCACGAGTATGTATCACTGAACAGGGTCGTGACCGTTTGTAACACGCGCCTACAACTACTTACTTACCCTCTCAACTATCATGGCCACACTACGGCAAGCATGCCTTCGATTATCCTTGTTTTGGTTCCCTAACTCCATTGATTAGTCGTGTCCAAAAGGTACTCGATTTCTCTACAAACGACCCATCTGATCGTTTTCCCAGGAACTCAGAGATATCGCTGCCAATCCTATCGACGTACTCATCCCGATATTGCTCGTCGATTCCTCGTTGATGCCTCGAATTGCAGGGTATCGCCGTCGAGACAAAGGACGACAATATTCTCGAATGGAAGTGCTCCATTAAAGCCGCTGTACGCATCCTACCTCGCCTCAGCTTAACCCGTAATCTCACAGTCGCGAAAGTCAGATTCTCCCTACAAGAATGGCATCTTTCACTTCACACTGACGCTTCCCGCGAATTACCCTTTCAAGGCACCGACAGTATGTTATCGCCTCCCTTTGCCAAAACGTGTTTGGCTGATATTGACTAGGTGACATTCACGACGAGAATTTACCACCCTGGAATTAATGACGAGGGTGCCATTTGTGTTCCTGTGTTGCGAGATGATGTATGCCTTGCGTCTATCTGCGGGTTTTATTGCTGACATTGACCTGAAGTGGAAGCCAACCGTAACCCTGTCGTCTGGTGGGTGAGAACCAACGATTCGGCTGACTGGACGCCTCATTGTGGTATAGTACTGGCAATAATCCAAGAGAAGCTCAATAACCCTAGTCCGGATGATCCCTTCGAACCTGATATCGCAGCAGTGAGGACTTTCTTCATTGAGGATGCCACTCGTGCCTTAGTAATCGTCTGCAGCTGCTGAAGAATGACAAGGCCAAATTCCTTGCCACGGCCAAGGAGTACACTAAGAAGTAAGCTGCAGACGCTGTTCTTTTCGCTCATCATCTGATAGTTTCAAACTCTCCAAGGCATGCGATGTAGATACGATTGTATTCCGGTTATATTTCTAGTTGTATTTGTACTTGTTGGATTATGACTTGTACTTCATTGAAATCCTCTACACCTTGAGAGGGAGCTACCCTACCAACCTGGGCAACCTGAGACCACCTGCGCCTGTATACCGTTTGCTTTGATCCTTCTTCTTTTGCCTGCTCTTGTACTTCTCGTCTTATTTTACAGCGTCGTGAGCGCTTCTTCTATCATCTCAGCAACATTCCTTCCTTCCTGATATCTCAACTCGTGTTTACCACGTTGCCTGTCCTTTTCTGAGTCCCCAATCTCAACTCTTTTGATTGTTTCCCCACAACGTGTATAAAGCGAGGAGTCTGAATATGCATCGATTTCGGTAAGTCGGTTCCCTGTTTCTTCCCTGAGAGAATTCCTTCCAACTGTGCCTTGCATTGTTTGTTCCAGCAAAAGGTCGGACTCGAAACCCAACCAAGCACCTCCTTCTCCAGAAAGCTTGGAGGATTCTTTGCCAAAACTACCCGTTGGCGACTTTCGCACGTCCCTCATTTTGCCAGAGTAAGTACAAAGTCTTTCCCACCAAGCAACATTAATGTACAAATCCTTCCGTCCGACAGCCTTTCGCGTCGCTTCTCTGTGTTACGATCACCCTCAGGGGATCCAGTTTCTCTCGACGATCTCAGGAGCAGGTTTGCAGAACAACGTGCGCGTGGGGTTGACCATCAAATTTCGGAAGCGGAGGAGGACATGCTGTTGGATACATTGGGGCGCATTCGGTCGCGGACGTCAGTTACTCCAGAGAGGTCGCAGGAAAGTATCGTTGACGGGGAAGAAATCTCAAATGGAAGACAGTCTATCAGGTCAACTGCACCTTCATCGTCGTCTCTTACATCGTCTCCAAGCGGTCGCTCTGCCAAACGATACAGTAATAATCTTTTCGGTTCTGGGCGCTTGCGAGACTACTCGTATCTGAGGAGCACGACGTCGACAAAGAGTTCTGCGGGGAGCACTCGAACCGTCTCTCTGACACCCACCGAGTCGTCCACCATAACCAGGGGAAACGTTTCGTCTCTGACAGAAAGTTTGCGACCTCTCACACCTGAAGGAAGCACCAATTCACAATCTGGCCATTCAAGTCCTAACGAGAGAGGTTCCGTACGGTCGGCGCCCTCAATCCCACCTGCCCCTTACGGTGAGCAAATGCAGGTTCTATCTGCGGCAGAATATCGGCTGCAAAAGACGCTCGGCCCATCTGCGCTCAAGCGTGCTTCCCTGGCACTGGAAGAGGCCATCAAGGAGATTGAGGATGAGGTCGAGGATGAGATCGTGATGCCGCGGACGGCACCTATTGCCCGAACCAGTCTTGAACAGCCTTCCCATCCTGCTGCTGTGGTGCGTAGCCATGTCATTTCTCGCTCTGGTAATTACTGACTCAATAGTAAGAGGGATAGCAATACTTCAACTTCTTCTGTTATGGAGGCTGGCATGGCCATATCCTCGGACAAGCAAGTCCAAGACGACTTGAATGAACGAAGAGCCGAACCCGTACCTCTTCGCATTCTTCCAGGCTATATCCCCGGCATGCCACGGCCAATGACTCCTCGCGATATTGACGTTGACGAACAAAGATCGCATTCCACTACGCCTCGTGCTACGTCTCCCATGCATTCAGGCTTTACCGAATCATCCCCTTCTACAAATATACTGAAACGCGACTCGGTCTCGTCCACGGGTGGACAATCCCCGCGTCCAACGACTCCTCTGGCAACGACTCCTCTATTTTTACAGCGAAGTACCAACGGACGTCATACACCTGATGCCAGCGAGAGTCAGAAATTGGGAAACTTTTTTGAGTTGGAGAGTCCAATGGCTTCTTCAGTCCTTAGCAGACGAAGACCGGCATCTCCGCTCTCCGGCCCTCCTTTCCAGCCAATGTCAGTTTCATCTCGACCAAGCACTCCTTCGAACATAATTTGGGCAGTTAATTCTGAAGGCGGCAATGTCTCTTCTCCAGGTCCAGCTTCCCATACGAGAGATAACAGCTGGGCTAGCGACGGGGGAATCAGTAGCTCTGATATACATGGTTCTATTGACCGCCACAAGCTCGGCCCTCGGCCACTTCGATCACCTCCTCTTGCCGATTCTTCTTTGATCGAACGTTCCCAGGTCAGCATTCTGTCCAGTAATCAAACTAATTGGAAGGCAGCAGGAGAGACGCCCAATACAGAGTCTGATACGCTAATCTCTCGTGGACACCGATCTCCAACACCAACGCAAAACGCACCACGGTCAACAACCTCCCCCGCATTTTCGAACTACGACACACCTCCTAGGAATGGCAGTAGACGATCCTCTAAACAAAACACACCATCTTCTCCATATAACATAGCATATCCTGCTCTTTCGTTTTCTCCTCGGCCTAATTCGTCTCGTTCTTCCCTTGAGTCTGCGGGATCAAGTTTCCACTCTTGGGACGGTGAAAAGGATCGGGCTATAAATATATTCAGTGATATCGGACAACATCCTGCCTGGCACGATATCACATTCTCTGATAAATCAAGCACTCCCGGTGGCTCTGGTAGTTCTCCTGAGGATGAATGGGATGCTGAAGACGTCATCAAGCGCTACGCTGGGCTCAAAAAGGCTGATTTTCATGCTGTCCAAGAAAAACTCTTTGGGGTTGCAGTAGCGAAGGCTGCGAATCCTGACCCCCGTGATCGTGCTCCGTCAGCGTTGAGGCGCCGAAGGCCATCCACTTCGCAATCTAATTACTCCATCAATAATGGACGCGACAATCGAGTGAGTCGTTCCATATTGTTATCACATTCCAGCTGACTGTGTAACAGATTGCGAGCCCCCCGCCACCAGCGTCGCCAACCAGTGCTACGACCCCCACAGCGGAGCAATATTCTAAAGCGAATGCTTTGTTAAATTCCTTAGCAGATAGTCTACAAGGTCAACCCATTCTCATCAATCCGGCCCCTACAATTACTCTTTCTACTTCGGATAAAGAACTCTCGCCTACGAGTCGCCGAAATCGCGATCTTGCCACCGTGCTATTTGGAGAAGAGGTAGAAGTTAAGGAATCCCCAGTCAAGACCGAACAAGAATCTGTCATTGAAACTCTCTCTTCTGCGCCTCCTCCTGTTGTGGTTGATGCTCGGACGCAAACCCCCCAAGGTACTGGGCCATCTTCACCTTATCTTATGCGAAACCCTTCTACTGCTAGAATACCCCCTTCTGCTCAGGAGGAGGCCGATCTCACACGTGAGGTCCAGCAAAAGACCGCGGCTGCGATGCTGGCACTGAAGAAGCGACCCTCCAACTCTAACCTGGGGGATGGAACGGTGTCGCGTCGGAGAATTGATACCAGCCAAATATCAACGCCGCAGCTGGTCTCAGCAACCATTAGTGTTGACACAATACCGCTTCGTACACCATCTCTCTCTGCGAGCAACAACAGTGGAACCTCGAAAATTGGTTCCCGCTTCAAAAAATTGAGAGGCAGCTTGCGTGCGAAGAATGTTGCACCTTCAACAGAAGATCAGCCACAGGATGCCAGGACGCCACCGGCCTCGCAAACCGTGTATTATGATCCTGACCGCCTTCAAGATTCCGGGAGCGCGGGCATGTCAAGCGCCACAGAAAATGGTAGGTTAAAGGGGTCTGTGACAAGCCCATCTGCTTCTGCAAGCCCTGGCTTGAAGGGTTTTATGGCTAGGCTCCGCGGCAAACGGATAACCGAAGTGCCTTCTGGTACTGAACATCGGGCTTCGCCCCATCGCCTATCTCCATCCCCCTTCTCCCCCTTCTCGCAACGTCAACATGAGTCACCACCTGCATGGGCGTCGCCGCCAGCTAATGTAGATGCAGATTTTAATTCGCCAACACCACGCCCTGATCATAGTCGACAACTATCCTCAAGGACTCCTGCGAATGTTTCCGTCGCGACAGAGGGAACGAATGCCAATGAATCTGCGCTGGAACAATTATTCACCGCCGCGAATAATCTTGGTCTCGACCACAACGCGCTGAATGATCTCCTTGCTCGTTCTGGCTCCATATCATCTAAGACGCTTTTGGGCAGGAATAACTCAGTCGTGAATACAAGCAAGCGAGCGATCCCTAACGAGTCGCTTGGTGAGTCGCGGCTGGATGTATCCTCTATCCAGCAGTTGTCCTTCACAGACAGCGGTGGTACTTTCAACGGAAGCAGTGGCTCAGATCACACTGCAACCCCGGGGATTTTCAGCACATTACCGCCTGACAACCAAAACGGACAACCAGTCGTCGAGGGTTCCAAAGCACCTGAAGAAACAATCTCTAGAAAACCTTCTATTCGCAAGCCTGACCATCTCCGTCGACCAAGAGAAGGTCAGACTGAAATTAACCCGGTTGTTCGTAGGACCATCATCTATCCTTCTGATTCACGAATTTCGACTGTGGATGCTGCCCTCACGCGGAAGGCTTCATCACGCCGTCGTCGGGCCAGCGCCACATCAGTGTCGACTCGATCCGTCCAAGACCGCGCACCCACACCTCCACCTCCTAAATCCCCGACCGCGAAACGCTTCTCACAAGATGGATCTCCTCCTGTCCCGCATCTCCCACATTCTCTTGGCCAGGCAGAGAGCCTACTTCAGGTGCCTTCCGTGTCAGCTAGTGGTTCCATCGAGAAGTCTAACTCGACGTATGATTCATTGTGAGTATTTTTATACATTCATTTACTCTCTACACGCCATGTAATCTCCCCTATTTTACATCTCTAGATATGAGATGTACGCTGAAGAAAGTAGGGCAGCAAGTTCGGCGACGAATGATCCCAACTTTTCCGAGAACCTACAGTCCGGCGTCACAGCAGAGTCTCGGCCCGCATTGGAGGTCGTTGAGCTGGCAAACGGTGAGACAATATGGTGAGTTTTTTCACCGCATGGAAAGGTTTGCTTCTCATACTCGTGTAGGAAAATCGTGAATGGTTTGCGGGACGACGATGATGAATCCAATTACACCGGCCGTTATAGCTTTGCGTCAGAATATTCAACTCGAGAAAATGGGGGTGAAGCCGTGCAAGTGTTTGTCAAGGACCATGGACGGTCAGCTTCTAAGGGCAGCAACTCGTCGTTTGTATCGCGGAAGAAAACTGGACAAGGGAAGAGCCGTCCAGAGACCAAGGTGTGTTTGTTAAAATCAAAGCTTTGTTAGAGGCCTTACCAAGCATACTCCAGGTCTTCTACAGCTCGTCGGCCCAGATTGGTCGTCTCATTGAAAGCCTGTCGCAGGGAATGGACGCAGGATCTTTCAACTTTCGCCCAAATCGCAGTATTGGACACTCTGCCTCATCGTCGGTATCCACAAACGATATCAACTGGACCGTTGAGGAGAGATTAGAGCACATGCTTGGTGCCATTGGTGGTTCTTAAAGCGTGGGCTAACGTTTAAAAATTCCCGTCTATATTTTGGACAATGCGTTGATTTTGAATGTTTATTTTCATGTTTTGGATATAGTTCTGGATGTAAATAGCCCCCGTCCGCAGTCGTAATAAGACATAATCATCCCACCCAACAAAAAAAAAAGAAAAAAAAGAAAGTAGGAATCCAGTGCTACTTTACGCGCCACGCAGGTCTACCCATCGGTTGAGGCATAGGGCAATGAGCGACTCCACCAGGAGAAGATCGTGATTGAACGTATACTGAAGGAGACTGTGTGAGGGACCAACAACGGTTGCTTGCGCGTAACGACGAAATATGGCTATACGCTTGTTGAAAGCAGAGTAAAGCTGACCATGACGAAATTAAGAACCGAGATTACGTTGAGGGACTCGTGCTTACTTACGTCGTACGAAGTTGGACATTCGTAATTTCGCCGCCATTCAAATCGTGTGCCGTCTGCAGAAAAGAAAGCGCGCGCACTGAGAGCAACAGCGCGAAAGAAATCGCAGTTAAATGGTCAAAAGCGGCGTCCCAGAGAGTGATAGGGCTTCACTTGTCTGTTGAGCCAGGTAGTATGAGGTGGGACATTGGTAGTTGTCGATTTCCAATTGTTGCGCTTCCCAGCTGGTCGCCCGAACTCCATTCTAGTTTTGCACAAAGCTCTTTGTTGTTTCTGTATACCTTTTGGAAATCGGCAACTTGAATGAAAAAGTTGTTGGCAATTTGCCAAGAGATCTTACCATCGTGCGGAGATTGGGCATGACAAGATTTCTTTCAGAGGTCTCGAAGCATAGATAGACGGGTTTTGTGTCTTCGCCAATGATAACGCAGCAGCGGGGATCGTCTCGCCCTGTGAAAAAGAGGTCGTAGGTGGCAGAGGCCATTTTAGAAGTCCCGATAGTGTTGCGGCTAGAAGTCCATGCTCGTGTTCTTATAACATTGACTTTATCGAGCCCTGGCTCCCGTGATTAGCGCGTCCATGGTCCATGGGAAGATTTCCATCGATAGTGGCGCAGGAAGAGAAGCGTTCTGCGCGAGGCAAAGTGAGGGTTGGCCGTGAAGAAAGCAAGAGGCTCGACGACGTTCGATGGTCTGTGCGGCGAATGAAGGACTGATGAAGTTGTGATGAAGGATGTCCTGACCATCTGTCGCGAAACTCGATCGGTCATGTCGTCGGTCATGTCAAATGCGCCACAGCCTAAAATGGGGCCGAAGAATTTCCTTTTCTAGCAAATCTCCCGTCCGTAACTACAAATACGGCGCTGACTAAGTATTGACCTTCCACAACGGCCGTTTGCGCATCTTCCGCGTCACATGCACAGAATGGTCCCCGAGATTATTCCCTCCACCAAACGCTAGGACGACCGTCTCCTCCGCCCCGACTCCCCGTGCAATCCCACGCTTACGCAGTTCAATAGCGTCCTTGGCGAATTTAAACCGAGCCTGGACCGGTCCTATTGAATAAATCTCCGTCAGGGCGGCTGTTTGTCAAGAATTTTCAAAAACATACCAATCTCAAACGTCTGGGATTCGACCGCCGTCTTGAACATCTCAAAAGGAACCTGGGAATATACTTGCAGCAAAACGTCACGCCCAGCGGGGTTAACATTGGATTCTTGTCCGGCTCGCTGGGCGACTTCCAGAACTTCAGGAAGCGTGACCACGAGGAAATGGAATACATCATCCCTCAGCCTCTGGGCATAGTGTCCAAACACGGTCGAAGAAATGTCGGGCGTAACTGAGCCATCTGTCGAGACCGTCGTCGAGTCAATGAACTCGAGCCAACCGCCGATGGTCTCCACAGAAAGGGATTGTCTGCATACATCATAGGCGAAGCTGCAAAGCTCCTCCGTCCCACCAAGCAAACATCCAGCAGCCAAGACAGCTCGCGCATTTTCGGATCGAACAAGATTTAGAGAAATGGATGAGTAAAGGAACCCCAGGGCTACAATATATTAGATTCCAGAGGCTCTACTGAATAAAGGTCAATTTCTCACCTATAGCAAAACCCTGGGAGAGTACACAAATTCCATTCAGCAACCTATAACGTCACAAGACTGCAAGTTCACGTACCTCCTGCGTTACTTCCGGCTCTTGATCTAAGTTAACGTATATCATTCGCTGTCCGGTCGTTTGTGGAGAAGTGGACATGGAGTGGGCAAGATATGGCGAACGAGACAAGATGATCGCGTGTAGGCGGTATACATTTTGGCGCACATGCTACGGTGACCTCGGTGAGAATCGATTGCCAGTTGAAGAAGCGTAGGTACAAACCAAAGTCGTGTCAGCATAATTCTAGGCGAACAAATCAGTGTTTCGACGACGCCCAGATCCACATATACACGTACCCCTGTTTGGAATCCTGAATGATACAGATGATTCACGATTTCCTCGTTGTGTGAAGACTGGTATGGCGTCGGGCTAACTCAGGACGTCAGCGTGACTCGGGGAAAAAAGTATAACAAATTTTATAAAAGAGAAGAGGAAGATATGTACTCACTGGGAGAAACCGTTCATAGGGTATGTCGAGGATGATGGTGAGCTGCCATTGTTTTCGTATGCCTCTGTGGATTTGGGAACGTCGCCGTTTGTGTTTGCGGCGCTTCCATTGGGGTGTGCGCCGCGGCCGTTGACTGATCCCGATGAAGATGGTATAAAGCTCATGATGATTTTACAATATGAATACGCCGATAAAATAGCAAGGAGGGAAGGATTATAGCGAGCAGGGAAACACGAAAAAGATTTGTCTTGGGCTGAAAGATGAACAAGGCCACGCGTCACAATTCCTTTCGTTGTCACACACCGAGCGCACAACTCTAAATTTCGATTATACCAGGAGTCAAGTTCAAGTCATCTAGTAATGGCACCTTCTAACTGCTTAAACGGCGTTACGCGTACTTCGCTGAAAAAATGAGTTCCATTCCCACTCGGTCAAAAACCTCTCCATACGTGTCCTCGGATGGGGTTGTGGTAACAAAGCTCTTCATCAAGTTGTTCTTTGATGGGGCCAGTGGTCCACAGAGGACCCCATACGGAGGTGGGGGTGATTTATATACCGGTGGAGTACTCCCGAGGTCATCACGGCCTCTGTTGGCTGGCACCAACTTTGTATGACGAGCTGTTTATCGAGGGTAGGCGTAATAAGCAGCTAAGGTGCTCACCATGTGCGACCGGTCAGACGCAAAATGTTGAATGTAGAGCTCTCCTGGTACCAATCGAAATAGACTGGTAACAGCTATTGACGGCCGCGTGCTTGCTCCCAGCTAAAAACTCACCTCTGGAGATCTTGCGGCAGTAAGTCATCCGGCGGAAATGTCCCCGACCAATAATCTGCGACATAGGTATTTAAATCTCGCTGAAAGTAGAGGATGATGCTTACCATCAAAAGAATATGGCATCTGTAACCAGGTATCGAAGTCGTAAACCCAGCTCTTGCGGTCGCCAGAGAGATTCGGCGTATCCTTTACATTATGTTCTAGGATAAGAATGACGTGGTAATCCCAGACGACGACACTGTCTTTATCGCGTGCTGCCTTTTGATTCCAGAGAGCAACCTATGAGAATGCTTTGGTCTCATGTAAGTTCGTTGATCCGCTGAGGCCCACCGTCTTCGTTAGATTAGATATGAAGACGACCCAAGGTGTCCATTCTTTTGATATGGAGGGATCCGCCAGGAACTTTTGACAGAGGAGGTATACGTTTTCCTCGCACCAACAGCTGGTGTACGAGCTTTCAGGCGGAACTGGAGGAGAACCACACATATTCCCACGTTCATTGAGCAGTGGTGGCTCTTCACTGGTATGCAAAGTCGAAATTTTGAATAATCTTACAGACTCAATTGAAATGGGAACATGTACGCAAGTACAAGCAGGGTCTATCTATCGCCGAGCCACACACTGTGCCCACATTATTTTGCCCATTCTAATGAAAAGATAAGAGCATGGCAAGCGTTGTAGACATTTTCACTCACATGTGTCAGTTTGTGAGATATAGTGATTTTCTAGGACTGGCAGGAGAGCTACCGCTAGTAGAATTGGATTTTTTCTTCAATAACAAGTCTGGAGACGACACCTCCCGCTGAAACGGGGTAAAAATCGGCCGTGTGGGGGATGAAGGCAAGATTGGTGAGACCGGTCCGCGCTTTTGTGGTATAGGAGATCGCAAGGGAGGCGAATTTTGTGTTGAATTCGTTGGGAAGGAGGGGGGCGTGGAGTCTACCGGGCAACTCGACATGTGATTGGGACGAGCGCGTGGGGATGGCATTGGTATGGGGTATAGTGACGGTTGCGGGGGTTGCGGAACGACGCCGGAGTTGTTTGTGAATGGGTGGGTCGCGAATGGGTCAAAAGAATCAAGCAAAGGCATGGCGAAAGGCAAAGGTAGCGCGTGGCCAAAAAATGATGGGATAGTGAGCCTTATATACCCCACTTACTTCGTGACGGAACTTTTTTGGAGTTCCCCATGACATCCAGCCGGTGATACACGATGAGGAACGCTGCAGATGAGAACGGAGGCTCCTGGATGTCACATGTTTGGAGATTATCCGGCTAATTGGAAACACGTGGCAGGCGAGTTTACAACCTTGCGGTATCAATTGACGTCCGCAAGCGCTGGCGGTATCATGAAAGATTCAGATTTTGCGGTCCGGACGTCAGAATACTGTCTTGCCCTCGTTTATTTGTCTTCGCTTTGACGTACTGGGTGTTTTTGCGCGAAGTGGTGAACCTATATATTTCCTATGCTGTCCGATGACTGTTAAATTCAAATCACAAAATTCGCGTGAAGAAACACGAAGGTTTAGACCTCAGCAGGCCTCAGAAGTCGTCGCAATTTTATCTGTGGGCCCGGATGGATGGCACGATGACGGACAACCCAATACTTAGCGATACAACGCAGATAAAGAATTGAACGTTCCTCGAGTAAGAGAATGGAGACATCAGGGTATCCAATTACTTTGAGCTCAAGCGCTTGGAACTATATCAGGAGTTTGACAAGAGAATAGCTGCACTTGCAAGTTGTCTCCTGACGTCGTGATAATCTACATCATGTGCTAGGATGGTGGTCGTTAGGGCATTCAAATACCATGTAAACGAAACTCACTGTCTTCCACTTCTCCCCAGCGCTCTATCTGACTATTGACTTCGACTTGTGCGGCAAGGGCAGCTTTCTCCACTGACAGATGATTCTTGACGAGGGCGAGAGCAATAATGAGCGACTTTGTGGTGTATGTGGCACGTTCTAAGGCTGTTTGACGATGAGTTGAAGCTGGTCGTTTGCAGCTTGAAGTACTTGTTTCTTACCAGCTATCTCCCACTTATCAAGCGATTCCAAAACCCTCTCCACGATTTTTTTCGTCTCTTCTGGTTGTGGAACGGAAAGAATAGAGCCTGAGATGTTGAGTTGAATCCCAAAGGTTTCCCGAGCCCAACTTAGCAACGGCTCCCAATGCTGTGTCTGCAGTTTTTCAAGCGGTTCAGGATAGTTATTGAAGAAACTAAGAGTGTTCTTCAGCCACTATTGCAAGGAGGCAGCTATTTCGCACGAACCATATAGTATCTGTATCCAGATATGCTACGAGCGCTTTGCGAACTTCTTGACGTGTGCTCTCATGTTCCAGTTCGTCAACCGCTCTTGAAGCGATAGAAGTCTACACTTCAATGGTAAAAATGCGCATAAACATTTAAGCAGAACTGACCATTGGTAGCGCATGCGGTTTCAGAAGCGTTTCCTGGTTGTCCCATTCAGCAGCAATGACGGACGCTAGGAGAGTCTTGTTTGCTGGGAGTAACAAGGTGTTACCCGAAGGAGTTTTGAGTGCTCGCCCGTCTAGCGTGATAGCGAGCGTATCTCCCTGAGTGGATACACCGACAGTACTCCAGAAGCGCTTCTTGGTAGCTTCCGCACCTGTCTCAAGCGTGGTTATTATTGAACAGATATAAAAGTCGGTGGACATACGGTTGGTTTCTGAGATGGGAGGTCCGTCAAAGGCCGCTGTTGACTGAAAACGTGAAAGCAGAAGACGAGAGTTTAGTTGTGAGCGACGTGCGATTGCTGAAACTATACGAGGTCCCAGTTTCTTCACAAACATCGAAGCTTGCGTCAGAAAAACTGCAGGTCACCGTCACGTGGCTGCTGTCACTTCCATCACGAGTCGAAATCGCGACAGCACAAGCGCTTGGCTTGTTTCAATTTGGTGCTTTACTTCATTCTACATAATGACTTCTCAAAGTACACTCTCAAACTTCTTTCAACGTCATACTTCAGGCAAAACGCCGAATAAGCGCCCAGCATCGCCCGTAGACCTGACAGTTAGCGACGATGACGGGTCAGTGCAACGAAAGAAAGCTAGGACTACTACTGTGGAGGGGACTTCAAATCTGAGAACCACTGAAGATTGGTGTTTTTCCCCAGAGAAGCCAAGGAAAATAGTCTCGCCCACACCAGCGCAGAGGCAGAGACGCGAGAAATTCAAGATGAAACTTTTACAGGACAATAGCAGCTCCTTGTGGAGAAGTTCACAGACCCCTCAGACGGGGATTGATGTGGAGGAGAACAGCCTGGCTTCAGAAGAAGACTCATGTGACGGCGCCTTCCAGAAACTAACGGAAATATTTCTACATAAGAGCAAAGGCAAGAGCAAGGCGACTGCTCCCCCAAAACGCACCAAGAAGCATGTGGAAATTGGGCCAAGCGGACAAGCTTACACCCCTCTGGAGCTGCAGGTGAGGGCGTCTCAATATTTTGATTGATTTCTGACAGAGCTGTAGGTTCGCCAACTCAAAAAAGAGAATGCCGGTACTGTGCTTATGGTTGAAGTTGGCTATAAGTACAAATTTTTCGGTGACGATGCTAAGGTGAGGATCTGGATATCAACTTTTCTACGGAGATGACGCTCACCGTGCTCTACAGGTGGCTGCCAAGGAGCTAGGTATGGTAGCTTTTAACGATCGAAATTTCGTCGTAGCCTCCATTCCCACACATCGACGCGATGTTCATTTGAAAAAGTAATATCGATGGCTTTGTCCTTTTGAAGCAATTGACCGTTTTTGAAAAGATTGTTGGCACAGGGTTACAGAGTTGGACTCGTACAACAAATTGAAACTGCAGCTCTTAAAAAAATTGGTGACAACAGAAATGCCCCCTTCGACCGCAAATTGACCCATTTATACACTGCGGCGACGTAAGGTTCTTTTGCTGAGCCTACTGTTCCTCACTCATTGCTCTCCAGTTACGTAGATGTGTTAGATTCCGTGGATGACTTGGAAAAATATTCACCCTCGCAATTCATGTGTCTAATAGAAGAGAAGAAGCCCAATATTCCTTCCATGGTTTCCATAGCCATGATTTCGATCTGCACTAGCACAGGGGACGTTGTTTGGGACGAATTTGATGGTGAGTGGCATTAAATCATGTCCAAATCTACACAAGACCCATATTTTTTAGATACAATCATGAGAATAGAACTTGAGGTTTGCCACCACTCTCAAAAGCTTGAGCTGAATATTAACAACGAATTTTAGACAAGGCTAGGTCACATCCGGCCATCGGAACTTCTCTTACCACGAAAGGGCTTATCAGAGCCCACTTCGAAAATGCTCTCTCAAATCGCTGGGTATTCGAACTCACCGAGTCAAATGTCAGTCATGTCTTAACTTGTCTTCTGTTTAGGACGTCTGCAGTTGGATCCCCAATTCGTATTGAGCATTTTCCTGAGATAATGCCATACGAGGCCGCGTTTTCGAAAATTTCCGGCTTTTATACAGACAAAACAAAAACAGGTGTAGCCTCAGAGAGCTTTACATCCGGTATAATCTTGTTCTTCCTCTTTTTTTCCTCCCATGCCAATTTCTTGGAACAGGCAAGCTTCTGGCGGAGTCTATAGGCTTGCCCAAGCGCGTCATCACTGCTCTCGCTCACACAATTAAATATCTGTCTGCCTTTGGTCTTGCAGATGCTCTATTGGAGACCAAGTTTTTCAACAAATTTACGACTCGAGCTCATATGTTACTGGCCGCCAACACTCTAGCTAACCTGGAAATTTATTGCAATGACACTGATAAAAGTACACACGGTTCTTTGTTGTGGATTCTGGATCGAACTAAAACCAAATTCGGTGCAAGATTACTCCGCGACTGGGTCGGTAGACCACTCATTGACAAACGGTGCAATCGCTGCATAGACCTGCGAAAACACTTGCTAATATTTTTAACAGTGTTCTTCAGGACCGTGTCGATGCCGTCGAAGAGCTCAAAGGGAGTACCTCGGAGAAATTGGTAACTCTTCGTCAAGTTCTGAGGCGACTCCCCGATCTTGCGAGGGGTTTGTGCAGAATTCAATATGGTCAGGTTCGTGCTCCTTTGCCCAAATTTTACCACGCCGACCGTCGTTCACCATAGTGTACACCTCAAGAGCTGGCTGTTCTCCTTACCGCATTCAGTAAAATCGCACAAGCTTTTGATGAGACCAAGACAGCGGAAGACGTTGGCTTTAATTCTCGGCTACTCAATGACATCATCTTTTCACTTCCCAAGCTTCGCCAACCGATAAAGAACCTACTCGATACAGTTAATATCAGCATGGCCGCTGAGGGCAAGAAGGAGGCCATGTGGGTGGATCCCGAAAGGCACCCAAATATTGCTAACGCTGAAATGGTTTGTTACCTATGTATCCATTGTCACGAAAGAATTAACCACAATTTCAGGCAATCATAGCAATTGAGGTTGGGCTCCAGGACGAGCTCAAAAGAAGTATGTCGTTCAAGGATCTTATTGTGTGTCGCAGTCTCAAGGGGAGCAGTCCGCAAACTACTTAGATTTCCATCTCTCACATGGTCTTCTCACCTCGACGATGAGGTAATAAATTCAAATCCGTTTTGTATAGGTTGACTGAACCTGTTACAGTATCTTGTAGAAGTCAAGAACAAGGACAATAGACCAATACCCGACGAATGGACTCTCCACTCAAAGTTGGTCGTAACGCCATCTATCCTGCATGAGACTAATAATTTCGCTTGAAGGACTAAAACCCATGCCCGCTACCAACCGCCCGAGGTCAGAGCAATGCTGGAGGAACGTGCTCAGTACAAAGAAATGCTCCAGGTAACCGTTGTTTCTTCAAAAGAAGTTTATATGTAATGCTGTTTGATTAAAGGTGGAGGCAAACGAGGCATTTCAAACTTTTCTCAAAGAGATTTCTCAAAACTGCTATGCCCCATTACGAGATGCCGTTAACAAATTGGCCATAGCAGATTGTCTGCTCAGTTTTGCGCAAGTCGCGCTCCAAGAGAATTATGTTCGTCCTGAGTACCTAGACGACAACACCCTGGAAATTGTAGACGGGCGCCATCCAATGGTAGAGGCCTTAAGAGCTGATCCTTACGTTCCAAATTCAGTTACCATGACTAGTGAACGTTCATTGAGTAAGATCATTACTGGACCGAACATGGGCGGGTAGGACTTTTTTTTTTTTTTGACTGACGTCTGCTGATCTTTTATCACAGAAAGAGTTCGAGTGTAAGGATGATTGCCTTAATCGTAATTATGGCGCAAATTGGATGCTACGTACCAGCATTGTCGGTCAAGCTTGGACTCGTCGATTCGATTCTCACACGAATGGGAGGTAAGTATCGTCATACACCGTCGAACGTAGAATTGAATTTTAGACAGCTTCTGATGACATTGCGAGGGGACATTCAACGTTCATGGTTGAGATGTCCGAGACGAGCGAGATTTTGCACTCGGCCACCAACAAGAGTCTTGTTATTTTAGACGAGCTCGGCCGTGGCACGTCCACGTTTGATGGAGTGAGTTATCGGCAATGCGCTCTACAAACCACCCCACTCATTTGACGTGTAGATGGCAATAGCACATGCTGTGTTGGAATACCTAGTCAAGACGACAAAGTGCAAGACACTTTTCATTACTCACTATCCTGTTGTCGCCTCTAGTCTAGAGAAAAAGTACCCTTCTCATGTGCAGAATCTTCACATGGGGTATGAAGCTGATACCCGTGTCGACGGTACCCGCGATATCACATTCACGTACCGATTGAAAACAGGGATGGCATCTGGTAAGTGTTGGTTATGCTTCCAATGGTTAGAACGACAGATACCTTTTCGAAATAGAATCGTTTGGCATCGAGTGTGGTCGTCTGGCCGGCTTGGATCGCTCGATCCTCTCAATAGCGACAGAGCGTTCATCCCAGATGCGACAAGAAGTAGAAGGACGGATTCGGAAAAACAAGTAAGCGGCACACTTCTACTGAAGTCCTCATCAACGTCATTGACTGTATGAGCAGAGCCCAGAAATCTGCGCGTTTGATAAGTCACGCTCTTACAGGCACTAGCCTCGAGACAGTTGCAATCATGGAGGAGCTTAGAACATTGTCGGAGTCCATATCCAGTCCTTCCTAGGAAAAGGGGGAAATTACAATCTATGCAACTTTTGCTTTTTTACGCTTAGCTTTTTTCGGACTACTATGTTTATCTTTGATCTCTTCAGTAACCTCGTCAGCTTTCCGCTTTGACTGCAACGGTTTCGTTTTTGATTCGACCGCGGTTTGAGAGGCGCGGGCTATTTGCTCGCACATCTTCTGAAGAGCAGGTGATGTACCAAAGCGAGAAGAAGCACCTATCTTCTCTTGCAGTGCTTTCCAGGATTTGGGCTTCCAAATATCCTCCATCTCCTGGGGAGCGAATCGCTGAGTTTGCCGAACACCGACGAGTCCAAGCTTCAAGAGCTCTTTCATCTGAGGCGCCGTCAAGTCTGTCCTTCTAGAGCATGCATCCGTCGCTGTGTCGATCAAAAGTTTCCGTAGCAACGGTAAGAACTCCAACGCCTCCTTCTCGTGTTCAGCCTAGTTTGTATATGAATTCAGACAGATCGAGGGGGAACAAATCAAACTACGCACCATCACAGGCACTAGACGTTGAAGCAACTGCAAAACCTGGGATTGTCGGTACGCATTCACCGCTTTACTTGCCAGATCCAACAAGTCAGTGCGAAGAGTCCAACTTTGTGCAGGAAAACGTTGGAAGAATTCGTTGAAGTAGGTAGCATTAAGATGGGAATTTTTTCGGGTAACAAAATCGACCAAGGATTCTCGATACATGTCGATCACTGATTTTTCGTCCTCCAAGTTGATGAGGACCTTCGAAACGTAGAGACTCGACTGGCTGAGAATTCCCAGGAAATCCGACGAGGCCGTTTTACGGGCTCGAGTGTGCAAATTACCGGCGATGGAGCGGACCTCTTCCAAGTCTGCCTGCGAAGGGGTTTCTTTCGCTTTACCAATTCTCGTCCGAAGAATCCCTTTTGCTTTGTCAGATAGTTGTCGCTCATCTTGACCGGTTCCTGCAATGAGCTCCACAAGAGGGGAAATCAAACGCAAGATAAGTGGACTTGACGATTGCTTTTTTATGAAGATATCCACGAGGTCGAGAACACGATTTTTGAAATGGGTTGCTTCCCGCTGAGCATCAACATCTACAGCAGAAAAGAATGGGCAAAACTGTTTCAAGAGAGTGAAAGAAGTTATTTACCCTTTGTTTTCCTCTCGCCGGCGGCTGACCGGAAGACTTGGGCAAGCTGTTCATCAATTGCCATCATCTGGTCGTCATCCATGAGCTCTTCGTCTTCGTCATCGTCTGTGTCTCCCGTGGGGGGGTCAATTCCATTTATCCGAAGAGCTTCTTCTACTTTGGCTCGTATTTGCGCGTCAACTTCCTCGTCGTTGCTGTCGTCGCCCATACCGGCATCAACATCCGACTCAGAGTCGGACGAGCTTTCTTGCTCGGAGTCAACATCTCCATCTTCGTCTTCATCATCCATCTCCTCATCCTGTTCCTCGGCGAGTTTGGCTGGATCGCGTCTTTCAAGTTGCTAGTGAAGTTAACATTGGTCGGCTGGAGGCAAAGGGAGAAGAAGACTAACCGTGACAATCAAATCAATCGTCGTCCCCTTGACAGACCCTGATAGCAATGTAAAAACTTGATTGCTAACGGATCGCATGTAAGCCGTTGACTTTTCAAGGTATCCGATGATTGTGTCCACAAGAACGTCGATTGGTTCGAATGCAGCATCCTCCGGTTCTGCCAGGTCTTCAGTAACCTTCTTCGCCTTCTTACTTGTACCCTGCTTTGGAAACATTCGGGAAGCACTTTCAATACATGACTGTAAAAGGGACGTTGAATAAGGTCGAATAAAGGAAAGCAAGGTCGAATAACCTCGAAGCTCTCAAGATCCAGATCTCCCTCTTCCGCTAAGCAATAGTGCTGTAGGGTGATAGCTAAAAGAAGTAGCTCAGCCCCTTTCGCTGTTTCTTGTTGCCTTTCGTTGACCTATATCGAATCTTACTTCATAACAGACGGTGAATGGTAATGATTGGAACCAACCGCTCTCAATGTTTCAACGACCTCCCTGGCTCTGACACGGAGTTGCTGTTCACCTTCATCCGCTTCAGCGAGAGAAGAAACGTGCTTGGAGTCATTCTCCAATTGCTGGATGGTTTCCAAAACTTTCGCCACCCAGAATTTCCCATCTGATGCTACAGCTGAGGCTTTGGTTGCCTTTTCACCTAGCTTTCCTTTCAACAATTTTCATGTATTGAAGCAAGTGGTCGCATACCTGATTTAACAACAGTCGTTTGGGCATTCAAATTACTGAGGCTAGTCAGAAGCTTGCTACGGCATTGTTGGCGGTGCTCCTCGGAAAAAGCGGGCTTTGGTATCGAGCGCAACTACAACCACAGGAAAATAAATGAAAAAACAATCGCTCAAATGTAACAAAAAACTCACAGCTTGAATCGGGCTCTTGGAAGATTTCTTTTTGACCACAAAGAGGCCATGGAGAGCAAGCCAGTCAAGAATCGACTGTACCCATTCGTCCTCTTTGGGTAACCGACCATTTTGGATCAGAACACCTAACTGGTCTATGATCCACGTTCGACGAGCGTTCATTGTTGCGATGTTCAAACTACAACAGAATTATCAGGGAGGATCATAATAAGAGGTATGACACGACGTACTCTCCGTCCGACTCGTCAGTTTGAGTTAAAATGTAGTCGATGTAATTTTTGATGCCCTGAGCATCGAGGCTTGCCAATACCGACTCCACGGTCTTCGTTTTCGTAATTTTATCAAACTGTTGGTTTCCATTGACACCAGTCAGTTGTAAGATGAGGGCGAACCCGAGTTGAGGCTTGTCCTGGACAAAGGCCTGAAGTTCTTTCACCTATAGCAACAATGAAATTAGAGTTGATAACCGATGAGGCCAGCTAGCTCACAGTCTGCAGTGCGATTTTATGCAAGTATCTGTCCTGCTTAGATAGATGGTTAATCCAGGAGCGCATGAAATTCTTCGTGAACAACATTGGCATGCTGTCTTCATTCACGCGTTTTAATGCCTTTTGGAAGACCTGGAAACCCCAGTATTTACGCTGCGGTGATGACGTCGAGGAAAACAACGATTCTACGAAAACGTTAGCTTTGCCAACACAGGCACCTCAAAGGCAACTAACCATCAACGACGACGCGATAGAATTCTTGAAAAGATCCCCGACTTGGCTTGCCGTTTGGACCGGGGAGTAATTGATCGAAGATGATATCCCAAACGAAGTGTAACTCAGGTTTCCATGAACCACTGGGAGCTTTGGAAGGATCTTTTTCCCCATCCTCGTCGGTGGTCGATCCCTGCCAACGTCAAAGTTTATTATAGAACGAGATGAGTAATGGAGGGTAACGTTGCGGACCTTCAATATTCTAGAAAGCGCCTGTAGATTGGCGGAACTAAATAAATCTGAATTTTTGAATGGAGGTGAAAAGAGGTCGTTCCGATTCCGATGGGAGGCCAGGTCTTGTAATTTGAGAGCCAACGCAACTTTTTCTGGCGACCATATTTTATTGTCTATAAACAATTGTTTGAGGGTTGATTCAATGGCCTCGTTTTTCCAGGAGACTTCCGACTCTTCTATGGCATCGACGGCAAGTTTAATGGTAAACCAGGCACTCTCTCGCAGCCATGATTTCTTTTCCCCAAGTATGAGGAGCTGCGAAAGAACTTCTTCATAGCTCGACAATGTCGAAGGTAATGTTGCTGAAGAAGCGGAAGTCGAAAGAGGATCGGTCCTTACAAGGAGGCCTGACTGAACGATGGACATGATCCCAAATAGCCGAGCGAAAAGAACGTCTCGTTCTTCTTGTCCGGTCATTGATCCCTGATACTTGCTGCTATCCATGACGATGTTTAATATCTGAGCGCATGTAACCGTGTTAATCCTTGAAAGAAGCTATGAAATCGGATGCATAAGCTTTGATGAAACAAGAGAATAAACGGGGGCACACCTCTGTCAGGGCAACCGCGAAACCCAATCTACTGCTTTCCCGAGGGCTCGCCAACCCTCTCACAAGCCTTCGTATTGAATAAGACACATCTTGAGCATTCAATATATCAAGTCCATCCGATTTTAGAACGCCGTCCTCGTCGCCCTCCTCGTCGTCCGAGCCAGAAGTACCAGGTGCAGGCTGAGGAACGAACTGAGCTTGAAACTGCTCCAAAGCTCCTATGAGTTTTACGGACGCATCTAAGCGCTCCTTCTTCGATGCTTCTGATAGATGCCAAAAGAGCGGCAGCGTTGTCGTCATTTCGTTGAGTTGAGCTCGATGGTCGAGGTCAACTTTTTTTGATCGAGTGTGTAGAGCTATTTGGTTTCAATGCTGTTACCAACCAGCCCCACACAAACACGACGCGTGAACGCCAATATTAGCCTTAGCGCGCGAGGCATTGCTTTGTGGTCCTCCATAAGACACAGCCATGAAATTAGGGATTATCTACAACTAAATGCTTTGAACAACAGGACTCAGTGAAGTGACGATAAGTAAAGAAGAAAGCATCCAGCCAACAACCTTCATAAATAAAATAGACTTCTAATCCAAATGCATCCAATGTCCTTTGACGCCAAGTCGGCATTTTTCGCAATCTGACCGAGGACCCATGGTAAACCGAGGTTTTCTCTGACTTTGAGGTAATTGTACGAAGGAAGACTCGGGTGATATCGACATCGGCGCCGGACTGGGCGGGGGTGGTGGAGTTGACACGGGTTCAGGCAGAGCATCCGCAGAGTAAGCGGAAGCCATATTAATACTATGCACGTACGACAGCCTAGATGCGCTAGACAAAGCACTGTGTTGGTCTAAGGTCGACGAGGCTTGGTTGGGTCGATGTGACGCAGGAGGTAAAGTTAATTTCGAATGTGTAGCCAAACCCTGCAACGAAGGTCCATCGAAGTTCTCATCCATAGTCGCATCATGATCTATAGCCTACAGAGGTGGCTCAGCCGTCGTTTCAGCAAGTGAGACAAAAAAAACACGCACCATGTCAATGTCCGCCACTGACTCCAACCTTTCTTCATCAATACCCCTACCAGCGAAAGCACCACACGCCAGACTAGCAATGGCCAGGTCTCCTGTCTGCCGAACCCAACCCCAATCTTCCGAAGTTTCCCGACTGCTACTAGCTGCTCGGTATCCGGGGCCGGCGCGTCCTGAAAGGCCAGTCGCCAAAGAAAGCCTTTTCTGTAGGTCAAAATGAGCCACTTCGCGTACACAAGAAGACAGAAAGAGACGCACAGAGGGTCGGTCTATGGGACTGCCTGGTTCCGGAGAACGGGCTCTCTTTCCGGAATATTGGCGCATACTTCGAAAAGAAGGAGAGTGAGGCCCGGGAGAGTGGATGTCGACATCCATATGAATCATGATTGAAATATTTATATAGGCTGAAGTGAGGGTCCTTTGACTAAGATGGGGGGAGCATGAGGCCGGTCACTTGTGTAAGGGGAGACAAAGAGTTACTATTGCCAGAACTATTTCTTTTTACATAACTACATAATACATGTACAGCTGGATTTGGTTGCAGGACACTATTTACGAGCAGTCGTACCGGTTGAGCATCAATCTAGCAGATCTATAGTTGAAGACTACCCGGAAATCCAAAGAATTTTTGCTTGCATCAAAGTTCGTTGGTATCGATCAGCCCTGCATGTTGAGCCCGCCTCTTGGCAGCCGGGGTTCACTCTCAACATACTCTTCGCCAGTCTCGGCGCGCAACATGTCGTTCAACCACGCCCCGTTGGGCTTGATCTTGATGCCGCGATGGTACATGACTGCGAGGTACAACCATGCGGCGGCATTGCCGACGGTCGACACCTCGTCAGAAACGTGGGTTCGTGCGTATTGGCTCACTCTGCGGTACAATTCTTCGTCGGTGTAGAGGTTGTAGAGATGGTCGGCGACAGCTGTGGTGTCACCAGGGGTAGTGAGGTATCCAGACTTTCCATCCACAATCTGCAGAGGAATGCCCCCAGTGCGGCAGGCGATGACAGGTTTACCGGCATGTAGGGCTTCAGAGACCTTGACCTCGAAACCTTCACGAGTGGACAATTGAAGGGCGATCCTGGAGTTGGCCATCAAGGCGTTAAGCACTGTTGAGCATCGTGAGCGATGTGTTCAAAAATCAAAGGTTACGAACGAACATTGATCGCTGGGAGGAAGCCTCATGACGACGATGTCCTTGGAGAATTTGACGTAAGGTTCCGAGGCGAGGAGTTGCATTACTTGATCGTAGATGATGCTGGCATCGGGATCATCAACGGCACCATGACCACAAATCAGTAGTTGAGGATGTTCTTCCTCCGTCAGCTCAGGAGACTTTTTATCAAGAAGAAGGCGGAATTTGTAGTACGAATCAATGACGTCGGGAATACCTGAAATAAGATGGTCATGATGGGAGATGGAAGTAGAAGAGGGGGGAAAGTACCTTTGGCTGGATCAAAGCGAGCAATTTGGATAATGTAATCACGTTCTGGCCACCTGAGCTCGTTCATCCTCTCCTTGGTGCAAAGATTCCTAAACTCTCCCATGTAGAACTGCGAGTCCCTACCAATATACTTTAGCTCGCTGCAAGCACCGAACAGGAAATATCTCACCATGGATCGAGTTCCTTGTTGAGGCCATCGAGCCTATGCACACCGTTTAAAAAAATGTTTGAGAGCTTAGAGGCAACTTCTTACCAGTCAGTGGCAGCACCCAGGAGCGCTAGTTTCTCGGTAGGTACATCGCTCGGGACAAACTTGCTGACAGGGTGACCTTAAAAGGTGAGAACAGATAAGACGCTCAGCAACGCGGTGACAGACTCAAAGACTCACTGATGAAGAGATCAGCCAACTGAATATTATTCCAAAGATATTTCCAGACTTCCTCCTGAGGAGAACCTGGAATGTGAACGAGATCGCTACGGATCTCGATATGGGATCGATAGACAATGGGCAACTCAGGACGGATCTTCTTGATAAGAGGAATGAGGCCGGGCATCTGGGGGTCATCTGATTAACCCGGGGTAAGCATAGAGTTTTCTGAATGGTTTGCGGGGAATTTACCGATGAATGCGATGTCAACGCCGCCCGGCGCAAGGGGTCCACCTTCCGAGGTCCAGCGAAGACCGTTCTTGAGAATCCAGGCATCAAAGCCGTCCTTGGCTTCTTGAGTGAGACGAAGATCTGGTGCGGCGACACCTTGCAGGATGTTGTGGTTGTTCTTCGTCGTCCTGAAGACACTTGGCGAGGGATTCGGAACATACCTAATCAATTCAATGATTGAACAACGTGGTCGAAGGAAGCGATTGATGCGCACCAGGCAGCGTCTACATCCAAGGCAGACAAAAATCTAATCAACGCGTGACGCATCTGATAGTGGAGAATAAGACGAAGAATTATATAGAGGATTGAAACATACGAGAGCGACTCCGCCTGAACAGACAGTATCAGCCAAAGTAGAAAAAATATGAAAGAAGTTCCACGTACCTCCTTGCGGAGTAGAAGAAAAGAAGCCGATCTTCACTTTCTTCTCGCGAAGCTCATCGGCCAATTTGACGACCGCGTTCCAAGTCCTATGATACTGTTGGAAGTGTTCGTGAGAAGGAATGTGTATGATCTTACCTGGGGCCCACAGTAGCTTTGTAGACATCGATGTCGTCAATGAGGTGGATTTTGCCACCTGCGTCCACCGTAACCTGGTTGCGGGGCCCAATGCTGAGTCTGGGGTTGTTCCCGGGTCCAAAGTGCATCAGACACTTTCTGGCTGCTGAATCCGCCTGCTCATCAAGAGTACGGGGTATGGGGAGACGGCCAGAGACATCTGCTTGCAATCCAGACATCGCCCTCAAATGATCAGAATCTACGTAAACGGTGGGAGTCTCTGTGCCAGAGGCGACATAGGAACCGGTCGTAGAGGAGATCCTGTGCTTAACGTTGGGACGCGTAGCAGAATCGGTGTGGAATGGTTTGATGTTGAAGACAATGGGAACGATATCCATGTCCAGCCAGAGTCGGGTACACAAATTAGGAGACTGATTTTTTATCGCGTTAAGAAAAAATCGATCTAACTGTGGAACCAGTCGTACCTCTTTGAGGAGCGAAACAGTGACACCTGCACCCAGGAACTTGCAAAGATGCTCGATAGAGAATTTACGGAGTGTCTGAAGAACATATTGCTCGATCTCCTTGGAGTTTTTCTCGGGATTGCCCTTCACATAGGGAAGGGTCAAGGACGCGAAGTCAGTGCTGTAGACTGAATCATGAATGGAGACCGCGATCTCGTATTCGGTATTGTTGTTGATTACGCTGCCAGCGACAGCTGCCCACATTGGCTAGAAACCCCACAGTATGATGAGCGATCATGATCGCGATGAGATAATAAATGAAAGTTACCGTCAAGCTTGCATATGTGGAGGGAATGTTGGGCTTCTGCTTTGCGTCAACACTGGAAGAGAGGCGACGCCTGACAGCGACGGATGGGACCGATTCAAAGGGGAAGGAAAGATGGGCCATTGCGATGGGGAAGTAAAGGGCAGGCAAAGAAGATGAGTTTTATAGGTAAATTGGAGCGGGGGGCTGGAAGTAACCGCAAATGGCAGCCAAATGACAGGGTCCAATGACAGGGCCAAATGACAGGCCCCTTCAACAGGCTTCAAGGGGAAGCAAATGACAGGTCGGACAGGTGTGCCCTACGCGTGCCCAAATTGGCGGGGTAAAGTCTCACAAAAGTCTCACATGACGACAGGGCAATCCCTGGCGATCCAGCTGATTATTCGGCCGAGGAATGCGTAGATTCAGTGATTAATGGATAAGGTATTAACGAGTTGAGGAAAGAGTGGTATATATCACGTGAGTATCTACACTAGCACTTAGTCTGACTCTTCTCCATTCGCATGTCCGTCAACTGCTCGGAATGTCGGGGCGACACCATCTGGGACGACGAGGCTGCTTCCGCGATATGCACAACTTGTGGAACCCTGACTGATCCATCACAGTCTATTCTAACATCTCAGGACTACCGGAGCGAGTTTTTACATTCGAATCCACTCTGGGTCCCTGCTGCACCCTCAACCCTCAAAGTTTCGCGTAGAAATGGGGGCCAATGGGACTTGTCGGGCCAAGAAGCAGAAGCTCGAGGAAGGAAAAACTCGGCAAGTCGGTCCAACATATCTCCCTCATTGATACTAACGCCTCTTTCTCAGTATGCAATAGCTGAATTCATTAATTCTCTTGCGGTGTCAATGAACGCCGCCGCTCTATCCCCACGCGCGTTAACTCTTTTCAACCAGGCCAAGACCGCAGGTCAGTTTCGTTGGGGTAGAAAGACCAGACTAATTGCAGGAGCATGTCTATCGATTGCGCTTCGCGAAGCGAACAGGCCAAATTCATTCCACGACATAGCTTTCTTGCTCAAAACATCGCCAACTTCGCTCACCCGGACTTATATATCTATAACATCTTTACTTAATTTCACCTCAACCGTCATTGATCCTTCCATCCATATATCTACCCTCCAATCACACTTGGCGTCCGTCTTGAGAGACAATCAGAAAGATTCTGGTCTTCCTGACTCATTGGTCAAATTTCTACAACCAATTTGCTTGCGTACTGTGTCAACGACGGCAAACTCTTTATGTTCTCTCATCGCTCGTCTCTGCCCGGATGACGATTTGAAAAGGCTACCGCCTGCGCCCACCGCGTGCGCCATCTTCATGTTGTCGTTGGAGGCCGAATGCCGCGAAACCATCAGTCCCCTCGGCGGTCTTGCCCAATGTCTAGGCGCCCGATGTCACGTAGGGAAAGGCGTTGTAATGACCCGTTACAAGGCGATCCAAGACGAAGTCGCATCTTGGATTGAGAAGGTCCCATGGCTCGACAAGTATGAAGGCAAATCGCGCCGTGCCAAGGTTTCTCGACGACTCGTCGTTGCGCGCGGACTCAAGGATGTCATTAACTTTCAAGACGAGATATGGCGGGATGCGGTACCGCCTAATCCCTTGCTCGATGAAGACGACGAGGACGAAGAAAATGACTCTACAACAAATATACCAGTCTCTGCCAGTCAGGATACCAGGCCGCCCCCGCGCAAACGACAAAAGACTCATCACTCGTTGCTAGATGCCACACATTTCCTTCTTGATCCACTTTCAGGCTCTATACCACCATCATCACATACCCTCATACGCCAACACTCTTGTACATTACCATCAAGTGCAGCCTCCACCCAATTGTCATCATCATCAAGTAATCACCTACTCCCAGTTACGTCCTATATTCTTACCGCCCCGCTATCAAATCTCATCTCCAAACACGCTCCAACGCGGCTCCAACGACTCACCGTCGATCGAGGCGGTTCAGGCGAAGCTGAAGTTGCAGACGACGAGCTTTTCACAGAAGGAGAGTTGGAAGGGTTTCTCAGAAATGAAGGAGAAGTAGAAATATTGCGTCAGGCCTTTGGTTGGGACCAAGATAACCCAGAACCTGTCGTTGAAGAGATCCGAGTCTCACGAAAATCAAGAGCTGGAACCGACGCTGTCAAGAAGAAATCGAGACTTAATCTAGAAGCCCTGGCCCAATTTCTCGACGGGGGCGACGAAGAGAAGGAAAGTGATTTTGAATTCGGCCTCTATGGTTTTGATAAATCCGACGGGCACTCTGACGATGACGTTGAGACTTCCCAGGACCCCTTCAGCATTCACCGTCTTCCAACGACGTCTCACGTTTCTTCAAGAACAATGGAGAACTGCCAAACGGATGGCGAGGTCGTCATTGATACCTGGCGACCTCTAACTCCGGAACGCGACGTTGACGCGAACAGGTACGACGAGGAGTATGATTGACAAATTTCGTACTCTTTAGGATACACAGAGGAATTTCACATTTTCCAATATTGCTCACTAGTCACATATTACTGGGTATGGCTTTATGAAATGGACGTTGAACTCTTTTCCAATGGATCAATGAATTACTTGGCCTTAGCCAACTTTGTTGAGTGTAAACCATTGTTCCCTATCTTCTTCATATCTCTTTTACCCCCATGTTCCGGGGTCAGGTGGGTATATGTGGGGCGCCCGTTCGCCGCCACCCATGAGGCTCTCTTTGATAACGCTCATACTGAGTGGCGTTTTTTCTTCTGCTGACTCCCTCTTACATCGGCCGAATATGAATTTGTTGCGCAGTATCGCAATTGACGCTGATCTACGCCGACCCAGGGACGTTCGTAGGAACCACTGACCCTAGCATCCAACGTCGGACCGCTCAACTTCACTCAGGTTCAAATTGCATCATATAATCTTCAGATCGCATACTCAAGGTCCGAAAGTTGTGTTGTTGTCATAGTCAGAACACAGAAACATGATGAAGTAGATCAAGTTACATCGTGGCAGCGTAAGAAATGTCATAACGCCGTGCTTGTTTTCGTGGCAAACGGGTCGACGAAAGGAGAACCCATCCTCGAATGTGTTTCATCGTCTTTCCAAATCTCTTCCAATGACCCAGACCGAGGGCGCGGTACCGTTCCATCTAGTTCAAAGTCCTCAGCATCCGTGTGATCAAAACTGGTGTACCTCTCCGGATCTCTAGCCTGTGTATTAAGGAACGGATTGGTGCGCGATTCGTGGTGGGCGAAGGCATGCGATTCGCTGCCAGTTCTGACGTGAATGGGAAGACCATCCTCTTCATCATGTTTGATTCGGGGCGAGTAAGGGCGATGCGAGAGGTCTGATTCTAGGCTGGGGTAGTATTGGCGGTATGAGAAGTATGCAAGGACGGTTCCAAGGATAGAGCCGACAAGGACGTCTTGCCAGTGATCTATATGTTTTGAGGTTGGCTAGACGTTCTGACGAGAAGGGGGAGAGATTACATACGACGGTAATCCATAGTTCGGGAGATGGCGACTAGGGATGCACCTGCGAAGGGAGAGAGCGCAAGCCATGCTTTGCCCTTCGTTGCTATTTAGCAGCATATGCTTGGAACGTGACAAAACATACCGTATGTCCTCGGCTATCGAACAAATGAAGCTTGCCAGCGAGATAAAACGAAAGGAACCCAAGTCCAGCAAACGACACTAGAACAAGTGTCAGGTATATCAAAAACGTTTTCCGTTAGAATAACTCACTGCTTGAGTGTCCAGATGGGAAACTGCGGAATCCGTCACGTAGAATGGCTTCGCTTGCTTGTGTGCAAATTGTCCAGTTCGACAGGCCAAAGGTGGGATCTACGGATCCTGTAGGTGGTTGGCACCGATCAATGACATCTGCATTTGTTCAATGACTCTGAGCAATCGTTGCAAACTTTGTTGTGTTGGTGATCGCCTACCAGGACGAGGACGACCAACTGTAATTTTCACAAATTGCGTGACAGAGCCAGTAAGAGCTAGACCAAGAACAACTTAGATATGGTGTCAGAGCAATCTCTAGTGTGATGCCGACGAGGATAACTGACGTCCAAGTGAACCTATACAAGGCATGAGTGGGTTGCACGATGTTTAGGGCCCAAAGAACAAACACACCATTGTGAAAGTCCCACCAAGATCTAACAGTGAAGAAATTGATGACGGGCTGAATTAGCAGTGGAGATACGAAGCAGATGAGATACAGAGCGATGTTCTTGAAGCGAAATCGAGATGACGTGAGTTCAAGATGAAACATGAAGGACTACAAAGGAACCTACAGGGACACGCTCGTGTACTGCATAACTGGATAAGAAAAGAGGTTATAAAGAAGTATTGTGCTGATCTTGTCGAACGTACGGATGGCGTAGTCTGATATGTGGATTTGATTGTAAGTCAGGTCAGTTATGTTACCATTACATACGATGTGTCCTCCAACGAGAAAACCCTCCGATATCCATTAACCTTATCCAAGGAAAAAAACAATGCGCTGTTAAAGTGAGCAGATGATAAAGTGGGTGGAAGCAAGGTCGACGAACGCCAGCACAATTGTTAGAATCCTGCAGAGGAGAGTGAGCCTCGTGTACCACGGAGAAACGGTACATTGTCATCATTGCGTACCAGTCAGGGGCGTAAGAGAAGACGAGTTTCCTGCGCCTTGTCGGGGACATGGCGGGGACCTTTGTCCTTGCATGGGAAGGTTGGAAGAACGCCATACAGGATGGTCGGAGTGGAGAGAAAAAGAGGCGCTGACTGAGCGTTGGCTTGGCATTGAATGGAGGGCACTGTAGGGCCTCAAGCATTTCTTCCTTTCACCATGTCAGACGCGTGGCTTCCAGGCAGGCAATTCCTTTAATCATCGAGTCCTCGCCACCGAGTTCATCTCCTTCTCTTCAGAATATGACACTATCCTGGACGATATAGCGTCCACCGATGTCGTAAAGTCAGTCTTTGCTGCCGCCTCATGTGCTCAACCTCACCTTAAACACCTCAGGTCGGAGTGGCCAAAGCTGCGCGATATCATTAAAGCCAAGCTTGAAAAGGTATCTCGTTATTTTGATCACTTGTACCTTGGAATCTTGACGCTTGCTGTTCCAGAACATCTTATTATTCTTGTCGACGACAAAGCAGCCCGAGCGACCTGCGCCCTTTCATCCGACACCGCTAATTACTGGTGGCCTGAAGCTACCTCCCTTTCCTCCTCGAAAATTAAACCAGCTTCTTCATGTCAATGATGTGCCGGTCAGCTATATGAATGAACAGCAAGCTAATGAATTGAAGGGACATATATTCGCGCAATTGGATGAGTTTGATTTGTGTGTACAACTTGTCTTCTCTCTAATCGCTTTCTCATGACTCTTTTACCTAGGGATAACCCACCATTCACCATCCAACGGCTATGTGAGCTTTGCATTCGCCCGAAACGAAACTACAACTCCATCGGAAAATACTTGCGCGCAGTGGAAAAATCTATCCTAGTCACGTCAACCCAGGACAGCTTCCCTCCGCTAACGGAGGCTGAGCTAGATTCCTCTGGCCGAAGTGCCATCTCTCTAGGCTCAACAAGACAATCCGCACCAAGCACGCCACTCTTCTCGCCCATTCCATTTTTACATGACGACGCGCGTCGATCTAAATCACGAAGTCCGCCTCCAACCCCTCTGACGTTGGGACCAAGTCTAGATGGGCCAGAAACTAAAGCCCTCGGTCTTGTTGACGAGTTGGACGACCCGAGCCCCGGTCATCTCAGTGAACACCCAACCGCGCTGACATCCACCACAACGGTCAGCAAAGATGCACCCCCGCACTCGCGGCCTTTCCTAGGGAGTCTCGGACAACGATTTGTGAAGTCGGAAGGTGTGGATGGAAATAACGCCTCAGCCGTGCAAGGTGATTCTGATAGCATGATACTTGATGACGATAAGGAAAACACCAAATCGTGATAAGAATGTAATAATGTGGGGATCAGGAAGCGTAGTCTTGTTTGATTTTTTCGAGCATGGCGTTCATACGTAGCTTCATATTGGGCTGTCCTTGTCCACCTCTTCTTTGGTCACTCCCTCGTCCTCTTGTCCCACCTCTGCCCCGATCGGGTGCACCTCGCCGCCGTTTTAAAGGGTCGGCTTTAAAAGTGTGCAATGAACTGCGCGAATACGCTTCGCGTGTAAGTTCGCGCAAAGATACGGCTGGGGGTTCCGTGACGGCTTCCTGTTCCTTGCTGCTTTTTAAATTTGGTCTCGATTTATGGATTTGGGGTGCCTCCGACGGTGGGCTTTCGGATTTTTCCTCCTCCTCATCACGCTCTGAGTCAGTCGGTTCTTCTCCTCGGACATCTGTGGTGATGCCATCCTTGCGTTTCTCCGCCTTCCATTTGCTTTTAATTTTTACATTTTCGACCCAATTTTTCTTCAATTGCTTTGCTGAATGATATGTGAGAAAGAGACAAATGGAACTAGAAGAGATAGTACCTCTGTTGACCGGATAATGTTGAAAAGTCGGCGGTCGTTTTCGCTTGAGAGAGTCACTCATCATTGCTGTGTGCTGACATAAGCTGTCTCTGTCAGGAGAGCACCGCTTGTTCTTCTTCAAAACCCCCACTCAGCCCCCTCTCAACTCATCTTCATTTGTATTTTCTTGTCCATCGCATGAGCGTGCAGAACCTCAATTCTTACGGTATGCGACCCCTCTCTTTTCAAGCTGATCGTCAAGCTTATCTCTCTCTATCTACTAGATCCCTTTGCAGACGAAGGGGACCCGCTCGGAGACGCAGCTGACGTTGGGTCCACATCAGACTACATCCACATCCGTATTCAGCAGAGGAATGGGCGAAAGACGTTGACCACTTTGCAGGGCTTGCCCAAACGCAAGTCGTCGTCTGATCGCTGTTTTATCCTGACTCATCCCCATGACAGAATATGATTCCAAGAAGATTTTGAAGGCCTTTAAAAAGGTATATTCCGTCTTCAAGTCATCGGCGTTCTTACTTCACTCCTGATCAGGAATTCGCTTGCAACGGAACTCTCGTCGACGACGAGAAAATGGGACAAGTCATCCAACTCCAAGGGGATCAGCGCGCCAAGATTTCAAACTTCCTTAGCGAGAATGGAATAGAGAAGTCGACCATCAAGGTGCACGGGTTCTGAGCCTCACCTCTTGATGTAAGACAACAACCCACTGCTCTTCTCAACGGACCTCTTTCGTCCCCCCCATTTCTTCACCTTTACGTATACATAAATCCGTTATCTTGCACTCTGATTTGTACGGCTCAGTTCCTTTGAATCCGATATTATATGTATTCTCAAGTGTACTTAAGAGGTTGAATTACCTGAGGAGAGGGTCGATTATTAAACCTCCATAGGCCTGAATACTTCATTGCCATGAATGGATTCAGTGGCTGCAAGGGGGACACTCATCTGCACTGAAAACAGGACATTCGGTTGCAACTTCCGCTACTTGATCTTGTCCAGTGGTCTGCAGAGATAATGATTAGAAAAAAAATGGCACATGAGCACAAGGGAGTCAGACCTGTTGAAACCTCCGCGCCTAAGGCATTTACGCCATCAGCAAGGTAACCTCGGTAAAAACGGATAACACACCTATTCATGTATTGTCGCCAAGTTCTTATTTTCTTGATGTCAACAGCACCTTCTTGATTACCAGCCACAGGCTTTCCCTACGGAAATGGTGAGTAATTCTTGACGAATGAAAGAGAAAAGACATGCCTTGGTTGATCCAAAGCCATTGAGCCCCATCATAGCCATCATGCCAGCATCGTCGTCGTCAGCGTCCATCTCCTCTCCTTCTTCATTCTCATTGTCTGGTGCATCCGGGTCGAGATTTGGGCGCGAGCGAGGAGGCGGCATAGCTGACGGGGCGCCTATTCATACACCGTGTAAAGACTGTAATTAAAGGGAAATGTGTCCACTCACCGCCTTGAGGCCTTACTGCATCTGCCTTTGTGGGACGGTCCTCCGCTCTGGAGTCTCGTTCATCCACAGGACGGTCCTGAGAATCGTCTTTCCGAGGTGGCTCTCGCCTCGTGTCACGGTGGTCGTGATCACGATGGCTCCTGTCGTCTCTTCTTCTGTCCTCATGTCTTCTGTCTCGTTCGCTGGCACCACGATGGTCATCGTCGTTGTCTCGTCTATAGTCCCGACGGTCGGAATGGGAGTGGCCTGTTGCGGTGTCAGTATGGGTCTCCCATGACAGGGAATAGATAAATACCTTGCCCACTCCTACGGGGCGGACTTCGTGACCTGCTGGAACGCCTGCGACCGCGGTCGTCGCCGCGATAGGATCCGCCTCGTCCGCCGCCTCTTGGATATCTGTCTCTGTCTCTGTCCTCCTTTTCCCAGCTGCGTTCGCGTCTCCGACGGTCTGGACGAGATGACATGAATAGAAATCTTGAAGTGCACACTGTCACGGTATGCAATTAGTTGTGACGGGTCACACATTCTCCTCATGACTGGTAGGTGCGTTTTGTTATCCTTTACATGAACCTCGTTCGATCTTGTAAAATTTAGCTTTACAGCACGCGAGACACATAATACTTCGGGGTGTTCCAAAAACTGCTACAACGTGGGATGTTCGGAGGGTACTCACTCGTTCTGGGGCGCACGGTGTAACTAACAGTATGTTGTAACCCAACACGCCTTGACCTGCCTTTTAAATTGCTCTCCCAGTTCATATATGTTATGAGTACTTTAAACCAACCGGAGAAGTCCTGATCACCCTGAGTCGCCCCCATTTCTTGCGGGACAACCTACGGGTATTGGACAACGTATCATTTGCCGCCTCACGCGTGTCTCCCAGACCATTTATCCCTGAAGAGGCTCCCCGTCCCAAAATGCGGTCGCGCGGCCTCAGGGGAAAGGAGCAAGCCGCTCTTCGAGGAGCTCTGAATGGGAATGGGCCGCACGCTGGGATGTCCAATCTGGACAGAACGGTCACGATCTGGGGGCTCGCGGGCAAGGCGACCCCGCGAGCTTTAGCTGAAGTCCTTGAAGGGTTTGACGTAGCGGAGTCGGCGAAGGGGCGAATGAACATCATTAAAATTCCATTGTATGTTTTGTGTTCTGTTTGTTGGATGGAGGTTAAAGATTTGCTTTTTTCAGACCTGAAAATCAATTCTCGATGACCTCGCGCTTTATAGTGACATTGAAAACAGTGGCGGAAGCCCACCGCGTTGTCAGAGCACTACACCAAACTCGACACGAACAATTAGGTACACATCCCATCAAGGCCGCTTTATTATATTGAGAGTGTTGATACCCAGAAAGAAACAAGAAGGATAGGGACATGAGTAGGATTACATTCTCTCGGCCTCCATGTCTTCTTCTGTTCGTGTTCGTTGACCCTTCGTAGCTGTCAACCAAACAGAGTCCAGTTGAAGAGCGTTGTTACTCACCAGTCTACCATTATTATTGCCCTCATCATCTGGTGACCGTCCACGTTTGAGTGTTTTCTCAGGTGCAGCATTTTCCGCCTCCTTCCAGTCCTCGCCGCCTCCCGCAACTGCACCAGGTCCGTCCACAGCGTCCGCGTACCTCTCCTCGACTTCTCTCCTTCGCTCAATCTCTATCCTCTGCGCCTGCGCGCCCCACCCGCCCCGACCTGGGTCATAGTCTTGTCGGTGCTCATCTCTTACCTGTCCTCCACTCTTTCCCCTGCCAAACTGACGGCCCTCCTTGTAGCCCAAGTCCAAGTCGCATCGAATTATCCGCTCGTCCAGTTTGGTTCCACTGACGTATCTCATACTGGCTAAAGCTTCGGCGTGAGTGTAGTATTCGACAAAACAAAAGCCACAGGGCGTTCTATATATTGAAGTAAGATAACACTGGAAGCGCCGATGAGAAAGAAAAGACCTTACCTTGTGTTCCTGTCCAAACCCATGATGATTCGTTTGATACCTCCGCCGTCCTCTGGACTGGCACATTTTGTAAAAAGCTCATATATCTGCTCTTCTGTGGTATAGAAACTCAAGTTACCAATCTAAAAAAATGTTACCGTTAGAGTGGAAACTTTGTGAAGAGACATACATAGAGAGTTGTTGACTTTGAAAGCATCTCATTTTGCTTCATGCGGTCAACGCGAGTTTGAGAGTCCTTATAATTTGAAGGTTGGTCCAAGGAAGACACTACATGAGCCATCTGTTCTACGCCAACTTGTGTTGAATTGAACTGAGAGGACCAAGTCCAAAATTCCCACGCAAATCCTTACTGAATTGAGCGACGCGTTCAAGCCGCGTCATCTAACACTCTCCTCAACTCTTGCTCATATTATGGATGAAATAGGTATCGAAATCACAAGAAATGTATGTTCAATCGGAAAGTGAATCACATCCATTCACTCAATCTATTGCAGGAGCCGACCTTTGAGTCCGTCGTGAGCGAGAAAGCTGCATTCTATCATGACCTCCATGAGGAGGAAGACCTTTATCTGAAATACAAGAAGCTCGCTCGCCACCTGGAAATGCTTGATATACAAGAAAACTACATCAAAGACGAGCAGGCCAACCTCAAGCGGGAACTCATTCGGGCCCAAGAGGAGGTGAAGCGTATTCAATCCGTCCCACTGGTCATCGGTCAATTCCTGGAGCCTATCGACCAACACACCGGCATTGTCGGGTCCACTACTGGCTCAAATTACGTCGTCCGAATTTTATCAACTCTTGACCGTGAACTACTCAAACCTTCTTCATCCGTCGCCCTCCACCGACATTCAAACGCCCTCGTCGATATTTTGCCTCCCGAGGCCGACTCCTCCATTGCCATGCTTGGGAAGGAGGAGAAACCTGATGTGGCGTACGCTGATGTTGGTGGGATGGATGCACAAAAGCAGGAAATTCGGGAGGCGGTGGAGCTGCCCCTCACCCATTTCGACCTGTACAAGAAGATCGGCATCGACCCACCCCGTGGTGTTTTGCTCTATGGTCCACCTGGTATGTCGTTGTCATAATGTATGCCTATCTCTTACAGTTTTGCTCTAGGTACCGGCAAGACAATGTTGGTAAAGGCGGTGGCACATCATACAACAGCTGCGTTCATCCGCGTCGTGGGTAGCGAGTTTGTTCAAAAATACTTGGGAGAGGGCCCGCGTATGGTCCGTGACGTCTTTCGGCTGGCAAGAGAGAACTCTCCTGCAATAATCTTCATCGACGAGATTGATGCTATTGCCACAAAACGATTCGATGCACAGACGGGTGCTGATCGTGAGGTCCAACGTATTCTGCTAGAACTGTTGAATCAGATGGATGGTTTTGATCAAACTAGCAACGTAAAGGTAGTGTTGGATTTCACTTTGAATTTGACCGTGCAAATTGAACTTTGTGAACAGGTTATCATGGCTACGAATCGAGCGGATACGCTCGACCCAGCGCTGCTGCGACCTGGTCGTCTAGACAGAAAGATTGAATTCCCTCTTCCATCACGGCGAGAAAAGCGATTGATCTTCCAAACTGTGACCAATAAAATGAACCTTGGTCCAGACGTCGACCTGGAGGATTGTGAGTTCACACAAGTTACTTTTACTGCCATTTAGTGACTCCTCTCCAGATGTTTCTCGACCAGACCGACTTTCATCAGCAGAAATTGCATCCATAGTGCAAGCTGCTGGTCTACAAGGCGGGTTTTCCTATGCCATTCTTGTTCCGTAAAACTCACTCTGTTTGTCCTTTAGCCGTGCGGAAGAATCGTTATGTCATTCTGCCTGTGGACTTTGAGGAGGCGTGGAAAGTAAGTTGTTTGGATTTGTTTGCAACAATCCACGTAACTATAAAAACTCAACTTTTTTCTTGCATCACAGCAAACAGTCAAACGGTCAGACGAGACACACGAGTTCTGTGAGTTCAAAGTCTTTGGAATCTTCGTATCTTACCATGGTTACCCTCTTCAGATCGGTAGTTTGCATTTTACTGGTCCGTTGATTCCCTTTGCACGCGTCGGTCAAAAGCTCACACGATCTCATAGCTTCCTCTTATCATGTTTTCTCCTTCCGCAATCCAACATATTTTCTCATCTCATCTGTGAATTCGTGAATATCATCGCTCCCCTCACTTTAGCGTCTGTCCGATCCTGCACGAAGGACTGGCGCCCATTCAAAGGAGCAATATGAACCTCGTCCTACCCTTTTTCTTGCTCTTCGCATGCCGTATGGCATCGCCCCATGGTTGGACTTTTCTGATTATGCGGGCATGGAGATTTGAGCCCTGTGGCCTGGATACATCTTGGATCGATCATCTCTCAAGTATTTTAGGTCAACATGAACATGTATGTATTTGAGGTGAGTCCAGTCCAGCGGTTTTGGAATGGCTTGTCATTGATGTCTTGCTCCAGTTAATATCATTTGAGGTGCTGTCCCGGTATTTTTCTTGAGTATAACTCGCTCCTCAACACTCTGGACGGCGTTAAATGTCATACACGCACGTTCTCATTTTATGGGAGCTATAGAAACAACTTCGCCATCTTTCTCAGAGAGATGGAAACCTGCATGTTGTCCATTCGTCCTAATAATTGGACTGCATGGAGATGTGTTGGGTGATATCTCATAAACTCGTTTCATGTTCGTTACTCTTGATGAAGTAGATTTGAATTTTATCCGACCTGTACTTACGTGTGTCCTAAATCTACTATTTTTATTTTACTTTTTCGGTGGCTGCCCTAATTCACTGGCACGCTCGGTTGCGATCTGTATTCCTCTTGCAATGGTAGATCGTACACGCCCATCTTCCAACGCCAACAACCCAGCAATAGTACAGCCTCCCGGAGCTTCGAAGCGATTGCGTTAAAAAATATCTGGCATCAATCAAAAGAGACCTACTCGTTACCGAATCCTTAATCTGAGCTGGGTGGGCACCACCTTGAAGCACCATGCGAGCCGCGCCTTGTAAGGCTGTTTTACGTTAACAGCAATCTCCTGGCCCATTCTGTGACGACTTACTTTGCGCGGCCAATTCGAGAGCCTCCGCTCGTGGAAGACCCATCATGACCCCTCCGTCAGCCATGGCTTCCATGAATATGCAGGCAAAAGCAGGACCAGAGCCAGAAAGTGCGGTACACGCATCGAAATGCTTTTCCTCAAGGAAGCGGCATCGACCAATTGATGAGAAGATTTTAAGAATAATAGCTCTATCCGATTCTTCGTCTGCAGAGGGAGGAAGATTTGATACAACAGTCATGCCTTCTCTGATCTGAAGTGTTTTGAGGAAACAAATGCAAAGGAAGATGGGGGAGACGCAAAACCTTGCATGGGGTGTTGGGCATTGCGCGTACGACTCTTGTAGATGGAAGGACCCAATCTGTGATTTGGCGCATCGTTACACCGGCTAGAATGCTGATCAAGAGTTTGCCGTCCAGTGCCTCCTTCATTCCTTGCTCATTGAGGATTGTATGTGCGATCTGGGGTTTGCAGCTGTGCGATCCCTATCAAAGAGGTCAACGAGAAAAGAGATAATGCACTTCGTACCAGAGAAGGACCACGTCTGATTGTTGCACGGCTTCTACGTTTCGAGAAGCGAGTATCTGGACGGCTTCGCCCATGGCTCCAAGGGAGTCGAATACTTTCCGCAGCCTGAGTGCGCTGGCCTCACGGCTCACGCAGGCGATGTACTCGGCTGGAACGGATGCATCTGGGGGCCCTACGGGAGTCAGCGTTCCTGGAGTGTGAGACTCCCATTTGGATGGTTTGGTGAAGAGTCGCGATGTGCTGTCGAGACTGTCGATCACGCCAGAAAGGACGGCGATGCCCATGGTGCCGCATCCTAGATGAGTTGTGAGTTTTTACGCAATGCAAGTTGTTGGAACGAGTGTACCCAATACGCAGAGGGTGTAACCCATTTTTAAGTCAATAAGGAGTAGAAATGCATTGTCAAAGTTCGAGTCTGCTTGAGTCGGATTTATCGGGATAACGATTCTTGACGAGTTGCGGCTCTTAGGCTTTAGCTTTATCGTCAGCCACAAACTATTACTCAAACTATTTTATATCCTCCCGCCTCCAAGCAACACAAGCTCGCCGGCCTAATCATGTCCTACCCAATATCACTCAGTGAGTCCCCCTCGTCCAGCAATAGCGATCTCCAACCAATGCAACCCACAGTGACCACCTTCCTTTTAATTTGCTTCGCGGTTGTCTCCTTGACCGTCATCGGAATCTTGTGCTTCACCTTTACCCGCGAGTCGTCTCCTACCCCGAACTTTTCGATGGACCTGGATATGTACGAAGAACAGCTCGCCGCGCGTGGTCGTCCCTCGAACAATTACGTCTTCTTTCTCCGAAACGATTCCCCTCTCTATGGGTACCAAGGACCTTTCAGCCAGAATCTCGCCTCCTCCGAGTCTTGCACCATCCGAATTTCACCATCCCGCCCAGCGATCTTCGGTGACGAGAAAAACGCAGAGAGCGCCTTGCACGTAGTTTTGACACCTCCTACTCCCGCGAAGAGGGAACGCCGCTTCTCGACGGTGAATAAAGAGGACGAGGAGTAGAATACTGGCTCTTTACGATGATAAGATAAGATTGTGTTACATCATGAAATGCGTCATCATCGACATTGGTCACGTTACCCACCTTAGTTTCGTCAACTCATGTTCAAGCGCGCAGGGAGCTCACTGGCTCCTCATCTTCGCCGCCTTCATACCCGCAGCTCAGCGTCTGCTGATGTTGTAAATAAAAATATACGGCGCAACCCTCGCGCGGTTGCTTTAGCTTCCACCGTCATAGTGGGCTCTGTGCTTTGGTATACGACGAATCAGAAGGTGTACAACGATGCTCAATCTTCATCTGCGGTGTCTTCGAGTTCGAAAGGTCCAACATTGACGGGGAACGAATTAACTAATGACCATTCCGACACGTTGCATTCCCTAGTCTGGGGTTCTAATCGGTATGTCTAGGAGGCGCGCTCGTTTTAGCACTCACATGTGCTTTGGCAGGTCCAAAACACTGTTACCAAACGGTCAGTCTGACGAGCCGATTCGAGCACCTGCAGTTGCAGGTTGGTTGGAGGGCGTGGCGTTGCGAGACTTGGCGCTCCACGAGAGACATGGAGCATGTGTCGACGCACGCGGTGATGTATATCAATGGGGAGACGCGTTCTTTGGTCAAGAAGAACCAGGGAATAGAATGCCCCACCGGACCCTAAGAGGCAAGGTATATATCCGTACAATGTTAGCAGGTTATCTTTTCTCACCCCATTTCTTTTTTAGAATATTGTCAACCTGCAGCTTACTGAAGCAAAGCTATTTGCGCTTTCTGCTTCGGGAAAAATCTACGTACTTGCGACGGACGCAAAGTCGCAAGAACTTCGGCCTGGTGTGCCGACTCCCTCAAGTGATTCATGGTGGGGTACGGGCTGGCTATGGGGCGAGGATGAAACCGTGGATTTTGTCCAGATCGCGCCACGTGAACCACTTGGTTGGGGGGAGTCGTGCGTTTCTTGTTTAATTTTTTCAAGGCTGCCTCTAACACGCGTTCCTAGTTTTGTTGCTATCGCCGCAGGTAAAAATCATCTACTTGCCGTAACGTCCAAAGGTCGTACATACGGCCTCCCCGTCAATAAAGCCGCCAACGAATATGGCCAACTAGGTTTCCGTCGATTTGACATCCCAGACCCCGCCTCAAGAATCACACACAATGCTGCTCACCTGCATGTCGAACTTGTTCCCAAGTCTTTGCTTGACCCTTACAGAAAATCTTCGCGTGCGATTCGCGCCCCTTCAACAGGTTCCTCCTCTAATAATATTTTATCCAACGTGGACGACACGAGCATAAGGTTCTGTCCTACTATTTTTGAAATTCCCGTCTTGCAAGGTGTGGATGTTGCTCAAGTTGCGGCTGGTGGGAGAAGTAGTTTCGCTCGCACCACTGATGGCCGAGTTTTGGGATGGGGTGCAAATGAGTACGGGTATGTTATCTTTATCGTAGAGTGCTCCCCGTGCACTAAATCATACAAAGGCAAATCGGGTTGGGTAGTGTGCCTTTGGATACGATTACCGTCCCCACAGAAGTTGTTTTGTGGCGGATGGTTCCTTCCAAGATACGCAGCAAGTGCCAGGCTGTTACGGCAGGTAAGATACCTGCCATTGAAAACGCTTATATCTGATATGGACGTCGCATAGGGGGTGATTTAACCGCGTTTACCATGGAACGAGTCAGCGACGTTGGTGCCGTTACCCTGGACTTGCTGTTGGCTGGCAATGGACAGTATGGTGGTTTGGGAAACAACACTTATAGCAATGCTCAAGGTCAACCTACACGAGTTAAAGCTGTTAGCGGACTCTTGCAATGTAGGGAACTGTCTCTCGTTGAACGACTAAATTGCTGATCGAGGCATTTACACACAGACAATGATGGTACTCGTCGCCTCGAGCCTGTCGCTCCCGAGGCTATCAGCATTTCTCCTACTGGACACATCCTCGTAGCCTTGGACTCCTCGGTTAGCTCTGGAGGCGTAGGTGGGAAAGACCTTATGACATGGGGTAAAAATTACGATTCCGAACTCGGAAATGGGAAGAAAGCGAGCGTCCCTGTCCCAATGACGCTGGAGACACCAGACGGGGGACGGTTCATGCTCATGGAAGTGCAGGCTAAGGAGGTTAAAGACCTTCATGGCAAGGTGTGGAAACGCGGCATCAAGGTGGAACAACACGCGGTTGCTGGGTATGGTAATAGTGCGGTTTATTGGAAGATCGCGACGTAGCGAGCGCTTAATAGCCGTGCTGTGTCGGCATTTCTTAAAGTTACTTGCGGATCTTCAGCGGAAGCGGTTGTCGTTTTGCGATCATCAAGTTCTCCTGTCTTCTCAGGTGCAATGAGGCCTGTACATTTCTTTAAAAACCAGCACTGTTTTTTGACTCCTTTTTGAATCTCAACCGTCATCTCAACCATTTTGAACACTTTTACTCTCTGACTATCAGGGAGCAGCTCGACCAATCGTCAACTGACTCTCCTTGTGCCTGGCGCCTGACATGTCTCTTCTCGACGTTGGCACAGTTTCAGCTATTGCCTCTCCTACAATCTCGGAAATTGCCTCCTTCCATATGGTCTCTAGTGTTGAAGCCCTGCAACCGCCTCAGACCACCTACGACTCTGACGATGAAATCGTCTGGAGTGTCTCAGAGACTGAGGTTGTTGCCCTGTCAGGTTCCGAGCACATTGACGACTTTGTGCTACTCAGTAGGCCACAGTCTGCTCTAGCCGGGCGTGACCGCACGGCTCTGAAGCCTGTGGAGGACAACATCCCAGATGTCATTCCACCAGCTACTGTTACAAGATCGCTTGTCTTGGAGATGCAGAAGCTCAGCATCAGTGAGAATCCACCCAAAATAGCTGAAGTCCAGACCCTCGCTACGCCTCCTATGACGCCGAAGAAGCAGAAAAAGAAGAAGCGAGGACGAACTGCAGAATCATATCCTACATCTCCTGTGAAGGGAACTGCGACTGCTCAGCCCCCCGCTACAATCCATGTAGCCCCTTCTCCTTCCAAGAAAAAGCAGAGGAAGAAGAAGCAGAAGGCTGCTGCTGCTGCAGGACCTTCCACATCCACCAGCCATGGGTCGCGCAATGTTGTGGATGACGTTTCAGACCGGCAGTCGCTGTCAATGGAGGGCGATTCTGTAACAGAGCCTTCCATAGAGTGGCAAGAAGCGGCAACTTTCATCTCTTCGTATGTATCTGTCCCCTTTATCCCCCCAAAGGAACTTATCAGATGCGCCAACAGCTATCTCTCGAACCCGGCGGCACAAGCAAGCACTGTCTGTCGCCTTACATTACTGCAGTCGATCATCATCGAGTTGGGGCTCGGAGCCAGCTCTACACTGCCTGTATCGCTTACGGCTGCCAAGGCATTTCTTAAGAGCCGCGTGTTCCTCAATATCCGAGCATATCTTGCGGTCCGTGGGCAGGGGCCGAAGGCGGTTCAGGGATTGCTTTTTCCCAGCCGAAGTGCTCTGATCAAAGATATTCGGAAAAAGAGGAACCCGGCGTCGCTAAAGTGGGTTAAGAAACATGGACTGCAGGTACTTTTGGTGGGTTGGATGAGTTAGATAGTTGTAGAAGACATTTATTTGCTCTGCTATAATTTCACGTTTGTAATGATCCGAAATCAACAAATATTTTCCTGCTTCCAGTCCACCATCATCGCAAGCACCGCTTGCCACAACCCCTCAAACCTCTTCACCCAGTTTTATGCTAAATAAGCAAACACAAAAATCAAAATCTGAATCACAGCTCAAACCACTTACGAACAATCATATCGGTACCAGCAAGCATGGAAGTAAAGAAAAACGCACCGACCTCCTTCTCAGTCTTCCAGTCGAGACTCTCACTGGAATTACATCACATTTGGACCCCCATACCCTCATTATAGTCTCCAAGGTCAACAAGCAACTTTGGGAACACGTTAAGGACGACCATACTTGGCATTGTGCTTTCGCCTGCCAAGTTCTGGGTATAGGTCCTGAGGACGACCTTTATGATGCCACCAAGTCTATCATGCTCAGACGCACTGAGGGATCATGGAAACGCGAATTTATTGCTCGTTACAACCTGTCAAGGTATGCCTTCTCTTATTTACGATAACACTAATGGATGAATTTCATACAAAGATGTTGGAAACTGTCTCGGAATGTAACGACCACCCACGACCCGCTCCATACCGCCATAACTAGCGTGCACCTCATGCATCCGCTGTCAGTCTTAGCGTCGTCCATTCAATATGGCATCGTGTCGCGCTCTATTCCCCTGACAGGAAAAGTTTTACCTGGCTACCTTGATGCATCCGGGTTCCGCGCAGGTCTGGGGATTGGAAATCCTACTACTCAGTTCTCACCAGATATATCTGCCTGTGCACTTGCCTCGGAAGGCGGCACCGCAAAAGTTTTGTGGGGCTTCAAGGGCGGAGACGTTGCGATAACGACGGCCAGCAAGGCGATGGAAGTAAGGAAGACGGCTTCCGCCGAACTTAAGCGCTGTCAATTGGCAGACGCGCATGTGGGCGAAGTATTGGATGTGGTTTGGGGCGACGCGCAGAGTGCAGTGTTTGCCTCTGCTGGCGCGGACGGGTGTGGCAAACTTTGGGATGCCAAAGACGTTAGTTGCCTTTGGACCTCGAAGGTTGAAACGTCAGTCCCCGAAGCATTTGTCAAGGTCGCTTTAGCGCCAGATCAAGGATATGTCGTAGGCGTGGTGCGAAGTGGCGCAATACACGTCTGGACGGGGTTCACCCTCCCAGCCCTGGCCAATGCAACAATTACTGACGTCGTTATCCCGTGCCCATGTCCAGCCCAGGCCGTTACAGGCGAAATTACTCCAACGCGCGAAGTGTCTGCTTTGTTCGTCGATGAAACCGCGACTTCTCCCACAATTCTCGTTGCATACCGTGACGATGCATATTTCTATCGAATGCGCATTGGCAAGAACATGTCTGAAACCGAAATAACGACGTTTGGCGACGCTTCCTTTGGACCCATATCAATCATTACACCATTTTTCTCGCGTGAACCAAGCGAGTCCAGCTTTGTCATATCTGGAGACCATATTGGATGCATCAACGTGTACGATTGGGCCGTACCCGCACACACAAACACAGCTATACGTCCCATCCGCAAATTCGAGGCTCATGAAGATGGGTCAAGTGTGACTGCCATCGCCTGCGATGGAACCACCTTGATTACCGGCTCGCAACGAGGTGCTACACACGTTTGGGACGCTCTGACTTTTGAGCATCTGAGGCATTTTTCTTCGCCTGTTCCAAAGGTTCGGATGCGGCACGTCAATGTTGACATCCACGATCAAAGGGTGAACCATATCCTTATTCCGGAGAAGGATGTTCTTTTTGTTTCTGTAGGCGATAGAATCATGTCGTGGAAAGCCGGTCCAGTCTCCAAGATCCATCGTGGAGGAGTGAGAGGACGCCATTCGACTGGAATCGCTCATGGAAAGAAGGTAAAAGCTGGCACGGCCAAGTTCCTGCGTAAGTTCCCCGTGCATTCTACGAAAAACATTGGCTTAACGTGTTACGACACAGAACAACTGGAAATAAATCAGATGATTACTGAATCTCGCTACTTGCTCTCTGACGAGAAGAAGCGTGTGCCACGTGTACTTGGCCGGGAGGAAGAACAGCAAGCAGGTTTAAACTCCCTTGGCTTGACCGAAACTGAAGCGTTGGAGTATGTTTTGATGCTCAGTCGGGATGAAATGAACAATAATAGCGATATTATTGGCGGTACGGGCGCTGGTTCTTCACAAACTTCCGTTACTGCGAACGAGGGCCTTTTCAAGATGGATTTTGATGAGCCGTCCACAAGTCCCCCGATTTTGTCGATGAGACCAGGTGGACCCCTCCCCTCACCACCTCATAGTAGGGACGAAGTCTCTTCGCCTTACAAAGAGATCAAAGAAGCTGACACCGCTTCTGAGGATGTGGGGTCTGGATCTTCTGTGTCATCTCTCGAACATTTTCCGCTAATCAGTGCAAGTACCAGCCCGGTGGCTAGTCCTGTCTTGGAGCCTGCTGAGAGGAATAAAGCTCCAAGTTCGGTGTCATTTCCGTCGCCCATCGTTGGGCGTCCACAACCATTAGCGGGCAAGTCCGCATGGAACACTCCACTTGTCAAGAAGAGTCCCCCTGCCAGAACTCCCGTTTTTGGAAATCCTCGCAGTAACGAGGTCGGTTCAGGATATGGTGATGATGTAGATGCCGATTTGAGGTTGGCAATAGAGTTGAGCTTGGCTGAAGCTTGAGGCTGTGGAGGGAATCCCAAAGAGGATGGATTTACTTACGTTTGAATCTTCAATCCATTTTTGATTCTTTCCGTCCGTCTTTAGTTGTTGAGATAGACTTCACAGATACTTTTAAACACGTCGACTTCCCGACCAACTCTCTGTGAAGCCAATATAATGGATACAGCGCTCAAAATACAGTTAATTCCGGTGTGGTTATACCGTTCTCCGATCTGTCATTGTTCGCACAATGCACCCAACGCCCGCAACTTCCGTCAACTGTTTAAAAAAGATAAAATGCAAAGAACAGCAATGCTATCTTGAAACTTACCTTTTCATGCCACCCAAGTAGTACACTTCCGCTTATGTCGCCCCATCCGGGCATCGCCATACCCTTGTACAGGTATTTCATAAGCGTATCCTGCGAATCTTGTGAGAGGGACTTGATAACCCCCGTTATCTCAGTCGCTTTCGTCGTATTGAGGATGGTGAGCAGCGTTTGCAGAGTAAGTACCTGGAAAGCGGTGGGGATCGCGTCAGAGTCAAAGTCAAGGAGCGCAGCACAACGGGGTGCACCTTCGCCTCATCCACGTTGGGTCCATACGGCGCGTTGTCAAGTATGACGCTCAGAGCGCCAGCCACATCGCTCCTAAGGTCACGACGTTCCGGGTTAATATGATGGATGAGATTGCCAGGAGCGTACTTGGCTAATGAGGACCGTACAGCTGCTTGTCTCTGCCTTGCTTCGTCTAAGACCTGGGCTGGGTCTCGTGCATCCGCTTCGTACAGCTCTGATTCCTGTAGTGCGTCCTCGTCGTACGCGTCGATGTCGATCTTGCGAAAAGCTGAAGCCATCGAGTTTCTTGTCGAGGATCGCTCTAAGATATATCGAGGCTGATGCCAAACAGCTCAAAATGTATTTGGGGACCTCACACGCTTCATTGAGCAATGGGAAGCAAGCTCCACGATAACATTATCAAGGAAGAATATACTGGGGCTGGGTAATCTATGTGTATCTATCAATGCTGTGGTGCAGAGGAAAACATGCTATGCAAAGTCCGATTGGGTGAAAGAAAGCGATCAAAAGGTTTAATTCGTCTCTGGAACGGTCGAATTAGGGTCAGCTGCGGCACTGCCGTCGCTACCAGCTTCAGCGGCAGCCAAAATTACGCTCCCAAAGAGGGTGAGAATTTCATCGAAGTTATCAATATTTGTTCCCGTTGGAGAAGGCGCACTCGAACTTGCACTCTTGCTGGAAGAGCTGGCAGAGGCAAGTGCTTGGGAAGCGGAGGAAGAGGAAGCAGAGGAATGGGAAGCGGAGGAATGAGAAGCGGAGGAAGACGACACGGACGCAGATGAAGATTGTACCGTGGAAGTCTTCTCCGTCGTTGCAGGTGTTGCGGTGGGGGTGGTAGGGTCTGGCTTCCAGGTGGAGGTGGTGGTGGGATCAGGTTTCCAAGTCGTGGTGGGCTTGACCTCCGCCAAAGGCGTCCAGGTAGTGGTGGGGGCCGCAGGTGGACTCCATGTGGTGGTTGGCTCTGGCTTCCACGTCGTGGTCGGCTCCGGCTTCCATGTGGTGGTTGGCTCTGGCTTCCATGTAGTGGTCGGCTCAGGCGTCCATGTGGTGGTTGGCTCCGGTTTCCACGTAGTGGTCGGCGGAGGCTGCCACGTAGAAGTTGGCTTTGCCTCAGTGGTGGCGGGTGGGTTATCACCACCACCACCGCTGCCGAAGTACCATTCAGCGTAAATTACGCCAACGCTCTCCGGAGCAAAGAATTGAAAAAGACCCCTTGACAGGTCAAGACCACCGTACGGGCAACCGGGGCACTAGAATTTTATTAGTCAAATTTTGGTATGTCTTCACGCGGAATAAACAAACCTCGTCCATGATCGTCGCTGTTGTAGTCTTTCCACCGTATGACATGGTAATGGTCTTGAAGCAATTGGGACCTGGGTACCCTGACCCGAATTGCTATTCAGATGAAATTATTAGTCGACCGACGATTCATTGTGATTCTTCATACTGACAGGGGTATTGAGTGCAACAATCTATTCAGCGTCAGCGTTCTGGAAAAAATAAAATGGTTTGAATGCAACGTACGAAGTCAGTTGCGACATTATATTGCCCGCAAGCTCCCCTGAGTCAGCGAAAGGAAATAAGCAGACGGTCTTTCGAAGCGTGCAGAGCGCATGAAGTTGGAAATACTGACAGTCCCACGTCATAGTATGTCCACCTAGCACCGCCAAACCGCTTGTGAAGCTGAACGTTACCAGCCGCCCGCTTCGCAATTCCTTGATGACGGTTGAGGTGGGCACCGTGAGGGTTGGCGCAAACTCCAAGAATCGCCGCGGCGAGGGAGAAGAGAGAGAAGTTGAGGATCATGCTAGAGTCGCAAAAATAAGGAAAGTGGCTGTAAGTGAGTGTGGGTGAGTGCTCAGCGAGCAATGGCAACGACGAGGGAGGAAAGAGGGAGAAGGAAGGCTAAAGACGTAAAAAGTTGGAAATACATATAAGGCGGAAGAAACGTTGGTGCAACTCCACAACAAAACAAGCACAACGCCAAGATCCACATGGCGGTCTATTTCTTGTCCTCTACCATTTAAACCGAGAGAACACATGCAATAGAACTACGCGTAAGAAGAGAAGCTACTTTCTGAGCTTGCGGGTATATACGGGGTGTAGGGTACGTGAACGCGTCAAATATTTAAAAAACGAGGTGGGTAATAATATACCCATCTTTAATTGGCACTAGCACCAGCGACCATAATTCCACCAATTTGAACAAACGCTTGGCCAAGGCTTTCGAGTGCATTGGGCCCTTGCGCTGCAGCAAGGCTGGCGGCGGGTGCGCTTGAGGAGGTACTGGTACTGGAGTGATGCGTGGAGGAGCTCGAGGCCGCCGCTGACGATGATGACGATGATGAGCTGCTTGAGGAGCTGCTCGACGAGGTTTTCGTAGTTGACGTTGTTGGGGGAGGCGACCAGGTGGAGGTTGGGGATGGTTTCCACGTAGTGGTTGGTGCGGGTGGTTGCCAGGTGGTAGTGGGAGCAGGAGCAGGAGCTGGGGCGGAACCGAAATACCAGGTACCATAGATAATGCCGGTGCCCAGCGGAGCAAAGAACTGGAAAAGGCCGGGTGAGAGATCCAACCCGCCATAAGGACATCCAGGGCACTGCATACCAGTAAGCTTATCGGAAAACTTATGCCGCAAAAGTACAAACCTGGTCCATGATCCTGGCAGAGGTTGTTTTACCATTGTAAGTCATGGTAATGGTCTTGAAGCACTGGGGTCCTGGGGAGCCTCCACCGTATTGCTTTAAGGCCAATATAAACCACAAGCTCGGGATGTGGAATGAAATCTTACGGGTGTATTCAAAGCTACGATCTAAATGAGCTTTGTAAGCTCTTAATTCAAACAGAGCATGGGAAAAACAAAACATACGAAGTCGCCATCGCTCAGGAATTGTCCGCATGCTCCACTGGAAAGGGAGGTTTTTTTTAGAAGGAACGGAGAGAGGGGTAGATACAAATACTAACGCGCTGCCAGTTTGCGTCTCGTAGTAGGACCAACGAGCGCTGTCAAACCGCTTTTGCAGATGTACTTCACCTGGAGCTCGTTTGGCAACTTCTTGGTGACGATTGAAGTGCTGGTTGATATGGCCGGCCAAAGCAGCAAAAGGCAAAGAGAGAGCGAGGATGGTGGAGAGACCTAAGGACTTCATTTCTGCCAAAGAAAAAAAAACGGTAATGAATGTGGTTTTAGAGAGTGGTGAGGCGTAGAAGGCCCTCGTAGGGTGGAGGGATTGATGGTTGGGAGGGAAAGGATGCTGAAGGACATTTGAGAATAAAACCGAATAAATCACATCAACGATCAAAGTACAAACACAACCCTGTTGAGGCACCATTCATGCCCAAAATGCATCCAAACACCAAGGAAGCACAATGGTCACTGTTGGTATCAAGTTGGTATATACTGCATTATAGCAACAACAATATTCGGGTATGTAAGAATTTACGCGACGACCACAGGACTTGAAGCATGTCAAAGCCCCTGTGCACCTGCGATCAAGATCTTTCCTATTGCCACAAACGTGAAATCCAACTGCCCTAGTACATCAGTGGGTAATGGCACCGCCGTTGACGTCGGAGAAACGCTCGATGACGCGGAACGATACGCGGTTGTCGATTGAGCCGATGAGGTCGTGGAGGCAGAGGACGAAGCACTACTGCTGCTTGTGGTTGACGAACTAATTTGCGTGCTGCTGGTAGGCGCGCTCCACGTTGACGTGGGTGTTTGCGTCGTCGTTGGGGCTTGTGTCTTCGTGGTCGTGGCTGCCCCACTGCCAAATACCCAGGAGCCATAGATGATACCGGCCGATTCAGACGCAAAGTAATTGAACAGACCGCGCGAGAAATCCAAGCCGCCATATGGACATCCGGGACACTACATGAAACAGAACAGCCCCAATCAGAACCTCAACATTCTCCAAGTCGGCGAAGTTGAACCGACCTCGTCGGCGATTTGCGCTTGGGTACTCTTGCCCCCATACGTAATCGTGATCATCTGAAAGCAATATCCCCCACTTCCAAATTGCTGGAGACAAATCCATCAGCGCATTCTCAACGGTATGTCGTTGCTTGAATCAGATTCTTACAGCCGAGTTTAAAGCGACAATCTGCGCCCGTCGGAATTTTTTAATTGAGTAACGACGATGGTGCCTGGCAATGAAGGTATAACTCACAAAATCACTAGCAACGTTGGTCTTTCCACAGGCTCCCAGACCCACATCGTAAAAAGAAAACCTTGCCTGGTCGAATCGACGTTGTAGCGTTCCAGGGCGACGAACAGCGAGGTTGTTTTCTACGCCGCGAGCTCCAACGGAAGGGAGACGATTAAGGTGGCGGCCACGAAGCGGAGCATGCGAATTTTGTGCAAAAACACCGGAAGCTGCAAGGGAAATGATAGCAAGAGATGCGAAGATACGTATACAGGCGCTAAACTGCATTCCTGAGTGCGAGGGATACTGATTTTCCTGTGGGATATTAGTTGAGTTTTTGAAGAGAGCGTGGGGCTGGCTGCACGGCCAGAAAAGAACGGGTAAAGGAAAAGAGTGAAGAAGAGCGGGTATAAGAAAGGGCTGAGAGAAAATACTGCGTTCTGTTTTGACCGCCCTTTTATACAAGACCCTTTCAAAACCTTTTGGGGGGCCAACTATTTTTAGCTTTACGTTATGTTTATACGCTTTTTTCATTAACGTCGTGAGATGCCTGGTATGTAGTATAGACTCTATCGACTACATATCTACATATCACTCGCGCTTTAGCTTCGTAGGAGGGTCCACAAATGTTCTCTGCACCGTTGCCCGTTAGTCGTAAAGACGCATCCAGAAGTGTCCAGACTTACCGAGATGAACTTGAGGATCTCGTCGATCAAAATTACAGGGGCACTAAGGTACAACACGGCTTGCCATTCCGTCCAGTTAAGTGGGGTAATAACAAATATTTTCTGCACAAGCTTAGTCTTTGACGTATCTGAAGATGCTAGGGTCACTCACGGTAAAGAAAGGAACATAGAGGATCATGAAGTGAAGGGCCATGCTGAGGGTGATGGCGCCGACAAGATACATGTTCTTCCATAAAGGCAAAGAAAGTAAGCTCTCGTTCTCGGAGAGAGAGTTCATGGCGTTGAACATCTCCACCGTCACAAGAATTGACAAGCTCATTGTCGTTGCTCGATGTGACATGGTGTTAGTAAACATTTCACATCCGATGGACGAGAATTGCGCCGCGCACTCGTGGAAATGGGTCTGCGAAAAGGTCAGCTGAAGAAAACAGAACATTGGGAAGTAAACGAACAAGTTGGTAAAAGGTAATCTGGGGACCTCCGGCATAGTACACGAACCACCAAGCATAGCCAAAGACGGTGGCGCAACCAACATAGATACCCACAACCATGTACCTAAAGAACAACCATTTGCCAACCAGAGGCTCTCGGCTGTTCCTTGGCGGAAGACGCATGATGGAGTGATCAGAAGGATTGAAACCGAGAGCTGTAGCCGGTAGACTGTCCGTGACCAAGTTAACCCAGAGGAGTTGAACAGGAATCAAAGCTTCCGGCATGCCCAAGAGCACAGTCAGGAAGATGCTGACGACTTCACCAATATTGGATGAGACTGGACGATCGAGTCAGAGCAGCTGGCGTGATGAGGGAGACAAACTTACTGAGGTATCGAATAAATTGCTTCGTGTTGTTATAAATAAGTCTACCTTCCTCGACGGCTTTTTCGATGGTTGCAAAATTGGAATCGGCCAAAACCATATCCGCGGCTAGTTTAGCGACGTCTGTTCCACTTCCCATGGCCACGCCAATATCAGCCTTTTTCAAAGCAGGCGCGTCGTTGACTCCATCTCCAGTCTACTCTCGTGTTGTAAGTCAGAGAAGAGGGACAGATATGAAATGCACCAACCATAGCAACAACTAGACCCAAACCTTGCAAGAGATCTACCAGCTTGCTCTTGTGTCCAGGCTCTGTTCGACTGAATAAGCTAGCCCTTTGTACGGCTTCTATTTTCTCTTCCTCACTGAGGGCATCTAATTCACGACCAGTATAACTCTTGCCAGTCAAATCTTCATCAGCATCGAAAATCCCGATCTGCCTGCAGATTGTCTCCGCGGTTCCCTTATTATCTCCGGTGATGCAAATAACTCTAATACCAGCAGCTTTACAGTTGGCCACGGCCTCCCGAACTTCAGGGCGAGGGGGGTCCAACATGCCGACGAGGGAAACGAAGGTCAAGTCTTGTTCGAAACGGGCGTAATCTTTTGAACTCTCAGAGCGATAGTGAGCGGAATCGACATCCTGGACGTTGCGGTATGCGAGAGCGAGGGTACGTAGACCATTGGAACCATAGGACACTGTGCGGTCGAGGAGAGTAGCACGTAGAGCGGGAGTCAGCGGAATCGTCTTGCCGTTGACAAGGACTGAGTTGCACCGATCCAAAACCGACTCTGGCGCGCCTTTGACAAAGAGGGAACCCGATTCGTTGAGTTTGACGAGGACGGACATCATCTTCCGATCACGGGAAAACTCAAACGTAAGGAGGCGGGGTATTGTTTGCTCAAAATATTCGTTGACGGCATTGGCACGAACCGCTGGTGAAAGAGATGCAAGGGATTTAGTCAGTTCAGCGTTGCGGCATCCAATCTTCTCTGCCAGAACTTTCAGGGCAGCCTCGGTTGGTTCCCCGACATTGGTATAGGTTTCCTTATCCTGTTCAAATATTGTTCAACCACGCATGTCTGGTTTCAAATGAATGAGCTTTACCTGATTGTATACAACCTTGGCATCATTGCACAGCGAGGCGATTTCTGCCAAACGTTGGATGGGCTCCGACTTGAGTTCAGCGGAGGCCTCCTTGCCACCATCACAGGTGATCGACCCGTATGGCGCGAAGGTGGTACCTTCTACATGGTACTCGCGGGGTGCGCCAGTGCTGGCATCAACAACCAAAAACTAAACAACAATAAGCCATCTACGTTGGCATGAGAAATAGGCAACCTACGCGCGAAACACTCATTTGATTGGTTGTGAGGGTGCCGGTCTTGTCAGAGCAGATAACATTGGTACAACCCAGTGTCTCGACGCTAGGAAGGTTTCGGACGATAGCATTCTTCTGTGCCATTTTCTTCGTGCCTAGAGCGAGACATGCAGTAATGACAGCGGCCAAACCCTCCGGAATAGCAGCAACAGCGAGCGCGACAGCGATTTTGAAATAGTAGATTGCTCCCTTGAGAACTCCGTGATGTGAAGGGTCCCAAAAATGACGAATATTGACAAGCCAGACGAGGATGCAGATGACGGTAATAACCTTTGCAAGCATGTCTCCAAAGTCATCAAGTTTCCTTTTCAATGGCGTTTTCTCGGAAATTTGTGAGGTAATAGATTTGTGAATGTCACCAATAGCCGTGTCTTCTCCCGTGTATACAACGATAGCTTTCGCGTTGCCATTGACCACAGTTGTCCCCTAAAAAAAACCTGGTCAGGATCAAGGAAACTCAGGACCAACAAAACGATACACACACAGAAAAGAATATTAGTCATATCTTGTTTCACGACCTTCTCACCAGAGACGACGTCCACCGATTTGTGCACACTTGTACTTTCTCCCGTCAGGATGGCTTGATCGATTCTAAAACTGCTGGAAGAGATGGAGACAAGACGACAGTCCGCAGGAATTTTGTCCCCTACTGCGACAGAAATGATGTCACCTGGAACGAGCTCCGAGGCATGAATCCGAGCCAGTTGGCTAGAGCGAATGACTTTGGCTTCGTCTGGGGAATATTCCTTCAATGCCTGTAGAATGATGATGAGAAAGGCGCGTCAAGTACATCGGTACCATGCTTACATCAATAGCTTTTTCCGCACCCGATTCTTGAACGACACCGACAGTTGCGTTCGCAATCAAAATAAGAAGGATAACGAGGGGTTCCACAAACGCGCCTCCAATAGAAGAGTCCTCAGAGGTTTCTAGTAGAGCCAATACGAAGGAAACTACCGCCGACGCGAGCAAAATAAGGACAAGTTGGTCCTTGAACTGCTCAAGTATAAGTTCCCATAGAGGGGTTGCAGGGTCCTCCGGTAAGACTAAGGAAGAATGTTGGAATAGGAGACCACGACTGATCAGGTTAATTACCCACCATTTTTTCCATACAGTTCAGCGTGTTTAGAAGCTTGATCAGAGGTGAGCCCTCGCTGAGGGTCTACGCCGTAGTGTTGTAAGATCTCCTCCGGAGTCCTAGTCCAAGGAGCTTCCATTCAGAATGTCCGGGAAAAGGAAAGTAGGAAGCGAGACTGCAACAAGGAGAAGAGCTCTTGAACCAGAGAAAACGTGAGCTGGGGAGAGAAGGAAAATGTCAATCCAAAATATTGGTGTGCACACGTGCAAAAGTGACGTGGCGGCCCCTTGATCGGAAAAGGTGCGGTAACTTTGCGCCGGGTTAGATTGCTGTAGAGGAACATGGCGACTGTGGGGGGAAAGGGAAGTACCTAGAGTCAAGCTTTCGACCAGCAGCGCCAGTAGAAGTAATTATTGTCAAGCCATTGTCAAGTAATTGTACCAACTTGGTACCAACTATGTATCAGTATAACCTTTGGATGCTTCGAGCGCCACTGGTGACAAACACATGACAACATTGATTATTGGTGGACCAGACTGAGGTTGTAGTGGGACGACCAAGGAAGGATCGTGAACGCTCGTCTTGTACGACAAAGTGGCCGACGAATCGTGCGTTGTTCAGCTCTAGCTTCTTCCTTCATTGCGGTCTGTAATATAATGGGCAACTCGTCTTCCTCGTCGACCCGTGCGCATCACGAAGATACCGTCGACTTTGGCTCTCTCGTTCCCCAAGGCGTTTACACAGGTCCTCGAGACTGGAATCAACCCATTGTTTCTCAGCATATCGTCGCACGCAAGTTGGCGCCCTTCTATCGCCCTCTGGAGGAGTATGACCCTTCATGGGATGATGACCAGATTCTCGCTGCTAGAAAGGAGCTTTCAGAGTCTGATAATGCGGATACTGTCACACGTATTGAGGCGGCCGCGACGGCTCATTTAAACGCTTCCAAGTCTGCTAACAAGCGGCCGGGAGTGACGAAGGAATCGAGCAGACCAGAGGCGGCAGTCTATAGGGGCGCAGTTGAATGCCCCATCTGTTTCCTCGTCAGTACCAGTTCTTTGTCCTTTCTCCCGATTCTCATCTCATGTTGGATCTTATGCTAGTATTACCCACCAAACATTAACCACTCCCGATGTTGCGACCAAGCTATCTGCACAGAATGCTTTGTTCAGATCAAACGTGCTGAACCCACAACGACACATCTCGTCTCCGAGCCTGCAGCATGTCCATACTGCGTCCAAGATAACTTTGGGATCGTATATACTCCTCCTCCCTGGCGTGCTGGTATTAGTAGTGAGGGCTCGGTCAGTATTCGTATACCATTCTCACGTTACCGAAGGCTGATTCATCGTGTCGTCATCCTATCAATCTAGAGTTCACTGTGGTCGCTAGATCCTCCACGTTCACCACAATCAATAGAAACATCCCCTCCATTCCCTACACATAAACGACGTCAAAAGAGTTTCGGCGCTGACAGCCCCGAGGTCGTGACGACAGGTAAGTGATGCACTGTGAGGGGTAGGGTATACCGCTCATGCCACCAAGATCAAATACGACCTGACTGGGAGGCAAAACTTGCCGCAGTTCGTGCCGCGGTTGCAAGACGTGCCAACAGACGGATTATCATGCGCCAGGTTGGAGATCGGCTTATTCCTGTGGGTGTAGGTCGAATTCAAACACCTGAGGAGGTTGCTGCGGAAGCCACAGACGTAGCAGGAAGTAGGAGAAGTCGCAGGCGACAACCACAGCCAAATGGGAATTTTGAGCAATTTGTGGGGATGGGCAATCAAGATCTCGAAGAAGTAAGCATTCTTTTCCAGAGTAATTTGCGTTCACAATTAACGGGGTAAACACTAGCTTATGCTTATGGAAGCGATGCGTTTATCGCTGATAGATCACGAAGAACATCAGAAGAAAGAGGCAGAGGAGAAGAAGAAGCAAGCGGAGACTGCCCTTGCTTCAGGCGCAACACCCGCATCCGGCACTCCTTCGGAAATACAAGCAGCTCCTGGTCCCGGTCCTTCTACGATTGAAGCTCGGCTTGCGACACACTCATCAATTTCGTCAAACCTCTCATCATCACCCGCCTCCGTCGCCCCAATTTCCTCCGGTTCATCTGCAAACTCTCAACATGGGTCTCAAGATGGACTTGCGCCCAGCAGAAAGTCTTGGTCGATTTCACGTAGCCGTACACCACCTCCACCATCCAACGATGATCAGTCAACCTCATCGCGTCGGAAGAGCGCTACGGGCGCACCCCCATTCAGCGCGTTGAGTGCGGCCTTAGTTTCTTCTTCGACTTCGACAGCATCTGCTTTCTTGGGAGGACCTATTGGCATGGATGGCACAGCCCCATCCACATCTTCAGCCAACGGATTTCCATCATCGCACCCAGACCGAGGGCTTCCTTCGATACCGATCATCACGGTTGACGACAACACACATCATCCTCCACAAACCCCGCCAGATGAGACTTCAACGCACCCACCCGCCATAACGTCTACTTCTTCCTCAATGTCCTTCGCGGATGCGGCGAACCACGGTCCCATGTCATATGGAGAGTTACCTTCATCTCCGGAGTCGGATATCTTACATGAACCACTAATTACAAGGCGCCGTGAGCCCGAGACCATTGGGAAAGTTGTGGTCTCGGGCTTTTCGATGCGAGGGGAGGGTCAGAGGTGAGGCTAATTCATACTCGTCTGCCCTGTGCTCAATGATCTACAAGGTAACAAAGAGATCAATGACCATTGCTAATGACGACGTCTTTTTCTCGTTCTACTTCGTGTCCCTACATACCACCACACACGCCTCGCTGTTAGCCTGCCTAGAATTGTTCTTGACATTTTTGGGGGGATTCGATGAGTACATCATGACAGCTATATCTGCATTTTCTCAATTCAGCCCTCCCAACTCCTCGAACAATTTTTCTATCCGCATTCCTTTGGAGCCCTTACGTGTCTCTCCCTTGTCAGGTCATGTTTAACAATATATTTACTTCCCCCCACTTCTTAACTTGATGCTGAATGCACGTCGCACAACTTGAACCTTCTATGGTGTAGCTATTCCGCCTCTGAACATAAGAATAAAATAAACATGATATAATACAATTGAATGGCGTGTGTAGCAAAGTGATGATGCGAATTAGCTGAATGAATGATGGTCCCGCCTTTACTTGGTCGCCCATATTGGTTTCGTAGCTTCTGTCTGCTCTCCAATCGGCGTCTAGATAGAGCGGCAAGGAGTGAACGCCGAACAGAAGAAGAAAAACGAAAAAGCAATTAGATGACTAGCAAGGCAATAAACGATACTTCGATTTTACTGACTTGGGCTTCCACCTGCGTTTTCAACTCTGCTTCTCGCGCCAGTCGGGCTGCACGGGCTGTGTCCACTTTGCGCCTCAGATCGGGAGCCATTTCCTGTTGGAAGCTGTTAGGTTAGCCATTGGAGTTGTGGCGCAACGTGAGGAAAAGCGACAGCGAGACGAAGAAGTTTCGCGTAAGCGAGGTTACTGCCCATTACAACACGGCGTGGTTTTCGGGAAAAAGAAAATGGGGTTTCTGACGGGTACTTGCATTGTATAACTGCTCCTCGGTCGGTGTAGTTGCTGCGAAGGGGTTGGTCAGATTCGACTTGTGATATTGGTATGGCAGCCTCACCTTTCATTAGTGCATAACCTATACCCATGACTATTGATTGGTGGTGAGAATTGCAATTAGTTTATAGAATTGAAGCAGATACGCACGCCCGACAGACAGACCGGTAAATCTAAGCCATGGAAAGCTTTGCATATTGACGAGATGTGAGCAAAGACGTCACGCAGGGTTGCATTCCCAACAAAATAAATACAAGAAAGCAATGCAAAGCAGATACGACGTGAACAAAAATGAACGTATATACAGCAAAATCAAGAGTGAGCATAGTCCTCATCGCTCGGAATCACCACCTTCGGTACACTAGCAGCAGATCTCTTTCGCTTGCCAAAGAATCCGAGCATATCACTCGACCACCGACTCTTCATCTCTATCCGTGCCAACTCTTCTTCCCACTCTCGCATGTGATCAGACAGGTCAGAGTCCCCACCAACGCTACTGCTCGACAGGCTCGATGAGCTCGCCGTAGTGCTCGTGCTGCTTCCACTCGGCGTGCTGGTCAACCTTGGAGCGTGCGAAGAAGTCGTCGACCAAAACCCACTCGTAAGCATGCCCGCGCTCCGGGTTTGCTTGACCTCCGATGGACTGCTCTCAGGCTGTCTTGCGTTGCTTTCCACGCGGCGTTTGCAATATATACCGTTGGCGCCTTCGTGGTTGCTGATACTGCTTCTGCTGCTGCTTCCACCATCTGGGCTACTGTCCATGTGACCACTAGAAGAGTCAGGTTCTTGTCCCCGAGACCGAGAACGGCCGAAAGAGCCAACACCAAGATGGAATGACTTGTCGCGTGGACCGGCGCTGGTGTGCGGCCGGCGAGAGCTAATAGATTTCGGTTTAGGTAATTGGAAACCTGCTGATGTTGATGGTAACGGAGGGACTTGTGTGGGTGGTGTGGGATCATCACGGTGCGGACGCATTCTGCGCGGCGATTTTGACTTTGAGCGCAGGGTCTTGTCAACGATTTGATCGTGGCGCTCGTTGTACTTGGCGAGGGCGAGCTGCCTTTCTGCGTCGTTCGTAGACACAATGAGGAGCTCCCTCTCGGCTAAATCTATAGACTCCGTGCCAGCTGGTGATGTAACTATAATCTGGGGTTTGATGAGCTAGTGTGCCAATGAAGGGTTCTGAGCGCTAACCTTTGTGCGAACAAAGTATTGGACAGAAACCAGTTCTGATTGTATTGTTTCGCCGATAGCCCACCGACTGTGAGATTTGACAGCTGGCCATTGAAGTGTCAAGGTTTTGCACCAGACCCCATTATTATCTCGGGCAAAGTGGCCAGACGATTCAGTCCCAGCGATGGGGTTCACAACAGTCTTGGATGGGCCTGGGGATGAGGGAACGGCTGGTGGAGTAGTCGGGGTCGGTGGGAGGAGAGGAGTCGTACTTGTCGCTGTCGCGACAGATATTGATGATGAGGGAAATATTGTGTTGGGGGTGATAGTAGGATCGGATGAAGACAGCGATGATGAAGAAACGAGGCCTTCAGAATTGATATACGAACCATCGGTAGCGAAGTCTGAGTGCGTTGGCGATGAAAGGAGTGGACTTGGGGGTTGCACAACAGGTAATGGGGAGGAGGATGGTAATTCGGGTTGGAGGGGTGAAGAGGAGTTCGCGATGTCGTTGAGTTGAATACGGCGCTCTATGATGATGCTTGCGCTGCGTATTGATACGTCGTTATCAAGAGGTTGCAGGTGTATGGGGATGGAAACAAGATCAAGTGGTCCAATGGGAGATGTCGGCGGATTCAGGGAATATCGTATTCTTGGCGCGCGAGGTTTGCTGGTTATTTCATTAAGCACTTGACCGTAGGATATTGGACGGTATATAGGAAGGTCATATCGTATGAGTGGAAGCTCAAAGTGTTTTATTTGACGCGAACCGACGCCAGCTATTGGAGCGTGAGTAAGAACTGAGTGGATGATAAGTGGTGGTCGAAAGACAACGACAGAGGAGGAAACTCGCACCAGCCTCGATCCTCCATAAACAACGATAATCAACGAAAACAGCGGTGCTGAAACCTGCAGCTTTGACGGGGACTGTTATTCGAAATGAATAATCGAGAGAACCAATAGGTTCGCAGTCAACGTCATCTGGCTTTGACCAGAGTACCTGGGTGTAGTCGACCAGGACGTTTGATTGGAGGGTATTGACACGTCCAACACGCGACTCGTAGCATCGAACTGAGATTGTCAAAGACTTTGCTGGAAGAAGCTTTGCATCTGCATCCAATTTTGTGCGAACATCTGCTTGAATGAATATGGGATCAGAGAACAAGAAAGCACAACGCACATCCTTCTACGCGTATGGGAGTTAGACCTAGGTAGCCTGTGTAAGGAAAGTGACGGAGCCCCTGGTTTCCTGTAGAACAATGTATCAGAGAGTTTGAAATGGAGGAGGGGGAAAAGTACCTTTTGTGGAGGAGAGAGTGAGGCGGACCATTGGATGGGATGGGGGGAAGAAGAGAGAAGAAACGATCGTGCATTGGATGATAAAACCGTTGGACGCAAGAACCACAGCTGAGAGATCTGTGACTCTGGTCGTGACTATCGTGACTATACTAGATCTGTGACATCCCTTCTTCGCTTCTTTGCATCCGAGATCCCATTGAGATCCTGCTTCTTCGTGAGATCGTTATAGTCACACGGTCACCCCACACCAAAACGTCACGCCAGCTACGCCAGGTCACGCCTCCTCTGACATCCTCAACGTCAACCATAATGCCCTCCAATATTTTCATCCCCTTTCTTCTGGGGGGAATGATCCTCACAGTCTGTTGTACCGCCTTTTTCCTTATATTGGTACTAACTCCATGCTAGGGAGCGACAAACTCCCTTTGGTCCAAATGGCAGGCGAGTTAATTCTCGCTTATTCGCCTTGGCTACGATCTCATTAATGATCAGGATATGCAATGCGTGGAGAATTGCAATGACCCAGATCCAACGCACCATGTCCTCTACGAACAGCCTGTCTGGCAGACTTTGCAGATGTTCCGTACGTCATTGCATTTCTTTCCTTAAGCAAGCCTTTCTAACAACCGAACTAGTCGGAGAAATGCTCTGTCAGTCACCCACACACAAATCATCTCTTCGAAATCCCTCATCGTGTGCAATATGCATCTTCTTTTCCTCTAGGTTTCTTGCCCGTCCTGTACACGTGGCTCAGAACGAAGCAGCAATCATCAGTACACCTTGCACCTGATTCCGAGAATGACAATAGCAAACTCAAAGACCACCCTCAACATCTACACGGCTGGAAGATCCTCCTTTTATGGATTCCTGCAATTTGTGACCTCACCGGAACAACAGCCAGTCTCCCTTCTTTTTATTTGCAACGAAGCGCTCACACCCACCAATAGTTGATGAATGTCGGCCTTCTCTACACTCCTGTTTCTATCTATCAGATGACTCGCGGAGCGCTCGTCTTGTTCGTAGGAATATTCAGTGTAATCTTCCTCCAGCGCCGTCTTTGGTTCTATCAGTTCAGTTATATAACTCTCGCCAGCTTCAGTCCCACAACTGATTTTCATTATTCAAGATGGGCATCCCTTGTCATCGTGATGATAGGAGTGACTCTCGTTGGATACAGCGGCTCGCTCATCAAGGATGCCGTCAAGGAGCTTGCTCTCGTATTGACTGGTAGGGCCGATCTGTCGCCCACAGAGGAACCTGAATTAGGCAAGGTCCTCATCGGTCAGTTTTTTATCCGGTGACGACCCCTTCCATCAGCCAACGTCTACTTCCTCCAGGTGTCTTCCTCATTTTGTTTGCCCAAATATTGTGAGAGTCGTCTACCTTGACACATCTCCGTGTCTTCTTCGGATGATACACAATGCGCCTACTGATGCACCTACAGCACCGCCACCCAGTTCGTCGTCGAAGGTACCCCTACATATCTTTTTTGATTACGCTCTCACACTGACCACGACCCACAGAAAAGATTATGAGTAAGCGTTTTGGAAAATGGAAGCAATGGCATTGATATATATATATAAACTCAAGGCCGGTATTCTGTCACCCCATTGGTTGCTGTCGGCTTTGAAGGCCTCTTTGGTGCTATCTCCATCCTGCTCATGTTCCCAATCCTGGCCATCCCATCTGTTTCTGCGAAGAGTCCGTTCTTCGATCTTCCTCGTGGTTGGAACCAAATGATCTATACGCCGAGTGTCTTGTATTCTGGAATCGTCATCGCCATCAGCATCTCCCTGTTCAACTACTTCGGCTTGAGTGTCACCCGTCACGTCAGTGCGACTGCGCGATCATTGACGGATACTTGCAGAACTCTGGTCATCTGGATCGTCAGTCTTGGGCTCGGCTGGGAGAAACTTTTGTTCCCCATCTCTCTTCTCCAGGTCCTTGGCTTTTCTTTGCTTGTGTATGGCACGGTAATCGCATATTATTATTATTTCATTCTACAGCAACTGACACTCCCGTTGTAGTTCCTGTTCAACAACTTGGTCAACCCACCAGCGTGCATGGGCACCCCTCCACCTTCGCTACCCGAATCCGATGAAGAAGAAGCATTGTTGTCCGGCGCTCTCGATGAGACCGCCACACTTCCCGTTGACCTCGGCCAGAGTGGCTTTGATGTTGTTCCCCAAGGCCAACACGCCATTGTGCAGGATGAACCACATGCAAGGTGTGATTAAGTTTCATGGTTCATTCGACTATTTCTTGCTGTCAACTTGGTGATGTTATTATTAGTTAGATGTATTATACGTTCTGTTTATTTATTTCGATATAGCATCCACGTTTTTGCAGATGATCATACGGCACATCTTTTGATACCCTCGTTTTCTCGCGATTCGCTGAGTGTGTGCCGGCGCGCAATGAAATTGACCGGCAGAACCCAGGTAGAACTGAATCACTCAACAAATGATATTTATGTCAGTGCGTACTTGGCCGATCCGAAGTGTACGGATCCCTTTCAAATCCAAATTGAAGAAAGACGAGGAGTGCTCGAGTCCAGTAGCACTGATTCACTGGAGGCCTATTCTCATCGCTCGCGAACAAACCTTGTGTGTAGCTTCTCCTGGTGGGGCCTACCATAGCAGTGCATACGTCCGAGGAAGAAGAATCACAACAAAGAGAGCAACAGGACCCGTCCACATCTTTTGAGGGTTCTTGCAAAATTTCACATTTTGCTTCTCACTTCCATTAGCCTCGAATTCAGATGCGCCTCAGTCTGATGCTCCGGACAGGGGTCTGGGGAAGACTCGTGCATTCCAAGCCTCCATCATGCACCAAGCGATCCTTCACACATGGGCCTCCTCAAGGACGGCATCCAACCGCATGTATCGTAAGCTCTAGACACATGGGATGGAAATGGTATTTTGGCGGTTCCCTTCTATGACAAACGGCTTTACTTACATCTCTTTAGGTTCTCTTAGCAATCTCAAACGTACTTGTTCTGCAAGTATAAAACTGTCAGACTAAGCCGGCCTCCGAGACTTGGGACCCCGATAATTCACCATATGCAATAAATGTACCAGGGTTCGCCACGTTCACCTAATCACCTTCAAAACCGTCACCGTGCCGAGATAGAGCGAGTGGCAGGGTTCTTCCTCGATCATAGTATGTGCCGAATAGAACCCCGGTACTCCACTTTTTGTCAGTGACAGGTTCTGTTGTCGATTCTCGAAACATACGGCATCGCGTTTCCGACAACCGTCGAAACCTCGTTGGCTCAACGTTGACTTCTGCAAGAACACGAAGCGGAATAAACCTTTTCCGTCATTCCAAGAGATCAATCGGTGGATGAAAGTTAACAAAAGATGCTACCGCAGATTACCATCCGTGTCCCTCGGGCAGGGCTGACGGGATGGCCAACGTTTATTCAACGAAATACCTTCTTAGAAAAGTGTCATCATAATATTGCCTTGAGGAAGTTCGCATGAAGCAAGATATCTGTGATTCACACCTTGGTAATACATTTTGTTTTGCAAATCACAATGGTGCATGAGCAAAATCGTCAGAGTCTTCGGAGGACATATCGTCGCTATCACTCTCCCTTTCTAGACTTTCCAAGGCCGCAGTCTCTAGTTCCTCCAGGTTCCAGCCGATCAACGCCTTCGCTACCTTGATTTCGGCCAAAACTTTGCCCAGCTTTTCAAGAATCTCGTCGCTATGGGGGTCAAGTAAACAGAGTGCATCTAGCCAAGAACCATAAAAAAATTACTCAGCATATGCCGAAATCCAAAGACAGAAGTCGTCGAGCCAGATTTTGCTGTAGACATAATAAACCTCATGGTGATCCAAGATGTCTTTCATCCGCAACAAACACCGCATCACCATCCTTCTGCCCTTCGCTAAGAAGTCCGCAACGTCCGTGCGGCATTTGTCGACCAGATAGAAGGATCGATAAAGAGGAAAAGCAAGAGAGCGCCGATAGGAAGGTATGATGGCTGCAGTTACCTCTTCTTGCGAAAAATTTAAAGGCTCCTTGCCTGTCGTTGGCCGCACGTTTGGAGGATCGAGAGCCGAGAAGGCAGAAGTAAGAGCGCACATAGTCCACGCGCTTTCTGGGGTAGGGTCTAGTTGGGTGGTCCTCGCGTCGTATGCATACGAATATAGGATTGTAACCAAGGTGAGGTAAAGGTTGTGAGTCTGTTGCGGCGTTGCGATATCTAGAATATGTTTCTCCAGAGCGGTAACGGGCAGGGAGAGAAAAAGGACGAACATTCCTTTCGTGGTAAACGGAGCATTTCAGCGTTTTCTTTTTCTGTGTATTCGAATGGACCATCGGTTAGCGGGTGTGTCCAGTCAAGTAATTCTTGGATGTACTCGTCGTCCATATAATCTGCCCTAATTATTCTTCAATTCATATGAAATATCATTTTTTTCGTAAAAGGTCACATGTAGTGTTCGTCGTCCCATTTCTCGTCCTCGTGGTCAATCCTCCTCTTCGTTCTCTCGTCGACGGTACATGTTTCGGCATCTGCTCCGAGTTCGTTCACTTCGTTCTCGGTATGAATAACGTGTCTTAGATAGCCATGATGCATGTTCAAAAAACCATAGTACTTTTGAAGAGAGGTCTCGAAAGAGACAAGTGTTTCCGGCGCTTGCTGTGGCAGCTGCCAGTCGTTTTGGGCGGCTGAAAAAATAGTGTCAGTGTAATGAAGATATCAATCTGTGTCCCCGAACCTTTTTTTATCTCTTCCTGCTCCTGAGAAAGATTCTCTGCCAAAGAAAGACTCTGTATTTTGGACACCATGTCTGATTCATTCTCGTTGTCAGACGATAAAACCTCGATCACCGGTTGGTGAGTGGTCGTCCGGGGTGCTAACAATTTCGCCAATAGATCAAGATCCTTGAAGTCCTGCCCCTTGTTCTCCTTTGTCATCGTAATAGTGAGATAACCAGAGCTAGGATCATACTGCGCGGACGATTCATCGTCATCAAGCAGGGCATGCGAGAAGTTCAAGCGCAAAAAATAAGGTTTGACATGCACCGTTAATGTCATTTCGTCGACATTTATCTCGACATCTGCAGCCTACTTCGCCCGTGAAAAGGGACTTAGTTTCTCGTTGGGCACACGAAGAGGGTGAGAGAATAACGTACACGAATTGACGGACAGTACATAGATACAATGACTGCCGTGTCCGTCTGGCTACAGCTGAAACGTGGTGTAATCATGTTTGAAACCCGTTCTCTTCTCGAGGTTGGCCCTAGGTTGATGATTGTAGTTCGGGGAAGCTGTCTGTCAAATTTGATTGTGATAGAGCGGATCACTGTTTGAAGTCATCATTCAATATTTCAATATTCAATGTCACTGTTTGTCGTAAGACCTTTCAAGTCCTCTTCGAGTTGTCTCCCAAACTTCGTATCATCAGATGGACCCTCAGGTGAGTTTGTCCTAAGTCTTCTCCATATTGCCGTCCTCTGATCAAATCACTTAGAAATTACCGGCATTCCCTTCGTTGGCCACAGTCGAGCAATTGATAATACACGAAAAGCGAGGAAACTGTGTACCAGTATACGTTGAGCTCCCTGCCGATCTCATCACACCATGCATGGCATACCTCAGAGTCTCCAAAGATTCTAAATATAGTTTCCTACTCGAGTCGGTCATCAATGGTGAAAATGTTGCTCGGTATAGCTTTATTGGCGCTGGTGAGAACATACTTTAATCTTACCTTTCGTATGAGTGACTCAGTTCCCGATATTAGATCCCCTCAAGATCATAAAGACTGGTCCTGGAGAGGAATTGACTGGTGATCCTATGATCGCCCTACAAAAAGAGCTTTCGCTGCACCAGTATGTCAAGATACCAGAAATTCCAACATTTACTGGTGGTGCCCTTGGTTACGTCTCTTACGATTGTATCCAACACTTTGAACCAAAGACGAAGTGTGACCTCAGTGACCCCCTTGGGATCCCTGAAGCGGTCTTTATGCTCGTTGATACCCTCCTGATTTACGATCACATCTTCCAAACCCTCAAAGTTGTGTCGCACGTCTTCAGCCCAAAAAATAGTGGAACTGGCAACCTTGCATTTACATATCAAACAGCTATTGCTAAAGCTCGCAGGCTGGCCAAAACTCTCCTTTCGTCAGTGACCCCAGAACCTGTACAACCAAAAGTCACTGTTGGTGCTGAAGCAGTGTCCAATGTTGGGAAAGAGGGATACCAAAGTTTTGTGACGTCTTTAAAGCAGCATATCATTGCTGGGGACATCATTCAAGCCGTGCCATCTCAACGGCTAGCACGACCAACGGCGCTACACCCTTTTAATGCATATCGACATCTGCGGCAGGTCAATCCTTCTCCCTACATGTTCTATCTTGACTGCGGCGATCTGCAAATCGTTGGCGCAAGCCCGGAAACCTTATGCAAGGTTGAAAAGAATGTTGTTTACAACCACGCAATCGCTGGCACGATAAAACGAGGAAAGACACCAGAAGGTTCGTTGTTTGGGTTTTGCCACCAACATTTGCTCACTTTAAGTAGAGGATGAAAAACTCGGGGCCACTCTGTTAGCTTCAGAAAAAGATCGTGCTGAACATATCATGCTGGTTGATCTCGCGCGGAACGATGTCAACCGAGTGTGCCAGCCTAAAACAGTCAAGGTTGACCACCTGATGAAGGTTGAGAAATTCAGCCACGTCATTCACTTAACGTCTCAAGTATCAGGAACTCTGCGAGATGGCTTGACAAGGTAATTCTCCACCCTCAGAAAATAGTGTTGACTGAATGGTATCATGTAGGTTCGACGCGTTTCGGTCTATCTTCCCAGCAGGAACTGTGTCGGGAGCACCCAAAATCAAAGCCATTGAGATCATTTCTTCTCTAGAAAAGGAACGCCGTGGGGTTTATGCTGGAGCTGTTGGCAGATTTGATTTTGCAGCTGATGAAATGGATACATGTATTGCCATCCGGACCATGACGTTCAAGAATGGTATTGCCTACTTGCAAGCGGGGGGCGGCATTGTATATGACAGCGTCGAGGAGGATGAATATGTGGAGACTATCAACAAGTTGGGAGGCAACGTTAGAGCCCTGGAAGAAGCAGAACGTAAGTTTCTCTGCTCTCGCATGTCCCAAACTATCTGACGTGCAACGCAGGCTACTGGCATCAAATCCAAAGAAATCAAGCGGAGGAAATAAGATGATGTTTAGAACAATATAATCCATTAACTACGTCTATTTTGAATTCTAGATCGTTTGTCAGACTGGTATGCCTTCTGTAGCAAGTCTGCCTGTCGTAGGGCCACCCCTTCGCGGCCTGCCACGCTCAAAACGCCGGCAATGAGCTCCGCTGTCCGCGTGTTCTCGTCATTCGCTGGAATAGGGTACATAACAACGCGAGGGTCCACGTTTGAGTCGATGACGCCAATGGTAGGGACATGTTCGACGGAGAGCTCGCTGATGGCGATGGCGTTTGACAGCGGATTCAGAATAATGGCAAGGTCGGGTACGACGTTTGTCTTGTCCACAACACCACCACCAAAGATCTGGCGTCTGTTTGACAAGGTTCCTGGTACCCAGCGCTCCCCTACATGAAAACCTTGCGATCCCAGTCTTTCGGCGGCTTTTTGTATAACGGGACGCAGGTCTGATCTTGTGCCGATAAAGAGAATTTGGCCACCTGCTCGAGCTACCGCTCGAACAAGGTTGACAGCACGTCGAAGGAGCGGTAATGTGTGGTCGAGATCGATGATGGTAATACCTGCACGAGTACCGTATGCATACGGCATGAAGTTGGGGTTCATTCGAGTGGATGCGTGTCCAAAATGAGCTCCTGAAGCGAGGAGAGCGGATATCGTGGTCTGAGCCTTTGGTTTGTGAAGTTGGTCGCGCAGTTGGAAGGTATTCTCAGCATTTTGCGTAGAGCCATGCTTTGAAAATACGTTGACTGTTTCGGTCAGCGAATGGATTATATGTAAATGGTAGTACGACATACTCAATGCATCTCGTTTCTGTCTCTCAAGTTGGAATCTTTGCCAGTCATGAGGACTCTCAAGACGCCTTGACTCTTCTGTGGAATTAAATCGCGCGCCGGCATTGAGAGTTAGTATTGAGGAACGGGATGAGGCTGCCAGACATGGCCGTGCTGCTCGCTGAAAGGACATGGGATGCTGGATGGGTGACCGTGGCTGTGCAAAATTCAAAGCCCTTGCTTACCTCACCTTTTTTTAATTTTTTTTCTCAACTCCACCTCAACCACCACCCACGACCAGGCCTTCCTCCATTTCCCTTCTTTCCTTCACTTCCTCTTAAAAAATGGCTGACGACCTCTTTGACGGTGCTATTGGCATTGATCTTGGTACTACTTACTCGTGCGTTGTTCTGGTATCGTATCATACTCCCATCTCTGAAAATCTCACTTTAGTTGCGTTGGTGTATGGCAAAACGACCGTGTTGAGATTATCGCCAACGACCGTGAGTTTTTTCACCTAATCTTTTTGTCCAGGCTGATCCGTCCACTTGTAGAGGGAAATCGAACTACGCCTTCCTACGTTGCCTTTGCGTCGGAAGAGCGTCTGATTGGTGATGCCGCAAAGAACCAGGCTGCCATGAACCCTCGCAACACCGTGTTCGACGCCAAGCGTCTTATCGGTCGTCGATTTGAGTGTGTCATCTTTTTTCACTAACCGAAACCACCTGCTCAACTCGCCTCGTTGCTACCTCCAGCGATCCAGACGTTAAGAAGGTTGGTTTCAGTTAACATCGTTTTAATCAACATTTGTTCATGGACTGTAGGATATCTCCCACTGGCCGTTTGAGGTTGTCGAAAAGGACGGATCACCGTTAATCAAAGTCCAATATCTCGGAGAGGACAAAACTTTCAGTCCTCAAGAAATTTCATCCATGGTTCTCACAAAAATGAAAGAAATTTCAGAGGCAAAACTTGGCAAGACAGTGAAGAAGGCCGTTGTCACGTGAATATAATTTCTTCAAATTCTGCCGCCAATCTTATTGACCATTGTCTCAAGGGTTCCTGCCTACTTCAACGATTCCCAACGTCTGGCAACGAAAGATGCCGGTGCCATTGCTGGCCTAGATGTTCTCCGTATTATCAATGAACCCACTGCCGCCGCCATCGCTTACGGTCTTGATCGCCAATCCAAGGCGGAGAAGAACGTGCTGATTTTCGATCTCGGAGGAGGAACCTTCGATGTTTCGCTCCTCAATATCAGCGGCGGTGTTTTCGCCGTCAAGGCTACCGCTGGTGATACCCATTTGGGTGGAGAGGATTTCGACAACACTCTTCTGGACCACTTCAAAAACGAGTTCAAGAGAAAGACCAAGCTCGACATTTCCGATGATGCCCGTGCATTGAGGCGTCTAAGGAGTGCTTGCGAGCGTGCCAAGAGGACACTCTCCAGCGTCACTCAGACGACTGTCGAGGTCGACTCTCTCTTCCAGGTTCGTGTTGTTATCAGCCCGTCCTCATTGTCACCTTGTTGACACTTACCGACAGGGTGAAGACTTCTCGGCCAACATCACCCGTGCCCGTTTTGAGGAGATTAATGCCGTTATGTTCAAGTCCACTCTTGAGCCTGTTGAGAAAGTTTTGAAAGATGCCAAGATGGCTCGTGAGAAGGTTGACGACATCGTCCTTGTCGGTGGATCCACCCGTATCCCAAAGATTCAAGCCCTAGTTTCTGAATACTTCGGTGGTCGCCAATTGAACAAGTCAATCAACCCTGACGAGGCTGTTGCCTATGGTGCCGCCGTCCAAGCTGCCGTCCTTACTGGCCAAACCTCTGAACAGACCAAGGATCTCCTTCTCCTTGATGTTGCTCCCCTCTCTCTCGGTGTCGCCATGCAAGGTGACGTTTTCGGTGTGGTCGTTCCCCGCAACACTCCCATCCCCACCAATAAGTCACGGACGTTCACCACCGTCGAGGACAACCAGACCACCGTCACATTCCCTGTGTGAGTTTATATTCTCGATATTTGCTCATTAAATTAACGACATATTTTCCAGTTATGAAGGAGAGCGCACTCAGTGCCGCGATAACCGTCTTCTCGGCGAGTTCGAGCTCACTGGTATCCCACCAATGCCTCGTGGCCAGGCCGAGCTCGTTACCACCTTCGAGGTCGATGCCAACGGTCTTCTCAAGGTTTCTGCTCAGGATCGTGCTTCTGGCCGCAAGGCTTCTATCAGTAAGCATCTGGGCCTTTAAAACCCCCATATCTTTTACTCACAATTTTCACTTCAGGCATTACCAACTCAGTTGGTCGTCTCTCATCAGCTGAGATTGATCAGATGATCAAGGATGCTGAACAATTCAAAGCTGCCGACAAGGAGTTCTCAGCCCGCCATGAAGCCAAGTCCGATCTTGAAGCTTACATCCACCAGGTCGAGGGCACTATTACATCTCCTGAGATTGGCATGAAGTTGAAGCGTGGCGCCAAGTCTCAAGTTGAGGCTGAACTTGCACGAGCGATGGAGAAGCTTGAAATTGAGGATTCATCCGCTGATGAACTGAGGAAGGCGCAGTTGGGTATCAAGCGTGCCCTCCAAAAGGCGACCGCTAGTATTCGGTGAACCAACGGGTTTTCTAGTAGATTTTGCTCCGCTTTTCTTTCCCCTTGTTCTGTCACGTTTTGCATATCAACAACGAAGTGGTATAACGATTTGACTCATTAGTATCCTGTACTACAGCTGTCCCCCTGTCGGACCAAAATCCACGTAAGGCATTTGTTGCAATGCCACAATATTTACAAGCGTGAGTTTTTCAATGAACCCATGTTAGAGCAAGAAAAGCCTTTTACGATACAGCCTTGTGTATTCGAAGTCCTGCCTCCAATATCCACAACTCTTCGTCAGCACCGTCGCAAAGGGCTTTGTCAGCTTCAGCGAACACCAACGCGCACAACGATTTCTGTCGGCCAGTTAAAGTTGGATGGAGAATGACGACATCATGTAGCTGTGGGAGCAAATTAGCAACTGAGTTGATTGTCAAGATATTATTGATGGTTTACCTGCGACAGAATTTGCGTAGCGGAATATCCTTCTCGCATCAAAGATTTGACCTCCTTGTTGATAGACTCAAAACTGGTTTTCTTCTGCTGGAGAGAATCAGAGGTATCCATCACGTCCTCTACCTCAACCCCAAGGATACCTGAAAATTTGTTGATGACAGCGTCGGGAACTACACCGGCAATTTCTTGGATGTCAGATGGTAATATGGGAGTTGGGGGGATAGTTGACGACGAAAGTCGTGACGCTGATTGCAGATATGTTATGGCACGTCGAAGATCACCAGATGAAGTGCTAATAAGGGCGTTGATCACGGCCGGATTTGTGTCAATGTGCTCAGCTGTTGCAATATACGAGAGCCGAGAGAAAGAGGATTTCGAGTCCAGTGGCGTAAATCGGAACTTGGAACAACGGGATGCTAGAGGTTCAATGATACTGATGATGTGTTACACGATGGTGAAAGAGTTGAAGAAAGGTCATGGCGCACCGAGTGACATAGTTGCACACAAGACAGAATCTTGTAATTCGAGCATATGTTTCCATTATTCGGCGGAGCGCTCCCTGAGCATCTTGTGTCATGGAATCGGCTTCATCAAGGATGATAATTTTGTAGGGAGGACATGGGTATGATTTTCCATCAGAAGCCACCGCTTGGGCTCGCGGTGTCTGGCGGGCGAAGTTCTTGATCTTGTCTCTAACGATGCTGATTCCACGTTCATCCGACGCGTTTAACTCAAGAACCCTGTTTCTAAAATTGTCTGGGCTATATAGTTATCAGAAAAAAGAACGAGATTGTCACCTAGAGCGCGTTCTTACCCAAAAAGTTGTCGAGCCAAAGCAAGGATAGTTGATGTTTTGCCTGTACCCGGAGGACCATAGAACAACATGTGAGGCAGCTTTGAACAGATTTAGGCCACTAATCCTGTTATATGCAGCCCAAAACATACGTTGGTCGATGTTAGAGTCTTGCGAAGAACGGCAACAGTGTGTTCTTGAGCAGAAACTTCATCAATGGTCTTCGGACGGCTGTTTTTATAAAAGAAAGGTCAGAAGAGTCACAAAAATGAAAGCGTTTTCGCGTACTATTTCTCAACCCATGGTTGTAATCGTGGATCTACGGTGTGCTTTGGGACGGACTCTGCAGACGATCCAGTTTTTGGAGTGAAGAATGACATTGAGTGGTCACGCACGCGTGACAAATACGCTTCGTCACGTCGCGTTTAGTCTTCCCACGAGCTGTGGCTTTTGCGTTGTCCAAAGCCCTGCTCTTTCCACGTCTTGACCACCTATGAAAGCTCCTTTGACGATCATGTCGAGCTCAGAAACCAACAAAGGTACCTTAAATATACCCTAATTTGCAAATACACGCGTTCATACTTATTACTTGTCCCAGCAACAACCAGCAGTCTCTCAAGCTCCAGCACACTTGACCCCAGTAAGGTTCACGCGTTTACCGGGAATTGGAGCCTTCTGATCGGTATATGAATCGCAGAGAAACAAGAAATAATATCGATTATCGAATTGAAGAACGGAAAGGTCGTGTGCAAACAGAAATGCATCTCCTTCGAGAAGCAATCGGAAACCTTGCAAGAGATCGTGAAATTTCGAGAAATGCTCGAGGGGCGAATTGAAAAACAACTGCCACCATTAGATGTGATTCCTGATGAGCATCAGCCTCTAATTGCGAAATTGGCTCACGAAAGGTAAGTGCCTTCACGAGTCTTCTACGATTCGCTCCTCTGATCTTATTTATCAGTGATAAAACTCTGGGCGCCCTCGCAAAACACATACATCACGAGCTACTCCCTACCCAAGACGAGGATGAGGAAATTCAGAAAGTCTCTAGCGCAAATGTTGCTCTTCCACTCAAAGTTGTGGAATCCGCGATCAAGTTGATTCTATCGCGCAACAATTATGGGTTGGACTTTGGGAATGCCAAACCTCCTGCTGCTGTATCTGTTTGGCGCTGGGAGGTTAAGGATAAATATCGCGAATGGCTTCCAAAAACTGGCAGGGAGAAAGCAGAAGCCAGGCTTGCCGAGCGTGTTCGGGTAAGTTAGGTCTTTGAAACCGGCTTATCGTGCTGAAACTGTCGCAGGCCAAAGAGGATCTGAAGTTGACCTTCGACGCGTTACCACAAACCGAGCGCGACAAGATTTTTGACATGAGGATTCGGAAAAATCCTGCCAAGGATATCAACACAGACACCACATTGGAGCCCGAGAGGCTTGAACAGCAGCCCGATGAATCAATGAAGCCTTCACCTCAACAATTGAATCAACAAGTCAAGCAAAAGTCGGAAAATGTAGAGAACGATGCCGCTGTTGGTGACAGAACTTAGACTGAAAATACCTTTCTAATCTCCCCACCTTGCAGACCGACAGTGCAACTCCTAAGGCCAGTCGGCCCAAGAAAGCGCTGGACGCGGAGAAAGCAGCTAAGGTACGTTAAAATAAAGGCAGTTTTTTTTTTTACGCTTGTAACACAAATTGGCAGGAGAAAGAAAGACTTGAAAGGAAAGCCGCGAAAGTCGAGAAGGAAAAGAAGGAAAAGGATGCCCAGAGTAAATCGCGGTCTATCATGGCAAATTTCTTTGCGAAGCCCAAGGCGTCCAAGGCGTCTACATCTTCCCGCGCACCTTCGAATGAAGTTGAGATAGCCATAGCGGGTCCTTCCCAGGTTCAATCGGAGTTCAGCAAATCGTTTAAACCATTCGTCCTGAAAAAAGATGCAACCCTCGCTCCGATAAATTGGTTCCTCAAAAAGGGGAAGCAAAGACGTCGGCATGTATCATCTGCGCATGCTAACGAAGTTATCAATATCGATTGTGACGACGGAGACGAGGACATAATAATTGTTGACATGCAGGATTGCCAAAGCACCAAGGGACAGGCAGACTTGGGCACCATGTCTGCGCGCGGTTCGTGTCCTGACTTTATGAAACACTTCCCTTCTAAAGCTTGAAAACAGACCGTCTCGATTCCATTCTTGCTACTTTGCCTCCTTCTGCGGAACCCTCTCGGCATCTCTCGCGAAGAAACCGTCAGTTCAAGACCTACAATCCCGTTGCTGTGCGAGACATCGTTTCACAACTCTCAGAGGCTGAGATTATTGGCGACGATGCCCTTGTGAGGCGTTTACTTGAAAACCTAAGAGATCGAACGATCGTACCAGCCAAGGTCTTGATATTTACCGAAGATGCCCGACCTGGTTATTTTGGAACTTGGTCTCGAAGTTCTCGCATTATTGGCCCTCGTACGCCTTTGGCAAAGGATGTACTAGTCTTTGACTATGGTTATAATAGCGGTGAAGAGTGGGAGCAAGAAGCGGCCGGCGACGCTGACGACGTGGCAGACGATGGGGAGGATGAAGATCCCGAAAACGAAGATGTGGACTCTGATCTGGACAGCTGGCTCGTGGATGACGATGAAGAGCCAATGGTTCTGGACGCCGAGTTGACTCCACCTGAAGTTGACTTTACTCCTCACTCTACCAAGCGGAAGGCAGATGACGGAGAGCGGAGACTAGAGAAGAAACGGAAGGTAGTCGTGCCTCTGGTCCCGTTCGTTAAAGGGCCTTGTTGGGAAACCACACTTGGTGTATGCTCATACGACCCTTTCAAGTCGTACAGACTGCAATTGTTCAATGGTGAGCATTTTTACAGTCCTTCGCTTTATGCTGCTAACTACATCCCTTATTAGATACCCCTTTTCCTATTGACCCATTTACTTTTGTGTCATCATGCATTGAGGATCAACAGAGCAGCGCGGCGCCTATACCCACCAATGGCGACGGCGTTTTTATCGTGCCGTCCCTCCCGCCACGCCTGACAGCTCCAAATAACGCTACTTTCATCGATTGTACTCCTTTCGTGTCCTCACCTGGGTCTTCTGTGACCGCTCCCAAAAAGCCTGCTCCAACCCCTAAAACACCATTTCCCGACACACACCTTCCATTCTTACTGGACAAGATCACCCAACTTCAGGCATCGAGTTTCATCCTCTTGGTTGAAGCCATTTACCATGATTTGCGAGGGCACAAAGTCACGAAGATATCCATTGAGGCGAAGGTGAGGGAGGTTGGTGAGAAATGCAAGGAGAAGAAAGTTTGGGTTGTCAGGCCTTCTATTTTGGTTGGTATCACTTTGAACCTATCTCGACTATACACTGACCTCCGTTCTTTCCTTGCAGGCGACTCAGGTGCCATGATCTGGGTAGTCAGCCGACATCCAGTTTCTAGACGATGGCGTTATGTATTATTATTGTTATCCTATGATTCCTCAGCTTCAATGATACACTTACACCGCTTTATTCCTCGCCGCCTCTCAACCCTCCTTGAATGTTGGATGCAGTTATTTTACAATTTTTTGGAATACAACACGTGGATACATTAGCTAGACTATATACCTATATATATAAAGGCTACATGGATATAAGAATAACGAGAGGCATAACTCATGAACTGGCAAGCTTCCAAAGAAGTTGAGTGTACTCGAGGTCAGTCTTGCCGGTTGTGAAATCCACGGTGTGAATATCTCCAGATTGTGAACCTGAGCCCTCCATCAGGAATACACATCACATCAACAAGAACAATCTACGCACGAACAAGCATTTTAGAGATGTTTTTGTCCTTGTCGATAATAGGTTCAAATCCCATTCCTTTGTATAGTTGGAGTCTTAAGCTGGAAGGGGTCGCCACTATCAGTATCTATGAGTATGAGAGAAGGCATTGTTCACTGACGCTGTTCCGTCAAGTTCTTTTTCATGTTCTGCAGCTGGATCGTACTGCTCCAGCCTCCGCGATTCTTCTTTAAGTGCCGTAAGCTCAGCTTCTCGGCTCGCGACAAGTCCCTCCGCGTCGCTGATGGCTTTGGCCAGCGCTAGACGATTGCGGTCGAGCTCATTGAGGGCCGAAGCGTGTGCTTCTGCTGAGGGCACAGATGTGGGTCTGGTGGAAGATACACGCGCAGATTCAAGCAGACGGGTTAACGCTAGTTATCACAATTTGTCAGTCTGACCAACAAGGAAGATCAACAGCGCCCACACTTGAGGTTCCCGTGAATCTCATCTAGTTCTTTCTTCCTCTTGGCCTCTGAAGCAGCAATTTTTTCTTCGGCTGCTACAATCGTCAGATAATCTTCCTCAGGATCGATAATAGGCAACATTTCCCGGATAGCCTTGCTATCAAAACAGTAAGCTTGAGCTCTCGTCGTTGATCAAGACGAACAAACATTGCTTCTTGAACGTCAATTGACATTTTTATATGATCCAGGTGCTCTGCGTTACTTCAATCTCTCGATTTGCAACAACAGATGATGGTATGAGGTGGAGATGGGCGTCGCGAACAGCGTCGCGTAAGGTAACATCATGTGATGTGACGCCATTTACTCACGTCTTCAACGGCTCTGCTTGAACTTCCTCGATGGTGGTACTGTACTAATACGACCATCTCTTCTGGCCCTTTTGGGCGTGACACGTTTTGACCATCTCTTCATGACTTCAATATCCGATGTGATGTGTGACGAAGAGTATGAGCTCTTCGTCCGAACAGGGGCCATCGTCGATTTGAAATTTAAAACAATGTTGTACATGCAGAAAAATCTTAGATGGTGGGACAATTCTTGTTAGAAGTAGATGAAATATGCCGAGTGCTGTTTACATGGCTAGGGCGTCGCAGGCACCAGAAAAATTAGAAAAAATGGTTATTTTAAAATGCCAGGAATGGCTTCAAAAGCCTGTGTGATGTGTGACATCACGCTCACTTCACTTCCTTCAGAGACCTCTGTGATGCGTGATGCGAAGGCATGGTCGTATTAGTACAGTATCAGCAGGGCCATGTTTGGGCCTTGCCAATGAGACTGGATCAGCAGGTTACACTATCGAGCATAGATAATTTAAGACGGGGAGCTAAGGAAGACGCGCTGGGCATTCGCTGCTTGAATCATGATAATTCATAATAAAGTGTTTTGAGAAGAGGTTGTTCGCTGCTTCTCACGGCCTGAGTTTATGCCACTAAAGTTGTAACAGGAGACGAGACAGCGCAGTAGTCGTGCCATATATAGCTCTGACGCGAAGGAACTTGCGGTCCAAGCACGCAATATGTCATTGGGTATATACAACCAACGTATGTTAATACTTTTCAGCGAGAACTAGAAACCAGGTCAGTAGAGGTCCGTTCAACACATCAACCGAACTCACTTAATGCTGTTAGTGACGTCCATCCGGTGAATGGGTGACTGAGATGATAAGCACAGGTCAGCAATTGATGGAGGAATGACGTGAAGAGCTGACCTTCGTTTACCCTCACCAGTGGTGGGATCATACTGTTCCCATACATACCCAGTACGCTCATACTCCTACAGCGTGGTCAACATCATGACAAGGGAAATCACAAGCAACCCACCTTGACGACATTATCGACAACGTTCTTCCTTAGTTCTTGGTAAATCTCTTTCGCTTTCTCCTGGTAAGGTCCTTCTTGCTTCATATATGTCTGGATGAGACTGTTAGCGAATGCGTGGCGTTCAATTGGCTATTATTTTACCTTATAGAGGGCCCCAAGTGCGAGGTAGTTCATTTGCACCCAAATAGGACCTTTCCAATAATTTTCGCCTTTGCCGAATTCAGGATGTGACGCAGATAAGCTCCGAATGCCATAAGCCGACCAAAGATGATTTGGATCATGTAGGAGTTCAAGAATTGATCCTAGATGGGGCGAAGTGGGTGGAAGGAGAGACAATAGGAAGGGGAACAACGATAGATAGCCCCGGTGGCAGATATGTGTCGATTCATCTGTCATTATAATAGTATTAGGGGGGAGAAGACCATGTATATTGACCGCTTCACCTTCGTCGTTGACGTTGACATCACAGTACATTTGCTCTTCCTCATTCCAATGAAGATCTGTGACAGAAGAACATCATGCCAGATTTTCAAAAATGCAGCACCGAGCGTTACCTTCAATATTATCGAGTATTGCTTTCTCAATCTCTTTGAATGTGATCTCGTCCTCTTTCTCACCGACGAAAGCTGCAATGTCCTTCATTGTCCTCGTGAAAAAGGCCATCCATGATATAAGATCCAGATGTAGCTCTCCGGCGTGTGGAGGACCCCTTGGGTAATCATCCATGCCGCTTGTCAACACATGAAGTTGCGATCGCCCACGCCAGCGATATCCCTCACTCCTAGACCGTGCCTTTCGCGCATATTGCTTGATCTGCCCACGCTGCGTGCGCCGGAACCAGTCATAGTGTCTCTTGAGGGGTTTGTATATAGATTTGAGGAAAGAGTGTGCCAGCTCGACGTTGTCTACATGCCGGTTTTCTACGTCACCAGAATGGTGCAGAGGAGCACCCATCAAAGGCACCTGAAGGTCGCCAATACTCATGCCCACTCCGCCCAACCCAAGGTCCTGATCAGAAGGACCGTGGTTCGCAGACGCAGATTTGAGGCGGTCAATGAAAGCGGTGACAGCCATTGTGAGGGTGGGTGGATTAGCATAGTTTGGGACTTGAGTTTGAAACTCTGCTGGCACCTCCAGACAACCTTTAGGATGCTAAAAATGGATAGAGATAATAACAAACTTTGCTTCGTGCCTCTTCACCAAGGATCTGCTCTCGTGCAACCCAGCCGTCATCATCAATGAGATTTATCCAATCCTTCAAGATCTCAAGACTAGCAAGGGGAAATTTTAGTTTTTCAGTGACGTGAAGAGGCAACCTACCTGAAATCGTTATCCCACTGAGCAATGTGCAAAAGGTGGAAACCCTCGTCCCTTTGTTGAGTCAGTATTAGGCCTTTCTCGTAATAATCTTGTAGATGTACCAGTAAAATCCACGGGGGAAGAAACTCCGACTTGGCGTTGCGGTTAATAGCGCCTTTGGATCAGTTAATTTTGCTCCTTTAGATTCATCCTCCTCTGCCGTCGCTGAGTCATCCTCCTCATCCCATTCATACGAGAATTTCTTATCCACGATGGACGTTCCGTAGAAATAACCCACCCCGGCCACAAGATTAGATGTCACCGCTCTCGAAAAGGCTTCTAAAGACGCCTGTTTTTCTGAAGGATAATTTTGTGGGCGAAGTGAGACAGACTGGAATCGCTTTCCATATGCTTCAACCAAAGCTGGGATGCCGTGGTCCAAGGTGGATGCTGAATTCCACTTAATGAACCTTGGTCGTATGTTCCGTTGACTGACACTCACAGGTCAACTTCTGTTTGTTGCTACCGCTGTCGTAAATCACATCAAATTCAAATGGCCCATCGAACAGCTTTTGAACAGCGTAGAGGTTGCTATTGGTGTAGACATCGTCCGGAAGTTGCAAAACAAAGGATGGATCGGGTAGCCCCGTCGCAGGATCCTGGTAAGGTACCAACACCTCACGAGCACGATCTATGAGAGCTTTCATAATATATTCTATGATTTATCGGTATCAGGTCTTCACGGAAAGCAAAAGGCACAGAACTTGCTTTACCTTTGGCCTGCCATATGTCACCAGACTTGACGGGTCGACCTATGAAATGGGTTTTACCAATTCGGTCTTGGAAACCATGAGCGTGAGGACCCCATGTTACCGCCTGATTATTTGGGCCTGGAATATGGTAAGAATGGATGCGCAAGGCAACAGGCCAACAAACCATCTACAACGCGGAGAGTAAATTCGTCTAACTCAGGCGTGGAACCGGTGAGTTTAACCTCGCCGCTAATACCCTGTTTGAGAGTAAGCATGCAAAAAGCATGTAGGTGAAACATAAACTCACGTTATCGTTCTCGTCGGTTTCCATTTCCAACCCACCCAATCCCTCCAGTCCAAAGTAGAATATCGTGGATACTCGTGAAGGTTTGGTTGAATCGACAGGTTCCCCTTTCACGCGTACAGCCCAACTACCTCCATGCTCGCCACCAGGAACCTTTAAGAATTCTGTAGTAATTTTGACGTTGTTCGCGCTGTCTTTGAGGACCTGAACTCCTCCTTCACGCGCGTCATATTCTGTCCATGTATACGAATCAAGCTTGTCTCCTTGATCACAGGCATGTCGCGTTTCTGACGGAGATAAAATATAAGAACAGCGTGAAAGTCGGATGATGATATCCTCCTACTGACGTCCAATAGAGTTATAATCCTGTGTTCCAAACCAAGCAAGTCCGGTCATTAAGGACTGAGGTATGCGCGGCCGTAGACCAAAGTAGAGATTGGGACGGTATGGACCCCATAGTAGGGTGTCATTTGTTCCCTGTGCGAGCGCTGTCGTCGCAGCTGATAAAAGCAACAGCCATGCCCTGCCACACATATTCTTGAGAGATGCAGTTGACCAGAGTTGACCTGGTCAAGGTAGAACGTGTCCCCGATCACATGACATTCGGAGATGCTTGCCAGTCACTTGGCCTATGTCGGAAAAACCTGTGCCTTACAAGATCGATCGGTTACAGGACTGATATTATTATTATTATTACACTAGCTGATTTTATCCTAAGACTAGTACTAGTCTTTTATGGCCAGAAATTGGGTTTATAATAGCAATTTGGCCATTATACCCGCCTTATAAGGCCATTTCTCTCCTCTTCTAATGCATTACAATTTAAAACGTTTCTCCACCATTATAGTGCATTATAAGGCCCCCCGGGTTTTTCCGACATATTTTTGTTCTATATTGGCGTTAATGGGTGACTTTCCGTAACTCAAATCTATGAAAATGAATAAATTTGACCCTTATCGGAGTTTGAAACGAGAACTTCACAGGAGAGTTTATTGAAGTGACAGCTGATTGCGAAACGTTAGAGCAGCTTGCTTCCCGTTCCAGCCCAACCATCTGTTTGTTTGGTGATGGCCGGACATCAGCACCTTCCAAAAGTAGCACCTGCTTTGCTCAAGCTTTGCTTCAACTTTTCCTAGTCTTATCTACATACCCTCACCTCTCCCTCTCCTCGAATAATAATGGCGCGGAATGGCCACCGAAGACACATCGCATAACCTGTCAATAAAATGCTTGCTACCACGTCGCGTCAAATGTTCTGAAAAGCCCTATCTATCCGATTTATTTGGCTTTGGTGTCCGCCGCAAACAAACACACGGTTGAGCTGGAACGGGAACCGAGCTGCTCTAACGTTTCGCCAAGGGGTGTCAGATCGGTCGATCTGCTACGTGTGATCTGGCCACGCGAGCTTGACACCGGTAATATCCGAGGGTCGGCATGTCAGCGGCAAAGAGATGCCCATCAATGAGATCACCAGCGGCTGTTCGGCTCACCACAAGCAATAACATTGTCCATTAGATGAGAAACGACCGTCGAAAGTAAAGTTATTGACTTAAAAATGATAGGTATTAATTAAAAACATCATTGTTATATGAATTTCGAGCTGGGGATGTTCTTTGGCGATGAGGTGATAACGAGAAAGGCAAAGGAGAGTTGTTTGTAGAATAAGTGTGGTGAGGCCTCCGAGGAGAATCGCCATGACCGTCATGAGTGGTTGGTAGGTTGTGCATGTGCCGGGCATGATAGGCATGAGTAGACCTGCCTTGACGATCCTCTGGAATGCCTAATTTGGTTTCCTCCTCATTTGTTATGAGAATCCTGTCGCGAAAATCATTTAAATCTTTCCCTGGAGCTACATAAGCTCGTATATTGCCGTAGCGAGGTCAAGCTCCATGTCGCTGTAACCCCGGACATGGTATGAGCCATCGAAAGCATCCCGCAGCCTTTCCAATAACTTCTCGGTGCTCCAACTACGTCGTTTAGCAATCTTGAAAATACGATGCAGTCCTGGGATATCATGGTTTCCGACGAGATCGAGAAGCGCGTGCCACGTTGCTTCATGAGTGCGGAGCGAGTCAAGGGCCCTGGTGGTATTGAGATGCTATTAACTTATCAGAGGTGCTCGCGACATATTAAGAACAGACGAACCTTCAATCTCTCCACCTGTGCCTGCTTCTCGACAGCGTCAAGCTTCTGTAAAAGCTGATTATGACTCAAAGAGAGTCGATCGAGCTTTTCGACAGCTTTCGCAGCGTGGTCCTTCACGACGTCGACAAAGGTTCCAAGGGTTTGGCACGAGGAGCATGGAACAGAGATGCTCTCGAATGTCGGACTCCAAGAGCAACGGAGGGATTGAACACGGATAAGGGACATGTGAGGATCGACCGACAGGAGATTGTAGCCTGGTTTGAACCTCGTAGCGGGATCATGGATTGGAAATGGGTAGGTCAAGTGTGGAGAGCCGAGGTCCCACTGGAATTCGGCACCCTGGCACGACGTTGGCGTTGGAGGAGATGGTATTACGGATTGTTCAGTCCGAGATCGACGCAACTCTTCCAAAATAAGATCTACAATGAAATTCAAAGAATGAAAACAAGACGGAGAACGGGAACGCACCTGCAAAGCCGAGTTTACACGGCCTACCATCTTGATGCCTACGGAGGGGGTTGGATGTTGTGTGATCATACCCATGCTTGACGTAGGTATTACATCTTGGGCACAGGACTTCGCGAGTGCCTTTCGACGCGTCGCCTCGCTCGAGTAGGGGTTGACTTTCTTTGTTGAAAAATGAGGGCCAGTTATGCGACAAGTTAGAGGAAGTATGGACAGGTGGTGGAGAGGTTGATGCCGAAGATACACTATGTACATCAAGGTGCCATGTTTGATAGGATATGTCGAGACGGACGCGTCGTTTTGCCTACGACGCGTCTAGAGACGGTGGAAGAGAATGGGAATGATAGCATTGATGCCATCGATGCCGTGCCGTATTGCCGTATTTCCTTATTTGGGGGGGTAGGTGGGGGGTACCCTTGCCATCATTCACGTAGCAGATCGACCGATCTGACACCTCTTGGTTTGAGGGGTCTGTACCCTCTGAATAGATTAAGGTTTGTAACTGGGTTCCAACCAGGGACTCCATCAGAGTCGAACCCTTACAAGACTCGGCATCCCGGCAAAGGACCCTAGATTTCGTCGATTTATTCAAATCTAGAGAATTTGTGTTACGGAAAGTCACCCAATAACTCGCACAGCGTCGCTTCGTTGAAATTCGCGTCTTGTGTTCAGCTTCGTGAATACCCGGGATACAGCCATACAATTTACATTCACACCTTCCGGCAATGTTCCGCATCTCCTCAAACACCTTAGGCAACAAATGTCTTGACGAATCAGGGGCGTTGCTTGGGCCTTGCGTTATATTGGCTTCATCAATGCTGTGCGAAGATGCATATAAATTCCAAGCCGAAGTCTCCTAGCAAAAGATACACGCATACTCTATCCTCCACCCCACTGCTTAGTCTTTCTTAGTCCGTTGAAATAATGCCGTCCAACTTTGGGGACACTAGCACTGTTGTTGGCGAAACGTCCTACCAGACAAATGGTCCGTTTGGCAAGAATCCCAAGAGTGACAGCCCAGAGAAGCCCTCAGATCGTCGACACAATGCTCTTGGAAAAGGTCCAGTAACTCCTGGGAGCGAGTTTGTCGCCACGATGGATTATACCATCGAAAACAGGCCGTTCTTCGTACCCATTGGCAAGGGTGGCGTAATTGTTGCTCTGGAGGAACTTGACAGACAGCTACAGCAGGTAATATATTCCCCATGCTTTCCCCAGCGTCAGACTCTCTGACTTTGTTGCATAGTCTGGTAGAACCAGGCTTTTGTCCAAGAAAGTTCCTACCGACTGGACTGGGAAAGAAATTGTTCCTGGTCGCCTTGGCCTTATCAATCATGGGTAAGTCTATTGTTGGACGCCATCAATATCTTACATGCTGATTTTGAACTCAAAGTGGGTCTCCAAAGATTTTGACCAGACCAGGCCGTTATCCCGGTTTCCCGCTACGAAATTGGTGGGCCCGTTCGTGGTCTGGGACGACAGGACGTTCGTTGTTCTTTTAACACATCACATAATTTTTCTCATAAAATTTGCCTGGATTAGTTTCCGACACCGTCATTGAATTTCAAGGTTTGACCGTGGTGCAGGTATCCCAGAATCAAGCGGCGGTCGTCTCAGACCCACAAAACCACATCTTTGTAATTAAGAATTCGGGATTCGTGGCCTATGCTATTGAAGGAACTTACGACGTGTTATCCATTGTCGACCAAACCCACTTGCCGACAGTCATCAAGGACAAATTAACCAGCGTGATTTTGGGGTGGACTCACGAAGTGAAAATGAAGAGTAAAGTCAGTGGCAAGGAGGAAAGGGAATACGTTGTGGCTACTTTGTATGTTTCCTTCATCCCGACTGCATTACATCTAATATCGTTGCAATAGCTTGAACATCCCAGCCAGCAATTGTGCCATCTTGCAGCGCGGTGATGACCTTGAGCTCCTTGGAGCTGGCCAATCAGTCATTACGAATCCTAGTGTTACTCTCCGTGGACTTTACACCTTAGGAGAGAACCAGCTGGAGATGCCCACAAAGGACATGTACGTACCCGGTTAACCGTCATCGTTTCCTCTGAACTTACCAAGTTAAAGCTTCACTCGCGATCAAGTGCCTGTCAGCCTGACGATCTATCTGAAATGGCAACTTACTGAGCCACTGAAACTCACTACTCATGGGTATAATACCCCTTACGATGCTCTTCGAGACAAAACACAGTCCATCTTAACCCAAATTGTCGCACATCTCGATTATTCTTCAATGGTGCACCATCTCTTTCTTCCGGTTGTTAAATTTGTCTTACCCATAACAGGTCAAACAACGCTCTCTTGGACCTGATAACATGGACGATGGCACTGACCCATCATCCGCTTTTTTGGATGCATTGAGAACTCGTGCTATGGATGAAATGCACGAAGCTGCTCTTGAATACGGCATCGTCCTCAAGGATCTTGCAGTCATCGATCGACAATTCAAAGGCGAGATTGCCGCTACTATGGATAAGTTGACCAGTCAGTACTTTGTCACATTAAAAACAGGGCTCGCTCTGATTGGCGAAAATTTACAGCGCGAGCGTTGCAGGCTCAGGTTGAGGCCGCCAATGTCGACAGAGAAAATAGCAACAAAGTCAAGCAAGAAGAGGGTGCTCTTTCCGTTACACGCATCAAAGCGCAAGCCGCAAACACCCAGGCTGATGCTGAGGCCTACCGAGTCATTGCTGCAGCCAAGGCTCAAGCGCAGCGCACAAGGATCGAAGCAGAGGCCCAAGCGGAGGCAACTCGTATGGCCGCTGAGGCTGAGTCTGAGGCTGTGCGGATCAAGGCCGCTGCTGATGCTCAGGTCATTGACCAATTCGCCCGGGAAATGGAGTTCCGCCGTATGGAGGTCAATAGGATCAAGGCGTATGGTTCCAAGACGATCTTTGTACCATCAGAGGCCACTGGGGCACAGATGGGGAGCGCAATGGCACTGGGCATGGCAGCGTCGATGGGGGCAGATGCCAAACGCGCGACAGAAAAGGTGTAAAGACTTCCACTCCTTTATTTTATTTGGACATTTTTATCTACACTATATTAGCGTTCAGAGTGCTGCCTTACCGTACTTTGTAATTTCTACACATGCTGTGCCAATCTGGCTCTAGTTCGAGTCAAGAGATTACCTTATTTAAAGTGCCAGGCTTTGTTGACAGCTGTTGTTCGAGTCACTTCCCTGTTGCTGCGTGTCTCGCCTTTCTCGCTGACCACCACCACCACCACTACATCGATTAAATCTCCATCACCCACGCCGTTTCAACAATGAGGTCCAAGTTTAAGGATGAGCACCCCTTCGGTCTGTAATACGCACCCTTCCACGCACCACAATCAGCTTATTGTGTTCACAGAGAAGCGCAAGGCAGAGGCAGAGCGCATTCGGCAGAAGTACCCCGATCGTATTCCCGTCAGTTCATCTGGGCCTCATTGCTTGCCATGCCAAAACTGACTCTGTGGCGCATATCGATAGGTTATCTGTGAGAAGGCGGACCGGACAGACATTCCCACCATCGACAAGAAGAAGTACCTGGTTCCCTCAGTACGCTTATGGCAACACCTTAGGTCCCTTCGTTGCATAACTCATGATTTTGTGTGGTTAGGACTTGACGGTGGGACAGTTTGTTTATGTCATTCGGAAACGGATCAAACTGGCACCCGAGAAAGCGATATTCATATTTGTCGATGAAGTTCTTCCACCCACGGCAGCCCTCATGAGTGCGATCTACGAAGAGCACAAGTTCGTACAATCTTTGGGCTCTTGACGAACATAATCTCTTACCTATTTCACTCAGAGACGAAGACAACTTCCTCTACGTGAGCTACTCTGGCGAGAATACATTTGGTCAGGAAGGTTGGGTCGAATTGCCGTAGAACACATGGACAAGGCTTTAATTTGTGTCTCGGCTGCTAGAAACATTGGGTTTGGGTATTGTGCGACGTGCGTAGTTTCTACCAAAACTACCTGTTGATTGTACCCTTGTCCTACGGCCTGTACTGCATACCCTTCTTCCTTTCTTAGTCCTTACTCTTTGTATAGTACAATGTCTTCCCTTCAACCTTCTATATCATCCAATGTATTAACGCGATCAAGTTTCCCGATTTGTGTTTTGCAACTCGACTTGTGACTGTATTACTACTGAGGCCCTAGGTCAGTCCTACCTTTGTCTTTTTGTTTACAACATGCTGACTGATGTTCCAGCAAAGATCTACGCGCTAACCACAGATCCATTTGAATATACTGGGAGGTGCTCAATCTTGGTGGACAAGTGGCCAGGGGATTGCCCGAAGCCACTCTTTGTGGCCACCTTATGATCAAAGACCTATTCGAGGATTGTGGCATATTGTGGCCCGAACATCTTCTCATTGTCCGTGCCACTTGCAATGTATAAAACGCAAGGCTGTTTCGCTTCGTTTTATTTTTCAATCCCACCCGCCGCCATTCAAACGGACATTTTTTTAAAAACTTTCTTAGTGCAGGCCACAGTGTTAAATTTTGCGATGCGATCCTCCAACATTCTCTACTCTATTATTGGTGAGTTGAAGCACGTTACTTTCTGACCGCCTGCTAATAGTGGAAACGTAGTTTTCGTATTTCTGTTTCAATCAGCTTCTATTATCATTTTGAGTGCATCGTTGATCTTTCACTCGGGCGGCAGTAAGTTTTACTATTTGCGATTTCTGCTAGATCCCATTGACACCACCTCTATGCAGTTATAGAGTCGATTGCCTTGGCTCTTGACTTGGTGGCGCTCGCCATCGTAATTGGGTTCCTCATACACGAAATCATCAATCCACGCGAATCAATCATTCGTTCAAGAAACTTGATTGTTTTTATGTTCTTGTTTGGATTAAGTCTCGGTAAGAATTCTGTGTTCTTGGCTGTGTAAAACTCCGCGAACGAAGTCTGTGCCATTCTAGCAAGTCTCGTCATATTTCTTGTGAGAACAACATCAACGGAGACCAAGAACCTCACGAAAGACTTTGCCGCTCTGCCGGACCCTAGAGCCACTGCAACGACTGCCATTATTCTGGCAGTATTATCCACTATTTTCGGTACTGCCGTCTCATCTTTCCTCACATCCCGTTCGCGCTAATTCCCTTCCCTAGCCATTGCGGGTTTCGCCACCTCTTGCGTCGTGCAAGAGATTCCCCAAGCGAGATTGAAAATATCAGATCCCATTCCAGTGCGAGTGTGGCAGCCAGATACTCCCGCTCAATTTATAGAACTCGGCTCGGTTCAAAAGGGGGACCCTCCTCAACCAGATGAAGCGGCGATCCGCGAAAGATGGACTGACATCCCTGTATGAGCCATGTATATAATACGTCCTTTCAAAAGGATGTGGTCCCATGTAGAGTTTTATCAGCCATGGAATTGTATATTCATTGAGGTATCTGTGTCAGCCCCCTTTCTAGCTCGTCCCAGTCAACGTTTTGAAAAGTCTCGTCCTCGTCCCAGAATTTGTCCCAATCGACATCTTGTTGGAGTGGGGGAGGGTTCTCTATGGCGTTGTTTACTTCGTCTTGCATTAGTGATTCCGTTAGGGCAGCAGGTGTGGAGTGCAGAATGATTCCAGAAGTTTTGTGATCAATCATGGGCTCTCGAGTAAAAACAAGAACACCATTCCCTTGAAGTTCAACCTCCACTGGTAGAACAGAAATCCCTTTTTTCGTGACGACGTAGTCAAGTGAACGCGGTACTGAAACGGAACTAAAGATGATGCTTAGACGTCGAATTGATGTCACTTGGCTGTCATTTTGAACGATGGACGTGGCAGTAGATTGTCCTTCAATCTTTTGCCGCTTGGACTGGATCTCGCCATCATCGAAATACCGCCGTCGACCTGTACGACTAAGCATGATCCTGGCATTTACTTGGTTCGCCCATACGAGGCCTAAACTGGCTTCTTTCTTGTTTTCACCTGGGACACTGTCACAGGTGTTAAACCATCGAGATTGTTGGCTGTAGATTAAGTCGCTTGTCTCGTTGGAACTTTGCCCACGGTCAAACACGTCAGCGACTTCGTTGAGGACCAAAACTGCGATGTGATGGACGTTTGCCAGTGAATGAAGGAGTGTTGAAATTTCCGCGATATGTTTGGCGCGTTCCACTAGGGTGGAAGTTGTGGTTTTATCCGTCGAACGAAAAAGCTCAGCTAGAGCGTCGATCACAAGCAGCTTTACGGGCTTTCCGGAAGAAATTGATGCCCGCTGTTCGACAAAAGCAGGAAGAACATCGTTTAGTACATGCTGCAACATGGGTGCCGTTGGTGTTGAAATGGTGTGAACATGTTCGAGGCTACAATTCGAGGGCGAAAGAAGCTCGTTCGATTGGAGCATCTCCAGGAGACGGCCCGTTGGGAGCTTTGAAGACGTTGTTAAGTAGCAAGCGGAACCAGACAGACCTCCGAGCTCAGGGGGGTTCTGAATGAACAACGAAAGTTGTAGCGCGAACTGAGTCTTTCCCGCAGCGCTGATTGTGAGAAGAATAAGCAAAGCGTTATGCGAACGAGGGGGCGGACACCTACCTCTCTCCAAACACCTCCCATATCATACCTGTCCGTATTCCGCCGCCCAAAGCTTCATCAAGATAGGTATCACCGGTGGTACACCGCTCTTCGCCACGGTCGATGTTATCGAGGCGCCGTGGCAGGAAGACCGTCGGTTCACTATCGCAAAGAGATTCAACTATTGCCCTTACTTCTGAGACCGATATTCTACACTTTCGAGTGACATCTTGTAGAGGGGCCAATAACAAGTCCGCAAGAGATTGTATGTTGCCTGGCTTGAATATCAGACATGTTCTAATCGCTGAGATTCAAGCTACGCTTACCCTTCTTCAATACAACTTTTTGAGATTCTGTCAAGCGAGCGGGTGATATCGGTTTATGCAGGTCCATTTCGAGTCAGTTGTTTTGTGGCTAGTATCAGCAGGGCCAGAACTTGGGCAGGGGTAACGAAGGCATAGTCGAAAAGCTAATTACCACTGTGGCTTGACTCAGGAGTAACATCAATCAATAATTGCAGCATATTTATTTCTCTACTGGAGTGGTATGTGAAAGGTCTGTAACAGAGAAAATCTATCCTGCACGCGGCCGTGATTGTGATAAATCGGTGTTCCTCCTCAAAAAGCCGCCAACGACAGTGGAAACCGTGTCTGTTAGCTGTCTTTGGTTCTGGGTATGCTTCACGTAAAACAACCGCACATTGGTGCCGTTCCAAATATTTAGAGGAGACATTCCGCGAACATATACTTCACCCCATATTAAAGAAGTGAGCCATACCATCGATGCGTCCGACCACTAGATGTCAATGGTCAACAAGTGTCTCGTGCAAAACATGGTAAGACTTGCCACAAAGCTTCGAGGAATAATGGGAGGCGTCGCCGGAAGTACATGTTTCAATGTAACATTTGATAGAAAGTCGACGACGGCAGCAGTTGAGTTAGCCTTTCGAGATGTTTGTAACTCCTGGACTTTGGACAACAACTCAGATATAAGAAGCATCACGGTGTCCAAAGGCAAGCTGTCATTCTGGCAGGTCAACATCAACCTGGCAATTTCGAGAGTAAACCTCTTACCCTTGCTGCCATGATGTCACCTACAGAAGATAGTCAGATATGCCGTTTCACGGTGGTCTGTCATGCTTACCCATTCTTGGGTAGGGATAAATCCATTTCTACCAATGCCGGCAGCAGCAATGCGCTCAAGACTGGAATTTGTATCGATCGACGACGACCTTCTCTCCTTCATTTTCCCCCTCGCCTTCTCGGAAATTGGGGACAAAACAGCGTCCGACGAGGGTGACATGAATGATCTCGTCACGATTTCATCCGATTGGCGTGGTGTACCTCCAACAAGGGGAACAGGTTCGTCGATGCTGTTATTCCTGGTCTCGCTTTCCAAGAGTCTTGCCTTTTCAGCGCCAGGGGTTTCTGACTCAGCTTCATCAACTGAACTCTTACTCTTGCCATTGGGGTCGTTCCCTAGTTTCTTTGCCTGTTCTTCCTTGGCTAACTGCACGCGTTTGATTTCCCGAAGACCTCGGGCGAGTGTAAATGTTCCAAGATCCTCAAAGATCTTGTGGGAGGACAGGATGCCATAGATCAGATTGGGGTTTTCGGCCAGATTGTGAAGGGCAATAGAATTGAGGACCTCGAGCCTTATTGGAAAATAAGAAATCGACATTACTCGGTCAAAATCAACTCACATAAAAAATAAAAGGCGTGGATGACCCTCATCGGAGAGTAAAAATAGGGGATTCGAGAATGAGCCAAAGAGTTGGACAAGTCGATTGGATGCCGTGACGTTGAGACCCTTGAAATAAGGCGCCAAGTTCGAGAGGGCAATAATCAATGCTGGATACAAGGAATTGAGGGTCCCGGAGGTAGTTGCTATAATCGCGTAGGTAGCCTTCGGATGTTTCATGACAAGACAAAATCAAGGTCGGTTGTCCACTCACATTAATTATAAAATCTCCAACACTCCCCGCAGAGTTCCATTTCGTGGGCAGCTGAATCGTTACGGGAGTCGATAGCCTGAGACCAAACGATACCTCGGCCGATAAAGTTTGAATGATGTATGAGATAGCACGGCAAAGACCATGTTGCTCTAAGATAAAGGGTGAGATAGGTCCGATGTTATATAAAAGACGAAATTTACGAGGTTTGTCTTTTATTTCAACGCAGTAGCATAAAAGATAAGCAACGAGGTCTGTCGACTTTTGCGACTGCAAGACGTGTACGCGGAATTTCTTTTCAACGATTTAGTCGAAATTAAATCACAGCACAGGGGATAAAAGCTCACTTTGTTCAGCTCTATCATCTTCCAGAAAAAAATAACTAGCGAAGGTTAGGATTTGACCCTTGAAAAGCAGAAAAAGAACAAACTGGTTTCGGTGACATACGGAAGAGCCTTCTTCGAACCTGGAAGGAGTTTGTTCACGGATGTCATTTGTTGTTCGAGAATACCGACAATTCCCGTAATGATAAACTCAAAATCTTGGTCTCGATGCTGCCAGAAATCAATCCCTGAATTTAACAAGCGAGCATTTACAATAGCTTACCAGTTTCATCAGAAAATAGCGGAAGGCATTTGTTCGTGCCGTAGGCGCCGATGTCTGCGTTTCTCCACTTCCGGTCACAATGTCTCGCGCTGTCCCGCTCTGAAAATCCAGTAGAACACAAAGGACTTGGAAACAAATGCCCACGAGGTTTACTCGTGGGTCTTCTCCTTTGAAAACAAGGTGATTGTACGGCAGCTTGCCAGCCATTGCTCCTAAGGACATGTCTTGGGCTGTGGAAGAATTCATTGCTGTGTTCAGAAGGGAGCACAAAATTGTAAGAACGTCACGGCGAGCGGTTTTCTGGACGAGGTGGATTGAGTAGAGTGACGGCTTCGTAAACAGAGAACCGGGAGGGACATAGATTTGTCGTGACAAAAGAACGAGAAGAAGTCTGAGAACCTCAGTCTTGTTGTTATCGTACGCAAATGTGGCAGGTGTGTCCAATGTAGAGCCAATGCCTTTCTCCCTTACATACAAATGAGGGGGATGTCGTTGTGAGGGATGTGACGACATACCATATGAGGTAACTGATCTTATGATGATCAACCTGAATTTTTGAGGGTAGAGTAAAACCGCAACAAAACATCAGATCGACTACAGCACCAAAGAGCCTTTCCCCCAATGACGGCAGTTGCTTCTTCGCAGATGGTTGTGAATCTCCTAGTCGACTATCGCGTTCTTGGTCCTCATCTTCGTCTTCAATTACAAATTGCGGCTCATCCCCTGCCTCTTCAGCCACTTCATCGACTTCTTCTCGTTTCCAAAGTAGCTCTGTCTCAAACACATTTGATTCCCCCTGGACCTCGAATATCACTGGAAGTACGCGTTGCAGTATTCGCAGGCAGTTTAAAACTTCTTTCGTCGCGTTTCTTTCCGCAGAGGAGGTCCCAGTCTTTATGATTGAGGATGCAAACGCTGTAACTGAAGCTGATGTGCTTGCGGTGGGGAATGTGTGGTCGGAAATGAGATTGAAGAGCCGAATACAAACAACATGAATCAGTGTCGCAATATTCTCCGGGGCATCCAGCAAGGCACGGCGAACTGAAAAAAGGTGTTAGATCAAGAAGCAAGAGTGCTTTCGCCTCCTACTGTGGTGAGAAGTTATAAGAGAGAACACGTCGGATGCCGAATCAAATAGAGTGAAGTACTGTGGACATTGAATGATTGTCGCTCAGTAGCATGATGAGAATCCTACCTGGTCCCAGTAGCCGTCATTTTTAGGGATGTTCTAGATTTACGTGTTACCCCAGTTGAAAGTAAGTGCAAGCGTGTTCTTACCCTGACTGTGGAGAGCTTGGTGATACCCCCTGGCTGACTCGGGAATGCAAGCTTTGCTTCGTCGCCCAATAATCCGAATGGTGCGCTGAACCTCTGTGGTATTTTCGAAAACATGTTGGGATAAGCAGAGGTCAGATCCCTAATGAACGCAGCACAGCCACTACTTGTCATTGCGCCCATACAACATACTCAACACGATGAACAACTGGTATAGTATTTTTTGACGTTCAGAGTTCTAGCTATCCAGTGCCGAAATACTATGTAGAAAGGTGAGAGTCTAATGATATCAAAGTTCGAAATTGGGAGCTCCAGCCAGACATGCCACACAAGAACCCTCTGGGTTCATTTACGACTCGGAGAAGCCTCACACTTCAGTCAGAATTGTGCGAGAAGACCAGCCACTGCTGCAACAAACAAAGCGAGGCATGCGCTAGCAACAACCTTTGTCGAGCCCGAGCTTGAGCTCGAGCTCGAACCAGTAGCCGAAGCAGCAGCAGACGCCGTGTTGGCGGGTTTCGCAGTGGCGACACCGTGAACACCACCAGTGACTGGGCCATTGTCCGTTTCCTACAGCATTTAAGCGTTCGTCAAGATCACCTCACAGACGAAACGTACGGTTGTTTCAGAGCTACCTAAAGCCAATGCAGCCGACTGGAAGGCAGCAAAAGTATTCCCGGTGGCGGGTGCGTTGATACTTCCAACCATTCCAAGACCACAGTGTTGCACTTGTTTGCAGTGGAACCAAATGGCTGTACGCGCAAGTGATCATGAGATTATGGCAGATGACTTGCTCAAAGGCGTACGCTGATTATCAGTAATGTTGATAGAGAATTGGACAGCAGTCTGTAACCCGGAGTCAAAGCCTGCAGAGGTGTTGCCTGATGCGGCCAAGTATGTACATGGAGCGGCGAAAGACGATTGAGTGACAGAGTGGGCAAGGCCGCTAAGGAAAATATTCATCAATTAAACGCCTCAATTTGAGGTCAAGCGTTGCTCTACCTGGGGAAATAAAATGTGACAATAGTGCCAACAGGGGCGGAGATGTTTGCTGGGCTGTACACAAGCTTGCCTTGGAATCCAACGTTAACCTTTCGAAAAATTCTATGATTTTCAGGCATAAGAATTGACATAGAGTCACTGACGTTCACAAATCCAGCTGTGTTGGCAGGAGCCGTCGGTACAGCGAGAGCAGCGGTAGTGCTCACGGTTGATGAATATGCAGCTCCACCATATTGTGCAGCAGTGAGTACAGGGAGCAAAAAAGGAAGTAAAAAGGCCGTGAGCATATTCGGGTCGTGATATTACGTTGCAAGGAGAGAAAGCAAGCGTGCGTAGGGGCGCAGACTCAGCGAGATATGGTGGGTTATAAACGTGTCCACCAGGGTGCTGCGGAAGGCAGAACGCATGTCAGGTTGTTTTGGACTATTCCCAACTGAGTTTCATTTCCCGAGACGATTTCCTCGAAGCGGTAGTTTTGTTCTCACTGAAAAGTGCCTCGCGAGTGACAGAGTCAGCGCAAGTGGTCGTAATCGTGCCTTATAACGTCATTCTCTTCCGAACTCAGAAGGCTTAAATGCCTCGGTCGCTTCGATCGGATATGTAAGCTGCAGCAAGTCCAGAGATGTCTGAGAAGAAACATACCAATGTGGAAAAGTTCAACTGGATCAGTCCTTCCTAGCGTTAAGTACTTACATGTCAGTATTGAAGCTGGTTCATCGAATTGTAAATTGTACCCGGCACGACGATCAAATTCGAATTCCTTGTCCACCGGTGAAACGGTAGGCGCTCGTCATTAATTCACGACGGACAGTGTCGGCAAGTATCCGACTCGGAGTTGGAGATGGTGAAGATAGACTCGAGTCCCAGGATGGGGTTATCATCCTTGTTTTGCGGATGACGCCGAGCAGCCCACATCATCTGATTCCTTGATGGTGTGGTATGCGAGAAGTATGGACAATAAAGCCCTGCGAACAAATTGAGGCGTAAACCGGCGTAGATGCTAATCGTATCACACAGCCTTGTCAGAAGCATGAGAAAACACAACACATCTTTCCCGTCATTGAGACTCGTGAATCGCGTGTATTGTTTGTAGATGCTATGAATGGGGGTGATTATGTAGAACGTGATCCAAATAACGACGCTGAGATCGCACATCCAGGATGCACAGAAGGGGTGTTGGTCTGGCGGCTTTCGACAGGCAAGAGCAGTCACAACGTTCCTTTGCTGAGCTTTCTTCGGCGCTCTCCCAATCACAAGTTGATCACCTCCATCTACAACTTAATCAATTCCGCACCGCTCTGGTCCACTTTGCTACCACACACCGTAAATCCATCAAGAACGACCCATCTTTCAGATATGCCTTTCAACAGATGTGTTCTTCAATTGGCGTGGATCCTCTCGCTGGCCCACGGAAAGGCGGCTGGTGGGCTGAGCTACTTGGGCTAGGCGACTGGCAACACGAACTCGGGGTGCAGATCATTGATGTCTGTGTTAGCACAAGGGAAAGGAACGGTGGTTTGATAGAGATGTCAGAGCTTATAAGGCTTGTGAGCAAGCTTCGTGGTATAAGCGAGGGCGCGATCACCGAAGACGATATTGTGCGGAGTGTCAAGACGTTGCAACCGTTAGGTGCTGGATATCAGATAGTCGAAATCGGGGGAACCAAAATGGTTCGAAGCGTGATGAAACAGCTCGACGAAGACCAGACTGTTGTTCTTTCTATCGCACAGGAAGAGGGGGGGAGAATTATCGAGGACATGCTCATACATCGCAAAGGATGGACACGGGATCGCGCACGCGCAGCATTGGAAAATATGCTGCTACGTGATGGGCTCTGCTGGCTAGATGAACAAGATGAACGTAGTGGAAGGGCGTATTGGATTCCGTCTGCCATGCAGTGGGATCTTGGAGAAGGAGTTGAGACAACATAATTGCTGTATACCCACATGTAACCTACAACAATATATTTACTATAGAACCAGGAACGTCACATTGGCTCAGGACTGTGGCTGGATGGCGGAGCAGATGACAATGGTTCTGCGGGAGTTGGACTGGGGGAACGTGTTGTTTTTTCTGCACATATCAAAATGAAAAGAGGAAGACGACAAGAACTTTAACAAGCGGACCTTGCCAAGTTTTTTCACCTCCTCCGGTCATGCCTTGTACAGCGAAATTGACGCGTCTGACATCCAACGATCGAAGGTTGACGAGGACCAGTGTTCCTGTTCGAGCGAAACTGGGTATCATCACAATTCGACATCGTGGCCGTGAACTTCCTTTTTCTTCCGCCTCCTTGCTGTTATCTAGAAGGAGTTTTGTCCCAAAAGCCTTTTGACCGCCTACAATATATATGTCAGGTGTTTCTGATATCAGAAATGGGTCTTCCGCGAAGTACGGATGGCACCAGAGGGTGTCAGGAGCTGTCGGTGCCATATGTCTCCATCTTATCGTCGATTCCAATATTGAAAGGCGCGTATGAGGCGGGCTAGGTAAGTATTTAAATATGTCGTTTAGAGGTTGGCCTGAATTTATGAGTAGAGTCCGTTCCACAATGGGTCGATTTGGCGCGGCAGATGACGAATTTGGTGACTCTTCTGAGGTCGCGATCTTTAAGTAGGTAGGATTTGTTTCGCAAGAGAATGTCGTCAATTTGGAGGCTTCACCAAACATTGCTCGAGGAAGTGGTTGTTGTGGCATGATTACACCTGAAGGATCACTCTCCCCAGGCAATATATGTATGGGCATGACGAGGGCGAGGTCCAGAAGATGCGCTGACAAGTTCAGTATGGGATGACGAGAAAATGATGCGACGTCGTTGCCATAACGGCGCTGAAGTTCAAGGTGAAGTTGAGTATGTAAGAACTAACTGTTAACAAAGGGATCGATAAATGACCACATACAGCTTTTTTGTCTTCGTATACAGTTTCTCTCCCGCTGGGAGCGATTGTGGCAAGGGAATCCCCTGCAATGATAAGCCGTGATATTTGGGCTGAAGAGATTTGCTGCTCGACCCCACCAACCTCCCCCGTCAGATATTCCACCAACATCTGTATCTGAGCATCGGAGGGTGAAAGCGAACCTATATCAAGCCCAGAAACCACGCCAATCCACTCGTCACTCGCAGGAGACGTCGTCTGATCTGTGTTTCTGTATAAAAGATGTTTTTTGGTACTTCGCTCAAGCCACATACCGTCAACGTCCATCTCATCTCCTGCAGAATTCGTCCCTTCCGAGGCGGATGGTCGGGGCGCCATTTCCGCGCAGCAGATATCCACCACCTCAAAGTCACCATTGGGTGTTTCCATTCCTAGTGCACCGATGATTACGCCAGTGACTAGTCGGGCGTCTTTCAGGCGATCACCCACTAGTCGAATGCGTCCCGACTCGTCCTCAAGCATGACGTTGTCGTCTGGCGAGTAGAATGTTAAAGGAGGTGGAGGCGGAGGGATCGAGTTCTACAGGGCATGAGCCTAAGAAATTCGACAGGGGCTCCAACGCTCACATCCCGAGCAATATCCTCCATAACGTTTGGCTTGAGCGGCATGTCCATGTACACCGTCCCAACAACATAACAAAGGTGCGATTTGGTCACTTCAAGAACCCGCGGAATCAAGACAGGATTTCCTTTAGACAAAGAGGCATTGGCGAGTGTTAACATATCGGAGAAGTGAACCATACCATTAAGATGTTCCCATAGTTTCTTGGCTCGTTTTTCCACAACCTCTCTTAGAAGTCTTAGCCTCACAAAGTAGATGTTGGAGTACTGATGTTTATAGGACTTCTTCGCTTGGCCGATGATGAATGACGGGGTTTTATCCGATAGAGGAAGAACGACGGTTGATGCGCGGGTTAAGGGAGGTGTTGCTCTGACCAACAGTCATTTGAAAGCCATCAAAGTTCAGCATAACGAAGACTCACAATGGTGCGATGGAAGCCATTAAAGTTGAAGGTATAAGGTTAGGAATGCGTTAATAACTCAAAGGGAACGTTAAACGCGTCCAAGGCGCGTGAAGGCGCGTCTGCGAAACCGAGTGTTTGTGCCAGTGTATTTCGTCGTGCTCCAGAAAACGTTATCCACCCAAATTCTATTCATCGAGTTTAGAATTATTTTTACTGTAGTCTAATCGGGCGCACGGGTGCCTAGGGGACGTAACACATCTCCTCTCCCCGAGATATTCCTGGTCTCTGAGACCAGCGTTTCAGGTTGAGCAGAGTCGAACTTTCCTCTCTCTTCCTCCTACCCCATCCTTCTGAGGTAGCGGTATCTTGCATTCATATTACAACTCTTAGTTGCATCGGATCAAATCCTCATCATTTCATCTCATGTCTACTGGCAATGTCGTTGATGCAACTCCTACTCCTCTTGAAACTCCTATTTCTGGTGGTAACAACGACACTACTCAAGGTGGTAACAACGGTGCGAGTGATCAACAGCATCCAGGAACAACTTCCGGTGAACAAGGTTCTGGTAATCGCCGATCCTTGTCACCGGAATCTGGGCAAAGTCGAGTTCGAACGCTTGGGAATGCCCCAGTTTCTATCGCTGCCCTTGCTGCTTGCAACAAGCCAATCGAAGACTTTCGTGCCTCAAACATCTCAAAAGCCACAGCACTTAGCCGAATCTACACCACACTCACCGACGCATTACCAGCAGACCCGACAGGAGTCGAAGAGGCCTTTGCGCGCTATATCGTCATCCTTGAAAACCACGAACACCACCTTTCCGAAGCCGAACGCCGCGGCAATAGGCAACGTTCAAAATCACCTGTTGAAGAGCAATTTGATGAGGAGGAACTGTCTCGCCCAACGAAACGTGCAAAACCTGATGAGTCTCAATACCCATGGGTTGTCTCAGATTTCATACATTCGGTCACTTTATCCCCTTCCCTCACAGCTTCACTCGACCTCCTCAAACTGTATTCAGTCGACCCTAAGGGCACGAAGCGATCCCTCATCAACTCACCCACATGCCCTGAATTCCCAGACTCCGAATGGACGAACATTCTTGCGGGTCGCGCTGTCAACCTCGACACGGTACTTACAGGTTATTACTCGACATCCAATAACGACGAGCGCATTGAGTCAATCGGTGATCTCGATATCAAATTTGGAACCGTTGCCCCAACCAAAATTGTTTCAAGTGCGGGGGAGTGGACAATCGCTTGGAATAGAGCATCTCGCGCAACGTCAATGGCTTTCCCTCATCGTGCGGGAGAACTGGCCGACTATGCTGAGTACATCATCGCACTTTTTGCAGCAACTGATATCCTGTTCCATGACCGAGTTATTCTTTTCGACAAGGCTGTTCGCCGTCGTGTCGGCAGCCGACGTGATCTCGAGCTCACTCATTTCGACAAATTTGCCGATCTTAGAACCGCACACATGGATTCCATTGGTGCAGCTGTTGTGCAACGCTTACCTATCTCAAAGGTACCCTCGACTTCACGCAAGAAACAGGAGGCATGCAACCGATGGAATGAGGGGCTGTGCTTGCTTGATGGCAGCCAGTGTCGTCGACTCCATGTTTGCAACAAGTGCTCCAAGGGTGGCCACAAAGGACCTGAGTGCCCGTCCTCCCAGTAATTTCATCCCTGATATGTCTCGACCCACCTCTTCCGATGTTACGCATTGTTACCTTTATCTGCAGCCCCCTCGATCACCTACGCTGGGGGTAATTAATAAATGATTTCTATTTCACATGGTTCTCGCCAACCCCAGCGTGAACCATGGACTCTTGATCGTCTAGTTCATGAACGGTCAATTGCATTGGGGATGTCCATCGACAACTCTTCTCACATCACATACACATCAGCCCTGAACTCATATCTCACGTTCTGCAAAATCCACAAGTTCGATATCACACCCACTGAACAAACTCTCAGCTTTTATGCTGTCTACATGTCATCACATATCAAACCCTCTTCCATCAATTCTTATCTATCCGGGATCTGCAATCAGCTTGAACCTTTCTTCCCAGATGTGAGGAAAACCCGCAACTCTATGCTTGTGTCACGTACTATGACAGGATGTCAACGCCGCTTTGGAACTCCTGTAAAACGAAAACGCCCACTGTCAACCACTGATCTGCAAACTGTCATCTCTGCCATAGGGTCTTCCACTTGTCATGATGACAAGCTATTCCTCTCAATGCTAGAGACAGGTTTCCATGGCCTCATGCGTCTTGGAGAGATTACCTTCCCAGACAAAGTTGCACAGCGCAATTATCGGAAAGTTATCCTCCGGCACACTGTTGATATCACCGAGAAATCCTACTCATTTTGGCTGCCTGGCCACAAGGCCGACCGCTTCTATGAAGGAAACTTGATTATCATCGAAAAGACAAACCTCCCAACCGACCCATACTCATTTTTCACCTCATATTTACAATCACGAGACACCCTTCATCCGTTAAAACCTGAACTTTGGTTGCGTGAGTCTGGCAGTGTGCCGACCCGCTCCTGGTTCATGAAACGACTCCGTCGTTTCTTCCCTGCCGATATTGCAGGCCAATCTATGCGTGCTGGAGGTGCCACTTCTCTTGCTGAAGCTGGTGTACCTCCCAACATCATTCAAGCCATTGGACGATGGGCATCGGATACCTTTCAGATCTACATCAGAAAGAATCCTGTTCTTCTCCAAGCTATGTTATTTGGGCACCCTGCCCACCAACCAGCTACGAACATTTGATCTTTTGACTTTTTTCATTTAACATTGGACTATTTTCTCTGACTTGTACTGCCTCAGATTTTTATCCCGGCCTCTTACAAACATCACTCCACTCCACTCCACTCAACTTCTTTCTTCCTTTTTCAAAAGACACTTATATAATCTCCCCCCCTTCCCTTTCCCTCACTCACATTTATAGGTAATAGGACATCGAGGCCGTGAAATACATTTCTCGCGGGTTGCCCTCACATCGAGGCAACCCTGTTTTTGCCTATTATCTTTCATTTCTATTCAAGATTACGGACCTTCTTCCACCCTTGCACGATTAGTCGAGTTTAGAATTATTTTTACTGTAGTCTAATCGGGCGCACGGGTGCCTAGGGGACGTAACACATCTCCTCTCCCCGAGATATTCCTGGTCTCTGAGACCAGCGTTTCAGGTTGAGCAGAGTCGAACTTTCCTCTCTCTTCCTCCTACCCCATCCTTCTGAGGTAGCGGTATCTTGCATTCACCCACCCTCCTGCTCCCTCTTTTCTTCTTCATCTCGTCCGTTTGTAACGTAGAGGATCAGGACATCGAGGCCGTGAAATACATTTCTCGCGGGTTGCCCTCACATCGAGGCAACCCTGTTTTTGCCTATTATCTTTCATTTCTATTCAAGATTACGGACCTTCTTCCACCCTTGCACGATTAGATAGTTAAAATGGCATTGGCAACATTCTTTACAAGTGGAAGTATATTCCAGGGCAATCCCAAGAGTTCTAGAAAGTCGCGATCTATGCATTTACAACTTACACTCAACTTTTTGCATGGCACCGTCCGACATGAACTCCTCCACGCCACTGCATACCCTCTCCCAAAAAGCCTCAACAACGCCCTGTTGGTATGCAGACGCATCCCACCCGAAGATGAGCCACAGTTTCCCACGGAATGTTTGGGTGAACAGGAGCATTCCCCCTGGTTGCTTCCGAGTATGGCCGCCAACATAAGACAAATCAAAGTCTGGATAATCCGCCGCAATATATACATCATCGAGATTGTTCAATTGAGAGAGGCCGATGAGGGCTACTGATGGAGGCTTTTGGGGAACTGCCAGAGCAGGCTTTGCGGACGAGGAAACATGCTGTGGTGGGCGGGAGATTACGCGACTGCTTGTGCTTGTGCTGGATTGCTGAAGGATGTTGTCATCCTCTTTGGCAAAAGTTTTAGCACGAATACCACGCTCCTTGCTCATATGTTGCACACGCAAAGGCAGAAGGGTACTTTGAATGTACTTCGCACATTGTCGCCTGATCAAGCGAGCGCGATGCCAAAAGGTTTCGGCCTCGGAGATTGTGGAGGGCATAAATGAGGGGAGAATGACATTTAGATAAGAGATGGCTAGAAAGAGAAAAGATTCTTGCGGGGGTCGGGGTGCGCAAAATGGCCGAAGGCTAAGGGCCGTGTACATCATCATGGGCAGCGTCTCTGAATTATCTGTGAGACCAAGAGCGCGCATAGTGCTTATCCAGGCAAAATTACAGATCACAAAAAGCGCGTTGGACACCGTCACGCGTTCAGATCTGCATTTCGCGAGGATGGCTGCAGTTTTGGTGGCGTCAAAGGAGGCGTTCATGATGACCGAGCGATGGGTGTCTGATGGCACTTTTGGAAATGTATGACCGCCCTGTGTATGCGGCTCTCAGCTGCGTCATTGAAAGAACCGGGGAAAAACCAACGATGAAGCGACTCTGTCTAGCGGCGAACTCCAATTTTGAGGCGACTTCCAGGAACTTGTTAGATGCTGAGGGGATACGCTGCTCAGCACACCGAGGGATAACATCTACATCTGTCTGAGCAGAAGACCATCTCTTTTGCCATTCGTATTGGAGGAGACCGGCTAACTCTTCGTTATTGTTGACTGAGAGTCCGCGAGCATGCAAACCACCAAGCAAAACGAAGAGAGAGTTACAGATTCCATGTGCTGAATAGCCATCACACACAACGTGTGCGATATACATTAATAGATTATATTCACGAACGAGAGACGTATCGTCGACACGCGCAGCCAGATGGATATAGGAAAGTCTGTCGGTGGAAAGAAATCGAGGGCCATTGAGGTAGTCATCAACAAGGTCGTCGACAGACTTGTCGGTAAGAACATCGAAAGTGTCTTGAGCTTGAAGAACTGCCTGCTGGGGGGTCGACGGAGGAGAATACCTAAACGAAACGGTTTAGCGACGACACATAGGTCACCAGGGAGACATACACGAAACGTGCATCATCGTAGCTTCCTGGAGTCATGTGGATCTGCGAGGCCAGAAGTGGATGCCTCAAACGCAAGATAGCCCACGCCAGCGACAATCTGTGAGGGGTAACGAGGTGCGCGGGGGCACGGAAGGTTACATGTACTGGTGGGCGACATTAACACCGGAAAAATCGTAGAACATATGTATCAGTCAGCCCACCAAACATATCGTTGGCGCCTCTTGCCCTGCTGGGAAGAAAGTAGGAGCTAGTTCGACCTTGGGTTAGATATGTTCGGAGCTGACATTAGGGGCGCGGGCTCACAGCTCATTGTCGCTCAAGGCGCGGGAGCAAGTTGGCATCCCACACGTTTGAACGGGGGACACGTCTGCAAGAGGTTCCATAAGACAGAGGCAACAAAAGAAATCCAGGACCGGTCATCGAACAGAAAATATAACATATATGGAAGATGCATGGTGGGCAATCGCCAAAAATATTTTCCTATCCAAAAATAGTAAATTACTCAAAGTGTTGTGTAACTTTGATGGGAACAAGTTCGTCCTCTTGCTGTTGCCACTATCCTACGGAAGTCACGGCCTTCAGGTAGCTCTAAAGATCTAATGACTTGCCTCAGGCTGGCCCAACGACTATCTCAGAGAAAACCCCCCAAGAAAAATCGCGTCTTCGACAAATCCCGTTCCGCCACCCCCTTGCCCTGGCTATTTCAAACTTCGCGGCGAGGACAACATCAATGTAGATAGATAAAAATACAGGATTTTAAATTCCTCATCTTCTCGACCACCATGGTTCAGCCTCAGGGTGAGCGGCAGCCTTTTCAAGTTGCAGCAGTCATTCTGTTCTATATCGGGGCAGCTCTGGTCGTGAGCGTTTGCGTACCCACTCGTCGCCCTACTCACTAGCCTTTATCATGAAAACTAGATGGTCTTTGTAAACAAAGCCGTACTCAATGCTACACCTACCCTCCCGATGTCTTTCTTGTTCATCCAACTTGTTCTAGCCGTTCTTTTGCTCCACCTGGTCTCTTTCGTTTCCTCCGCTGCCCGACTCCAACGCATTTTGCCTTTTAAAATAAGGCTACCGGTTTTGGATGGTCAAACAGCTATCAAGCTCTTACCATTCGTGACCGTTGGTGTTGCTGGCCTTTCTTTTAACACCCTATGTCTTGCAACTGTCGATGCTTCCTTCTTTCAAGTAGGTGATTCCGAGCCTCAAATACCGAAGTAACCTAATGTAATGACGGCGTCGTTCGCCCTCAGATAGCTCGGGGCCTCCTCCTGCCCATGACTGTTGTCCTGTCATCTGTGGCAACGCGCACACTTCCAAAGACGGCCGTCGTTTCTTCAGTACTTGTCGTCACTCTTGGTTTTTTCCTTGGTCTTCACCCTTCCTCCTACATCACCTCTAGCGTCATTGAAAACCCCCCGCTTTTGCCCATATTATACGGCGTTCTTTCCTCCGTCATGCTCGCTCTTCATGCAGTGCTAACCAAGTCTGCCCACGCCCATGTCGGGAATGATAATTCTGTCATCAAGCTGATGTATTATGGCAACCTCATGTCAGCTGTTTTTATCGTGCCGTTCATTTTTTGGAACGGAGAAGCTGGCCCCTTGATGACACTCTGGAAGGTAGGTGGACACGACTGCAGGGTGTTTGCGATAGGCACCTGTGTTACCGGTTTCTTTGGGTTCTTACTTGGGGTGGCGAACTTGTTATCGATCAAAGTGACAAGCCCGGTAACACATATGTTCTCTTCCGTAAGTTACTAGCTTTCATGAAGGACATTCAATTGAATGCGCTTTCTAGGCGGCGAAGAGCGTTCTGCAATCAATCCTCGGCAGCTATCTATTTGGTGACATTATCACCTCGTAAGAATAGTCCTCCATCGTTTTCATTACTTTTCTGGATTTTGACATTTCGTTGCAAGACACCGTGCCGCTTCGATCGCTGTCATTACTTTTGGAACCCTGCTCTATACTTGGAATCAATCCAACCACCAGCGCTCACGTAGCAAAGATGAAACAAAGCCCCACACCGCACCCAATACAGATCTAGAAGGGGGGAAGGCAACAGATGGATTATAATGTGCGTAGATTGTTGCAGTGCGGTAACAAGTTCGACATAAAATAGTGGTGGGGGGTTCCGAATAACGCTCAGCGTTTCGGTGGGGGTACTCTAGTGGCTTCCCATCCTCCTCGAATAGCAGCCAAAGCCGATACGAAAGAAAGGAAGTTGGTCCAAAACTGATAACCTTGGTTCTTAGTATTCTGATAAATCACAAACGGATCGGCCTCACCTCATTCTTATACAATCCGCCAATCATCGACCTTGTGATGAGAAGATGTCAGGACGCAGCACGATAGACCCTCCAATCATGACATACCAATGAAGGATAACAGGCAGCCGAGAGACATTAGCCACCATCTGGTATGCGATAGCCTGCTTCCGCTTCCGAACGGCCATCGGGTCAGCATCACTCTCTCCACGACTCAAGGCTCGGCCAGTCTTCACCAGTTCCCTCCATTCTCCAATTAAAAGGGCAACTTGTAGAACCACATAGGTCCCCCATGCCCGAACACTCCAGATGGAGGCTTTGAGGGAGTCGTTGGGCGAAACTCCTTTCAGAACAGGGGCCAACGGTGAGGAGAAAAAGGAAATATACTCGAGAGGATAAAATATTAGCATGGATAATCCTTGGAACCGCTCGAGGTTAAGCTTGGTGCGAGACGCAGGTCGCGAACGTTCAAGGGCCGATAAGCCCTTGATAATGGCGAGGATACCTGATGAAGTGTGTTATCTCGTTATTGAATGGGGCGCGACAGATATATAGGACGCGAACCCCAGAATCCAGACACGCGTCGCGCAATGCCCAAGTGAGTTGCGAACTTGGAAAGACCTTCGCTCGAAGGAGACAGGGGCTTTGCGCGCTTTCCAGCGCGAAATTGAATTTCCGCGCGGGCCTGGATCAGGGGTGCAAGGACTTTGACACCATATTGCGCCAGCTACAGCATTATCATATCGAAGGATGAACGCGCGTCCTAGAGAAAGGATGAATGGAATGTACCATTAAGAGTTTACTGCAGGTGTTCGTCAGTGAGAGGAGTGATATGGGGGTAAACTGAGTGACTAACTCGCTTCCAGACCATGTACTGAAGTACCTCACGGCATGGTCAAGACGTTGACAAGGAGGAATAACGGTGCCAAAGAGGCCCAGCAGAAAGTCGTCGATGCCTTCCAAAGGGACTCCAGGCTTTGCGGCCATGGTCGTCGTTCGGGATGAGGTTAGCCGGGCCGTGGTGGATTTAATTTATGCAGGGATCCAGCTACTTACATAATATTATCCTGGTGAAACGATCCGATTCAAGCAAGTTGCAAGAGGCGCCTACTTCTTTCGTAAATAGTCGCTGGGGCTTGACATCTGCATGTAGACGCTGCATCCAGGCAAGTCATCAGAGCGCTTGCCTTCGAATTCCTACAGTTCTTCAAGTGCCCGCTACGTAAGTAGTGGGTCTTAGCCTGCAGCTCTCAAGGGCTCCACCGTGGGAAACGTTATGGTTGTTTGTAGCTATTTCGCACATGTTTGGATTCTGCTTTCATCATCGTCCCAGCCCTCCCACGGTGGAATACTTTACGTCTGCATCGCTTTTGTCATCGTCCAGCCAGAGAAAGGAGACGTCGACGTTGGCGAACCGCGCATCGCAAAAATCACTTTTAAAAAAAGTTCATTTCTTTTTAATCTAATCGCTGGAGCGCGCCCGTAGGCCTGCTACAGTGGTTGCAGCTCTCAAGGGACGTTGGCTGTGAGGAGCGAACCGCACAAGCGGTTTGGCGACGAGCAGCCAACAAAGGATCCCAGAATCACTTTTTAAGAAAAGAAAAAAAAAGAGTTACTTTTTATGTAAACGCCATAGCGGGCTTTGCGCCCGTAGGCGCGCTACGGTGATTATTCGTTGTATACTTTCCAACCCAGAGAGAAGTTAATCTTTCATTTACGAGTTTTGCAGCCACATTTTGGGAGTTCACAAAGTCGATGCATAGTATCCGTAATAACGTGTCCAAGTCACAGATTTAGCAAGAACGAGCGTATGTTCCAGAAGCTTCGCTGCCCTCGCCTGCATCAAAGGTACTTGTCTTATGTTCATGTTTCTTTCTGGCACCATGCATCTGCCCCAACACATTCAAGGCGTGTTCGGAGGAAGCTTTTGAAGCGAGCTCCTCCGTTATCTCAACCTAAGCCAGGTGTCAGTTGCTTCCAGAGTTAGTCAAAATGGCGTCCACTCACGATATCCGCGATAAGTTTATCAAGTAGCTGCCAAAAATCAATCTCAGTAAGAGGCCCCGAAAGCAAAACACAGTTAACTCACCACCTCGGTTACGTTTTCGCGGATTACAACACGAAGAATTTGGACCTGCTGCAAATCTGGAGCCAATTCGTAATTGGGGACGATCCTGAAAGTTGGTTATGTTAACAGCTCAATAACGGCTGTTCTGGACATAAACCCACCATCCTTTAGCCCTCAAGAGAGTTTGAATCCATTTTTGTTCAACTTCAGGATTTTTCTGCTGAAACTCGTCAGAGAAGCGGAAGGCGACAACAGGAAGGCCGGGCTCGTAGGCCTGCTTTCATGTAAGTGAATCAGCGATGTTAGTTCAAAGCGTGCTACAAACCTCAACATCATGTGTGTCGATACCTTTGCCACCAACGGCCCCGACCGAACGATGGACATCGCTCAACACTGTATAGTAGCCAGTGTTTTCCAAAGCACGGCTCAGAAGCCTCGCGTTCTTCAGATCATCAAGGGCAACCTCGCGGTAGCCCTCGAAACCAAGATGCAGGAGGTTGAAGTATTGAGCAATGATAGGTGCTGCAGGTCGAGAAAAATTGAGGGAAAATGAATATTCAACAGAACCCAGATAATGGAGCTCAAAGATTAAATCCTTAGGGAGGTGAGCCTTGTCTCGCCATACAACCCACCCGACGCCCACGTAACTCAGGCCAAACTTGTGACCCCTAAATGACGGTTGTAAGAATGCGTGACGCTTAGGAGGGGGACATTGACTAACGAGGTGTTGATTGATACGACGCGGGGAAGTTTGAAGTCCCACAATAGTTTTGGCTTTTATTACGTCAATGTTGGTCCTTCACGGATACGAAACAATGCAGGCATACGTGGGCAAAGGGGGCAATAAATCCGCCAGACGCGGCGTCGACTGAGGTAAGATCAAATTGAGTAGGCATTCGGAGTTGACGAATTCAGTGGGGAACCCACCGTGAATGGGCACAGAATTTCCTGTTTTGGCTTCATATTCGTCTAAGAGATCCGAAATCTCCTTGACTGGCTCGTAGTGCCCTGTGTAAGTGCCTTGAACGTGTCAGCTTCCACAGCGTTGCCCAACAAGAATGTCACACACTCCCAAGGATGACGAAAACACCAATGGTATTCTCATCCACATACTTGATCGCTTCTTTGGGGTCCAACCTGTATTTACTTTGTACAGATATGGGGACCAGCCTGCACTCAACGTCGAAATATCGAGCAAATTTTTCTAATGCAACCTGAGCGTTTGCACCCATGACAATATTAGGCCTGAAAAGATGGTTCGATAAATTGGGAAACAAGTCAATATGACTAACCCAGGCTCGTGAATACTCTTTCCAGCAGCTTTGCGTTTTGCCTGCCAAATCTTTTTCATGGCAAGGCCTCCGAGTTGGATGGCTTCCGAGGAGCCTGTTGTCGCAGTTCCGATTGCCTGCTTTGATGATGGCGCGTGCCACACGTCTGCAAGAATGGAGATGCCTTGACACACAAAATTAGTGTATCTTGTATTGGGAAGGATCGAAACGTACAACGCGTGTGGATGATCTCTAATGAGGTCATCAGAAAGGGTCATACAAGCTCATTACTGAGAACTCACGCGTAGCGGGGTATTCATCCGTGTCTTCAGACCAGAATTCGATGAGCATTTATTCCCTTTTATCAACGTGCGAGACGAACCAATCAAATTTTTCGTGATATTTTCGTGAACAAGCTTGTCAGCTTGAGGAGGCATCCAGGTATGGACGAAGGACGCCAGATTGAGGACGGTAGATCCATCTGAGGAAATCAGATGGAGATCCCCAAGTTATAATTAAAGATCTAACCAAGGCTAAGTTCGTCGTGAATGATCTGATAGGCGGCGTCCGCAGAAACACCCTACAGAACAATTGTTATTCAGAAGATAGAAGAAGCGGATGATGTTAGGCTGACTTTAGAGGAGATACGATATTTTGGAACAGGATTGGTTCCATAACGAGAGCCATATGAATATGTTGCTTCTTGTGCTTGTTCTGCAGCAAATTCGCCATGAGTTGCGTGTTTGTCCTTGGAGTTGATGAGCAAGGTGTCGTCAATAAGTGGCATATATGCGTACATGAGACTTTTGAATGAGGTGGTCGGCATTGACATGCTAGAGTTGAACGGATGAGGGAGAAGCAGACGTGTGGAGGCAGAACATGTATGTACCTTGGAAAGCGCCATGATTGTTGGGGAATAGAAGGAGATAACATGTCTGACTTTTATAGCTCACTTTGAAGGGATGACCTGGGGATGACGACACAAAACACCACAAGACACATACCTGGCTAAAAATAAAATATCACTTCACACGTCAGGAACCTCGTGCGGCTGGGGCTTAGCGAGAACACCCTTCGTGCTACGAGGCCGCACTCGCAACTGGTATGTGTTCTAGACAAATCACGAACATTGGGAGTGGTTACTGATCAGAACGATGCCGACTTGAAGCTCCGACACAACTGGATGATTTTGCTTTCGACGCAGAACGCCACTTCGTCCATGCCTCGTTTCCGAAAATCCACAAGCATGCGGTTGCCATCATTATATCGACTCCGCAAGTAGGAACATTGCCGTTCTTAAACATTGGACAACAGAGGTCACCCAGCTGTAATGCACGCACGTCGCATCTGTATGAAATGGACGGAGGAGCTTTGCGGATCGAAGCCCTCATCATTGAAAAGCGACAGTGCTCAGCGCTCAGGCTCTACATCATACTATGGCCCTGTCATACAAATTTTGGGTGAATCGTCGTCCTCGATTCTTCGAATTGATCCACATAACGCGCGACTTGCTCGCTTATCCGAACACGAAAGTCTGTCGTATTTGAAACCAAAACAAGCTTAAGCCAATGGAGAGGTCCCCGGGATGATGCACAAAGAAGTCGTCCTGCACCGATGAGCTCTCAAGGCGTTGGTTCTTCCAGTATATCATGGTCAGGCATTCGGTAGGGTTTTACCAACAAATTAGTCTTTTCGGCATTCACATTTTATACAGGAATCAGGAAATTTCGTTGAAGAGGCAAGCACAAAGTGTTTCGCGTTACTAAACGTGACTTCGTCTCACAATGAGAACTCACGAAAGGCTGAGGTTTGATAACGATGCGCTTGTCAAATCGCTAGGTATCCAATATCGTGGTCTTCCCTGGTGTTACTCAACGGTGCTTTATGTAGCGCAAAACCCTCATGAATCAACGCTTGCTGATTTCCAGCGAGTCCTATATTTAGGATCGCAAGAGAACCAGCAAGGGAAAAACTGGGCGTTGCACACGTGGTGAACGATTCCGAAGACGGATGACTACCTCGCCGGTCACGACAGAGCCGCTATGTCGCACCAGCATCACACTCTCCCCCAGCTCTCCGAAGGCGTGTGACTGTCCAGCCTCCTCACGGCGACATGGATGCCAACGCTCAACGGCTCCTGCCCTGGTTCACGGTGTCGGTACCGTCCCAGCCCCCCGTAGTAAGCCGCCTCTCGCCAAACGGACACCTCCACTACTCCGCGAGATCAACCGCCCACCTCGCCGGTCACGACAGAGCCTCTATGTCGCCCCAGCACCACACTCCCCCCGTGCGCACCTCCACCTCCACACCACACCTAACGTACACAGAAAAAGAAACAATATAGTTACCTCGATATTTTATGGCCAGCGATGTTAACCAGGATCCTGTTAGGCGAGTTAGTAACTTCGTTACATTACCTTTAGCAGCTCGCCGTGGCCCAAAACTTGCAAAGCCGGCATGAAGATGTTGGGTGTCGAACCGTCGAAGATGGAGGAGAGGATGCCTAGTGAATGGAGCGGAGCGTGGTTGCAATGGCGGGTTTACAGTTCAGATCGGGTGAAAAGGTTAAAGGAGTCATCTTGAAAGCAACAAGGCCGACGATGACCCCAAGGGCAAAGAATATGAGAACTTAGATTAGCCAGATAACGCCCCAGACTGAACGTAGATGAGTAAGTAATATAATGATAACAAAAAGGAACGAACCTCGCGATGAGCAACATCCGCAAATGTTTGCAAAGGCTGAGGTGTCTGAGGTGTTGACTTTTCGTGCGATGGTATCGCCTGAAGAGGCGACCAGCCAATAGAGAGGCTTTACATCGGAGGTATTATTCGCCGATGACACCCCATAGGCAAGACAAGCACGACATGACACCAATGATGAGAATATTGTACAACGGTTCAGCGTACGCACATCGAAAACATCAACTCACGAAATATCTCGACGCAACGCCTCCGGCTACAAACCAAAAGAGCAGGACCAGGCCTGACGTACCCAAAATTAAAACCCACATTCTACGCCATCGGTATCAGCAACGTCAAGAAAGCAACAGGTATATTCAGTTCCTCCTCGCCCACCAAAGCGTAAAGAGGGAAAAAACAGCCAGCACAATTGACGCAATCTTGCTCGCATTGGTATTGAGTCCTCACGCGATCAAGCATGCGCCGATGAATGAAGATCCTAGGTATCTGGCTGCTGGGACAGTTGACCATGGAATTCCGCCTGACATTGCCGTAGAGCCCAAGGGCCTCCCTTGGCAGAGCCTCCTTCATTCGCTGTTGAGTTTGACACGGGCGCCGAATCTCTGCAACCCAGTACGATCTACTTCTATGAAGTGGATGCGTGCGCAGGTCAGTACGCCTACGAAAGCATGGCTCATCTAAGTGCACAGATTAAAAACTCGTTGCATCAACCAAAGACTCAAGAACTCACTTCATGGAATCCAACTGTAAGAAGTCTACACTCAATTTTCAAGGCGATAGATGTCGCGCATAAATACATCTTTTGTGAAAGTTTGAAGATCCCAAGGCAAGTGGAGGACAAGACAATAGTAATCCGTGTGGAAAACCGCGATCAGGCATCCTTTCGTTTACGGTTTCTCAGCATGCAGGCCACCCTTCCCCGCCTCGTCCGCGTCATTCCCCGCTCGCTCCTCAGTCCAGGGCAAGCCACCATCATTCCCGCCCCCGAACCGCAATACAATGATCTCCACCGACCTACCGTCCTTGACCTCTTACAAAGACAAAGAGACGACTTGATACAGAAGCAAAAGGAGGGTTTTCTGAAAGAAGGGGAGGAATGGCCGAGTAATATCAGGATTGAGGTGCCCGTTGAGAGGAGCGCTTTTAAGGACGTGAGGAAGGAGTTGAGGGGGGAGATCAAGAAGCTTTTCAAGGAGCGGTAACGCGAGGTCAGTGTGGCATTGGGCGTCTCCGCTTTCTAAAATTCACCAGAAGCTATGTAGACACATAAGCAAGCAGACAGCGTAGGAAAACTACGTTGACTGTAAACGGAGGGAAGGCTACTCCAGAACCCCATTACCGGCTCCTTCCAAAAACGCCTGTTGCAGCCACATACTAGAATACAGCCCCTTCTCCTGCATGAGCTCCTTGTGTGTCCCTTGTTCTACTACTTTTCCTTCTTTGAGCACAATGGGGCTAGGAGGTTGAGTAAGTAAGCCGCGCTTGGGTGAGTAAAGGGAGACAATACCAGTGTGGGTCCGGTCAAGGAAGACGTGGGTGTGGATTCAAGAAGGAAGACGCCCACAGAGAGGCAAGAATACTCCAGGCGCTTGGGGAGGAAGACAAGGGTACTCACCTGCTTCAACAACCGTCCTCAACCGATGCGCAATGAATATATTCCTCCTCACCTTGTCCAACAATGTATTGTTGGCGACGTTCCGGATGGCCGCCTGGCCCACTTTCGCGAATACTGCGTTGGGGAGCTCGGGGGAGAGCGTAGATCCGATGCGGGCAGCTCCGTCTATATGTTTCGTGTGAGGATATGAGGTGGATGAGAAGAACTTGAAACAACCTGTACATTCATGCACGGGACACCTCAGTCCAAGCGCAACGCATGGAAGGTGAACGAGCAGACCTTTGCGGTTATGAGTAAACCGAATTCAATTAGCACCGTCGATCGAGACTTCTAGTCGTCCTTTGGCCAGACATTCACAATGAGCCGTTTGGAATACCAAAATCAGTTTTCCTTTGTTCTGCTTGTGTTGGATTTTAGGCGGTGGCGGTGGTGGGTGTTTAGCTAATATATCAGGCTTTCCTTGTCGTGCGCTTTGTCCGAAGGCGCGCCCTAGACAAGGAAGGAGTTGAGCGCGCCGATAGTAAGACGCGGTTTCTGGTGGAAGTTGTGGTCACGCGGTCACGACCAAGTCACGCCCTTTCATTCGACTATGGGAGGACCCAATCTCGAGGTTTTCAAATTTAGTCTCTACCTCTTTGTTCCCATTGCAGCACTCGTTCATTTCGGGGACCCAGAATGGTATAGGCGTCACGTCGTTCCGGTACGTCCTCGCCCACCGTCATTGGATCGTTTCTATATGCCTTGAATCTTTCAGTATCGGGATAAGCTCTTCCCCTCTCTTGATAGAACCATACAGGTGATGACTTTCCTGTCTCACACACTTTTCCGTTCAACTCAAACATGTGCGAAGCAAATACCAACGGACCAGAGCGGCGTACGAGAGGAACTCGCCAGGATCAAATCAGAGAGGTTGGCAAAACGCGCGGCGCGAGAGGCAGAAGAGGCCGAAGCTAAGGCAAGAGAATGAAGCTGTTACCATCGTACGCAGCAAATCGTTGTCTTATCCTCCAGCCACTTTAACGGTAATGTCGGCCAGCATGACGCATTTATGCGATGTATGAATATCCAGTACTCTATCTAACCAATTTTTCCGGATGGTCACCTCTCCAAGCTGAACGACTCCCAGTCGTTCCCTAGAATTGTCCAAGCTTCTCTACTCACGTCTTCTTCCATTATTTTTTGATATTCGGCCACGTCAGTCAAGGACACCTTGAAACCCCCGCAAACAACGAATACCGCCACACGCTTGATGCCTTCGCCTGCGTCCGAAAGAGGCACTAATTTGTCGAACAAGGGTTTATGATACGCGGGGACAAGCGTCGTGGAGCATGCCAGTTCGACAAGGAATTTATGATCATCTGGCTTTTGTTCAAATGGTGTCCCAATCACATCACCAAGGACTCACTTGCAAATAATGCCAGGGTACTCATGCTGAGTTCATCTGGCACACTGATTGATTTGATTCCCCCAGTTCTTTCTAATGCCATCTTCATCACGCCTACCGACGGCTGCGAAGCTCCCAGTGAGCTCGACGCCTTCGAAGAGAAGCTGTTAAAGTGGGCCAGATACAGGTCGTTTTCCTCATCATGAATAACATCTACTCCAGGGGGCAACTTTTTCTCGCCGACATGGCCTGGTGTACGGTTGAGAGAAAGAGAGTGGTGAAAACAATCCGAGCCTATTGTTTCCAATCCAATAATAGGCACTAATTGCGGATATGTGAGGCAGGCAAGAATGATGATTTTATTTCTCTCGCTTACCATCATCCCAATTCTCGTTCTTGCAGCCGACGATGATCCCTCCCAGAAGGCCTCCACCCCCGACACTGCAGAAGATAGCGTCGGGTTTTACCCCCAGCTCGTTCTTGATCTCCGTAATCATGGAGCTATGTCCTTCCCATAGTAGGGGTTCATCGTATGCGGGAACAAGGATCCTGAAACGAAGATATTAGGCCGATTTATTCAATAACTTACCTTCAACAATCACCCACGCGTTGTCATCATCCCGCACAAGTTTCTGTGCCAATTGCAAAGCCTCTGCGTAGTGCTTCCCAGCTACGATAACGTGTGCTTTCTCTCGCTGCAAAAAATCTAGGGTGCTTTCGGCCACGCCTTCGGGAAGGACCACACTGCACTTAACGTCCAGCGTGTGTGCAGCGCACGCCGCAGCTAGTCCGGCATTTCCACCAGAAGCTATAATCAGGTGGATAGATGGGCCATGATTCTCTTTTGCCTTCTTGATAAAGTGAGAGATTCCACGATATTTGAACGAATATGAAGGCTGCAGATTCTACATTTTGACGGTACTTGAGATATGTCAGGAGCATTGACGAAGATGGGTCACCTCAAGTTTGAGGTAGATAGATGCCCCTGTGATTTCTGATAGTTTCGGAGAGTATATGAGTGGGGTTTTCTGCCAGAGGTTCGGTGACGCTGTAGCCATCCAGGTTGCTTGCTAGCTCAACGCTGTGGGCTGTAAAGTCTTTTTCCAGATAACCACGCCCGATCGTCTCCGATCGTGTTGTGATTGCCTCGTAAGTAAGGCCGGGTGGAATCAACCCGTTTTGGCATTCCAATCACATTGGTTATCTAACGTTAACCATTACACTTGCTGACTTACCACTTCCCCAAATCGTCAATGCCTCCCAACTCAAGTAAGCGCACCAAAAAAACGAAGACAGCGGCGGATTATGGTGGTTTGGATCCCAAAGTGATGACGGTAGCCATCCCCTCAATTCTTCGCATTGGCCGGTCTAGATCACACATGAAGCGTTTTTTAGTCAATTGCGAACAAGATCCCAAAAAATCCTGTTACAGGACGCGTCGATCTGGATGATATCGTCAAGTATGCGGTCGTTGAGCTTGAATGAGTACCTCGCTAATCCGTTGGCAGGTTTATGACTCAGAACCCATCGGAAATGGACGCTCTTATGGGGCAGATGGCGGCTACGGATATAAACAAAACTGATGTGGATCTATCCACCTATGATTTTGCGTCTTTGGCGCCCACGATCGAACATGAATCCTTCTGGGTTGTACAATTGGAAACGATGGGAATGGTGGACGCAGCGGGAAGAGCTGTCGATCCTTCTGAAGGCCACGGCTCGGCGGGTCTTCGTCCAACTTTCATGATATATATTTATGAAACCAGCGGCAAGCATCGGGTTATGCATGAAACTACTGGACTTCCGGACTCAAAGACGGTTCTGCAGTATGCACACCCTGTTCACTCGTCGCACTTACCCGTTTATTAAATCATGTGTCCAGGGCTATCCGACTTGCAATTGCTAAACCGATACCACCCCTGAAGCCATGCCTCCCGCGGTTTCTTTTAATTTCTATCAGATTGCAGCAGCACCTTCCTACGTTGAAACCATTCTTGGACTCTCTCCCTGCCCCATTCCATTGGCGCGTTGAAACTCGCGAAGAAGCCGAAGGGTTATCAGAAAGAATCCATCAACTCAACGTGAAGGGCGTAGTTGCTAGCATGGAACTCGCAGAGAAAGCCAAGTCGGTTGGAAATGAAGCGTTTTCGCGCAAGGAGAGAGCTGCTGCTATCAAGGCGTATACTGAAGCTATCGGACATCTTATCGATGTGCTTAGTATGAAGCCAGATCTTGACGAAGAAGCAAAGGCCAAAAATTTGCTGGCTGTCTGCTATTCTAATCGAGCGGCGACTTACCTGATCCCTGGAGCTGGGCAGGATGTTGAGCGAGCTCTTTTGAATGGCAAGAAGGCTGAAATGGCTGATCCTTCGTATGCCAAAGGGTGAGCGATATATTATGTTCAGCTGATATGTTTTTGACTTTCTTTTATAGATACATTCGACAGGCAACGGCGAGTGAGGCATTAGGGAAATTGGACGATGCGCAGGATGCCATAGCAAGAGCGTTGCGACGCCCTGATTTGGAAAATGATAAGAACCTGGTAGATCGCCTCATTGATCTTCTGACAGGGGGCAAAGGGATGTCCAACGATGAGGGCACTTTCAAGAATTGGATGCTGGATGTTTTGATAAATGACAGGAGGAGCAGTGAGAGGCTGAGCGGAATCGACGGAGAATGGAGGCGGAGATGTGATGAACAGTTTGCTCGATGGAAACGTTGAGATGGCGCCATGGGTTCTTGTGCTTTCCATTCATGCTTTGCATCCGGGGGCGGCATTTGCTCTTTCAAAGATCCCAAGTAGATCTATATGCGTTTACATCCTGATTGATTATTGCGACGAAAGATCATTCTATGAGAGGTTGTGTTGTGTTGACCGCCACATCGGGTTTACAGAGAGTTTCATAAAAACTTCACTCTAACGTCTACGGAACCTGGGAATGTTATTGCGAGTGATGAGCACTTCAAGTAGTTCAGATGATCACTTGGTTTGACCTCTTTCCTCGAGATGAGAGCTACAACAAGTCATTTTGGGGTGAACCCTGCAACGGATAGGCGCGGACATTACATCCTCACGTTTTACCCTGGTTCGTCATGGTTCACCAATATATTGTTGACACGCCTCCGGCGTAGCACCATGCTACATTATTGACGGATCAGTTGTTAGCACTAGCCCAAAACTAGCCCAAGCGCTAAAAAAAATTCTTGGCGTCGGTTTAGTGATCCGTGTGTGCAGTTCGGAAAGGGTGAGCCTGACGAAAATTCAAATATTGTGTTTGGGAGATGCACTGAGATGCACTTCAGAGCACATCTGGAGCGGGCTGAGTTCTGCTGAGTTCTATTGATAGACTGCGGCTCCGAAATTGCCTGCACGTGGAATTCCCAAATGGGGATGAATATTCCCCAGTCTGTATTCCGCGCGGTATGAATGCGATAAGAAACGATTATGCGTGAACACCCTCACTAATGCAGGTTAATGATTACCACTGTAGCTTGCTAGAAACTTTTAGGTGTGGTGGTTATTGGACGAAATGGTTTTGAACATCACCGACGGTGATTGGCGGCTGGCCCGGAGGATGCGCAGCAGTGATCGGGAACTGATCACGTGGCAATGATCGAGTGCTGCGGAGAGCAACATTCTACGGTACTCATCGTGAACTCAGCTCAAACTCAGCCATCATCGCAGAGCTGCGCACACAACGCACAGTTCCTCGCAGCCCTTTTCTTTTTCGCAAATTTTTCTCTTTCTTTTCTTCACCACCATGCACGACTCTCTCGAATCTCAATCAAAACCATCGAGAAAGGGCAAGGAGCGAGATTCTACTCATCGGGATCTCCCCCAGCGAGAACTCCAGCCCACCGACCTTGACGAGAAATTAACTGCTTTGCGTCGAAGAACGGCCGCGTACATCCTTTTCCATTTTTCTCTTCCTCATAACTGACTACCAATTCATTCTAGTGCTGTCCGGGTACGAGACAGATCAGACCGTGAGCGGATGCAACCCACCCAACCTTCGGTGCCATCGTCATCTACAATTTCTAAATCAGAACGTTCTCCAAAGCCCCCCGCGCCCTCTGCGTCTCGACATTCCCCTTCGTTATCTCGCCGACACCCGTCCCCTCATGTCGTCGTTTCTCGCCCATCTGTAGACGCTGACCACGAAGATTTCTCACGACGGCTTAAAATATCTTCTTCGCCATCCCCTCGTCCCCCTCCGCATAAGTCAATTGCCTCATCCAAGCTTTATAACCCTGGCACCGACCCTATTCCGGTGCGCCGCACAGTCGAGCCAGATGCGATGTCGGACGACACCGGAAGTTCGTACGCACCTCGGGGCGCTACGTCTCACACCCATCGCGATGATCGTAGCAATGCTGCTCGTCAGCTATTCGATCACCGAAAAGATGATCCTGTCCGCTTTTCTGTGCTTGCGCGACCACAACCTGGTCGACCTTCGCCGACCCCAAAATCCTCAGGGGATTATGTATCGGCATCTTCCACATCTTCATATGCGGCGTCAATATCTTCTTCGACGTTCACACTCTCCTCTACTACCGATGGATCGTCTGCATCGTCAGCTCTGTTCGATGGACGCCCAGGACAAGGGACTGAAGACTCTGGTAATAACGTCTTTTCTGTCCAGCTGAAGAAGTTGTATCGAAATATTTCAAGCTTGGAAAACAAGATCAAGCAAGAAGATTCCATGGAGGAAACCGACGACTTGCAGACCAGCAGGGTACTATTAAAAGGTAAAGAAGCTGAAAGTGAAGATTTGGAGAAGGAAAAGTGGAAGAAACAAATTGAAGATCACAAACAGTGGGTTCTCGAGTCTTTGATCTTGCCAACTCACTAATATTTTTTTAGACTTGCGGAAATAATTCACAATCTCCTTGAAATTTCTCTCGCACCCTCCGTTCCGGCATCCCTACGGAATATCCCGACCAAGTATAATATGATCGTTCGTCTCTGGACATACGCTTTCCACAAACTCCTCGAATCTCTCCGACGTGCATCTTTTACGTCACCACTAGCCCTCGAACATCTGCAGGATTTTATTTACTATGCGTATACGTTTTACACCGGCCTTCTCGAGGAACACACCTTAAATTCCTTCAAATCGGGATGGCTGGAAGCTCTCGGTGATCTTGCACGCTACAGAATGGCCGTTGCAGCCATGGTCAATGGCGGTGTCAGTGGGCAGGGTGGTCTAACTGCAAAAGCAGTATCTGAAGCCGCTGCTGCGGAGTCGACACAAAGTAGCACCATCAACGGCAATACGTCTGCAGTACCTGTTGCAAAGTCCGTCAGTGATGCACCCGCTGCTCGGATAGACGATAGCCCGTCCCCTAGCGTCGGAATTGCTGCTGCGCGTTTACTGGACGTTGAGCCTGAGAAGGAACGGTGGCGCAACATTGCCAGAGATTGGTATGGAGCTGGCCTTTCAGAACAGCCAGGGACAGGCAAATTGCATCATCATTTGGGTCTTTTGTCAAGAGAGGTAGAAAGTGAAGAGTTGAGAGGCGTGTACCATTTCGTCAAAAGGTTTGTTTCAATTTCAGGACCGGGTTGACAGGAACTAATTCATTTGCTTTGTTCTTAGTCTGACAACTCTTCACCCATTTACCACCTCCCGCGAATCTATTCTTCCCCTCTGGTCACTTGCATCACAATGTCGACGATCCCTTCCCGACGCTCGCGCCCCCGAATTATTTGTCCTTCTTCATGGCATGCTTTTCACGAATATCCAGCTTGATGACTTTCAGCCTACTCTTGCTCGCTTTATTGAGAGGCTGGAAATCGAAGGAGTTGAAGAGCGTGAATGGATCATGATGGGTGTTATCAACATTTCTTCAATCTTGGAATACGGTCGTCCTAGTGGCATCCTGCGAAAAGTAGGCGCTGTTGGTCCGAAAGAAGCTGGTGGTCCTCAAGCAGCGGCTATGCGCGTTATGGCAAAGAAGGCTGCTGCCGGGGTCCCTGGTTCAGTACCCCTTGACGGCGTGGACGAGGAAAAGATGGACGTGGATGACGATTTGCAGGGAACCGACCCATCCATGAAGTCGCAAGACCCTACTGCTCCTGAGCACCCTCCTGCATTCAAATTTGCTCTTCAACTCACCTTCTCCATGCTAGCATATGCGCTGCGGCATCCAACACGCAAGGCCTCGCAATTCGCTCGATCAAATCTCAATCCCTATCTGACGATCCTTCTAACGTTCCTTTCCACCATTCTGAAGCACGCCCCAACACTAGAGGTGCTGGAGAAGGCCATTCCTTGGGACGAGCTTGCCGAGTTCTTCACTACCATTCCACGGAAGGTTATGACCGCTCAAGGCTTGTTGACCCAGGGCAAAAGTCAGGGTACCACAACAGAGCGTTGGGTGATGCTCACAAGCGGCTGCGCACCGCCTTTGTCGGAAGACTGGTGCCTGCGTGGGATGGAGTGGGTCGGACGAAAAGTTTACGAGCGTGGGTTTTGGAAGAGCGGTGAAGAGCGAAAGGCCGAGATCGAGGTTCTAGAAGAGTGCGAAGGCCAAGAACTGACGGATGGCCGCATCGAGGATGATGATGGCGATGATGGCGATAACAAGGCCTCGTCATCCGGTGGAAGGGACATATTCAGGCGATGGGTTCGCATCGCGCGATGCGCTGTGGGTGTTGCAGGCGCCGTCGACGGGTTCGTTTGGAACGAAGGCACCAGGGAATGGAGCGTGCAAGGGAAACTTGCCGAGAAAGTCAAGCGATGGAAAGAAGAGGATGAAATTGAGAGGGAAGCCGACGAGAGAAGAAGAATGGGTAGGAGATGGGCAGATGATCCCATGGATATCGATGAGACTGCCGACGACAGCCTGTCTGAGGAGAGCGACAACGAAGGTGACTCCGAGGAGATCAAAGCTCTAAAGGTTGCACTAGTCCCGTATTACACCATATTTTTTATCTTACATTTTATCGCAGGAACGCCGTCGATACCTCAAACAACTCCTACAATCTGCCCAGCGTGGTTCTCCGTCGTCATATCCCGACCGCCCACGAACGCGTGCACCTAGGAAAGAAGTCGACAAACGAGCCGCTCTGCACATTGTTCCAGGATATACTATCCTCGTCGTCGACACCAATATCCTCCTTTCGTCACTTTCCATGGTCTTGTCACTCATCGAAAGCATGCGTTGGACTGTTGTTATCCCCCTGCCTGTAATCATGGAACTTGATGGACTTTCATCCAATGCTTCAGCCCAGCTCGGGGATGCTGCCCAAGCCGCCATGGCGTATATTTCAAGTCACGTTCGCTCGCACACGCTCTCCCTCAAAGTCCAAACCTCGAAAGGGAATTACCTTAGCACTTTGAACATCAGGACAGAAGAGGTCGACTTCGCTGTCAATGGCAATAATGCAGACAGAACTATGGACGATCTGATTCTCAAGGCTGCAATTTGGCAGGATGAACATTGGGTGGATAGATCCTCGATGCTGAACGCAGACCCTGTTACCCCCAAGGATCTGCAGCATGCAGTGAAGGTTGTCCTACTCAGTCTCGACCGAAATTGTATGACCTATCTTCGAATCCTTGTGAGACCTTCGGCGCTGACTTTTTTTTTTTTTTTTTTTTTTTTTTTTTCAGTACGCTTGAAAGCCCGTTCGAGACAACTTCCTGCTGCCAGCGAAAAAGATCTCGCTTCTCTCCTCGCCATGGCCACATGAAGTCGACGTAGGGTCGCCAGCATCAACCCCACATCCGAATCGCCCCTCGCTTACGTCACAAGGGTGGAGCTAGGGTCGACCGTTTTTACGATATCACTACGAGGCACCTGGGTATCTGTTCAACAACTAATCGACCGATGTGCTGTGCGAGCACAAACCGTTGCATCATCCACTACCTTCCCTCCCAATGGATCTCGATGTCTTCGGGACTCCGCCTCGAGAATGCGGGACGCGTATCCTCGACACTTCTACCCCCTGGTTGGAAATGTATCTAGTTAACTTATCTAAAGCACTTCATTCATTCTCCATACCCCTCAACATCTAGTTATACCTTTTCTTTGGCCAGTCTCCTTGTGTATGATGTTGTACCACTATCATTTTATGTAACCTACAGAATTAAATACAACACAACAAATCTACACTTTGTATGCGTGCAATAATGATATGAATACTATAAAAGCCGTTTTCAAGGACTGGCTTTTCCGTGAATGATTTCCACCTTTTCCAAGTCCATTTCGCCATCGTCACCCTCGTCTTCTCCCACCTCAAAGAGGCGCGAAGACGAGTTTTCAGAGAGAGCAATATAGTTGGCGTCACCGCTGGCAATGCCAGAACGTTCCTGGCGGAATTGGCGCTGGAGCAAGGAAAGGCCTGACAGATATGCTAAAGGTAGAACCTGGCAGCCACATCCCAAATTAAGCGGAATGGAAAAGGGGGGGTCTAGTCGAGGAAAAGCTTACCACGATCCACAGCACCCAAAGCTTGCGACACCAGCTCGCCAATACGGGTCTCCCGGTCGTCACCTCCCACGCATCTAGGCCACTCCTGATCTAAGGACGGAAAAAGAAAAGTTGATTCTCAGCATAACGAGCGGGTTGCTGAATGCTTACCTGAAAAAATGCAAGTGCTACTACCGCCAGCCCAAGAACAACATGGGCGATATTCAGAGGTGGGTGAGGTTTGAGTGGAACAGTCGCTTTTTCCCTGCGTCTGTGAATGTACCTCCCTAAGAAAATTTGGGCGTAGTAAAGGCCGACGAGCACAACGCCGCAGATCTAAAAATGGCATACTGAGCAACTTCTCAGTAAATAGGACAGATGGTTACCTCGTGCGCATTAGAGAAGTGGTCTGATTCGTGTTGTATCACCGCCATAAGGCCCAATACACAACCAAGGGTGATCACAGGAAGCGCTAGGAACAGGTTAGAGAACTGGTGAGCTTTGAACCATACGGGCGTGAATGTCCGTCCCCATCGACCGATCAATGACCCCGCAGGCAACAGAACCAAAAATCCGAACGACATGAAGAAGGCGTGGACGATCAGCTCTTTCTCTCGTTTTGTGTATGGGCCAAAGGGCAATATTATTATTGTGTCGTGTTCACCTGAGGATGGACGAGGCTTGTCGTTCCCTTGAGTTGGACTCGGGGAAGAATCCTGGGTTGGAGAAGGAATCGGTTTCGCTTGAGTGGGAGAAGAAACCTCGTCGGAGGGTAGCTCCTTGCTAAGATCGAGGGTAAAGTGACCATTGGCGCGGTGAAATTCTATATGCGAGGAAGGGTCGGACGACTTTGGACGTGTCGGAGAATACGCCCAAATAAGACGTTCTACCCCGGCACCGGTCATCTTGTTGAGTGGAATTTGGAAAGCGAGGGTAGAAGAATTGGTGGGGTGCCACTGTAGAGAAGAGGTCGTACAGTTAATATAAGCCAGAAGCGCCGATGACGAACGAACGGATGTTATCTTTGGGTTGACAATGCTCGCAACGCCCTCCAGAGGGACTTCAACTGGGGCCGGCTCACGATATCCAGCTGCATAACGTTGCGACAGTATAGTTGTGTCGTCGTCGCTTTTCCACATGATGACCATATGCGTGTGTGCCATGCTCTTCCCGAAACCACTCGACCCAACCTTAGACGATGACCTGGAGAATATCTCAAAAACTCTCACATGGCCATCCAACCCAAAATAGGAGGGTCGCGTATCAAGGTCATTTCATCTAGAAGAACGTGAGATACTCTAGTATCTTATTGATTTTTTGTCGAGAAACTTACAAGTGACAATATCATTGCTGACGGTGGCATTCACGCAGATAGCCCGACTACACTTCGAGTCACCTTTCAGCGCGATAGCTGACTGTAGCCAGAGGAGAAAGACCAGAAACGACCGTAGCACGTTCATGGTGGAGTACGTGGAGAAGGTTCAGAAGCATGAGAAGCAAAGTGACGGACAACAAGACGCGTGTGAGAACGAGGGTCGGGTACAAACTCTAAATTGGCCACTAAGTAAAATACATGACTTTCTTCTTCTTATCAATGGAGCAATCACTCAAAGATCCAGGATTCAAGAGCGCTGGTGTATTGAACAACGCCTTCGGGGAACCAGCTATCAAACCAGAAATCAGCGAATGCTAGATATTGATAGGTAATGTACGCACAGCTTGATCTCCTTCTCAGCACTCTCAACAGAGTCTGAGCCGTGGCAGATGTTGCGTCCAACAGCAAGGCAGTAGTCACCACGGATGGATCCTAGAACGATTTTTGATCAAGACGCGTCGAGTGGACTGAGATCGCGTCGCGCTGCTTACCGATGGGAGAAGCGAGGGGGTTGGTGGCACCGAGCATGACGCGGCCAGTCTTGACGGCATCAAGACCCTGCCAGACCATACCGACAACGGGGCCCGAGGCCATGTATTTGATGAGGCCGGGGAAGAAAGCCTTGCCCTTGAGGTCGGCATAATCTTCAAAAAAAAAGATAGATTAGATAACGATAAATGCGACGGCAAGATCTGGTGACGCCTACGGTTTTCAAGATGCTCCTCGGTGGCCTGGACAAGCTTAAGCGCGATCAGCTTGTATCCACGCTCCTCGAACCTCGCGATGATCTTCCCGACGAGTCCACGTTGGACACCATCGGGCTGATTGCGGAGTGCTCAGTAACTGTCGGATAGCAGAAAAAGCGCAAAACAAACCTTGACCATGATGTAGGTACGTTCTGTAACGGACATGTTGTTGAGTGGATGTGAAGAAGATGGGGGAGCTGGATGGAGATGATTTTATGTCGATCGTATTTTATAACCCATCGACAATCTCGATCTCTGCCACTTTTCAACAAATACAAACATAACTCCGGAAACCTCCGTCCCACGCCTCCCGGGCCCTCTTTCACTTTTATTTAATCTTCAGCCAGTTCTAAGCCATGTTATTCGGTCCTCTCAGCACATCCCTGGCACCCCAGGTGAAGTCATCGCGCACTCTGCTCAAATGGATCACTCCCATTGCAAACTGGTATGCGAACGCATCTGGTTACAGAAAATACGGCTTCAAATATGACGACCTACGTCCGTTCTTTTCTCGCGTCCTTCGACTGTCCTGCTCATCTACGTATCACATGCAGTTTGTGAAGAAAACCCTGAAGTACAAAGAGTACGCCCACCTGCGCGTTTATCACCTTCAAAGCAGCTGTAACTCTCATTTTCGTAGGCTCTGTCCCGTTTGACACCCCGTGAAGCGTACGATCGCGCCTACCGCTTGAAACGAGCCTCACAAGCTAGCATCCTCCACGCACCCCTATCCAAAGAGCAATGGATGCAGCCCTCAGAGGTCCGCAATATACCAATCATATTGTGGCTAACAACTTACACGCCCCATAGGATATCCGGTACTTGAAGCCACATGTCGTTGAGGTCATGAAGGAGGAGGCTGAGAGGAAGATGTGGGACACCGTCGCGGTAGAAAGGAAGTAGCTCCTCCAATTAGATTTCGTCGCCACCCTTCCGAAGCATCGTTCGGCTTTCCTATAAAATGGACATGGAATACCTTTGAACATCTCTCTCAATTTGCTCGTCTATGAGCATGAAATGGTCAAGTGTCTATTCCAATGGTGGTAACCTTCCTCTTGTACATTCTAAAGTTTATCTGCTTCGAGGTATAATTCTTCTTCTTCACTTTCAATTTTTCTAGACAGCAACAGAGTTCAAAGTTCACAAGTGAATGGCCTTGACCAACGGGGAGACCACCGATTTGCCCTTGTAGAAGTCGACGACCTGCTTTCCGACCTTGGCGATATCTAGGGCAAAGTTATATCTCGTTCTAAAACAATGGATTTGAATCGAGACGTACTTGAACCAGTGATACCGAATTTCTCGTAAACCTTGAGATATGGTCCAGAAGCACCCCAAGCAGGCAGGCCGTATTGCTAGGAAAGAACAAAAATCAGCATCATGTGGAACTCAAGATGGGAAAATAGTTGACCTCGTGGCTATACTTCTGCCATCCAGCAGTCGAGAGGGCTTCCAGAGAAAGGATAGGTGCACCACTCCTGAGAACGCTCAGCCTGTACTCCTCATCCTGTTGGTCAAACGTCAGCCAGCAAGGCAGACTGACAACACGGGTTTTGATGCCCTCAGCCTTGAGTTTGTTGGCAGCCTCAACAGCGATGCTGACTTCGCTACCAGAACTGACGATAGTCAGGTCTTCGTTATCCTCCTCGTGGAGAACGTAACCACCCCGAGCAGCCTTCTCAACGGTGGACCCTTCCAGGTTGGGGAGGTTCTGACGTGAAAGAGAAAGGATGGAGGGGGTCTTGTTTGACTTGAGAGCAACAAGGTAAGCGGCAGAAGTCTCGTTGCCGTCAGCTGGGCGCCAGAATGCAACGTTTGGCGTGGCACGGAGTGCGATGGCGGTCTCGACGGGCTGATGTGTTGGGCCATCCTCGCCCAAACCAATGGAATCGTGAGTGGCTGTAACAAGAAAGATATGATCAGACATCAATCAGCACAATAAAATCGGTTTACCCACCAACCCAGATTACCTGGTGGTTGCTCAGTGCAGACAACCTCACTGCGCCCGAAGCGTAAGATACAAAGTTCTGTTCTCATACTTAGCATTAGAAGAAACGAAGCGACTTGATACGTACCAAGAAGGTCGCCACGTAGGGAATAATTCCACCGTAGGCAGCAAGACCGTTGGCGATGGCACCCATAGCGTGTTCACGTACACCATACCTGATGTAAGTGCCAGCGTATGTGCCGAGACCGGTGCTGGGGGGCTGGAAGTCGACTGAACCCTTGACTTTCGTCAGGTTGCTGCCAGTCAAGTCGGCGGAACCACCGAGAAGGTCGGGGATGACGGGGGCGAGCTTAGTGAGAGCGATCTCAGACAGCTTGCGGGAGGCAACGGCGGCGTCTGTGGGCTTGTAGATCGGCAACGCTTTCTCCCAGCCCGCTGGGAGCTCGCCGGAAATTCGTCGAGTGAGTTCCGCGTGCTCATTGGGGTATTTCTGCCCATATGAAGCGAGCAGTGAGTTCCATTCCGTTTCCAAGGCAGCTCCGCGCTTCCCGAATTCAGCGTAGTAATCGTAAGCAGCTTGAGGGACTTGGAAAGACTGATCTGGAGCGAAACCGAATTTGGTCTTCAAGGATACAATGTCGTCGGCCTTGAGGGCTAGGATAGTGTCAGACAAATTCTTCGCAGCTAATATATAGATACATACGAGATCCGTGCACACCGTGGGTGCCTTCTTCCCTTGATCCGAAGCCAATGGTCGTCCTCAGGCGAATTATGGTAGGCTTGCCCTTCTCCTTGCGGGCCTCGGCAATGGCAGAGTAGATCGAAGCAAGGTCGCTGAGTCGTGGTAAGCAACAGCATTTTTTGTTCTAGATGATTAGGGCTCACGAATCGCCATTGTCGACGTGAAGTACTTGCCAACCGTAGGCAAGGAAGCGTTGTTCCACGTTCTCAGTGAAGGCGACGGCGGTGTCTCCGTCAATGGAGATATCTATAGGGTAACGTCAGTTTCATGTGCACGTTGTATGAAAGTTGCGCACGGTTGTCATCGTAAACCACAATGAGATTCCCGAGTTGAAGATGACCAGCTAGACTGGCTGCTTCGCTTGCTACACCTTCCATAAGACACCCATCTCCGGTGAAAACTATATAAGGAAAGTTAACGTCCGCAATTCAAGTGATTGGTGGGCTGAGCGCACCATAGGTAAAGTTGTTGATGAGATCGAAGCCATCCTTGTTGTAGACAGCCCCAAGATGAGCCTGAGCAATGGCCAATCCAACACCGTTAGCAAAACCTTGGCCGAGAGGACCAGTGGTAACTTCAATGCCTATAACGGGGTCAGTACAGCGAATTTGCCAAGTAAAAAAAGAAAAGGACTTTCCATCAGTGTGGCCAGCCTCGGGGTGACCAGGAGTTTTGGAACCAAGTTGGCGGAACGCCTTGAGGTCATCTATCGAGAGCTGGTAGCCCAACAAATGCAGTAGGACATATTGAAGGGCGCATCTAGATTTCAATTTCAACACGGACTCATTCTGACAAAAGCAATCGTCACTCACGCGTGTCTATGGATGAAATCATCAATTGATGCGGTACGCAAACTCAAAAAATTGTACGCACCCGTTAGATAAAACAAATCGATCGCGGTTGAACCACTTTGAGTTCTTGGGGTTGGCGTTGATGAATCTGGGCGATCAATGAGATCTGTCTCAAATAAAGATCTCAAGGATAGATGTACCGCGAAAAAAGGACGTGGGCGACGGGGGCCATACCCAGCGGGGCGCCTGATGGCCATTGAGCAAAATTAGCGATAGCGATATGAGCATATATGCGGACCTGGGTGTCCTGAGTTTGCCTTTGCGACGGCATCGACTGCGAGAGTCCTTATGGTGGCAATGGCGACGTCGTCAGCCTTATTGGGGGCGAAAGAGGACATGCTTTGTGATAGGGAGGGGAGGGGTAAAAGGTGGGTGATCTCCGAAGGGTATGAATGAGCTTATATCTAATCTTCCTAATCCCCATCAGCCCTGCAACAATAATTTCCCGAACGGGCCCAACATCCGGTCTTGCACTCCTGTTCCGACCTCTGAACTTTTTTCTGCATTCAGCGGCTGTCTTCCACGGTCGAGGAGTAACGATACCGGCTTTGACATACACAAAAATTTCTTGTGCGAGATGCACCCACAGCTGTCAGACAAAAAACTCGGTTGGTTTCACACCGTCGAACGTGCCACGTCCTTTTCTCATTTCGTGAGCACAGTTTGTAGGGAGTTTATTCAGGCCCTCGAGGACTGCCATTTGAGTACCTGGGCTCGGCTAACCGGGGGATGCAACAAGAAAAAGGACGAGCTGAACAAATGTTTGCGGTCCGAGGTGCGCCGATCTTTTCCATCGTATTGCAAAATTGTCCAAAATTTTCTGCTCGTCCAGCGTGTCGCCCGAAGTGCAAACAACAGGGAAACGGCGAAAGAGCGCCGAATAAAGGCGGATCAAGCTTTGAAAGAATTTCACGACATTTGAGTGGGAGGGCGCAGCGCAGGTCCTTGTAATATCTACCATCTTTCTACAGCATATACCATCTCATGCTTCCATTTCTCTACGCTTGGCGCTTACAAAACGGAAAGGCTTGTCTTCCATCGACTTGCCAGTGTCTTCCGGCCCTCTACCACGAATGGTGTCCTCCACTTACAATGATGCTGTCAAGTTTGTCAACAATTGTCAAACTTTCAATGGTCATTCGACTCACTCGCTTCCCGTACAAAAACTCGACGCATCACTAGCCAGCCAAGCAATAACCCCTCGAAGTTCGTCAGTCCTTCCTATACGTCCCATTGGGTTCAAGTCAGACCACTTGTCTAGAAGGTGGGGCTGCTTGTCCAGGTATGCGGCGGTCATCCTGCATCCTGTTAGCTGAAGGGTTCTAGGATTCGGACTTGAGCATACGAGGTGTAAATGTGACCAGGAGAAAGGGAGTTGACGCGAATGTCCTTCTTTCCAAGTTCACAAGCCATGCTACGGGCCATTTGAAGCACAGCCGACTTGCTGGTATTGTATGACACCCACGCATGGTCCTGTCGAGACACCCTGGTCAGCACCGAACTAGCCGTCCAAGACAGAAGTAGGGAACCCTGTTCGTGATACTCCCCGACATGGAGGCAATCAAGATGATGCTCCCCCTATTTCCAAACCTAACCATTTGCTGCCCCGCAGCTTGGGCCGTGTACAGCACACCATTCGTATTCACATCCATAACCTTCAAACGTATCAGAAAACCTTTCAAGGCTGAAGTAACGCACTCACATCCTCAAACTGTTCAGCAGGGTACTCCAAACAATCCGTATGTGTCTTCAAAATCCCAGCAGCCGCAACACACACATCCATCCTCTTCTCTTTATCTCCGATATCTCGGCCCTTTGCCCACACCTCCTTCTGATCTCGCACATCAACGCTCACGTATTCCAACCTCGACCCATTACCCATCCTCTCCACAAACTCGCGCGTCTTCTTCCATTCCTCAGACGGCGTTGTAGGGAGATCAAAACAATATATCGCTCGAGCACCAGCTTCACATAAAGTTAACGCCATCTCGAGTCCTAGACCTCTGTTGCCTCCCGAAACGATACCTACCCGGTCTGTAAGTGCGAATTCGTCGAAGATCTTTGGCTTTGGCTGGAGGGATTTATCCTGGGCTGCTTGGAGGGCCGCCGAAACACCGATGGGAGCTAGTGGGGATGTGGATTGTGCTAGAGTCATTCTCGTTGTCGAGAATGTCTTGCGGCGCAAGGAAAAGCCAGCTCCAAGTCTCCATCCAAAGCGTAACGTGCGAGCAACACTTGTGGGACGCATCATCATAGCTGATGGATTGGTGAACTCTCACCACTGTTCTTATATGTCCCTGCACGTCGCCATTGTACGTAAAGACAGCTCCAATGGAGATCAGGTGGCCCTCAAATGACTCGTCGGGAGCGGGGCAAGCTAAAATAATATATTTACAATTTACAGTAAGGTCAGGTCATTACGGGAATACATAGTCAGAGTAGAATCGTAACACCATAATCGTGAGCATGCAGGGCATAATAATATACAGTTATCGCGTGCATGTGCGATTGGACGTTTGGTTATTAGGTTGAAAGTTTCGGGACGTGGAACAGCCAAGGGGCAGTCTTGGCATTAACGGCTCGCAAAAACGAGGCTCCAAACCAGGAAGGCATTTCATTGCCCCCCCACTGATCAACAAGATAAGTTATCTTGTTATTTTCGTCCAGGTCCACTACCACAACGGATTCGATCGTCTTTACCACGATTAGTAAGGCATGTCTTCGAAATTTGACGGAACAAACCTTCTTTCGATTCAAAAAGCGCAATGTGTATTCCTGAACTTGGTGATAGACGATGCGATTGGGTATGGAGGTTGATGACATTACGCGAGATGAGAGAGTTTCTGATTGCGAACAGAGTTTTGCCTAGAGGCAGTGTCAACACACAAAAAGGTAAATCGTAACAAGGTGATGCATACCAAAGCAAACCACTAGGTATCGATTGTTAAGGAATGCAGAACCGAGAGTTTGGAGGCTTACCTGAGCAGCGTATTCCGCGTAGCCATAGCACTTTGAAAGAGGATCCTAATACGAATGTCAGCTAGTAGGTATTTCTAAAAAGAAAGAGAGCGAACCTCATAGACTGCATCTCTATTCCATGACCTATCGAATATCTCTCGGGTTGGCCGGCAACAGAAGAGCTCCTTCAAATCGTCTAAGACATGGCGATGATCGATATTCAGTTCTGCTGGAGACTGATGGCAGCTATTTGTCCTATGGTGCTTCAACTGAGTGTCGGAATCTACTCTAACACCGGAATAGTGAGCGGCTCCGGCAACTGATTCGACGAGAGCAGGAGTGGGGACGGAGTGAGGCAAAATGGAAGGGTGAAATGTCTGTGACGGGGGAGAAGGCGAACGTGGTGGCGGGGATGCTTCGGTCGACATTGAGCGTTGGTGGCGGATTCCAGACATGGTGGTACAAGGATAAGGGAGTTGACTGAAGATATACCGAGAATAAACGTCATAACTGTGACAAGATCATAACTGTCACATATATATCACATGTCATGTTATTAATAATTCTGCTAATTCCCATTGGTCCCTTGCCATAAACCATACGTTTTACCTGGTGTCGTTTGCCACAATCGAATCGTACCTATGAATTATTAGTAATTTTGTTAGTAGAAAGGATGATTGTGCTTACCATCCTCTGATGACGCGTAAATGTGAATCAGCATGTGACGAAAAAATAATAATCATAATACTCACCACTGCCGCTAGTATACATCTCTCCGTCTGGGCTGAATTCCACGCAGTGAACAGGCCCATGGTGTCCTTTCAGAACTTCCCGCTCTTCACCGTCCATACCGTGCACCCGCACCCACTCATCGCCTAAGTTGCCTGTCACAAATCGATCCTGCAGGATCGGGTGAATAGACGCAGACGATGGTGAGTACCCAAGTGTAAGGCTATGTGTTGCCTGGCCATTGGGCAACACGGGTATAAAGGCAACTGTATTGCCAGAGGTCACCACCAACCGCTGTGTCTGAGGTGACAGCTCCATCGACGTGATGGCGGTCGGGAAAACCAGACTGGTCGTTAGTTTACGTGTTCGCAGATCCCACCACCTAAATATATTATCATTGAGACGCGTGTCCACGAGTGTTGTAATCATCAACTCACTTGATCTTCCCGTCCTCACCTGCTGATACCCCGGTGTGTTCCCCAGCCCAGACCACACTCTTCACCATCCCGTCATGAGAAAGCAAACCAGAGTCGCAGAGAAAATCGGGATCTGCGTCAGGCCGGCTCAAATCAAATATCCTCACTTTCTTCTCTTGCCCACCCGTCAGCAGATGTGATGAGTTTGTTGACAGCGCAACGCTGCGAACGATATGATTATGTGGGAAAGAGTGGAGGGGGTTCCCTGAATATGTATCCCAGACTTTTCTAACTCAAATAATGAGCGATCGGGAGCGTTCAAATGCATAATCACTCACGCAGTAAAATCGGCGCTGCCCGAAGCAGCTCGAGAAGCATCTAGTGAAAGCTTTGTGCTCCAAACGGCACCCTTGTGGCCGAGAAAAGTACCGATCCAATCCCCAGTCCATTCTCTCAACATCGGGTTTCCATCTTTACAACTTGAGACCAGCAAGAACGTCCCGTCGTCTTGGATCGGGGAGAAAGAAAGGTGTGTAACAGGTCGTGTGTGGCCAGGCGCCACCAGAGGTGTGGATTTCAAAGGTGTGGACATTAAATTCAGGTAAATGGTGATGATGAAAGGTTTGTCGTGATACAGGCGCACCGCGCTCTGGCCTGAAGGGAGAGCAGAAAGGATTTTTGTGAGGAAAGGAAAACCAGGCGATATGTCCACGTGCCTTATGCCCTCATTTCAGCACTGCCATCACAATTTTCGTCCTCTACTTTGTTCCACGCGTTGCAAACGATAGTTGGCCTCAATTGCGCTGTTCTGGAGGTTGGAAACGACAACAGAAATCTGATGATGAACAACTGCGGTACTGTTCCGTTTTCTCTTTTTGGTGACGAGCTAAGTACGGGTGTCGATAAATACTCCCACCCAACTCCCACCTATTGATTGATTTCTGACGATTGTCGGATCAGTCCCTGAAATTCTGGAGTGAACCTTCGTCTAGCTTCATAAATACACGTCGGGGGAGTCGCGTGAGGCTTGAGGAAATATGGATGCATTCAGCCCCGAAACTCATCGTCAGATTCATTGTGCTATCGTGATGTGCCCAATACTCGGATCCATACTCGGTATGAGTAAAAGTAGTCCAAACCGTCTGAAATTTCTCAGACCTACTACAGTCTTCTGGTACTTACCTCCTGGCGGACCTGGCCAACTCTAGCATTTTTCGCTGCTTGTCAATTATCGTCACGTTACCGTTGCAGAAGCGAAGCAGAACCAAACAAAGGTGTGATATGGCACTTCGCTCCTACACTGTTTCAGTGGACGGCAGCATACCTATCCAAGCCCTTTTATACGAAGACGAGGAGCTTTTTTCCAGTCAAGATGGGGTTGGAATCTACAATGGGTAAGTTCCAATGCTACAATCGTTCCCTGTTTCAACTTTACCATCAATAACGCAGCATACAGAAATCCCGAGATCATCAAAACGGCGTTGTTCATGCAACGAGCCATCGCATCTTCTACATCGATGCGCAATATAGCAGAGCGCATTCATTTGCCCTTGATCTCAACTTCGTAGTGCAGACCGAATACTACGCGGGTTTGTTCAAATCATCGCCCAAGGTCACACTCCACCTTTCCGGAAGAACAGTCACGTCGGGTATTTCTACCCCTCAATCTGGATTCGAAAGCTGGGAATGCGAAGTTTGCGCCTTTCGTAACCCTCCTGGACTTAGTCCTACTGCGGCTCGAGTATGTGGATTATGCGGGGTTCCTCGCACCGTCATGCCAGAAACCACTGCTCCGGTCTCTCTTGCACAGCAAAATTTATCGACTCCGCTCCCTTCGACCGTTTCACCCGCATTATCATCCAGTCAAGACTCTGTCGCTTGTTCTGTTTGTACATTTCTCAACCATCCATCTTTGCGATCATGTGAGATGTGTTCAACAGAGCTTCCTCGAGTCAGACGGGAATCTCTTCCCCCTTCCCGCCTCCCTTCTCCCGATTTAGAAGATTCTGACCCTTCCTCGCCAAAGTCAATAAAGATCAGTTTTCGAAAGGGGGGTGACAAGGCGTTTTACAGCCTGCTCAAACGCAGTCTTCAGAGCAAAGCGTGGGAGGTAAGAACAGTTGATCTATTGACATTCGTTTCGTAATGTCCCATTTTACAGGCGAACGGGGCTGCGTCCAAGTCAAAAATTGCTTCAAACAGCATTGAATCTGATACCGCCTTGAACGGAACAACCTCTGGCATCTGTATGTCACTTGTTTCTCTTCATTTTTTTCAAGGGCTGAGAGTCGTTTCATCCGGTAGCGGGAATTCTCAAAACGGTAGAAACATCTGCGCAAGGAAGAGCAACCCACATGCAAGAATCCTTGCAAGATTTGGAGGCGTTCATGATAAAAGCCAAGGATATGGTACAGCTGGCGGCAGAACTCAATGAGAAGCTGACTGCAGCTTCGTCATCCACCTCCAATGCGTCTACATTATCACACGCGTCACCTATGTCGTCCTCTGCCACTTTGGTAGCATCCACTGAACCAGAAGAGGCGACCTTCATCCGCTCCTCACTTTCTCAGCTCGGGTTACAGATGACTAACACGCCCGTAACTCTCGATATGATGAAAGATGAGAGGCGATGGTTTGAAGAGCTCGCTCGTGAGTTCGCCCGCGTTCTTCAGGGGTCAACGCCTCCCAAAGAAGGTTCCGGCGGCATGATGAGAAATCGGGGAATGATCGCGCTTGACGAAGTGTGGGGTGGGTGGAATCGTGCTCGAGGTGTCGGTAAGCCATTGTCCTGCGGGAGTATTCGAAACTTTTGATTACATTTGTTTGCTTCGAACAGCGCTAATACCTCCGTCAACGTTTCTTCAGGTCATCCCCTTGCTTCCGAGCTGCACAAATCCCCCAATTCGATTGCGTACCTTCCCATCGGGCCTGAATGTCCTTCATACACCCCCATACACACGGGAGGCATTCGCCGCGCGACTTTCTAGATTTTTGGTTATGATGGGCCCGAAGACCACTATACAAGTGGCGCTCCAGGAGAATCTTACGGTAAGCCTCGTCGCCGAAATGATCGATATTGGGGAAAGCGAGGGGGATGTGTGTCGAGATGACGCCAGTGCTGCAATTAGTGGCGGTGGGAGCGGTACCGGTGGCGAAGTGCGATGGTGGCCCAATCTGTTCCTTGGATATACCTGGGATGGACAGATTTAATTTATCTTCAGGTACGTGCAGGAATGGGACTGCTATGTATAGTGTTCGTGTGACTTGAAGGATAGAATGGAAGCGAATACCAGATCCTGCCAAAGAATCCGAAACCCCTGGCTGCGCTTGATCAATGTCAGCAGGCAGCCCTGTCTTCGCGCTGCATATTCACGATTATATTTATTGCATTGAGTAATCCAGGTTGTTTCCACGAAAATGCGCACAGTGCAGCTCAGTACTCAGTCCTCGATTTTTTTCTTCTGGATCTAATCCTACATAAAAAAGGGTTGGTCGGCGGCAGAGCCATTCTTCCCGCCGGGACATACGAGTTAAACTTGAACTGCCCTTGGGGTGAATACGTCTAACTCAGGCTAGTCAAGTCATTTCGCCAACCGATCAGTCCCATTTGAGAAGTCAATCGTTCTTAGATTGGTTTTCGATTCTTCTGTGAGAACCTTGAAATCGTAGAGGGAAACGACAACGAGGCGAAACCGTCCTCTTCTTTATTGCACGCGCTGCGACCAACAACGATTCGAAAACAAGCTCAAGCGATCTTGTGCATAGGGATCCTACAAGGCACCGTTTTTCTTTTCCGTATGTTTCGTTACTGGAAGTTTGATCATGGGTGGTGATAGGTAGCACTACTTAGGTAGGACTAGACGGCTCATAAGTATGATGGTTGTCCCTGATGCTCCAAAGGCCACCTCCATTAAGGGCTTCTTGGGTAGACCAACTTGTCGCGTGAGGCTTGCGCTGGATTGCGCAATCGGACGAAGGGTCCATTTATATTTAGTGAAAACGAGTAAATGAACAACGGAAACATTTGGAAAGCACATGATTTTTATTCCGGTACACTCGTTTAGCGCTACATATCATCCGAGTCTAAGTATGGTGTCTTTTTGGCTATTTTACGCGAAGGATTAGAACCTGTTCATGACTCGAGGGTGCCTGTGTGTCATTTTAACCTGATCTTAAGTTGGTCGTGAGCCTCACTGATTATAGCGAACTTTCGCGTCAAGAGGTTTTTTTTATAGATATAGCATAGACTGGGGCGATGATTTTTTTCTTTTACAGTGGAGAGGCGCATGGTCCGCAAAGCCGGCGTGATGTTTGTTGATGTTTGTACTGCGCATATTTACCAGTGATCAATGGTTAGGCAGCTTTTTGGCCGCATCTCGGCAGATTTTGGCCAGATTTTTGTCCATATCGGGGCTAGGTTCCTCTTCAGAGCAGATTTTTGAAATTCGCGTCGCATTGGCAACATCATGACATGATAATACACTCAACAGTGAAAAATAAAAAAAATAGTCTGTAGACCCCCAAGAGATGCATGCCATTAATCGATTAGAAAAAAAATGGGAGTGATGGAAAGTCGTGGTGAGGAGAAAAGTTGTTTTTAATTTTTGACGCGCCAGCTGTAATTAAGGGATTACATAACACCTGTCCAAGACGCGTCGAGCCCGCAAGGTGTCGCGAAAAACGACGTACCCTCCATGCTAAGACGTTATTCTTCCTAAAAACACTTACTACTCACCAACATCACACTCTGAATGGCTCTAGGTCCAAAAAAGCGAACTTCGAAGGAGAAGGTCCAATAAACAAAGAAAGGCAATTCTTCGTGCTCAAGAAACCAGTAAAAACCAGCGTTGTGCACTGGAGTACTCGGGAACAATCAATCGCACTCCTGTCTCACCAAATGCAGGCGTTGATCCAGAGTTAATTACTTTCCGGGACAGAAAACATGACAGTGGGCGCAAAGTGGGCGGTGATAAAAACCGACAGTGTGACTCTGATTGGTCTGAATTATATCCAAAGTAACATTATTGATATTCAAGATCTCAAAGTATATTATATGGTCATTTTAACAACCATAAAGCAATGCTAGAGTGAAAACGGCGCTTGGATGCCAATTAGCCACATTTTGAGTGGCTGTGTGATTAGTCATCAGCCGCAATTGCTTGCGGACGGTGCGCGTCTCCATTTACAGCTGAAAGCAGAACGATAGGCCACGGCAGATCGACACATGCTCAGGGCGGACTCCCAAATTTTCGAAGCGACGTGATGGCTGGGGCCGCTGAGTTCTCACAACGTGTTAAATTTCAACCTCCGAATTGATGTCACGCTAGTACCACAGTAAAAGTTGAGAGTCCGCCCTATGTATGCGTCGATCTGGCATGGCCTATCGTTCTGCTTTCAGCTGTAAGACTGGGCATGCAATCAAGTTCGCGCCTATTTCATGGGCACTCGGATGTCGTAACGGATCAGTCCCTGACTCCCTCATCAAAGAGAGTGATCCGAGATCCGTGCCAGATAAATATTAAAAGTTGACTTGAACATCGAGGGAGGTGCTGGGAGGTGATATCGCGCAAGGCTTATTGAGAGAAGTTGAGATTGTGAAGATCAACTTCTTTGATTTTGAAAAAACAATTCAATCAGAGACCTGTGGTTTTAGATTTTAGTGAACCCGAGTTTTCTTCTGCTAGCGCTTGTCAACGCTCCATCTCGCTCCATTCGCTTCGAGTCTCTTTGTTTGCTCCCTTTTTTCGTTCTTTTTCCAGGAACCTATGCCATAGACTAATTTCCAATAGGATGATGTTGCAAGGGGTACGTGTTATGGCGTCTTACTAGGGCGTCTTCAACAGAAACTGAGCAAGTTGGCGTCAACGCGAGCTCGCTCTGTTTATTTCACTACCTTTTTGGCGATGAAGAAAAAGGCACGAAACGCAAAAGCTGGACAAAGTGAGCACAGAAATAGGTCGTAAGTCGCTGCCGTCGACTTGTGTCAGGTGGTATCTGATTCGTTGCGCCATCCGTATAGGCAATGGCGAATGCTGTGCCAAGATGCGCCGAGATACTATAATTGGTAAGTATGTGCCAAGACTTTGCGAGCACGGCTGTTCAGATTGCGCCATTGTGTGGCAAAATCGCAACAGAGCAGACTTTACACGATGGGTCTTCCCCGGGCCTGTGTTCACGTACTACACCGTTCCTGCACCCAAAACAACTGTCTTCTTTCTCTGGGATCGGATCTAATTCAGGTACTACAACCACCACCTTGTCCCCGCGCCTACAGATGGTACAGATACCGCCAATCCGTCTATAAAGTCCTCGTCAATCACAGATGCCATTTGTGCTTCCTGCTGCCATGTCTCTTTCCTCAGTGAAGCGCCTCGGAAAGCGAATCGTCGATCATCCAGAAGAGACCGTGCCAGTGGCTTCCGTCACTGAATGGGTCGGAAACTTGACCAGCAACCCAGTTCAACGCGTACGCACGCGACTCTTCTTCTCTTCTGTTTTCTAATCATTTTTTTAGGTCAAGGAATACCTCATAAGCTTGTTCCCCATTTTCGGCTGGATTACCCGCTACAGTTTGTCGTTCAACGCTGTTCTTGGACACTTTGTTTATCACAATTTTTGCAGATCTCGGATGGCTCACTGGTGATGTGATCGCTGGGTTGACGGTCGGCATGGTTGTCGTCCCGCAGGGAATGTCTTACGCCCAGGTATTTCTATTAAAATTTTAACCAGTCGTTCTAAGGACTTGCTTACCGGAAATAAAAGATTGCAACACTCGCTCCCGAGTATGGTTTATATTCATCGTTCGTTGGTGTGCTCATTTACTGCGTAAGTTCCCAGCCTTTCTTGTCCAGCTGCGTGCTCTCTGACGCTCTCCAATATTCTCATAGTTCTTTGCCACCTCGAAGGATGTCTCCATCGGGCCGGTGGCCGTCATGTCACTCACCGTTTCCCAGGTCATCAAATACGTACAGCAGCACCATCCGAATCAATACACTGGTCCAGTTATTGCTACAGCACTGGCCTTCATCTGCGGATTCATCGTTCTGGGAATCGGCCTTCTCAGACTAGGTTGGCTCGTAGAATTTATCTCCGCTCCAGCGGTCAGCGGTTTCATGACCGGATCTGCCATCAGTATTGCTGCGGGCCAGGTTCCAGGGCTCATGGGAATAACTGGATTTGAGTGAGAACGCCATCCTTTAAATTTCACTCAACAATGCTGATGATGGCTGAACAGCACCCGCGCGGCTACTTACAAAGTCATCATTAACACTCTCAAGGGTTTGCCCCGAACGAAGCTTGATGCCGCCTTTGGATTGACCGGTTTATTCTTCCTTTACGCAATTCGCTACACCTGCCTCGCACTTGAAAGACGCTTCCCTCGTCGCGGTAAATTACGATCTGTTGCCGTGACATCTGCTTTCCTGACGCACATTTTCAGCGCGTGTCTTCTTCTTCATCAGTGTTCTGCGAAACGCTTTCGTGATCCTTATTTTGACCATCGCCGCCTGGTTGTACTGCCGTCACAGGAAAGTAGGCGGCAAATATCCCATCAAGATCTTGTTGACGGTCCCTTCTGGCTTCAAGCATGTCAAGCAGCCAACCATCAACTCCGGCATTCTCTCCGCGCTGGCCCCAAAACTTCCTGTTGCGACAATTATCCTCCTTCTCGAACACATTGCTATCTCAAAGTGTGAGGACCGTTGTCTTGTCGCTGCCTTGCTTTAGTATTGATTTATTTCCTCAGCTTTCGGCCGGTTGAATGGCTACAAGATTGATCCCAACCAAGAGCTGATCGCCATTGGTGTTACAAATACAGTTGGTTCTTGCTTTGGCGCATATCCCGCGACAGGATCCTTCTCTCGTTCTGCCCTCAAATCAAAATCAGGCGTTCGCACACCTTTGGCTGGTGTGGTTACTGCTATCGTGGTCATCGTTGCATTGTATGGCCTCACCTCAGCCTTCTTCTGGATTCCCACCGCCGGTTTATCTGCCATTATCATTCATGCAGTAGCAGATCTTGTCGCATCACCGGCACAGGTCAGCCTTCATTGCCCTCTTTTTTATATATATTGCTGTCGCTGACTACTTCATATTCAGGTTTATTCCTACTGGCGTGTGTCCCCCCTCGAGTTTTTGATCTGGGTGGCGGCTGTCCTTGTCACCGTTTTTTCTTCCATTGAAAACGGCATCTACACATCCATTGCAGCTTCGCTCGCACTGCTCTTGATCCGAGTCGCTCGTCCTCGGGGATCATTCCTCGGTAAAGTCACCATCCGCTCTTCCGACTCAGACACCCAGCGTGAAGTCTTCGTATCCCTTATTAAGGATAATGTTACAAACCCACACGTCAAGGTCGTTCCTCCATCACCCGGTGTCCTTGTCTACAGGTTCGAGGAAAGCTACCTGTATCCCAATGTCTCCATCGCAAATGGTGTGCTAGTGGATTACGTGAAGGCAAACCTCAGACGAGGGAAGGACATGACCAATGTCAAGCTTAGTGATCGTCCTTGGAACGACCCCGGCCCAGGCCGTCACGGTGGCGAGGCTGACCAGGTTGTTAACCAACGGAAACCCATTCTACATGCCATCGTTTTGGACTTCTCATCAGTGTATGTTTGATTATCACGATCTCCTGCATCATCTTGCTAATTTTTGCCTCGATAAAAGGTCCCACATCGATACCACTGCCGTTCAAACCCTTATCGATACCCGTACTGAAGTCGAGAAGTGGGCCGATCATCCAGTGGAGGTTCGTTCTGCTCTTGGCTTTCTCTCACTACCGCAACTAACGCTATCATCAGTTCCACTTCGCACCCATCCTGTCTCCTTGGATTCGACGCGCTCTAGTGGCTGGCGGTTTTGGCATTGGCCTTTCAAGTACAAGAGCTATCCCAGACTTCGCCGCTGTTGTTCCTCACGAAGGCAGATCCTTTAAGGAGACTGATAGCCGCGACGACCTCGAGTCTGCAGATATTAAGAAAAATTCTGACGTTGTTGCTTCGGAATTCGAGCCAGTGGTGCCCGTGGATACTCCATTCTTCCACATCGATCTTACGGCAGCTGTTCGTGCAGCTGAGAGCGGTGTAAAAAATGGGAATTCATGAATAAAGTCATGACCTTCCCCTTATTTCTCTGCTCCATTACGATTTCCTCTATATCTCTATCCATTTTCTGGCCCTCAATGACTTTCATGTATATATGTAATGCCCTTACTAGTGCTCGGTTTATTAACTGGTCAAAAACATATTTTGAACCTTTTTCATGCGTGTGAAATATACTTGAAGTATTAGGGGACTCCGTTTCAGCCACTTGCTGCAGAACTTGATGTTCAATTCGCAGCTCAGAATAGTTCCCTCATTATTCAAACGACCATTTTCCGTATGCAACGCAAACTTCTCCGGTCATAATAAAGTCCGTTCCTTGTCTACACTTTCCATCTCAAGCTCACATGTATCTCAGTGGTCTAAAATTAAGGATAAGAAGGGAAACAGCGACTTACAAAAAAGCCTGCTGTACGGGAATGCCAATCGAGTATGCATGTCGTTACCTTGAAGGACTGAATATACTTAGTCGTTCTTTGAAAGGATATCTTGGTAGCAGCGCGAAGTACGGATAATGGTCCTACCTCCTACTCTCCCGTTCAGAAGCTGAGATGCACACAGCTGGCGGTTCCGCTGACCCCAATGTCAACATTCAACTTTCGACCATTTTGAAGAAGTACAAAGACCAAGGCGTCCCGAAGGAGAACATTGAAAGGGCGCTTGTGAGGGTGTGGTGTTTTGTTATCACTCTTCATGTCTGGCGGCTCACAAAATACAGGCGCGTCAAGGGAAGGAAAAAGGTGGGGGCAGCGTTATGTATGAAGCCCTCGCGTTCAACTCCGTGGGTTTAATGATGTGAGCCCGATCTCCATAGGCTTGTTCTTCAACGTCCCTAACAGAATGAAGAGAATGCATCACTGACAATCCAACCCGTACAATCCATAAAATACGGCACACTCTGACGAATCACAGGCATGGCACCACTATGCCTTTTGACTTGCAATGATAGCTCATCTTCCTGTAGTGCGCGCCTCACCCCTGTTCAGTTCATGTTTCAGCGCAGAGGTTTAATCGAGGTGGCATTGAACAAGTCGGCCGAGGAACGCGCAGAACAGTTGATCGACTTGGCTTTGACAAACGGTGCAGATGATTTTGATGACGTCGTTGATGAGGATAGTGAAGACGCAGGTGTTTTGCTCAAGGTACGCTGGTGTCATTTCAATACTACATCTAACCAATCTCTCTTTTCGTAGTTTTCATGCTCCCCACTCGTATTTGCCCAATTGTCGACTGCGATCGCGTCACATGCCGAACTCTGGTCAGGAATTCGAACGAGCGAGTTGACATACGTTCCTTTGGAACCAGTCGAACCTTCGGAGGACTTGAAGAGTCAACTAGATTCACTTACGGAAGAACTAGAAGGGGACGAAGATACACTACGAGTTTGGACAACTCTAGGTTCATGAGAATACTATCGCGCCTCGAACCACCAAGGACGTTTCATTTGGCTTGTGCATAACAGGGGTCAAGCCTTATCCAGGCATGACCATCTATACCTCCGAGATGTACGATGCCCTTCGTCTGGGCTAATGAGACATACTCAGCAAAGCTTTTGACTCCTGCATCCCTGTACACCGTTGCCTTTCGCGATACAAGTTCCAACCCCACACGCGAACGCAGTAGCCTCTCCCCTACAATAGACTGTAAACAAGAGAGTGTTTCAATCAGATGTTGCCAATTTGGAGCCTCTCCGTGGATTCCACAGGACCCTCGGTTGTGCAATGCTGGTGGTATGGCTGGTTCCTCTGTGTCAATAGAATTACGACGGAGACTGAAACAAGATATAACAGTTAATTCACAGTACATAAGAGCTTACTTGCATTGCCGATCCAAAAATGAGCTTACAATGTTATGGCTCCGTACCACTCAGGGCGCAAGCCAATCCAAGCTCCTCCCTCTTTCCCCCCAAGTGCCACTATCCCTTCTTTCTCAGCCAATGTGGCGTATTGCCCAAATCTCTCCACTCCAGCCTTCTTATAGACCATATGATCTTTCTGTGCCAGTTCAAATGCTATTCCCGAACGGAAAGGACGCGGAAACCCTTTTGAGCGGTGAAGCTCAAGGGTATTAACGAGAGTCCTGAACTGTGGTGGTACAATCTTCACCTGCCACCCCTCAGTTTTGGGTGGTGGTACTGTCACCGGCACGACAGCAGTGGTGGATGAAGCTACTGAAGCAGGTCGAAGAAAATCAGGTAGATCTGGCCGAATAGGTGCAATTGGTTTTGCACCACCGACAGTGCCCTGTGAGGGAGGGGCCGGGGTTAGGATTTCTGGGTTCATTGGAGGATGGGAAGAATTTTCCAGGATGCGACTGGGAGTTCTTGGTGTTACCACCGGCGTTTTTAAACCATCATCCGGGACAGCCTCGCCTTCAAGTTCAATTCTAGGAGTAGACATAACTGAAGGAAGGGAAAGTTGTTGAACCCCTCCTCGAAAGTAGGGAGTACTAGGTTCACTGCTAATAAAGTGAACAGTAGACGGTCCTCGGTGAAAATCGTCCTCGGTATGCTGTTTAGAATTGTTCTGGCGCTTGTCAAGAATATAATTCGTGAGATCAATATCAACTTCATTCATTTCATGACTATTTGGGATATTTCGAGATTTAGACCCAAGTGGCGACGTGGGTGGATTTATTGCACTTGTTAGTCCCCGAACCACTGGAGGTGAACGAGGACAAGTCTTTGCTTCTTTCCCAGGAGTAGAGGGGGAGGAAGGATGAGCAACCCCCAGGATATCAGAAGACCAGTCATGACAGACAGACGCCTGAGATGTTAGGCTTAGGTGGGCGTTGGCAAGGGTAATTAAAACAACATGGTATCGCCGGAGTCTCAGAACGGATATAGCATAAGCAAAGTCGCGATCCCCGGAAATTAGAACGATTGTGGTGGGAGCTGGGTTGTCGATTGCATGACTTAGCATGTCAACTGGTGGCTATTGCATAAGGATATGCCAGCAAAGAAAGCAAGAGAGCGTATTTACCCAACATCATTTTATCAGCGACATCCTTTCGGCCGTTGTGGGGACAGTGAATTAAAGAGACCCCTGATGATTGTAATTCTGAAGTGAGAGTAAGCAACCGTGGTGTCAATAACCCTGACTCCAGTGACGAAATTTCAAGGTAAGCCTTGAAAAGCTTGACGCTTCCATAGAGCTGGGCCAAGCTGCGAATCCCTTTCACAATCTCATAGCCAGAGATGTTACTAGGAGCAGGGCAATTTTCTAAGGGTCGTGAAAACAAAGCACAGAGGTGGAATTCAAATAACTGACCGTAGTCCCAGAAAATAGCGACGTTCTCACTGCCATTATTTTGCATGCTGGAGGTCGGCAACGAAGAAAGCCAGGCTTACTTCGTGCTCCCTCAAACGTGCCCGCGCGAAGGATAGGATCACAATAGGTTCTTGGGCGTCTACATGCCCGCTGCAATTGAAGGTAGGCTCACAAATAAATAACAATAGCAAAATGCCAAAAGGGTATTCAGTTTCCCTCAAGGAAGAAAGCCGGACCTAACTCGTTGATGTTAAAGACGTAAATATGATTTATTCGGAAATCTCGAGGTATAAATCTAAGCGGCAAAAGGCCATGGAGACCGCAAGGATACCACTCCTTCGCCACCTGCGTTTCTTCCTAGAGCCACAACCCCAGCGACCAATGCGGCATCAATATACGCCGCGAATTTGGAGACACTCGCCTTCTCATAGACGTCCCTGTCAATTCGAAGCAGATCAGTCCCCAAAGCAGATCGAGTTGCCTCATGATTCGGATATTGTCTAATTCTCTCAACTAAGATTCGAAATTTCTCGGGAACCCGGGGTTTGGGCTGAGCATTCTTCGAGGGACCTGCGAATGGCGTCGTTGAGGAGCCCGCGAAGGGTGTCGTGGACGGGCCTGCGGACGGCGTTGAAGCTGATACCTTTAGTGGGCTGCTGAGTGGCTGTGACGCAGAGCGAACGATGGCCGGCTTTCCAGGGATATGTGGAGAGGCCGCTGGTGCCGCTGTCGTCGAGGACGCAATATTCGGAGCAGCCGCTGCTGACGGGGTTGAGGCCGCTGGTGTCACGAAGGTCGGCACTGCCGAAGGCGTCACTGTGGTCGCAACTGCCGCAGGCGTCGCGGCTCTGTCTACGACCGTTGTCGCCGTCGAAGGTACTGGCACCGTGGCTGCCTGTGGTAGTGAGTCTTGAACGGACACAATTGAGGCACTCCGTGCCGAAGGGGCATCTGTTGGTGCCACCCTGGTTGCATTCTCCTTTTCTCGTGCAGCAGATTCGGCCGAAGTTGGGGCCGTCGAGGGACCAACCATAGAGAACCCAGAAGAGCTCTCTGAGGAGGATGACGACAAACTTTCCACTGAAGGTGGCGACCTATGGAATTGACCTTGGTTTTGAGGAGGTTCTTGCACTGATGTCAACGGAGAGTGGCGAAGAGGGTTGATTTGTTCGCGCCCCGCCATATCTGTATCACTGTGATTCAAACTCGATCTGCGAAAGGGTGGAGTAGGACTTTGGGAGAACGGGACAGGGTCCTCTGGCTCAGGAAAGGGAAACGCTCTTTGTTTCCCTTTCCCCTTATCCGCCGACCTAGCGTACCCCACACCATCTGATGGACGGTAAAAACCAGTTGGTTCGGGTGTCGAGGTTCTCTCCTTGGCGTAGCTTGTTTCCATCGGAGGAGCCGAATCAGCCCTCAGCGGCCACTGTGGCCTCAAGAAGGTATCAGAAAATGTCGGCAGCTTTGGGGGATTGTAAGGATCTCCGAATATATTAAAACGGTCGGGGTCGACAAATGGCCTGGAGAATACTGAATCTCGCCGGCTGCGATTGATGTTGATTGGCTCCACTGGAATATCCTGGTGATCAGGAACAGGTGGGGGCGCAGAGGCTTGTGACTGAGAATGCGGAGTGTGGACCGCTGAAGGCTGCGCATCAGGATTGAAACCAGTGTCAATCTCATCTCCCAGTTCCAAAACGGCCTTGTTCCAGTCAATGTTTACCGACGCCTGAGATGTGACGTCGGGGTGAGTGCCTGGCGGCGAGAGAAGAACGACGCGATATTTTCTCAGCCGAAGGGTCGCAATCGCGTAGCCAAAGTCCCTATCAGCTGTAATGATAAGAAATGTGGTTGGGGCTGGATGATCGAGGGCATGGATGATGAGGTCCACTGAAACGGAGTGGTTTAATTTCAGATGCAAGGCGGGAAGAAGGAAATAGCCTACCCATCATCATTTTAGTCGCGATGTTTTTACCACCAGCAGATGGACAATCAATCAGAGAAATCCCCGATGATTGCAGTTCATGACGTAAATTGGGATTTCGAAGAGAAGTTAGAGCCGAGAAATCGTAATAGGACCTGAACGATTTCACGGTACCAAAAATCTGGCCAGTGAGGCGAATGTTCTTTGCAATATCATAACCAGAAATGTTAGATGCGGTCCGCGTCCCTTCTAAGACGAGTAAATGAGTGAAAATTGAAAATGACATCAAATAGTCGTCGTCTGACCGAAGTCCCAAAAAATTGCAACGTCCTCAAGATCTTGCATCGAAAGTCAGAGTAGTGAACTTGTGGTTTGTCGCACTATAAATATAAGTCTTCATCATGCATGCCTCATCCACGAGTTAAGTGGAAAACACTTTTACGCGTGTACTGAAGAACGTGTGAACATGGTGGTGATCCAATACCTGGTTAGAGAAACTTGGCTGAAGTGTCGTGCAGAACACATGCTGGTTTTCGTCACAATGACAGGGAAGCGTTCACCCTTCAGCGTCTTTGTTGCAATAGTGGGACAACGAATCTGAATTAGGGATTGAAGGAGGACAGCAAGTAAAACCATGTGACTGAGGCAATGAAATCCATCTATTGAATAGTTTTCCCCAATCTAGCAAGGTGGTAATTAATAGTTGGTTTATGAATTTTCTTCGGCATTGGCTGTCGGGAAACACGCCATCAGTTCATGTGGTGCGAAGATAAGGCAAGTGACGCACTGTTGTCCGCATACATTGAAAGAGTTTCTCGGCGTCCTCCTGGCATTTTCCTATTGAGTGTATATCGTTCGTAGCAGCCCAGCAACCTAGCATGGCTGAGAGTTGGGGCGCACACATCACGGTTGCGGCAGCTAAACAGGTGCATGATGAAGCCGGGTCAAAATGTGTGGATGTTATTGAATGATTTGGCTGACCCTTCCGCTGGCGTACTTTGAGCTTTTTTATGTGAATTGCCATATCGCTTCTAGGAGGTAGAGCGTTTGAGCTAGAATGCGAGGATATGGAGAGAAATATTCTTGCCAAAGAGTTGTGCTCGTGAACGCCGAAAAAGTTGAGGAAGGCAAGCACGTGATGTAATTAACATGAGGTCTGCGACTCCACGTCGTTGTTGTGGCTCTGGTGCCATGTCTGGGACACCTTATGTCCATATATAGACATAATTTATGTCTATATTGAGACATGTCCAAAAAAAGACATAAGGTCGTCCAAAAACAGACATAAGCCATCAATCTCACACCCACGCCCAAATAGGCAGCTACTCAAGTAGTTGACCTCCTACTGGCTTTTCTCCCTGTGCTATGCGCCGCAGGCCAGAAAAATATTTGAATAGCTAACTCACCTTGTGGGAAATTATAGGATACACTAATATGAACCCAGAATGCATTTTTAAATCATTGAAAAGAGAATTTGTGCTGTTCTGAGCATAAAGTCAGTTCCACTTAATGCAATTGCTCATCAAAGTATGTGTCGATGCTAGTAGAATATCTCAGAGTATGTGGAAGCACTTTACATGCACTTCTTCCTCCTAATGGCAGGTTGTTGCATTAAAGGCAACAAAAAGACAGAATCAATGGGTAAAAAAATGTTGTACTGCTTTAAAAATGCTGATACAGGAGTGCTGGTATGTTGTTAATATTTCCTCACATAGTCTTGACCTTCATATAAAAAGAATTTGTAACAATCTCAAGATCTGGACTGTGTTGCAATAAATCTATCTAAAGTTGACAATAAATCTGTCACAATTGAACAACCCTTGCTGTTGATCTATAATTCTACATATATAATCAGTGTAAAGTATCCTGCTTCTTACATGCACATTTTTGAAAGGAATTGAAACATTCTCAGCTGTTCCAGACATGACACTAGAGCCATCATTATTCCTGTTCATTGTAATTTTCAGTACTTTATCCTTGTTAGCTCAACATGAGGAACTCGAACATAAATCTGCTTTGCAATTAATCTGAGCTTTTGGCATAATCCCCTGTCTTGTGGTTTCATGTGTAAAAATGCATCCTGATGGGAAGACTCACTCATAATATCTAACCTTTTTCCTCATAGTTGTGGCCCCTGATAGGTGCCTGCCCCATTTTTAAATGGTAGATAGGGAGAGGATATATTTCACAAATTTTCCTAGCAATCTGTCAAGTTTCTAACAAGATACATATTTGTGATTCAATTATCTCTGTGAAAAAAAAAAAAGATGTCAATCGCTGGAATTGAACTTAGGTTGGCCATAAAAGGAGATCAAAAAAGCGCAATAATCCACTACACTATACAGCCCTATATAATATTTACATGTAGTTACCATATATGTAATTTTTGAAAAACGGTGTCCTTGTCCCAGACATGACACCAGAGCCGTTGTTGTGGCCGGATACCGGTGTTTGTGGGCTAAAAAAAAAAAAAAAAAGAAAAAGAAAAAAGAAAAAGGGAAGAGGAGGAAGGGAGGACCCAAACCTCACAATAACGACATGGCGTGCAACAACACAAAAAAGCAACCTGCAGAACACCTCACTGAGCTGCGGCAGTGTGTCCTGTGGGTGTCCGCGAGCTGTAGGAACGCAGGGTAAATCGGGATACTGGATACTCGCTTAGTTTTGCGAGGTCATCAGGGTTTGTTTCCTCCTTTTGGATTTATTTCGTGTTATATAAGCTGGATACTCGCTTAGATTACACAAAAGGAACAGTCAGATCTCTGATAAGATAGAACAAGTTTTAGACCTGTTCCTCCAGGACAGGTCACATAGTCCATGAGTTACAACAGAATTCCAATGCAAGTTCAATCCCTGCACATTTTTTCTGTAAAATTTAAGAATAGTTCAAAGAAATGATCATTGAGAATGGTATTCTACACATAGAAACACAGTAACAAATAGCTAAATGACTACCATGAAGCAGGGCATGCCGCCGACGTGCCCTGCTTCTCATGAGAAAAGGTGGGGAGAGGAGCCATCTTGCTCACCTGGATTGACGTGGACAGTGACGACGACATGCATCGTCACAGTCTGGACGTCATGGCACGTCCATTGACATGCCAGGTCATCTTCACCGTCCCTCGTCATCAGTGTCCTCGTCGTGGTTCGTCCGTGGTAGGTTGTGATGTTGCTCACGGCGACGTGGACCTTGCTTGTTTGGTAATGGTCGTGTCTCGTCGTGTGCTCTTGTTCTGCCGTGGTTGTTGCGTGGTCGTGTTGTCGTGTTGTGATCGTTCGTGGTTGTCCGTGGTTGATTGTTGCTGGGGAGGGGTGACATGGCCGTGGCCGCCGTCATTTGTCTGGTGGTGGTGGCATGTTAGGTGGGTGGCAGGGAAGAGGTGGGATGGCGGGGGACTCACTACGATGACGACGGCGACAAATAGCATCCTCATTTGTCGTTGTGGTCGCCACTGGTTTATGGTCACTGGCTTGGTTTTCGCGCTCCCTTTTGGGCGGCCGTGTTTACGTTGCGGAAGAGAAGATATTGTTGGAGGGCGGTCGATGAGCTGGCGGATGAAACAGCCACCTCGGGAGGTCTGAGATGGGCTGTTTGAGGTGTACGCGAAGCGGCCGATGGGGTGGTGGCTGAAAGAGGGCTTGGATAAGCTGTGGAAGATGTGTGGGAAGCGAAAGGTGAGCCAGAGGGTATGGCGTTCGCTGCTGAAAGCGTGTGATAGTCAGCAGGGGAGGTTGGAATGCTCATTGGGACCAGAGATGGGGGATTTCCACGAGAATCTATGATTTGATTGAAGGAATGTGAGTATGTTGAATAGATCACAAAGATAGCTTACGCACCTGAGGGTTTCCAATGCTATTCTCCATGACCAGCGTAAGTTCCTGTCCAAACCGTGATCTGTTCAGATGTCGGTTGCACTAGCAACGGCGCAAGGAAAGAAATATGTAAGACTTACATGCCTTCTGACTTTCCGGGTGCTCCCAAACAAGTTGGGGGATGTTTCCCTAGTTTTTCGACGTGTCCCGGTTGAGAATCTGAGTCCGTCATGGTTGAGAGAGACGATAGCGACGAGCGACGATGGTTCAAGCAATTGCAGCGATCATGTGACGATTACATAAAATATTTTTCAAACTCAGTGTCCGTATCCGCTATTCTCCACAGACATGGTCAGCCAGCCGTTGTTGTCGCTTACTTGCTCGGTTACACAGCCAGCTATAATTCCATCGAACTTCATTTCATCTGAGTTCCTTCCTGCCCTTGCCTCTTATTATCCTCCATCTTTCTACATTGACTTTCTAAGAGCTCCTTTCTATCTATCATGGCTCTCAATAAGAATAACTCTGGTTAGTTGTCCATACTTCCGTGTCGAAACATTGCCGACCCTTGCTTCTCTAGCCGTTAAGCGGATCATGCAAGAGGCTCGCGAACTCGCTAATGATCCGTCAACTGACTACCACGCTGCGCCGCTCGAGGTGCGTCTCCCTTTCCACAAGTTTAACGCTTGAAACTGATTAGTATGAACATAGGATGACATCTTCGTGGGTAGCGACACACGATCGTTTTTATGCTGGCTGAGAAGTTAATCAGGAATGGCATTGCACATTGCGTGGACCTGCGGGCACCGAATTTGAAGGCGGACTGTATCACTTTCGCATCCTTCTGCCCGCGGAATATCCATTTCGGCCTCCCTCGATCATGATGCTCACACCAAACGGCAGGTTTGAATTGAATACAAAGGTAAACCACACGTTGTAAATCGACGGGAATGCCCTCATTCATGTACCCTCCCTGCAGATTTGTATCAGTTTCACAAATTGTGCGTGATCGATCATGTTGGTGGTGGATGGGAGTAGGCGCTCACTCCAAGTAGATCATGAAGAGCTCTGGCAACCGGCTTGGGGTGTTCGGACAGGTGAGTTTATGTATCTTGAAGGTGTTTTGCATTTAGGATTTATGGTTTCTTAGCTATCATTGGTCTTCAAGGATTCTTCCCTCTGAAGGGGCAAGCTGCTGTTGGTGTTGGGTCGATCGAGTTTCCCACCGCTGAACGAAAACGACTAGCAACTCTGTGAGTCTTGCCTATTGCGTCTTCTGAGACTTGTCTTAATAATTTCGACGATAGATCGAGAGAGTGGGTGTGTCCGCACTGCCAACAACCTAATTTGGAGCTGCTTCCCGACCCATCGCCTGAATCGGAGGCATCGACGAGTGCCAAGACCCTGGAAAGCCTTGAAGTGTCTAACAATGCTCCGCAAAGGGCCCAACCGCTGACTGTAGCAATTGAAGAGCCTCCGGCTCTGGAAAGCTCCCCCAGTCCTGCCTCGCCACGAGGGGTGAACGACACCAAGGAGACGAGAGTCGTTCCGACTGTCCGGACGAGTGTGGCACTGGAACCTAGTCGGCGGAGCAGTCACAAGCCGCCGCTCTTGCTTGATACTGCGATTTGTGTATTGCTCGTGCTGGTGTTCGGAATAATTTGTCGGCGGATGGTGTAATTGTAATTGATAATGAGACTGGTTGCTATTTATAGATTTGGGCCTATTTATGGTGTGTTGGTTGCAATGTTTCCTCGTCTGTTTCAATGCAGCACCAGCCTGAGCACTCTCTTAAACGCAGAGCCTCCCTTCGTTTTCCAGCACAACCTCCTCCAATTCCCATCCCACCTTCCCTTATAGAGTCACCTTATCTCAAAGCACCTAGATTCAGACAAGAATCATCCGCTCCTTGTGTCCCTACAGAGGAAGACGAACGCTGGTTGCAGGATACAGTTCCTATCCAGTCACAGCCAAGCGAATCTCAGCTTTCACGTAGAAAAACTGTTCCTGCATCCGCTCAACCCAGAAACCCACCTCGCCCAGCACCAGCTTCCCCTCCTATCACACTCTGGCGACAACCACCACCCACCAACCCCCCACCACGAGCCGTTTTGGAACCAATAACACAGGGCCAGAGCTACCAGACACGATTACCAGCAGACCAGAGTTATTTCCCATCAGTGTCGTCTGTGCAATAGGCACCTGAACTACTTTTTTTATCCCTTTCAACACACGAACAGGAATTCGGAGAAACACCCACAACCGCACTTTATTCATTTCTCGCGTAAAGGTTCATCGATCATCTCCAGCTTCAAGATTTCAGGAGCCTTACTTACCTACATCCACACTTTGCATCCGTCTAGAACAAATCATGCATCATATTATTGTATAGCATGGACATACCATTGTTCAACACAGGAAGTAAACGGCCATTCAATCTCATAACACACGGCGAGTAAAAATGGTTCGTAAAGGCTTACTTCTTCTTCGGATCTCTGACGCTGAACAATAACAGGTCCTCATCCTCGAGATTATAGCTTGCAATCGTACTTGAATTTGTAAGCATCTTGCCTTGGTACGAAATCCGGATACGAGATGCTGGGACGGAGCTGTCCGTATGCTGCAGAATACGGTCTCGCAGCGTCGAAACGAGGAGGTTCAGAGGGAGATCAGGGATAGACACGATCTTGCCGTCCAATTTCCACTCTGGTTTCGTGGGATCGTTAGGAAGCTGTACGAGAAGAGAAATAGGATACTAGAAGAAAATAATCATTAGTATCGACAAACACGAATAATAATAAAAGGCAGACTAACGGGATGCATTGCGACCCAGTCTTCTTCAGGGTACAAGTTACCACCTGGGAGCTTGGCGACTCGTTGGCGTTTAGCTGGAGGTAGCTCATCTACACCTCCCTCCATCTCGTCCGCTGAGCGGACCATGCCGGTCTGGGCCGACTGCATCGACCCATTTGCAGCTGCAAGTGCGGCCATCCGTGATGGATGCATACCCGACACAGGAGGCTGATACCCAAACGGCTGAGCAGCATCCAGGCCTTGATAGTGTAACGGCGGAAGCATGACGGGCGGCTGGTTGAACGCGGAAGCGGGTTGAGGACCAGATGATATTGTAGCAGCTGAGTAAGCTCCGGACCCTGCTGCTTGAGGAGGGGCTGGCAAAGAAGCTGGCGCTGGAGGTAGTGTTGCTAACGGGGGAGGTGCAGCAGCCGGGCCAATTCCAGGTCCAATGGCGTTCGTTTCTTGTCTGCATGAAATGTCAGCATGGCAAAGAAAACCAAGTTGGTGAGTAGAACTCACGGCCCCAAACCCTTCGCACGATGAATAGCCGCGATTTGTTCGTCGAAATTGACGTTCGTCGAGAACTTGTCCAATGTGTTCGCCTTTGAGGCAGTATGTCCATCCCAAACAACCTTCTCTCTCTCCTTGCGACGCTCTCGCTCTTCCTCCTCTTCCCTCTTGCGCCGCTCCTCATCAGTCTCAGTGCCGAAAATATCGACACGGGTTCGGGCGAGGTTCTTAAGTGAAGAGACAACATTGGCACCGCGCTGGAGCTCTGAGGCCTGTGCCTTGCGAGCCTCCAAAGCATCGCGCTGCTCTTTCCATTTCGGATCCAGCAGCTCAATACGCATGTGCTCCTGCAGCTCGTCGACTGCTATTTGCTGTCCACAAATTGTACAAGTTGTCATGGCTCCCTTGGCGTTCTTCGCACCCACTGAGCATCGCCGAGTTTTAGTATAAGTAAAGAGGGGTAGGGGTGAAATATGACATACGTTTAGGAACATAATCTGTCCGAATTTTCATTGGTCCAGCAGTGTTAACGGAGCTTGCTTGGATTGCTTGTGCACGTGCATATTCTCTCTGGCGAGCTTCCTCGTCCTGTCTCTTCTTTTCAGCACGATCCTCTTCATCATCACTCTCCTCCATTGCAGCATTATCTTCGCCACCAATACCAGCACCACCAACGGCAGCCGCCGCCTCTGCCTCTGCGGCTGCTTGTTTTGCACGATGGGCCTCAATATCCTCAACGGTATTTTCCATGATCATGGCGGCCATCCTCTTCTGTGCTAGTGTCATGTTCTCCACTTCCTGCACGCTCATTGGTGGTGGGAGTTCGGAATTGGCATCTGCAGCAGTAAATTCGATGGTTTGCACAATAGCATAATCGTGCCAGTCAATCTCAGCAAATGCAACTGCAAGGACATTCTCAGCTTTGTGAGTGAGACGATAAAAATGTGCACGTACTTCTTTCAGCCTCTTGATCATCTTCACGCTTCTTGTTCTTCTCTCGTTTATTTCTTTCCCACTTCGCATACTTCCTTGCGAGTTCAAGAGTCTGCCACCGTGCACTTTCCTGCGTCCGCTGCTTCAGCTGTTCCAGCGTCTCCTTATCAGGATAGAGAACTTTTGTATACTGCTCCACCAACCGATTGAAATATCCGAAAAGGGAGTGGGTGGGTCGCAGGAAGTCGAATTGGTAGTTACGTCCCTCACGAGCGGAGAGGTTGGCAAGGAAGATTCGTCCACGCCGAGCTGTGAACAAAGCAGTGGCTTTCATGATATCCCTAACTCCAAAGTATGAGAAGGCACAAAGTATATATGATGCGTGGAGAACGTACAAATCAATAGAGCTAATATGGGGCATTTCCATTATAAACGCTGGTTGCGGAGGCTCTACTCCGATATCTACAACCGGCTTCGGAGCTGAATCCCCTTCCCCTTTTTCGTCTTTCATCTCAGCGTCGTCACCCAAGTCACCTTGAGCGATTTTGTCCATTTTGTGACGATAGTAACCATGATATGGGTCAGCTGGGTTCAGGAACGAGAATTTGGGGTCAGAGCGCTGGCCCTCGCGAATTTTGTCCTCGAACTGAGGAGGATTGGCAGAACGCGCAACGAAATTGGCAGTTCTGTCGATGACAGCTGTGCAGAGTATGTTTTGTGAGGCAGGGCTTGATACGATACAAGTTGTGCTTACATTTTATCTCTGGGGGTGGAAGAATAAGACCACTTGTAAAGCGCATAGGACCGTCCCTAGGCATCCCATGCATGTCATAATCCATGGCGACGTCGCCATTGAAATGAGCGCCGTTCATCAAAGGTTGAGAGTTTACAGCAATTTCAGTCATGTTGACGGTGGACGCCAGGTGAGCAGTCAAGTATATTCCCACGATAAATATTTGCCTTGACTTGTTGCATTGACGGGCACACATGTTCGGAGCATTTCGAGCTACAAATGTGAATCTCGGAGGCCTTTTATGGTGAGATCCACATATTATATTCAATACGCGTATTTCAACTACACTCCAGGAAAACGCCCTGGAAACTCTCTGTGACACGAAAAGCCAACGCTCGTTCCCGTCTGAAGAAGGTTGATGCGGTTATTGAAGCAGTCAGGTCTAGTGGGATGGAATGTGGTGCCCTGGTGCGTGTACAAAGCTTCTGCGTCTCGCAAGTTCTTACTTGTATGGTAGACTCGTGCGCTTGAGCTGCCAAAAGAGCACGAAATGCCAGCCAAGGACAAGTATACAGTTTTCAGCCCAAGCGCGAAAGGGTATAGAAAAGGCATACACAAGGTTCCCAAGTGGACACGAGTGCGTCAAAAGTACCCGCTTCCGTTTCTTCACTGACCTTGTATCTCAGTTGACACTAAGAACAAACCCTAAAGGGTTCTAGCCACATTATACTATTTATTGGGTTCAACCGGATAACGCGCTACGAATACATCTAGAAGAAAACAACTTGAACTTTTCCAGCCTGGATAGCTTTCAGCACCTCTGGTCCACCCAAGACTGTCTTGAAAACTTCATCTCTCGTTTCAGGAATATCGAACAGAGTCCGGTTCTTCGCATCTCGGAAACTTGTGTCAAGAATGATATGCGAGAGAGCGGAAATTGTCAAAGCATCTGGACGCGAGTTGTCGTTGGCCTATTTGACAAGAAATTTCTTTCAACTCACCTGTTTCGCACAATAATTTACCAATTCTGCCTGGCGTGCCAACCGCTGCCCCCACCTTCGTTTGCTTCAGATATGTGACGTGGTCTGCAAGCTTGATATGCTTGGAAAAAAGTTTTGCAACTTCGCCGCCTTTTTCGCCTCTGAGGGGCTTATCTTTCAGTATTCGAGTTATATCTGCCACTCGCAATGCAGCCCCTGCTATGAAAAGCAGCGTGGGCGATCCATTGGCTTTGGATTTTTGTGACAAACGGGTCCGTAGAGTCGGGAGCGCTGCACGAGGGATGAATGAATGGCTCGCGTTGAATTGTAAAAATTGTTGGCCAACCTTCAACGATGAATTTAACAAGGTGATCAAGAGTTCGAGGGCCGGTCCACGAGGTCGTATCCGTAATGGAAGGAGCTGTCTAACTGTTAATTTAGTTTCCTCCTAGAATAAAGCAAGGGTGCGGGTGTACCAGGTATTGCAACATCCCCTATTTCTAGCTCGGAAAGGGTTGGAAAAGTTTTACGTTGCATTGAAGACATGTATTGAGCCAATTCTTCGGGTGCTTTGACAGCCAAGGGTAGGTCAACTGGGGCTGCACTCTCAGCTAGTCGTCTTTTCTGGTTGCATGATGAGTTGGGATTCGAAAACAGTTTCATGGACGAACTTTCGCCTTTTTCTCCTTCTCCCTCTCTCTTCTCTTTCGCTTTTTACCCGCCTGCGTAACCAACTCGGTGGAATCCTGGACCTCCTCATCCTCGCTTCCTTCGCCAGCGACAAATTCACCATTATCCTGTATAGGCGCACCTTCACCTTCATCTTCTGATAAAGCTACAAGGTCATCGGGCACAAAGTCGTCTTCGAGATCGTCACCTCCTTCGAGCTTCATGATAGGTGAACTTTTGTGAAATAAATTTCACGTGACTTGCGACGATACTTTTGACGCTCACAATGATCAGGCGCCTTTCATCGATTCATCGGACCCCGTTCGATGCTCGACCTCTTCACATCAACCGCATACCTGAGCATTTTTTTACTCACAGCCTGTCTTATTTTCTGCTGCTATAAATTCAAATTTTACCTCGTCTCTACTCTGAAGAGTGACCAATTCACCCTTCAAACTCAAGCTTGTCCAGTCTCCATAGATAATATTCTCGTCGACACACCAAACCCATCGAAAACCAAGCAAGCGATGCGATATACACGTCAATCCCGTTTCTCCAAGAAGAAGAGACGCGGTTTTGTGGCGCCTGCCGAGTCGCAGAAGATACCTCCTGAACCCTCCATGACGAGGCAGCCATACGAAGTTTTCTTGGTGCTGGACATAGAGGGAACTTGCGATCAGGGCACGGATTTCAATTACCCCAATGAAATCATTGTATGTGTTGTGCATTTTCCTGCATGTTTATGAGATCAACATGTCCACCTCGTTTTAGGAGTTTCCAGTATGCTTAATGCGCTGGAAAAACAGAACGGACGACGATTTCTGCAGCGAACTGGAAGTTGTTGATGAATTTCGGACATATGTAAAACCAAAGTGGAGACCGACACTCTCGAAGTTCTGCACAGAGCTTACTGGTATAACGCAGGTCCGTTATCACCAATTGGACTCGTTCACACTAATTTTCGTGGCATCTCGTTAGGCACAAGTTGATGACGCACCTCTCTTTCCCGATGTATTGGTTGATCTGGAGAAATTTCTAGCGAAGCATGGATTGATAGATGAAGAAAGCTCGGAGCCTCTGGCACGGTTTTGCTGGTGCAGCGACGGCCCTTTTGATGTCCGAGATTTTGTTGTTAAACAATGTTTTATATCCCAAGTAAGTACCCCTTTGTTCATCTCCATCATGATCATTTATCTAGAACAAGGTCAAGATGCCACAGTGGATACAATATAGTGTTGTGGATGTTCGAAAGGCAGTCTGGCTAGCCCTCCAGTCGGCTCAGACCGAGCAGCCATCGACGCACGTAAGTTTTCAGAGGCGTGGCCTCACCTTTTCTGATGCCTCGATTAGGAAAGTGAATTGCCAACAATCCGCTCGTTAAACATCTCTGCACAACTACAGGCTCTTGAATTGCCGGGATTCGAAGGCAGACAACACAGTGGCATCGACGTTTGTATTCTCACCTTCTTTTTGCGAGTATGGCTTTGAAACTCACCTTGATGGCAAATACGTCATAGGATAGTCGCAACATCGCCAGGATTGTTGCCGAGCTTGCTCGGCGTGGCATTTGCTTGATGCCGAACACAGCAATACATCCAGGAAGGCGATGGCGGTGGATGGGGAAGCACGGCCAGATACGGGAAGAATACTTGAACTAAAGGATCCGTCTCCATCTCTGTGTATTATATTTGATCTTGATCACAGACACCGCAATACTGACTTTCTACGGTAATGATGCTGCTTGTCAAAGCTCGCTTCGACATCACGCGTTTCACGATGGTCGAGACACAGTTTGGTATAGATCGCTATACTCTCAAGCTTCACACTGCCAATATTCCCCGACATTTCACTAAGCAGCTTAATTCTGGGGATAAGAATTAAGGGAGCAAGTTGAAGTCGCCCGGCGGAACAGATGAAAATCGCCATTTGACAAAGTCACGGATAAATTCCCTTCTTCAAAGACATCTGATCTGGCGCCGTTCAGGCCACACGAAATGCCTGCATGGGGCTGAACGCCAATCTCTTAATTGCCTTCTTGGACCAATTACCCCCATTCTGTGTCTGGTTTAGCGTCGAGCAGCATTTTTGCGATGACCGTGGCAGAAAAGTGGCCGCTCGAAATTACAAAACCATTATGTTCATAGAATTGAACCACTTTGACAGCCAAATGACAGGACTTGAGCGGTAATGGCCCTCCTCCTCGCAGCCATCACTTGTAGAACTCAACTATACGACAAGACACATATTCAACGAAACATGGTCGAATTTCGTGAGAAAATTGCGGCCTCGTAACAACTTCGTAACTTTGGCTGGGCCCAAACAAAAAAAACTACTCGAGCCAAGATCAACTTCACCCCTTTTGCCTGCCTTACGTGACCTAAGAGGGTTAAGTAAGGGTATTCGAGAGGTTTCTAAGTGGACGTAAGTCCCAAGTTAGACCCGTATGTTGGCATCGACATTAGCGACATTGAATAGGGTTCAGATAGGTACACGCTCCGGTATATTATACCGCGCAGCGTTGCCGTTGAAGGCTAGATCGTTTTGTGCAAGCGTATTATCTTTCGGGCTGTCGAGATTAAAAATTGGTCAATCAAATCAGTAGAATGTCTTTTTCGCATGCCTGAGATGGACACGTCGAGCGTCAAATTACGGTTGTCCAACAAGTAATGTTTGGCTTCTCTGCCAGTAGGAAACCGAGTTCATTGGCATCTAATAATAATGTAAGTTACCAGCAGGTAACGTTTGTCTATGATATATCCTGTGTATTGATACAGTGTTCATTGTGGCATCCAAGTCAAGTGTAATGTAGTTGTTGCCGAAGATAAATTCTTCCTTCTTTCATCAGGACCACGAACTATTTTTTCACTAAAAACCACTGTCAGATAATATCAGAATGACTGAGGGATTCTCATGCTCACAAAATCCCACAGCGTGCCGAAACACGGAATACCTGCCTCTTTGCAACCTTGCATAATCTCGGAATTTCCGATGAAATTCGATGTGATGAAAACGACTAAAGCTTAGCATGAGAGAAAGATGGTGAGTGAGATTGTCAATAGGCACCTTCAGCGTCCCAATAATGGTACGCCTCTTTGATAATCTTCATGGTATCTGGGCGTCCTCCTCGTGCCTTGCTGTCCCACAGTGTGAGACGTTCGGGTTCAATATTTTCATGGATAAGCCGGCTAATTGTTGGCCCGAACGTCTTCTCTTGCTCGGAACCTGAAGACTGCTTAGCCGACACCAAGAGAGAGAGAAAAAAGGCCGCTGACCGATCCATATCAGATACCAGTCAGGCGATTGTAGACATGTTGAAAGGGCGGCGCCAATGCCCGTGCCGGTACAAATACGAATACCACGCTTGTACAGGGTGGAGGTATTAGAAACTCCAGCAAACTGTTGGAAACATTGAGAAGACTGAGATGCGGGGATGGGCTATTTTAATTACCTTCAATTCCCGGGTCCAGATGGTCTTCGGTGGGTTTTGTACGAGCCCTCGTGTGAAGTCGCCTACGACGTCCCCGTCATCATCACGTTGACATAGGATGTTAGCGATCTATCGAACCTTGAACACCTGCAATCATATAGTGGTATTTCGCGTGTCGACCCTCTCTGAAACAGATTGATGGAATGACGACAAGGGGGGCATTATGACACTCACGATATAATCCCGAAGGCATGATATTCCATGATCGAGGAGCGACTGATCCGTCCCAAGAGACCTTGTTGCATGCCGCGTTTGAAGCGGATGATTGCAACCTTTGGTGAGGGCTACATCACGGCCCATTAGAAAATTCCGTATGCCACGGAGAATATTAACCCACAAGTTCAATGTCGATAGGCACCTCCCTAACGAAAAACCAAGGCAGAGCGATGCTGCGAGGTGAAAGGCGTTAGCTGCGGTTCCCATCACAATGAGATGCGGTGTACAAAATGGTCATCCCCATCGTGAACCAAAAATCCTGATGATGAACAAGATCAATTCCGTTGAGATTCCACGAGCGAGTAACTGGATCATAGGTATCGCCGAGGATAACAAAAACCCCTGAGAATGTGATGACATATACCCAACCAGGAAATAGAAGAAGTAAATCTTACAGGTGCAGATGAGGCCCAGCCATCCAACAAATCGGTGGTGACGTTCAAAAACACTACATAATTGGTATCTCAACCGTGGCAGGGGATAACCGCAGCAATATTTACGTACTTGTGGTGGGTATTCCGAACCCAAGGAAATGCACTTAAAGCGCTGATCATGACAGCCAGGTTTGTGACTACTCCCATCACCAAGACGGCGTCATGAGTGACATTGAGCTTCCGAAAATTGTTGACGACTTTGAACAAAAGCCAAATAACCCCAGAGAGTGCGCAGCCGCTGTGAATACCGCCAAGATGCTGTGGTACATGTCAGCACTGCACTGCCCGCAATGTCGCTGGTGACGTACTTGTAAGACGGATGTGCAACCCAAGCGAAACCATAATGGCGGCCACTGGGTATGTGAGCTGAAAGATCTTCGCAATCAGCAAGCCACTGACCTTGGCAAAACAGGTGTTAACGAAGAGATAGAGGAAGCGGCCAAAAACCTCGTTTCGCATTAGGATGGCGAAGTTGAAGTTTGCAACCACGATCGTGCCAGAGTATTTTACGCCGTATGGAAAATGCCCAGAGGCCGCCAAAACCAGACCGATCATGTTTAGGCCGAAAGTGAACGTAAAAAACTTTCTGGAGAGTCGTGAGTCATACTGAACGGAATGGAGAAGGCATCTTACCTGTATGTGTTGAACCAGAGATTCCATAATATCCACTTAGAGACCACCATCTTGGACTTGGGCGCTGAACTAGCTGTAGGTTTTTCTGAAAGGATGACTTCCTGGGTTGTTGTTGTAACACCCGCATCCTTCTCCTTCGAGGGGAGTGGGTCATCGGAAGGGGGTTTAACGTCCTTGGAGTGGGATAATGACACTGGCAGGGTGTCGAGAATCCCCTTTTCGGCGTCGATGAGGGCTTGAGGGTGTCCTCTGATCTCTTGAGACATGACCAGGATTGTCGATACCAGTAATAGCGCAGCAAGTATAAGATAAGCTACGAGGGGAGGGTCATAGAACTGGGGAGAAATCTCGCATATTTATATGCCATGGAACCGGTCAGGTCGAAGACACAGGGTGAAAAATAACCATAGGAAATAAGATCCAAAAGAGAATCAATCCACCAACGTCAGAAAGTGGCAAACTCGCGGGCCTGAAGTTTTGGCCCGGGTCCTACATTCCGAGAATTCCGGTAGCTCGCATGCCTTCGAATACGGAATGAACCACATCTCGTTCCTCAGGGCGGTCCAAAGAAGCCGCAAAGCAGGTTTCGATACATTAGGAAGTGGAAGATACTTCGAGGCGCCTGCGCAACCTTCATGAACAGATCTAGGCTGTGGTACCCCCTTTAGGTCGCTTAGGTATCAGCCGGCGTTGCTGATATTCCTGTGTTAGGTCTCCAGAGCGCCTCATGGACATCCCGCTCATGGTTTGGCGTGTAAATGTTTCAGCGGAGTAAAGCTACCTATGGATCGGTACCGGTATGAAAGCTTTGAGCCGAAATCAATCCGTAGCACTGGTGGAGATTTTGCCAGAGGGCGCAGTGCTACCGCTGACGAGTGAGGTGAGTCACTTGGGAGATCAAGATGCGTACTCAATCTCAATAAGTATGATAAGTGAGAATTTGACGACTTGATCAACCTTGGACAACGTGGGCCTCCAGAAACCAGGACCAGATATGGGGAATAATCGATGACTTGGTCATTGGAAGAAGGAATTCAGAGATCTTGTGGGTTTCTACGGTTCTCTTCCTGTGGAGCCAAAAACTCACAGTTGTTTATTGGCGTTCAGGGAGCTCTCTGCGTGGGCGAGAAAGCACGATGGTAGTTTCAAAAGAGATCCAAGTAGGGATTAGTAGGAAAGCATCCACACTGCTCTCACCACAATGGATTGGCCAGGTACCGGTAACCTGTTCATAGGACAAAGTGGTACAAACATAGTCAATTACTCAACGAGTCAGATTGAAGCGCGCTTACCACTTGTATAGTCAGGGAAACTGAGATCGACATTGGCGATTTTCACTGGCAAGGAACGGCCTCGTTCCCTAGTTTTACTACAAAAGTCTTGTAACCTGTTTTTGGTTTTGCCGAGTATGTTCAGCATAATCAGATCTGCACACTCGCGGTATAATGGAGAAAAGTTGTGTCCGCTTTGCCGAATGTACACGCATGTCTTGATACAAACAAATAGAATACATCGTGAGTTCCATAAAATAAGAATATAATAATCGAGCACCAATGAATTAATCTGCCTCCGCAAAGTCACGCAGTTCCCCCAGGTGTCGAGATACTTCCTCCTTAAACATCGCAATCTCATGGCTATTCTTAATGATGGCGCGAACCGTCTCCTCCTTCAGTCGGGAGACTTTTTCCATCTGTTCACGATAGCTGTGAGGATATTCACCAATAAGCGCTTGAAGTCAATTGAAATCGATGTACGTAACTTGAATTGAAGCGTCTGTAAACGTGATTTGACACCCATGCCATTTGCCAGGGCGGCGGTTCTGGCATGTGCCAAATCGCGTTCTAATCGTACCGCTTCTCCGCTGGCCACCAATGCCTCCTGTTGTGCCGCCTGTATATCCGAAGTTCATATCGAAAACCGTCGTCTCAAGTAAGAAGGTGTACGTACATCGCGTAGATCATCTGCTTGCTCGTTCAATCCGCCGACCTTTTTTTCAACTTCCGCAATCTCTTCGTCGACGTTTTCGCATTCCAAAGTGAGCTGGTCAAGTTCGTTGTCAATCTTGATCCGTTCACTTTCGATAGAAGCTCGGTTCGAACGTTTCGATTCCGCAATGGCGCTTAACGTTGGCTTGATCACTTTCCGAATATCCGCTCCAGAAAGCAGCTGTTGGGGATTGGATGCAGCTGGGTTCAGATCCAAGGTGAGGTCCACGTCCTGCCACGGAGGTGGAAGTGGAGGGAAAAGCTCCAACGACGACAAGAGATTGTTGTAGAGATCCAAAGCCTCTTCCGCGCCAGCTACTCGGTTCGTCACCTTGACCTCCAGGGTCATGACGATCTGATGTGTTTCCGAGATTCTTTGCTTGAGATCCTCCAAAGTCCTTGATAATGTTTCGTGGTCTGTATTCATACGGATTACCTCCTCGGGAGTCAGATTCTGTGCTTTGACAATTTCGGACAGTCTTTCTTGTTCAGTTGTGAGCTGTTCAAGACGCGCCCCTGGCAGTAATCTATCAGATAGGTGGGGATAAATCCGTCGACATCGACCAACCTTCCCTCTGAAGTTCCGCCTTCTCGTAGGCAATGGTATCAATCAGTTTTTTCTTCCGGCCTTCGTATTGTTGAAGAATTTTCTGGAACTTTTCACTGTCGGCCTTCAACAACATGTTCTCATTCTGAAGTTTAGTGATTGGAGCCTTTTCAAAGCAGGATCGTAAGCTTCATAAGATGGAGGGGCACAGAAAAACCTACAGACGATGACTTGAGCTTGGTTATTACAGATTTTGCCTGATCTAGCCGGTTGGATTGTTCCTCAAGTTCCATCTGTACTTGTTCATTCTTCTTAGCTAGGAGATCTCACGTCAGAGATGGAGTCGTGAACAATATGTGTTGCCTACCATAACGGTCTTCAAGATTCTGGTTTGGTTCTGCGAAATCATCAATAAGGTCAAGCCAGACTGTGTAAGCCTCTTCATAATAATTGAAGGCGAGCGCTTTGTGGTCCAAGGGGTCGTCAAACTCGTCTGGAATGTCTGAAACTATCTGTAGTGACGGATGTCCACTACAAAGATAATCAGTCCGCATCTGAAAATACGCAATTTGAGGGTGAGTCTGGATGATTCAAGCGTGAGCCTACTTTATTAAGTTCAACAAGCCAATGCAAAACACCCAGCAAAGATGGCCACGAATGCATGCTAGCAGGTGCTGCAAGCCACTTGTTATCTATTTGGTGAGCGAAGGGATAACGGACAGCTTTGAGAGCAGGAACAAATTCATCCTCAAAACGGGCATTTTGATTCAAAGGATGAAAGGGATCCAGATTCAAAATGAGAAAGTCGAAAATTGCTCTGTAATCCTTTCCCTGTATGTTCGCAAGGGTTGCCATTGTGATATCGAACCCAGAACTCTGGAGGTAGCTGAGAATATCCTGTCGCATCTTGGTCTGGTATTGCCGATCACGCAATGGACGCGTGTCTTTAACAGTCTGGCTGCTAGATGGTTGACTTAATACCGCTCCACCCGTCCACATCGATCCGCGACGAGTGCTACTAAACATAAGGTAAGGTGCGTGTAGGTTGAACAAAAAAGATAGAGAACTTACTTGCTCAACGGTGTTCGTCCAAAATTAGGTTTACTGGTGCTCTGTAATATATGATTCACATTCTGGGAGCGCATCATTGACTGTCTGGGATTGGTACTTGGAGGAGCTGGGTAAGGGGCGCGTAAAGCGGGACCAGCGAGCGACATGCGCGAATGTGAACTTGAGGCTGGAGTTGGCTTCTTGATCGTAGCTGGGACAGGTATACCTGATCGAACATTTCCGTAAAGATCAGCAGCAGCTGGCATCGTAGATTTGCGTCGCGCGTCCATGACGGACGCGTCGTCGGTTGAATGAGATGCAAGTCGATTCAAAACCTCACGTATCGTGGTTCGTTGAATGTAACATCACGTGACTTCTGTCACATCCCATGATACCTGTAATTACACGGCTGTGAGCACCAACTTTATCAAGTTCGAACTTCAACGGTTCAAGTGTTCTTCGTCTGTAAATCGAGGCACATCGGCGTAAATTAAAGGATGTCTTCTCCTGTTACCCGCCCACTTTTTGGAGGCGCTATTGTTGCGGAGACGCCAGCGAACCTGATCGATGCCTCGTATGTCACCCGTTCAATTCTCCATTCGAAATACACTTACGCCGGCTTTTGACAAGTGATGTGCGTCAGGTCCCCGATGCCCAGGAAGTGCTTTTGTACCCTAATTCCAGTGTTAGTATCATCGTCGAAATTCTCCAAAGGGTCGAACCTGCCCATTTTGAAGACGCCATCAAGTTGAATTCTCCCTGCCATTCTAGTTGCTTCTTTTGACAAGCTTATCTCCCGTTAGATTCCATTTTGATTCCGTCGCCCATGATAATTCGGCGCAATCTGTACTCGTGGATTCCGTCACTGTTGTTCCCAATGACAGAGGCGATGACACGCCTTCTGCTGTCACTCTCAAGGGTGCACAGCGCGTCCCAAAATTTAATCGTGTCACACCGGATGATGTCCGCATCTTCATGGCTCTCTTTCGTCTGGAACACAAAGAAATAGACCTTGTGGTCACCTTTAATGTTCCTGTCATGACACAGGATGGAGGGGCAGTCGGCTCCGAAGGATTAGAACAAGCGGAATCAGACTTTCACAAATTTGTCACATCTTTCCGAATTTGCGATTACGGCCTGTTTGCTTAGGGCTAGATAAGAAGTAAAGACAAGTATACCAGGGTTCTACGATTGCCTCTCACTTTGGGAGTTGCGCCATTCTATGGAGAAGCAGCATGACATCTCCCCACCTGGAGGATTCGACATTTACCAGCGTTCTCCGAGATCTCACCGATTAGAAAAATCTTCACATTGCCTCTCACGCTTGACCCACAACTACGTTCAAACCCTCAATTAATTGGAGTCTCGCGCCGGGTATCGAGCATTCCGAAGTAAGCCGTATGGCACAGTGATTTCTCGCCATTATATGGAGAAGCAGCTAGTGCTAGATAAGAAGTAAAGGACAAGCACACCAGGGTTCTACTATTGCCTCTCGCTTTGAGAGTTGCTGGCCATTCTATGGAGAAGCAGCATGACATTTCCTCGCCTAGAGGATTCGACATTTACCAGCGTTTTCCGAGATCTCATCGATTAGAAAAATCTTCACATTGCCTCTCACGCTTGATCTACAACTACGTTCAAACCCTCAATTAACTGGAGTCTCGCGCCGGTTATCGAGCATTCCGAAGTAAGCCATATGGCCAAGTGATTTGGTGTCATAACCGATGGGAAGAGATCGTGCCCTTCCAGCCCGCCACCAATCACAAACGAACAGCATGGTGAAACAGGAATGGTCGCCTTCTGTTATGGACCTCGCTGTCGAGACCTCGCCACATGCAAGCGTAGACCGTCAGATCGCTCAAGCGAAAACAGGTATTGATTACCGTAGAGGATTTTCCCTGATGGAGGACGAAAACCGGTACCGGTGTATACGGTCAAGGTTTTGCCTGAAGGAGCAGCGTAAAGGCTGTCAACTTCCGTTCCCAACAGACGATCCCCGCTTCCAATTCGGAGGCTCTTACACGCCGGCAAAGAAAGAAACGTTGACATAGGAATACATGGGAGGAGTAACAAAGAGAGAGGCAACGATAACGACTGACGAGAAGACGGAATGCACTTGATGGCTACGATTCAGTCGCGCCGTCTAACTCCTCTTCAGCCTCGGGTTCCTCGACTATGCGATCTCTCGCACCGGCTGTGGCGACCTCAGCTGCTACTTTAGCTTCTTTCTTGCGTTTAGCCGATTCCTTCAGCTTTTCCCAGCGCTCCCGAAACTTGGTTATCATAAGTTTCTGTTCAAAGGCCTATCAGCAACGCAGGGGCAAGCCTGGACAATGTGGACGAACGTGTTTCTCATTCTCCGCTCGAACCGCGCGTAGCTCATCTTCGAGCTCTTTTACTCTCCGGGCATATTGTGCTTCTCTGCCTGTATTCATGCCTGGTATAGGGACAGCTGGTATATTATTGAGAGCGTTGAGATCGAGAGCAGGCCGCTGTAGCAATCCCGATGTTCCCATGGCGCGTTGCGCCTGCAAGCGTCATTTGTAAGCGACAAAGTAAACAGAGGATTTAAACACACCTCCCGTGTTGCCTGGAAGATACTATCACGCAGGTGAACATCTTGCTCTTTCCGCATTTGCAACATTCGCTCAGTCGCTTTTAAGCGTTTCTGCAGGGCAGCTGTCTCTGCTCTCAGTGAGGTGTTTTCTTTCTTGAGCGCGGCAGGAGATGGCTCATCGCCAGAAGGTATCAAGCAAAATGATTCAGAAAGGTGATCGCCTTCTTATAGGATATCAACTAAATTTTTAGCCAGAAAAAGATGAGAGGTACCTTCATCCAATAAATCATCATCCTCGAAGCCTTCAGTGTCTAGAGGTGTCGCTTTTTGTTTACCACTGTCGCGGACTGACCCTATTCCCATTCGCCTGGTAAAGCGTGATAGCATTGGTTCTTCATAGTCAGTATCGCTACTAAAACTATTGTCTTTGCGAAGCCCCTCTCTCGCAGGAGGGGTTTTCGTGCCGGACGTCGGCCCACTTGTAGATGGATCTTGGTTACCCATGGGGACAGTCGCAAATGCAACGGGTTGAGATAGGTTATCCAACATTCCTTGCATGATATTCCAAAATTGATTGAATGCATCTCCCGGATCTGACTGAGGCCGTAAATGTAAAAGCAGCCTTTGTTTTAATAACGGGAGACGAACTTACTCGCTGTCCTCCCAGAAGCATGAAAGATTCGTCGACTGCATTCTGAGAGTCTGTCATGGGCCGATGGGGCGGCGGGGAAGATGAGTGGATGCGTGGCGAACCCGCTAAATACGAGCTGGAGTGCTGACGGAGTGGAGGCGCTCTTGATGATTCTGCTTTCTGAGGTAACGCGGGATCCTTTCCTTCATTCTTTAATTTCTCAATTTTTCTTTGTAACTCCTTCCCTGCCTTGCAATGCTCGTCGTGAAGCCTTCGAAGGGTACGCTTGGCCTAGGAAAAGAGCGTTGGTGAGGAGAAGCGCGACGTGGGAATGGGGCTCAACAGATTCGTCGTGGCTACGCTCTATAGCAGCCAGATAAGCTTCTGCAGCCTTAAAGTGCTCTTCTGCAGCTAGCACAATCAATCCTTTCGACAAATAGTCGTCTGCGTTTGCGGTATGTTGGTGAGCCTGTGCAAGTTTAGTCAAACTTGATCGGAATGACATGTCAAGCTATGTTCAAACCGTGTTCATTGATGTTTTAGTGGCCGCAAAAATCTCATGGAGAGAGCTATGATGCGATTCAAGATGTTTTCCCCTCGCTGTAGATGATGGTGGGATATGAGCGGCTGTGTAGCAGTACTGGAATCAGAGCTGCACAGTGTCAAGCCATTCCAAATTTGGCAGGCACTCGAATTACTCTTCTTCGGTACTCGCTCTCTGCCACTACGACCCAACTAATAATTATTGCATTGACGGCGAGCGAAGGCGCCTGCTCTGCAAAAAGCCCGCGATCGCCGACCATTGACGCTATTGCCCAACTGCGCTCATTTATGTTCAGGCACGTGCCACTTACATAAGGTGGATTACTGCTCAGCCTTTACTCCCACTTTCATCGTCGTCGTCAAGCTCCTCCTCTCCATCCGAAAGACTTTGCAAGTTCTACAGTGGTCATTTTCTACTAGCATTATATCCTTTGTAAGCTAGAGGGAAATGTCGACCGCTCCAGGCGTTCTGTAAGTTTTCTGGCATGCGTCTCGCCCTGATTGCTAACGTCAACCCTTTTCCGAATAAAAGGAGGAAGAAGATCAGAGTTACAGGTGCGTTATTGAGGCATCATCAATTTTCTTTCGTTGACATTGTATTTTGTGACCTGCAGTCGTTGCTGCTGACGGGCTATCCAAACGAGACGTTTTCCGACTGCCCGATCCATTCGCAGTCATAACCGTCGATGCGGAGCAGACCCACACGACAAGCGTCATTAAGAAGACTCTCAATCCTTATTGGAATGAAAGCTTTGATATGTGCGCGCTCAACTCCACTTGCCATTTTATGACTCATCCCTTCCAAACTCTAGAACGGTCAAGGATTCTTCTGTCGTTGCTGTTCAAATATTTGACCAACGCAAGTTCAAGAGGAGGGATCAAGGATTTTTGGGTGTGGTGAATGTGAGAGTCAGCGATGTGTTGGACCTTGAACTTGGCGGCCATGGTGCGTGAAACTTTCCATGCGCCTGTTCTCTCCTCTCACCAAATCCTTCGAATCTTTCCCCCAGAGATGCTTACATTGGACCTCAAAAAATCGAATGACAACCTCGTTGTTCATGGCAAACTTATCATTTACTTGTCGACAAATATTACCCAACCTATTGCTAACCCTGGCCCGTCTCAAATGTCCGGATTGAATGCCGCCCTCTCTGATATGGGGTTGAGTAATGGTTCACCCTCGGCCAGCACTTCCAATCTCCCATTGCAAGCCTCCGCAAGCAGCACTTTATCGCGAGCTCCCAGTTCCCACGCCACAGGCACAGATACAGCAACTTCTTCGATGCCAGTGCCTTCTCCGGTGACTACCACTTCGGAAGAACAACAACAATCCACAGCGCCCACATCTCGCCCAGCGAGCTCTGTTTCGGCCTCAAACTCTGCAACTGTGGCACCTGCTCCAACTGCCCACGGCACTACCTCGCCTGCATCTGCCGCGCAAAACGCCCAGATGCGCAATTTCAACCCCAACGTCGATCAATATGGCCCATTACCCCCGGGTTGGGAACGTCGTATAGACCCTCTAGGACGTACATATTATGTGGACCACAACACGCGTACAACCACGTGGAACAGGCCCTCGGCGAGCGCGGCCGCCAACACCATCACACAAGATAGCGAAACCAGCGCAGCCCGTGATCAACATTCTCGTCGTATCCTCGCCGACGATTTGCTAGAAGCCAACAATCCGGTGTATCGAAGTGGGTCGGCAGCGGGTGGATCGGCCTCAGCTGCACCTCAGCCAGCTGCACCAGCAGCTATCCCGGCGAGCACGGCGACCACCCCAGGAACGGGCAGTTTACCTAATGGTTGGGAGGAACGCTACACCCCGGAGGGTCGCCCGTATTATGTTGATCATAATACACGAACGACTACATGGGTCGATCCACGACGACAAACCATCATCCGCGTGATGGGGCCCGCCGGCCAAGGTGCTGCGTTACAACCTCAGACGATTTCACAGCTCGGCCCTCTCCCGTCGGGCTGGGAAATGCGTCTGACGTCCACCGCCCGTGTTTACTTTGTCGACCACAACACAAAGACGACAACTTGGGATGACCCTCGTCTTCCGTCGACGCTTGATGCCAACGTGCCTCAGTACAAGCGAGACTTTAGGAGAAAACTTATCTACTTCCGAAGTCAACCTGCCATGCGAGCACAACCGGGCAACTGTCAGATTAAGATTAGACGAAACCACATCTTTGAAGACAGTTACGCGGAGATTATGCGACAAACTCCCAACGATTTAAAGAAACGGTTAATGATCAAGTTTGACGGTGAAGATGGTTTGGATTATGGTGGTCTTTCGAGGTGCGTTTATCTTTTGACATTCTCAGTGCTTCGTTGATAAGCGCTATTTCTGGCAGAGAATTCTTCTTCTTGCTATCCCACGAGATGTTCAATCCGTTTTACTGCTTGTTTGAATACTCTGCGCACGACAACTATACCCTCCAAATCAACCCTGCTTCAGGCGTCAACCCCGAGCATTTGAACTACTTCAAGTTCATCGGCCGATGCCTGGGTCTTGGTATCTTCCATCGTCGGTTCTTGGATGCGTACTTTATCGTCAGCTTCTACAAAATGATTTTGAAAAAGAAAGTAACGCTGTCAGACTTGGAGAGCGTTGATGCAGAGTTGCACCGCGGTATGACTTGGATGCTGTAGGTTACTTTGCCCGGTTATGTGGCTATGTAGCTGACACTCCTCAGCGAAAACGATATCACAGATATTATCGACGAAACATTTACCACTACGGAAGAGCGATTCGGAGAAATGGTCACGATTGACCTCAAACCGGGCGGGGCTGATGTACCGGTCACAGAAGAGAATAAAAAGGAATACGTGGATCACGTTGTCGATTACCGCATTTCCAAACGGGTGAACGAGCAATTCGAGGCGTTCATGTCGGGATTCAGCGAGCTCATCCCTCAGGAACTGATTACAGTCTTCGATGAACGCGAACTGGAGCTGTTGATCGGTGGCATGTCCGAGATCGACGTGTACGTTTTACTCGTGTGGTTTCTGGATGTTCACTCATCATACGTACTTCAGCGACGACTGGACCAAATTTACTGATTATCGCGGCTACGAAATGAACGACGAGGTGATCCAATGGTTCTGGAAGTGTGTTCGCAGCTGGCCTCCTGAGCGCAAATCGCGTTTGTTGCAATTTGCCACGGGCACGTCGCGTATCCCCGTCAATGGGTTCAAGGACTTGCAAGGATCCGACGGGCCTCGACGATTCACGATCGAAAAGTCGGGAGATCCATCACAGCTGCCGAAGAGTCATACCTGTTTCAACCGTATCGATTTACCCCCTTATAAGGATTACGCCAGTCTGGAGCATAAGCTCACTCTTGCTGTAGAGTATGTGTTTTTTTTTTTACTTTTTCGATGTTCCATTGAATTGACCAACACTTCTGCAGGGAAACCGTTGGTTTCGGGCAAGAGTAAAAGGACCTTGGAATTAATATAATCCCTCTGGAAGAGGCTGTACTCGTATATAATACACGACGTCGTCAGTGATATCGTTTATGCTTATCCAGTGATTGGACTTGTGTTTCCCCCCTACCTGGATTCATGTTTGCTAATTAATTTAAATGTTCCTCATATTACATTTGATCCAAGTAGGTTAGTGTGTGCGATTCAACGCTTTTCAAACGCAAATGCAATATAAATGTCTATGAAAAGAGTCGCGTTTGTTTCATTGTTTATGAAGAAGCGGGGAAAAGACGTACTAGCTGCCTCCCATTGATCCTCGTCCATCGCGCTCTCGCCATTCGTGTCTACTACCTTCATGCGGACCAGGAGAGGCTTAAACTCGGGGTGCTCCTGATGCTCCTCAAACACCTGGTGGAATTCCTCTTTATACACCGGATACAGCTTGTAATCTGCGGCCATTCTGCAAGAAATCAACACAGGCATCTGGCAGAAATGAAAGACAGAAACTCACTGTACAAAATTTTCCCATCGCACGACGTACTCTGGTACATTCTCGACCGCGTCTTGCAGGAAAAACCAGTACTTGTGGCCGAACATGGGTTTCGAGTCCCGGTTTTCAAATCGAATTTTGTATACCGAGTTTCCGAATGATAGATCGTCCTTATCGGGAGGGAGTTCATCGAGATGTTCTCTACATGACACATTAATTGATTGGAAAGTAGGCGAAAACGTGGTTACATACAGCAAGATATCGGCGTTGGGTATCGTCCCGATAAAGACACCTCCCGTCCTTAGATGCCGGCTGACGTTCTCAAGCATACAACGCGCCTTTTGGACAGTCTCAAAAGCGTAGTGCATGCAAAATTGCATCGAGACGACGTCGAATGGTTGCGCGAGTTTTGCGGGGGAAAACGCTTTGGAGAGAGGCTCGGTGTAACAGTCCAGCGCAGCAAAATGAGCTTCGAACCGTGGACCACGCATTGATTCCCAACGTGAACGCGCTTGATCCACCGACACCGCCGCAATATCTGAATCGTTTCAACTCCATATTATTCCAAAATGAAAAATAAGAAACGCACCAACTCCAAACAGCTCCCTCACATGCGCCTTTGCCCACTTTGTCATATCACCGCCTTTCCCACACCCCATATCCAGCACCTTGCCACTCCCCCCTCGCCCTCCTCTCCCCGGACCCGAATACCCATTCGACGACGGACTTTTCGCGAGCACGGGGTGTGCGAAGCGCGAGATGAGCACGGACTTTACCCAGTTGTTAAAGTTCTTCAAACCAATGATAGGTGATTCTAATCGTTGTACTACACCAACGTCTGGCCGTGAGTTGTCTGTAACGTGTTAGCAAGTGAAAGGTGGTGAGGAGAGGTTAAAGAAGGGCGTACAGTGCTGCACTACGACACCGACGTCGCCTACCAGCTTCTTCAGCGGAGGTTGATCTAAAGTGTCCGGTTCGTTGCTGGCACCTCGTTTCCGCTTTGTGAGACGAGAGCTGCCCTGCCCACGGTAATGTTTAAAGTCCTCCATCTCAGCCCGGGAAAGAGGAACGAGGATAGAACCCGGGGCCGTTCTCCGGACAGGATTGTAAGGAGCTGCAGCAGGTGGAGGGGGAGATGGTGGTGGGGGCATGGGAGGGGATGAGGGAGTGTAGTGGGATGATGATGATGGACGAGATGAACGAGAGATAGGTGACTCTGGGTCAGTAAAAGTAAGTGGAATATCGGTGTTGAGGAGGAGATGGTCGATCGAGTTCGGCCTTTTGTGTTTCTCGGTGGGTTGATCCGAGTTGAGGAGAACGGACAAATGAGTTGCCCGCCTAGTTGGTGGCATAAAGTAGGATGAAGATGAAGGGTCAATTGGAGAATTTAGGACAGCATCGCGTACAGGATCAAATGCAGGCATTTTTACCAGCTGCAATCAAGTTGTAAACTAAACTACTTAGTTCTACACACTACTCTTGCTGATGTAATCGCTTGATCATCCACGACTTTACATCGCCACTCGAACGCTACAACTCTTCAGTCAAAATCAAACAATATTACAATTCGCTTACCTCCACATATCGCGTTTTGGCACGGATGCTGTCCAGCGTCTGTCCAAGTGCTTGAACGTATTTCGACGTATCCTTGTCCTATAAATCAAGGTCCGTCATCCCTTGAAATCACACACTTTTCCGTCCCTCCTTACCTTGAAAAACTCGGCTATCTCCTTATAATCCTTCTCCGTCGCGTAAAAGTCCAGGGAGATCTGTCCGTCCGTAAGCCTTGTGTTTCACCCATCCCTCGGATCACTTACCGAAACAAGGTACCGCAGCGTGAAGTTGCCCTCAAATCTCTTGTAAAGCTGCAATCTCTACTCAGTTCACCGCACAACAACAACTTCCAAATCCACTCACAGTATCATATTCATCTTGGAAATATTTGCTCAATAGCCGGCGCGTCTTGAAGTTGCTCGCCAGTCCCCTGAAAAAGTACATGATATCTTGGTCCCGACACTTTGTACCAATAGAAGCCAATGTCTGATGCATCAACTCGGGAACTTCTGTCGCACCAAGCGCAGTCATGGCCGCAATTTTCTGCGCAGGCGTCTTTGGGTTGTCATATATTTTGACAACAGCATCATACTCTTCACGACCACCATGCCTAACGGCCTAAATCATTCTCTAAGTTCATGACACTTGATCAAAAATGATCAACCCACCGTCGCAAATATGACACCCTGCAGATCCGCCGGGATTTTAGAGTCATCTCCTGTGCTCACATAGTGGTGGAAGCGGCTCTTCAACTCTTCCATCACCCTATTCCACAATTGATCAGAATTCACCCAATCATTTCAAACAGCTTACGTTGGGTCACGAGCAGCAGTTGATTGACCAACGGCGAGTGTTCGCAAAAGCGAAATATCTGGCGTTTCAGAGTCCGAGTACTCGTATCCAAGCCTTTTCACTAGAGGAACGAACAACTCCTGCAACAGCGGTTCAGAATATCACCAACATGCCAGGCAAATACATACCCTCCGGAAGGCATTCAACTGATCAACAATATCAGGGTGCTCCCACCACGTCGACACAAGACTACTCAGATTGTCTCCAATTCCAGACCACACAAGATCTAAAATGCGAGGGTAAGCGACGCGAGCATCAACCACACCCCCAACTTACATTCTTTCTCGTCCTTCAGCAGATCTATCAACGTGAGCGAGCTGCTCAAATTCGCGAGCCCAGCTTTGGAGAGTGCCAACGAATCAAACACGAGCCCAATCCGATCATTGAGAGAGAATACAGAATCTTCTTTGGCAGCTTCTGCCGCAATTTTGGCGAGGCGTTCAGGGGTGTACAGTACGCGATCTGTAAAGGGCTCAGACCACGAGATCTCAAAGGAAACAGGAAGAGATCACATACAAACGCCGACTGTGTTTGCATTGAGTTTGAAAGACTTGCTAGTGTCTAGGGGGAAGAACTTTTCGCGCTCTTCCAAGATCGCCGTCTTATCGATGGAGTATTTGCCATCCTTCCAGGAGAGAATCGACAGGGGGACGTTCCTGTAGAGACATGAGCTTCACAGCAAATCAACAAAAGTATAAAACTCGCCAAATAGTTTCATTATCTTTAGGATCCGCAAAGCCCGTCTCTAGGAATCTATCTTGACGAACAAGGATGCCTCTTTCAGTTTCCGTCACCGTCAAGACCGGGAACCCAATCTACGTCGTCGTCAGATTTTGAATCTCAAGCACCCAGCTGGAAAATAACCTTGGTGATCCAATTTTCCATGAGCTGCGTGATATTCAAATCAGTCGCAGCGCTGATTCCCTCCCATAAATCGTGCGTAACGCTGTTTGCGAACAACTTTTTCTTGAGGTACAAGGAAACACCTTTCAAAAATCTTTCTTCTCCAACGTAGTCAGAAAGCATGCGCAGAGCTAGATATGCTTGATTCAAAATCGATAACTTGGCCATTGAAAAATACACACTCGAGGCAGCCTTGGAGTAAGAAAGCGCATCAAAAATCTGTTGGAAAGGTCAGCATGGATGTATGACCTGGTCAGTGGCCAACCTGGTTTATATGGTTGGCATCCGGACAATCGACTTCAATAGGGTGCGAAGAGAGTTTGGCATCCAGCGCGAGGGCGCTGTTCAAGTGATCCGCGATAAATTCAGAGTTGACCTTCCATTCGGGGAACACTCTGGATGGAGGTCAGAACATCAAGTAGCATCAAAAGGTTTGGAAAACTTTCTTATCTAAAGAATGTTCAACACGAATGCACAAAAATGTAAGAGAGAAGTGACGCACCAGGGATGATGACTTCGCCCATCTGCATCCACGATGAGTATATAAGACCAATCTATTAGTGTTTGCTTACCAGAGTAGCAAATCCTAAACAAATGAGGGATAAGCTTTCGAGCTGCTGAAAACACAACAAACGCAGTATACCTTCATTGAGATAGAGATAGTTCCACCATTCCATAGTTGTGATGTTTCCGAACCTGTGTGCTGCGTTTGCGTTTAAATTTGATGATAGTACTCTGTACGTACCACATGTGCGCAACCTCATGACTCTGTACCGTTGCCACCCTCTTCTTGGATCGGAGGTCTGAGCGCTTGGGATCGAGAAGGAAGACACTAGTACGACCAGTGATCAAACCCCAGTTTTCCATGGCGCCTGCAAACATGGTCAAAGAATTATAAACAATAAAAGCAATCTACTAACCTGCATCAAAATCATTGGCCTTGTTAAGGATGAGCAACGAGAGTAAAGACGAAAATGGAATATACCCACCACAAGTGTGTCCAACTTCGGGAGGGGGAATTCAACGTCGAATATTTTCTCATACAAAGGCAATACAGCGGCTTTGACATCAAGTGCGAACTGCGCTTGGTGGATGACATCAGGAGTAGCTATAAAGCAGATCAGCAACATGCGGGAATTGGTGAAGTGTAAAACGCACTGTAAATGCGCAACGGTATGGTCTTTCCACTCAAAGGCATAACAACCGACGTCTCCAAAAACTCGAAATGTCCATTTGCAACTGCGACGATATACGACGACATGGGGGGAGTCGTCTCGAACTTGGTGATCTTCCATTTATCCTCTTGGTTCAATGTCGACGAGAGCAATTCTGCGATATCCCCAGGTACGATGGCGTTCGGCTCGTAGACCTCTTCCGAAGTAGCTGGCATGTTGCTCAAGTTGACCGTATCCGCTCGAGAAATCATGGTGATAGCAAAAGTGGCCTTCAGGAGGGGTTCATCCCAGCAAGGGAACGCGCGCCGTGCGGCTGTGGGCTGTTTTGTTGGGCATCATAAGCACAGGCGTGATGGATCTCCCATGGACTAACCTCAAATTGCGTAAGTGCGTAGTGCTTCGTCTTTCCTTCGTGTTCCCAGGACGATTTATAGTACCCCGTCATGTTGCCTGTAAGCTTTCCACTGAAGCTGACGCTCAACTCTGCTTTGGAACTAGCAGGGAGCGGAGTGGACAGCTCGTAAGCGATACGCTCTTGGACCAAATCAACCGATTGACCAATGGGAGTCTGCGCCGTTTGGAGGGCATCAGAATAAACGGATCTTCATCTTGAAGTCAAACTATGCCCATCGCGTGAAAACAAATAAGGCGTACACTTTCTTCAGATCAAGCTCGGCAGTGTTGAGAACGACTTTCGAAGTCTCGGTCTTGACGTCCAAGCTGGAGAGATATGTGAGGACGACGATGAAGTGCGTAAATCAAATGCGTACTTGATTTTAACGACACCTTCAAAGGTGAATTGCTCAAGGTCCGTCTTGATTATCACATCGTAATGAACGGGCTTGACATCAAGTGGAAGACGGTATTCATCGACCGGGGGAGCCGTAGCAGCGGTGGACATCGTGGCAACGTTAAGCCTTGAAGATAATCTAGACTTGATAGATGGGGGGAAAGATAAGGAAGTGTTGACACGCCGTGGAAGCTTGAGGGTGTCAGTCTTAAATCGAGTCTGTAATTGAGTGTCAACACATGGTCGCCTCGTCTGACCAACTGTTCCGGTGTCATCAGGTGCTCGTCGATGCAATAATGCTCGTTGAGATACGCGCGGTCCTCCAGATCCTGCCCACCCGTGGCGTAGAATCCATGGCTGCACGCGTTGCTGGACGCGCATAAGTTAGAAAAAGTGGTCGAGAACGTTGATCCGTGGCAATCACACGAAAAAAATCGTCCCTTACGCTCCTTTTGGTTTATCATCCAAGCCGCCACGTAATTTTACAAGAATGTATTGAACAGTACAAGAAAGTAGTTATCGAGGGGAATGCAACCAGGCTCGCAGAACGATGACGTCATCGTAAAATCGTTGGACTACGTCCGACACGGATAACCCTCTAACCAGGGCCCATTCCAACAACAAATGTGCTTCTCCCTCCACGGGGAAGGACCAAGACTTTTTCTGCACCATGTACTTGGTACGTCTCTATGCTTGGAACCGCCATGGAACCCATAGTCACATCCCCTGCCATGGGTAAAGCCGTTACGGTGACTTTGGGAAGCGAAAATTCCCCATGGTGCAGAGCAATGAGAGTTATGGGAATGACATGAATTCCCCCATCCTATGATGTTCACGTCAGATTCACATATCCCGGATAAAAGGAAAGGAAAGCACCATTGCGATGAAATCGCCCCGTTTGGGTCCGCTGACCAGCCATTCCCTAACCATTTCCTCGATATTGAACCGTAGATTGTATCGACGACCAGTATCTTGTGCAGTTGAGCCCCAATGGAAGGATGTATGTATCGTAAGATTGGCTGATATGGGCTGCCCAGCGTACAGAGAAAACTTCTCTGAAGACGATGCGTTGGTAAATGGTGTTGATATTAGACGTACGCATGCTGCAGCAACAATCTTGGAGAGCGCGAAAGGTCAACGATAAGATTGCCAAGTGACCATGCATCTCACATTCATGTAAGGAACATCCACAGGGATCTTAATTTCCCGCCATTCCCTCTCTGAGGGATGAGGATGGGTATGCTCACTTAGCCGCTATGAATAGGTGGTTAGCAGAGCTGGTAAGTATACGCATCCGTCTTCTCCCACCTTCTTAACCCTTGTTAAGAGTTCACGGAGCTGTTCGTCTCCAGTTGATGATTCTGGAGCGACGAGTTCGCCAGTGATTCCATACAGGTCTACCCATGCTGCATCACGCTCCAGCTCTTCGACCAGGTGGTTTATTAAAGGGAGACGATGTTGCTGAGAATCTGGTATTTCATCCAAGACCAGCTGGACTTGATCTTGAATCACAGACTCCACCTCTGTAAGTATGGATTAGAGGCAAGCCCCGGCTTTAAAAAGTGGAAGAACGACCTTCACGCAGCATGCGATACTTGATACACAAAGTAAGCGATTCTCGCACTACAAAGGGGGGTCAGTGGGGCAAAGGATGTCATGTTTGAAAGCTTACCAGGTCCATGTTCGGAATCCAATGCAAAAAGAAAGTTGGCGGGTTGAGCAGGCGTTACGGTCTAGTCAACTTGTAAGCAGGAGAAAGGTCAGCCAGTCAAGAGGCACTAACAAAAACACCACGCCTAGCCGAACATGATGTTATCTTCACCCCGTCAATGCCTCCGTCTGGAGCGTCCAGACTAGCGTCAGCAATCCGCACATGTTGGTGACTCGTCGTGGAAACGGTGAACTTCGATATGAGCCTGAGAGAACAATGGGTGCAAGCTCGATGTCGCAAACGGAGTGCTCACCTCGTGCCACGGAAAAAGTCTTCGACATTGACTGAGATAGGCAGAGTAGTCACGAGCACTCCCGCGAAGGTCGCAGTTCGCGATAACGAAGGCTCGTCAATTGTCGTATACTCTACGGCCAGATTGACTTTCTAACGATCAATCATAATCAAGACGTAGCTTTGAGGGTGAGCGGGCGTACCATCGCATGGAAAGCTGACGCATCGGAGTGAGGTATTGAAAATGTTACCGTAGTATCCTTGGCGACATCCTTGAGCTCTATATGATCTTCAGTGGCCTCCAACGTAACATCTGTTGCATCTGGGACTCTGACCATCAGCTCACTTTGAATGTTCCTATCGGTCGAGACAAGTTACTTTTGCCTAAAGCGGCCTCTTGACATCGAAAAGTGATGGACGGTGCGGATAACCGAAAACTAATTCGTGAAACATGGTTCCTTCCCGTCGACAGAATGGCCATCAACGAAGGTGGTTTTCCAAGTTGAACTACATATCAGTGGTGAGAAGCGTGCTTTGCAGGTTAAACCCAGAACTGCTCACTGCGACCCGATTGGGAAATCCGTACATTCAAAGCAAACAAATCGGGTGGTATTCGAACAAGGATTCCAGGCTTGGAAGATGTGGGGGCCTTTCCCGTTTTCCGTCGAGTTTGCTTTAGGAATAAACGTGCTACCCGAATCTCAGTAGAGTCTAGGAGAAAAGTCCCTGCAGATGGAGTCTACTTCTCAGATAAGTAAGAAGTCTAAGTCCAAAAAAAAAATCCTACCGGGCAAAATAAAGCCAAAGATGTTTTCCCTGGCGGAAGTCCCTTCACAGTGGACGTAAAGCGAATTTTTTCTGCATCTCGACCGCTCAATGTCACAATTATTTCATCCGCTGGAAATGACTTCGATGTTATTCAGTACGGAAATTAATGACAGAAAGAGGTAAGGAGTCTCACACAGGGTAGAAGGTTTCGGAGTGTGACGTCCAAATACGATCCGTCTCTCGTTTTGGCCAATCGTGCACGACCGGACACCGATACGGAAACAGAGGAATGGTCAGGGTGTGCTAAATCTCTGTGGAAGTCAGCGAAAAAAGAGCCGATGGATCACGTCATATTCACCTGAATCTAATCGGGAGGCGGACAACTTCATTGCCTTCACAAGATTCGACACATACTCCAACTTGTCCGACTCGGGCATCAGCATCTCCGAGCCTTGATGTTCGACACAGGTCTTCAAAAACGCAAGAAGAATGTGTATCCACTCCACGTCCTGTTCTTTGTTTAGTTTGGCATGGGTATCAAGGGCTCTGGACAGCATGTAGGATTCTAAAGACGTCCATACATGTGGTGCGTAGTGAGCCGGAAGGGAGGTATACGTCGAAAGTGCAGCTGAAAGATTACCGCGATACCTACAAAAGGGACATCAGATAGAGTTCAAAGAATCTTACCGTGGCTTACAAATCTAAAGCTGCCAGGCTGCCATGAAGTTTCAAGGCAAATTTCCGGCGACCTGCCTTTGTATACATATCAATGGCACGATTGGTAATTGCAATATATGTCTCATAGAAAGCAGATTGATCGGCAATGACGCGGAGGAGGTCTTCGTTGGTTATGTTACCACCCGAGCCAGTTCGAGGTGAAGGTTTCGATGATGTGGAGACAAAGAAATTGGGGGTGGAAGGCAGGTGTCCCACTAGCACACCAATTCTATCAAGCTTCAAGTCATATAGATAGTAAAGAAAAGTTTCACCGTTATTCATACCTGAGACCGAGCCATTTCGAGCAACTCTCCCTTCCCTGCATTGCATGAAGCTTGTTCAGATTCATCCGAACAGTAGACAGCCGACCAAGTGTTACATTGGTCAACCACGGTAAGCGCGGATGAGTAGGTCCACGACTCGATGAAGAATCGTGGAAGAGATGCCTGTCAATTTGGACCATAAGCATAGAACCTCATAGACATGTTGTGAACACACCTCAATCTCACGCAGGTGCCAACCAAAAGTGGTAAGGAAAGACCCGACTCTTCGGGTTACTTCGGCAATACGGCCTAGCTTCGCAAGGAGTTCACATTGACGAGAGAGAAGGTATATTCGGAAGTCGAAGACAGATATTGTATTGGCGAGAATAAGATCGCGGTAAGGTTTTTTCGTAATGGACAGGAGGGGTGATGAGTCGTCTGCAGGGCCTAGATTAATCAGGTTTCCAAACCAAGACATATTCTTCTCTCTCCAGACAAGATGGAAAGAATCCTCGAGTTCGTCGTACGGAACAAGGGCTCCATCAAATAGATTCGTGCCCTCGAATGATGTTGCGACGCTTTCCTAAGAACACTCAGCCACGTAAAAAATGAGTGACTCGATTTGAATATACCTTGAGGATAAAGAAGGTGCAGAAATTCCATCCGGGCATTTGCTGCTGACTCTCGGACCGTTTGACCTCTTCCTGCCGCTGTGAGATTGCGGAGTCGAATGCAAACATCAGGCTATCCTTCACTTTATTGAAGAACTCCGCCCAGACCAGTGGGTTCTCGTTCCCGGTGATCCAGTTAACCTGCAAACACCTGCCTCTCACTTAGCGGCAATTCCTGGACGTTGGGCGAGACTAACCGATCGCGTTTGTCGGTGTTAAAATCGGTTTTCAGCTTGTCAAGAACGGATCCACGTTGAAAGACATTTCTAGTTTGAGCACGAGATTCTGGTCGAATTATTTGGAGGATCAGCCATTCTGAAGTTCTACGCGTCGTGACGGACGTATGCCAATCCTTGATTTGCTTCTTCAGGACAGTACGATATGTTTCTAGATCGTTATCCTTTGATGTATTGCTGTCAACGAGATAATAAGAGATGATATTGAATAGCTACCTCGCAATATACCACATATATATGAAGAAGTGGTCTTTCAAGTACTGTCACAGGAACCTGTGATGTGAGTTCGTCCCTTACTGACTCCAGCGAAACGAGAGTAACATCGAGCTCCTGGATTGTACTGACTGAAGCCCTTGAGGGCGACTTCCAGTGAATATTCCGTAGGGGCAGTTGTGCGAGGAGGGCCGCGTGCACCTTGCTCCAGTTCGGCGACGCGAGAAAGGTTGAAGGAGCCGAATACGAGATGAGCACAGGACTCTGCAGCGGTTGGGCCGTGCTGGACATCGTTTTCTCCAGCCAACCTTGTATATCAATCCAGTTCCGAGTGTCGGTGATGGTCTGCGATGACGCTCTTCCGTGGGAAGAAAATTATCCTCGAAATATTGACCATCGACAATATCGAAGACCTCATTTTATAGTTTTAAAGGATGCCTGCCCCCGAGGACGCCAGCACGTCGACCTCCCCCGCTCCACCCGTCACTTTCAAATCTCTGGGTCTCATTGATCCCCTTCTTGAAGCTCTCGAGCAGGTTGGCTACAAAACACCAACCGATATCCAGGTCGAATCCCTCCCGCATGCTCTCGAAGGCCGAGATATCATCGGTGTAGCCTCCACAGGTTCAGGGAAGACTGCTGCTTTTGCTTTGCCTATTCTACAAAAATTATGGGAAGACCCTAAAGGTCTTTTCGCGTGCGTACTTGCTCCCACTCGTGAACTGGCCTATCAAATATCGCAGCAGTTCGAGTCCCTCGGCTCAGCGATGGGGGCTAGATGCGCCGTTATTGTCGGAGGGATGGATATGCCAGCTCAGGCGATTGCTCTGGCCAAGCGTCCGCATATTGTAGTTGCAACGCCTGGTCGTCTAATGCAACATCTAGAAGAAACGAAGGGATTCAGCCTGAGAAGTATCAAATTCTTGGTGTGTCCCGACTTTGAATTGTCTATGTCTGTTTTATTCATTGCTATCTGGAAGGTTCTTGATGAAGCCGACCGTCTGCTGGATCTAGACTTTGGTGCAAGCATTGACAAAATATTAAAAGTCATTCCAAAAGAGCGCACGACATACCTTTTCTCCGCAACTATGACCACCAAAGTGGCCAAGCTGCAAAGAGCAAGTTTGTCAAATCCCGTCCGAATAGAGGTATCATCAAAGTTGGTTTCGTCAAAACTTTTACCGTCACGTTTCTCATTTTGCCATGGTAGATATCAAACAGTCTCAACCCTCCTTCAATACTATCTCTTGATGCCTTTGAAAGACAAGGATGCATATTTAATTTATCTGATCAATTCTCTTGCACAAAACTCGATCATTATGTTTACCCGAACTGTCCACGACGCGCAGAGGTCAGGCGACTCTATCTCTCAATCTTTTTCGTGGAACTCAAGAGTATTCACAGACTTTCTATTATCCTGCGCACTCTTGGTTTTCCTGCAGTTCCATTACACGGACAGTTGAGTCAGAGCCAACGTTTAGGTGCCTTGGGAAAATTCAAGAGTGGCGGGCGAAGAGTCCTTGTTGCAACAGATGTGGCCAGTCGGTGAGCTCAGGTGGTATCAAGCCCTCATTTTGAACTAAGAAAATGATACAGCGGTCTGGACATTCCCTCCGTTGACATTGTCATCAATTTTGACATTCCAACACATTCAAAGGACTATATTCACAGAGTGGGACGGACCGCTCGTGCTGGACGTGCGGGGAAATCAATAACGCTTGTCACTCAATATGATGTCGAGCTTGTACAACGAATAGAGCAAGTTGTCGGAAAGAAAATGGAACTGTGGCCAACAGATCCCGAAGAGATCGCCCTACTCAAAGAAAGAGTGAGCGAGGCTGCTAGGCTCGCAGCGACGGAGCTTCGAGAGCAAGGGTCGAAAAGTAACAATCGCAAAAGAGGTAGAGATGACGGTGGGGGACGAGACGATAAAGATCGTGATGACGACGTTGTCGAGGCTGGTATGCCAAAGAAACACCACAAGAGGTCAAAAAATAGAGGTTGATGTGTTCGGCGTCGAAATTCATTGTGCCCATCGCATGTCTATTATGTCTGAACAATCAGGATCTTAACTTTTGATCGGCTAATTTGATAGTTTCTCCGAATTCCTCTCTGTGGATGATATTGGGTGTTATTGAGCATGATTTCTATTCGTCTCAGAAGTGTATACATAGTAAAGAAAGCACATGATTCTCGTCGAGACGTGCACGCTGGGAATCGGATAATTACCTAGAGAAGGAGGTCATCGAGGATTCTAGAAATAATGCAGGATCTTACCATTGATGTCGGGCCACCATACTCTTCACGGCAATTGCAACGTCGGTCATCCGTTTCACGCCCTCTTCTGACAATAGATCGATATCCCACCATGCAGCAGGTGCAACGTCGGTCATCAACCCAGCATCCCGAGGGATGGGAGGAGGGGTCAACGTCTCATTGTCGCGATGATACGAGTAGAAACAAAGGCGGGTTCCAAGGGCGCTTACGCCATGGATCACAGGGAGGTCCACTCGATCGACAAAAGATCAAAGAATTGTGTCCTCATCTGATTGTCGGCGGCAGCGCGGGACGATCGATGTGCATAGGATCCGGGCGGCTTGATTTCAAGAAAGAACACGGGACGAGATGCCTTTTGGACAATGAAGACTGCGGTAAAATCGATAGACGAGCCCTCAGGTGGTCGCTTGCACTGTGGGGATATCATGTAGAGCTCGGTGGGTGGAAATAGATAGCCCAAGAGTGTGTTGTAAGGTCCATAGAAGAGTGATTCATCGGTTGGCGCGTTCACCCCTCCGGAAATGGCCTCAAATGTGTCGAAGACATACCCTGGCCATGGCATATCTGCTGGTTGTTGGGAGTTGACTCAGTTGAGATTGCAATTGTTCAGTCCACTACACGTGACGTACTAAAACTACTTAGTGCTGAGTACTACCTGACATTGACAAGCCGTCGCCATATTCCTACCAGAAGGAGCGAGTTGGCGGCAAATAATATACCAGAAGACAGTGTTGTTGACGGAAATACATTCCATGCATATTCAATAGCCGCAACGATCGCAATCCTAAAACGACAAAGTCTTAATGGTGAACCCTTGACAGATAACGATCACGCACTTGAAAACCCAGGGATAACGCGTCCTCCATGCTAAGAAGGGTATCTGCTGCGCGTACCACGAATAAAACTGGTAGTGGAGTGAGCGAGCAAATATTATTCCTATAAGATTGGAGGTGAAGAGGACAGTGGCAACATCTAATGAAGGAGTATAGATGTCAGAAATACAACTGGATGCGGGTGAAAACAGCTCACAGTCAGGAGTCACCGGTGCGAGCCCTGCGGGATGCAAGGGGCGTCTAAATCCGCGAGCGAGTACAGCCCAGACACTTCCATCAGGTTTGCACCACCTGAAAAGGCCGAACGCGACCAAGGTAATGATATGTCCGGCCATCAAGGTCCTTGCCCAAGTTGGACTCAAGAATGTTTGTTCATCAAGAAATCTCCAATTAACGGTCCACTTGTACAAAAAGACTCTCCCAAGATCAAACGCAAGCCGTACATATGCCCAAAGATCCTCTTGTAAGAATGGAAGTGCAAAAAATGCCTGAAGAGCTCCAATGGACAGAAGGCGTATGAAAGTCGCGACAAGTCCTTTGCGCTTGAAGAGGATCACAAGGAGGCCAGGAAGGTAAAGAAGAATTGACATTTTGATGGATAATGCAGCACTTGCATGAAACACTTGTTAGTTCGAAAAGAGTGCAGGTTCAAAGAAATGAATACCTGAAGAGCAAGCACCCCGTATCATCCAATCCATTCTGAAATGCCAGAATTGCGGCCTGCATCACGAAAACAGCCCAACAATCGTTGAACAAGCGCAAAACAAAGATGGAGTGCAGTCTTTTGCTCAAAGGTAAGAGGAGGAGAACCCAGTTTGGGATGTTACGCGCTTTACGGTAGATGCTGCACGTAAGAACCACTGTTGCGGCGTAGAGGAGAGCATAAATGTGTTGGGCAAGCCGTATGTTCTTGCCTGAATCGGTTACGTCGTAGAGAACCTGATGGATACGCAGGTGTCCCGCAGGGTAGCTAACAAGGCTCTTGTGAATTGACGCGTAAATCCAAAGACAGATGAAATTACACTAGCGGACCGGTGGGACCTGTGATCAGTGTATAGTTGCGCTGTCCATTGATATACAATTCTGTTTGAATCATGTATGTTTCCCAGTCGATCTCCGTGTCTGCAAACACAATATTTATCGTCAGTGCGTGTTAATGAGCGCCCAACGAAGAATCTGCTGACATGGGATGAAGCGAATGACGAGCTCTGTGAGAATTACATCGCCGATAATGACCAGAGAAGCGAGAGACCAGAAATATCGAGGATTTGTCAGTAGTGAGATTGCAAAGTGGATGAGGTTGCGTGGAGAAAATGGCACCGACATCAGTCAATTCATGAGTAGTAGGTGGGAACTTTTCGATGCTGCTGATTTCGACGTAACAGGCAGGTAAAGTTACCCATGTACATGTATTCGTTGCCAACCCGTAACAAAAAGTACAAATCGAAGAAGTGGTATAGAAACACGATAGGACATCCCTTTGACAATGGTCTAGTTATATGCAGAGGCCGCCGCAGCCTCACCATCCTGTAGACCGTGCATAAACCCATCAGTGTAGTTACCCACCGTCGAAGGTGTGATAATTGGGCCAAGAGCCTTAACAGAATCTGCGGCGTATTGTCCAGTGAAGCCGAGTTTCGACATATTGTGTGAGGCGAAGAATTCTGCGGTGCGAAAGCCGTCATCGTATCCTTGAGAGCTGGATCTCTCTGCATCCGTCATATCTCCCCAATTGTCACGAGCATGTATAGCAGCAAAACGACGTCCCGCTAGCCCATAGTAACGATCATGATCAATGTTTAAATCTGTAGTTGGCGAGAGGATGTCCGAAAGAGTGTTAATATCAGTAACTTCTGCGGTAGACCGACCTGCGATCGACTTCGATGTCTGGCCATATAAGAAAAAGGTCGAAGGAAGAGTAGATCCGACAGCTGCCTTGAAACACCAACTAGGATCGCACTCTTCTTTCGTGTACGCTGCTCAATGTCAATACCATCGTTTGGGCCTTTATTGAACAATAGGAGACCTACACCAGAATGCCCAGCCGGCAGTAGTACCCTGATACACCTTCATCTGCGCAGCACAGAAGTCTTTGCGTGCTTTGTCCTTGTTCGATTCGCCAGCGAGACTTTGATCGGTCAAGGCACAAGACCATTCGTGGACGACAAGGTTGCACCGTTGACCCGAGGATACATTAGCCAGAGAGGAAGCAATGCCATGAGTAACATCGTTCGTGTGTTGAGACGCAGGCTCCTCGATATCTGAAGGGGTGAAGACAAAGTAGGAGTGATGGTCCTGGATCACGAAGTCACTCCTTTTTGATACGAACGCACTGAACCGTTCAAGGTCAAACCCGTCATGCACATAAATAGGAAGGAACTCAGAGGCCGATGAAGTGCTTCGTATCGCAGCAATAGCGCGAGTATCTGTAGATTGGCGTCAGGTATCCATCTTTTCACAGGTTTGACTCCGACGTACAGAAATCTTCAAGAACAGAGTTATACTGGGGTTCATTCAAGAGCTCTAGTCCGACCACGTTGGTAACGCTAGCAAACGTCTGTGCCAGAAAAGTCAAAACGTTGATCGTTTTATCCACGTTATCCGGATTATTGAATAAGTTTATCTGATGGTCGGACACTCCGGAATGTGGCTCTCCGTTTTGACTGCCAGGCGCTCCATGCAAGTCGATAAGTACGCCGATGCCGTAGTGTCCAGCCCAGTTGACTGCACGGATGACCCTTGACCAAGAATTTTGATAGACATCAGCAACGTTAGCAAAGGGCGTTCCAGCCAAGAAACCCGGACCAAGACTCCAATAGCCGATTGGCAGTCGAACGGTGTTGATTCCGATACTAGCAAGATATTCGAAGTCAGAGACCATAATAAAGGTATCCCAATGGCGTTCCAGAACAGCTCGAGCAGAGGTGGTTGAGCCCCATCCAGTTGCGATATCGATTTCAGAAAGTTTCTTCCCAGCCGCACAGTCAAACACGGAGGGTGTCATCCAGTTTTCATGCACAAACCTACAATGACATTGACACAAGGCGGGCAAGCGATTAATGAAAAGCTAACCAAGAACCTAAATTCACCGCTTGCTGTTGCCTGTAGCGGTAAACATTTGCTACGTTCTGGTCGAAAGCCGGGAATGTCTGATCTGTGATAGGCGGGGGGTCGTACGGTTCCACATCGCAAATGGAGTCCCGCTCTTTCAAGGATAATTGGACGCCTTCGTTTGTTAGATATCGCGGCTCGAGATTCTGACTGTCGACAGGAGGGAGGTTCTGAAAGTGAGCGGCGTCGAAGATAAATTTTCCCAATCCAGGTGTTGGCTCTAAGAGGCCTAGAGCTAGGAAGGCAGCGAGAGTGACTGGATGCATTGAAGTTGAATTAGGGATATGGGGGTATACTATATAGTGAAGGAGCCAGCTCCAAGGAAGATGAACGTTGAGGACAAGTGTGTATGTAGAGCTGTGCTTTTCGGAGAAGCCCCTAAAGGGATTGCCCAAGAATAACACCGATTACGCCGAATAACCGTTTACTTACTACTTTCACCACCACAAGCCCCAAGGAGTTACTCAACACGAGTAACGAACAACGGTTGAATAACGGAGAAGTCTTTTTTCACAATGTTCCAGGAAGCCAGCCTGGCGGCCGGGTCAAGCTACCCTTCGAACTTTTATGATGGATCACCAAGTTTCAGTGTCTTCCACTGATGAAAACGAGGCCGACAACCGCGTTTTCACCTCAGATACCTCTCACTCGATGTGATGGACATCACTAGTGTCCCTTTGACCATGCATCCATCAACACCTGCGAAATCTCATCATCGCGAGAAAGCCGAAGAGAGCCGGCAAGGTTTATAAACTATCATAACCTGGCAGCTGCTTTACGCTCTATTCAATTCTTTTTTCTGCTTCAACGCCTTTGTGCACCTATTCGGGCTTTGGTCCCCTACCCAACGACATTGGTATGGCGGAGAGTTCAGCTGTCGGAGATATTCCTGCCACCGATCAAGCGTGCTTCGATGGGTTCGTTTTGGCTGTTCTTGCCTATGGTGAGATGGTTCGAGAATTCGATTGCATGCGTTTGAACTGATATAATTTTTTTTCAAGGTGTTTTATTAATGCTCTGTATCCAAGTCACGCAGGCCCTTCTTTCTCGTCCCAAGCGTGGTCGTGTTTTCTTTGGAATTGTGATCTACTCTTCGATTCTCTTCCTATTGACAACTATTGCAGTTGGAGGGAAAGCAAAGTTCGCTGAAATGGTTTACGTTGTTCACCGGGACTATCCCGCCGGGGTGGAAGCATACGAGAGAGAAAACAGTGGTCAATGGGTTAACGTCATGAGCCAAATTTGGTATGAAGTTCCTCTCCCAACGACATTCACAAGTGCTAATTATTTTTGCGGTAAAGCACCACGCTTATTCCTTGGTTCGGCGACTTGTTCATGGTAGGTGTCATGACTCACGAATTACGACTCGATAATTAACCACGCATCTAGATGTACAGGATGATGGTAGTGTGGAATTATGAATGGTGGCTTCTATTCATTCCTCTACCCATCTACATGGCCCGTCTCGGTATGTTGCTTTTTCGATTCATTTTCTGTCTCATTGATCGTTTCCAAGGCATGTCATTGCTGGTCATGATCGCCCAAACTCAACCGAATTCCACAAGATGGGCTGCGCATGTGTCAACGTACAACCTGACTCTCTACGTTCTCTGCATTTCTCTGAGCTTCATTTTTACCATCCTCATCGCCCTTCGCCTTCATACGCTCAGGGGCACCGTGGAGAAAGTTATGGGGAAACTTCAGGCTTCCTTTTATACTTCCGGAACCACCATATTCGTGGAGAGTGGAGCCTTTCTTACGCTTTGGTCATTTTGCTACATGGTCACTTTGGCGAGTAACAGTTGGGCTCAGGATATCTTCTTAAAACCATACCCATACATTGTTGTAAGTTGTTACTGGCCACCTACAAAACTTCTGTGTTTCACTGACACATCGCTTACAGACAATAACATGCATGCTCATCGCGCTCAGGATGTCCCAAGATTGCGCATGGACTTGGGACATCACTGTTGCCACCGCGAGCGGTGTGCTGGAATGGAAGGTGTCCTCTACACGGAGCATTGGTTTACGCCGTGAGTCGGACGACGGGAGTATTGCCTACGGTCACAACTCGAACAACTTTGAAAAGTCGTTCAGCGAGGAGATAAGTACGACCGGAAGCCATTGAGTCGCCTCGTTGCTGTATGCGGCATTCTTTTCGATCTCTCGTCACCTTCGCCGGGATCCTACCTCTTACTAGGGGGGCGACTGGTGGATCTTCCCGGGTGTAACGACCACTTGGTCGGATGAATCGGCTATTTTATCTTTAGACTCAGTATAATAAATTACACACGTTGAATAATCGTGGGCTTTCCACCATACTCGATCTCTACTTCAGCACAAGTCTTTTTTTTCGAGGGTATTTCGAAGGTACAACAAGCAAGCTTCGACTGGGTACATCGAATGAGGTATTCTGGAAACAGTGTATATTGCGAATCAATGTAGATGTACTGTAGTGTATGTATGTAGCGTTGGTTGTTTGCGATGAGTCCGTAACAGATGATGGATGGGTGGGGGGGATGATGGTTAATGTGCAGAATTGAAAAATTGGGAAGTATAAGATTATGATGAATGTTTTGACCCCAAGAAGCCGACGACAAAGAAGGGGGTAACAGATGGCAGAAAGGGATGTGCACTACATTCCATGTCTCCCTGCGCCCCGATGATGAAGATTGCGTAGGGCATTTTATAGGACTCGCCTTTATGATCTCCCACCTGGCGCACAGTAGAGACGATAGGAAGAGCGATCGAGATCCAGTCGAACAACGACGCGTAAGGTGGAAGGATGGGAATGATGCGCGGTCGCCAGACATATTAAGGCTTGCGGAACTCGCACAACACAGTGTAAATCGTGTTGAAGGCGGTGTAAATCTCTTCTCTGACCTGAGGGTCGCGAGAAAGCAAAAGAGTGTCAGCGGATGGGTTCAAACCGGCTCCACTGAACTCGAGCCATAAAGCACTTTCTATCCACCATGAAAATCATAACTTGATCTCATAAATGATGATCAAGCCATGCGCAAAGGGCGGCGAGAAGAAAAAAAGGAAGAAAACTATTCACCTTAGCTCCTGTCAAGACAATCTTGCCCGACACGAAGATCAGCAACACGACCTTGGGTTTAATCATACGATAGATAAGACCAGGGAACAACTACACCGCTGCGTGAGTCACGGTAACGCGATCTCAAGGAAAGACATACCTCGGGTTCATAACTGCTGAACTGTCCGTGACTGTAAGCCAAGCCCTCCAAGCGAATGGGGAACTTGACGTCACAACTCCCGACAATGTTCTGTATCTTGAACTCGGAAAACTTCGCGTCGAAACCAAGCTTTTGCACTATACGCGCGTATTTGCGCGACGCAAGGCGTGAATCGTCTTCTGACTTGGCGCCAGTCACGACCATCTTGCCAGACGCGAAAATAAGAGCAGTCGTCTTCGGTTCACGAATACGCATGATAACGGCTGCAAAACGCTAAAAACGCGAACAAGACGAACAGTTCGACGTGTTGCGTGTTAGAAAATAGTCAATACCAACCTTTGGATTATATTCAGCGTTACGAGCATGGAGTGCGATGGTCTTCAAATCAAGGCGGCAGTCTAAATTCACCGTCGCGACAATGTTCTGAAGGGTGGGTACGATGCCTTCTACGGCAGTGATATGCTGTTGCTCAAGGGTGAGGGGTGCAGAGGTAGATGGAACGGAGGTTGAAGGGGACGAAGGTCCTGCAACAGCATTGGTAGTGGCAGGCGGCGAAGAAGGCTTGTTTTGAGTTTGTGGTTGAGTAAATGAGTTGGATAGGGGTGACGGTCCAGGAAGGGCAAGTCCACCGTTTGTGGTTGGTTGTGAGAGATAAGGATTGCCACCGGGAAGCGCTAGACCGTGTTGCTGATACGGTTGCTGTTGCTGCTGAAGCTGATAAGGTTGTTGTTGCTGTGAGGCTGGGTTTGTGCGTCCAAAAGTGATCTGACGAGCGGGAAGGGCGAAAGACATGGACTAAAATTTACAGCAGAGCGTGGGAAAGTGAAGTGATGGGGGAAAGGGGGAAATTGAAGAGGCGAATGCCCGTCTTATATACGTTTCAACTTTAAAACTCCGCTGATTGAGTCATTGTCTTACGTAACCTTCCTCCCTTTGTCTTACTCTCCCAGCCGCCCACTGCCCGCCGCTATGCTCCCCTCCTTCATGGGTTCCGAACACATGGACAATGTACGAGCTATAATTCTCGTTCCATCTTGCCTGTTATGTTGAGCTGCTGGAGCTTCGGGTTTCGAATAATACTGGATCTCATCGTTGGCCGCTAATCGCCCTGACAACCACCATCATTCTTAGGCTCCTCGCTTTGTCCTCACTTCTGCTTTCGTGCGTTCATGGCTCTAAATCCACATCTGGCCAAGTGCACGGCATTGCATGTGTTCTGTTCAATCTTTGGCGTCAAGCCTTAGGAAACCCTGGTTGTGTTCTATTTATGGTTTTGGCGCCCACCAACCCTTTGCCAACCCTTCACTTATAAGTAGAATAACCCAGGATAACCCCATCCGTGTTTTTCTTTGAAACACCCCCACGTTTTTTCCTTGGTGGTTGGGACCTCCATTGTCACCCCTTTTCTACGTTCGTAAAGCTCGATTCATGTTACTTATGTATTCTTCGACGATGTCAGTTACGGAATGGTATGTGATGAACATTGGTCGTCATCTTATGGTTCTGCCATCTGTCACATACTGTATACATAGATACATGTATACATGTCCCCACACATATTCTCGTTGGCGAGTGTCAGAAAGACCATTGACTGGATGAACAGAAGTAACGATTTTCAGCCCTCGGTAATCTAGGTGTCGCAGACAAATCTGAACGAGAATTGACAGGGGTGTAGAGGGTATGTATTATGATACGTATACGCGATGAATGTGACATAATGAAGATGGGGTAAAGTAGAAAGTGCCTTGTCTGCGGGCTAAAGAAGATGGAACCACCCCTCCACCTGACAAAGGGAACAGACCCGTCAGACGAAGTCATCCATTCGAGATCTATACACCAGCGACGATCCTAATCGCGAGATACCGTCAGCGATACATGTAGGGGAGGCAGAGAAAAAAACCCACTCTTCCGCCTTGTTGAGCGCCTGGACCATACTCAGCACCTCCTTCCTTCGGCTGACTACAAACTCGCTCTCTTTCAAGAGGTCGTCCAAAACTTCAGGCTTGTACAGCTCCTGTAACAATTCTCGTTGCAAGTTCTCTTTCGAATGCGAGACCAGGGTCAACGAAATAGCTTTGGGGACCATATCAATCATCTCTCGTTTCACGATATTAAAGTAGGAGTGGATCAACGTTTCTGCAAGGTTAAAGAGTCAATAAAACTGTTGAGCAGTAACTCAAGGCAAAATACGCAACTGATGACCTCCGTTTCCATTGTCTCACGCTCGTTCAGCGCGCTTTGAGGTTTGATCATCGGGGGCGGGGCCTCCATGACGGCGGCGCCTTTCTTCTTAGTCGCAGTACCTGTTTTCGCAGCGAAAAAGGATCCAAAGAAACTTTGCTCCTCCCTTTTGGCATCAACATCGAGATCTTTGTCGTTGTTTAGGCGTGCTCGAGCAGCCTTGGGGTCGTTTGCCGCTGGTGGGGGCTTAGCAGCATTGAGCTTCTCCGTTACGAGAGCGGTGGCCTGAAAGCAAAGGATGAATCAATCGCTGGACAAATGCTTGTGAACTAAGTTCTGACCTGATGACCACCAATGAAATCAGGGTGCGTGGTGTTAACATAGCAAGCTTGCATGCTGTCAAAATAATAATTCAAGATAAATGGCAGCCACTGAAAGAAATTCTGTACGTACGCAACGAGGTCTGACACCAGCTTCGTGGTCGGAGACATGGACTTTTTGAAAAAATTGACCACAACAGCATTGAAACGTTCACGAAGAGCAGGATACCGTCTGAATGCTTGCTACAAAGAACCTTCATAAGCGAGTCAAGGCTCAGAAATGTGATAGCACCTACCACTTTGCTTAGAAGTTGCCCAAGAATACGAATTAGTTCATCATAGACCAGTTGGCAGCATTTAATGCTAGGTTCCTCCAGTCGTTTGATCTGTTGCTTGACGATTACCTCAAATGCAGCAGTCCCAACAAACAAAGCTGGTGTTGAACCCTGTACGTTGTAAGTTCGTAGAACCAAGTGAAGAAAAAAGTAAACAGACTGAAGAGTTGTACAAGATCGTCCGAATATCGCCGTCCTTCACTTGATCGAAGGGATCGATACTTTTGATTCCATTGTTAAACAACTCATGAAAGACGAAGCTAATTCTGGCTCCTCCAGAAAGCTCGTTCAATGACAAGTCATTGGTATTACCATCGATTGTTGTGCGGAATTCTGATGTAAATTCGGTGATGACGGACAGAACGATGTTGCCAGAGTTTCCATCTCCCAAAGGACCACCGAGTGTTTGAAGTTCAGCATTGAACTTTTGAAGGTTTTGCGATATTCGGCCTTTGATATCAGGTAAGGTTGCTCGGATGTGGTGCATGAGAATCTGGTGACGAATGTGTCAAAATCAGGGAAATACAAGGAAGTTTGAAGAATCTACCATGTTGAGCTTGCGAGCCAGGAATGGGGTGCCACAGAATTGGGCCTTGCCTTTGTATGAGGGGTGGTTCTCAAAGAACTCACGTTCATTGTCGAGAGCCGCACTGATAGGTTTGTTAGTTTCAATGTCGCGCTGTCCTCGATTCACGACGGGGACATATCCAAGGCGCAGAGGAATGATTCGGCCGGCCAAAATTTCAACTACGTCTGTTCCTTTGTCCCTGTTTCATGCAGCGTTTGATTTGTGAAACCAACGACTGAAAATAGGGTACCCACATGAGATCGACTTTGGTGAGAACACCAATCGTCCTCGTGCCCTCGGGATCCACCTCGCGTGCCATCTTCAACCCGTCCGAGTTGGCCAAATCAGTGTTGGCGCCCGTGACAGCCAAAATGATACAGCCGGGTTTGATGATATACTTCATCAGCATATCCCTAATCTGCTTCTCAATATCTCGAGGTTGGTCTCCCACCGGCACCTTCGTCAACCCAGGAAGATCAACGAGTGTGAGGGTCAAGACGTTTGGCGAAAATATACGGAGGTTGATGGGTTGAGGGGATATGCCCGCATTCTTGCCCGTCTTCGCCTCCGTATCGCGGACAATCTCATCTCTAATCTTAGTAAAGTCGAAAAACTTCTCGCCAGGGAGGTGGAGGAACTCGCCCCATTCGTCTGGATTGGCGGCTTTGTCCGTCCCTTTGTCGACGCCGTTCACCTGTGCTGCTGCGGTCGCTTTAAGTCTCAAACAAGCGCCGATTGAGGAACAAAGTAAGACGTACCTCCTGGCACAGCGGGCCTGTTGATAAGTTGCAGCACCTGTGTAAAGCGTCAATTGTAACATCTCTTTACTATCATTGAACTCGTACCAGTGGCCGCCGGGTCACAATACCAGTCCCACGAGGCAAGAAGTCTCGACCTACGATGTTCTAGTTGGCAACAACACAATCATTTATGGCAAGCAAGACAAAGAAAAACACGAAAGCACCTCTAGAACGCTACTCTTCCCGCTACTCTGACTGCCGAGTACGCAAATTTGTGGTAAATCTATTGAAGCTCCCGAGGACCCTATGGATGTAAAGACATCCTGAAGTTTGTTGATAACGCTAACGATTTCTGAGCCGAGGCCAGATGGACCTGTCGCCATATTCTAGTAGTTCAAAAGAGGGAGCGTTAAAGTGATCGTCAAGGGCTGGATGTGAGCGGAAATGAGGCAACTGGCTGCTTGCTGTGTACTTTGGAGGCTGGGACCAAACAAAGGAGCCAAAGGGGCTTCAAATTAGTTATGCACTTAACACTTGTATCTTGAGCTTGACTATTCACAAGGTGTGGATACGGCTGCGACGTCGTCTCCTTGCGCATTGCAGCTTTATGTACAATTGCGGCGCTGCGGACTAGTATTCAGGCTGCGGCGTATCACGCTGATTGCACAGCCAAGTTGTGAGCAAACTCCCCCTCAGTGACGATTCGTAGGATTCCTCCAGGTTTTCGCAATACCCGGGTGGCTTGTATTCAAAGCCTATGGAACTGTCGTATCCATGATCAATGTTGACCTGAAGGATTCCAATCTTTAACGCTTTAAAGCATTACATGACCTCAGGATACCAACCTCCATCGGAACTCTCCAAGCATGTCAATCTATCTTTAATCTCCGATGCCTGTTTAACTACTCCCTCGACCCATCATTCCCCCATGACTCACGATGATGCTCACTGGCCCCCCTGACAGCTCTTCAACCCCAAAGTCCTCGCCACATTCAACGCGCTCCCCTCTCTTGTCCAATGCCACCGGTAAACTGACGTCCTTGCATGCAGGAAAATGACAGTAAGTACCTTACACTTTGGACTTGGACTTCTAGTTCTTCTGTGTCGAGGCCTGGAGGTTCCATTATTTTTGTTGCAGGGGCATATTGGAAAGCGCTGAGAAGTTCAGACTAAACTGAGGAGTCAGAGAACTAATCTACGATGTGCTGACAACATGATGAATCTCGAGGTTCTCTTCATTCCGCAGATTTGACCGGAAATAACACTCAGAGACATATAGCAACGATGCATGCAGACACAACCGTGCTAAACCATATCAGACCTGATGGTACGCATTGTCATATTTCTGTGTGAAATAATAGTCTTGAACGCGGTGCAGGCTCTAAGTACCTGGCACGTTGTGGAATACAATGCCACAAGCGGCGATGTTATTGAGAAGCGCAGACAGCAAGGATACTCCGATACCAGCACCTGGGCTCGTGGGCAAGCATGGGCGATCTACGGGTTTGCGAACAGTACGTCTAGGTCATGAATTGGCTGGATGCATGTGTGCAACATTTCTGCTTCCCTCATTTTCCCTCCAAATGTCCCCTGGCCCCATTCTTCTTTTATTACCTGTACAGTAGGGTCATACATCTACGGGATTTTTTTACAAGATGTGAGGTTTGTCAAATCTGGGCAAAACTTAAGATTAGCATAATAACATTTCACAGATTTGATCACTTTCAGTGTAATTCACTCATAGCATCTTCAGAATTTCACCAATTAATCCAATTTTTCAAATACATGATCTCTATACCTATTTACAGACATATGCCAAGTTTGACGATGAGTGGCATGAGTTAGAGCCTGAGTGTCCGAAGAACTTGTCCCGGAACACTGTATATTTTAAAGGTTTTCATAATAATCCGACAGATCAATGTGGTGGTACATGTTTAGACCTGCAAATTCGCCCTTGTCTCGTGCGTGAGTTAAAGCAGTAGTCCCATCATCAACAACACGCTGTCTGCTGTCTGTCAAATCTAGTTGTTTTCAACCTTCACGGCACTTTTGAGGAGGCCGGTGAAAATTTGTACATAATAAACAAGATGAAAGTGCAAGGGAAAGAGCGGCGCCGGCGGGGACTTGATGTAGAATGCCCAGTGGCGAGGAAGCATTACTTCAGATCTGACGGACATGCGGTTCGACGTCAGTATGCCTGACTATCATTGGTACACGACAGCCATATTAACATGGTGCTGTAGTGTAGGATTTCGACAAAGGAGTATTAGAATCAAGTCTTCTTTCCCAAAACCCAGATCCGAACCTTGAGAGCACCCATCTGCCCTTTTGCTTTTTTTTGCAAGGCGCTACCACTGGCTGGCTTGCATGGAAAATTTGTGTATAATACTCAACCAAGATTCCGGAAGGGAAGACGAAAGAAGTTACAATCAAGAGAAAGAGCGGCGAGGATTGCTCCGACGATAAAATGACCTGTTGACGAAGGGGTCCTTTTGACGACAAGACTCAAGAGATTACTTCCAAATCCTGGATGGACGTGCGGATGGAGAACAATGGCGTGTGTTAATAATGTCTGCCTACCAGACGTGCCTAGCTTCCCTCTGAAAACTGGACAGTACGGCAGTTCTGTCTTGTGATCAGCTCACGCGTAGGTGCAGACAAAAAGAGCGAGCACCAGTCGCGTGAAGGAGGATCACAGGACTACTGGTCGCCTTGGAAATTTATTTGGAGTCAGTATTACTATTTTCGTGCTTTATGCGACAAACCGTTCGTATGGTGGTCCCCGGTTCCAGTTAAATAAAAACTGGGGATTTGATCACAACGCAAGGCCTTGTTGACACCTCTGTAGGTCGCTTGCCTATCTTGTCGCCTCGCCTCGATCACGCCCGCTGCGAGGCCTGAAGGGGAACATGAACCCAGGGAAATGGTGTGGCGTATTCCTGTATCAGAATGCTTGCTCAACAGATCGGCTTGCGGAGCATTTAGAATGTGACATGGATCGGGAGGTGGCCAACGCTCACTTGAGAAAAATTTGAATGGCTGATATTTGGTGCTGTAGGCTGCCTCACGGAGTTTTCAGCAGTCCAGAACGCAGATGAGGAAGGCCGTCGATTAAAGGTAGGTGCTGTCCAAGGCCGAACTTGAAATCTTCACAGAATAGAAGGGCTCCCTCGTTGAACCTAGTTGGAGCATCGAAAGTGGACCTGCCATGCCAACAAACATCAGTTGAGTAGCCATTCAACAAGACGTTAAAGGGAGCCTGACGCGTGGAGCGATACGCCCATTCTGGAACGACAGCGAGGTGCGTCTAACTTGAAGGACAATGGCTGTTCACTATGCTGGATTGAATGATCTTAATCTGAGGTGAGATTTCAAAGCTCGAAATTTCCCCGTGGTCCATTGTTCGCTCGGAATGGAGACAACCTCGGAGACAGAGTAGGGCGAGCCTTGGTCTCCGGGCATATCTGAGTTGAACCCGTTTCCTCCGTAATTAGATTCCCTTGAACATCGCTACGGCACATGAAGCGGCGGCTTTGTCATCTACAGCACAATGGCATCATACTTGACGGGGACGCGGAGTCAGAGACCGAGGGTAGAGAACAATGCAGCGTGCTCGCGTGGCGAACAGCAGGAATCATGATACCTGAAGCGCTGAGCGCTGACTCTGGCTGGAGTCATCCTGGAACAACAAGACAGAACAAGACACAAGGGTGTCCCATTTGAGATTTGGACAAGAATGGCGGTTTGGTTGTCGTCCCCTGGTTCGAAAAACATCAGTGGGAGCGATAAATAAATCGCCAACCCCCCCAGGCTCGTTCGTGTACTGAGCACCGTGAGGATTTCGTGGACGCGAACCTGATAGGTCGAGGAAGGACACAGCCACTGGACCCACAAAGTTACACAAATGCTTCGAAGGCTCACGATCCTCCTGTTAGGACTGACGTCCATGATCTCGGTTGGTGAACGTTTGAACAACCATCACCCCATTGTTCTCCCGATATATCGACTCTGGCACCTCATTTGCATGCACTTGGAGCTTTCAGACAATGAATTGCGAAAACGTATCAGCACAGGAACTTGCGTCCCCTAGTACCGTGGCCTTATTTCGGGCATCCAAAAACTTTTGGTTCGTGTTTGAATCCGGTGACAATGACTCCAAGAGATGGTGAGCGCAGCAGATACGAAATAGGGGCGCGGGAAATATTTAGTTGTTATTCTCTACTCCGATGAAGAAGGGTTTCAAATAGCTGCGTACCTATAAACATTTTCGCCCCCTTTAGGTTGGACCACACTAGCTCTCCTTCGCCCCGTCGTCCGCGATCCTCCTCTCGTCATCTCGCTGTTTGCCATCCAATTTCTTTTCGGTCGCTTTCTAGTCGTCACTTTGCAAATTAGTTGCTCGTCGCTGTTCTTACCATTCTAGCTTCGTCTCCGCTGTCTGTCTTCTCGCTTCACGTTTCGTCCTTCGCTCGGTTGTATCGCTGCTTCTGATACTCGGGAAGAAAACTTTCGCCGTTCTGTATCGCTTTGCACCATCATCGTGTTTTTCTACACAAAAGACTTGTCTTTTTAAAAAAATTTTAATTGACCACGATTCCATTCCAACGACAGCCATGTCGCGCACAGATCAAGATTTCGAGTATCCCCCAGGGTTGGGTGCTTTCCAGGTTCGCGGGGGCGGTGAGCGCGATCAGGTGAATGCTTACCAACACGCGTCGTCGCTGGCAACGTACGGCTCGCCGGATCGTCGTCAATCGAGTGGAATCCAGAGTTATTCGTCGTACGGGGGATTTACGCCGCGTTCGCTGGAGCAGAAAGAGTATGGTTTTGGTGTTGGAGACTTCTCTTCTGGACCAAACAGACACAATCCCAGCGTGTCCAAGACGCATTTGCCATTGCAATCCTTCTCTCCCTTCAACCACCATCTAACCCGCCCTTCCCCTCCCTCTCCTCCTCCTTCCCTTCTCTCCCAGGCCGCCTTGTATCAGACCAGCTCCCCTAACGACAGAGACGCCCAGTATTACCGCCAGTCCCCTAATTCATTGCTCGCTAACAACACGAATTCCTCACGCTCAACGCTCTGGTGGGGAGAAATTGAGCCCTGGATGGACGAAGAGTACGCCAAACAAGTCTGCACCCTCATGGGCTGGGATCCTGTCAATATCAAGGTTCCTCATCCCGCCCCAGATCCCGCTACCGGTCAGCAGGCCAATAATCCCGGCTACTGTTTCCTCACATTCCCCACCCCCGCCCATGCCGCCTCCGTCCTCGCCCAAGTCAATAGTGGCCCGAAGAGCAGTTCGGTCACTATGCCCAACTCGTCCAAGCCTTTTGTGCTTAATTGGGCTTCCTCTGTAAATTCGGCATCTTCTTCATCGCCTATGCCTGCCGCCTTTGTTTCCAGCAACGGGATGTATGCGGCGTCTTCGCAGCAGCAGTATCCTAAGGAGTACAGCATTTTCGTTGGAGATCTTGCTCCCGAGACATCCAACTCGGATTTGGTTGCTGTTTTTCGTAATCCTGTGCTCGGTCTCCGTAATGATAGGGAACCAAAGTTCATTCGACCGTTTCTTAGCTGTAAGAGCGCCAAGATTATGCTCGACCCAGTCACAGGCGTTTCTAGGGGCTATGGCTTTGTTCGGTCAGTTGTTGTTTTCCGCATATAGTGAGGCTTTCTGAATTTCATATACAGCTTTACCGATGAGGCTGACCAGCAACGCGCTTTGATCGAAATGCACGGACTTTACTGCCTCTCTCGACCAAGTATTGTTATCAGTTCAATGCGCATATATCTACTGATTTCAAATAGTGCGTATCTCTCCGGCCACTGCAAAGTTCAAGCCACCTGCAACTCTGCCTCTGATGGACATTCCTCAAGTGCAATTTTCGCCTCCTAGTGTTGGGACCGTCGAGCCTCAGAACCAACCTATCACACTTGCTCTTCCGCTCCCAAATTCTACACAGACTAAGAGTGTTTCAGCGCCCATCGCATCTGGATCCTCCAACGGTTCCCTCATTGGTACTGGGATGGCTGGATCCACATCAGGCTCGTCGATAGGCTGGTCCACGTCCAGCAACTCTCTAAGCACTGGTACCGGTTCCAGCCTCAGTATATCCACGTCTGGCTATGGTTCGGCAACATCTGCAACCTCAGACGAAATGACGAGCCTTCCCAACAATGTTCTCGCTCAAATTGCACAACAGTATGCCAATGGCGATGCCAGTCCCATCAAAACAAGCAACGCCAGTACATCGTATGCGCATGAACAACAGTTGCGACAGGTTTTGAGTTTGGCACAAGCCGAGGATGGACCGCCAAGATTTACGATCTCTGAGGAGTCCTGGAAACATCACGCTCAGGCTAGAGCTATTCTGGGCAATTTGATTGGTCCAAATGGAGAGCAACTTACGTCCACGGATCCGTACAACACCACTGTCTTCGTGGGGGGTTTGTCACCACTGATTTCTGAGGATACCTTGAGGACCTTCTTTGCTCCGTTTGGGGACATTCACTATGTAAGCTTCCACTGTCATACTTGGACGTCGATTCCCAACTAAACTCTAAATAGGTCAAGGTGCCGGTTGGCAAACACTGTGGCTTCGTTCAGTTTGTTCGCAAAGCTGATGCGGAGAAAGCGATTGAGAAGATGCAAGGCTTTCCAATCGGCGGCAGCAGAATTCGGTTAAGCTGGGGTCGCAGTCAATGTATGTATTCACCTTCATTGGTAGGCCAATCTGACACTCGTATTCTACGCAGATAAGGCTGCCGCACAGGCCGCTCAAACTGCTGCCCTCCAAACGCAGTATGCGGTCCCTACTCTCCCCAACGCCATGACGCAGGAGCAGGCCATTCAACTCTTACAGAAGTTTACGATACAGCGAGCGTACCTCGGCAACACTAATAGTTCCCCATCGGACGGAAGTGACGGATCCGCAGGATACATTAACCCTCTCCACAACGAGATTTTTGCGGACCAGAAGGGGCGAGGGTCGCTGGGGATACCATCAGACGACCTCCCGCCAGGGCTCGACTCCTTCTCTCCAGGATACATGCCACGTCCTGAAGTTCACCGGGCATTGTCTACTTTCTCCCCATTCTCTCCGGATCCGAATTTGTATGCAGAGAGCAAGAGACGGGATTCGACTTCACGCCTGGAGACACTGCCTCACCCGTCTGAGGCGTACGCACCTGGCTTCTTCCCATTACAGACACAGGACGTGAAGATCGGAAACGGGGGTTTGGCGACTGGGCTAGAGAGAATTTCTCCAACATCTACTAGGCCATCGAGTGCTTCCCGGTACGGATCATTCGCCGAGAAAGCAGATCCTCCGGCACCGCCTAATCGTGCCCCTGGACGCGCTGAGGCCCCCATTTCGCGGCCACCATCGGGACAGACGTCGTCTCAGCGTCAGGCGGATCGTGAACAACTAAATTTCGATCCTCTTCACGACCTCAATGGTACCCTTGCGAGCCTTGACCTTGATCGTCCCTGGAAATCTTCTGAGCACATGGGGAATATCCCCAGCAACGGTCAATTCCACTTGGCGGGAAGGACGCCATCACCTTGAAGACCCAACTGCATAACGAACCCTACGCCCCCTCATGCCAAACACTATTTTGCACTTTGTATGTTTTCTCAGAATATTACATCACTATCACGCTAAATTTTACGTGTCATTGGTTGGAGTCGGCTTTGGTCTTATGCGCGGCCTCCATTTCGCTATTCGTTTCACCATTCGCGAGACCTTTGACCAGTTATTTATCTCATACCCGCCTTGTATTGATAGGCTTTCTTTTCGTCATCCTCACATCCATGTTTCCACAACAGCATCCGTTCTTTTCGACATTGTTTCGCTCGATTCTATGATTTCCTTACTCTAGTCCTGTCGTCCACTCTAGCTTCTTGTTTTGTCATAGTTCATGTCCAGTTTTCTCGTTGTTCTAATACTAGTGTCTAACCAACGATGCAATGCCTGTAAATCGAAAACATACAGCACTTCTGACTGATGTGAGCTATGAAGGGGAGAGTCGCGAAGGGGGTAACCGTAGGAGCCTTGGCATAAAATCACGTGGACAGTCAATCGCTCCGACGCTGGCCGGTCCGCTACTCACCTACCATGATGTCGACCAGATCTCTTGGGCTGGGTTCAGCCCTCAGAAAAGCTGCCTTTTCTCCTAGGATTGGTGCGTTATCAGCCCCGCCATTTACCCTCTCGTGGGATCTGATGCACTTCGGCAGTGCGCAACCAGGTCATCCTCCGAAACACTGTTGCGAAGAGGTCTGTTTCGTGAGTTCTTATCGACGGATAGACTTAGTTTAAACAAGAAAAGATCTGCAACAACCTCCACACAATCACTGCCATCGTCAGCAGCTGCGGAAATTCTGGACAAACAGCGTCTCCTCCGACCCAGCAGTCCTCACTTTACCATCTACCAACCTCAACTTACGTGGTTAGGTTCCATCGCCAACCGTGTCACTGGCTCTGGGCTTAGTGTCTGTGAGTACCATTTAGAACTTTGTATGACTAGGATACTGAGGTTGACACTTTCGCAGTGCTCTACGGTTTCTCGATTGCGTACCTGGTGGCACCTGGAACCTTTGACAGCGCTCACGTCGTCGAGTTCGTTGCCGGCCTTCCTGAAGTAGTCAAGTATGCAGGAAAAGCGATCCTCGCTGCTCCTTTTGCCTTCCACTCCCTCAACGGTTTGAGGCATCTTGGTTGGGATATGGGGAAATGTGAGCTATTTCTGCAATTTGAGTTTTGTGTGCGATGACGAACACCCTTGCTAGTCGTGACGGTCAAGGGATGCTATCGGACTGGATACGCTGTCCTCGGTGCGACGGCCATCTCTACCGTTGTCTTGACTTTGATGAAGTAAATTTGAGGAGTTGTATTGACCTTCCTTGTCAATCAATTGCATTTATTATTTTCGCTGGGATTCCTTTGCTGAATGCTTGTCTCTTTGGACCCTCTGCCCGGTTATCACGCTCTCCTGGCGTGTGCGCCATATCTGATCATCGAGATGTCCCTATAAGCCCTCCATCCCACTCTTTTCTGTCCTATACAAAACGGCTGAACAAGATAACTTTGCCGCGGGCTTTCCCAAGACGCGGTAGCCGATTTTGCAACAAGTGCATCCCAGCGTAGTTTCCTGACCACCCTCAAGGCTATAAGTAGGGAGAAGAGCTTGTGTACCTTATGACGAAGTGTGTTTTGCTGCTGATTGACAGGGAGCCACAAGGGTTGATGTTTGCAACGGCATACCAATTAATCTGACACTGGTTTTCCAATGGTATATTATCAATATTGAAATGCGTACCAGATTGCAGAGGATTCAGGTAAGAAAGTGAAACGTGCATTCTCTCTCAGCACCGTACGGACTCGAGAAGGTCGAGCTCATCGGGACTTTCACATTTTACTTTTTTTGACTTGTGTAAGTGGCTACAAGTCGAAAAAGGCGGAAAAGCCGCAAGTTAAAAAGCCAGGCCAAATTTTGTGAAAAGCAGCTATTGGCAAGCAAACGAAAAGTTGAAAAAGCACAAAAAAGTCACAGAAAAGAGCAATCAATGCAAAACTAGCAACTAAAGTGCAAATTTACTGAACTACATAGTCTACCCAACATCACGGAAATCTACCTAGCTCAGAGAGATGCATAAAGAATCTGTCAGAGGGAAATTTATAAGAGGAAAATTCAAGAACATGGAATGACACCAGATTGCCTTCTGAACCTGCCACAATCCATCGTCAACAAGTGTCCAAAACGCGATGTGACTGCACACTACGATTGCAGTAGATGCAGCAGCACCCGCACGGTACATGCAGTAGACCGAGCGGGGTAGAAGGGAAGGCTGGTAGATGAGAGTTGAAGAGAGGAATGTGACGTGGAGGTGTTTGGCTGTATTGATCAAATATTCAACTCACGTGGTATTGCCATCAACCGCCACGTCGTCTCTTCCTTCTTACCATCACCACCACTTCGCCAACTTCTGCAACACAGCAGTTATCCTCAGACACTGTTTGCCGCCAGAGAGGACACCACTCCTCAACACTGTAGCATGACCTGTTCCATCCATGGACTGCCGGTACAGAGTGCTCCTTCCCTCTCTCATAGTGTGTGTCACTCAATTACTTCACAGCTCAGGCCGTTTATTGCTGAGAATCTGAAGGGAAGATAGGTTTGAGCGGTGGAGGGGGTTTGAGGTAGATTAGTATTGTAGTTTTTTTTTGTAATCTGAGTGTTTCTCGAGACCTGCTAGGATGTCATATTTTCGGTAGATTAGCTTTCCAGCTTTTACACTTTTCAGCTGGTTGCAAGCTAAAAAGCAACTAAAAGCCAGAAAGTAAACTGTTAACTTGCTGATGCTGGGTAAACTACTTTGTCAATTTTGAGACCTTACATGCATCCCAGTTCACCACAGTTGAACTTCCACAGGAAATGGTGGCGAGGAACAGATGGCAAGCTCAAAACCAAACCCAGTCAGCAAATCCATGGCCTGGTCCCTCCTCCCCACCCACAAGTCCACGACATCAGCTAGAACACCAATGTCGGAAAAATCGCAATTAGCATATCAGTGGTTGTGGCAGCTGATGAACATATGCAAACTGATCAGCTTCTTGCGGGTAGCCATTTCAGGTGGTTATTAGATCTTGTCACTGCCGGTAACCCACTGGTCTGAACAGCCAGTATGCAATAAGTTTTTTCCCCACAAGCATATCAAAAGGTTATCACCTCACATCATATCTGGTACCTCTCACAAGTCCTGTCCAGCCTACAAAGAGGAGGAATATCAGATCTGAGGTCCCAAGGTCATATTATTTTCAGTGCTGACTATCTGACAACCATCCCCAACAAAGTTATCGCATCACGATGAATTACTTACTATTTACACTTAGGGACATATCTCTGTTGATAGTTTCTACAATATAACGAAGCCTTGCATCATAATCAAAAACAGGACACATGAGAGCTCCCCGGACAGCGGTACAAGTGAGGATTCCCCAGCTTCTGCAGGCCAAACCTTGTGAGTTGCGACATAGATGAAATGTGGTGCCGTAACTCCTGTGGAGTTCAAGAGTGTTGGAGAGGACATACTCCACATCCTCAGAGTGGTGTTGTCATGCTCCAACTTCGACCCTATTGCCCCAAACATATATAATGTGCAAAGAATGTGGTGTGAATCCTCAGCATCGTCCCATCCCACTTTGCCACCCTCTCCTAATCAGACCCACGTTTGGGTCAGGATGTGACTCAGACAAGCCCGACCCAGACTTTCTGCCCATCTGAATACTCAAGAGCACACCCAACTCTTCTCTTCGGCATAACCGTCCTCGTCCTCATCGCTGTTCTCTCAATTATGATGTCACCCTGACTCACCCATATCAATACAACCGAGGCTAGCACATTGGCACAGCATGGCAAGGTGAGATATCAAAGTCTGGCCTGCAATGGTTATACTTAGTGTTTGAAAGTCCGGTTAGGTCTGGTTATTGGGTGCCCAGGGGCTCTAACCAAGACTGAGATGGGTTAGCCTTTGTCCCGAAACCTAAAATAACCTAACTGGACCGCAACTAACCGGTTATGGTCAGTTATTTGCAGTTACTAACCGGTTAGGACTGAAAAATAAAGAATTGGTTATAACAAGGCAAATATGCTCATATGTATCTTTATAGATATTATTTCTGCATATTCTAGCTTTAAAACGAGCCCAAGAACGCTAAAATCGGTGAAGAATTGACATATTTATGCAATTATCCTTGAAAGTCTACACATTTGAGTGATATTTTAGAGATTTGACCATAACTTTTAGTCAAATTTTAAGTGTTTTTGACGTTCTCAAGTGCGTTTTGAAGGTGTATAATAGGGCTGGTTATAACCGCAAAATAACCGGTTATTCCATTTTCGAAATCAACTAACCCTAACCACGGTTAGGTTAGCGTTGCGGTTAGGTCTGGTTATTTTCCAGTTATTTTCCGGTTAACTAACCTAACTTTCAAACACTAGTTATACTAATTGTTGAAATTAGTAAGGTATGGACTGGCTTCCTCTGCTGCGCTGTTCAAATCTTGAGATCATGAGGTGATGGTAGCAACAACAAGGGGTCGCCAAAGCAAGGCGAGCCCCAGAATTTTTTAGGCTGGAGAGTGTAAGCTACTTACACAGACAATACAAATAAGATACAAGTACAAGACAATATAGTTCATATAACAGAAAAAAAACAAAAAGAAAAGAGGGAAGTGGAGGGAGGGCCAAAGAAATCTGAAGAGATTCTGTGAGAGGCACGGTAAGTGAGTATTGAGCTGGAGGGAATCTTTACAACACTTCTTACAATCTGGCTGACGAAGTCTGAGCCAGAGGGGATGTAAGAGTATGAACGATGCTCAATAGAATAGATGCCTCACCAAATGAGAAGTGATTGGAGTGCGTTTATAATAAACGATAGGCGAAGCCTTTTGGTAGAGATCACTGTTCATTTGGGTGAGTATGCGGCGCATAAGATAGAGAGCGCGGAGCGCTTACCTGTGCTGGGTAGACGTGGTCTGAGAGAAAGAGCCAGCACAGGAGATGGAAACGACACCGATGACTTCTCCTAACCCAGCATCTGCCAAACTTTGGCACTGAGTCAGAGATCGGTGTCGAAGCCATGATTGGTGAGCGGAGCTCAAGGGGCAAGCGGTGCTGCCATGGATGGTGAGCGAGGCTCGAGGGGAAAAGACTCAGCAGAGCTGAGTCTTTTCCTAGCGGAGTTTTGAGTTGGTGCAGAGGCCTACGAAATGCCTCCTTACCCTTGGAACCCGCCATTACGACGACCTCTGCTGCGCTGTTCAAATCTTGAGATCACGAGGTGATGGTAGCAACAACAAGGGGTCGCCGAAGCAAGGCGAGCCCCAGAATTTTTTAGGCTGGAGAGTGTAAGCTAATGATATGGTGTTGATGTTGATGTGGGGTGGTGGTGGTGAAAGATGATGGAAGCGGGAAGCGTAGAAAAATTGTTAACGGCGCCTCAGACGGAGTCCGATGGTGGCAAGCTGCTGTTCAGCACGAACAGTGGGGTTATCCCTTATGTAGATCTTCCATGCTTGAGAGGACCACCGACCGAGTGCTTGAATTATATCTTCAGATAGACCAAGGCTTGCATAAAACGTGGCACTGCCTGCACGAGGAGAGTGCCCTCCAAATTCACAATTGAGCACGGCGAAAAAGTGAGCATCGAACCAAGACCTGGTAGGATGGGAGCCATCTTCACGTAGAAATAGGGCTAAGCAGGCGTTGTGAACAGAGTCGCGTCGATTGACATATTCTTGGAGAAGCACAACAGGGTTGGCGACTTCCTGTTGTGAGAACGAGATGTCAGTACCACGATAAAATGGATCCCCCTTATGATAAGGGAGGTGATACTGAGCTCATCCTTGAGAGAACTTGAGGGACGAACGCTTGATGATTTTCCGCCAGTCGAAAAGTTCTTTTGAGTTCTTTTGCACCAATTCACCGGAACGGTGGCACACATAGAAGAGGCAAGAGAGGATAGTGGCGAAGAGGAGGTCGTCATAAGACCCAGAGCCACGGGTGATAAGTAGAAAGGTTTGTAGATGTGCAGGGCGCAAAGGCAGTTTGTGACGGATTGGGTCAGCGCGGATTTTCTTGGAGCCTCAAATGGTTGTGGTGACAAGAGGGTGTGCGCGATTAGCATCAAAGTTAGGATATAGATCAGATAGAAAGTGTCTGACCCCTGAAAGATATTTTGGACCAGAGGCGATAAATTGAGAGGTGTAGGCAATGTAACGAGCCAAGGTTTCGGGAGTGGGTTCTATAGAGAGGTGATGAGACATGCAAAAAGAGATATAGTCGCGAGCACCGGTAGCGTAGCCTTTTACTGTTGACTTTTCAATGGTGTTAACCTGTAAGTGAAACACACGATTGTCAAGATCAGATAGCTTCATTGGTGGGCAAGTCCAGCGTAATGGCCTAGACCCGCCCAGGGCGCTCAAAAGCACCCCCTCCATCGCACCGGCAGGAGCTCCCGTGGTGGGGAGAAAAGGCGGATGCGGTCAAAAGGGAATTTTGCACAATACTCGTTGAGCAAAAGATGTGAGAGGAGGTCGGCTCGAATATTTTCTTTTCCGGGGATGTGCCGTACACGGAGGTCGATGCCTGATTCAATGATGATACCTGCTATAGCCATCAGTGGACCATTATGCAATGCTTCAGAGACACGTAAGGTGTTGAAGATGGCTACTGAGTCCAGGCTATCAGTATGAATAAGGAGACGGCGAGGAGGTGAAGGAAATGAGGCAACATGGTGGATAGCTGACATGATAGCTACCATTTCCAGGAAGAAGATGTCAATCTTCAAACCGGGGGGACATTCCTTGTTCCCGTACATGAATCCCTGATTTCCATATACGAAGGACATTCCAAGAGTGAGACTAGCGTCAGTCCAGACCTCCAGATCTGCTGCAGCATCGTCCCAGATACCATCATCGAGGAAACGAATGCCAACCGCTCTGGGGATGATGCTGATGAGCCAGGTGAGGTCAGAGATCACTTCGGCGTTCAGGTGTACAGCACCGAGAGGGCGAGATTTTCCACTGGTTTTGTGGTACAAAGCTGAGAGGGCAGGACGCGCCCATGGTAGGACATTTAGGAGCCAGTTGAGATGACCGGCTAGCTGTTGCCATTCATGGAGAAGGGGCTTGCGGTTAGGTGTAGCCAGGAAGACCTTGATTTTGTCAACGATGTCAATGAGGGAGCTTGGCGGCAGAGAGAGAGAGCCTTGGTTAGCGTCAACCCAGAAGCCAATTATCTTCAAGGTACTCCCATG